TTATTACTATAATACTGGCTAGCTATTATAATACTTCTATTAATATACTATTAAGTTATTAATAATAACGGTCTACCTTATAGTTAAAGCTTTACCTAAGTTAACTAAATAATACTTATTTATAGATTACTTATTTATTTACTTACCTAGCCTAACTTCCTATTATTAACTTTACTTATACCTATATAACTACGTTATAGATACTAAATAAATCTTAGGAGCTAAAATACCTTACCTATTATAGCCTTTTTACTTACTATAAATTATAGTTAATATCTTTTTTTAAGTTACCTTTCTTAAGTTATATAGTATTTTTTTCTTTTAGCTAGGCCTAATTAATAGTAATAATCTTTTCTATAGTATTATATCTCTTAACGTTAACGCTATTTAATATAATACCGGTATTACTATTATCTTAGATAACCTAGTATTAAGTATACCTCTTATATATTTAAGTCTATAATATAACCTCTTTTTATTATATTTCTACTATTTTATACCTTACTTTTCTTTAGTAATAAATAATATTATTATATACTACCGTAAGATACCTATATATAATATAGTTATACCTATTTAATACCGGGAGTTATTTAATAACTATATTACTATTTTTTAAAAACTCTAAGTAAACTAGATCTATTATATCTTTATTAATATAATAATTAATAATATCTTATAGTATACTACTAGTTAATTAATATATCTATTAAAAGTACTTTTTAAATATATCTAGCCGGAGTGCTATTATATATTTTTAATAAATAAGTATATAGTACTTATTATTAAGTTTTATATACTTATCTATTACTATTAAATAGTATTTAAATAATTATAGTAATAAAATAGAATAGAGTAGTAAATACTATTATAATCCTAAATTCTATACTGCCAAATCCCTTTTACTAGACTACTATAAACCTTAAATATAATACTAACCTTAAGTAACCCTAACTAACCCTAAATAGATTTTTTAACTAATTAGTAACTCGGCCTAGTAATAAGTAATATTATAGTAATATATAGCCTGTAAAATGGTATTTATATAGATAATTCTAATAGAATCGTCTGTGAATAATTCTTAGGGTTAATATAAATCTCTAGGTTTTTAATAATAATATTATTATTTATATTAATATTATAGTAATTTAATTTTAATATTAATTTAAATTTACTTTTCTAATTACCTTAATAATTTTAAACTTTAACTATATAATCCTTACTTTATACTATCCTTTTTTTTATTTCCTTAATTATTTTTAAATAGATTAATATATATAGGCTACTTTAATAGTAAAATCTAACTAAATATTTTATTATTACTTATTAAAACCCCGGTTTATTTTAATTATATTAAAAATAATTCTATATATTTTAAATTAATTATATAGCTATAATTCGGGATTAAATTAATTAATATATTAATAAATTACTTAAATTATTATAATAAATCAATATATACTAGTTATAGCCATTTTACCTACCGTAATATCTATAACTTTACCCCTTTACTTTTTCTATAACCTAGCCCCCTAGGCTTTAATAGTATGGTTTTTATTTATATAGTGTTTTCTATGACTTAGCCCGGCTAGGTCGTAGCTAACTTGTAGTAAGGATAGCTACCTTTTCTTTATTAAATACTCCTAAGGTATATATTTTATTTTCCTTTCTTTTCTCTTAATATATTCTTTTATATTATTTTACGTAATTCCTTATTTTTTCCTAGTTTTCTAGTTAGGCCTGTCTTTTAATATTATATTCCTATTTCTTATATACTTATTCTTTAGTTTATACTTAATTAATTAATCTAACTATAAAAGGTCTTTCGTTAAGGATAGGTTATAATTCCTTTACTAGGTATCTATAGTATTTATTAATTATTTTTTCTTTAAATATAAAGGGGTTATAGAGATATATAATATTTCCTTTTATTAATATAGGTTATTTATATAGGTTATTATATCCTAACCTATATATTCCTAGAGTTTTAATTTAAATAGCTATTTATAGCTTATTTTACTAGTTAGTAAGTCTTAATATTTTCTTATTATAGTTAGGGTTTTTAAGTTATTTTAGCTTAAGGTATATATTAACTATATATCTAAAGTTATTATAATTATAATACTTATATTTAGATATATCTTATAGTAGTTATTAATTATTATTCTATTATATAGCTCTTAGGATTATTACTCTAGGGTTTATTTTATATAAGGTATTATTTATCTAGTTATTTCCTTATTAATTTTTTTAATAATAATAATTATATTAATTATTAAAGTTACCTTAGTTATTATTATATTTTCTATTAAGGTAATAAGGATTAAAGTTACTTCCCTTAACCTTTATAGCTTTCTCCTTTTTATATTTATACTATTATTTATTAATCTTAATAGCTATAGTAATATATTCTATAAGGATATCTAGTTAATTTACTTTATATAGTTTATCCTTAATTTTATCCTTAAGGCCTTAATAGTATATTTCTATAAGTATATTATTATTTTATTTAGCTTTAGTAATTAACTATTTAAACTTAATTAAGTATATAGTATATAAATATATCTATTATAATATTATAATTTTAACTATAACTTATTATATTTTATTTATAATACTAAAATTATCTTTAAAGGCTACTTTAAAGTTAGTCTAGCTTATAAAGATATTTTAAGTTTCTTAGTTTTATAAATTTAGGTTATCTTTATATTTAAGGTAATCTTAGTAAATAGGTTCTTACTATTTAATTACAGTTCTTTAAATTAATAATACTATAAAAAGTATTTTCTTCTTAAGGCTATTTAACTAGTTAGGGAATAGATAAAAGTATCCCTTTATTTAGGTTAAAAATAAGATTATATTTATTACCTATCTTTTAAATAGGGCTAATATAAAAGGTTTTAATAATTCTCCTAGGTCTTATTTTACTCTAGGTAGTGATAATAGGGGTATAGCCTAAATATTTAAGTCGGCCTTAAATTTATAGACAGTTCCGTAAAGTTAATAAATTTTAGTTATTAATTTAACTATACTAAGGGGTACTTCAATATAAAAAGGTACTAATCCGTTAATATTTAATATTTTAATAATATAGTAATATTATTTAAATTATATAGTATAATACTAAATAAAAGCTATTAAAGGTAAAGAAATTATATTAATAACTAGTAAGCTAAGTTCTATTTATTACTAAATAAATATATATATATACTTAGGTAGTTTATAATATAGTAAGTCTGGCTTACGGTAAGTTATAAGTTAAAAGTATAATCCGATAATAGCTAGATTACGGTTACCCTATAATAAAAGCATAAGCCATTATGTAATTAGTTGAATAAAAATAGGGTATATATAATATAAGTGTTTTATCCTATTAGGTCGTAATATAATAGATATTTATTTTAATTATTATAAGGTTTATATCTTATTAGTATTATAAAATTTCCTATATAATCTTAATCGTTAGTTACTAGCTAACGTAAACATTAATTAGTAAGATTATCTATATAATATTACTATCTTACTTTATTTTTTATTCCTTATATTAACTATATTAAAGAAAAGCTTTATATTTATATTCTATTAATAGTTAAAAGGTAGCTTAGTTTAAAAAACATTTAGTAATTCTAGGTTATTAATAGTTTTAAGTTAATATTAAGCCTAAGACTTTTTATTACTTATAACGGCTAGGCTATATATATAAATATATTTATATCTTTTTTAAGTTCTTTAAACTTATTAGTTCTTAAAAGATTCTATTATTAATTTAATAGTAAGTAATTCCTATATAAAAGAGGTTTAAAGAAAGAGAAGAACTATTAAACTGAAATTCAAAGGGGGTTCTTTCTACATTAAACTACTAGATATATAACCTTTCTAGTTAATAAATAGAAGTAATGAGTTATTCTATCTAGAAGAGAAGTGTTTATATGAAACTAGGTTATGTTACTATTTACATAGAGCCTACACCCTTATACTCTATATCGGAGGTAACCTAGAAAAGCCGGCACTTTGAAAAACCGAAAACTAATTAAACTAAGTCTAGTAATCCACACTCTTTTCTTTCTAACACACCCCGTCCCAAAGCTATACAACATCCTATTAGCACGCCGACAGCTCTGTTTCACACTTCAGAACTTAATCTAGGTAGTAACTTTCATAGCGCACAATGTAACCATGTCTTTATCAATAACTTACTACTTGCCGCTTTAAGCCTAGAGACGTAATAGTAGTGTACTAGCTACGGACATGCCGGCATGAAAGGATGTCAACCCTTGCTTGGCAGGGGATGCCTCGTCATGCTTTAAAATTACTGGAGGAGAGATCGTTAGAAACCTAAAAGATGAGGCAGGATCTTTTATAACATAATTCCCTGCTCTTTAGACTTCTCTGGGAGAAACTGGAACGTTTAACCATGACAATTGGCTTATTGATTGAGACAATGGGATACTGGACTCCATACGTACTTCTGTGGAAAATACGTGGCGTTCAATTGTTTTCACCCCTTTTGTTAGTTAACAGACATTGCCAAAAAGAACTGACATCCGTGCCATCGGCTGTTAAAGTAGTTACGTAAATGGACAAGGTTACCTAAAAGCATAGACCAAACAAAAAAGTATAAATCTCTTTACATGAAACAGGAGATCTAAAGTAACTCCTACTTTTCATTTCCAAGGCTGTAAACTTCTCAGTGTAAGGATATGGCAACCTTCACGGCCCATTCGAGGTGTTAACGGTCGGCTGTTTCTGTCACCCTATTAAACTCATCCTGAAGGATTGAAGCTATGTAAAGATATGAATTCCCGTCTTAGTCTAGGTTCTAGGAAAGAATTAAAGTAGTAATATACAAAAGTTAGCTACCAGTACATACCAATACCGATAACTATATAAAGCATAGGACTACAGTCCTTAATTATTAACCAACAAAGTAAAAACTGTCTCCTTCGTCTTACATCCTCATTTTCACACTCTTACCCATTCAAGAGTTCAATCTTGCCATTATGGTCTCCTCGAAAGCTCTCGCTTTTTCTTGCGCTGTTCTCAGCTATTCGGTCCAGGCCAACCCGGTCCTCAATTCATCGCTGTCTCCCCGCCAAGATGGGGGTATCGCCAGCTGCGATAATGAAGCGCAGAAATACACCGGCGTTTATACCGATGGTCAAGGAACCTGGGCGGCTGCTGATGGCGTCACGCACCCCTACAAGTTTCCCTTGATCCGAAAATGCTGGTGGGACTACTTCGTGGTCGAAGCTATGGAAGAGCTTCTGCCCTGGGAGAAGTCGTCAGGCGATATCTACTGCACCGACACGGAGCGCTGTGTCGCGGAGAAAGTCAGCAGCGCCCAGCACTGCCAGGAGCGTTCCGTGGGTATCAGTCCCAATATCGGCGCCTCTATCGCAGGTATCACTTTGGGCCTGAGTGTGACCGCTACCAACTCCGAAAGCCGATGTGTCACGGCTCAAGACGCGACTGCTTGCCAGTGGAACGATAAGTCCTGCCACGCTGTCTGGACTCAGCAGCATGTTATCCGCCAGAAAGGCTACCGCCGCCACCGATGCGACTGGGGTAATGGCGATGAAACTGAATGCATGGGTGATTGGGACCAGGTCACTCCTACTGATAGGATTAACTACGGTTGTGGTTCCAAGTGTGAGGATAGTAACATCTGTGGACATACTGACGGCACGCCCTGTCCCTAAATAAAGCGAGGTCGCTTTACGCCGGCCTTGTAGAAGTCTTGTGATGGCAGATTCGTCGGTGATTATAGACGGAAGAGTGGGCAAAATTGGACATAGATGATCAACAGTTATTTCCGCGAAGTATGAGATCAAGTCAGTAAAAGTCATCTTTATTCAACTTCCTTTGCAAACGAGTGCTCTACATACCCCTACTTAGAAGATTGGACTGGAAATAAGAAACGGGGGAAGGAAAAAGAACCTGATTTGATTACTCTACTATCTTTCCTTTCCTGCTTATTCCTTCCTCTGAAGTGTGTGTGGAATCACGAAGTTATGGCTCAGGGCTCATCTGAGAGCACAGGTCAGTAATCGATCTCTTTATATATTTATTCAGTGCGAAGCGCTCTGCTATCTCGAACATAATACGCCGAGGGCTCTCCATGATTACATTAGCCGGCTAGTGTAGCCCTCGGGCCGAATAGTTATAGACCAAAAGAATTCAATATCAAGTGGTGAGGGGTATGGGCAGGTTGCTTGTTTTAACTTTTCAGCTCGCCACGCTTAACTCTTAGCGCCCGGTCCTTCTATAGTTAATAGGTGCTAGGTGGCATATGTCCTGTAAACGAGCTTGTTACCTCCCTTCAACCAGCCATGCCTTACTACCCCGCCCCCGGCGCTCAACATCCATGAGGGTTGAAAATATGCAGCCACTTCCCTTTTCATCCATACCTACTACGGCCGCGCCAATCGCTTCCATAGCTCTCCCGCTTGACTCCGAGACCCGGACCCGAAGGGATATCTACAAATCCTTCATGAACCTCTGGGACATAATCAATAATGTTATGGCCTAGATGCTTGTCCGTGGAGTGAAAGACGCCCGATTCGAACCCTGTTGTATATTCTTAGACGTAAAAGTTGGGAATCGATGCAGGAAGTTGTAGATAAGCCGCTAAACCGATTGGTGATAGCGGGTTATGGGGAACGACCTGAACTTGATGTGCTTTAGCTAAGGCTGCTACTTTCTTTGCTTTAGTGATACTACCGCATAGTGCGAGATCGATGCGCGCAAACTTAACCGCATTGCGCGCGAGTAGCGCCTGGAGTTCGTAGATGGTACTGAAACGCTCTCCTGTGGCGATGGGAACCGAGATGCGGTCAGTAACCGTGGCCATTGCGTCGGGATTCTCAGGGCGTATTGGGTCCTCGACGAAGAGGGGCCGAAGGTGCTTAATGGCGTTGGAGAAGGTGATTGCTTCGGCGGGAGTTAGTCTACGATGAAGCTCTACGAGCAAGTCGACGTCGTCTCTAACAGCGGCCCGTATCTTTTCGACGTTTTGAATGGTATCGTTTATCTTCTTGATATGGGGCTTGAAGTAGACGGAATTAACTCCTTCGTCGAGGAACGGATTGATATGACTAAAGGCTCTTAATCCGGCTGCCCCTTTTCTCTTGCACCCCTTAACCACCAGATCGATTGTCTTTTCGTATTTATAATAATAGACCTGTGCTTTGGTGCGGCAGGCGCCTCCGAGAAGCTTATATATAGGAACATTTAAGGCGCGAGCTTTGATGTCCCATAACGTAATGTCAATGGCCGAGATAGCTGCATTGATGGCTGTGCCTTGAAAGTAACTGAAGCGATGCATAGCGTTCTAATGGTGCTTGATTGGAAAAGCATCTTTGCCGACAAGATACTCGGCGAATCGCTTAATGACCGTGCCTGCAGCCGCAATATGACCCTAGTTTCTAGCTTCGCCAAAGCCAACAATGCCCTCATCTGTTTCGATTCGAACGAACATGAACTGTCCCACGTGGAGAGGGATAACGGTCTTGATAATTTGAATTGCTATCTGTAACGCTAAATACGTTAGTACCAGGCTTATCAACTATGTATAAATAACATACCATTTCTCTAATACGATCAAAGTCTTGTAGTTTGGATCGTTCTCTCTAGCAATTGTCGATATATTAGTGGGTTTATTGAGACAGCTGGATCTCTTTTTTAACGGTGCTACCAGACTCAACATTGATGTGTCCTGCACCTGTTAAGCAGATTAAATGGCCCTGACACCACGCAGCGACGCGCCGATTGCGGACATATGTTACCCTTACGGCAAGTGGATGATTTTCAGCATTGACGCTCTAACATTTGAATAATTGCCATACGTAGCGGCCTGGCTCTCCACTCCCCGCCGCAGCGTAGCGCAGTGGATGTGAATGTGGATAGTGGTAAAACAGATAAATAGAGGGAAAAATGGAAGTCTTTGCTTTTTATCTGCTTCTATTACATATCTTCGAAAGGCATGGCGCCATCGCGAGAGGCTACTGGCTCCCCGCACAGGCCACAATGCCACTTAAAGAAACCAATAAGTCTTTACAGGTCGGTATTGTTGGCGCGAGGATAGCTGGTTTGACGACCGCTATTGCGTTGCTTGATGGGGGCCACGACGTTGAGGTTTTTCACCCCACCCCCTGGGCATCTTGCCCTGCTTTATCTAATCTTGGCATTGCCCTTCAATACGGAAACTAATAAAGGTTCTATCTAGATCTATGAGCGATCCCAGTTCAAGGAGGAAGTCGGTGCGGCCATCATAGCGCCACCCAAGTCCTCACGCATCTTGGCGCATTATGGAGTCGATCCCAAGCGTTCGAAAGCTACAGTGGCCGAAATTGTAACCAAACATTTCCCTTACCTTGGACTGCTCGTCTTAATAGCTGACATAAAGCCTTAGGTCATTATTTACCCGGACCCGAATAATCTGACTAAAGATTTCTCTATGCCCGTCACTCATTTTGGTACTAAGTACAAGGCCCCGTGGTATTTCTTTCACCGTGTTGATCTTCACAATGAGTTGAGAAAGCTAGCTACTGAGCCGAACCCGACCCGGCAGCGAGTTGCACGTATTCATCTTGCCACGGAAGTATCGCGCGTGGAATTCGATGGTACTATTGTTTTTCGAAATGATACCCAGGTTAAAAAGGATGTCGTTATTGCCGCCGATGGGATACGTGTATGTGCCAAGTAAAGCAACTTCTTCATCCGGGGTATAAGTTGACACCGAGGTATCCGATCCGACAGGCATCTTTCCTCCCAACCATACTCGGTCAAAATCTAGAAGCCGAGCATCGTATGTCAATGCTTCGTTTTATGGTTCCTACCGAAAACCTGGACAGGGATCCGGAAACACAGGCATTGTTTAAGGATAGATATCCGTCTCTTCGAATCACCTACAGTGGCGACAAGAGTGTCGTGCTCTATGGTTGCCGGGAGTGAGTATTTTACTTCACATTCACGTACATCCGCATCCATGTGCTGATATCGAGAACAAAGAGACACCTTACTGAACGTAGGGATTCTTTTCCCTGTTACGTCTATCCAGGATGCTTCTGGTAAGGCTCCAAAATCTTGAAAATACCCTTGTTGTTGCACTCACCATGGCTCATTCAGGAAACGAAGAAACCGACAGCGATGTCGTGTATGATAAGGTTGTTGGCGGGTTTGCCCCAGCTATTTAGTCAATCTGCGTGTAATGTGACGATACCAAGGAATTTGAGGTACGGAAAAAAGCTAGTTATTTTCTTCAGCTATGGTCGAAGAGTCGGACAATGGCCCTTATACGTAAGAAAGCCACTGCAGACATACACTCAAGGTCGAGTTGTTGTGATTGGAGATGCTGCTCATCCCATGCCCCCAAGTCAGTGTTAAGTATTATACCAATTTTTCGTCCACTGACCGTTCCTGGTAGCTCGCGCCCAAGGGGCATCTATGGCAATCGAGGACGCAGCGGCTTTGGGCATCCTACTTTCAGACATGGACTCGAAGGACGATATCCCCGCTCGATTGAAGCAGTTTGATGAGCTTCGTGTACCTCGCGTCGCCGCTACGCAAATAATCTCCGCTATGCATCAACGGGATCCCTCCAAGGTTAAAGATGAGGAGAAACATTTTTTTAATGGCAGAATTGCGCATAAGTAATCAGTAGCAAATATTGCTCCGACAGTCTCTAATAGCCCATTTATAGAAACGCAGCTTGAACTCGAAGAATTCAGCTATGCTAACAATGTTATCCGCGACGCTTTCAACTTGAGGAGCCAGCACAAGTCTGAATAAGGGCCGTCAAGAGCAGAACGATGATGCTTGTTGAACCTGGGGCTTTTTTAGGAACATGGGTCTCCAGGCTACAAATTGATAGCAGAATGAATACTGAGAAACTTTGATGCTTGCTTTACAGTTGGCTATCGACTATGCTGGTTATCTTGATTATAATGTTGCAATGTTAAACGAAAGTCTTCCTCCTTATCCTCCTTCTCCTCCCCTGCCGCCACCTAGGCACCCGTAGCCGGTAGTGACCTCTACACGGGATATGGAGTCCCGATGGGGGCGGGCTGTCTTGTTACTATATTGAGTCGACTACAATCATCCAGCCCCCACACTCGATAAACATCCTTTGTAATTTCACAGACAATAGGTTACAACCATTAGCCAGCAATAAAGACATAACAATGACACGCATTCTGATCGTTTGCGTCGGCAGCATCGGTGCGGTTTATGCTGCCATTCTCACCCGTGCTGGCGCCGAACTCGTGTGTGTCTGCCGCTCAAACTACAATGAAGCAAAAGCGTCTGGCATACGAATCGAATCTCAGATTTTTGGCGATCAAATCATACGCCCAGCTATAGTGTCAACTATCGATGAAGCCGCTGGGCTCTCGGGCCAACCCTTCGACTATGTGTCCATCACCACTAAATCGTTTCCCGGAACGCAGCAGCAGAGCATCCAAAGGCTTACATCTGTACTCAACAATGATACCACTGTAATTGCGCTTCTCCAGAATGGTATAGGGATAGAAAAGGATTATCATCAAGAGCACCCTGGTACCTCAGTCATCTCCGGGGTGGTATATATACCGACATCCCGGACGTCCCCAACCTCAGTCAAGCACACTGAAACAGAAAATATGTTTCTGGCACAGTCCCCTTATAGATCCAACCATAATCACGCCGAGAAGTTGTCCGCCATTCTCCGAGCTGGCGGAGCGACTGTCAAGGATCGCCAAGATATTCAAGGAGAACGCTGGAAGAAGATAGTGGCTGATGGGACTTGGAATCCTCTCTGCGCACTATCTCGCTGTCGTGATTTACAACTGTTGGCAGCATCTCCACTGGCTTTCAAAGTTGTGCACGAGATAATGATAGAAGTTTGTGCTGTTGCTGCAGCATGCGGTTATTCCCAATATGCTAATGACGAGACGATTAAGTTTCAGATGAGTCGATCGCATATGATGCCTTACCCAGGTGTTGAGCCAAGTATGATGGCAGACATGCATGCTAGAAGGGATATGGAAGTGGAGGCAATTGCAGGAAGTATTATTCAATATGCCCAGGAACAGAATGTAAAAATACCAAGATTAGAAACTATATATATTTTATTAGTAGGGCAAAATAGTACTTTTTAAGGCTTAAGTAATATTACTGCTAAGTTTCTTTGTTTTCTCTACCTTGGTCTGTTTTAGTGTTTAAGATACGTTATAGATTAAGCACTTTATATATTTATAAGAGATATTTATTTTTCAACTTTTAACTATATATTCTGATTAATTACAAAGTTGTAAACAATACTTTCATAATTATACTAAAGAATTCACTTCGAATACTGCAGACCCTCTACTAAAAAGAAATATATATTCCTCATTATATATAAGCTTGATTCTTATATTGGCAGTGTGCTTCTAATTGACTCCTATCCTCCCCCTATGTCGTGTAACGGTTCACGCTTCTTAACACAGTGGGTAAGCTCTTCGCCGAATTGCGACCGTTATGTTACCCAAGAGCTTCTTGGGTATATGCTGACATCAATAGGTTCGATTCCACCTTCGTGGTGGTGAGATTCCGAAAAGTCAACGGAATAAGCTTAAGAGCGTGCGGTAGCGAAAGTTAAGGAGGGCCCTAGACCGGCAAGACTGTGTTAATAACTTGTCGATTGCCTTTTATTAATGTATCAATATCATATTGTTTTCTCGATCGAAAAACTCAGACATTCTCAGAGGCTTTACATTGTTGGGCTTCCGCTGGGAGACGTAAGTGCTTAAGTCACCCACCAGCGTAGAAAGCGCATCTCGAATGTCAGCTTCACTTCAAGTATGTAAAGGCACAAGTAAACCATCGTGTCCAACGCAATTCTTCGTCAATGTTTCCAGGGGAACAGCCAAGTGTTCTAAGAAGTTTGCCTTGGCAAGGATATTTCGGCAAATCCGATAGTTGGTGTTATGATTAGCACAGCCCATCGGGCAGTACTTGGCCTATTCGGATTCCCCATAGAGACTTTTTATAGGTCGACCGAGCTGAGTCTCGACCAGAATTACACCAAGGGCGAGAATATTAAAGACTGGATGTATCGGTTTGTTGCCAGAGCAAGGTTCGTCGCTTTTTCTACGTGGTTCCGCTTTGGCATGGCTGACGGCTTGTTGGAACTAAAAGCATGGCTTATCAATAAAGATTCCTGCTAGTTCCTTTTTATGAGTAGTCTTACGCTTCTTAAAGAGTAAGTGCAGGGTCTCATTGGTCCAAGGCTCGGTGATCTATGGCGAGCTGTAATACTGCCAGACCGTCTTTACCAAAAGCCAAGAAAGGACTTCCTCTCCCTTTTCCATCCATTGATGAGCAGGGGATCTTTCAAGAAATACTTGGTGTGGCAAGTTCCCACTGTCTTTGTAGCTCTTGTTGGTTTTGAAGTAAAACCGGTTGCCAATAATGGAGAGATGCACTACTCCCAGTCCTCACTTTAGCTTATTAGAAATACAACCACAGAAAAAAAAGCCAGAACCTCTTCCGATCTCCCAATCGATATCCTTTTGATTGGTGTCCGAGTTACTACCAGATACTTCGAACAATAAGCGATCCTATAGTACCTAGATGGCTTTCGGACCGCCTCTTCATTTTCGACTTCATTTGGAAGCCTATAGTGTATCCACTTTTTAGATGTCTGACTTTTTCACGGCGCAATGATGCTGCCAAGCCTGGGGCCCCTGATCTTACCCCGGATATTGATCAATACAAAGTTGCATGTGATCGGTTGAATAGATCCGAAAAGGGCCTTGGATTGGAATCCAGGTGGCGTGATAGCTAGATGATTCCCCTCTTCTGATTGCTGCGCATGTTCTCGTTTGCGCTGGGGTTCCGGGTCATTACCGGAATAACGAGCTTCTGAGTGGTCAGAATTCCGCAGGGCAGGGGATGGCTCTCCTTCGAAATAAATCACCCCATACGGGGTCTAAGCACCCTGCGAACTTCTCCACGGGGTAGACTAACTTACTCGGGCGTGCTTGAATCCGGGCTTTCCCCTTACCATATCATCAGGTGAAGTAACAATAAATAATCTGGCTAGTGGCAGTGGTGAACCGCAGCTGTACAGCCGAGCCAATGGTGATGCAATCAGTGTGTGAATTAGTCTAGTGACTGGTTTCCAGTGGTGTGGATTGCGGGGTATGGATCCGGGGCCAGACCAAATACTAACTGTGGCGCCGATATCTCTCTTACCATTCGTAGAGCGGCTCCGTGCTACACGGCAATCGGCAGGAGTCGACCATAGAAAGCTTATTAGTGGTGCAAATGTCAGAGGTTGGGTTTAGTGCTAACATATTTTCAACTATAAATGCTCCATTCCTCGCCGCCTATTCTGTCTGTACCCATGGAACAAAAGCATCATCTACCATGATTGCTCCCAAGACCTACCAGTTTCTTGTCGGCGTCTTCGCCTCGCTCGGATCATTCAACTATGGGTAAAATGCACAACACTAACGACGAGATAGCGCAGTAGCTAACGTTGATAGATATGATCTTGGCGTTATCGGAGGCAGTGTTGCTTCAAGTTCCTTCGTATCGTTATTTAACCCGAACGCAAATGAAGTGTGCGTATACTTGTCGAGACCATCTTCTATCTTACTCTTGCTGACCACCTCGCAGGGGTGCCGTCGTGTCCCTCTTTACTGGAGGTGGTTTCTTTGGAGCCTTCGCGGCTGGTCCCATGGGTGACTGGCTGGGCAGAAGACTGGCTATTATGATCGGTGCCATTATCTTCTGTATTGGTGGTGCCTTACAAGCAGCCGGTCAAAACCTGTCCTTCTTCTATGCTGGTCGAGCTGTTGGGGGTCTTGGTGTTGGCATTCTGGTCATGATCGTGCCTATGTACCAGGCCGAGATCGCGCACCCATCTATCCGAGGCCGAGTCACTGGTCTGCAGCAGTTGATGCTCGGTATTGGAGCCGTCTTCGCAAGTGAGTCAAGATTCGTACATCCTCAAAACCAGACGACTTATTTTACCCAGCATGGACCGTGTATGGCACCAACTTGCACTTCCACTCAAGCGAACAGTGGCGTATACCTCTTGGCCTTCAAATTATCCCTGCCGGCATCCTTGCTCTTATGATCTTACTCTTCCCAGAATCACCCCGATGGCTGATTGACCACGGCAGGGAGGAGGAGGGACTTAAGACTTTAGCCAGGCTTCATGCCAACGGGAATGAAAATGACCCTTGGGTTCAGGCCGAGTATCTCCAAATCCAGACTACTATTGCTCACGAGCACGAACTCGAAGCGAAGGGCTATCGGGACTTATTCACCGATCGTGCAAGCTTCCGCCGACTTTTCCTCGTCACCGCGCTGCAGGCTTCCGTCCAGATGACCGGTGTATCAGCCATCCAATACTTCACCCCGGATATCTATAAAGCCATGAACATTGACACCACAGATTCATTGAAATATCAGGCTATCAGCAACGTACTATCTGTTCTTGCTCAGCTCTGCACCGTGCTTTTCATTGATAAGCTTGGTCGTCGCTGGCCTTTAATTATCGGCAACGGTATCAACTGTATTTGCTTCGTTATTGTTACCGCAGCTCAAGCTAGTTTCCCTCACGCTTCGTCATCGATGCAGAACTCACTTGGCTGGCTTTTCATCGTCACCAACTGGTGCTATCAAGTCAGCTTCTCCTTCACCTGCGGCTCCCTCTCGTGGATCATTCCGGCCGAGGTATTTGACACAAAGACCCGTTCTAAGGGCATCTCCATCGGCGTCATGACCTCATTCGCTTTCAACACCATGATTGGACAGATTACGGCCCCGGCTATCAAGAATATCGGCTGGAGGTACTTCCTAGTGTTTGTGGTTTGTAATTTCACCAACGCCATCTTCTTCTGGGCTTTCATGCCAGAGACGAAGCTACTGCCGCTTGAAGAGATGAATATCTTGTTTTCGAGTACGTCTTGGTTTGTGCCCGGGACCTCACAGAAGCGTGCGAGTGACCTAGATGCCAGGGTTGAAGAGGCCAAGTTGCAGAAGGAGGGCTTAGAAGTAGGGCAGGTTGAGACTGTACGAGATTAACTTCTACATCGCTCTTGTTGTGCCTTGGCTAAAGATACGATGAAAGTTCGAAAGCCTAACCACTACATCATCGTTTGCATTTCTGGACGTAGTCTTTGCAAGACAGCTATATAGGTAGACGAGAATCAGACCAGTTTTGGACTCCCTGTAATGAAGAGCCCGCTTCAGAGCAGCTATTATTATGTATTAATTAAATTAACATTGGTCTTTAAAATGCTTTGATTAATAGACTTTGAGCCCCAAGCTTATTTATCAAATTGATACATTAAATACCTTTTCCAATTTTGTAACAGGAGATCTCGATCTGAAGTTATTCTTCATGTACATACTGATGTTTAGCTACGCAGCTAACTACTTACCTAACCTTACTCTGCCCTGCCGAAAATACTTCTTAAAGCATTGAATAGGTTCTAGTAGATCTACAATCTTCTGGAGTCTTTGCGAATTTGACGTTAGCTTCGCTAGCCTGAAGATGGACTAATACAATCAATAAAGAAATTCAGATAAAGGAGCCAGCAGGTCATCCGGTTCGCAATTAATACTTTTCTATATTACTCCTAGGAATCAGTCTCATTCTCGGACCTCTACTGGCGAGTAAGCATATTCAAGTACAGGATATCCTAGGGGTCGTCACGTTTACAGCCTGGATATGAACAAATAGAAACATTGAACTTCGTCCGCTCTGCAGAGTTCTATGGTCGCTTCTTATAAATGCATACTGATTTCTATGTTTTATATATATTCGCTCTAAATTCCTTGTAGTGTCTTATTTATATCCTCTAGCGTCTTCCTGACAAGTTGTGATATCGATCACGAGTCCACGCCATTTATTCACGCTGTCGCCACGGTGACGGCGAGCGGGAATCATAGGTGTCTCCTGACTGGTAGGCTCCTGGCTGGTAGGCCCCTGACTGGTAGGGTTGGTAATTATTGGTGTGTGTGTATCGTTGCTCATGAAGCAGTTCTTCGTCCATCGCAATGTTGTCGGTCGAGTTACCGGTTGATTGGATCTTGACATGCTTGGCTTCAGAATGTCGGCCGCGGTGAGTTCCGTTAGCACGGAAGTGCCTGAAGTCCAACCAAGTGATAACAGTCAGGTAAGAAGCGATTGTGCTAGAGTGGAATTCTGATTAGCCAGGCTCTATCCTTTGGATACTGTTGATATACCTCATGATTATACCGAGAACACAGACAATCCAGCTAAGTATGCAGGTAAAACCTTCGCAGAACTTTAGATTTGCTTGGATCATCATAAACGCGACTGCACCCCAGAACACGATCTCAAGTGCGTTGAGAATAACGTAGGCTTTGAGGCTGGACCATTTTTTAAATGCCTGTACGTGTTCCGATAACAGTTGATATAACAGAATGATAAGGGATTTTGCGCTCTGTCACCGAACTTGTTAGTCATTATGTTTACTATTGATCCAGTTTCTGCGTACCATTCCCAGTGCCATGGTAGTTGATCGACCCCTGGGGGCATTCTTTGGCTGCTTTAGCATTCGTACGACCGATAAGATAAGCACTGCAACGATCAAGAATAGCTCCATAAGATGAAGTGGCATTTTGAGACGGTTGCTAAAGATGCCAGCCATTGCTAATCTTTTATAGAAAAGAGATTTTAGGAGGGTTTAGAGGTTGTTCTGCGACAAATGACTGGAAGGGGTTGGCGACAGTTTTGCGACGAGTGATTGGGAGGTTGATTAACGATTCAATAATCGGAAGTTTGAAGTATTTAATTGATGTTATGAGCTGGTAAGGAAGGGCTTTAGAACTGGAGTTCTCCGTTCTTAAGGACAATTTCGATATCCTTTTTTTAGAACTAATTTACCAACTCTAACCTCAAACCTTAAATGAGCGTGCTTGCTGTAGATCGGTGCGCCAGCACTGAGGCTGATTGCGGTGTGTCGGTCTCGGTTTCGGCTTGGGCCTTAGTTTGGCCCGCCCAGGGCTCAATGCTCAAATGCCAGGTGAAACAGGGCCCAACTGCAATAACGCTAAATAATTGCACAGCCTTATGGGGCTACGGAGTATTATACGCGTCGTTATAGTCTGTATAATGTGAAGTTCCACGTAAAAACCTAGTACATACGCGTAAAGCATGAGTCTATTGAGTTTTAATATTACAGTACCTGGCTAATAATAGTAAATAGGTTAATTTTATGCATAGCCTGTGTAAACCCTACCTATATAATTTCTCAGACTTAATTGCTAAATGGAATACTCCCTACTTGTAAAGACCTTCTTAAGTGACAAGCAGTTAATATTGGATTTGAGTTGCAATAAGATACTTAGTATCTTAAAACACAACCACTTTTTAAGTAAGGCTTTAACACCTACCCAATAGTTATTCTAATAATTTCTTATATAATTTCTACTATCTTTCAGTATAAACTCTGACTATTCTTAGTCCTAATAATAATATACTGTTGTTAATAACCTCAGACGGATAGTTACACAACCAGTTAAAAATTGCGAGTATTCATTGTACTGGATTGCGGCAATCAGTAGAGTTAAATGGAACACATGGCCTACAACGGTAATAATAAGCTTGTTGAATGGAGACGTATCAGCTTGACTATAGTGAGCCAAGATGGATGTTTCAAGACATTTCCTTTATGGGGCTGTGCTTTAATAATAACGGGAAATTTAAGATAAGCTGGAAAGCGGGACCGAAACCGAGACCGAAATGTTCAAACCATAACGAAAAAGGTATAGAACGTGGCTTGCGCTAGAGCGAATCAACACCTTAATTACACACATCGCTGAAATGTATTAGCATGCTGGGTACACTATTGGTTAACGGATATATCCGTTTTCAATTAGATTCCAGACGGCTGATCTTGTATCCATGTATTTGGCTCGGGCTCAGATCTATTCCTGCCCCCAGAGACTGATATAGGAAATTGTTTTAGTCTAACAATATAACCAACCGTAGAGCGATTCCCACTGCAGGAGCAGAGTTTTCACAAAAATGTACTTGACCATTTTCGGATAAGACGCGACGCCTAAGTCCCGTGCAACTTAACAATGGTTAATACGATTAATCATCTAGATATTATATTGTTAAATATATAGTCTAAAATACCTACCTTTGTAAGTGTGAAGTCACCTTCTATTAAAGCGCAGTGGTAACCTTCTTCGTACACCAGCGCGCCTACCCTATACTGTTCTCAGTGGCAAAATATCATTTGTGTAGAATGACGTCAGACATTATACGGATCCGGTTTATTAATACAGATTAGTATATGTATTTAAAAAAGACCCTTACTTCAAGTTAGGACTGTCTGTTTCTATAGACAGCGCATTATAATAGTAATTTATCTAGAAAGATCTTGAAATTTTATACCATAGGAAATAGGAAAGAAAAAGATGTTTGTTAACAAGTGTGTGAAACCTATACAATACAATACTCAACTAAATGCCATTTTCCCACGTATCGTCGTTACTCTATGCCATGAAAATCTATACTGCCCTCCTTTGAGACACTCATTTCTATGTCAGGAACATGAAGCTACTAAAAACCTTCCATACGTATTGCTATGGATTATGAATCAGACCCTACTCTGTCTCTTATTACGTTCCTCGGTCATCTGAACAGGAGATGAAGATGAAGCACTTGTGTGATTTGGCGCCCTTGCCATTGCCGCCTTGTAATCCCTGAACTCGAACCAGGATATACCCGCTGCAAAAGACGATAGTTTACTAAAAGTGCAGCGAGTCAGTCGTTATCGATCTCGTCTTCCCCAGCGTGAAGCCACAAGTAGACGCAGAACTCGGCTATTATTATCAGGGGAGGCACTAACCACATGGCGATTCCCATTGCAAAAATTACCCATCCCAGAGCGCAAGTTACCCCATTGCATTGAGATGTGTTTGCTTGCATGGTAATAAAAACCACAGCGGACCAAAACACGATTTCAAGAATGTTAAGGATTAAGTTCGCCTTATAGCTCATCCACTTGCGTAAATACTTGGTGTGTTGGCTAAGGACCTGATAAAGAATGATAACAATCGATTTGGCGGCCTTGTTACATATTAGGAAATACTGACAAGGGTACTAGGTGTTGATTACATACCATGCCAAGAGCCATGCTGCCAGATCTAGTTCTCGGGGCATTTCGATTGCGGAGTACAAGGCGTACTAGGCCAAGGATCAAGACTGCTAGGGATACAATTATACCGACAATATGTATCGGTAGTTTGAATTGAGGTTGGAAGACCCGTCTAAGGAAGCTGGTCCTGACAATCGTTGTTTGCGCCATCATATTTATTCTTGGGAAGATGGATTTGAATGAAGTATTAAGGGGAATAGGTAGAGGTAGGTAGATTGATAGTAAAGAAAATGGTAGAATAAACCCTGACCTGGTTGTGAAAAGCAGTTGCTTTATAGATTGGAAAATCACTTATTAGTAGTAAAAGGTTATCTTTTTAGTGTCTGTATAGTGCAGTGATATCAGCTGTATAATCACGTATTGAATTCATCTCAGCGGTTGTTTCGGCTCGGCAGTTGAGTTAACTTGAGTGTAATGCTTCATCCGCGTCAGCCCTAAGCCTCAGAGTCTTGCTCGGTTTCGCTCTGCAGCTCAAACGCCCTGAGATGCGACCTTTTAAGGAAAGTGGACAGGGGACACGGTAGATCATTAGCCAACTAAAACGCATTGGGCACTTAATGGATAGATACGCGTATATATAAGCATGTCTCAAACGTAGCAGGCTAACTCAAGTGCTTCGAATCGGGAATTAAAGTTGGCTTTTTACTTAATAGATGTTAAGGTCGAGAATGCCTGAGATCAAGATTCAGACTACTATAACTAGGTACAGCCCACGTAGCATGTCACGTAATTAGGGGCCATAATCAATCAGACCTCGGTTTCGGGGTCGGTCCCGGTCTCGGTCTCGGTCTCGGTTCCGGTAACCCGGGGTCATCCAGCAGGCCGCAGCAACAATCGTATAAGGAAGCCCGAGGAAGATCTTATGACAATAAAAGGCCCCTAACCTTTGGCGTTTTTAAGCTTATCTACTAAGTTTCACCACCGATATTACGACAATGACAGCCGACAGCACAACGACACCCAATGGATCTCAAGACACAGAAAGCACAATCATGGCGAGCGAAAATGGCAATGAAAACGACCATCGTTTCATAGTAGGATGGGAAGATCCCGTTGATAAAGATCCCGAAAATCCTATGAACTGGTCAAGTGGACGCAAATGGGGTATTATTGGAATTCTTTCCTTTCTTACCTTTTTGACGTAAGTGAGTACAGAAATATTGCAGATACCATACTGACTTGTCTGTAGTCCTCTAGCATCTTCAATGATGGCACCGGGCGTGCCCGAAATCATGGCCGAGTTCAACGAGTCCAGTACCGAAGCATCAACGTTCGTTGTTTCGATTTTTGTCCTCGGGTTTGCATTTGGGCCACTGTTAATGGCCCCATTGAGCGAAATATACGGCCGGACACCTGTATACCACGTATGCAACTCCTTGTTCGTCTTGTTCATGGTCGGTTGCGCCCTTTCTGAGAACGTAGGAATGTTAATGGCATTCCGCTTCTTATCTGGCTTTGTCGGCGTTGCAGTGGTTACATGCGGGAGCGGCTCGATAGCAGATATGGTGCCCGCAGAGCAGCGAGGTGGAGCCATGGCAGTTTGGTCCATAGGCCCAATGTTAGGTCCTGTCGTTGGCCCAGTATGCGCTGGATTCCTGGTGGAGGCAAAAGGTTGGAGATGGGTGTTTTGGGTCACGACCATTGTGGTGAGTTACGACTCCTGTACCATTGACCGGGAAGATGTGTTCATTGATGATTAACCTGCATCTTTAGGCCGGAGCCGCTGTTTTGGCATCATTCCTAGTCATCCGTGAAACATATGCCCCAGTCCTACTCGAACGAAAAGCGGCCAAGTTACGCAAGACAACCGGCAATGACAATTACCATTCGACAGACACACAACAGACACCACGAGAGGTGTTCCTAGCTACTATTACTCGGCCGGTCAGAATGTTCATTTTTTCGCCAATTGTAATGATCGTCTGCATATACATTGCGACACTTTACGGAATGCTCTACCTACTCTTCACAACATTTACGTTTGTATACCAGGACATATACGGATTCAGCTCTATCGGAGCAGGCCTTTCCTTCATTGCTGGCGGAGTGGGTAACTTGCTCGGTTTATTTTTCGTTGGCTTTTTCTCCGACAGGCTGATAAGAAAGGCTAAACTTGAGGGGACCCCAGTCTCAGCCGAGCAACGACTTGACTTGAGACTGACCGTTCCAACTGCATTGTGTCTTCCGATTGGTCTGATAATATACGGATGGACAGCTGAAGAGCGGCTTCATTGGATCGTTCCCATGATAGGAACATCAATCCTCGGGTTTGGCATGATTGGCATCTTTATGATATCTCAAACATATCTTGTGGATGCATTCACAAAGTATGCAGCTTCGGTCACTGCAGCTAATGCTGTGTTGCGAAGTTTGCTAGGGGCCCTTCTACCCCTGGGTGGACTGGAGCTTTACAACGAGCTTGGTTTGGGATGGGGAAATACGTTACTTGGATTCATAGCCCTGGCACTTGCCCCTGTTCCGTGGCTGCTGTGTAAATTTGGAAAAGGAATCAGGACCAGCTCCAAGTTCCGAACTGAGTTCTAGTCTATTAGCAGTATTTCTAACTTATCCTTCATAATAGGCTGTTTTAATTATAATTAGAGTATTAAAATTCACGCATTGTAGCCACAACCTAAACCTTGGCCATGTAGGTATAATATTAATTTCTTTAAGTATATGGCAGTCCAAATTCATATCGTGGTATTAACAGTATAAAACTCAAGCGATAGCAATATTCATACCAACAATAAAAAGAGGGCTCTTTAGTCAACCTTAGGTTATTGGGAACTAGTTCCTACGGATAAGTGCTGAAAATTTAACTAGGGCCTGCAATATCTACCTTGTTAAGACACAATCGGCCACGTAAGGTTATTTATGCTGTGGAGATACCTCGAGGTATAAGAACAAGAAATCTCCGTTTTTAATACTCCTGTTCATAGTAAGCAATGTAAAGAGATGGGAAGATTAGAAACTATTAATATGTCTCTGAGATTAAAAATACTAGACGAGCCGCTGAAAACATGTCCCAATTTAGTACAAGTTCTTTCTGGTTAGGAGTATTCCCTTTATACACTGAGCTAAATGCTATTTGCCCCAGTAATCTCCTAACGGCTTTAAATTTCAAAGACCCCAAGAAGGTTGCGCCTGGATTACAACCTAATTCCTAAGCAGATAGGCTTGCAGATAGCCCCGAAAAGAATCAGTAAAGCCCAGGTCAGGAGAAACAAGCATCGGCCTAAGTATAAGAAAGCAATAAATCCTCTGGCAATCCATGAGCCTAACCTTGTTGGCATAACCAGCCTAGCTAAGTCTGGATTCTCCTCGATTAAGTAATATTGCGTCTGGGGGGTTGTTTCGCGTTGGCTTTTTATCCGTCGTGACCCTGATGTGATTAATTCTGAAAAAGGTGGCATAATAAGGTGATCCAGGGCATCTTCCACTACCTGCAAAGTATTACACGCTCCATGCCCTCGGTCTTCTTTGTATTTCTACTCGCAAGTGGGCGATAGTAGAAACGTCTTGTAATGCTCTATGTTCTACCTATTTCGTCGATCCTGTTGTTTAGTGTGGAGTGGGTGTTTCGATACCTCCTTCAGCCTTCGCGTTCGACTCGCGTTCGACTCGCGTTCCATTGTAATACTTCTGCTCTCGCATACGAGACAAGACGCGAACTACGAATACATACGGTAAAATTGGCCACCAGTTATGTGCCATCTGCCTTGAACCCCAACTGTATCAAAGGGTCCCATTGCTCTACGAACAGTGCTTTTTAAATCGCAATGGCTTCTCGAAGACCGGGTCCGAGCTGCAGCACTCGCCATTAGAGAGTTATCAGAATGACATTCGAGCCGCCTGGCCAAAACGAGAGTCACCCCGCTGACAGAAAGCAAAGACAGTTGCGATACGTGCAAGAAAAGACATGTCAAGTGTGGCGAGGTCCGTTCAAGATGCGCCAAGTGTACCTTTGTGAACCGAATCCGCTCGTATGCAGCCGCGCCAGGCCCAGGCCAGGGCCAAGGGACTGACCAAGCTGGACTGAAGATGGACTTCACAAACAGTTCCAGCAACAACAGCCCAGCGGGGACTCCCTTGTCTACCGTTTTGCTTGTTGCGGTGGTGGAAAGTGCTCTGAATAACACGCGTGTGGCGCCCTATGTCCTCGATCAATTGCTTGCTCTGAGTGCTCCTTACCTATCTACCACAGCGCAGGTAAGCCAGGATCTTTGCCTCCGGTACGCCACCGAACTACAGACACGGGAATTGGGCCATTTCTTCAAAACCCGTGAGAATTCCAGCGAGACAAACTTCATACCCGCCTTCCTTTTCACCTCCTTTCTCAGGGTTCACGTCCTATACAATACTTTTGGAGACCATCTGGAGAATCTAGGCGAGCTCGCTAGCACGTTTGTAGAATATGCGCGAGTTCACCTGGGAATCCGCACCGTGACGGCCGATTACTGGCCCTAGATTCTTGCCTTGAGTTTGGCCTTCCTTCTAAGTATTGTGGAGAATGGCAATGAAACCGACCACCTGGAAGCCGGTATCAAGACTATTGGGTTGCGTAAATAGTTAGAAAGACTGTCAGATTCCTTGAGACTGTCGGTTACTGCGTCCATTGACGCTCTGTAGCGGATGCAACTGGTTTATCTTGCAAACCACGATGCTCAAAGCTCCAGGAACAGAATCCAGGTCGCCCTAGTCTGGCCGGTCATCATTCTAGACGATTACATCGCTGCGTTATATCTACGCTATCCTGAGGCACTGGCAGTCTTTGCTAGGTGTTTGATTCTTAAATAATATGCTTTTGCGTTATAATAACAAGCAAGCAGAATAGAAAGATAATAATGATGTGCAGATTCGGACGAAAGTCTCCAACTCGCATGATTCATAATCAAGTCTAATAATGTACAAGCATACGGGGAATGGCAAGTTGTCCTCCCCATGCCTTCAGTTTTCAGCGTAAAGCATTCCGCTGTTCAAATCATACTGCCACTTGTCACTACCAACGCCCGAAAGTACGTAGAGACTGTTGGTACGGTTATAATACTGCTTGACCTTAAGAAGACGACCATCGCTTGACCATAGAAGTCTTTAATGTTTTTATTAAAAGGGTTTGGTTTGTTGATGTAGGAGTCAGAAAGTTTAGGCTCTTAGAAGTGGTTATGTAGAATCTCTCTTCCAATGTATTATCGGTTCATCGCATGGCTATTCCATAGCCTTAGACTAACGCCTGCCAGCTTTTGCTAACCTATTGATTCCGGTCTCTCTGTAGTCATTGATGCCATACTCCCAATCGTTTCTATCGACCATTTAACATATTCCTCCCAAGGTGAACCAGCAACACTCGCAACAATAGGTTTCATCAAAACACTTGCCCAGCCCTCAAAATACCAACATTTCGTCTCACCAGATTGTAGAAGGACGCAGTAGTACGATATCACAACCATCGCCGAAGGATCTTTATTCCGTAATAAAGTGAGGAATGTGCTCGGAACCCTCATAGGCCAGCCGAAAATGACTCTCTGCTCTAGGAACGACCTGGACGTCTTATTGCTTCCAGCGATTTCAATACTTTCTTCAAGGAAACCCAATGTCTCCATAAGAGTCGTCCGTTTATCCTCATCAACGTCAGGCTTCTGCTCATTAAGAAATTTTGAAAGCTCTTTCAATTGAGGCATTAATCCTGCGAGATAACTTGACGGGGTTGCTGGTTCGCAGTCGCATCCAGCCATGAGCTTTCCTAAAGGCCCTTTCCGGATATCCTCCTCTGAGGAACGGAGGATGGTGTTCATACCACGGGCAAGAATAAAAATATCTACAAGACTGTCGATGGCTTGGAAGGTATTGTACCTATCACAGCTAGGCAACATCCCGAAAGCGCTAATAGCCAAGAATATTGAGGTCCCGTAAAGTGTGTGACATGCTTCTGGGTCCCACGATTTGGCTAACATCGAGTTCATGGTGCTGATAGCCACACCCTGATGCTGTGAAGCCTGGATGAGGTATTTGTGACGGCACTCCGGGCTCAAATATGCGAGATGAAGTGCTGAAAATGCTAGTATCTGGTGTAGTAAAAAGGGCTGGGTAAGTCCCTCGTGCGGAATATCATTCTGTAGGACCTCTGTGTCATGATGACATGGTGTATGGAGAGTTCGATAACCTTGAGCTGTATAGTGGTGCATAAGCTCCATATCAAGTATCCAGTCTTGGTTATTTGAATGCACCGGTGGTCCATACTGGACGTGACTAAAGTATGAAAACAGGCCAGCTGTAGGTGATGGGGAAGGATGGCCTATGCCAGGTTCCGAAGGCGAGGTGGAAGAACAAAGTTGCTGCGAAAGTGATTAGAATATTACTCTGAAGATAAGTCAGATAAAACATCGACGTACTTCTCTTCTAGATAATGCTCGAGAATTATTCCTTCTCGGCAATTCAGTGGAAGCTGCATGAGGTGAGTCAAGGCTACACGGCACTGCATGTCTGATGCATGCCGAACAAGGGGCGTTCTCGTCACACTACACCCAGCAAACCGATCAACATGTTGCACGTCATACCCAGCGCGTTACGAACCTTCACTCTTCTCTGCTTACACCGTACGCAGCCCTTTCGTGACTTCCGATAGCCGAGTCTTTTCATGGTTTCAGGAGATAGATGGTGTAATGCCGAGCAAGCAAGCGAAAACGAAGGTGAAAGGGCAATTGCAGCGTTGGCGGTCTCTCAACATGGCCTATCCAGTCTCATAAAAGACCAGTTTGCAACGAGGCTGAGCTGTCTTGACAACTTGCATCTCAGGCTAGTCGTTGAATGTCAAGAAAAGCCACGGTCGAGTGACGCGGTTGGAAATTCCATAACTTGACGCTTGGGCCAGGGCATCCCTGAATTGTCTCCACTAAGTCGTGAAGGTGGCAGGTAGACCAATCATAGCATGATACGAGAACGAGCGGCTTGTTCCGAAGGCTGTGCAAGGCCTGTGGTGGTGATTTCAGAGCAAAGCTTATCTATTCGATCCTAGTCAACTTTTAATGGACGCCATTCTGTCCAATCATACCAAGATCCGATAACGAGGATACTCCGTTCTAAGGGCTGAGCTTACTTTAGCATTGCGAAAATAACAGCCGAAATGAAGCACTTGCTGTATTTTTAAGTGCTAGAACGCAGATTTAAGCATATTTGTTCAAAACAGCCAATTGAACGGGATCAATGCAAGGGGTAGATAGTTTGTATCCGCTAGTAGATTGATATGACTTTTGTTGAAGAAACCACCATGCACTCGTTTTCGTTTTTCGGTCCCATTCATTGGTCCCGAGCACTAGTTGTATGAATATCCAGGACTATAAGACCTGACTGTTGGAACCGATTAAGGATAATATCACACATCAGGAAACAAGCCATCATACAACAAGACAAACACTACGATCCCCCAAACCCTCAGACATTATAAAACTACCACTCACCACAAAATGGCCAATGATCATTATAAATACGAGCCTTCCATGGCCGCGGCAGTCATCTTTACCGTATGCTTCTCATTATCTGGCCTTTATCACACTTGGCAGGTCGCAAGGTTGCGGTCTTGGTACTTTATTCCATTCATTCTCGGTTGCGCTGGTAGGTTCTCGCCTTGCATTGTTTCCTATGGCGCGAAGAAACATGTCTAATCTTGAGTTAAATAGTCGAGGCAATTGGATACGCAGCCAGAGCCGTCAATGCAGGACAAGACTTTGGACAGTGGACTCAGGGGCCGTATATTATCCAAGCGCTTTTACTTCTTCTTGGTCCGCCCTTTTTTGCCGCTTCCATCTACATGGTTCTGGGACGTCTAATCAGGCTTCTCCAAGCTGATCGATACTCGGTCATTAGGCTGAAGTGGTTGACAAAGTTGTTCCTGCTTGGTGACATCGCTTCTATTCTTTTACAGGGCATGGGTAAGTTGACCTACCATTTGAACACCACGTTTCTTACCGAGTACAAAATTAACATTTCCAAGGCGGTGGTATGCTAGCAGGTGCCGACAGTGCTTCCCAACGCGATAGGGGTCAACTTGTCATCATCATTGGTCTTTTTATCCAACTCATTTTCTTCGGCGTCTTCATAATTGTCGCCATAATCTTCCATCGGCGAATCGTTCGGGACCCTACTACCGCAAGCCTCCAGATCAACACACCATGGAAGACTCTTCTTCTTATCTTATACGTATCTAGCGGTCTCATCATGGTCAGGTCAATCTTCCGAGTCATCGAGTACATCGTAGGCCCGGATGGAGAGCTCATGGCTAAAGAGGCTTATATCTATGTCTTTGATGCCACTCTGATGTTGGCTGTTAGCGTTTGTTTCAACGTGTTCCATCCATCTGCAATCATCAACAGTCAGAGCATGCAGAGAGTTAAGAATTCGGACTCGGAGAATCAGCTTACAACTCACAACCGAATGGAAAGTGTCTAGAGCTTCACACGCATCGCAGACTGGTGGCGCGTGTTATATATATGTCAATCCATCGGCGGTGCACTATAATATGGGGTAAGGTACATGGATAGGGTGCTTAGAGATGCTGCTTGGTCAAGTGAGATATCTTTTCTATGTTATAGCTTATGTATAGAGTTTCTTTTTCATCTTTCTTGTTTAGAGTCTGTTTTGTATGTCTGTCATTTTAGCTTATCTATATTTATGTCATATTACTTCTTTCAATAACCTTTTCGAATTCATAATAGGGTTGAACACCCGTGGACTTGTAGTCATCCAGGTATCCGCAGAAGTTCCTAAAGAATTTACGTCCGTCCTCCTTTGACTCTGGAGTCGAATGTATATTGACTACTAGATTTCTAGTGTCGCTGGCATTTTCGAAACGGTGAAAGCCACCAGCCTTGACAGAGGCAGTACTTTAGATATCTAGATCGTCAGATAGAACCGCAAACGGGTTTGGAGTTAAGCCGCGGTAGACTGAACGCGGAGGAATTCATCATGGTAGATGTGATAGTGGAACGGCAGAGCGATGATAGAAACGCCGTTCTTTTGGTCTGTTAGCGGGATCCAGTGATTTCGTGCTTTAGAAGAAAAGTGTTGTACAGATTCTACATCTAGCCAGGTTTTTCCCTGATAAGCCTTGCGTGTAGAAGCGAGGAACTGATCTCTGTATTGTTATCCCACCTGGGTCTGGCTAAATATCAATTAAATCAAAATCCTAATCATTAGTGCACCAGATCTTCACGGGATCCTTGTGGCTCCCGAGATGTTTCCGGCCTCTCTAGGGACCGCATTTCTAAGTCGACCTTGACATAAATCTTCTTACTCGACGATCCCTCAACATCATCGAGCTGCTCCCAATTATCTTCCAATTCGTTTCTGTAAGTTTGGCGTGCGACTGATACTGATTGGGATGTAATAACAGCTCGACTGTTCCCAGAAAATGGCGTAATGTGAGCCGGAGAGCTTCCTGTTGATGTGTCGAAATGGAAACGAGAGCTGACAAGTTTGCGTAGTGAAGGTAGTGAACCGGCGACTATTCCAATCCCTGATTCAAGAGTGGACCAGAGCATGATATATGCAACATTATCTAGTTTTGTTAGTATGGGAACAGAATGGCAGATTCAGATTGCGGCTTATATAAGTAATTATGAGGATGGGAGAAAGCTTTCAAGTACGGCAGTCGAATGATGGTACAGAGCGACGCCCTGTTGACAAGGTCAGTGATGCATATCGATAACTGAATGAAGTTCTTACAAAGCGGCCAAGCCAAGAATGATACTGACAGAAACCTTAGTCGCCTTCCTTATGGTGGATTTATATAACATGAAAATAGGTAGAATAGCGCAGATCCAATCGGATACCACCGCGCCTATCGATGCAACATAGGCAGTACTCATTAAATACGGTATCGAACATTTGCCGCGATTATCCCAGTTGGCAGAAATCGGGGTGCATCCAATATAGCCGCTAATAAAGTTGTAGAGTATGGTCACTATAGTGAAGATGATAGTGGCCCGGATAATTCTCCGATGGACCTCCGTGACGGCAATTCGTAGTAGAGTGACGTAAATGGAGCATTTGAGAGGGATTAATGATAGGCAATATAATGTTTGGCCGATCCAAAACCACTGTGTGCATTGATTAGCGGGTACTAAGATATTAGTTTCTCTGGAGAATACCTTGCGTCCGTCAACTCGTAGAAACGCGTTTAAATCTTCGTCCTTCATTTCCAAGCCGGCATAAATCGTTTTTACGCCAGTCCCAGTAAAAGCAACGTGGAGTAGCTTGCATCTTGTTAACGCCAAGTCCCTTGTATCATTAATTGTCACGACTTACCCAGCCGAATAGCATAAGACCGTCATCAATGCCAAAGATGCGACGCTTCAATCGAATGTAACATCGCAGAATAATAACAATTGCTGTCGGAATGAGGAAGAAGATAGAGACGCCTAGCAGAATAAGCCCCAGACCCTTAGGGCCCACTGACCTCGCGCTTTCATCAAGCATAACAGGCGGTGCGATACTGATGAACCTACATTCGCAAGCGCAGAGAGAGACAAAATACCTACCATTACGACAGCGCAGGGTCGGCATTTTGAAAGCCGTCTCTCCTTTTTCAAGACAGCTCCATACGTCGGGTTTAGCAGAGCTGGCGCCAATCCCCGCGTTTCGACTCCCCACCTTGACATCTTTTAGACTCTGAGTCTAGTGAACCTTATCGAAGCTGGACCATTGACATCGCACGGAAAAAACCTGGAGCAGGGGCACTGACTCGTAGCTCGATTGACGGGTTCACGCCAGCGCTTGCAAAGACCGCATTGAGGCAAGGCATCGATATGGCAGTCAACCATGAGCTCACTTAATCTTTTTGGTGGGAGCTTCCGCGCAGATCCACAAACCTCTAGGTGAAGTGAACTGTTCATCTTGTTTGACGCTTAATTGTGTGAACGCTCCAAGAAAAAAACGGGGTTGAGTTGGGGTGAAGCCAGTCAAGGATTCCCTGTTTCCCGTTGCGGTCAGCCGCTGTGGTCCGTGGATAATGAATCAAACCCGGATTCTAGACGGAGTTAATCGGATGAGTCTCAGGAAAGGTAACAGATATCCAGATCGTATTGGTCAGAGCGTGCATTGCGAGCCGTCCCTAATTTTCTGCCAAGGGTCGTGAAAGTTGATGATGAGATTTTTCCCAATAGATAACGATTTGTGTTGGGTACGCGTCCTATTTCAACAGTGAAAAGATAACTTAAAGCACCAATTGCTCAGTGCAACCTTGGTCAGGGGTAAGCCCAGGGGTCCATGCACAGTAGATTACTGCGCTAATTACAGTAGCTCCTCTGGGGCCGAACGCACTATTCCCGATAGCTGCATTTAGCAAGAAGCCTCCATACCTGTCCTGGCACTTGTTACCGACTGATCAGCGTCCATGCCAGACGACAACCTTCCGAAAACTAATCGAGACTGACTATCGTTAAGCCACTAGCTTTGAGCTGGGGATCGAAGCCAGGAACGCGATTCCACACATCCGGTACGTTACCTTTTCACAAAGCCTTTGTATGGAGCTTCGCTCGAAATACACAGGAGTTGGCAATTTCCATAACAGCCTGGTCCCTGGAATCATCGCTAGGACCCATTTCCGATGTTCCCGCTGTTCGTATGACAGCGTATTATATGACTTCTTGACCAACCAGCCTGCCAGGCTGTTCCGCCCATGTAACGGCTTGATGCTTTGTGCTTATCTGGAACGAACTGGCTACTCTTTCCAGCTAACAATCTGCAGCCAGACTAGTTTGTTAGTAACAGTCATCTAGAAGAAACGTAAATGTACGTAATACCTATTATTTTCGGGAATATTGACCCACAGTGCTGACCAATTCCAATAAGGGAGTTTCCAATTTTCAAGCAGGAATAGCACACACGGAAATTACAGTCAGCAATTTAAGTCGGTTTTTGTTCTTTTATTTAATTAAGATACATTTTTTATATTACGTTCTCTACTCAAGGGCTAGAATGTTACTTAAATCATCAGATGTGGGCCCCAGTGACGTCGTATACGCCCTGTCCACCTACATGTAGGCGACAAAGGTGTTCTAGAACCCACAAATAGTACAAGATTACCGTAAACAGAGTTGTTAAAGGGACGGTAAGTATTAGCGTTGACTTCCTATGTCTGCAACTACCTAAGACCCTATATCATACGTATTGTTAGAAAGCCCAAACCCCTGTTGTCGATCAGCCCTGGCGCTTGTGGTCGGCAGCAGAGACTAGAAAATGACTAATATTAGTCGATCGACTAGGAAGAATGAAGTTACAAGTATTTGTATATGTTTATGTTTACTATTAAATATCCCTGATCTATTTATGAATGTCTTATTAAGTTCTTTTGACTCTTGTATGCTGATCTTATGATGATACAGCCTGACGTCCCGGAGAGGCATTAGAGGCAGTGTGGAAACCCATAAATAATGAATTTGCGACTGATAGACAACAGAAATATCTTAGTTCAAGTTGTTACTAGCGCGGGAGAAGAATGTAATTGATGGAGAGGAGCATTGCAGACATATGTGTTTAACTGACAGGATCGTAGGTTAGTAGCTACCCTATGTCTCGAGACGCGCCCAAGTGCTATTGACTACAAGCCAGCATAACATACAAAGATATTAACTGTCGTTATCTAATCGATTATAGTAATTCATATCAATAGACGACTTGAGAAACTAAACAACAAGTTAATGTATAAATGGGCATTTTTAATTAGTTAGTTAATTCTTTTACCGGAAGACTCTTGTACATCACCTCTGTGCCTCTGACCTAAAGTTAGTGTAAAGATTCTAGATATTAGTGGACATCGCCGAAGAACAACTGTGTCGGACTAGTAATTCCGGTTAAGCTAATGGAAAGCTACTTATTGAGAGAGATTACGGATTTGAATTGATTAATTAGTCTGTTACCTTTGTTTTAGCAATTCGTTACATTTACACTGGGCCCGGTGTGTGTAACAGCGGTCTTACACCTGGATATACCCGCTGGGTTGAGTTCATCTACGCCCCCACCTCTAAAAAGAGGCAGCGGGGCAGCGTGGATACCGAAGTCCGCGGGTATTATGTCATTTATGCCAGTAGATTACTTATCTGTCCAGATCGGGTTTAGCGATTACGGGACACTTAAGTCATAAGCCGACGCGGAGGGTTTAAAATATACCTAACCATCCGATTAATATATGCAGACCACCTTGTATGGAGCTTGCTTTCTTCAAGGGGTATTAATGTGTTTACAAATCCGTTAGAGGGGATTACCAGATTAGCCACTATGAAAGTATAATAATTATAGCAAGTTAGCCATAATAAGGAATATTAATTACTAATCGCAAACAAGTCTAAAGCCAGAACCACCAATACTTCATCCAGCTCTGTAAGAATAGGTACAAGGAGAAAGTAAAATAAATTGATTATTAATTGAATCACTTACTATATAACATATGAAAATCATCTCTCTTGGTTCTAGGTGTTAGTGTTACAATCAGTAACTTACAACACTCTATTCTCTCTTACAAACACACACGATGTCATCTAAAATTGCCGATACTCCCCTTGTCTTCGTTGTAGGAGGCACAGGGGCGCAAGGAATTCCTGTCATTGAAGCTCTTGTTAAAGATGGCGCATATAAAGTCCGCTTCCTCACCCGCGACCCTAACTCTACAAGGGCAAAGCGACTCACCCTTCTCAACAATGTTGAGCCCGTCGTTGGGACCTTTGCAAGCGAGAATGACCTCCGAAAGGGATTTCGCGGCGCCCAGTACGCTTTCATTAATATCGACGGCTTTAACAGCGGAGAAAAGACAGAGATGTTTTGGGCCACGAGGGCTTACGAGCTCGCCCTAGAGGAGGGCATTAGATTCTTTGTGTATGGCAATCTTGATTTTGTCTACAAGAAGAGTGGATATGACCCCAAGTTTCGAACTGGCCATTACGATGGGAAGGGGCGGGTAGCTGAGTGGATTCTTCACCAGAACAAGTCTCCAATCTCTGCGGCGAGGATGGGTGCTGCAATCTTTACCACAGGTCCGTACATTGCTATGTCGATTGCAAGTGGCACCCCCATGAGTCCCACAGTTGAGGACGGTGTGGTGACTTGGCGCGTACCTTTGGGCGATGGTGCTGTTTGCCACGTCGACTTGGATGATTGTGGTTACTATGTCCGCTGGCTTTTTGATCATCAGGATCGAGCCAATGGAATGGATCTTGAGGTTGGCATTGACTTGATCGACTACAACACCTTGGCCAATGCCTTCGAGGTGGTCACTGGACATCCTGCAAGGTTTATCGACACCGACCTAGAAACGTATTGGACTTCAGGGCCGTTTGGAAATGGGACCATGAGTAGCGGCTACAACTCCGACCTTAACGATCCGGCTGCTATGACTATGCGACAGAACTTCACCGGCTTTTGGAACATGTGGAAGGGTTCCGGAGGCAATAAAGGAGTTATCCAGCGGGACTTGAAGCTCCTCGATGAGATCTTCCCTGCAAGAACCAAGTCTGCAGAGGAGTGGTTTAAAAAGGAGGAAGCAAAGGGCATTGCGCAGGGACTAGGAAGCCTATGGGAGCGCGTGAATAACCTGAAGCCAGTGTTGAAGATTGCTGAAGATGGACGGAGAGGTAAACTGTAATATAAGAGGACTGTGTTGTTATGGTTGTCGGCCGGTTTATTTAATAGTAGTTAATCTGCTCAAGTGTGATAAGTTACGTGTTGTTTTTATTAGCTATAGATTATTTCGTCTTCTTAAAACCTTGAATCTCCTACTCATAAATGGACTTCTTCAACGTGTCTTTAGTGGAGGAATGATGTGAAATCCATACTTACATTAAGGAGTTACTTTAATTGGTCTTACAGGAAAGAAACAGGAGTGATTCCCGTTGGATAATTGTTTATTGCGGGGTACAAAACTCTTGCCAATTCACCAATTATGGGTCATACAAGCGAGGGGAGATGATCCTATTGGATAGCATAAAGCCATCCCTTCAGCGGTAAGACGGAGATCCGGAGGGAGTCAATTCCTGCTGCCTTGCTTACATATCGCTCATATTTCATTCAGACTCTGCATCTCTGCTAACCTGTATTTCTGGTCTGACAATTCTATTACAAATGCTTGAACTCCACAGTACTCACATCTGCTTACAACTACATGGTCCATATCGATATATTTAGTAAAGACAATTCCCTTAACTTTCCTATCCTACTTTCCTTTTGTTTAGTTCAATTTCATCTCTTCAACAAGCTACATTCCTGTTACAATTTCAATTAAAGACCTTGCCTCTAGTATCTTACTACCGACCATTTGGAATGGATAATCACCCAAATGTGGAGGAGCTCTTAAGACGCAATGCGTAAGATTTCTCAAGAAGAGTACTTTATAAGAGTAAACTAACTACTAGTAGTAAGAGAGTACAAACCTTTGAACCTATTCCTTATTTGAGCGAACTAGATCAGCTGCCTCCTGAGAAGAAAGTGCCGATGCCTAAAATATTTATTGGTAGAAAACATTGATGTCCCATTCTGGTTTAAATAATGCTAATGTGAATCTCTGACGGCTAGTCTCATGTTGCGACCCTCGTATCGATCCTTGGGATATTCTAGGGCTACAAAAATGGGGTATTTCTCTTTTCTTCTTGTTCTACACTCTTCCATAAGGTTGATTATAATTGAATACTAACTTTTGAGTAGACGCTGTTGTTACTCGCGGTGCTGCTGGCCGTATAGCTCACCAATTCAATAATTTGCTCTTTCTCGATCATGTCCTGCAATTCACAGATGTTATGATTATTCATCACACAGGTAATTTACTTTCTCAATTCTTATTATATACCGATTGAGCTTTTGTGTAACTAAATGTACGATAAAGACTGCTCAGCCGAACTTTTCAGCAACGAAGAGGTCTATCAGGAATTGAAAAGGCGCGCACCTCATGCGAACGATCAGATCAAAGACATTACACTTCCTGGATATAAAGAGTAAGTAGTGTTTCCTTCGAAATACCTGATTTTGCGTTTTAACCGATTTTTTAGACTTGAGAAAAGCGTCCAAGAGGACGTTGAACTTGTTAAAGCCTCCCCACTTGTTCGAAAAGAGCTTGCCGATCGAACTCGAGGCTTTATATATGATATTAAAACGGGGGAGGTTAAGCCTGTTGGTGTAGAAGGTCATGGACAGTCTTAGCTGGTGTATGAAGACTGGTTTAGAGGTACACAGTTTGGTTGTTATTAAATATACAGTTACCGGGTAGGATCTATATTTAAACACCTATTAGAAGTAGTGCTTTCAAAACCTTGTTCTATCGCCCAATCTACACACATTGTGACAGCCCATTCCTCATAATTCCAACGTCCAGTATTCCCCCGTTAGAGAAACGCCCCAATCCTCGTGGTTCTTTGTTTCAACTATTTTGAACCCCGCTCTGGAATACAAGCGGCGAGCACCCTGCAACAGGCTTTGAGTCCAAAGGTCAATATGTTTGTATCCGGCTTCCCTCGAAAAATCGATGCATTTCTGAATCAAGGTTGACCCAACCCCCAAGCCTCGAGCCTTTTCATCCACCAACAGTAGTCGTAACTTTGCAGTTTTAGGCTTCTTGTCCTCCACCAGCATAATGCAGCCAAGAAATGCACCATCCTTCTCAGCAATCCAGCAACCTTCCAAGTCTGGTTTGTAGTTGTCCAAAAAGTCGGCTGTGATTCTTCCGACTAGTGACTCAAGGCGATGATCGAAGCCATATTCTTTTGCATAGACTGCACCGTGCCGGTATGTTATATAGCCCATGTCCCCGGGTTGGTGACTGCGAATGGTGAAGGAGGGAATGGAGGAATTGCGTGTCATTATAAACTTGAATTGATAGATCAATAATATTGTTCTGTTTACTTTCTCAAAAGCGAATTTCTTTCCCTTTATAGTTTAAGCTCCTTGAACAATGTCTTGGAGAAGGTATTGAAATGTCAAACACAGGGCGCAATTTATTAAATTTCGTTAGGCATGTTAATTACAGGGCGCGCGAGACCGCTAGTTCTGTACATGTTTCTAAGGCGTACATTTCGGGCGTAGCAAAAAAGCTGTATTACCGAGCTCAACAAAAGGCTTCATGGAATGTAAAAGAAGGTCGGCCGCCTTCTCTTATTAGTGTGACATGCGCGCTGGAGCAAAACAACCGATATTTACATGGACATACTAATCGATATGGGCTGCAAGAAGAGCCGGCGGTAAACTGCCGAGAATAAAAAAATCTACAGCTCTATTCTCGCCTTGTGATTAAGTTCATCTAGTTAATTAACCGTCTGTGTTTCACGAACATCTGAGATGGTGAGTCCGAGTTATTTAGTCCGAAGCGTAAGGCTGTGGTTTTAAAGGATTGTCTACCCGCTGTTTCATGTGGGTTTGCTCATTGATATTCTTGGAAATAAGTTCAACAATCATCTTTCGACCTGTCGCATCCCAATGTGATAATGTTTGATAAAATTTGTTTCCTCTTTCAATTGTCCTGACTATTAATTTTCGAGTGCAGCATAAATAGCCTTGCCGTACGCGTCAGCCCTATCGCTACTCACAAGACCATTCCCCATCTTATTCATAGTGTAAGAAATGGTCATCTTTCTGTCGAGATCCATAACAACAAAGGAACCGCCCCAGCCGCCCCAAAAACAGACGTTACCCTCTGGAAGCCAGTCAAGTGCTATAAAAGGCGTCAAGCCAAACCCGATCCCAAACTTGATCGGCATTTGAAGAACCAAGTCTTTCCCGGGCTGTGACTCTTTGAAAATGAGTTTAATGGTCTCTTCCTTCAGAATGCGTGTGCCTCTAGTCGACCCTCCCAAAGAAATAGCAGAGAGGATGCGCGTCAACGCCCGAGCGTTGCTGTGTCCGTTCACAGAACCCAGGTCTGCATTTTTCCAGCCTTCAGTGTTAACAGAATTGGGATCCAGAGGTGGGTTCAGCAAAGTCTTTGCTTGAACAGATCCAGCCTCAAATTCTGGAGTGATTCCTGAAAATTCCGGAGGCACAATCGGGGCAATTCTGTCCCAGGTTGCCTCCAAAGCACCGATCTGAAAGTCAGCGTCCAAAGGATCTGAGATTTCCGCTGCCACAAAGTCACGCAAGGACTTTCCAGACACACGACGGACAAGCTCTCCAAGTAGATGGCCAAAGCACAGAGCATGATACCCAGAGGCCGATCCAGGTTCCCACCACGGAGCTTGACGGGCCAGCATCTCAGTGCTTCTTTTCACATCATAGAGATCTTCCGTTGTCAAGGGTTCTTCCCAACCGGAAAGGCCAGAAGCGTGAGATAGCATGTGTCGGACAAGAATATCCTGTTTGCCATTCTGTCCAAATTCGGGCCAGTAGTGTGAGACTCGCTCATCAACATCAATCAATCCTCGATCAACGAGAATGAGGATGGCGAGGCTAGTGACTGTCTTTGTGCACGAAAACACGTTGACGATACTGTTCTCCTCCCACGGTTGCGTTCGGCTTGGGTCTTTATAGCCACCCCATATATCCACCACCTCTTTGCCATCAATATTGACAGTGATTGAAGCACCAAGCTCCTCGCCGCTCTCAACGTAGCGCTCTAAGAGTGAGCGAACCCCCTGGAATTTAGGGCTGCAGTTGCCGTGAACTTTGTCCATCTTGAGTCTGGTGGATTCTGGTGAAGAACGTGATATCAGTACAGGTCGGAGTGTTGATCAAGAGTTTATAGGCTCGTTAGGAAGTTATAATTAATATAAATGTTAAGGGCAAGCGGTCAGTGTGCCGAGGCAAATTGAGACCACTAAATTTTATGGATACTAAAACGCGGGGTAAAAGTAACCAAGGGCGTACTAGTTGTTGCTAGCTGTGTAGCAGTTTTCGTGTAGGATATCTCCCAGAACATGTTAAGAAGCATAATGATATGACATATATTGTAGCTTGATAAGTGATTTAAACATTTACAACAGCGTAGGGGGAATGTTTGTAAAGTTTGCATTTGAGAAAGCTATAGAGACTATTTGGTCGCCGAAATTGGATAATATGTAACTCAATTTACAAGCCCAACCCCTGCCCCAACCCCACCCCACCCCACCATGTTGGCTGGGATTCACCCAGTGCACAATTATAGCTCAACATACATAGCCGGATCCTGTAAATGCATTGCATCAGACGACATAATCTCTTCAGCTAGTTTGGTCCAGAAAGCACATCGCTCCTTTCCATTTTGATCATCTGAAGTCAAGACAAATGCTTCTTGACCACTCGGTATCTGTACCGTGAGAACATCTTTGAGAAGATCGCCAGAGCCATCTGCAACAGTCCATTTTGGAGGCTGGACGCCAGCGACCTTTGGCAGTTCTAGGGCATTAGGGTTACCAGAAAGTGCTAAAGCGGCGAAATAGGTTCGATACGCTGCAGCAACACCGGTATTGATAAGTGACTTGGCGTACATCTTAGCAAGAAATGGCGGTAATTTCTTGCCCAGTAGTTGCACAGCTTGGTCAACAGAATTGGAAAACAATGCGACTAGATCAGTCGCATGGTAAGCAAAACTCTCAAGCGGAAAGCTGTATCGCATCATGTATGACACGGTCGGATACGCTGAATAGAGATCTCGAGTATTGCAAGTGAAAGAGGCATCGCGGATGGTCGTTGCAATGCATGCAGTGTAGTCGCCACCGAAAAGTACCGTACAATTATATTGCTGAGCAATCTGCTTGCGTACGTTACTGAGCTTGTTTCCTGGCAAGAATAAGCTCAAGAAGTCGTTAAAGGCTTGTTCAGAAGTAATTCCTTCTGGTGTGAAAGAGGCCGTTTCGTTAGAGACGTGAGAGATGATGGCTGAATCAATCTGTTTCCAGAACTGGCCTATCAAAACAGTTAGTTTGCCATAGCCGGAACATAGAGATGTTAGAAAGGTACCAGTTGCAAAAGATATAGTGGGAATAGTCTTGATCCAACCGCCATCCACAGCTGGGCCAACGGGGAACAGTCCTGTCTTCTGAACGCTGTCGAATAGTGCTTGGTTGGCATCTGAGAGGTTTTTAGATGCTCTCAAACAGTCAATATCGAAGTTCTGACCGCAACCCGCAAGGTTGGAGAAGCTTTTGTAGATCGTGTCTAACTTTCCGTTTTTAGTGTTGTCCCAGGCCCATTCAAAAGCTGGACTTTGGACACCAAATCTGTGAAAGGTAGGATCAACAGTTCCGCCTTCACGGACCAGGTGATGGAGAATTGAACTTGCGCCGGCTGATTCACCGTAGGCTGATACCTGGGTTTTATCGCCATTGACTTGGTTGATATATGTTTGGACCCATTCAAAAAGCAAGGCCTGGTCGTACAAACCGGCGTTGGTCTGGGTTGTTTCCGTCGTTTGCATGTAATTGCCAGCTAACCACCCATAGGCGCCCACTCTGTAGTTACCAGCGACAAAAATGGTCTGATACTTACTCGCCGCCAGAAAAGACTGTCCGGTATAGAGCGGACCCAGCTGGTTCTTGCTCCCAAAGGCAAAAGCTCCTCCGTATATCCATACAATCACCGGTGCCAAAGCACCCCCAGGGGCATCTAGTATGGTCTTAGGCACATAGAGATCGAGGAACAAGCAATCCTGACTAGTCTTGCTATCAGAGTCTGCCGGGTCATTAGTGGGATCCTTTCCACCAGGAGGATTGGCGATGTCGGATATGTCGATCTGGATACAATCGCGACCGTCTGAGGGAGGCTGAACAGAAGAATTGCTCCACGAGGGAGACTCTGGTGCGCCGAAGAGCAAAGGCTTGGCTCCAAATCTAACGTTCTCAAAAAGAATTATCTGGCGTTCGGGTGATTAGTTCTTTTGCTTTTTTGTATGCACTGGACCCGTGTGTCGCGACTTACGTTGTCATCATCTGGGAATGGATGACCTTTATATCGTCCCCATGGTAGATTCAAGGTTGGCACATCGGAATCACCATGTGAAAAGATGTCCAAGGCTTGGGTGGAAGCTGTCACCTGGGCAAGGACCACAAGCAACGAAAACTTTGGGATAAGCATTGTTGATAAAACGACTGGTAATGTATGTTGATTTGGGCAAATAATACTAGATCGGTAGCGCTTCTTATATATATGAAAAATTACTAGCAGCAAATAATTTCCAGATCATATGCCCCGGATTAGAGGTGGTAGCAACATCGATATGCCCTAATGTGGTGCATAAGCTTGAAAGTCAGGTATGTGATACGGCTTGGTCTTGCCAGCTGAAGGAAGATCGACTGTTTCGGATACGGAAGTCAAGTACTCCAACCTGAAGGGGCTTGGCATCATGAAGCCAGCTGGTGACGGCAGCGAAAGGTGGCGTTCCCGACACCAATGAAAGTGAGATACATGCCACAACTGAAGACTTGACGGCAAGATATCAGACCATATGCATAGATCGTCGTGTCGAGTTCTGATTGGGTGGTCTAGAGCCAAATTATCACATTCCGTGTCTGTACATTATAGAATTCGGGCATCATGTATGTGTTGTCTGGGTGAGAATGTATGTCTCAAATCAGCCACCGAGGGGGAACTTCACCCTACGAGAAAATCACACTTGATAACACTGCAGTCGTAGCCACACAGAGACGGCTGTTCATCACGTTGACTTGGAGTGGAGACTGGAAGGTCCTGGGGCTGGATGCATATTGATCGACATGTTTTACGCGTTTCACAGGCTGAATTGAAGGAAGTGAGAGCCACGTATAGCGTATGGTAGTCGTGTATTTTCACTGAGTTCAACAGCTTCTCTGGAGTATCAGCCTCATATAGTTAATCTACATTGATGTATTGAATAACGAGTGGATCATAGTTGCAGAGATTAATTGACATGGCAGTACGAGTAAATAGAAAAGCATTCCCAGCTAAATATAGGATTCGCCAAATATCCTGTACTGGCGACTACAAGAGTCATCAACAGGGACAGCGAAGAAGACTACCCGAAAGCAATCCAGTCTGCACCAACATTAAACATGCTGCTGTCACCCCACGACTCAGCACGCCAAACAAACCCAGACGCATCAATCTTGTCAGCGCTAACCTTGACACGAAGGTTGGTTGAGGAGTCCAAGTCCAACTCGCTGATTGCGAGAAAGACCTTTGGTTCTCTGTCAAAAACCTTGGGAGGGAACTTGACCTTCTTGCTATCCAGGGCGGAGGGGGGATACCAGTCCCGCAGGTCACTGCTACTGACCCTGCCATTTGCAACACCCTCATGGCCCTTTGGATATGCCACCCAAGAGGCTGTTGCACTGAACATGATGGTGTCAGCCCACGTGTCGATGTTGAGGTCAAAGCCTGAAGATGTGATGTTGGTGGCGTGAGCCTTGACTCTCCAGTTGTGGCCTTTGTCCAGGTCGATTGCGCTCAGCCAGACGAGGATGTTGGGTTCGTCAGTATATTGACCGTCAGGAAAGTCAAAGTGCTCCGTGTCTCGACGGATTCCATCTTTGTCAGTTGCGGGAAAGTTGGTCAGTTTTCGACTGTCGAGCGTGTTGAATTCTCCAACTGTAGTAGATAATGGGTCAGAATTGAACTTGTCTCAGCAGCGGAAACTCACCTTGGTAGTCGCTGTCAGATTCAGTGAATTCAATCCATGCCGCAGCCGCATTGAACAACTGCGCATCAGCCCAAGAGTCAATGCTGAGAGCAAAGTCGGTCTCGGTGACTTTCGCAGCAGCCGCACGAACGCTGATATTGCCCGAATTACCAACATCGAGAAGCTTCAGCCCGAGCGTGACACGCGGAGCCACGAGATAAGGAGGGGTAAATAGGATGGCCTTGGAGTTGAGGGCAACTGGGGGATACCAGGGGCGGATACTGGGATCAATGCTCAACTCTCCTTCGTTGCGCGTCTGGAAAGGGTAGATCTTGGCGATGAAGCTCTTATCAGTAGATGACAGGTTGAGATTTGTGGGTGCGGCGATGCTGTCGGCGGTCCACGAGTCTGGGAAGTAGTAACACATGATGGAGTTGGGGTCAAAATCTGTTTTGACGAGGGCTCGAAAGTCCTCTTTGTTGATGATTTGACTTCGTGTTGTTTCTTCGTTCCAGCCGTACAGGGCTTTGCAACCCGCAATCACTGCTGGGACGTTCCATTCAATGGGATTGGCCTGATGCTCATGAACACAGCCGATTGCATGGCCGAACTCGTGTGTGACAACCCGAGAATACACTTCCTCGCGGCTGTTATCATCCAAGTCGCCAAAGTTCATCGTTGCCGAATTCTGACCAAGGGCGAACTTTTGAGCATCTTTGCCAACATATGACCAAGATCCCCAGTCTCCTTTCCTGAACATACAGTAAACATTCAATCTCTTTGTGTAAGACTGTTTACTCACCATCGAAATCCGATTCTGATATCAGCATCGCCCTCTTCAATGAAGCGAAAGTCAATGTTGGCGTACTTCTCCCATCTCTCGGCGTAGAACCGGGTCTTTTTCTTCTGCACTGCAGTGCCGTTGAGAAACCTAACCCTAAGCTTCGAATTGTTAGGCCAGAAGAGGTTCTTGTTGGCGGCCAAAAAGCCTGGCCTCCCATCCTGTGTAATCAGATTACCGGGAGGGAGTTGACTGGACTCTGGCACTTTGGCTTCAGCCGAGCAGTAAGAAAACATGACGGGTTGTTCAGTCATTTTGCTAGTAACAGAAAGGGTTATCTCCGAGAATGAGAATGAGTTTGCTCAAAGAGGATATTTGTTGTAGTGTTACACTCTGGACTTATTTTGATACTTGAGCATTGAGCATATGTGACTAGATCATACCATAAAACATATACCAATTAGCGAAAAGGTTCTCTTCGGCATTCATTTTTACTGTGACGCAATCTTGCTGACGCTCAATGTCAATCTCTATCTTGGAAGAGACTTCCTGTCTTGACCTGAAGCAGCCACCAGGTGCCTTGCCCGCTTCCCCGAAAGAGTTGAGTTACTCTTACGGACGCTATATTGGTGGCGGTACGAGCCGTCCTACCGCGGGCTTAATCTTGTTCATCTATTGGCCATGTTTCTCATTGTAAGCCATAAAGTAAAACTCGCAATGTGATAGACGCGAATAGAAGCAGCCGGAAGGAATGATACAATTGCACGACAAACTTTTATCACCGCAGATAGGGCGGGGTAATGAGCTTGAGCCGCTCTCCATGCAGGAGGTAGCTAACCTGAAATGGAAATTGAAGGCTGAGAATTACTCACTTAAGACATATTCGCTCCTTTCGTAGAGGAATCCGAAAACGTGGCTGGCTTGTGGAGTGAAGATCATTACCTGGAACGCCTTGGGATCCATAGGGCAAGTTATCGTAGCGAACCAACACGCTAGCCCCTGAATTGAGACATGCTACAGCATTTGAATGCGACAAATGGCGTGATTCAGCAATATACGAGGCAATTCTCCGGCAGTGACTTTTAACGTAAACCATGCTTGTCTCGGAGGACTAAGCCGCCCTGGCCTCAATCTGCGCATGTAATGCAAAGTGAGTAGATATGTACTTCGGTCGCGTCATCACCATCGAGATGAGTACTTAGACAGGTTTAATTATTGGAAGATCACATTGCGAGACGGCATGTAAGTTTTGAACTTTGAACTGGCGGTCAACAGATGTGGCGAGCTGAAAGAGCTTCGAAGGAAGTGAAACGCTGATCACTTGGACTGCTAGCTACAGCTTACATGATAGTATAACCATTGTAGTGAATTGAGCTTGGTATGAGAGCATGCAACTTCAAAGAAAGTCGTAGAGTGGTTATCCTTTATTGCCAGAAATTATTAACTGATGTCTTGTATTGCCATCATTCCAAGTAAACCCTTTCTTTACTAAGAAGTTGCATACCGTTTATTTTCTCCTCTTTTGAAACGTCAAGTAAAGGATCTGCTGTAGGCATATGGCCTCAAAGGACCTAACGCACATCCTGAGACCTACTTGGAGCTATTTTCACTACCTGATGTTGATCGTGCAGGCCATGAGCTACGAGTCCATTCAATACTCAACCTACTGCATCTCAGTGGACCAAGTGTGAGATTGTGCCGTGTCTGAAGCTGCATGACTTACTGAGAACTTAGACACAGTCTCAGACCATCAAGATCTTCCGCCTATCGTCCGTATACCGCCAAAGCCAAGGTATGTGATTATGGGTAGCTCTGCATCACTGTGCAGCAGCCAAGAAAGCGTCACCTTTCATTAGTTTTTGCGTTTGGCCCACGTTGATCATGATGTAGATGGAATATCGTGGAAAGAAGATAGGACGTCAGGAAAAGTACCTATGTCGAAAGTTGGATAGTAAAGCACACAATCGCTTCTGTATGGTTTGTGACACATTATTTCAAATCCTAAAAGGTATAAGTACCCCATCATCCTCTGGTAGTTGGGATATTCATCATCGCTACAACTCATTGACATCTTTCATCTACACTATCTGACATCTTCATTCCACGTCAACACTTCAACATGTCTTCAGCCGATCAGAACGTTGGTCAGTTGCCTTCCCTCGCTCAACAATTATGGAAGTAACAACTGACAAACAACTAGGTGCCATCATCAGCCTCACACCTCCTGATGAGGGTGACAACATCTGGGAGGCCAAGCAGGTTGATATTGCCCGCTCCCTTCCTCCTGGAGATATCCAAGGCCGCCAGAGCATCGACTGGAGCTTTGGCCCCATCAAGGTATGCGAATTCTCACCATGGAACAACTTGAAACGAGACTGACACTCTACAGATCACAGGATATGTCGACACCAACACCTTTGAGATTGGAGTTAGCATCAGCATTGTTGGAATCAATGTTGGTAACATCTTTGGAAATCTCAAGGACGGTGTCGGCCTCAAGGTCAATTTGTTTGTTGCCAAGGGTGAAATTCGAATCTATTTGAAGAATGGCAACGAGATTTGGGTTCACCTTGATATCAAGGTCACCTTTGATGGATCTTTTGAGGGAGACTACAAGATTTTGTCTATCTAGATCCAGTAACACTTGCTCTCAAGATAGCACAATACCATTAAATTCGCTATTTACTGGATTGAATGTTGGGAGCGTAGGCTGAAAATCGTGTGTAAATGTGTGAAAGACGTGAATTTCTATTGGATGACGAATTAATCCGCCAAAAAAGATATCATCATGCTATACAGGTCTATAACCAGTGCATTAGAGGTTAGTACACGTGTACATAAATACGTCGATGGAATGTTTGCTGACTGTCAATAATAAATGATCATTTAAGCCCCGATATAAAATTTTATGAAAGCCTGGCAGACGCCATATTAATTCCTAATGTCTAACTCAAAGGCGCGGGATTGTTAGGCAAATGACCGCCATTTACTCTGTGTCAGCTAGCTTATTAGTACATTATGTAAAGCCTAATGACCAAATCGCATTTTCTGGCAATTCCTCAATCTACAGATTTCCGCAATCATACCGTCGAGAAAGAATGTCATATTTATCGGAATGACGCAAAATGGCAAGAGTTCCTTAACTCAGCAAATCTTGAAATACGCCAACGAGGACGAGATGGCCCGCCGAGTGGCAATTGGTCAAGGCAACATCGCTCAAACCCAAACGTGCTCTCAGTACGATGTCGACATTCCTTTGAAAACCCACAGTCTCCGGCAAATTAATGGCCCTGAACATATGCAGGAGTATGACCGTACTTATGTCACGCCGGGTCAAGACTTCGAGTTCGACGACGCCGACGAGTTCACATTTGGACACGATGTAGAGGATTCTGGTGAGCTCCTGTTTCTGCGGCTGATCGACACGCCTGGATTGAGTGACTCGGGAAATACTAAAGCCTCAAACTCGGGATTACGAGTCATTGATGAGCGTCACAAACTCAGAATCCTCCTCACCCTTCAGGAAGTTGAACAGGTCCACGCCATCTGCTTCGTTGTCCGGCGCGACACTAATTATGGAGGTGACTTCTAGGATTTGGTGCGGAGGATGGTTTCGCTACTGACCTTCTCGGTTCGATCTACCACGTGGAATCTGCAATACCACATCATCCATACCAACATCGATGTCGACGATAGAGCAAGTGATACATGCCAGATCAGGCAACGGGAGTTTGATCAATTCGGCCCAGCGGGTGCTATTCACCACTTTGTTGACAACACGCCACTCGTGGACTTTCCGCTAGATGTTTATTTCTCGAGCCAGTCTCTATCAAGATTGTTCAAATCGTTAGCTACTACAACGCCGGTAAACTTCTCGAACCTCTATTATGCCAAGTCCTCCGAGCATGTGTGCAACGACCAAGCATTGACAAGCTCAGTCGAGCGCGCCAAGGCTCACCTTACTGAGGAAATCGAAGACTGCCGCGAACAGATCGCGGAATTGAAAAAAGACATTAAACGCTGCAATTCAATCGCTGCTCTAAATCTGAAACGCGTGGACGGATACAAAGAAAAGATTTCAGAGATCGACTGTAACTTGCACAGTGAGATCGATGGAGGTCATGAAGAGGGCTGGACCGAAAAGAACGTGGCTGGAGGAGGTTGGCGAGTCTTCTCCTTCAATACAACGGTCCCTATTGCGCGCGTTGAAAAGTCTCACGATGGGGACGGTGACTGGGAATCGGAAGAGCAAACATCAGCATATTACCAAGTCACATTACAACCCCACTGGCTCTACAAAGCTTACGGCAAAATCACACTCTATGCTAAGAAGAAAGACAAACACAAAGCCAAGATAGAGTCGTTGAACTGTCAGATGACGCCAGTGAGGAAGAGGTGGCAGGAAAATGTGGACGGAGCCACTGAAGCAGCGTCGGAAGTTTCGAGGCTGGAAAACCAAATCAACGACAGGGAGGCAAATATAAGAGCTCTCTCTCACGATTTGAGTGTGATACAACAGTCTGGTCGTTCAATCTCCCTGGCCAAATACCAGAAACTAGTCAAGTACTTTACTGTTGATAGTCCACTTGCGACAGCCTTTGGATACAAGCTCAATGCCAAGGTGGCTTGGACAGTGTCACCACTGGACAAATTCTCAAGAGACACATCGAAGTTAAGGATGGAGAGAGAAATCGCAGAAAGAAAAGCGAGAATCACCGAACAAAAGACTGCCCTCGTGGTGCTGTCGATCCAGCTCAGCATCGCCAGGGGTGTCAGAGACGTCATGGCTCAGTTGAAGAACCAACCCCTCGGGTTAGCGAGGCTACAATCAGCCATCATTATGCTGAATATCTGGAAGACCAGGTCTGAAAAGGCCGGTGTGGAGCGCCTGCCGGAACTCGTCCGCAAGCTTGAAAACCTTGAAGCAGATGCGGACCGTATCTCGTGGCCCTTTGCGGCAGATCGACCTGGTGATGATGATCTAATGAAAGAACTCGAAGAGTTTAGCGATAAGGTGAGGGGCCTTGAACAGGATCTGGCTACAAGAAATGACGCCATGTTCAAAGAACTACGGCGGGCAATTTGGGAGCATAAAGCTGCTCAAGTAGCAAGTGAGTACTTGAATATGGATGACGGGCTGCCAGTTGGCGCCTTTGCGTCTCTCACTAGGGCAGCAGCACAAGGTACACAGGAGCCATTTCTCGCAGTATATTCCGAGCTGAAGGACATCTTAGAGTTGAGGGAGATGGCGCTTGATGAGTGATGGACATACTAAGAGATACAAAGAGCTGTGGAAGCCGCTTGTGGAATATGTTAGGAAATAAGAATATGATTGATTAATGTTACGACTAGCCACACAACAATTCATACTAATTACAGCCTTTCTGCTTTGTCATTTCTGGTGCCCTTGTTCGCAAGGCGTTCCACAGCAACTTCAAGAGCAGCCACAAGATCTGGCTGGTGCTCCGCGACAAACCCCAACATGTCACCAAACTCCACCTTGTCAATGGACTTGCCGTATCGCTGTATAGCAGATCGAAAAGAAAGATTATTCTGAGCTTGTAGCCCTTGAAGAGGACCAAGTCAAAGTTGTGGAAGTGTCTGGGGTTGACAACCCAACTGTGAGGTTCCGCTTCATTGATACACCAGGTCTCAATGACACCCAGGAAGACGACTATTCTATCATGAGTCGAATTTTGGGCCGAGCCGCTGACATTGGTCACATCAATGCCCTGGTCTATGTTCGCAGTGTTGAAAATCATTTTGGCTCGTCGTTCAAGAGCTTCTTTAGATACATTCAGCAGTCCATGCCCAATATCTGCAGCGGCCTCATTGTGGTCCACTCTTGCTTTACGGTGGATAACGTTGAGGAATTTCTTGAAGAGGATCAGAAGCTGGAAGACATCCGACGACAGGCTTTCCAAGCGGCCACTCAGTTGGAGCTCGAGCACTTCTTCATGGACAACTCTCCAGACCCCACGTCTCCATTTGCTGTTGTTCAGTCCCTCAATGAGATCCATCGCTTCATACAACATCTGAGCTCTCAAAAACCTTTGCCAGTCAAGAACATGAAGCTTCTCAAGACGGAAATCATGCGCCACAAGGATATACTTGTTGTTAACGCCCTGCGGAGGCTTGGTCAAAGCCTAGACAGAGAAAGGAACGAGAAGAAAGGCACAATGGATCTAGTGAAGTCGAATATCATCGCAGCGCAGCGAGAGTGCGGCAAATTACAGCGCAAGATTGATGCTCGCCAAGCACAGATCCAAGCTCTCAAGACCGACGATGAGATCTTACTGGGGAAAAAGAGTTGTGTTGCGCACTACAGCTTTGTCGGGGACCTGCTTTTTCAAGGAAACTTAAACTTGGGCAGCAAGCAACTTACATACAAATCAGACTACATACTTTCATCCGTCACCAAAACCTGTTCACCTGGTAGCAAATGGCTGGAGGAGGAGCAGCGAGGTACGCACTGGAGTGCTGTAATATACGGGAACATTTCTGCTGTGTTAGACTACTATGTTACTATACTGTATTATTATATCTAATAAGTTAATTATTTATTACTTTATTATATAATTAACGAAAGATTAGATTAAGTTAAGTATAACTAACAATCTAGCTTTTTATCCTAGGTTTCCCCGCTCTTACTAAAACCTTCTATTCTTATTACCCCTCAGTTTAATATTAACGCCTTAAACTTAATAAACACTACAGTATATTTTAACTCCGTAAACCATATTAAATACTAATTATAACTATTAATAGGTATTATACTATCTATAAAGGCCTGCTATTACCATATTAATAGCTCTCTTCGATTAAGCCGGTTTAATAGCTTCTATAATATAACCTATTAGAATCTATTATAAGATCCCTCGTCGGAATTATTATCTAGATTATTAAGGATTAATAGCCATAGTAGTAAATAGCTAAAGATAGTAAGATATACTTATTATAGTAGTTATAGCTTATTAATTAGTAAAAGCTAACTACTATATATCTTAAAAAGTAATATTTCCTTAAGGAATTTCCTATTTAATATTACAATATTATTATTACTAATCGAATTTAAAAAGGTATTAGTAATTAAATATTAGGTTATATATTTATTAATAACTTCGATTTTAAAGCGGTTAATAACTTAGATTATATAGTAACGTATTTTTATAATGGCCGGTTAATAATATAGTTATAATCTATTTGGGAATTTAATAGTATATAAAGAATTTAATCTGCTAAGAGCAGAGGGAAACTATAAATTTATATATTATAGATTAAAGCTAGCTATTTATCTTAAATAAGGTTTATTAAGGATATTAGCTGCTATTATTTAGGTAATTAGCTATTTAAATAATATTATTATAAACTTTAATGGATTGGTTATTATATTATCTGGTATTATATATAATACCTCTTATTATATTAAAATTTATTATATTATCTATGGGGTAACCTAATTATTACCTTTTTAAAGGTATATATTCTATTAAATACAGGAACATTTTTCAAGACATCAACGGCACGGCCACATTCTACACGACTAGTAGGCTTAAACACAAACGGGAAATTGAGGCTCTAGAAGCATCTGTGGCAGATTTGCGAGACCAGCTCGTGGCTCAAAAGAAGTCGCTGTCGCGGAACTCAGGTGCTAGCGGCCCCGACGCCAGTCTTACGAGTATGGGCGACAGAGTCTCTCGGCTTGAAGAGATTACGGAATTGGTTGAGCGAGATTCGTTTGATCTGACACTCTGGCCAGTGTTGAGAGGCTTTTATACCAAGCACTCACTGCCTACCCGGGATGACATTCGGGGATTTATTCAATTCTATGATGAGGATATTGGGAAACTGTTATAGTTCCATTTTTATTAGTATGTGGATATAATAAAACAAGTTTAATTATTCTAGATTAACAAGCTTGAGATAAACGCGGGTTAACATAATAGATTTTTTAGATGATAATGAGTGTTGGTCTTGTAGAGGGCGTTCTGAAACAGGCCTAGACGTGCCAATCTGGTTCTTATCGCCACAGGGAGTATAACCTTAAAGAGATCTTTCAGCTATCACAAATTGACTCGCATTCCGCTGTAAGCCAAGGCTAGCAAATCAAAATCCTTTACTAGATTTAGCTACCGCGAGTAGCTTAAACTAGTTTTATTATTATAAGGTATAGATCAAAGACTTGACTATAATGCGATTTCTTGTAATGTTAGCAAAGATAATAAGTACTTTATTTAATGCAATTGTCATGAGTCTGGCTAATATTTCCTGGATTCTAGACACAGTGTTTTATTTCGACTAGCTTTTTAAGCTAAGATCTATAAATAGTAAGAATAAACCATACAGAACGTCGATCGATATAAATAAAACCTCAAACGATGGCAACGTCCTGTTTTCTATGTTCAGGAATATATCTCGGGATTATCCCGAATCTGACGACATGGGTACATTTAGGACGAAGGTGTAGGAGTAGGTTGTCCCGAAGGGGGAGTTCCACTACCACCAGGAGGTCCACCTCCTTGGCCACCGCCACCGCCACCGCCAATGCCGCTATCCAAAGCATGGCCACCCTTGCTATCTAGATATCCAGCAACGCCATAGTACTCATCTGAAGCATGGTCTGCGGTAGTATTGATACCAATTTGAATCCAGGCAAAAATACCCTGATCAACTGTATCGCCAAGATAGACATACTGAGGAAAAGGATCATAAGATTCGTCCGCCTGGAGAATCGACCACATATCCTCTTCGTTGGTTGTAACTTCGACAGTATTGGTGTTGTAGGGTGCAAGAGCCTCGACCTCTTCTCGCAGATCTTCAGGCCAGAAGAGCTGTCCGATGTGGGAGACTGGGCTGTTCCAGACTTGAACGGTGCCATTAGATGAAACCGATGTATTGGCGTGGGTAAGAAGGTGGGTGTGTGTGGCCCGGCCTTCGTAGTGTCCAGGGAAGATGGTCTCAAACTGGACCACACCATCATGGTCACTGATCTGGATGCCACGGAGGAAGGTAGTGTTGAGGCCAGCCTGGGAGCTCACGCCAGAGTAAACACCCGTAGCATTGCAGTTCCAGACATCAGTAGCCAAACTGGGGACTCCTCCACAGGTAGATACGTCAACGTATTGAACCTCTAGGAACAAGGGAACTCCATCACAGTGTTCCGTTTCGATAACATTGGATCGCAAATACTCGCCGACGATATAGTAAGGGCCGGCAGTGATCTCAGGGGATAGGATACAACTGGAGTTGGCGCCAAAGACTGTTTCGAGGGGTGTGAACATATTGTTCTTCGAAATACCGGTTTTGTTGTGGTTAATTGCCTCCCAAGCAACAATATCGTCTTCATCTCGGCGGTGCTTTCTGGGAGCTGTTGGGATATTAGTCATAGTTAGATAAACAGATCGACGAGCAGAAAAACTTACTTGTCTTGACACCAAGTCTCTCTCGGAGCTCTTGAACCTTTCGGGCACGACGTGAAATGGACCGAGCCTTCAAGGCGTTCGCATGCGTGGAACCAGAGCATGCGTTCAATGATCTCTGACCAATATTGGCGACAGTATCTCGTGCCTGGATCTGTCTCTTGATGTGCTCGTGGTCATGTTTTTCGCCAGGATGGGCAGTGGCAAGGTTAGCCAGTAGCAAGCTGCCCGTGACTGAAATGATCTTGAGGGAAACCATGTTGGAAAATGAATTGGGAAGATTGGTGAATGTGAAGCTAGTGAAAATTAATTTCCGAAAGCCAGATCTTAAGCTTATATATAATAAAAGCCCCCCACGCATCGGGCAGAGAGTCGATCAATGAGAACCATACAATTCGTAAGCTTCTTACGGACGTGGACAACTACGCCCTCGATTTGAAGTCCTACGCAATATTCGTACCTCGGGTCCCCCACAACCCGAACCAAGTATGGTAGGGCCCGTTCTCGCAATTAACAGCCCAATGCTACACAGCCCGCAAGAGTATCTTTTGTGAAATTCCGCACTGATCAGCGGTATGCTACCACAGTCAAATCAGCGATTGGTGAAAGTGTCTGCTCTGTACTAGTTAGGTATTCTCAACGTTGATATCTAGAGGCTGGCTAAGTACTCCGTATGGCTGGTATGCTAGCGGTTGCAAAATTTGCCGACCCGGGCCGTTACACTCGCTAACGTTAGTTTAACGCTAATTAAGGGGCCGTGGTAAGTGGTACAGTAATTACTCCGTACGAGACGCGTAATTGGAAATTCGGAAGAGTTCAATGGTCAGTGCTCACAACACACACGCAATCAGGTTGGTCTGGTTGAAAAGTACTTGGGCTAGGCCGCTCGTAGTGTAGAATTGCTATGCGTGTGATATGCATGTATGGTAGAAATGTGGTTGAAATTTCGTCATAACGTTATTATTTTAGATTAGCGCTCCTAATAAATTCAATCTCGAATCGATTATGAAGTAATTGACTTAAGGACCTTTAATTTAATTTAAAAAGGTTATTTTAAGTTGATTTGAAAGATTTAACTTTTTATCGGCTGTGAGTCTTATCTTATCGATAAGTGCATTAGCTTGGGGTAGATAAGATAAGGATAAATGAGATAAGATAGTCTTGATTTTCTTCCAAGAGGAAAATAATTACCCTATATAAAAACAAAATTCAGCCTGACAATTAAGTTAAATGAAATAAGTAAAGGTATATAACTAATTCAAATTAAGTAGTCAAATATTCAATCTGAATTGACTTAACTTGACTTGATTTACGGCGATTCAATCTGTTAGGAGCGCTGACGTAAAGATGGAGAAATTTACTTACACCTCATGCTCTTGCTCAGTGATTCCAGATATATCAGCAATAGGAAATCTGTTTTGACAAAGTACCGAAAGTCCTCTTGATTGACTGTTTCGCTCCGTGTTGTTTGTTAGTCTAGCCATGAAGGGCTTTACGATAAAAAAGTATATCACAAAACCATGGTCCATGTCACTGCTCTACTCCGTAGCAGTGTCAACACACCCAGCGGAAGATGCTCCTTGTCCACAAGACGCAACCCTCCATAGTCACGGCGCAACCCATCCCGATACATCTGCAATGCCCACCGAGCTTCCTGAACTTTACCACCCGCATCATTTGCACTGACGCCCAATTCCTGGCTGATGGTCTGCGCAACGTCAGAGTCCATGTCCGGGCTGATAGCGGACGGGAGGCTCTGCAAGGAGAGATAAGCCTGCCACAGGGCATAGCTCGTAAGCTCCCTGTATTTCGTGTAATCGTTCATGCTGAAGAAACTCTCCAGTTCCTTAGTCGACAGCAGGTTCTTGAAAGTTTCGGGGCTGACTGTTTCTCCACTCCATGTGGCCCTGACAGCTGCGTCGATGCGGCTGTCAACGCTTGGTAGAGAATCGAAGTGCTTTTTGTATCGCTTATGTCTCTCCTTCTCTGCGTCAAAGAACTCTTGAATGATTGAGGTCGGCGACTTTTTCGCAATGCTCTCCCGAATAGTCAGTATGGGCACGAATGGATTCCGTAAACCGAGTCCTCCCAGACGCTCAGGTAGATGGATGAAGGCATCAGGTACATCGGCCCCGAATCGGTCTTTTATCATATGCTTGACGTGGTTGACGGCTCCATGACTGTTTTGTATGGAATCTGGTCCTTCCGAAAATAAGAATTGTTGCATAAGCTGGTAAGTCTCGAGGATACTGTCAACATGCTGTAGGCCAAAGCAGTGGGCCGGTTCGCCAAAAGTGTGGCTGAAGAAGCGGCCCATGCAGCTATTCCACGTTTGCACCCATTCTAGTACACTCCTGCATTCGTTCAATTGCTTCTTGAGCTGTCTCATGTGTTGTTCCACTTGCTCGCGGTCGATCTTCCAGATCCCTGAGTTAGGGTCAAGGGATAGATGCCCAACTCGTACCGGACCTTGCGGCAAAGCGATTGCAACCTCAGTATCCTTCGCCTTCCCATCCGCTGTGATGTACGCAGAACCGGTTTTACTGAGGTTGAACGTGAGGCCGAGAATTTCCGCATACTGTTTCATAGCAGCCCAGGCCCTTTTACAATGCTGTGGCTCGCCACACAACCAAAGGTCGTCGTGAAGTCGGTAAAGTAGCATACCATCCTGTTGATTCACTACAACGTCCATAACGAAGAGTACAAGCTCGCCAAGAAGCTTCTCCGGTGCATGAGCCATGGGTACCCCGCGACGGCGCATTCTTGGGCTGCCCGTCAATGGAGAGTCTGGAGAAGACTGCACGTTGAGAGGTGCCTCAAGAACCTTCTTGAAGAAGGAAATGGCCCCTTCAGTGTAGCCAAAGAATCGCATGGTGGAAAAGATAGTTGAATGGGATAGGCCCGTGGCGAACCACTCCAGATCAGTCTGTACCAATGCAACTTCGTCCGTCAAAGTCTTGTGTATGATGGCCTCGGTGGCGAGCGTTTGCAGCAGGCGCTGTTTAATGTTTGGCTTCTTAGAGTTGTCTTGCTCCTCTGTTGGGTCAGTATACCCCCCAGCCCCAATAGTCTCAACAGTCTCCGGCAGTTGTGACATGAAGAAGGTACTTTTGTACTGCCCTTGTCTCTCGGTATTGGTGTTTGATCTTGCAGTGGCTCCTCTGCACATGTAATACCGGCGACGGTGCATCTCGTCATGGGTAGGCTGTGGTCCAGTGTTCCACTTCCAGAAGGAGTTTGCGGAGGAGATAAAGCTACTCAGAGCCTTTTTGAGATCAACGCAACACCGGATGCCAATATAGTGGATGAGGATTGCTTGCAACACATCCTCGTCCATCCATATTCTGTATTCCCCATTCAACTGCTGTCTGGGAAGAACGGGAACTAGTGTAGGAGAGTCAGTTGTGGATTGAATCGCTTTGAGTTTTGTCAGACTTACTGCCATGTTCCCCAGCATCCCATTCCCAGCTGTCGATATTGGAAAATCGCATATTGAGAACATCGGCGATCTCCCCCAACACAACAGGCTTTTCAAGAAAGTCTCGAAGAATGGCCTGTTTCTGATCGCTCAGCAGGTCCTCAGCGAGTAACCCGTTGATACACCACTTGAGCGTCGTGGAGTCGAACGGCGCCTTTTCACCAAAGATCCGTCGACACGAGTCACTCATAGTATCTCTAAGCTCTTTAAGTGACTTGGAACTCTCATCATCTTGCTCGCCCTGGAATAGCTCATTAAGGTAGAGGTCAATCTCAACTTCATCGGTCTCCAGCGGCTCGAAAACCACTCGCTCGAACTTGTCGCACAACTGCTGCAACCTCTCTTTTTGTCGATCTAAAACCTCAAAGGATTCTTCCTCTGAAGCTGGGTGTCCGCTGACAGAGGAATCCATCCATTCGGTTATGAGCCGAGCGTAGAGGTGGCCCAGTGCTAGTTTCCGACTTGGCACCTCTAGATGCGACCGGAGCAGCTCTTCATGGGACTGCATGAACTCGCTTGGAACCGAGACATCATATTTTGACTGACTGAGCCAATGTTTGATGTTCTTGACTGCGGGGCTTTTGAAAGCTTCAGGGTTGAGATTCTCGACTCCCTCGAGAAGAAGGTTGATTCTTGCAACTCGTTCGTTTTCTTGATTGGCCTGTCCCAAGATTTCTTCCTTGCGTGATTCGTAAATAGTGCGCTGTTTTCCTAACTCAGTGATCTTGGTGTGGGTGATGCCCCCAAGGGTTTGCGAAAGTGCCAGGAAAGACGACGCCATCTTTGATACCTTCTGTTATATGAGGGCTGCGAATGTAAACTGAGGATAGCTTGGATAGCAGATTAATCATAAATCCAAGAACAAGAGAAAGAGAAAGAAAGGAAACGTATTAATATGACCTACAGCTTTACGGCGTTGAATAGAGTAAGTGATGCGCTGATGCCTGGAATGAATGCCCATCCACGAAAGCGGTGTGAGAGTGAGTGACGGCGTGCACGGAGACCAACGCAATTTCTGCTATTGCGCTGTGAGAAAATAAACTATTCACGCTTTGACGTAAACATAGACTGGGATTTGAATCCTTTGCCTAATGTAGCCTGAACAGCGGATACAATGGTTAGGACCAAAGTCCCTATTAATTTATTGGATAACTAGAAATTTGCACTACTTTGGTACATCCCTTTCGTCTACAGCAAGGCTCGCATAAAAGGTAGGATCTAAAGAATGGCAAGCAAGTAGCCGTCAAGTAGCAAAACAGTTCTATCCTGCGTGTCTGTCAACTGTGGAATTAATCTCTTATTTCGAATTGACGTTCTTCCTACACATCCCTTGCTGAGATAATGTTTTTCATAATCTCTGCTGCTCGGTCTAGAGCCGCCGCAAAGCGCTCTGCGCTCTTCGATGGACTAACAAAGCACACTTCAAGCCTATTGTCTGTCAGCATGCGCACTCAAATTAATGGTCCAAGGGCTTGAGAGACTTACGAATCATCAAACACAGTATAGTTCATCCACACAGACTCTGGATCCGGCATAGTGAAGCCCGGGTCTTCTGCCAGCTTTGTTTCCACCATTGTTTGCATAATCAGTTGCGGGTAGCCTCTCTTCCAGACCGGATCGGAGAATAGTTCTGGGATGTCTTCGTCCTTCTGATCCTGCGACATGGTTTCGATCACATCCATCAACCGGAAGTAGTTGCGCCCTTCTGTACCCTTTGTGATTTGCGCATTACACTCGCGAGCTGCCTGTAGGAGTTTTGCGCGTACCTCGCTACGTGGGACGGCATCGTCAAGAGCAGCGTCGCAAAAGTCCATGACCGACCTCAGAACCACTTGCACAATCTCTGGACGGCCAAGGTGGAAATGTGCTGTCGATACCGTCTCCCAACTTGCTGGCAAGTAGCCAAAGTATAGTCGACTGGCTAGCTGGATTGTTAGGTCGACGGTCGCCTTGATGGGCGCGGAGTGGCTCAGCAGGAGGGATTTGCCAAATGAGTTAACGAGATGTGGGACATATTGCTTTGTGGATGTAATGGCAAGGTAGTCTTGACGGAGGGTGTGAATGTGGCTATCAATGCCCTCAGTCGTCACCAAGGGAATCTCCTTGAGACTATCCGCATCGACAGCACAGCTACCGTTACTTGATGGGATATTACCAGAGTCATGAGTGGTAATGGCACTTTGTAGTCGCTGGGAAAGCTGAGAGACCGTCATGAGATCGATCATGGAGTGCTCGAAGATGGTTGCCGAACGCCCGTTGGCGGTGACAATAAGTTGAGCGCATTTGTCGTGCCAGCGGTTGAAGGGGTCGCCAATGTAACCAGAGCGGACTCGGTCTGCGCGTGTGATGGGGCTATCGTCGTCGAGACACATGACGAATACAGAAGCCTCAATCGTCTCGAAATACACTGTGTTTCTACTGTCCAGTGAGAGTAGCTTCTGTCGGTTCTAAAACAGTGTCAGTTCGTTCACAAGAAGAAGTTCAGAATATCACTTACTAAACCCCATGAATCGCGATTGTCAGTGGTCAACATGCCAGCCCAAGATTTATCTTTCAAGTCCAAATCAACGATTGCCTGATACGTTGCCTTGAGCATGTGATACGAAATGTTTGTATCTCCTTGCTTCAGCGGGACTTTGAAGAGATGACCCCTTCGCAACACGGCAACGTACTCATTATCTGGGTACCTCATCATTTTGTCACAGTCGACGTTTGGCTCTCTTACAGCATTGAACAGCCAGGACAGTGAGTGCCCGCAATTAGCCCTGGTACCAAGGAAATCAGGTTCCAGCCTGTGCGCGTCACGGTCGGCCTTGAATTCGTACAATGTTGTAGTCAGGAGCGCCGCTCGCTCTGCCTGGGTGTGAGGTATCGGGCTATCAAAGTGTGTACCCAAGAAATTACCAAACGGTGCCAGCGGGTATCTGCGCTTGAGATGCAGGGCCTTGAGAAGGAGGTTGGCGATCCAACTCTCAACGTTGGGATCATCAGCCTTGACACGCAGCTTATTGTACAGTCTGCGACCAAGACTACCTGGTGCTGCTAAAGCATGGGCTTTGCGACTGAGCTCGGTGTACTCATCTCGAGTGTGAGAAAAGTGACCCACGCTGTTGAGAAGGTCTTTGACGGCCTCGTCTAGGTCGACGAGTGGGTATCTGGGCAAATCTTTGCACGTACGGCAACAATAAAAGCCATGGTCAGTGTGAGACTGTTCAAGTTTCGACGTAGCTGATTCTTCTTGGACAGGAGCATCCTCCTTCGGGCGTAATTGGCGGATCTCATCGGGAATCAGCTTAGATCGTGAAGCAACCGTGGCCGTGAGAGCTGTGATGCTGCCGGCACCGCTCAATTCAGATGTCTGCAGATTGACCTGGAATGTGCGCACCATCCAGTTCTTCAACTCGATGCTGACGAGAGAATCCAGTCCAATGGTGGCTAGCGACTGATCAACCCGAATCTCCTCCACAGGCCTGTCGAGGAAGACAGCAAACTTGGCGAGTGCAGCGTCTTGGATCAGCTGCTCCGCCTCAGCCATGGTTTTCACTCCAGCCAGTGCCTCTGCAAAGTCGATCTTGTCGGTTTTAGTGGTGCCAGTGGCCTTTTTCTCTAATGCGTGTGGTAGTAGGCCGAAAACAGGATTATCGAGCAGATACTCGTCGTTGGCCTCCATCATAGATTGACGCGTTACTGCTTGGATGGACTGGTGTAGGCCACCCTTTCGAGCAGCATCGGTCATGATGTATTCGAAGTTTGCGAAGAACTCGTCAAACGAGATATCCATTACACTGTTTTGACGAAGACTTGCCCTGATAGTACTGATTGCGGTCTCGTTCTGTGTTGCCTCCAAAGCGCCGTGGGCATCAATGGAGACAGCGCCGATGTTGAGGGAGACATATTGAGTGTGCGGGTGGTTGGCATGAGCCCTAGCAAAGGCGTCTTGGAAACCGTTACCAGCTGCGTAGTTCGACTGACCAGACTTTCCAATGACAGACACGATAGATGACAGTGCCACAAAGAAGGACAAGTCTGGGCTGGCGAAATACTTGTCAAGATTGATGGTTCCAACAATCTTGGGTTGGAGCGGCTGCTTCCACTCGTCAACAGTCATTTGAGAGAAAGTTCGGTCCTAGAGAGTGTTAGAACATTCACCAGTCGATATGGATAGCAGAAACTTACTCTGAGCGTCAATGCGCCTTGCACAACACCTCTAACAGGAGGCAACCCATCACAATGTGAGACAGCTTCTCTCATCTGCTCCTCGTTGGTGATATCACACTTCAGGATGTGCAGTGTGCCACCATGCGCTTCCACTGCTGCCACGTGTTTCCGTCTCGTCTCCTCGTCGATAGTGCGTCGAGAGAGGGAGACGATATGGCCAGCTCCACGGGCAGCGAAAAAGCGAGAGATCCGTGAGGGGAGATCGCCGAGACCTCCTGCAACGATGTAAGTACCATCTTTGCGGAGTCTGAGAGGCGTCGGCTTTGCCGGCAGGCATTTAACAACTGATGTGGGCTGTGCAACCAGAACAACCTTTCCAATATGCTTTCTTGCGCTCATAAGTCGAAAGGCATCCTCCACCTGTTCGATGGGATACTCGTTAATGGGCTGAGCTGGGCGCAGTACCCCGGACCCGAGAAGTTCTTTGATTTCACCAAGCATTTGGTATATCTGCTTAGGCTTTCGTGTAGCCAGAGTTACCAGATCAAAGGTGTTGAACGTGATTGACTTCTCGAAAGAGGCCATGCTTAGACGAGAGGCCTTTTGCATTTCACTCTTCCCCAGCTCAATAAAGACGCCCAGGCTTTTAACACAGTCAAGACTATCTCTGAGCATCTCTCCTGTAGATGTGTTGAGTACGACATCTACACCCTCTCCAGAGGTGAGACGCATGATGCTTGGTTTGAATGAACCTGACTGGCTGGAGTAGATGTGGCTTTCCGGAACACCGTACTCATCCACAAGAAATTGCTGTTTCTCACGGCGTCCAACTGTACAGAAGATCTCTGCTCCAATGGACTGGGCAAGTTGGATCGCCGCTTGGCCAACAGCTCCAGAAGCAGAATGGACGAGGATAGATTGGCCCTGTTCAAGGCGAGCCACGTTCTTGATGCATTGGTATGCCGCCACATATGCATAAGACATCGAAGCTGCAGTAATGTTGCTCATTGAACCGGGCGTCTTGTGGGCATGGTAACCGTTGACGCGAGACAGGTTGCTGTATGGCTGAGCACCAAAGCCCATGACCCTGTCTCCAACCTCATAAAGGTCTTTCATGTCTTGGCCGACGGCTGTCACGACACCAGCAAATTCACCAACCATTTCGGTATCGGAGTTCGTTTGTCCCAGGGCCACACAGACATCCTTGTAATTGACGCCAAAGGCATCGGCTTTGACTTCAATCTCACCGGCTCCCAATTCGGGCAACAAGTCGCCATCCACGAATCGGAGGGAGCTTAGCAAACCAGGAGTAGCTACTTCAAGCTTGAGGGCTCTGTCACCTTGATGAAGAGCGGTCTCCGTCTCAGTCGCAGTCGTCGAGTCGTCCCAGCTGCTTCGAGCCCATTTCAAGAAGGTCGTATCTGGCAACACTCGAGGAATCGACACGCGACCATTCTCGTACGAGAATTCAGGTTCCAGAGACTTTTGATCAGAGGTGTCGGGCCAGAAGCACTTTTTCAAGATGTCAGACACTGCTTGTCCGGCCACCTTTGGGTCAAGAGTAGGATCACAGATGTCAAGGGTGACAAATCCAGTGTTGCCACTTTCACGACGAAGGACTCGAATAACAGCATTCACCACGCCTTTGTATGCTGTGGACACGGGATCGGGAGTATCTTGAACGACAACCCAGAGGATTCTAGCCTTTGAGGCAAGAAGAGCATTGAGTGTTGTGAAGAGTTGAGGTTGAGGGTCGAGGAGTAGAGGTTTCTCAGCCCGATCAATGACCAAGTAGAGCGTGTCTTCGCTGATGTCCAATTGATTCCAACTGCGCTCGCTTATCTCAACCTCAGTCGAAGTATCATTGACATGCTTGGCAATCCCGTCAATAACATCATCGGCGGTGTCTTTAATGAGTACAACTTTGTTGTTTCCCACACCATGCCCGTTGATCAACAAGGGCACAGCTTTGGAAACCATCATGCTATTGCGTGCAACATGAATCCCGCCAAAGCCGTTCCGCGACAGGATCGTATCCCATTGTTCCCTGTACATCAGCGCAGTGTCCTCTCTGAATTCATCCTCGTGAGCCCACCATCCAGACAACGTGCCAAAGATGAGACCAATGACTGCGCCCTTAGGTGAATTCTCCACGAGGATGAGGCTTCCGCCGGGTCGTAGAAGCTTTCGCACATGCTCCATCGTGACATCCATCCGCTTCGTCGCATGTAGAACGTTGGATGCCACGATAACGTCATAGGATTCGGGCTGGTAGCCCTGCTTGAGAGGATCTCCTTCCACATCCAATGTCTTGAACTCCATGCAAGACTCCCAGTCAGAGAATGTCCTGCGGGCCTCTTCAAAGAAGCCGCTTGATATGTCCGTGTACGTGTACTGCTCAATAGGGAGGCCTTCACCGCTGTTGTGGCCGGCAATTCCTTCGAGAAGTCGTTTTGTGCAGCCTCCTGTACCAGCACCAATCTCCAAAAAGCGAAGGCGTGGATTCTTAAAGGTGAGAAGTTGAAGATACGCAACTGCAGCCTCATAGTCACCACTGAAGGTTCCGCCCTCGTAAGCCCGTATCAGGAGGTTCCCCTCAAGCATGACGCTCAGGGGTTCGAGTGTGCCACCTAGGATGCTGGGAAGGGCTCTACCGACACGTGCAAGCAGTTGTAGCTCGGGTGCATCAGTGAGAGAATCAATGCGCTGCAATATGCCGACTTCATCCTCGATGCTCAAGCCTGACATGATCTCGCCGTAGTAGTCAGAGTTGACCCATTTCTTCATCCATCCAAGATACTTGACTAGATGAGGGCTCGTGATCTCAACGTTGTTAGCCTCAATATGGATCAGAGCATCTCGAATCCAGATAGAAGCTGCTTGGTCAGCTGTGCGGAAGCTCTCCTCAGCTTCGACAGCAGAAACATTGCTGCCTTCATAGTTGTACGTCATGTTCTCATCCAAGCCCAGTGTGGTGGAAAGAAAGTGAGAGAATGACGTTTCTGTCATAAAGTCTGCGTCGAGATTCCAGTCCAGTCGGTTTACCTTATCCTGAACGAAAGGCCGGTTCTCATCTTGATGCGCCTCGCCAATGGCTCTGAGGTTGACCAAAAGCTTGATAACGGGTCTGAGCTGACCATCGCCATCTTGTTGAAACACCCAAGACTGGCCTGTAGATGCTTTTAGTCCATCGGGTTCAATCTGCATGGCAGCAGTCAGACTATCGCCCGCTTTTGCTGAAATATTGGCGTCAATTTCCAGCAGAGTAATCTTAGTCGGCACGCAAGGAGCGTTTGACACAAACTTCTTAAAGAGCATGCCACTGAGTTGGTGGACAGCATCGAGGGTGATTGGGTGAATGACATGAGGTCGGAATGAGCGATATGGCATCAGAGTAGCCACGTCTGGAATGATAATATCGAGAAGGCCTTGTTTGTTGCCGTATTTCAGAGAATCGATGGGACTGAAAGCCCCGTCCCATTGGTTGCCGGTAAGTTTGGCATACTCATAGAACTCGGCCTTTGTCATCTCCAAACCACAGCTTTGCCGGGCATCGTTGAGTAGCTGCATCGACTCTTCTTTGCGCAGGTCCGTCTCTCTTGTCCCATTTACCTCATCATCCTCAGTGCTGTCATACTCGACCGTGATCTCACCCGAGCAATGTTCGGACCATGAACTATTCACATTATCATATGACCATATTCGGAACGATTCCCAGCGACTGCCTTCATACTGACGTGAGGTGGACATGCTCAGCTGTACTTCAACTTCGCCAGCCTGCTCGTCGTTGTCCGACTCGTTGAGCACAATGGACTTTGAAATGGTTACATCACGGAGGATGAACTTTGCAATCGACTGCTGAGCGCCTCTCAATTGCACAAGCTGCTTCATCGCCTCAATGGCCATGGTCAAGTATCCTGCACCAGGATATAAAGTGAAGCCCTCGACGACATGATCACGCAGCCAAGGCAGGGCGTCCAAGTTGATGTGGTATCTCCAACGTGGCTCTTGAATGGTGCTCGCCGGGTCCAGTAGACCGAGTAAATCATGTGGTGCAAACTTGCGAAAGCGATGAGCCTTGCTGAGTCTAGACTCGTGCCAAAATGGAGCAAGATCCCAAGGATACGATTTGAGATCCCTGACAATCTCAGGCTGTGTTTCGTCACTCATTTTCAGTACGGCCTCCAGATTGACCTTGAGACCTAGTTCAAAAGTCTTGCCGGCAAGAGACAACACCGTCTGTACAGCGTCTTTATGGCGAACCAGGGCAGACAGATATTCAAATTTGAACTTTGCGCTTCCTGCTTGTGTGAGTGTTTGACGAGCAGGGCCTGCCAAAGCTGAATGAGGGCCAATTTCGATAAAAATGCTCGTGTCCATTCCTGGCTCGTTTTTCAACAGATCATCGCGCAACAAAACCAACGCCTGGCTGAACTTGACCTGAGAGACCAAGTTGTCTTTCCAATAGTCGGCGCCGAATGCTGATGATTTAGTTGTACCGCTAACACTTGAGAAGAATGTGACACCACTCCGTACGTCAGAAGACTCAATATTTCGGATCGTTTCATGGTAATCTTGTGCGATTCGCCGCATATGATGCGAGTGATAGGCAGTATCGACTTTGAGCTTGCGTGCAAAGATTCCCTCGGCGTCGAGTAACGATTTGAGCTCATCAATTGCAGCCACATCTCCCGAGATTGTACTGCTCGATGGGCTATTCACACAGGCCACACTGATAGTTCCAGTGGTAATCCGGTCAATGTATTGCTGCGCTTCGGCTTCTCCAAGAGTGACTGCCATCATCGAACCGGGCACTGTAGCCGCTGCCTTCGCATTTAAGGAGGCAACACCACGATGATAGGCACTACCGAGTATTAGTCTCTTATCTCGTACGACATGGAAATGACTTACACAATAATGGCGTTGTCTCTGCTCAGGGCACCGGCAGCATAGGCAGCGGCAACTTCACCAGAGCTGTGGCCAACTACCCGGCTGGGCCTAATAGAAAAGCTGTCGAGCAAATCCACAAGTGCAATCTGGATAGCCGTGGTAGCAGGCTGGGATATCTCAGCCTTGTTGATCCGTGACTCGTTGTCCGCCTTGGCTAGCTCGTCAATGAGGCTCCATGTCCCTCCCTTCTGGCGGATTGTGCTGTCCATAGCCACTATTGACTCTCGGAAGCATCGTGAGGAGCTGATGAGCTCACGTCCCATCGCATACCATTGCGCACCTTGCCCGGAAAAGACAAAGCTGAGAGGTGCAAGAGTGGCCGCTCTCTTTGGATGAACTGTTTGTTCTAGCTCTTCTAGCAACTCCGCGGATGTCGATGCGACGATAGCGCGGCGGAATGAAAGAGCAGATTTGCGAGCACCTAGCGTGTAAGAAAGACTTCGTAGAGTCTGAGGCTCCAGCTGGTGAGTACTTGCCCACTGCTTAATATTCTCAGAGGTTGACGACAAAGCCTTCTCAGTTGACGCACTGAGGACAAATAATTGCGGTATAGAGTCTTGAGTGATAGTGGCATCAGTAGCGGATGGAGATCCGTTCAAAGAAGCCAAGTGAGCGGTTGGGGATCCATTGGTGACTCCTTTACTCAGTTCCGAGTTATTCTTATGAGACGATGTCCCGTTCGTACTCCCGTTGAGCTGGTGTTTGGAATCTGGAGCTTCAAGAATAACGTGACAATTGGTTCCTCCGTAGCCAAAGGAATTGACAGATACTCGAGCGGGTCCATTGTTACGTGGTGTTGGCAGCTTTGTAAGTTCACTGGGGATCTGCTAGTATGTTAGAGCGGCTTAAATTCAATTGGGAGAATTAGAGCCTTTACCTTTATCTTCTTCTCATAGAGCTTCAGGGACGGCTTTGGTTTGATGAAGTTGAGGTTGGCAGGAATCTGGCCATGCTTGAGGACAAGTATAGACTTCAACAAACCGGCAATACCAGAAGTAGCCTCCAGATGGCCGATATTTGTTTTGACTGAACCGATGTAGAGGTCATCTGTCCTACCAGAATCCTCGCAGAAGACCTTGTTTATGGACGCTATCTCTTCGCGGTCGCCTGCTTGTGTTCCCTATTGATTTGTTAGACTGAAGCTTCTTAGACTGGCTCATAAATCAAACTTACAGTACCGTGGGCCTCAACGAATGATGTATCGGCAGGGTTCAGTCCAGCCTCTTGGTACACACGGAGCGATAGAGCAGCTTGTGCTTCACTGCTTGGCGTATTCAGGCCAGGCGTTTTGCCGTCTTGGTTCATGCCCGAATTGGCAATTATCGCGTGTATCCGGTCACTGCCCTTATTGTTAATACACCAAGCGACTTCAATGGATTCGCCACCTACCCATCCTTAAGTGCGTTGTCTAGACGCTTGAGGACTATCATAGCGACGCCTTCACCGCGTCCATACCCGGCGCCTCTTGAGTCAAACGCATAGGATATTCCATCTGGGTTGAGCATTCCCATACCACTCACTATATGAATATCAGCATAGTGGTCATCTTTTACATGCATGATACTCACTTATGCTTAGAACGTCTGGCTGGATGACGAGTTGTGAGCCACCTACCAAGGCAAGATTCGACTCGCCCAATCGAAGGCTGTGGCAAGCTTGATGCAAGCCAACCAGACTTCCAGACTATATACAGTCAGTAACGCACTAATCTCTCAACTCAATTCAAATATTCTTACGCAGCCAGTATCGATCGTCATGCAAGGACCCCGTAAGTCAAAGCAGTAAGATATCCGATTTGAGAGGACTGATATCATGTAAGCCACTGAGTATAGACATAACTGACTTGCTCTATCAACTCACTAGATTCACCTGTCCCGTTCAAGTGTGTCCTGCCAATTGTCGACAGGTCTTTGTGCCCCATTCGGTCGTAACTCCTCTCGAATATGCTGGCATACACACCAGTATTGGACCCACGCAGTGTCTCAACAGGAATGCCAGCATCTTCGAGAGCCTCATACGTCGTCATAAGAAAGAGACGTTGTTGGGGATCCATTGAGTTTGCTTCCGCAGTAGAGATTCCAAAGAACTTGGCGTCAAACTGAGAGATGTCATCTTGGAGAAAATACCCGCGCTTAGTTACCATGGACTGATTCGCATCTGGGTAAGCGTCGAACCACGCGTCCGCGTTCCAGCGGTCTTTGGGAATCTCTGTCTGTCCATTACGACCCTCAGACAGAAGTTGCCAAAGGTTATCTAAGTTATTAGCTCCACCTGGAAGCTTACAGCCGACGCCAATGATGGCAATCGGGGCTGGAGGGCTCATGGTTGGAGACAAAAGGTGCTGCTTTACTTCGATAGTAGTCCGATAGCTCCAAGGTTGGCGATACGAGTAGAACTACAGATACCAAATAATCCACATATGTCACCGTTTCTTTAATGGGATACTATATAATGTTTATCTAACGATCATACGTCTTTTTTGTTAACCACGATGTTTCCCCTCTTCGAAGGATTTCGCAATAGGCTAAATTGGACGGGAGTTAATGGCCAAGACCCGTCAATGGGATACACACATAGAGGGGATTATCCTCATGATCTGGTGGTATATAATTGTTTTGCCATTCTAGGCAAAATCGGATCAACGGCTCCTTGTGGTCAGGCGTAGGATCAAAAACGCATGAGGCTCCACTAGATTACGATATAAGGCTGTTAAGGTCAATATTTAGCTCGGAAAGATAGACTAATGTAATACCAAGATATGTAAATGCAGTAAGTAAAAGATGGTGTGCGGGGATAGGGCTATATGACAGCATAGCATTTACCCTGCCAATGACGGCTGAAAGCGAACTGCATTGCATAGTGTTTCCGAAAGGATTCTGAGGTTGCATCAACTAGTTACTATATGAGTTCGCACAGGATAAGCCTGGTATATGTAAAGCTCTCCTCATTGGTCAGACGATGAGCCGCAGAACTGTGCCTCACAGGAGCCAGATCCTACAGCTTACTTAGCGCCTTGGGCCCTGAGAGACCGGCTAAATGCTCCTCTACCAGCGCCCAGGTCTCGGGTGGCAAGAGTCCCATCATCCACGTATTGCCCTGGCCATCTTTGCCGCCCACCTGGAACATATTGCGAGCATGCGTGGTGTGCTCGAGCGAAGTCCACTGGTGCCAAGCGAGCTTACCCGGAGACTTTCCATGACCACCTTCAGCGGGGGTGATGACAGCGGGGGAGAAGTCGATTGAGTCGAAAAAGGCCATTTTACTGAAGTTGGACACGACCAAGATGAAGGAGTCCTCGGCCGCAAAGACGGCCGGGTTCTCTTTGTCCTTCGCATATGACTCTCGCAAAAGATGAAGCTGTGCATGCACCTGAGGGGCCGTGGTCAAGGTCGCCACAGACTCTCTTACCTTGAGGGCGGTTCTCGCTAGCGGCTGCTGCCGAAGCGCTCGCAGCGTGGTGTTGGTCGAGGTCGAGAAGGTTGCATTGGCGATGAAAACGGGGCTGGAATCTGGCTTGTCCTTGTTTTGAGGAAATGTGTCTGGTAGACAGTGTCTCGCCTCATACATGCCCATTATATGCACCGGACGATCCACCGCAGGAAGGATACTACAGCAGAGTCGCGCCGCCCAAGCAGATAAGATATCAGCGTCGCTTACAAATTGCCCATTGAATAGTGCTCCTTTTGGAATGACTTCAAGCCTATCCGAACCATGGCCACCGACGAAGTTCATCTTGATCTTCTGCAAGGCCGAGTCTGGCAGCACCATCATGCGTCGCACAGTTATCGGGTATGCCGCGACATGCTCCAAATATGTGTCGTAGGTCTTTTTGAAAGCTTCAGGACTCAGCTTCATATCAGCCAGAGCATAAGGCTCCTCGGGCGGCACTGACCCAATATTCTTCAAAGGATCGTCGAATGCGCCCATAAAAGGAGGGATATCGTCGTAACGCCCGTAAAGGTCCATTGACCAAGCCAGGACCAAAGCTTTGATTCCCATGAAATCGCATACCAGGTGAACCCAGCGAAGACTGATCAATGTTGCGTCGTTGAAGAGAGCTATGTGGACGCCAATCACGGGCTCTTTGTGACGAATGTGTTCATCAAAGTCCCGTCCCCATCCAGGGCCAACGGTCAAGGAATTGAATTGTGAAGTGATGCCGGGAAATAGTTCAACCTTGCCTCTTGCCCTAGGGAGGTTCTTCGCGACAGGGTGATCTGTCGTTTTCACTGGGAAGATCTCCTCTGAATATTGAAATGCCGGACGTTCTTGAGTATATGTTCTTGGTGCATGGATCTCGACCTTGCCGGCCTCGTTGAACTGCAGCCGACCACCTAACTTTCTCCAGTCGCCCTGGCTGAGAAGGTGCGTGAGAGCCACGCATAGCTTCTTTGTGTCGAGAACAGCATCAAATCGTAGAGTCCAATGTTGCGTGTACCGATTGATAGGAGAGTCGTCAAACTCATGCAAAGGGAACACAATGTCAGATGGAGGTATTGTACCCTGACCAGGAGCTGTAGAAGACATTGAATTGTTGTCTAAATGACTCAGTTAGGTAATTTCGTAAAGTTTTATAAGGAAATTCTCTGCGTTGTACGGGTTATTGAAAGATCTCATGATGACTTCTCGCCCAAACTCCCAGAGAGTAGCTTTTAGAAATTACCCGCATTCCAGGATCAGGTCGGGCGGCTCGGGCCGCTTTCCGGCTAGGAGCTTTTAGGCTCCTCATCTTTCCCCCGCTTGGTATTTACCCGAATTGTGAGCGGTTAGTCTAATGCAGCGTTTTGTCTGCTAGGATCTCGTTGCTTTGCGCGGCAGAGCGTGCCCCTAGGTACGCCAAGGGCTCCTAACAAATCAAATCTCAAATCGATTTTTCAGGATCTAATTTAAGGGCCCTCTAATTTAGAGAGGTTATGTTAGAATTGAATTGGAATTGTGATACTAGAGAAAGATAAGATTAGATAAGATAAGATGGGAAAGCATAAGATAAGATAACTCTTTTTGTCAAGCTTTATCCCCTTTAGCAGGAAAAGGAAACTGCTAAATGACTTTTCGAAGATGGATTCACCGTAGCAAACAGTGTACCACATCAGAATCCTTGAATTTGTCGAGGACAGTCCGAGAGACATGTTAGTACGGTACTGGTCGCTCGCGAATTTGGCCAAGGCTTGCACATGCCCGTCTCTGTTACTGTTTTCATATATCATGTCCAATACATTGGCAAAGTTATTCAAAACCTTAACTGTGTGCGGTCCGTCGATTGCTACTTCAAACCTGAAAATCTCCCTCATCTCGGTATGTGCTATTGTCGAACTAAATTACTAGCCTTACAATTAAGGCTGCGATAGTCACATGGGAGTGCCCTAGGTGAAGTCAGAATTAAGATCTAACCTCAGACTATGATAGGATACGCCACCATAGAAGCCAGGACGCCTACATGCAAGAAGGAAGAAAATATACGTAGTTAAGGAACTTCAAAATGTCAAGGCGAATTAAGAATATCCTGCTATAATATAACCGCCCATTTCAATAAACAACTAATCGAGAAAAGATAAAGTTATGAGAGCTACGGAGTAATATGCATAGTATCCTATCTACATAGACAACAGTAAAATATCGCCCAGTGACCACTAGCGGTGTATTTAACACCCATTAAGGAATGCATAAACGCTAGCATCCTTAGATCCAATATACAAGTACTCATCCCTCCCGTCGCCATTCAAGTCTCCAAAACGCACCATGGAAGAGTCTGACCAGGTAGATAGTTGGCTTACACCAGATGCAATCGGCGATCCTGGGTTCCACCAAACCAGCGATTCCACAGTGCCCCAGTTTCCAGAGGAGGGGCCGCGGTTGTACCATACGTTCAATCCACCAGTCTTTTCATCCACCGTAACATAGTCAGCTTGCCCGTCGCCGTTCAGATCCACGATCCGAACATTCTCACGCTTAGACCCTACACCAGCAGCGATAACACCCCAGTTCCACCATTTCACCCCGCCAGAGGCAGAGCGGCCTTGGTTTATATAGAGAGTTGCCGCGCCATTTGGTGCCAAATGGATAAAGTCGGCTCGGCCGTCGCCATTCATATCGGCAAAGACAACACCTATTCATCAAATCGAGACCATTAGTATATTGTGGTAGTCACCCTGGCACCGCAAGACTTACCCGCTCCATCACCGATACCTGTGGCGACCTCCTCACCAGTTGCCGAACCCCAATTGACTTTCGAGGAGCTGAAACCATTGTTCCACCAGGCTTGTACAGCGCCAGAGTCCTTGACCCTATTAACAAGAAGCGATATTGATCAGCAAGCACCACAAATATCATAGCAAAGCAAACGTACCAAAGATACTCGGCCCGACCATCTCCATCAAGATCAGCAAAGCGGATCTGGTCCCCTCGACCGCCCACCCCTGCAGCAATCTCTCCAACACTAACCCACTGTACCTTTCCGGCATTAGGTCCCTCGTCGGGGGCGCCGCCGGCGTTCCTGAACATGGTCACCTTGCCGGTTGGGCCAACATAGAGATAATCGTCACGACCGTCGCCTGCGAGCAGAACAAATGAAGGGTCAGCCAGTCCAGTCCGGTCCAGTCCTGCCTTTCCAAAAGAAACATGCATATCATTACATACCGTCAATATCGGCAAAGTGAACAGCGCTAGTGCCGGTTTTGTTGAGTTTCCCGCAGTTGTCATCAATGAGCGGCTCGTCAACGATTTCCTCAGAAAAGGTGCCGTCAGTATATGCACAAGAGCACTGGAACATGAATTCTTGGCAGCCCGCACACTTGAATTTGCCACTTTTTGCATCTTTGGAGCACTCGCCCTTGATACAGTTCCGAGCACACTCCCTCTTGGTGTCGTAGAGGCGGTCTAGCTGGCCTTTATCACAATCGCCGTAGACACACTCCCGCCCAGCAAAGGATCCGGTTCCGAGGCCCCCTCCGCTGGCGATAGTGCCTTGAGGCAGCCAGGTGGGTACCTTGGGGCATATTGATTTGTTTTGTTGTCCATCACCTGCCACTATAGGTGCGGAGGAATAGTCAGCATTCATGAAAGAAATGTACGCCACGGAGACAACTAACCAGGAGCCTTGATCCAACCCCGTGAGACAGCTTCTGTGAGGCCAATCACCCACTTGTTTGCCATGTTTTGATAGCCTTGGTCGTTTGGATGCAGGCCATCCGAAAGATCGCTAGTCGACACGCTAGACGGCATGTCCACCACGAGAACGTGCTCTCCTCTCTTTGCACGAGTTGTCATGAGGGTTGTGATCGCTTCGTTGTATGCCTCGATGCGCGACATGGTGTCACTCGAAGCCGCAGGGATGATTCTAGCAACGAGAATACTTGCATCTGGGAGAGTTTTAACCAAGTTTCCGACGAGATCATCGAGGCGCTGCGGAGCACCATTGGCGTCTGACGCCTTGCCCATATCGTTTGTGCCTGCATGTAGCAATACCACGTTAGGTCTTTGTTTGTAGGCACTGTCAAATCCAGCAATCTCCAAAATCTTCAGACCACTATGACCTTCATTGTCATTGTCTTCCATCGTTCCTGCTTTAACAGACCCGATCATGTCGACCTTATTACTAGCACCGGTAAGTGTGTCTCTCAAAGCCTTACGATAGCCGTTCCCGTCGGAGCTTTTGAAGCCGAAAGTAATCGAGTCTGTTCACAATCAGTATTATGGAAACGGATTGAAAAGGCCCAAGATATACGGACCGCCAAGGGGCAGAATCCTAAGATTCTTATTCTCGAGAATGCTGGGCTCTTCAGGCACATCATCTTCATCTCTTTTTTGATAGATTGCGTTGGGGGTGCCAAACATCCTCTCAAAGTATTTCAAGCTCGCGTACCATGCGTAGTTATCAGCTGCAAAAGAATAGACAATCAACACTACCTCCTGCGAAGGCCACTCCGAAGGGCATGCTTACCATTCAAGTGCGTAAAACCGCGTCCTCGCCTGTTTCTAGCAAACCTTTCTACCCAATAAATACCATAGATCTTCTGGTAATTCTCTGGATTGAAGATTTGATCAATCACGATCACTTGAGAATCCTTCAGTAATTCTAACCAAATCAGATGCCGAAATGATTACTAACTCTCTTCTGTCCCTTCAACTGCGGGAAGGTGTACAAGCTCGTGAAGTAACATCCTGAACTTGCCACTCATAAGATATGGGTTCTTTCTGTCATCGCGAGACGCCTTTCGGAGGTCATTAATTCTCTCTCCTAGAGTCTCTTGACCAGGCGCGAAAAAAGGAGAACAAAGAACAATAGTAGACTCTTCGTATGAGCCACTAGGGGCGAAGGAATAGGCGCCGATAGTGCCAGATTGACGACTCTATCACATTTTTACATGTTACTTGGCCTGCCTCGGACCTAAAATCCTGGTACATGTCTTTACAGGCAATGCGTATCTTACGCCCAGACCCATCGAGTTCCTGGAGATTGTTGAATATAGCTATCTCCTAGTTAGTTCGAGAGAGTTATGACTTGGGACGAGGTCTCTCACTGTGTATGAGCGCCATGTCATTAAATCTCTGGCCGATATCGTCTCCGAAGACTCTCTTCTCCAAGGTTTGGGGAGGAAAGAAATCGCTTGGAGTGTCAACAAGCGTCACCACATCGGCCCAAGCCTGCTCGATATCTTTGATCTTAGGATTTTGTTTCGCTTCATCGAAACAACCATCAAATCCGGTGAAAGGCACGTCGCCAGGGACGTTGGTGAATTGGCGTGGTTGTATCTTTGTTGACTTGGCGAGGGTTATGGAATGTGTACACAGCGATAGAAGGCCAAAGGCCATTCGAACCATGGTAAAAGCCATGGCTGTAAAGTCTTGACAAAGACTATTATGAAGCACAAGTAGTTGACTGAGTATAGTTTCTTGCTGTGGGTAGCATTGTCTTTTATATGATTTTGTTCAGCTGTAAATCCTCATTCCCTCTCTATCTTCAACTGGCTTGTCATTTCCACAAAGGACTTTTGACAAAGGATCTGCATAGCCCAGAAGTCGAGACATGTCACGTTTGAATGACCTTTAATTGGTTAAAATTCCGAGACAGGCATTTCGGACAATGCGAAGAACGCGAGTGACTAAAATCCCCTGTTATGCGGACCACATAATCAGCACTAAGACCCTAGCCAAACTCGTATCAGGCGTATAAGAAACTATCAGGCCTTTCCACTTTCTGACCTTTCTGACTTTTCTGACCTTTCCGCCAACTTAAGACGAGAGTCACGCCACTATAAACTGTTATTTTCAATGCCTTTTAGTATCGAACATAGATCCAACTTACCTTGCCGCATGAGATCGGCTCATAGAGAGGAGGATGATCCTCGTCAGTACATGTCGGCACAACCTCGCAGACCGCGTCCGGATTGAACCCCAGAAAGAAAGGCATGGCATAACGAGATGCCTTTTGTCGGTTGTAAACACGATGCACAGTCGACTTGAAGCGGTTGTTAGAGAGTCTCTGTAGAAAATCACCTATGTTGATGACCAGGGTTCCCTCGATTGGTCGGGCATCTAGCCACTCATCATCCGCTGAGAGAACCTGCAGACCACCTGACATATCCTGCCAGAGCAAAGTCACGCACTGGATGTCTGTGTGTGATCCAATTCCGACATCGACATCTTCAGTGTTGCCCGTGTCACCAACATCAGTGCCAGGGTAGTGAATATGCACGGCGTCAGCTCCGGGAGTGGTGATAATAGAGTCAAAGTAGTCTTCGGGTAGTTGGAGAGCAAGTGCAAAGAGGCGGATAAGCTTGCGTGCCAGCATCAACCGTTTTTGATAGAACTCGGTAAGAACAGGGCGAAAGTTTGTAAGATGACTTGTCCCATCCCAGACGTAATCTGTGGCATCGAAGTTGGAATTGATATCATCAACACGATCATGGCCTGGGTCGATACGAGTATCATATCGCATAGAGAAAGTTTCCTTCTTGTCTACAGGATGTAGTAAGTATATATAATAAATTGCCATATGAATTAATGGTTTCCCTACCTCTGGTTTCCTTGTTGTTGATTTGCGTTGTTCCAATCCCGTGATAACCACAGAACTTGCCGGCTTTATCAAACGCGACCCGATCTTTATCTTCTAAAGATTGGTCGAAGAAGGCCTTGACCTGTTCAACAGCACCCTCGATCAAATCTTGGGGAATTCCGTGGTTACAGACGTAGAAGAACCCTGTGTTCTCTGCAGCCGCTCGGATCTTGGTGGCTAGGGTTTTGCGCGCAGTCTCATCTCCATCTAGTGTGCTGAGGTCTATAATGGGCATTTCATCAAGCGTTGGAGTGCGTGGCTCGCCGCAGCGCACTCGACGGGAGACAGGTCCATGCGGTGTCATTAACTGCACTGTTGTATATTCCGCAGCTGGGGCTGTGGTCTCAACTGTGGTCGTAGCCATCGTGCCTGATGTTAAGCGCTAGGAAGAGATCGTTTCTAAACGCTGCAATGATGAAAATGGTATTGATGCTGCTCCTGCTCGTGATGATGCAAAAGTGGGGGAGGACTGATAGCAGATAGCGGGGAGATCTGGTTAATAAAATGGCCGTTTTGCTAACGACAACATAAATACGTACCCCGGAAGTGGCCGCCTCATGTATAAGATAACAGACAAGCACTTAGATGCGGGCAGCGGAGTAATTTCAGTTGTGCAACACTTCGATTGGCAAGCAAATGCTAAGGCAAGTTAATAATAGGGCACTGTTAACTTTGGAGTAGACACAGTACGGAGATCGGCGGAGACAGCCACGATTGCCGACGGCCTTATCGGCCAAGTTCCCCTATCGCTTAGATAAATACTGTACAACTGGCCCCTGCACCCCCAGATACAATCCAGTGGAAGAAGCGTAAATTTACAGCGTACCCTTGCCTTTACTACAAGCTACAATCTTCCTGAAGATAACAGCGTCGGTTGACTCCACATGTGCCGATGCCGTTATATCCATTTGCCCCTCATAGTTAAGCGTCCACTTACTTAGTAGTATTGATCTGCGATAATCGGATATAGCACCCGTACTCATAATAATGGAGTTTTATGGATCTGACCTTATCTCAAACTCGACAATATGGAGGAGTTATCTTTCTTATCCGTCTGAAGCCAATAGGCAATTCTATAAACATCAATGCTGGCCTTGTGCTTGTAAACCATCGTCTGCATCTCTATTACTCCCAAAGCCGAGGCCACAAATTTCTTTGTCGTAGGTTAACGTAGGAAGAACCATGACAACCCTCGTCTCCAAGGTCCATGACCGTCTTGTTGTCAAGAAGCAGTGTGCAGATGGGACTACCGAACCAGCCACCTTTCTCGACAATGACTCCATCCGTCCCACACCAGTTCAAGACCGGACTTGGACTTCAATTACATACTCAGCCTTCTGGTTCGCAGCCACCGCGAATGTGAGCAACCTGTACGCGGCTTCTACCGGCCAGTCCGCTGGCCTCAGCATGTGGGAAGCTCTGGGCTGCTCATTCGGTGGTCAGTTGGTCGCTGGTTTTCTCATGGTGCTCAATGGCCGTGCTGGTTCACTATACCGAATTCCCTTTCCCGTCGCGTGTCGAGCGAGCTTCGGAACCTGGGGTGCGTTATGGCCTACCTTCAATCGTGCTGTTATGTCTATTGTTTGGAACGGCGTGAATGCTGTTCAGGGAGCCCAGTGTCTATAGTAAGCCAAATTCTCCAAATGATTAGATCAACACCAAAGCACGACAAAACGACAAACCTTGATCGTACTGTGCATCATTAGATTTTCACTAACATATCCCCGCACTGCAGCGTCTTTCTCCACGCCATCTTCCCTTCCATTGCGAACATCCCAGATATCATGGGCCTCAAGTCTGCTCTCAACTCGGCTCAGATGCTCTGCTTCTTCCTCTACTGGTACTGTACTCCGATTCCATGAAGCGAGCCCCTTTCAACTTGGCAAGATGTTTCTAACGTTACTCTGTCGTGGCAGGATGATAAACTGCGCCTTTCTTTTCATCCCCGTACCGCGAATGAAGAAACTTGTTCACATCAAGGTTGGTGTGTATTTTGCTGCCACCATCGCCTTCGTCGCCTGGACATTGTCATTATCTGGCAGCGTCCGTAAGACTTTAGCCGAGCCATCGACTGTTAACGGTTCGGAAAAGTCCTGGCTGATCCTCAAGTTCTTCTTCCTGGGACTTGCCAGTTGTGGCACCTTTATTTCCAATGCCTCTGATCTGCAACGTTATGCCTCTCGTCCTAATGACGTTATTGCTGGCCAGGTATTCAGTTTCCCAATGTCCAACTTCTTGGTTGGCGTTTTCGGTAATTTGATTGCGGCTGCCAGCAAAAGTATTTTTGGCGAGGTTAGTCACTATTCTTCAAGTTTCTGTAATATCCTGGGTATAGAATGTCGCTAACTCTGAAATCCCCAGGTCGTCTGGAATCCACTCACGACCCTGGATATGCTCATGGAGGGTGATCGGCATACATCTGCAAATCGTGCGGGATGTGCTTTAATCTCCTTCGCTTATGTATACTCAACTGTCTTCTCCGCCATTTTCGAGAACTCCATTCCGTGAGCTCAGCCCTTTCATCCATACAATTTACGAATCTTTACTAATCTGTTCTTCCTTAAAGCGCCGGAAACGACATAGCAGCTCTCATGCCCAAATACATCACAGTGAAGCGCGGCTTCTTCATCTGCGCAGGTATGGAAACACCCATTTCACTCAATATTTATACAGTATTGGTATGGGACCTGTCACTGATTGATGTCTAGTCCTTTCGTATGCAATTTGCCCTTGGTACTTGCTCTCATCTGCAGCTGTCTTTATCAACTTCCTGAGCTCGTACCAAATATTCCTTAGCGCTATTTCAGGTATTCTGATCTGCGATTACTACCTCATTAGGCGTGGTCTTTTCGACATCCCCATGCTTTATTCAGGGCATAAGGACTCTACTTACCACTTCTTCCATGGTTTCAATCCCAGGGCTTTTATAGTCTATTTGATTGCCATTGCACCTAACTTCTATGGCTTCCTCTCCCAGATGGGTGTCAATGCCCCATTAGGAATCCAGCGATTTTACTACGTCGCCTATCCTGTGGGACTATTGTTAGCGTTTGTAAGCTTTTGGCTGATAAATATACTTTACCCGACGAAGAATATCCCAAAACTGTCGGGGTGGCAGGAGCCTAAAGATTTTGTGGAGGACCATGACGGAACCTTTTCTAACGTTGTAATTAATTCGTCTGATGCAGCTTCTGGTGATCAGGAGATGGGAAACATCAAGAAGCCTGCCATGCGGAGCTATTGAGCTTTTTATTATACTAGCCATCTATCTTTGTCCATAAATAAGAACAAACCGAATCTTGGTGTACATTCTAAATGCATAAATAGGATATTTAACGATATTCAGATCAACGAGTAATCAAGCTCTAACTAGTTTCCACCTATTAAAGTAAGATAAACAGCTAATTCAATTTGGTCACTATTATCTCGCTTACCATACATTATAGTATCTTAACTGGTTGGGAATAAAAGCTATTATATAAATACATTAAGGCACCTTGGTGGCAGAACTATTATCGTACGCTTTGAGACCGTAATCGCATAGGATGTAACGCCTTGACCTTTCCTTTAGTGTCTATCTCTTCCTCTTCCACCATTTGATCGAACATGACTCGATCCGCTATTTTCGACTCGAGAGCTGCGTCTCGACTTAATGAGTCCAAGAGGGCATGAGGCTCAGTCCAAGATGAGCCAAAGTCCACTACTTTCCCATCGCGAAAATTGTCGATTCGGATGTCCATATTGTAAATCCCGGCCTTATTCATTGTAATCACATTGCTTAGGATTTTCCTAATGCTTTTAGAATTTACACCGCTGTCTGAGGATGCAATATCTTTGACAATGGCTCTGGCCCTTAATCCTTCGATTGTGGATTTCTGATAATCCAGATCCATGTCTTCTAGTCCGAGGTCAATGTCGAGATTTTTCAATGCTTCTTGATCGTTGGCCCGTAGGAAAAGGAACCCATGGCATGGAACAGCAATATCCGACTTGAGGACTCTTTTTTTCATTGCCTCGTTTATGCGTCCATATGCTCGACATTCTGCGTAGAATGGATCGGTATAATAGGCGGCCGTATCTAGAGGGGTGTCTTCGCCTAACGATGGCCCCCAGAAGTACTCGGTACTCATTGGATCGAAGAACTTGAACTGATACCAAACCACTAGTAAGTCATAATCGACGAATGTGGAAAATATTTGGTGATAAGAGAGAATGTTATTACATACAACTTTAATAGCATATTCGTGACCACGGATAAGAGCGCGGAAGACGTAGCCTTGACTTGAGGTAACATCCTCGTCTTCATTATCAAGTCTCTCAAGCCAATGAATCCGTGATTTATGATGCTGAAACACATTGAGTTTTGGTCCTTCGCAAGGCGGTAACTCAGAAACAGCTGACTGGGAGCCTTTTCTTCCCGACATGTTAAGGCACGAGTAAAGACCACCAGGGATTTGATGAGAACTTTGACACAACATTAGTACTCGGCCGTTGGCCCCCTTATAGCTACCCATATCACTTGCATTCGCTTCGGGCCGTGCTAAGCGCGGGGTCAGCTGTGACAGACTCATTGTAGGTGTCATGGAGGGGTCATGAGGCCAGCGCGCACCCAACAGGGATTGCAGTGCTGCAAGGATATCACCAACATCAATTGTTTGCATATGCAGTCTTCAGCAGTACGGTGGGGGCGGATGAGATGAAAGTACTGAAGAAAACGAGAGCCTGATTTCGTTTCTGGACATTACAAAAAGCTGGGTGCATCCCTTGGAGAGACACTAAAGGTCGTGGGCTAATTATAAATACTGTTCATTGTTACATTCCAAGGGCTGCACCTAAGCTACCACGCATAACGCTCGTATCCCTATTTGTCTTACATTAAAATGCCTCAATCACCCCCTGCCACGTCAATTCTTGAGCTACTCACTCATCCGAACCCGCCCATTCGCCATACAAAACCCAAAGGCAAAACAAACTCTCGAAGCCTTATATGGTATTATCCCAGACAAATGAGAAAATGGGAAGAGTTTGAGGACATCAATATCCTCAAGACTATTTTTGGTGGTAGCTTGCTACGAGAGGCATGTCAGGAAGATCGGGCCTTGAGTCCTTATCCATACCTTCATCCCCAGGCAGATTGCATCGTGTGCAATGAAAATGACACCCGGGATGTGATTACCAAATGGAACAAAACAATCGTCACTGCGGCCCTAGATCCTGTTCAACACACTTTCCATCCTTCTATTTGGAGCAAAGGCAATTCCCCAAAAGATAAACAGAAAAGTCCACTTCCTCCACCAAAGCAAGAACGGCGGCGACATCAGCCACCTCGCCACAGCTCCCTACAGGCCCGTCAGCCAAGATCACAATCATTGTCAAGACTGCAACCAGATTCTGGGTCTGTTGCATGGGCCCCACTCTCGCCTGAGGGTGACATCATAACGGATGCAAATCGACAAGAAAGATTTCCGAAAGAGTACAAGCCTTCTACAAAGTGGAAGAGTGAGTCTTTTCTTAAAGGCGGGTTTTTGGATGGTTCAGGGGCCTTTGAGAGGGGCAAGACGACCGATAACTTGGCCTGGCCCATTAGACAGGCTTTCACATACTGTATTCAACATATGTGTCGCTATGGCTGTATCTTGACATGCGAAGAAGCTTTCATATTTCGCATTATGCCCCGTGAGGGCGAGCCTAGTGAGTCATGACCAACTCATTGGTTGTTAATATTTACTTACGAAGATAGGAAATCGTGCACAACACACAAAAACGTTGAAAGGCGAGCTTATAAACAATGGGTTGATGGAGTATATTTCTATCCCGTGGGATAATCACAGCGACAGAGGTGGAGACGGTCTTGATGTATGGACCGTTAACTTGGCTTTGTGGTTTGTTCACATCCTAGCAGGAAACAATTTTGAGGCAAGTTGGAGCTATGTTGACTTGGCTGATGAAACCTTGATTCTGTCTCAGCCGGTTGAGGAATCGAACGAATCACCGTTGGCTTCCTTGACTCCGGCGGAGGATCTTGAAGACGAACAAGGTCGGAAACTTAACGAATCCGATTCTGCAGAAGATTCGGACGCAACTCACTTCAATACTCCTTCAAAACCTAAGCGCAAAAGGGAAAGTGATGACGAAGACACGGAAGAAGGGTTTCATCTTTCATTTTCAAAGCGCCAGAATATATAACTAAAGGTTTAGGAGCTCTATAGGCACACTTGAAATTTATTACGAGGATATATAACAGTGAAATTGTTGCAATATACATACCAGGCTTCCTTATAAAACAACCAACCTAATTACCTCAAAAGGATAAGACATGTTTTGGATTCTTTTTACATAGTAGATAAAATTAATATGATACAGGAAGTAAAACAATTAAGATGATAAAGAGTTACTTATAAAACCTTGCAGTAATAATAGCATTCACTCTTATTAAGGAGTGAGCTCTTCCTTATCTTCTAAGAGGCTGGAATAATATATATAGAAAAGATGGTTACTAGGAGGTCTTTAGTAAGAATTATTAAAGAGGCCAGTAATAGGTAGAGATTCAAACCCTACTGCAAATTGTATTGAGTAATAACTATTTTATTATTTAAAATGACCTTTACTGTTGATAAAGATATAGACCTTAATAGCTCAATTATATAACTATTAAACTTCTTTAAGTTACTTTACTTATCTTCTTCTTTTACTATAGGGAAGGTCCATTAGGTTACCTAATCTTAATAAATTAAATATAATAGCTTTCCTTAAAAACATCTACTAGCTCTTGCTTATGTGGAACTACCCCAGGTCGGGCAATAGATGAGCTGTCAGAGATAGTATGAGTCTGTTAGCCAAGCACTTCATGCTAATGGTTAAGCGGTTTCATAGCTATTAAATGTATCTTAAACTGTTAAAGTGACATTGTTAAGGAGAAGCAAGGCTCCAAGGTTACTACCTAACTGCAGCCTGATTTAAGGCAGTGACAGCGTGCTAAGTATTACTCCGAGACATACCACTTAATTCTTTATTGTGTAACATTTTGACCTACTACCTCCGGCTTATTGAATAAGATAGCAAGGTAGGGATTCGCCGCTTATGTTATTGAACAGACACCACCTGCACGGAGAATTATCGGGTATTACTCAGCACTATACAAAAGAATTAAACTTTAAAAAGAACTGTCTTAAATTGTACCACGTCAAACTTTATCGGTCACACCACAATACCTTGGTAGATCATGGAGAGAAATGCCATATCGTTGCGCCTCGCTGGTGTCGATGAGTTACTGCAAAGCGACTCACAGGATGACGCTGAACTGGCGCTCCTTGAGCTATGGGATATGCTGAAAGAGGATGGAGCTGATGAAGAGCGAGTAAGCGACATTATACCACATGTCCTGTTACGAGTAGGCGGTGAGCAGGAGTGCTACGACTTCATAAAGTGGTGGGTTTTCCATGGTTCGAAACCACGCACCGATAAGCGCAATTCGCCATTCTTCAACACCAAGGGAGCCAATCCCTGCGAATCCCCTCGTGCATTACTACAGAAAGATCTAAGTCTTAGCCATCTCGTTGCGCTCACACTTCTTAAACTGCGACCTTTTCTCGACCTGGAAGCTATTTCCAGTGCCTTGTTTGACAATGCTTTTGGATTCGACGGCACTATTGACTCTATCGATCGACCTCTCGGAGAAGTTGCAGAAGACATTTTCGAATCATCCAACTCAAGCAGAGTTGAGAAGCTAGCCAGAGACATCCAAAAACAGTATCTTGACCTGTGTGAGCGGGTAAATACTGCGAACCCCTACTTCTGGGAAGGCCTTGCCACTGAAGAGCTGCCCTCTGCTTTTGGGCCTCATGAACCCGGGACTCTTGACGAGGCGGGGCTCGTTCTGCACCACTGTCGACGGGCATGGGAAGAAAGCGAAGATGCTCTGGTCATGGCTGAAGCTGATACCGGGCGTTATATCCGTGCTTATGAAGGATCCAAACCGGTGGGAAACCCAGTATCATTGGAAAGACGACGTGGGACTGGAATTGCTTTTCCGTCCAAGATCGAATATGCTGGAACAACTGACTTTGTGGAACAAGTCAGTGTTGACCACTCGTCAGGTCGCGCAGTCTTTGGGGATAAAGGGAGATTATTGCTCTACACTGATGGTGCTTGTCTAAACAATGGGAATCATGATCCCCGTGGAGGCTGGGCCGTATATTTTGGGATGGCTACTCGGGCAGGTGTCGTTAATTCTGCATCAGGTCGTCTGGAGAACCAAGGTCCATTCGGAGATCACAGCATTGCTACTAGTAACCGAGCCGAGTTACGTGCGGCGATTGCAGCACTCCGCCTTAACGATTGGAAACAAGAAGGCTATCACACGATCGTCATTGCCACTGACTCAACCTACGTACTCGATGGTGCCACAGCCTGGACCAAGGGATGGGTACGTAACGGATGGAAGCTACAAAGAGGCGACAATGTCAAGAACAGAGATCTGTGGGAAATGCTACTTGGAGAAGTGGAAAGATGGAAGAGTCAGGGTGTAGATGTTTGTCTATTGAAAATTCCAAGGGGAAGCAATGGAAACGCAGATTATACTGCAAAAGAAGCTGCTCGCACGATGCCGGACACCGTTCAGTTCACTGATGTCACATTGGGCTCTATCCAGGCTCCTTCAACGAATCATGAGCTTCAACCATATGTACTCGCTATTTGCTTGGCAGGCGAACCTATGTTTCAAGACTTATGCGGAGACTTGATAACAGGAATTCGCGCCCATGCCCGCTTGACACCTGCCTATAACCCAGAGTCTGCACTCAGCTTCCTGAACGGACCGTCACCACCGTCTATGGTTCTTATCGCAGATGCAGAAATCACTCGTCACAGAAAGGTTTGGGAACGAGTCATAGATCACATGCGAAACGGGGCTGCAGTTGTGGTGGCAGGCTGTTTCAGCAGTATGGTAACTACCGGTGAATTCCAGCGTTTGTTCACGATAGTTGGTGTACCCTGGCGAAGAGGATCATACCACAGGGCTGATATCAGCTTACAAACTCGGATTATTGATGAGCATTTGACCAGCTGCCTCCCAAAGAGCTTCAACGAAAAGTGCTCTTTTGTTGCGGACGTCAAGAAGCCAGAGGCCTGGTATGTTGACGAGGATACACCTGGTCAAGCTGCAGTAGCGTTCACCAAGGTTAAGTCTGGGCGACTAGGATATATTGGATCTGTGAACGTGGAACTATCTAGTGTTCTGGTCGCTTGCGCTATGTTTGGCCTTCCTTAGAACAGAATAGGGCAAGCTATGCCTTAGACATACCCACCATGGAATCTATCACGTAAAGGCTGACTGTAAGGGAGAGTGTATGCGCCACCTAGTGTCCACTATGGAAGCCACCATTGCAACTGGTTGGCCAGGTTTGACACGAGAATCATCTATCATGCTCCAAACTGAAGTCTTCATTCCAGCCTGAACGTCTTCCCGCTGTCCCTCTTTAAAAACCTGAGACAGTTCAAATCTTTCGAATGGGACATAACGTCTCGATCCATCTAAAATGCCTGCAATACCAACGCCAAACAATTTGCCAAGATTCTAGAGAACGACCCTTACCTGAATAATAGTCTATGGCCAGACAATAGATCTCCCTTAAAGCACGTAAATATCGCCAGGGTCGCCCCATAAGTTCCCGGCTTATTGGAAGTTACATGTTAATGATGCAACAATGAGATGGCAGCTCTTTCTAGCTATTGCTAGCACAGCAAAATCTACTACCGCCCTTGAACAGATTGGGGAGCCTGAATACGTTGATGGGGCTTGGTGTTATACCTACCTGTCAACGTACCTCGCACCTGTACAAGCTGAGACCGCTGAGCCAATCTTTCCCACGGCGCCGAACTTTCCGACAACTCGTGGAATACTCCCTTCATATTTTACGAATCGATCAACTGCTGTGCCTCCGTCAACCGCTCTGGAGGCCACATAATCTTATTTGCTGCAGTCGTCTTACCATTCGCTGTCGGAGGTAGTACCACTGTCTATGTCAGTACGAATCGTGTGATATCAGTTGGTGCTGGAACCGATGAGTTCAATAACGATGCACTTCCCTCCGACAACCTCCCAGCTATAGCGTTCGCGCCGTACTGGGACGATCTCTATCTTAGTAGAAGTCGTGGCCATACTATCGTCTATGAAGTGTTCAATGGCCAGTTCGATAACGAAGTTACTTTTGAGTTTCTTGTTGGCAGATTTATCGACAATGGCCTCTTCCATTTCGGAGTCAGCTCCTTAGAGTCTGAGCCAAATTCAGTCAGGTTTCAATACTACAGTACGCCTGAAAAGGGGTCCAGGGCAACAGTTGGCATACAAAATCGGAACACTGGTAAATTTATTCTAGTTGAGTATAACGAGGCCGATAGCATCTATGTCTTCCCATAGTGGAAGTAAGATAGAGGTCACCTTTAATAATACTGAGTGTGGAAAGGGTGCGGATCGAATGTAGGAATATTCCATGTTGATGCACAGTTAAAATATAAAATACTTGTACCCCTTTGAAGTACTTCTAATTAGACTTTAAAATAGACGTTTATCTATACATTTTGATCAATGAAAACAATCTAGCTCTGCCTTTGTTCATTTGTAGATCTAAATACCAGTGATTTGCCCATTGGAAGCAAAGGAGATAGTTAGTGTAATAGCTAGGAAGTTGACAAAGTCCAACCCTATGAACCAGATAGGCTAGGGTCAAGTCACAAGGCATAGCGCAAGGGAAGTCTACCGTCGCTACAGTGCGTGCACTGGCAACACAGACCTTGCCAGTCTATCTATTCCCCATCAGGTATAGCTGAGCTTCTGGTGACGTCGGCGGTCTGAGCCGCGTATATAAGCATAATACACCTCGAGGACCTCCTTTCCCATCACAATCCTTCTGTACACTTTAAACATTCAATTATCACATCTTACTATCCAAAACCTCTACTACCCAGGCACCCAACATGAGCAATTACACCACGGTCTCTGATGGCGTAGTAGTCACTGACAATGGGGTATACCTTATACATCCCCTAACTCTTGCCGCTTTTTATGACTGACAGAGTGCGACATAGATCCCACCCCCGGCGAACTGGACAAACACTTACGATGATATGGGCGGCGACATGTTGTGGGGTCAAGGCGGTCAATTGGAAGATGAGGTTCGGGGTCGTGGCATTGAAGGGGATATCAGGCCGCACTACGGTATGGCGCCTTATACGGGAGAAGCACTGTATCTCTTCGAGGTTGGGAGTGGCCAATTCTTCTTCTTCAATGCTATTGACGGATCTATGTTGCAGATCAGGGATCAGAGCGATCTGCAAAGTATTGTAACTATCCTTGACGATGACAATCAAGGGCTACCTGCGCTTGACATTGAGGAAATTTAACTCCTCGCCTTGAAGGTCACCAGGGGATATTTAGAGGTTTTCCAAATACTATACAAAAGAATTGGTATTCATTTCAATTGTAGGCGTCGCCATACTTACCAGACCTCCGTGCATTATTCTATTATGATACTGGAATGGCTTACCGCAAATTTATCATATGCCCAATGAGCAATCACGAATAGATAGTATTCTTTTCTCCCTAGCTCTGCAATCCAGTAATGTATAAACACTTCACTCCGTACGTACAATTACAATGTAGCACGTTCTTGATGATAGGCCACCTACCTCTCTTATCTTAGTGCTTGGACCTCTTTTCCACAAGCTGAAATAACATTTTAGGTAAAGATCCACTCCTGATTCCTGATCTTCAATCACTAAAAGTGGGATATTGGCAAAAATAGGGCGGGGTTCCAAGACAACATGACCCAAATCAGGAAATAGCGCTGGTAATCCTCAGGTTTGTTTACAGCTGAATCGATAGTTGCAGCCTACTACCTGACAGTGGAAGTGGCTGGGGAGCGAATTGGAATGTTAATTGACGTCACCGCAATAGAAAGCAAGCTCATCCAACTTGATAAGCATTGTAGATTAAATGGATACAGGCCAGGGTCTATGTCAACGGACTGTAGGGTAATTGACTATCTGATAACTATCTGGTCTGGCGATTTTACCAGGCATGTGATTACTGCCAAGCGGAGCTATTATTAGATGTGGCAGACAGCTGAAAAGTATTTTCCCATAGACTAAGATGAGCGCCATTTTCAGGTGATCACGAACCTGGCGCTTCCAGGCTGTGGCACAGTTCGACCCATCAGACCCAGGGAATTAAAAGGTACATAGGACCCTCACCTATCAGTAACTGCGGATAAGGCCAGCTGCGTGACGGGAGATGGTGAGTATTAATGCAAGGAGGAAGTTGTTCTGGCATAGCTATCTACTTGCAGTCCACACCACCTGACCAGCCTGGTGACCCACCAACCTGTGAGCATTATTCAGGCTCTCTCCAACAGCAGCCATGTCGTTAATAGGTCCTCCGAAATTGACCACTGCACTCTGATACGGATTGACACCCAGTTTGATCTGCGCAACAGACCCCGTGCAATCCACCGTCCACTTTGCGATTGTGTAGATGAGCGGCTCAAGCCTCTTCTGCCGTTCTACTTCCATCGGATCTGCTTGGTTGATACAAATGCAGTCCATCCAGATCCACGCAGACCATCCACCCGTGAGAGCCAAAATCACCTCAATGTTTTCGAAGACGTTCCTAAGCGCCTTTGCAGCACTTTGTGGGATGAGAACCGGATTCCCATTTATGATCATCTCCTCAGTTGCGCTGCTGTCATCAATGCTGTATCGGATGACGAACAAAGCAGTGGTCTTTCCGATATTCAGTGTCTGGTCGAGCTCAATCTGCATAGTTTCTGTGCTGTCGTGATGCCTTCTTCCCCATGGAGTGAAGATTCGTGTGACCATTGGACCGTCCGATAGTGGTTCATAGACGGGCCTACGTTTCGTTTTGCTTGGGCCGCACCCCATGTTTGTTGTTATGCCCTCTGGAGGGGCAGCTTTTGTCGACTTATAATGAAGCAGATGTGAGTAACTGAGCGACGGCGCGTAAAAGTGTATGGAAAGATTAATATAGTAATTAGTGTAGGAGGCTGCTGACTTTATTGTTATCTACTCAAGACAGAGGGTAAATCATTTGAACAACATTACAAATGCAAGAGTTACCTTGGAAATTAGACCATTAATTCAGCCTGGCCACTGGACTATTGGCAGTAGCTCAAGCCAAGGCAGAATAATCAACACAACAATTGGATGTCTGGTGCTGTTAATGTGCTCAGCTCATCCTTGGCATACGCCTCTTGTTTCAAAACACCTCGTATCCCAAGCCACACTCTTAATTTCATAACGCGGTCTTGGTTTTGGGCTTTATAAGATAAAAGGGATAACCCAAGCCAGACAGCTCGACTGAGCAGACAATACAGCACAGTATCAGCAATGTCTGGCGACATCTACACCGGATTTTGGATCAATCGGGGTCAGAACCCCGTCTTAGGTTTCACCTTGACTTTAAGCGTCAACCATGCGAATTTCCTTACCTCATTCCTTTCCTTCATCGTCACCACAATCATCGTAAATAGCCTATTCAAGATCGTCGTCTTCGTTTTGCATTTTTCCAGACCCACCAGGACAACAGAAAACAGCCTTACCAGCCAAGTTTACGTTTCTCTACTCAACGCCTCTTCAGTCTCCTTACCACCTTTATCACTTCTTAGATCCCTTGTTTCGACAGGTCACGGAAGCCGACACAAACTCACCGCCAACCTCTTGCTTGTCCCTCTGTGGATGCTAATCGCTATCAAAATCGGAGGCAGTGCAATCCCCCCCTTGATTGTTTCTAGCTCGGATGACGCTGTAGCACTCGCAAAGCCGGCAACCTGTGGCTTCGTCTCGATCGACCCGCGAGTCGATTCTAGAAATGCATTTTCTTCCCGGTGGGAGCTCTACGAGACGAGCGATGCAAGAAAATACGCATCGGAACGGTATTCCAAAGAACCTGCTCGATTCGACACACAATCATCGTTCGTTACTGATGCACTGCCCTTTAAAGTAATTCAGAACACAACTTGCCCCTTCGAGGAGAGGATGTGCCTGCTGGGAGCAAACTCGGCCATTACATTCGATACTGAGCTGTTGAACTCGCATACGCACCTTGGTATTAATGCCCCTTCTAAAGACCGCGTCGAGTACCGTTGGCGTTCCTCATGCGCTGTTCTGAACGTCACTAGCAAGGTCCGTGTGTTTAGGGACACGACGTATAATGATGTCCCCATCTCGGCTGAGGAGCCGCTGGTGGAAGTCGACTTGGGACCCATCAATTCAGGCCCATCCTCAGCTTTAAGTCCAAACCACACTTTTCTCTACAGGGTTCGCGGTTTGGAACCATCGAATTATGAAGTAAAGTACGTTCGTTGAATTGACCCATATAAGCGACACTAACGGAGGACATGATGAAGATCATTGATGTCCTCAGATGTGGTTCCGCCAATTCTTAACATTTGGAACCCGATAGAGGCTCTCCGCGCACGAAATGCCAGTGTGACAGTGGTGTTCATTGCACCTCACTCCGTCGCATACGAGAAAAGGGTTGTTGACCCCGTTTTTCAAGCTTCGAACAGCTCGCGAAATTCGTTTTCAAAACTATGGATGCCCGATTATGTCTTTCGCATTGTAGGTTGTGTCGATCAGCGTCAGTATTACAATCCAATGAATAGGTCTTGCACTTCACTTGATTCACCAGGCGGAGATTGGTCCGGTCCTTTCGTCAACAATGGTATCTCTAAGCAGTTCGCAACTATAACGCGGTTAGAGGAATATACAAGGGATTTGACAATCTGGTCCAATATTCGGTCCCTGGGGCCTGGTGGTGAGTAGAGTAGAATGAAATGCTTCTCTCGTACCTCGAAGATGGCTAAGTCTCCCCTGATAGCTCTTATAGCACACTCTCTCGTGCCGGAACACACCTATAAATCACCAGGCCTTCCGTCCAACCAGTGGCAACTAGAAGCCAGGCGATGGTTCGAGACCGGCCTCGCCAAGCTCCAGTACAAGGTTGTGCAATACACCAATATGGACTTTGTGAAGCCGTTTGCCGATATCCCTCTTCAACAACCCGAGATCGTGGATAGTGACTTTGGGAATATTACCGAGCTCAATGAGATCCTACAATCCCAATGCAAGTCGCAGCTTGTCAAACTCAACGGTCGTGGGCAGAACGTGAGTGTCCTCGGTTTGGTCATAATACTTGTGTTAGCTACAGTTCTTATGATTTTCTCTCTGGGACTACAGTGGTGGGCTGGCAGAGATCCGCCAAGAGGGGAGAAACGTAAACGATGGCAGCAGGAACAACTCCTAGCGCTTTGGCAGGCACCACAAGGTGTAAACAATAAGTAGATTAAAGAATAACAAAGAGGATAATTGCAGTTCAAAATAAATAGTGATAAGATAAGTACTATATATATTACGACTAAATACTAGGATTAAGGATATCCATGCTTAGAGAATTCAAGTAAAGTATTTAAAGTATTGAGAACTACTAGAGTACGAGAATTTCTATATATTATATTATACTAAATAAAATTAATAGGTATTAATTGTTATTATTACAAACTTTCTAACAATTAGATTAATTTTAAAATACATAAATATATATAATAAAGGTTCATAAAGTAATTAATAGTGGTCTTAACTTATAAATAGTTTTTAAATATAAAGGGATGTATAAATTAATTACGTAAAGGTTATGTTTATTATAATTATTAACCAATACGGTTTATTTACATAGATCAATTTCTCATAACTAATTATATTATATATTCTATTCAGAATGCTAAATAATATTTATTAAAATATATTTCACTATATTTAAACTAATAAAGAACGACTTAAATGGCTAGGAGACCACTTTAGTGAGATATTAAATAAATTCGGCTTAAAGCGAAAAGAATACATCATAATAAGGGTAAAAAGGTCACTAGGTACTAATTAAATGTAGTTTACTCTACGAACAGTAGTTCACCTCTCCTATATTGAAACACCGAGAAAGACAAATAGAGTAATATATTATAATCTATATTTTAATATTTCCCACAAACTGGAAAGGGAAGTTTAGCACTTCTTTCTATAAAGCCTGTAAGAGTATTTTCGAACGTAATAATTGCTGTCTTGTAGTGAATGAATTGAATATATCATTCAGCTCTATATCCTTCGCCTTCTCCACATTACTATACTTGCTACCGAGCTTTATATTCCACGTCGCTAGGACACATCAGTTACTCAATGTTCTCAAGAGTGTATGTTAACAAGTCTAACTTGTCAAACGCGATGTGCTTTCCGTTGTTCTTAGCTACGTAACCAATCTTGGGTGCCTCTTATTTAACAAGCTCGTGCTTGTGCGAGAAAGAACCAGGTGCTTCACGAGATTGACCATATGTACTTCTTCGCTCCAAGACCGAGTTGTTTAGCCATTTGGGCTTGTCTTGGCTGCATCCTGCTATAGTAGAGTCCAGTTCCACCTCCACAATGGTGATTCTTGGCTGCCCACTAAGTGGGCTGTCGATCGACGTTACTTACGTACCGCTCTTAGCCTGTTCTCTAGGGTTGGTAAACAATCGATCTATGTCAAGGATTAAACCCTGGGTCATGGTCTATTTAAGTATCGTGAATCAAGAATGGAACTTCTCTCGCTCTGATTCCTGCCATGGTGTCCTCTGCACAATGCTTTCGCGGCCACTCGATCGTAAATCCATGACCAGTTCTGCCACTTTCCCCACTATTTACCCCTTTTCCACCTCCGGCAACACAGGAAAGAATATGGGTTCGACAGTTATCCAAGTCAGCTCAAGAACAGCGAGAGTTAGATGTCAAAGTGAAATCACCGCTATCATCTCCGCCGTTACCAGTCATTCCGCCTTTCCCGACACAGAGATTGTTACCGCGAGTCCATAGGGCAAGTAGCTATAATGTTATCAGTTCTGTGTCTTCTGCCAATACATATCTTGCCGCTGTAGTCGGCTGTCTTCCCACCTTGGCCCTGTTTACCGTTCTAATTACCTATGCCCTTGTCTTTACCCGAGATGTTAAACTTGATAACCTCCTTGATGCCTTATGTATGCTTGAATGACCTATGACCGGCAGGGGGAAATCAAGCTCTTCTCGTAATGAACCCTTTCAATGAATCCCTGCGTCACGCCAAGTTGGTTTCATCTGAGTGTATTGCTGCTGTCATGTCCGACTTTCAACGGCGTCAAGCCCCTAGAAGCTTACCTCTGAATGAATGAAAAGCTCGAAGAGTTTATCTAAAGTAGGAGTCTATGTAAGACTGACGTCAACATGTAGTACGTCATGTTAAGACAGGTATGTCTCAACTTCCCCAAAAAGATCACGCTTGGAGCGGAGAGGCCGGGGTAGCAGCTCGTGCATGGCTCCTGGACCAAGCTGGAAGTCTAGACTCATCAGCCCCTGTGAAGCTAGACTTATATAATCCCACTCGGTGACCAGCAGATGAGACGAAGGGCATATTGGATAATTTTGTGGAATGGTCTAACGGCGGGCATTGACAACAAGATAGAGCCGACTGGCAGCCCTATGCTTTCTTCCGCGGAGAAAGAAGGTTTTAAGAAGAGTAAGCTCCCTTAAGAAATTCTACATAGCGTGATCGACAAGGGGCTAGGTAAGTGGCTTAACCCATTACGGTCGACTCTGGACAAGGCGCTCGGCCTCAATTGCATGACCTTGTGGTTTAGGTAATCACGCCAGCGAAACTGCCGACAGGATGTACTGCGAGACTTCTCTGGCTGAGAAAATCTTCAAAGAGGGTGAAAGGGCAGTTCCAGCAAGCCGAACCGCATATACCTTCCAGGGTAAAAGTAGAACTAGAAACAGTCATTCCCGATGCTGCTCTTCTAGAGAGAGTAATTGGCACGCACAATAACAGACGTGGCTGGGGGGTTCGGTGCCGCGCTGCAGCACATATTTCAGATGGTCAAAAAGGGGACTACGTATCGCACAGTAGAGTAAGCCTGCTGGGAGCCACCATCGTTCCATATGCTATCACGCTTTGGGTGAACTTGTCCATAGTAGGGCTTGACGACACCGTTGGCATTTTAGTAAAGTCATCTAAAGAACACGCAAAAAGACTGCCCAGGCACTTAATGCTACGGCGGACTCCAAGATTATATAGACACAGGAGAAGCGTGACGCGGTTTAAAGCTCGAGGTGGATCGTAAAGAGCTGGAAAGTAACAGGTAAGAAGCCAAAAGCGAGGATACTAAATGCCCAAAGGAACATAGGGCTGCACATGGGCATTGGGAAGAGGTACCAGAAGAGTAAACTGTGTCTACAATTTGGACAGTGTAGCCTTAGCGGCCTTGCTTTATAGTTTATCCCTCGTATTAGGTCCGGGTACATTTCTTCCCGTCCCACCAGGTTAAGAATCAACCATATATTATGCTTCGCCCCCTTATTTCCGTTATCAGCATCTGGTGATTGGCGCGAGATTGTAAAAGCAATCGAGAGGCCTTATGGGGATGACCAGAATCTATCTCGAGCACACATCATCTCTGTCGAGTCCCTAAATTCGGCAGTTCTTATTCCCGGCCCAGTAAAAAATGACATCAGCATGCTGAAATATGGAGCTACTGAGCCAAGGGACAATACCAGCTAGGCAAGAAGTAATGTTGATCAGCCACTAGAGATATTAGCACTGCCCTCTTTCGGGAAGTATTGTTTCCGTGTCTTAGCTTGGATGTTTCTGGACCATACTGTCTCGTAGCGGTAGTTCGGCATCCGTGGTCGGATCAGATTGCTTCCGAGATTGGAAACACCCGTCAATGACTGCTAGTCGAGTAATTTTGAGATGTGTAAGTGTTTCTTTGATCAGAACTTACAATACTACAACTGGAGAGCCTGTTCAATCCATGCAGTTCGTTCCAGAAGTTAATACACAGGAGGATATTGAACATGTCCAAACTATGGAGTTCGACAGGGATGTCCCCCTACAGCGGCCAGAGCCACGACTACAACCGCGATCACCAACACCACGATGCCGTACAAGAGGTTGATGTTGAGAAAGGGCTAAGTAACGAATTAGAATGCCTTCCAACAATACCAACTGCGGCTTATCTTGCGACAAACCCAACTGCTTCCGTTATTACGAAAGACCAGCAACCTCAGACCTTACCAACGCGGCCAGAAGAAAGCATGCCAACCCCATACCACGAAGTTACAGAGTCGATACCAAAACCCCCGAATCCTACAGATAAAGGCATGAGCCGTTGGATATTGTTGCATCTATGGTTCAATACCTATAGGAAGTTCTTCGTCTTGTGCACGTCGCTGAACCTGGCCGCCATGATAGCAGCTGGACTCGGCCACTTTCCTTACGCCGTCGAAAACTCTGGAGCAATGGTGCTTGGGAATCTCCTCTTTGCAGTACTCGTAAGGAACGAGCTATTCCTAAGGTTCCTGTACCTGGTGACTATCTACGGCCTCCGAAGTGTATGTAGGAACATCCTAGATAAGCGATGGGCGTGTGTGCTGATCAGTAGCATCTAGTGGGCTCCGTTGAAGGTACGACTGGCAGCAACCTCAGCTCTTCAACACATCGGAGGACTTCATTCTGGATGCGGGCTATCAGCAGCTGTGTAAGATCCTCTCAACCCCTTTGGCAACTACCCCTAACAACGGATGTGAATAGTTGGCTCATACTCAAGATCATCTATATGATACGCCACCGCAAGATGCAACATAGCTCTGTGATTTCTACAGGTGTGGTGACAAGCACACTCATCTGTGTGTCTGTCATCAGTGCCCTTCCATGGATTCGCAAGTAGGTCTAGGTCTAATGCTGGTGTGGTCTTGGTGCAGAACTAACACGAGCTTGGTAGTAACCATCACAATACGTTCGAGAGATATCATCGTTTCATCGGCTGGCTAGGTGTGGCAGTAAGTAAGCCCCGAAACAAGGTCTATTCGACGCTGACCCAGAGCAGATGACTTGGGTATTTGTTATCCTCGGCAATATAAACGATGCCAAATACAGCGAATGGCACTCCAGCGGCAAGATTCTGCTCAGCGGACAGGAAGTATGGTTTGTCCTTGGTATTACAATACTGTATGTCTCTGCCCGCACATTTCCCAATACTAGGCACTCATTCAATACAGCATCGCTATCCCTTGGGTCACACTTCGCAAGGTCCCAGTACACGTCGAGTTTGTAAGCCATCCTTGTCGTGACTTGCCTTTGCATCAGCTTACCAACGTCGCTTAGCCTTCGCCCAGAGTCGCTATCCTTCGGTTCAACCGTGGCATGCAGCAGGGACTTACTGGTAGGATAAGTCGAACGGCGGTTAAAGAATTCCACGCCTTTGGCATTGTTAGCGAGGGTGTCAACACCCCCTACCACTACATGATCTGTGGTGTTCAGGGTGACTTTACAAAATCACTTGTCTCGGATCCCCCAAAAACAGTCTGGACAAGAGAGCTTAAGTTTGGTATGGCCCATCTCAACTTTTCGTGCAATGGCCCTTACTCATGATTTAAATAGCTGGCATCGGTCATGCCTCAGCCATGTACAAGAGAGGAATTCGAGTCTGCACCGGAACTGGTATTGGAGCTTCTCTCTCCACCTGTATCCAAAATCCAAATTGGTATAACTCAACAAAACATCTTAATGCATATGTGCTAACTCTTACAAACTAGGTTCCTCATCTGGATTGGCTCTGACCAAGAAAAGACCTTTGGTCCAACAATATCTGGCCTTATTCATAAGTATATCGAACCTGAACGAATGATTCTATGGGACACAAAGAAACGTGGTGGACGGCCTGACACTCTTAAGCTTCTTATAAAGACATATATAGACTTTAAAGCTGAAGTGGTGTTTATCACATCGAATAAACTTGGTAATGATGATATGATGCAAGGATGTTATACAGGTATGTTCTCACATCTCATTTATTTATGTATGACTCTAATATCCATTAGCTGGCATACCTGCATTCGGGACTCTTTGGGACTTTTAGTATCATAAATCCATAGAATTGGTATTCTTGTCCGACGATCATTTAAAGCTAGTGCATATCTGACGTTCTATTGAATTCTCCTATTCCATATGAAGGCCTCCGCGACCATTCCGTGTATAGAGAAGGTAAAATATCGCTCTTCTTCGCCAAGGTCTATCGCGAAACATTCCACCACGAAACAAACGGAAGAATCCTGTATCTGGTCACATTTATCTCCAAGTCACATCAAGATACCGAATGACGCTATTCAATTATTATTCATATAAATTCCATGACACGGGCAACGCCCAGAGGTTGAATACGTTATGGGCGCGTGTCCCTTACTTTCGAGTTTAGAACGTACCGTAGGCATTGGCAGCGTTTATGTACAAGATCTATCCAGCATATCTCCATCCCACGGGCTCTCCAGCAGAATCTTCCGCAGATTTCAATGCCTTGTTCTTCTTGGCAACATACCACTTGGCAATTAATACAAAGATAACAGTCAGACCACATCCAGCAATAATAGCACCACCGCCAGTTTGATAGTAGGGTTCCTGGTTTCGAAGGAAGAAGTAAGGCGTAAACCAATGTGACACAGATGAGACACAGTTTGCGTAGGCAATTAGAGCGGCACGCTTAGTACGAGGGCGGGGTACAACAGTGGTTTCCCATGAGATTTGAAGCTATCCATACCGTTAGTGAGAATTCAGTGAGTCTTATCGGTAGGGTAGCTTACGTTAAGACCAACAAAAGGACCGATGACGAGAAGGATCATGGAAAAGTATCGAGCACCGACGTTAAGTGTTGTGATCATAACAACACAACCAACAATGGTAAACAGAATGGGCACGATAATGTGGTAACCATGCTCCAAGCGTCTACCAGAAGACCAAGAGATAAGCATGGTCACGATGAAGGCGAGGATGGGTGGAGGGGCCTGGATGAGGTATGTGGTGGTACCAGAGAAGCCAAGTGTTGCGACAATCTTTCCATTCTGTTAGCGGTGAAACACATCTGTAGGCGCAGGACTTACTGAGGGAAAGAAGTCCTTGTAGGACTGTGCAATAATCAAGGAGAAATGGATTACCGCAAAGATGTGGGAAAAGGGATCCTTCATACACTTCGGTTGCAAATGTTAGTCGTTGTTACAAGTGAACAAATCGTTGGTGATACTTACCATCCAGAAACCGGACCAGTAATCACCACTATCGTCCTCAGAGATACCACCTGCATCAACTGCCTGACGATATTGAGCCATGGCAGCCTCTTCTTCGGTGATGAAGTACGTGCCAGTCGAGTCCGGAAAGTTGGGGATGAACCAGAAGCTCACGATTGCCACGAGAATGCTCACAGCGCCTTCGAGGAGTAGAAACCATTTCCATGCTCGCAAATCAGCGACGCCTTCCATATTTGTCAAGATGCCGGCGGCCAGAAGACCTGACAGGGCTTGGGAAATTGTGTTTCCGGCATGCCAGACACCCATTCTAAGAGGCGATTCGTGCTTTGTGTACCAGGAAGAGGTCATGAGGGAGACTGCTGGAACGAAGGGACCTTCGACCAGTCGGATAATGAAACGGCATAGACAGAAGCCCCATCCGGAAGTGACAGTAGGTATGCAGATGGTGACGCAAGACCAGGCAAGCATGCAAATTGGTAGGAGAATTCGGGGGCTCCCCTTGGCAATAATGTAAAGTAACGGGCTTCTTGTCACCTGATAGACTTAAGAATAGAAACGAGTAGAAATGGTAGTCTTGACAAGACAGCTTGGGTGTAGAGAAAGGGGGATTGCCAAGCGACAATCAGCATTCAATATATCTTCCCCGGCCGCTTCAGTGTGCATTAATCCATGCATCTCAGCACAAGGTCCGTTTACGACAAGGGTTTGGCCAAAGCGTGGAGAAACTACATGGTCAGAGTACAAAGGCGGGGTTGGACGGTAATTTCGGCATTCCCCCTGGTTCCCCAGATCGTCTTGCAGAGCTAACGGATCGGGGAACCCTAGTCTGGTTTGGAGTTTCGCCGTCGGACATACTCCTAGTGCTTTCGGGGTAGCACCGGGACCACCTTTGAGGGGGTTCATGTCCTTATTTTACGGACTTACCGCCTCTGATGGACATTATTTCCCCATCACGCTGAGAGATGACAAAGACGGTCGTATTGGGGATTTTGTTGGTAAAGCTAGGCCGACCGTATCGATGGGAAGGATGGGCTAGCATTGGCCTGGGTTTGAGGAGACCACGGGAGGAATGATACCCGATAAGAATAGGAATTAATAATTGCAACAATAATCAGACGGTAAGTTAAGGATGGATACCCTTACCCGGGGATGTTAGATTGTCAAGTTTCATATGGGGCGAGGCTTTACTTATGCTATGGCGAGCTTAGATGTGATGGGTATATAAGTAAATATTTATCATGCTGGACCCTTTGTCTACATTAAGTTGAGTGGATGATGCCGGACTGTGAGTAAAACTGACATTAACTAACGATTGTAAGAATATAACAAGACTATTCTATACTTCTGTTTTGCTTTGCCTCAGGGTTGGCGCAGGTACCGCCCCACGGCAATGCCACTCGACCTTCTGGATATTTCCCTCAAGACTATCAGTAATAAATAATGTCTTGTGCTCAGGTCCTCCAAAACAACAGTTTGTCAAGTTAATCCCTTGCGACCCACTGACAATTCGAGCTTTTGGTATTCCGTGCATATTAACCACAAACACTGACCCGAGACTTGGGTGGCAGATGAACAGGTTCCCCTCTTCATCCAGAGCAAGGCCGTCTGGACCTGCGTTACCAAAAGACTGAAAGAAGACGCCTGCTTTAGATGTCGTACCGTCTGGGTGTAGGGGTAAGCGCCACACTTGATTTGCTCTTGTCATGGCGACATAGAGGAAACGTTCGTCGCGAGAAAGGACTAGACCATTGGGCGACGGACCGTTGTCGAGAAGAGTGTCGAGTCTTCCATCTGGCGACAAACGGTAGACACGGCCTGTTGGATCGGTCATGCCTGTCTGTCCTTGATCTGTGAAGTAAAGATTCCCCTTCGAGTCGATGATGAGATCATTCGGACCTTTGAATCTCTCTAAATTCTTTCTTGTTAATTTCGGCCCCATCTTCCCAGTCTCAGGGTTAAAGGACAGGATTCCCTAGTTATCTAATTAGCCGGATGCACAAATACGTTGTTCTAAGAAGGAATGACAAACCTGTTTGTAATCTGCCACGAGCAGATCTCCATCCGCGCTTCCAACAAGACCATTCGGCTCACCATCCCAAGTACAAGCAACCAAGACATTCTTATCCTTATCGATCTTCAGAATGCGGCCATATGGAATGTCGACGACATAGAGATTTCCAACGCTATCAAAGACAGGCCCTTCAAGAAAGATGTGCTTGAAGGAGCCCGCAAAGCCCCCGCGCCACTCTGAATCTTGGCCAATGCATCGCTTATCATCAGGGATGCGAAGCCAGACCTCAGCTTTAATCGTGGGAGGTGGTGGATAGAAGTTCATGATCTGTTCCAGGACTTTAAAGGATATCGAAAGTTTGATGAAGCTAGGCTGAACAGATTTGTGTGAGTAAATGCGATATAATATGCGTGACGGACTTGTAGTGCTTACCTCGGAAGAAATCCGATGGTTTTATTGTAAAGCGGGGGTATTTCCAGCCTGTATACGGATAAAGGTTTGGAGACTGATTGATTTCCGTTTCCTGACTAAGGTTTGACAGGTTAGTCTCCAGTTATTAAGTGTGGTACAGTGAAGTAAATTCTGCTTATTTAATAAAAGCTAAACCATCGAATCTAATGCAGAAATCTTTAAAGAAAAGTTAGAATAAGTAAATGCAAGAGTGTTAAGTTAAGACAGTACAAACTGAAGTTTCATCTATATTGAAATTTGTTCAAAAATAAACATACTAGATATTTATATATTAAACAGGTAGTGTTCCAGAAATGGATTTTATCCAAAGTAGGTCGTTAACATCGTGAACGGCTATCATCAACCAATAACTTACTAGATGACAGCTCGAATTAAACTGAAGTCGCGAATGGGTACCGTCTCCTGACAATATCCTCACGTGGCATTCTCTAGTGACTCCATGACTGTCCACAGAGGGCATCAGCAGTAGAAGCTAATAATGCTAATACTTAACAAATTAAAGGCCATGCTGGCATGGTCAAAAGTATTGCATTTACTGGTGCTTTAAATCTAACACGTGATAAAGTATCAAATCTGAACAAATGTCAGGGGTTCAAGAGCGCCCTGACGAGCAGACCTCACTACCTAATTGATGTTGCCCTGTAACCTCATCCTGTCTAATAAACTTTTCTGAATGCAGAATAATTGTAGATATGGTGTGCAACCTAACATACCTTGCAAGTGTACTTGGTGGCAAGAAAGCTCATCCTCCTCCGTATTCGGCGGAGACAAAGCCTGAATTCGCCGGTACAAGCAAAGCAGCTAGGTTACAAACAGTATTCATCCACTCACTCTTTGTTCTTTCTCACTTTTATTTGTATGAGCTGAGATTATTCAAGCTCTTTCCTTGTCTAAGGCTAACAAGGCACGCATGACTTGCTCTACAATTCGAGTACGTACTGATGGAGGTACAAGACCCTTGACATGTTGTTGGTCGCTTCATCACATGCGAAATGAGTACCCCTCCAATTCCGTCATATAATCGCAACGTTGCCTTCAAGCTTACTAGATCTGGAAGGAAGTTTTGCAGTGGCAACGGATGATTTATTTATAACGTTTCCGCAAATGACCCAAGCTTCCCGAACATCTGTGTGCTATCCACCTCGAGCTTTCGTCAGATATACACCTTAAACAGTAATTAACAAATTCAGTAAGTAACTCTGTGCTCCCCGAGATATAGGATATGGCTTATGATGTCGTGAAAAGATCTCGATTCTGCCAAGGATCATGTCGAAACTACCAAGCGACTATACTCAGGAGGAACTTATTGAGATGGGTCAGAGAGAAATAGATAAGCGAGGGGGCCTGGAAAGCGTTCCCTGCGATATTATTTGTCTCGACGGGCATCGATTCCATGTCAACTACGACGTGCCTCAACATATTACCGATCAGATTGAGGCACTATTTTGGGGCGACAAAGAAGTAAGATACGAGGATATTCCTGAAGACGTGAAGGCATACGAAGAAAAGGATTATGAGAGTGATGAGAAGGATGAGAATCTCAAAGAGTCAGATATGGACGCGAAAGAGGAAAAGCAACTAAGCAAAGAGGATAGTAGAAAGAAATAACTATAAGACTTTTAATACGGCGATGCCTGGCAGTGCCAGATAGACCATTACTGGCCGTTCTCGAAAGCTATAGCTATAAAGTAATGTAGGCTAGATATTTACATGATTTGAACTTTACTTTAGGCTTATCCATACAGCTAACGTACCTACTTTCATTTCCCATAGTCTACTCCGTCTCGGTTCAGTAGGCTTTTATAGTGCGTTGTATATGCTGCTGGTTCTCGATGGAGCTTTTCAAGACTAGATCCTCTAGGGAGGCTGCACAAGGGTATTCTCAGTAAGCCTCATTCGTATACCTGGAGTTAGTTTACAACTGAACTATACTAGTGATAGAAATTCTTCCTAGGACTCCGGGGTTTAAAAGACAAAGCAGAAACCCTGTAAGGGTTGGCCCTGGTGATCTAGGCGTTTATTCTCATAATATAGCACATAAACAGGTATCATCTATCTCCCTTTTTCGGTTATTTAGCACTAGATATTAGGATACATGTCTCAATCGTCACCGGGATTCTACTCTATTTTTATATCTTAATACTAGAACATGTTAGTCAAGAGTGGTGGAACTAAATGGTTTTATAAGTGTATATGCTTTAGAATTCATCACTGCAAGTAAATAAGAGCCTGCTGATTTCATGTCTACTCGAGATATCGATCTAAGATATGTTTCCCTACATCAACTGCTGGATAAACCAGTTACACGAGGACAAGTCTTGCCCATAGTAGTACTGCTTTCCTCCCACGGTAAAAGGGATCTGTACCTGCCGAGCATCATCCCATACACCATTCTGCATCTCACTTCCCATTTTGCCACCAATATCAAGACACTGGATAATCCATTTCTTTGTACCCAGATCCTGACCATAGAAATATTGTTTGTCGTCAATTGTGTAGGGAAATTGCACCTGATAGGTTCTATTCCAGGTACCGCTATCGGTTTCATCACTCAATTTACCATCGGGGAGGATTTTCTTTATAAACCAATGACGTGACGGTTGCGAATGTGGCAGCACAGGTTGGTTTTCCGCACTAGTTCTCTCCGCTTCATACGCCTCTCGATCACGCTTTTCCTCAGATGACATAAAAGGGTTACCAATATCTTGGCCATAGATGTACTGGGTGCCGCCAATTGTGAACGGAAACTGAGCCGCGTAACGATTTTCCCAACGACCTTGATCAGTCTCGCTGCCCATCTTCCCTCCAGGAAGTAGTTCCTGGATAAACCAATACTTTGTATCCAAGTTGTGGCCAAAGAGGTAGTTCTGATTGCCAATTGAGAAGGGGTATAATATGTGATAGGCATTATTCCAACGGCCAGAATCAGTCTGGGCTCCCATTTTTCCGTCTGCAAGAAGTTCTTGAATGAACCAGAAGTTGGTGCTTATCTTGTGGCCACAGAAAAAGACGCGGTTGTCAATCGTGAAGGGGAATTGAACCGCGTATGGGTAGTCCCAGGTGCCTGAATTGGCTGCAGGACCCATTTTGCCTCCAGGGAGAAGCTCCTGGGTGAACCAATACTGGTTTGATTGACACTGGCCGTATAGGAACTCCTTTTCACCGATTGAGAACGTGAATTGCACTGGGTATGATCATCCCCAAGAGCCATTGTCAGTCTGGGTACCCATTATGCTAGTCCTGATGAAGATGTGGATAAGGAGATGTTGGATTGGATAGTTTGATGTAAATTGTCACCTGGTTGGGATGGCGGTTGGAAAGAGAGAAAGTGGACCAGGAAGACTGAGTGAGACCCTGAAAGCAGCTATCGGTGCAGTCCCTCTTATATGTGTTTGCCCCTTCCGTTATTGACTCACTCGTCGGAGTTCTTTCTAAACGCCAGAAATGGTACCATTTCACCCTGGTGTCCTCACTCAGCCCGCCACATTCTTAGCGCTGTTTGACATGCATACCTGAGTTGATTCAGAGCCTATCCTCGACCGGTCCTCTTCGCCATTTGCTGTGCTCAAATGTCTCAAAGGGGAAGGCCGAAGGCTGGGCTTCTGTGTGGACATTACAAGATAATGTCCATTTGTGAAACTGTATGGCATGAAATGGTATGTCGTCAAAGTGAGAAATTCGATTATGTACATGAATCTAACGTTAGTGTAAAGTTATAGTGCTGGAGCTAAGTCAATTAAGACTCCATCCGAGGTGAGGGCCACTTCTGGCTCTTTAGCCTATTTCAGCGACCTGAGCACCCCACTCAGATATACTGTCTCTCAAGACTCTTAGGACTCGCACTCTCCAGTCACGAAGGTAGTCCTAGGACGTTTGTTAGCGTTGGGCTCATAGAATACATATGCAAAGGTGACTTACTCGATCTCCCAGCTCTCAGTTCGTACCTGAGCTCCCTCCTCGGGACAGCCATTGATGCCGAGACTGAGGAACTGCTGGCATCGACCACCGGTGAGGCCAACCTTCTTTCCGTGATCAGTTCCCATCTTGAACACAAACTTGCCATTTCCAGAAGGCGCGTTGATGCATCCAGTCCTGGTCTCGTATATATCATACGTGCTAGCACCGTTTCCGTTGTAGCACCAATCATGCGCAGCAGCAAGCGCATCGGTCTTATCCTTGCCCCAAGGGATAACATCACGGCTACCAAAGCAAGCAACCGAGACGGGATACTTGTATCCAATTGTGCGGACACACACGTTGGCGTCAGCCCAGAGGTAATAGCATTGATCGCCGACAGTGGGGTTCCACTCTTTGAACTGCTCAAAGGTGATGCCATAGCTTCGGGCAATTGAGGGGCAGCCTTCGTTCTCCTGGACGAAGTGGAAGCGGTCACAGTTGTCAACCATGCCGGGCTGGATGGGAAGGGGTGTGGTGATGCCGTTGTCGCCTTTTGTTGACTGAATGGCTGTGGCCTTGGAGAGAGTTGGGCTTGGGGCAGCGGCTAAAAGGCCGGCGTTGGCGAGGAAGAGCGATGTGATAGTAGAGAACCTCATTGTGACGATTGATGTGGAATAAGTTGGATTATGAGTAGTATTCTTGATTGTTGTGTGAGCTGATTAGAATGGCTAATTGGGTAGAGACTTCGGCCACTTTTATATCCATTTTGATGGTCGCCTTCTCCAACATTGCGAACTCTCAGTCCTGCAAGGCAAATGCGATCACTCTTGCTGTGCCTTACCAGAAATTCTCCTGCGGGAGGGTCCTTCCAATAGCGCAGATCGCCGAGGATCCGTAGTTGTTCGCCAAGGTCAATTAGTCAGGCGATTGTACCGGTGATTGCCTAGTTGAGATGTTACGCTAAACATGGAGGCCGTAGAGTCATTCCGGTGCGCTGTTTTCTATTTAACCTAACGATCTTACTTACTTACGGTGGACCCAGTGCATAGGCTCCTCCATAGGGCTACAGGGGTGAAGGCCTGAGTCTGACTTCACGGGTCCTCCCGCCCGTGTTGGAGGAGCTTATCTCTAATTTTCGTATCAGTATGGACTACTTTCGAATGCTCTATCATCATGATCCAATGGAATAATTACTGTTTAATTCTTAGTAGATCTTACTCACAGTCAGTTTCTAGGTCTTATGGTACAGTGAAAACTTTGACCTCCTCTCAGCCCCAAGAAGGCAAGGGGACCCTCATTCCCTGCAACCAAGGAAATTAATATCTTGGCATGCGGCACAGTCCACTCAGAGCTCGGTTACGTGTTAACCGAGGGCCGTCTCTGCCTTTATTTCTCCATCTTTTCAATACGAAGTCTTTTCGGAGAATGATCAATCCACACTGGAAAATTCATCTGCCACCGAGGCTTCCTGCACCCTTGTATATTTGGGCCATTTAAGCAATTATTCTTAAGCTTTAAAACAATAGCTATATAACCTATTAAGACTTACTATTAAGGTTATTGTATACTTTTATATAATACATTGTAGTATAAATACGCACTATTACAGTCACTAATTTATGCAGGCAATCCTCGAAGAATTGTTATGAGGAAAGAAGGAAAGCTATAGTTACATCTTTACTTATACTTCTAAGTATCATATTTGTCACATTCTTCAAGCACTAGCAGTATAATACATACTAGGTGATCCACCAATAACGACTTTACACTTCTCTCGAACAGCCTGGGCAACAGCACATGGTAAACAGCAATCGCCTTGATAAAGTTGAGGTATAGTGTCAGAACAGCACAGAAACTGGGATTCTTTATTGCGATGCGTCAACGTGACTCCGACAGAAGATGCTCCTGATGCCGCCGGTTCCATTACAGAAGTAGCTTTGACAGTCAAGTTGTTCTTGTTTAGGTCGAGTGGTGTCGAAAGGTCGTGATCGCAACTATCGGCCGGATTGAGACTCATTAGTCCCAAGTGTATGTCCAGAAAGTTCACCTCTATGGTGCTGTTACTTTGCTTGATATGACATCGGAGTAGAAGCGCCTGAGAGCTTTGCATCAAAGCTGGGCGCAGTGTCATAACAAGGCTGCTGTGTTCGCCAAGCCCTGATGGAACGGCTATCACACCCTTGGCAATAGACCTTTTTGCTTTCGATCTAGCCAGCGTTTTCGCTGCTTTGCTGCCTGGCATTACTGGAATTATCAAGTCGTAACTGTCGGCCTGATAATGCAGTCTTCCATCGACTAAGTCATAATGTACAGCCCATGGACTAGAGATCTCGGGGACCTCAAGGGTAGCAGGGTAAATAGTAGAAGCACCTGAGCTGTTGCAAATCGCTTGTGAGATATATTCGCCACGAAATTGCTTTAATCTTCCAACAAGAAGGAGAATATGCTCATGCAACCACAGCGGCCGAATGGTCTTATAGCTATCAGTCTCATTGAATAATGACCAGAGAACATCAATGAGATGCGGGTACCTGTCATCTTCAATCTGGAATCTTAATGAACTGTTAAGACTGTGTTGTACGAAGAGAAATATTAGCGACGTCTGTGTAATTTGGGCTACATGTCTCCAAAGTCTAGAAACCGGGCAATGTATCCATGATATAAAGGCGTTCGTATTGGTTTTCGGATGAAGATTCAGGTTCCACATGTCTCCATTATTGCAGGAAGAGCATGTGCAGTTTTGGAGAGGTAGAACCCCTCGAATGGTTTTCTGAAGTGTACTGAACCCCTCTTTAGGGCATTGCAGAGTATCGGAAGGACGACATAGCACTTTCTCTAAGCGCTGGGGAATAGTTTGTCGATATGTGGGCCCTAAAATGACCCTCAATCCTTGGGACGGGAGACGGTTTTCTGGCCAAAGATCAGAATTCGGGCTCAGCAAGCAATGGTTAGTAGTTTCCATTGCTATAGATGCTACGAAATTCGATATAGCAAGTTTCAGAAGCTGAGATGAGTCTCCGCCGACCATAGAAAGGGTAAGATCTAACTGACTCGATAAGAAGCCATTACATACAAAGCGTAGTTCTCCGTTGTGATTGTGTTGGCTCTCTGTAATGATGTGGCGTTTTAGGAACCCGGCCTTCCCAATTTTCAGCTTAGTCTCAAGATGAATTTGTGTTGAAGAGCTATTTTCGGCAGTGACCGAGAAGATAATGTTGTCCCGGAGCCCACTCATCAGGGCTTCTCTATTGATCCGCACTGAAACATCTTCAGGGCACATTGCAAGCGTCAAAGCCAATAGTGTTCCTACACATCTCGTTCCAGACACTTGTAGAACCAAACTCTCATCTCGAAGGGCACTGCAGACTCCGGACAAAAACATGTTCAGATCCTCCTCTGTCGGGGTGTCGGCCAAGTCTCGGGGCACGTCTGAGCCAGCTTCGAAAAAGCATTGCCTCAGCCGAGTAACTTGGAGTGCCAAATGGTTTCCAAAACCTAGACATGCTGATTTGCGTTCCAATAGCATGCAAACATCGCCTAATTGAGATGGTGAGGACAGCTGCCGATCTGCAGGTAGGATATCTCGACAAAGATCGTAGAGCAATAGCCCGCAACGGCCTTTTGGGTAAAGACTACCCAATCCACAGCATAGTAGGGCTGCAGTTTGCCCACCGGTAGTCTGACTCATAAAAGACGGGGTATCGTCTTTTGCCCATCCAACCCAAGCAGAAAGCCTCTCAAGCCTAACACACGACGCTCTGCACAGAAGGTTTGGAATCTTTGCTGCCCAGGGACCGTTGGATTGGAAGCAGGACCCAAGTTGCTGAACTTGTACGACGGCATTAGGGTTAGCATTATCAGCTGAAACGGCGCGAAGGAGTCCTTGTGCAAAGCCGATGGTGCTTAATGCAGCTCCAGGAATCCCTAAAATGTCAACCTGGGCCGCCACTCCTCTATTGTCACCTGACATGTCGGTGGTATGAGTTATCTTGTCGACTTCTGTGTTTCTTAGAGATACAAAAGGCACTCTAAAAAAGTTAGGTTCCTTTGCAATTAAAAAGATAAAGATCAAAAGTCAATGGTAGATAAATGGAGAAGGTGGGCCAGGGATGAGTTTGTTTTTGCAGACTACTAATAGGTGCCTGAAACTGCCTGGGCGGCCTCTTTACGTCTAGTCTACCTTATATGATTCTTGGCTTGCTAAGCGCCTATGTGGTATGTCATTTCTTACCCCTAATTGGCAGATTGCTGTCATCACAGCCACACACGGCCGACCGGTGAGATTTTCACCAATGACAGTGCCCAGGGAGGATACAGCGGCATGTAGAATACAAGAAAGTGTTGAAATTATGACAAAGGTGGCTGGCTGGCTATTTAATGTGGGTTTGTATAATGAATTCCACTGCCACTTTACATATCTTACAACACCATATACTTTTCTAGCTAAATAGGTAATTTTTCAATATTATGTGAAGTCTGGTAGTACCCTTCTAAAAAACAAAAAGAGATCTAGCTATCCCAATAAATTCTACAGAAATATCAGTAATGGAGGTCTCTGGATAGACCGAAGAGCAACAGTACCTCAAATTCAATAACGTCACTCATCATATCAGCCACCGCAATTGTATGGTTATATTAATTGGCTATAGCCTTACATCCTGACCAACATGTTGGCTGTAACCCCGTCTTGCTGATTATCTCACCAAGAACTTGAAGAGACACCTTCAGCACCACGTTCTTAAACCTCCTCCCGCTCATCAGCTAGAGCCTCAGCTTTTTCAGCACTGAGGTTGCTGCCCTCGGCATTGCGCCGGAACTCATCCTCCTGCAGTCTCAATTCCTCGGAAAGCTGTCCGTGAGCCTTCCACACGGGCTTGATCTCGAAGAGACGGTTCATGGTGTCAAGAGGCAGACCCTTGGTCTCGGGGATAAAGAAGAAAACAAAGGTGGCCGACATGATCATCAATGAGGCGAAAAAGAAATAGACACCATAGCCCATCTTGATAAACATCTGAGGGGTGAATCGGGAAACAATGAAGTTCCAGAACCAGTTGTTCGCAGCGGCGGAAGCCTGACCGAGAGATCTGTAGAGAGTTAGAATCCTGCTGGCTATAAATAAGACTCAATTACGTACCTGGACTTCTCGTCGAACATCTCAGAGTTAAGCACCCAGGGAATTGGGTTCCATGTGGGCGAGTAAAAGACAGTCCAAAGATAGAAGAAGAAGACTGCAGCGATGCCACCACTCGACATGGATGGGGCCGCATCTCCAGCGGCCTCAGCAGCAGCAATCTTGGCAGCCGGGTTAGCGACCTTGATGTAGGCTCCGATAAACCACATGCAGAGAGAACCGCCAACTGAACCAATGATCAACAGCTTTCTGCGTCCAACAGTCTCGATCAGGAAAAGAATAAAGATGATAGTGATAGAAGTCTTAACCACACCGAAGATACCGGTAGTCAGGAACGAAGTATTGGTGCCCTGGATTCCGATGCTCTTGAACACAGTGGGGCTGTAATAGTTGATGGCGTTGATACCGGAACCATTCTGCCAGAGGAACATCATGCCACCAAGAAAGAAGCGCCATTGGATATGACGGCTCTTGAGCGCACTGAATGGCTTCCAGAAACCAGGTCCGACTTCTCTGTTGTAGCGGTCGAGCTCCTGGTCCATATAGCTAACTTCTTCGACCATATAAAGGTCATCGGGAGACAGCTGTCTCAACCAGCACAGGTTCTTCATGGCTTCCTCACGTCGACCCTTGGAGAATAGCCAACGAGGCGACTCCTTGATCCAAAAGGCGCCGAAGAGCAGCAGGCCGGCGGGAATGAGTTGGACGGCAAAAGGGATGATCCACTGCTTGTGGCTAGGAGCCATGGTCTCAGCCAATCCATAGTTGATCCAGAAGCCCACAAGGCCGCCAATTTGCCAGCCCAGCTCGTAGATACCAACGAGGCGACCACGGATAGCAGGAGGAGACAGCTCAGAGCAGTAGATCGGGACCATATTCGAACAAGCGCCGACACCAACTCCAGCAAGAACACGGCCACCGATAATAAGTCCCAAGCCTCGGTCCGCATTGGCGCCAAGCATCAGACCGGCACCAAGCATAAAGACGAAGCTGAAGGCAATCAGAGTATAACGTCGACCGATGTAGTATGAGGTGACGTAAGCGAAGAGACTGCCGAAGAATGCGCCCGCCTGGTAGACGGACACGATGTTGGCCTTGAGGAGAGCGAGGGCCTCGGGCGTGTAGGATTCAAAGTCGAATTCCGCCTGGAAGGACGGCAGAGCAATGGTGGTGCCAATGAAGGCGGAGTCATAGCCGATCATGCATGATGCAAAAGAGGCAATTGCAGCGCAAGTGTAAACGCGCCAATTGTAAACAGCCTTGGGAGTCGGCCGATCCTCGTTGACTGCGAAGATGTTGTTGATGGAGAGACCCATGGTGTTTTGACCAACCCGGGAGTTGAGTGATGTTTGTTGGGGATGTGGAGATCTGAACCGACATGGAGGGTCTGGGGAGGTCTCTATATATACGCAGATCATTCACAGAGATTTTCTTAATTACCGCGCTTAAAGATTTACCCCGTATTTCCCCAGGTCTTTCACTAGCTCAAACTCTACACGTAGCGCGAGTAAGGTTTTGTCACATTACCACAGTGTAACCCAGGTCATGCCAAGGCTTGGAGCTAGGGAGTGATGCTAAAGTTGGTTAGAGTGACGCTAGTAAGATCCAGATTCCCAAACCCCGCATGCACTCCAGCTGGGGTAACACACGTGGATTTGTCTAGCTTAAACACCATGGGGAAATTGGTCGAATAGTCTAGTGTCTAGGCATGTTAAGGATAAAGTTTTATCCCGGCTCGGAGCTTAATAGTTCTCCCTTGTTGCTCAATCTTTAAACAGTAACCGACGGGAAGATTATATACGCATCATTACGATTTTACACCTCTACTTTTAATACTAGTTAGAACTTCTTAATCACATCCCGAATAATTTCACCTCGAACTGAACTAACAGCAATAGCCGAATCTTACCGAAATGCTGTAGTCTCCTGGAAAACCCTAGGTAATTCGACTTTCACAACCTGCAACCAAGTGGCTCCCTATTAATTGAGTACCTACGTATGCCACGAGCTCACCAAGAGATATCTATAGCGCGCCAAGTTTACAAATCTACTCCAGCTTCTCCTACCTTAGTAAGCATATACTTAATAATAGCTCTATTTAAATTCTCAGTATTATTTCTACAAATTGCACCCACTGCGTTTAGAAATGGAGTTTCACACATTAACATTAAGTACCGTATGGAATATTCTTTAGAACAAAAGAATAAATAGCAACATGTTACTATAAGAATAAATAATTAGGTACGTGATAGCTTGTTATATAGTAAATCATTACTAATGTTCAAAATATAAACAAATAAGTAATTTTAGGATGTAAAGTAGGATAGCTTATAATCATTTCTATCTTAAGGGTTTGACCCAAATACAGGTCCAGATTTGCCGTAAAACTCAGAGACGTCATCCGCAAGCGTCTCTGGCCGTTCCCAAGCAATGAAATGTCCACCTTTTTGATGCTGTCTCCAAAATTGAATGTTACATGTCTCTGATAGCCAGTCACGAGGATACATCCAAAGCTGTAGCGTCGTATTAGCATAGTGACTTTGGCTATATACCATTGCAGATACCCACCTCTTTAGGGAATAGAGACCCCCCCACGGGTTGAGAGATATACCTCCCTAACATGCTGTCCGGATTATTGTTCAGAACAGCCTCTGCCTCCTTGTAGATTTGCATGGCAGCGCTTGGACTACCCTGGTAGTGAATGAAGGCCCAGTGAATAAGCTCTTTCTTTGTCCAGGGGTATTCGTCTGTCCAAGCCTTCAGCTTACCAACAAACCAGGCAAGCATACCAACCGGAGAATCGTGTAAGGCGTAGCCCAGTGTCACAGGTTTTGTTTCCTGGATGCGTTGGTAGCCACGCTACATCGCAGCATTCCGCATTAGTATACCATTTTAAGAATGGTGAAAGATGAGATCGATTCAGACTCACGTCTTCTGTCGCAAACCAACTAGTTCGCTCAAGGTTCTTCACCTCTCTATTGCTGTAGTCATTTTTCTGGTAACGAGCGAATTTCTCTGGGGCTTTCTTGGAATCTGGGGGTAACGCCAAGAACATATTAATGTGGATGGCTTGCACGGCGTCGGGATGGTTCAGTGCCATATATCTCACTATAGACGACCCCCAGTCACCTCCCTGTCGAATCAAAGGTTAAAAACGTCATTCAGAGCCAACCTCTCGAGTTCTTTTCGTACCTGGCACACATATTTCTCGTATCCGAGCTTCTTCATCAACAGCGCAAAACACGTAGCATGCTGTTCCAGTCCAAAACCGGACTTTTTAGAGTATTGACTGAAGCCGTAGCCGGGAATTGATGGCGCAACAACATGAAAAGCTTGCTTGCCTTCTGGAGGGTCAACTAGAAACGGAAGAAGCTTGGTCGCCTCAAGGAAAGATCCAGGCCTATCAGAGACTCAGCAAAAGTTTTAACATGGTGATAGCCAGAGTGTACAGACCAGCCATGAACAAAAATAAGTGGTATCGCATCTTGTCGCGATGATTGATGGTGCAAGAAATGAATATCCAGAGGCTCGAAGCCATCGACTTGTATGGGCGCCTTGAAGTGGTTGAAAGTGTTCAGGAACGTCTCATATTCTCGCCAGTCGTATTTGTCGCGCCAAAACTCGACAACCTCTTTGAATGCTGAATGGCCGATCTCCAAGTCGTTCCAGTCGACATTTGCCATTCCATCGTCTAGTCGAGCATATTTGAGCTTGATCTTCACCTCTTCCAATAGGCTGTCGGGGACATGAATCTGATGCAAGTGTCGCGTTAGTCTTGGTCGGTAATATAGGTCGCTGGTATTGAACTGACCTTGAACGGAGTGATGTCGGCCATTTTGCTGTCTGTCCTTGAAAGATTATAAAATAATGGGGAGTGTTTTTGCCGAATGTAAACTGACTATGTTTGAAGAGGGAAACCGTGTGCAATGTTCAGCAGTCGAGATTATTTATGCAGCTGAAGGGCTTTGAATGACGCAAAACAGCCACTTGTGAAGCTTAACCCCTCCTCTTTGGGCCTGACTTATGTCATGACTTTCGCAAACCGTACTTCAAGTACGCTTTACTTTGCTAAAACACTTAGACAAGCGCTTAGAGCTCCCAATTCTTTGACCAAAGTAGCATTGCGCTAATTGTATGAATTTAGTTTCAACCAACGTTCTGAAAGCCAGGAAGCCTCATGACCATTTTCTACATTTTTCATCGGTTTTGGACAAACTTCCGCTCCCTCCACATCGCATCTAACTTCTTTCTGGAACGCGCAAGGCTAGTAAAGCTGGTACGGCTACAAAGTGCGTGAGGTCACAATTTGAAAAACTGTTAGGACTTCTGTTACTATATAAATTAGCAGTCAAAGGAGGTACTTGCTGAGGTGTTGATGACAGATCTCCCCTGGCTGAGGAAGCCATACCGGCGAGTTCGAAGGAATCGCATTATGATCGTCAGTAAAAGGCGTATAATAATAGGGTAGAAAATATCGCAAGACGGTATTTGTTCTTTATAGAGAATGGTAATTAGACATTACCTAGTCTGTTTTATTTATTTATTTTAAGCCTGGTAGTACCTTTAAAAAAGAGATCTAGCTATCCTAATTAAATATATAAAAATATTAATAGTAAAGGTTTCTATACAGACCGAAAAGTAATAATATCTTAAATCTAATAAGGTTACCTACTATATTAGCCATAACTCTATTTTTTAATAACATAAAAACCCCTACTGGGGTTACTTTTCCCTCTCTACACTCCACTTCAATTAACCCACACCTACACAAGAAGAAGATCGCGATCACCAAGCAACCTGCCAAGCCGTAAGTCGACCCACCAGCTTCTCTCACAAGCGGATTAACCAAGCTGACCTCAGTTGCCTAGTTTATATAGAGGCTCTCCTCTCCCAGAGAATCTTACTTTCATAGACTAACGTTAAAGCTCCGATCCAGGGCTGGCATTCTGGAGAATGTGGAGGTATCTAGGGTTCTACTCGTGGGGATGCGGGGGCCAGAACCTGGGGTGGCACGACAGCATGGATTAAAGCTTTCCTTGCGGGCGGCAACGACTAAAACTTGAGTGCGGGAAGCTGTAAGCGCTTTTCCTTAATGCACCAAAAGGGGATGCCGTAGCCGAATGAATGACTCAAGGACTGACGTCTTAAGAACTGAACCTAGACTAATAACGTTAGTTAGATCATATTGCCACATTGACCTATGTCAGCGACTTGGCTAATCTATATAGAGCAATAGCGGTAAGCCAGTACCTAGGAAACTAATCTCGCCGAATATCTGTTCGCGTCAGGTGCATCATCATAGCCGGGCTGATTTAACTGCCGACCGCATAATTTTCTCATTCATCACTCGATATGGCTCACAACTACCTAGGTATTACTCAAACCTGCGCCTCATCAACAACGACGACAATCTTGCCCGCCGTCGATCCCGATTTGGCGATTCGGTAAACTTCCCCCAAACTATCCAAGCCACGAAAAACCTGCATTTCAACTTGTACTTTGTGCTCCGTAACAAACTGTACCAGGTCTTCAAGCTCCCCCCTACTCGACAGATTAGACCCCATCAACCTGATATCCTTGAAAATCATGTCTTGGAACGGAAAGTCGATCCTCTCAGGCTGTGCAACCTGTACCAGCAGTCCATGACCCTTTGTCACCGCCATGCCCGTAGCAATAGCTGACTTGGCATCGCTCAGTATGATGGTTGAGTCGCAAAAGTCGTCGCCTTTTCCAAGACCTCTTGGTCCAATTTCCTTGCGGACGTTCTCAACCAAAGCATCCATCCCAACCCGGGCATCCAGTGCCCTTGCGCCACTCTTAGCCGTCAACTCCAGAGCACCATCCCGAGCATCGATTCCAATAACATTGATGCCTTGGAGGGTGGCGATTTGCACAGCCAAGTGCCCAAGACCTCCGCCGCTGCCTACGATGCCCAGCCATCCTCCTGGCTGAACGTTGGCTCTCTTGATAGCGCGCCAGCTTGTACAGCCCGCACAGGTCAGAGGCGCTGCAGCCAAAAAGCTCAAACTATCAGGGATCTTGACGGCGAATCTAGAATCAAGGATTGTGTATTCTTGGAAGGCTCCAGGAAGTATGATGCCCGAGTATCCCTTGGTAAACTTGCAGGTGAGCCAGAACTCCTCTGGTCCGTTACAATCGATGCAGTCTCCACAGGGACCCTGGACTCCAATCGCGATAATTCGGTCGCCGATGGAAAAGTCTTTTGACGCGTCGGACCCGGCAGCTACGACTGTTCCCGAAGGCTCGTGGGATCCAGCCAAACCGCTTGGGGTGTCGTGAAAAACGCCCTCTAGTACCATGATGTCAGTATGACAGAAAGATGCCACAGCAACCTTGATCAATAGGTCATGAGCGCCTAAAGTATGTGGAGAAGGCTGCGGGATTTCTTTTATAGTCCATGGACCATGAAACTGAAAATATTAGAGAATGGTTAGATGTATGCGTAAGTAATGTGGTTCGAGGCATACTTGTTCGACAACGGCCGCCCTCATCAAAGGAGGATTTTCGTTTTGTTGAGAACTCATGATAAGCTAACTATAGAGGAATTTAATTTAGAGTATTTCTTGTACAAAAGCGATAGGGTGAGGTAGGAAAGATGATATGGCGATTAAGTTTATGAGGCGTGAGGACTGCTCTTTTAAATGATTTAAAAGGGAGAAAATATTTTATAGCTTTAGAAGCGGGTTTTTATAACCTTTATCAATCCCTAACAGTAATAGAGGATTAATAAGCTACTATTTAACCTTATTACTGGGGGTAGGCCAAGAGAGGGGCTAATGTATTTTACCGCTACCTGGTACATGTTATGACGTGTGTACTTTTCTTACTAAATGGCCTAGTAGTTTTTTATACAGACATGGCTAGAGGCCTATACGTAGTAGGACTTACTGCGCTTGCTATGTGTATGTGACCTAGGCTCCTTATATACTATGTAACCACAGCGAAGGTTATCACGTGTTCCAATTGGCTCAATTGACTCTCATGTCCAACCCCTCAGAAAGACCATCAAGAATACTCACAACACCAAGGGCTTCAGGGTCTGGAATACCACCCTCCTTATCAAACCTGTCTTGTCCAACATAACTCGCCCGCCCCAAAGCCGCTGCCATCTGCCGCGTGCTCTCAGCGCCCTTGCGCGCCTCCACCAACGCACCTTTCAACGAACCATCTAAGGCATAGGTCTTGACAAAAGGGATGAGGGCGTCCATTAGCGTGCGGTGACCGATGCGTGCAGGCGTGTACCTACACAGCTCGTCTAAACCGCCCTGGAGAGCCTTCTGCAGAAACTCGGAGACGGTGAGCGATGGTGAGTCGGCGGCTAGTTCGAGAAGACGGTTCACTACGGTATTGAGGAAGATGGCGTAGATGGCGCCTGATGTGCCGCCCATACTTCTCTCTGCGGTGGTGGCTATACGTCGAAAGATTTGTCCAATATCCAGAGCAATTGCATTGTCGCTCTCAAACTCTTCTACTAGACCTATACATTGCGTAAATTAATCATGAGCTTCGGGAAGGAGATTTGGTGGAGACGTACCATTGACTCCATTCAGGAGCGTCTCTCCACAATCTCCATCGCCTGCAAGGGTGTCATATTCTGTGATCTTGAGCTCATCCCTTGCTGTTGTTCGTGCCACTGACTGAACAAGAACCTTAACAAGCGATGTCGGTACTGCTTGTTGATAAGCTTCATGTTGACAGGCATCTTTATTGTTTGACTTACCTTTGACTCCTGTCTCTCGACTATTAACCTTTGCAGTCGTGACAATTGTTTCTCGTTTCGATACAGACTCAGCATCTGTCGCCCAACCATGGATAGAGCGTGGCCAAGCAGGTGCTGTAGTGGGTGCATCTAGAAGTTCTGTCAATTCATCATCAAGTGACAATAGAGTAACCGAGAAACCAGGTCCATCAAGCGGTGTCACAAAAGTGCCAACAAGACCTCTTTTGATCTGGATGTCTCGCACGATTAATTGCTTCACCACTTCGTCTGCAATAACACCGAGCTCCAAGACACTTAATCCACCGAGGTTGTTGACCATCAGGGCAACGCGCTGCCCGTTCCTTGGTTGCCACATATTGGCTTTGGGCGTAAACATCATGCTTAACGCCTTCTCAACTGTTACCTCGAGGCCTGGAATCTCTTCACGTTTCACACCAGGCTCATTGTGGATACCCATGCCGAACTCGAGCTGATTACGAGGAAGCGCCTCTTGGTTCGAACGACCGGGGACACTACAACGATCGAGACTCACGGCGACAGTGGCCATTTGCGAAGCGGCTTTTCTGGTGGTAGCGGCGACCTGGTCGAGTGATGCTCTATGTGAATGGGATGAGTCTCGAGTTGGCCAATGGATTAAATGGACATACCCCTGAGCTGCCTTGGCTCCAGCAATCTTGTGACAAAAGACTGTTCCTGCAAGACCACGCTGACCGACAAGTGAATTGCCCTCGACCGATACATCGTCTCCAACAATCACCATCTCTACCTTTTGGCCCTCAGCCTTGGCCTTTTCTGCTGCCAGACCAAAGTTGAGCTTGTCACCTGTGTAGTTTTTGACAATCAACAACGATCTATCTCCAAGTTAGTATGGCATTCGACTCAGAGGAACATGACAGACCCTTTTGACGACTTGGCAACCTGCAAGCCTGTGAAGATTTGTGAGGCAGATGGAGAGGCAAATATCTCGCCTGCAATCACTACATCTAATGCACCCTCGCCTAGGTATCCTGCGTGAGCCGGTTCATGACCAGATCCACCGCCGGAGAGGAGGATGACCTTATCATTGTTCTGCTCGTTGCGTCGGTAGAGAACTAACATTGGCTGGTTAGTTCTCTTCTGGAAATACTTCCACGTTGCTGAACTCACCCTTCTCTGAGACAATGAGACTCAAAGAGGAATCATGGAGGATACAACTCCTAAGGTTTCGTTCGACCAAGTTGGTAACGCCATTGGTAAAGCTCTTCCCTATAGAGACCTGGTCAGTATTAACTATTGTTGTCACACACCTCGTTCATACCCATAATCATGTTTGTTAGCCAAGGTTGAGATAACAAGAACGCCGACGCTCAAACAACAAAGGGGAAACCTTTCATCCCCTCCCATCGCGACATTTTTATCCAAGGATTTTCTACCGGGCGCTCCCAGATTCCTAATTCGGCCATGAATCCTACTTCGCAATATCCTACAAGCCAAATCAATGGAACGGTCACATGGGTATCTCAAAGCTGGTGTCCGATGAGGGAAGCCAACGCACGCGCAGTGGGTGTGCATCACATAAGCGAGGGAGTACCTACAAATAATTTAGCGCCGTCTCTAACGGAAAGGCTCAGGTGGAAGTTGCAACTCCAACCGCTACAGCTGTCAGCCGTTTATGGTAGGTCTAAGCGGATTTTGACAGGGACGTAGCTTTAACACCTAATTGACTTGCCCGTTTGAGTGTTTAAACGAACGAGTCCACGCTCATATTATACATTCGGTGTACTTCACCGAGCGAAATTATTTGAACTATTCACAAACTTAAAAATACACTGCGCTTACGCATGCCTCAAATTGACACAAAATAGCTGGCACAGTTGGCCCCGCAATAGCGCTAGAAGGCTTCTATGAGAAGCTGTAAGCACCACAGTAATTAATGCAGTAGCGATTATAGTCCAATATTTTACCCTCTGGCGTGGTGGTTAGGTGCGGTCGTTACAATAGAGAGCTGTCTTATTCGCGTCTTTGGAAGGGTTTTTCTAAACTAATACTTAGACTGCTAATGGTTGTGTGTGTTCTCGTCGCAAAGCTAAACAATTCATGGTTTTACAGTGAGGGGCAAAAAGGTTGAATCTAAACGCAAGTCCGTTACTAGAGTTTCGATTCATACTTTTAGCCCCCTACTGTATAATAAAACCTTAGTCTGACACTATAACCCACTGGCCGGTTGTAGTCTAACCTACGCTGAAGTGGTGGGCTATTGTTTCGACTACAGCCATAGCTGTCATCGTCAGAGTACTATTGGGATTGGGCAGCTACTCCAAGATTCATCATACCCCGCTTTGAAGGTCTTGCACAGCCTCAATCTTTAAATTTTCGTTTGTTGCTTATCTCTAGTTTATTATCATCATTCTTTTAGACTGTTAATAATGACATCTAAAACTCCAAATTCAGAGTCTTTGCCACTCTATGCAGGGCCAAAGCCACCAATGTATAAACGACTTGCAGCCAAAGAGATCCGCCTCCTCGTGATTCAGCCAGGTGTGTTTCGTGAACCAGTCAGGTGTGTTTCGTGAACCAGTCAGGTGTGCTTTGAAGACGGTTTCACTCGACGACGAACCACCTCCACATTTTGAAGCGCTGTCATACTGTTGGAATGAGCTTCGAGATACTGTTGTAGTCAATGATCACACAGTGTCTGTTCCCTCAGATCTGGCATGGTTTATCCGCCGATTAAGACGCAAGGCAACTCCGCGCACAGTCTGGGCAGATTCAATCTGCGTCAACCAAAGCGACAACGAGGAGAAAGGACATCAAGTCAACATGATGGATGAGATATATCGAAGTATTACAGAAGCTCAAGTCTATCTCTGCGAGAGCTTAGGCTCGTATCGGCAGCAACAAGAAGATGAGATCCAAGATGACGAGTATCAACCACACCACTGGTATGGAGACGAAAGAGACGTTCATCTCTCTTTATTGCTTGCGGAATATGGAAACCAGCCATTGAGCTACATCATGATGGATATAGTAGTGATCGGGTTGTTAGCATGCATCAACGATCACTTCTGCTCCCTGGAGAAAGACATAATTGCTGTCAGTGGATTTTCCAACTTGCAATACACCTTTTCTCATTCATGGTGGATCAGCCGTGGTTCTCTAGGATCTGGACATTTCAAGAAGCGGTGCTTCCCAAGAGTGTATCCGTGCACTTCGGAGTTTGTGTCTATCCGTTGGACATGATGTTACGTGCCACACAAAAGATCATGACTCTCGTAGGAACAAGAGGTCCTTCTTGCTGTGCGTCAACTTGGAAGCGACTACCGCCTTTGGGGGCACCAGCCCTCGGCCATATCGAGGGACATTTATGGGACCTAAATCTTCATCGCAACTCGGCACAAAAGTTTGACCAATCTGTCGTCATTAATGATGTTGATTTGGTGCTTTTATTGGAAGCCACCAGAAACAGACGCTGCCAAGAACCTCGGGACCGAATCTATGGACTGCTAGGGCTGGTTGATAACTGGCGCTTCACCGAGCCAATCACACCTGACTATTCTCTAGGCATTGAGGAGCTGTACATAACAGCTACATGGAAAGCAATGAGAGAAACGCAGACAACTTTGCTTCTTGCGCATAACAAGCCAAGCAAGAAATTAAATCTGCCATCTTGGGTACCCGACTGGTCACGAAAGTTAACAATGGCTGAGAGAGCGTCGATACCACTGACGCGGTCTTCGATGAGTTATCCCGGGCGCCAAGCCTTTGAGCTGTTATCGAACAACCGACTACGCCTAAATATGGTATTTGTTGGTAGTGTTCAAAAGACACTAGATATCTCCGACTTTGGTGTTGAGAAGACCACAGACACTCCGCTGGCCTGCGACGCCATCATTGGAGCAATACGTACCTGTCGGGAAATGGTTGGCTTGCCTACCGACCATGAGTCAACGGAAGAGCCGGGCAAGTCTAGAGATAAGTTGTTCAGAGAGCGAATCTTGACGGACTGCTATTTTTATGAGACGAAAGGATATCAGCAGTGGAAGAAGAACAAATGCTTCGAGCCGGGCGAGCAGCCAACCGACACGTTTCATGGAGGCCACGCTCACTCTTTCTTCACCCTGTCAGACGGTAGTTTCAGCCTTGCCAATTTCGAATGCTCTACAGAAGATGCGATATTCGCTACAGTTGGTAACATGTCTGTTTATCTCGTCCTTCGTCCGTACAAAACAACTCAAATGGGGTCCGATGTGGAACAATGGGAATTAAGAGGGCCCTGCGAGCTCTGGAACTTCAATAGAGACGCCGACAAACAGTCTCTGCAGGGAGATATCTGCTCGGTTGTATTAGTGTAGCTTTTAACAGTTATGTCCCCTTTTGTTGTGGTACTCTTTTAGTAGCCGGCTCAAGATGGAAAGACGTGGGAAGGAGGAAAAAGAGTTAGCATATTCTTACCAAATCTAGACCAACCAATATATGTTAATTATCGTAGATTCGCTCAACAAACCCACCATAGTTAAATCTGTACAGATACAGTTCATCGTTGTTATTGCTGTATTGTTTTACGCCGGGAAATTCCTGTAAGAGGACAAAGGGCGCCTAACTAGGTATCTAACTACATAAAGAGTGAAATACAGTTCATCGTATTGGTCATCTGAGAAAGTCAGAATGTTCGCCAAGGTCTCCCATCTTTCTCAGTCGTCCCAAGGGAGGTTCAGGTCGACTGTTCTAAGGAGTGCTGCAGCTGTGCGTGGGACGTGTTGAACAGGCCAATATTGCGGTCTCAGTCCGGGTCCGAAGGTCCTTTGACTAGTGTGTTGCTATGGGTCACCCATGGGCCCTTGCCGCTCTTAGACTGGCCACTTAAAGCAACGGGTAAGGCCGGATCTCCCCTGGAGGGTGAACATATGTCTTGTCAAGACTGATTGGTGGAATCCCACTAAATTCAGACATTGTCTCGGCGGTCTCAGCGGCGTAGCCATTCCAGTATGGGATGGACATGCCAATCAGTTTCTCAACGTAGAGCAGATAAACTCTATGCCAGAGGAAAGTGGCTCCATGATAGTGCAGGCACCAATAAGTGTCTATAGGCCAGGATTAGCAAAATTCAGTTAGACGGAAAACCTGTTATGTTTCTAGAATATGCGATACTCAGGGAGAACTCCAAGCATCTGCCAAGGAGAATCCATCGCCAGCCTGGAGAACGTCAGTTTGGCTTGGTATTCAGCCGGCTCATCTCTGTTCAGGTTCAGAATATCATGACGAACATTCAATTGGTTGCGCTACAGTGAATTGAGGAATGATGGGTTCTGCCTTTGGGCTGTCTGATGAATGCTTTGGGAATCTCGTAGGTGTCGGGCTGAGGCAGGATTTGAAGGTCCCAGAATGCTAAAGAAGATATCCAAGTTTGAAGAAAAAGACGTCCACCCTCGGTGGTTTCCTGGATTGTTTCGGCAGATCTCATTTCCGTTAAGAGGGGCTTGCAAATCAGTTTGAGAGAGACTGGCATGCTCGTAGCGAACATGTCTAAAGGGAGAGGTAGATAGACTCGGCGCCGGGACTGGGCTTACGTGAGGTGGTCTGTCAGTGCGGCAACTGGGTTCTCTCTTATCCGATTTTTAAATAGCCGGGAGATAGTCTAGGTTGAAGTTCTGGTGGGCTTTAATATGGAGCTGGACCAGTGCCAGAAACTCTGCCTCAGGACTATCTTAATTATGGGCGTATAATGACATCTTAGCGGCTTCGGTAAACCTTTGACCCCGATTAGGAATCTTGTTTTCCAGGTTCGTCGTCCGATGTGTATGTTGCATGAGATATCCTCTTAGCCAAAAATACACCAGGTTGTAAAAGTCGGCGATGATGACTGCTATATTTGATACTTCCTGCTAAAATATTGTGATCTAGACATTAAGTCAGTCTGACTCCTTGGAAACCTTCTGCACTGTCTGTATCTTTTACATACCTACGAAATCTTCGACTGAAGGTTAGATATGGTGAGAAGGAGAGGTTTCCTCCAAGTCTTTGGCAACAACTTTAACGTAGGTGAGCTTCTCCTCTTCATCTCCCTTGTCGTTACCTGAGAAAGTCCATGGAGGGTGGAAAGCATCTGCAAGATCTTGATCTCCTCTTTTCTAAACGGTTTACAGGTTTAGAGACTTGGCTGCTTCCGTATATTCCAAATGCTTGGACTCGATGTGACGTAGAGAGATCGGAATTGTCTGCTTGGTCTTGATAAGATTGTCCAAATTTGGCAGGTCCTTCGTCAGGCCCGCACTGGAGCTCAAATAAGGTCAAACTGGTATATTTGGATTCTTTGTCAGAGTTCGTCTGTGTTCTGAGCCAGGGATGGATAAGAGAAGATACAGATTTAAACTTTTTTCATCTACGCAGGTTGATGTTGCCTAATCAGTCACCAGAATATATCAATAATGGCTATCGGCATCAATGCAAGGGGTTATAAATAAACGCTGCCAGCTGGTCAACCAATTATCTATGCCTCGTAGAATGTGACAGTTTAGTAAGACAAGGTCTCGAAAATATGCTCCCGTGACGCAAAAATAAGGGGGTGGATTAGACGTGAGACAGGATAAAAGTGAGGAGGCTTCCATACATAAGCCCATTCCGGAATTTTCAATGATTACGCAAGAATAAACGTGAAAAATAGCCGATTGGAGATGTGTTTGGGCACCATAATGCTTTAAAGTCGTTTCTTTGGCCCCGTCTCACTTTTTGCATTTCAGAATATGTCAAGAAGTAAATGGCAGGTAGCCTCTTATGATATTAAAATATGCTTATACTATAGTGAATGCCTACTAAGTATCTGTTGACGAGCACATTATGTGAAAATAAAGTTTTTAGACCCTTCTAGTCACCTGTTACACATGTGGCTCGTTCCATATATGTAATAGATAGGGGCGAAATCCTCAGGGCACTTAGCACTTCTCAGGCTTGACACAAACTCCGAACTAATAATTTGTGTTAGCAATAGTAGCGTATTTAATTTGACAGTTCAGATATACCTTGTTTCGGATAAGTCCTTTCTTACAGAAGCACCCACTAACACACTGCAGGGTACAAGCCTGGGGCTCAGGATTGGCGCAGGTTAGGGGGCAGGCCGTACCGCAGGTTGAATACTGTTCACCCTGTGGAACTATGTTAGGTCTAGAAGGAGCTGAAGTGTAGTGACCACTTACAACTTTGCATTTCTGGGCCGCTGGGGCAGGAACGGCTAGGATGCCAGTAGCGAAGAGAGCCACGAGAGTGATGTAAGACTTCATTGTGAATATAGGACAGGACGTTTGAGTTGAATAGAGCTTGTGAATAAAGTTTTGAGGTGTGTAAGAACGGAAGACCACAGAATATCTTTGAGGGACGGGCCTTATATAATGGTTACTCCTTTCACATTCACATGCATACCGGTGAGTCTCCCTTCACAACGCCGTGTTCTAAATTTTCATTTACCACGCGCCACAACATTCGATGACCAAGGATCCACTAATGCCAAGAACACCTGCAGAACGCTCTATGCAGGTACTGATTGAGACAACAGCATCATAGAGTCAAATCAGCCAGCTCAGGTACTATTTGACCTTTGACTTAAGAGAGTATGTGTGAGTCCTTTCAATACCTATAAGCTGTCAACAAGAATCAGATAAGCCACTGAATCACCCTGATCAGCAGAACCAGGACATGTTTCCCTGCTTTAACATTTCTAGAGTCAGATGTAAGTTTAATAAAATGTGGAGTGATTTCGGTGCCGCAGCCCCACATGCCTAGTGAGCCGTTAGTGGCCGGGCGGGCCGAGATACTAATCGAAGCCGATGTTAAGCCTGGCAGGTAAAGTTTTGTTACGACTGAATTTAGGTTTGTGTTACTACAGAAAGATTGGAATGTTTGTCTTGTCCCTGTGATTATTTCTTGTAATACAGCCGATGAAAGCCGACCGGTTTCCCTTTAAGGGAGGGGAGGCTGAAACTGATTAGTGTGTCTTGCTCGGGATTATTTTCGCTTCCGGTTCAGCTCGGAAACTTTATCCTAGCTCTGAGCTTAATAGTTCTCCAGAAAAGCTTGAGTATTGAACAGCTTCTGATAAAATATTTTACATGTATTACTAGAATTCTATATCTATTATTAATAATAGCCAGAGGCCTTCAATAATATCTTTACTTACTCTACTTCTACCCAGACTCGTAGTAACACCCTGAATAATTGATTCCATGCTTACGTAAAATAATTCAGGTGCTGCTGAATGGCAAATGGTCTTTACCACAACTGTTAAATTGTCAAACGCCATGGTTTCCACCACCATATCCTTTAAGACTTTAACTATTGGGCTTGAAGCCATTATCAGTCAGACTTTAAGCTCTTCCACCGAGGCTTTTGATTCTCCCACTGAGACAACATGTTCCGAGTTAGCATCCACTACCACCGTGTCCTCTACCACCCTGTATAGCACCATTACAATTTTATGAGCCTATACTCTAGTATGAATATTAGTTAACTTACGCATATTTTTATAATCTCTTGAGCTACCTACGTGTCGTTTTGTTCTGTTTAGTATATAGTTGCAGATTATTCTCCCATACTTGTCTTAATTCTGATGAGATATACCGCCGACAGTTTCCATTTGTAGAACATAACCTAATCCATTTCAGTTCATATCGGTAGGAGGAAAGAATGTAAAAGTCAGTGATAAGTAAAGTGTTATGTCTTTGAATTGTGCATATAAATGCGGTTCAGGATGCAGTTCATTGGAAGAAACTACATGTTAAGCGGTGAACTGGGCTGAATTTGTGGTACATGATGGTCATGTAGATGTATAGTGGAATGAGTGTAATGGAAACAAAATTAATCTCGATCAATACCGGTCTGCCAATTGAATGAAAGAGGGTCATTACACTTGGCATCGCCTGACCGCTGGCCTATTCCCCCCCTGCCTCGAGACGTTTACCCTCGTTTTGTGGCTTGGCATCGCCAAAGTCCTTGCTGTCTTCGTTGTTCTAGGCTTCTTGCTTCTCCTAGATCTTCTCAGTAACCTCAGCTTGCGCCTTTATTTCCTCAGGGACCTCAGTGACGTCTTTTTCCGCCTCCTTCTCACTTTGTGATGTTGAATTGTTCTCGCTTTGCCTCGTTTTCCATCTTCCTGTTCGTGTCCGCGGTAGTATTGCCTGCCCATTTCACGTCTGCTTAGGCCTCAGTCTTACCCATGCCAAACTTCTTCCCTCGGCGTCCAGGAGATCGTACGCCGTTTCCTCAATGTCCAAATTCGTACCACCGTTGTTCAAAATCTGATCTAGCTTTTCTCCCTCTTTCACCACCACCGTCATATCCTTTTGGAAATTTCAGGTTATAGCTATATCATCGTACGCACTAAGCTCCTTAGAGAGCTGTCCCTCTGCAGTTGGCCCCTTTTTGCTCAACTGAGACTGAAATTTCCCATTGGAATCCTCTCTCATTTTGAGTTCTTTCACTTTTATGTGGCCTCACTTTTGGCTCTCTTCTGCGCATTGAGTATCTTTCGTCTCCTTGTTGAATAATTATTTTAACGCCTGTTGACATTCCTGGTAAGGGCCCAGGCTTGTTGCTACAGTGACAAATAGACGACGTTACATCAGTGAAGCTTAGTGATGTATCGTAGAGGCTTGGGATGACAAGCTGGTTGAGGTTAACAGTCACCTTTGTGTTATTGATAGTGCCCGTAAACGCAGCTCTAAGGATAGGGAGAGAATCTCCTATCCCTTGGCTGCTCTGCAGAACATTCAGCTAGGCCGGGTTGAGAGGCACGGGTATATTGCCAGTGACTGCGTTTTGCTCCTACATATTACCATAGCCTGGCATCAATACCGGCGTCCTCTGTATCCGCCGCACGATCTGGATCTACCCATTCGGTCTGCTTCTCGGCCTCTCGGATGCTCAGTTACTGCTGCAATTCTGACTTCTGCCCGTGACCTTCCACGATGGGACTGGTATGACACAAAGTAACACGCCACCTTGATGACGGCTGAAAATATTGGCGTACAATTCATCACCAGTACCGATCCACAGGTCTACGAGTCTACGCCCATAACCGCCGCAAATACGCTGACGATGAAGTTCTCGTGATGGTTTCCGTTCTTCAATAGATGATCCAAAAGCTATACGACTGCGTCTAAAGAAAAGCCCTGCAACCGTTCCTGTGAAAGGCAACCGGTCCTGTCGGTGCCGGTAACGACCTGATGACGCCTTTATCGAATATATTCCATAACTCGTCCTGTGTCCAATTGCCATGCGTTATGCTGGCCGTGGGCTTGGTGGCGATCCGCCTGAAACGGTCACTACTACTGGTCTCCATATTTCTTTTTTTCGATTTAACCTTTAACTTTATTAAGCCCAGGTTTTCTAAATCTATTAATAATATCAATAATAAAAATAACTCCCTCTAAGGGTAAAACTTAATATAATTAAGGTAGTAAAAATTACATACGGTAACTAAACTCTATCTAAGTAAATACGTAGATTATACAGCTGTATATATAAAAGCTGGCCCCCCCCCCCCCCCCCCCCCCCCCCCCCACACCCTTAGCCTAATCTACACTATAAGCTACCTAGTTAATTAACCCTTATAGCTACAATTAGTTACTTAACCCCCTTCGGTCTATATTACTAACTAATTTTATAGCTACGATAATAAATATTAAAATAATAAGCTATTACTATAATAAATGTCTTAGTCTAACCTATATATAAACTAAATAGGCTATTAATAATTACTATAATAATAAGTAAGGGCTAAAGACTAAGGCTAAAGCCCTAAGAAATACCTTCCTAAGGTGGGATTTCTAAGGTATAATTATAACAGTTAGGTTTCCTAAGGGATAAACTAGACCGTACTAGGTTTATATTAATAGTAATTTACAGGATAAAATCTAAGCAGTAGTAAAGTATTACGTCTCTTAATAATTAATAGTATAGGTAAGGCTTATTAAGGTAAAGAACTTATATTAATAGCTAGTAAGCTAAGTTCTATTTAATACTAAATAAATATATATATATACTTAGGTGGCTTATAAGGTTGTAAGTCTGGCTTACGGTAAGTTATAAGTTAAAAGCGTAATCTGTAGTGACTGAATTACGGTTACCCTATACCGAAAGTATAAGTCGACGTATAGTTAGTAGAGAGAAAAATAGGGTATATATAACGTAAGTGCTTTATCCTATTAGGTCGTAATAATAATATTACCTCCTAGGATAGGATTAAATAGTCTTAACCTAATTAGGTTAATTACCTTTAGCTATAAGGTCTTAATACTATATAAAATGATATTAATAAACTAGACTTATAACCTTAATATATAGCTTAAAAATCTAAAAAGCCTAAAAAGAAGCTTATAGTAAAGTAACTAACCTTTAATACTAATAACTTTCTTATTACAGTATTTAGATTGGAATATAAGGCTTGGTATAATTACTTAAAGAAGTAAGTTAAATAGGTAATTAAGGCCTTAAGATATAAGTAATCCGTAAAGCTAAATAGACTCTCCTGGTCTTGGCCTGAGACTAAGAGTACGTGACTGTCAAGGACAGAGAAGTTATACGCAAGGTACTAAGGGGGGGGGGGTAGAAAGGTAGAAGGTTAAAATATATCGGAGGAATATATATTCTATTAGTTAAAGTCAAAGTCAAAGTTAAAGTCAAGGCAGCCCTTCGGGCCGAGGAATTAAATCAGATTATACGACCCTCAATAAAATCCTACTGTGCCTTCTTCCGTGATGCAACGCACAATAGTATCAACAATATTATCAACTAGGCTGGTCTCCATATAACCCCCACAAGATAAGAGAATGTTAGTCACTTGGATAAGGAAATATTCCAGGAGAATTCCCTACCCGGTGAATTGTGAAGTTGTGTTTAGAAAGAGTCTCTAGCCAAGCATAAGGCTTAGTAAGCAAGTCCCGTTCTAAAGAGTTTGTATCAATAATATAAGATCTTATATATACCAATAACAACTTTCATGTTCATTCTCCTGGCTGATAGCCATCCTTTTCACCTTTTTTCCACACATTTTTGTCTCCAGTCGCTCATGGTAACCCTCACAGTTTCATCCAGAAGCCCTGTCCGTCATGACCTCTCTTCATCTCGCGCGAAGCAAGTACCAACAAGCCTCCAACAACCAAGGTGCTTCCCGAAAAGATTTGTGCACCAACATAGGAGCCTCCACTTGCGGAGATCATAGCACCCGAGATCGGCCATCCAAGTATAGCTCCAATTCCGACACCAGCAGAAATTATTCCGAGCCGCGCTCCAACTTTTGACATGTCGGAGTTGATGATAGTTACCACGGCCAGGAAAAGTGACTGAACCCCACCTACAGACAGACTGTATTCTACAGTCCAGATGTAAAGCCCTGGAGTCGAATAGACTGGGATCCAAGTATACATACATAGAGCAGATGAAAACAAGAATGCTATGAACACATTCATGGTCCCATCGTATCTGGCAATGAAGCTTGGGATAAGACGGGCTGTAAAGCCGATACCATTCAGAACAAGCGTGAGGTTCAAAGAGTCTATGTATGATAGCCCTTGTTTCTCTCGTGCATAGGAACTAAGGAAGAAGAATGGGAAAAAGGCACCCAGGAAAGCCTGCAGACTTATTAGAACATATTCTGAATAGTGATGTCGGGGGGTTGTCAGAGGCAGTAGCTTACCAGAAACGCTCCAAGAAGATAAAGGGTGAATGCTGCCTCCCTAAACACCGACCAATCTATAGTGGGGCCAGACTTTCTAGGCGACTGCCTCGGCACACCGCACACTAATGAAATAGCAAAAGTACCCAGCTGTATGAAGCCCATCGCTCTCATAGTCCATCCCAAACCGATTGTTGGTAGTAACGTTCTCGCCATACTTGGGTAGATAAGACCTCCTGTTGTGCTCCCACAAGCAGCAATTCCAATGACAAGCGGCAGCCTTCTCTTGAAGTACGTGGTGATAAGGGTCATCATTGGGGTAAGAAGAAGTCCATTCCCGAGGCCGGTACATAACCCTCGAGCAAGAAGAATTTGCCAGTACGTTCGACTTAGAGAAGTCATGAAAGTCCCAAAAACGACGAGAAACGCGCCAATAATCGTCGTGATGCGAAAGTAGCCGGCATCTGTAAGGCGACCGCTGATGATTCCTGTGAAAAAGAGGAAGAATACGGGCAAGGAGCCGACCCATGAGATGTCGGAGCGTGAACGATGCAGATTCGAGACGTAGTAGGTCTGGAACGCGCCGAAAGAAATAATCATACCCCTTTAGCATTTGTTAGCTCAAGGGCGCTGCTATAGGTACGGGGAATGTAACAAACCAAGTATTCATGATTACGAGGAAACAAGCTAGTAATGGAGAACTAAGGATCAGTTTGGCACGGTTTACTACCAGCCATCCAGGCTGTCCAGCCTCCTTCTGGTTGCGCAGTTGCTGATGCGGCTGGGTCAGGAATTCCGTTACTCAGAACCAGACTCGGGACAGGCATCAATTCCGAGCCACCTTGCATTTCGATGTCTCGTCGTTGGATCGGTAAGGGGCCTGCATTGTCCGATTTTGGTTCCATACTGCTGGGAGACCTGCTTGCTTGGTCGTGATCTTGCAAAGTTTTCTTCATGGTCCTTTCAAACGTGATTAAACCAATATAATTCAAGACTAATATACTGCTAGGATTGGCATCTCTAGAATGATCATCCAAGATTGTGTATTTATATATGCAAGGAGTCAGACAATACTGGGTCATGATTTAGTAAAGGAGGCAAAGATTTGGGATATTTTCAAATGCACTGGCACCTCCTTTCCAGCTTATTTTAGCATCAGGCAACCAATCGCACGCCTGGTATTGAAATTTACTGCGCCCCTTGTAGCCATGGTCCGTATGTATTACCAGTCGCTCCGGTAGAGCTTGCCGTAGAGCTATACCTAATATGGGTGCAAAACCCGACTACATTTCCATCCAGATCAAACTCTAGACTAACGTTAAGTAACAGTGGGTCTGGCAACTCACTATTACATTCATTATGACATTACAATCATGTTGTTGTTATTGCTTTATCACAGTAGGACCTAACCATCGCAATGGAAAGAATTAAGGATGACTATAGATACTTCATCCTCTTTAGCTATCTCTGCCTTGATGAGATTATGTGTGTACACAGAAATCATTTAACAGACCAGAACGCACAGAACAGGTCTCTCTCTATCTTGTTGACTAACATACAGCGCTTAATTCATCCTTGTATTTCGATTTCGTAAGTTAAATCAATCTTAAGTTCATATTTCACTTACTCGACTTTACAAATACTTAGCAAAGTATCCTCTTATTTTTCGCCATAGGTTTTGTTATTGCTATCTCTTGCTAAGAATACCATCATATGTGTGATCTGCAGTGTTAAAGTCTATTTTTCTACATGAATACCCTGAATGCCATTTCCCGCCTAACCTGCCCACCACCCAAAACTTCCTTTTTGTGCCCCTTTTTGCATCTAGATATCTCAGTTGATTTGAACAGGCTTGCCGGTCTTAAGCCAGCGAACACTAGACAGAATACCTTCCTCCTCAAACTCTTTCTTCAGCTCGTCCTCATGTTGGGTAAAATGATCCCAAGACTCATAGTGCATAGGTACAAGTACATCTGCCTTGATATCTCGGAACAGATGAGCTGCTTGGCGACCATCCATAGTGATCTGAATGCTATCATCCGGTTCTCCAGGCTGTCCCTCACTGGTAAATCCTTCGAATGTGGCTTTGCCAAGATTCATAAGAGCAACAGCGACATGGTACTGATCAGCTATTTTTGCAAGCTCTCCGATATAGACGGTGTCGCCGGAGAAAAAGACGACATTTGGGCGACCATCAGGCGCAACACCGAAGTCTTCGGTTTGCAAAATAAAGCCGACACATTCGTGGCCGGGCCAATGCTTGCAAGGCGTGGCGGTGATGTGAAAAGTCTTTCCAGAGATGCGGACCTCTCTCTTCTCCCAGTTTTTGAAGCCAAGCACGCTAGGTCGAGGGGCAAGGTTCTTCGCACCATCTTTTGTGGTGACGACGTGTCGGCCATCGAGAAGCTGACGGCCGAGCTCATCCAGGTTGTCGGGATGATTCTCATGGCTCAGAAGAACGGCATCAATATGGGGTAGTTCCTCCATCTTGATGGCTGGGTCGTCATGTACCTTGAGTACCCCGTCGCCAACAGTCGGCCATTCACTGCCCGCGGGAGAGAAGAACGGGTCCGTCAGGAAGGTGATGCCATCGATATCGAGAATTGCCGTAGCAGTTCCGATATGTGTGATGCTAACTTTGCTCTTAAACGAAGAAGTAGACATTGCTGATAGGATGTAGCGATAGCGAACGAAGGATAAGCTGGGAGTTGATATTGTGAAGCAAAAGAACTTAAACGTAAGCTATATTTATATTTAGGGGAAAGGAACGAGCCTATATGAATCCCTTATTACTAATGCTGAAACTTCCATGGAAGTAGACGATTAGTCATATGATGCTTTCAGAGCAGAGAATGCTGAGTAAATCGGAAATACCGACCAGGGCATGACGACTAACAGACAGGTGGACTTGGTCATTCAACGTTTGCACAGATTTAAACGGGTCCGGATGGGCTGCCACTTGGTTGACTTCGAGTCAGTTTCGGACCTGACAGCTGCCCTGAAGGGTCAGGATGCATTGGTTGATGCTACTTCTGTGCCTGATCCAAGCTTTTCCATCCGCCCGATGGATGCCGCTGCTGCAGCTGGTGTCTACCGGATGATCCCAAGCGAATTTAGCTCCGACCCGACTAATACTCAAGCACGAGGCCTACCGCCCTTTCAGGGTAAGGCGAAGGCCCTGGAGCATATCCAAAAGCTTGCAGAAGACAAAAGGATTACGTGGACAGCCATTTCCAACCACGCCTTTCTTGACTGGCGTTCATCGGCATCAACCTTCAGAATCGGAGTATCGACTACTTACAACCATGTTCCGCTGTTATTCCCCTGACCATACTTGAATCAGTGGGTACGGCTGCTTCGAACGCCCTTATTAACGCCGAGGCAACCAAGAACCGTGTGTGTTACATCTGCAATACACAGAAAACACAAAAGGAGCTAGCTGAACTTGCCCAGGGCGCTTTGGGCGGTGAGGGGTGGAAAACAAAAGACGTGGGCACAAAGGAAGTATTTTAGAAGGCAATGGTTCAATTGCAAGCTGGTCAGGTTGATATGCAGGTCGTTGGCGATATACGTTTCTCGATCTCTACTCCGGGCTATATTAAGAGACTCGATCAGACCGACAATGATCTTTTAGGTGTCAAGGCGATGAGTTATGCTGACGTCCAGAAGCTTATACGAGCTTTTGCCGCAGAGAAATCATCCTCTCGACTTCGTTAATGCATAAGGCTTTACTCGGTTAAGAGAGATAAGCTTATCAAGTGCTTGCGATATTATAAGCTTAGAAGTAGTCAATTCTTTTCTCCCCTTTTCCATAGGACAATTTAGTCTTGGTCAGCCGTCAAAGCCAAACCACCCTAAACTCTCTTATGTTTAACCCGATTAGGACACATAATCCGCCAAGACTTCTAGACTGCCTCTGTCCCAAACAGACAAGGATTAATGATAATGTGCTGACTAAGTGGGGCGATATATAAAAGAGATCCGTGGGCTTTAACCCCAAGAATAATAGAGATGAATAACTTGCGACAGGATTTCAATCTTATGGGGGTTTGCAAGATAATTATTTGGGAGTTAGAATGGGATTTCTGATTTGAGTGAATGATAAATATAGACTTATGATGGAACTGCTTTTTTTCCCTTCCTTAGAGAGGTGTTGTGTCTTGTTGTTAAGAAGGCGGGGTAGCATTTGTAGCCTTTGTCGTCATTTTGAGTTTAGTGGATTGACCGTATAATCCCGCCAGGCCTGGGCTTTTAAACCCCCCCGCTCTGACGAGCAACCCAACTTCTTTTCTGCACAACTTGGAACCATTGTATGTACTGTGTCCTACTGTAACCCTGCACTATGGTGAAGACGCGAAATAGGACAATCTGCCAGAACTGTAGGTTGCGAAAAATAGGGGTAATATTTCCACGGTCACATGTTATTTTCGGTCTCTGTCGGCTGACTCATACATAGTGCAATGGGCAAAAGCCATCTTGTTTGCAATGCACACATACTGGCCGAGAATGCTCTTATCCTTTAGACTTCATATTTGTCACCAAAACAACGGTGAAGGACCCAAAGGATACTACCAAGCAATTAGCATCCCAAACAAATTCACCAAGTGGAGTATCCTTCTCTCCACCACCACAATCAAATCTCTCCCTCGAACTGTCCAAAACGCTGAGTAATCCGGTACAAAGCATGGTTCTACTTATTATGCAAAGCTTCATGCCAGAAGCTGAAGTACTCGCATTTCCCCAGAATAAACAAACTCAGCCCCGCATCTGTGGCGGTTGGGTTGAAGCTCTCCCTATGATAAGCATTGGTGGACAAGGACAAGCCCTTCCATCCGCTATAAGCTGCCTTGCGGCGTCTATATCTAGTTTACGACAAAATACGTATTCAGACAGTACTGTTTCGCTTGAGAGATATGGTTCTGCTATGCGTTTGTTAAAACGGGAAATTGAACAGCCCGGCAAAGACATCTTGTCCCGTAACGAAGTCGTCGCGGCCATCATGTGCCTGACGTTGACAGAGGTAGGTCTGGAAGTCCATTGCTTTGTTGATAACGGATGTTTGACTAACGAGCTCTGCTTCGTGCAGGCAATACTGCCAACTTCAAATACCAGCTGGTTGCGACACGTGGATGGCGTCGGTGAGTGGATGAGGCTTTGGGGTCCAAAGTCCTTTAGCCTTGGAGCCCGCCACAAACTCTTCATTGGATTTAGACCCCTGCTTGTAAGTTCTGTGCGTTGATACTTAGAACTTGTAGGCCTCTTGGATGACTAACTAGTTAGGTTCTAAAAGGCTTTATGTCCCGCAAAGCTTCCTTTCTATCGACCGAGGACTGGAAAAGATTACCATTCGAGTCCCAACAAGCAACAAAAATGTCGCTTCTGCTTAGCGAGGCTTCTGGTATTCCCACAATTCTCGAACTTATCGATACCCTTGAGCATAGTCCTCTTAGCGTATACTCTTTCATCGCTGCACAGGCCATCGCCTTGCTCACAACAAGTTATAACAACCTAGAAGGTTGGGGCGACCCTTTGAACGCAGACCCGTCTACAGGCTTCTTCTGCTGGCGGACGAAATCAAACAGCCCCTGGGCCTGGGGAGGCTACAATGTATGGTTTCCGAATGTATCCGCCGCCAATTTGGCCATGCATCTGTGGGCGTTCAAGGTAGTTTGCTTGACTGAGATTCAAAAGCTCCAGTCCAGGTTTCCCGGTATACCTTGTGACTGGCCAGTCCCAGCAGGATGTGAGTTACGATATTGGCTTAGGGATACCTGCATTGAGCTTGGTGTGAAAATTGTTCAAAGCGCCAATTATCTGCTCCAAGACCGCCTAGCACTCTTTGGACCACTTTCAATTTCATTTCCCCTCACCACGGCTTGTCAGACCTTTGAGATGGATGGGGATCGCAGTGTGGAACTACGGAAACTGACTCATGATATACTGAAAAGGAGTCTCTTGCAGAGGCATAAGAGCTCATGAGTTACCACCATTGTGTCAGGTTACTTGCACTGTACCTAAGTATATAATTCTCACAGCAGAAACACTTTCAGCTTTTAGGAATACTAATTCGAGTGTGACGCCCCTGTGTGAGAGCCTTATGTATATGAATGCTTGTTTATTAAGCCTTTCCCAAGGCGGTTAGAATTCCCGCCAAGATACCAGTATCTAGGTTATCGGCTATGTTAATTATAGGATGGCTCTTTGATAATCCGAGTGGGATGGGTGAATTATTAATTTATTTAAATATTTCTAACAGCTACTTCAAAGACATTCTATATGGCTAAGTAGTAATTTCTATCATTCTGATTAGCTACCCATTCCTAATCTATAAAGTGTGTTTCGAGATGGTCTGTATATACGCAGGGGCATATCAGTCCCCCGGTATTACACAAGATGCCTCTAATATTAATATTGAGAACACTGAAGCGCCTGATCTCACTTGGGGATGAGTATTTTAACCCAATAGACTATTACCAACTAGAGTTCTTTTTCCCATTTTACCCATGTAGCTTCGACAGGTCGTTCCCTTCTTTTGATCTTTAATAAAGTCCCGATTTTCGTCACTACTAAGAAATAGTCTGGCGAGAAGGGGAATATCTTACTAAGCTTGCTTAGTTGGCCCCCTCTTCACTCGAGCCAGCAGGCCAACCTTCTACAGCTTTAACTTTTAGTTTTACTTGCTTCCTAAGCAAACAAGGGTATTGCCGGGCTCGAAAACGTATTAACCAGACGGGTTACGTTTGGACCTCTAGCGCCCGATTTGCTGTGGGTATCCGCCTGTCTGTGGAGCAATTTAATGACAAAAGGCGCAGCGGCTATCGTGGCTTCGGTTGCATGCCAGCTTTCCTCATTTGTATAAGCCCGTAGGAGTCCAGGAAACTCCGTGGACCGCCACTAGCCGATTCACTGAAGAGCATCTGCTAACTTTTGAATTTGTGGGAGTACAAGCGCGGATAAGCGACGATAGACAGGCGGGAAATCGCGGTATATCAGAAGTGGATTAGCGCCTATTCATACGGAACTCCACGGGTGACGCTAAGACCGGATGAGGTCGATATACTCCATGTTGAACCGCAGTGGCAAAAGTATCTTGCAAGAGGGCAGAGAATTCACTTAGTAGATAAGGGACTCAGGATAGTAGGTCATTGGGAATACTGACCTGGCCTGATTTAAGTGCAATAAGCTCTAGTATGTACCTATGTTTTAGATTCTGTTGTACCTCTCGTATTTAAGCTCCTTGTAAAACACAATATATAGCTTACACTTGGACTTGTAAACGCTCCTTTAGAAAATTATTGGTTATACATGTAAAAGAATTAATGTAGGCTATATAAGATAAAACACAACACTAAATAAGCAAGTAGAGCTTACTATTATGCCTCTTGTAAATAGTGGGATTAGTAAATATTAAAGTGCGTATTGTTGTATTCTGTAGATCTGTCTTGGGGAAAATTCTGCATATTATAGAATCATATAATTGGTTAACAGGTACAAACGAGTGGGACTGATTCTCCATTAGTTCCGAGCATTACCTCTAGCCTGTGACATGCTCCTTTTGACATTAAGGTGCACGCTAGCGACATATTAATAATAGCCACATGACATATACTCCAGGGCGAAAATAATTTCATCCTTCACTTAATCCATTGCGTATTGTTAACATCCAGCTATGAATGCGGCCAATCATGCCGGTAGGCGCAAAGGTAAGGTAATCTGTTTATTCTGGCCTGTAGGCCGCTTATTAACACATAAACTATAGCCTGCGACTTTTGCGTTTCCAGAAAAATCAAGTGCGACTCTGCTAAACCGACATGTTCTAACTGCAAGCTCTACGGCGTTGATTGCCAAATCACCGACGTCACCAACACGAGTAGAAAGAGAATGCCAGCAGCTCAGCTGAGTCCATCCAAACAACCTTCGACTTCGTTACGGTAGGTACTAATACAATCGTGTGGTGTGGATTGTCGGTGAGGAACGTGTTGGTTTAACAGTAAACAGGCATGGCTCGATAGAGACACGTTTAGCCAATATCGAGTCACGACTCGACCAGATCGCCGCCGATAAGATCACAAACAGTTTAACTCACGATGCACCCGACCTAAACTTCAACAACTTCCCCGAGATAAAGGTATACAAGGCATCGGACATGTGGAACGAGGCCACGACACTGCCGTGCCTCGGTATCTCGCCACAATTGCTCACAGGAGTTATGACGGCAAACAACGGCAAACTTGAGCTTCCTTCCCTGCATGAGGTTCTACCAGTTTTGGAAAGATATTTCGATCACTATAACATCTATGTACCGTTGTTCGATAGAGCCGAATTCATGCACATGGCCATCGACTGGTACTCCGCACATCCAAGACAGCCCTTAGTCCCCTGGGCCGCCATCAACATCGTTCTATTCATCACGTACCGTGTGATAGATAATCTATCTATTGACCATCCGAACCTATCTCGGTGTATACGCAACGTACAGTCCGTGACCACAGAATTAATGGCATGGAGTGGTAGCCTCCTTGGCCTTCAAGTCTTGCTCGGTATGGTAATCCTTTTCCAAGGAACAACAAATCCACAGCTTGCGATTGTCTTGATTGGAAGTGCCATTCGACTTGCTCAGAGCATGGGACTGCCCTCGGCAAAAACCGCCAATGATACAGCTGCGTTGGCACAGAGGCGTCGTGTTTTCTGGATCGCATACATCTTGGATAAGGTATAAATCTGTGCGTTTTGTGAGACGAGCTTGATATGAACTGACCTGTGCGATAGGACCTAAGCCTTCGTGCGAAAGCGCCCTATGCTCAGTTCGATGCCGAGACAGATATTGGCCTACCTAAGCAAGACGAAGAGGATGAACTAGGTGTTCTAAAATCTAATACTGGAGATATACGGTTCAACTACCTACGCGCCCGCGCCGAGCTCGCAGTCATACAGGGAAGAATCCACAACTTCCTGTACGGTCGAACGGTCAAACAATTGACTCCAGAGCAGCGATCAGAGACGATGTTTCGCATCGAGCATTTGTTGTCCAACTGGCGCAGTGTGATACCACAAGAAATTATAAGTTCGGACGGCCTATTTCTGCGATTCTCCAACATGCCAGTCCATCTGGTGATGAACATGTACAATAGATACCTCGAGTGTTTGTACAGGATTCACGGCATTTTCGCCTTTGATGAGATGTGGGTAAATAGGGTTCGCTGTTACCTTTCACCTTTAGTCATCGAGACCAGCGACGACGGCATAGATGGTGATATTGACTACAGCGAAATAGATCCATTGCCCAGTGAATGGAGTAATTGCGTCCAACACTCTCGACTGGGCTTGGAGCTATCTGCATCTAGTAGAGAGACAGAGTATTCTGTCTGGCAAGTCCTCCTCCTTCCTCTGGAAGTCCTTGACTAACTATGCATACAGGCTACATGCATGCTGTAATCTCTCGGGCCTTATCATTCTGCTAGTCAACATCATAGAGTTCCCTGATCACCAATTGGTGGTATCCGACTGGAACCTGATCGCTCGAATGCGTGGTATGTTCGAGCAAATGAATGCAAAGGCCTCGAAAGAACCCTTCTTTCTCCTCCAAGTCGCCCAAGAGTTGGATCGTCGAGCCCGTGGACAAGTCAAGCGGATAGCCCATCTACGATCGTCCGGGTTTGAAGAAGAGATGGCAACTGACACATTTGACGCATCATGGCCGGACTCGGGTTTCATATACATGTAGTTAAGCGTAAGCTGGTATGTTCAAACAAACTTAGCATCTTCAAGTTGGCAATACAATAGTTTCCCATACCCTTTAATTTTTTAAGAATCTCAGGAGTATCAGTGGCGCATAAGTTCTAAGGATTTAGAAAAGTGTGGAATAAGAAGTTTAGTATTACAAGTACGTCAGATTGTAAACAGTAAGTCCAAGTTGAAGTATGTCTCACGGCATAGATTTTACCCCGTCTGACTACCTAGTTTACTTCTTACCTCACACAGTAGCCCCAATAATACAGCTTCCCACTACTTGACGTATCTTGACGCGCTAGTAGCGATCAGACGTGAAACGGCGGAGGCATTAGATCGCCGGTGGAGATGCCATCGTCACAGCTAGCGTTATCCGCGGAACTCCATGGGCCAATTCGTTATGCCGTCCCTTTGAAAGAGCAGGAAAGACAATAGTGGCGACTCTTGAAGATTGAGGCACAATGTACAACACGTAGACGTTGTGAGAGATTCATTAGCCGAGTGTACCCTTTTGTTACCGTTGGTGCAACCAGGATAAACTTGCCCTTATGTTGAAACCTGTCGCGGAATATTGCCTAAAATAATGAATTAGACTAAGTATACCTCAATTTGATGAGACTTGATTTCTAATAGCCTATATCATGAGATGGTGCTTGTATGCCGCATTTAGCCGTTCACGTTTGAATGTTCTACAAATAAATAGAACCATCTTCCGTAGTAAAACAAAGCGTTTTAAATTCAACATCCTATCTTATCTAACAGGTGTATACATCCCAGTCACATTTGTACAAGACTTCTTTTCTCAACCATGACTACTCCTGGTATCCCGTCCTATTCTCAGCACCCCAGCTCTCATACCTACGATGTCGCCATCGTGGGTGGCGCGACCAGCGGGTCAGCGATTGCTTGGTTCCTTGCCTCGAACCCGGATTTTGAGGGCAACGTCCTCGTTGTGGAACGAGATCCTTCGCTCTCATACTCGGCAACCCAGGCAAGCAACAACTGTATGCGGCAGCAATTTGCAACCGAGATCAATGTCAAAATAGCCCAGTATGCGGCAGATTTCGTCAAAGACTTTCGCAAGAATCTTAATTGCGAAGATGGAGATGGTATTCCCGACATTCCAATCCGCAACTTCGGCTACCTCTATCTTGCCGACAACAACGAATTCGCTACCACTTTAGAAGAGGACCAGAAACTTCAGGCCGCCTGTGGAGCTGGCACCCGGATGGTTTCTGCGAAAGAGATTGCTGATAATTATCCTTTCTTTGCCCTCGACGATATCAAAGCTGGAAGTTTGAATACGGTCGACGAGGGTGCTTTTGACGCCCTTGGTATGGTCCAGAGCCTCCGCAAGAAGGCGCAGCAAAACGGCGTTGACTACATCCACAACGAGGTTGTCGGGATGACTTTGAACGGCAACAAAGTTGAGTCCATTACCCTGAAGACTGGCGAGGTTGTAAGCGTCGGTACCATCGTCAACGCTGCAGGCACTCGTGCAGCCCAGGTCTCCCGTCTAGCTGGCATAGATCTCCCCATCGAAGCTCGCCGTAGGTACACCTTCATCTTTTCGGTGGACGAACCCCTTTCACAAGACCTGCCTCTCACTATCGATCCTACTGGAGTCCACATGCGCTCTTACCGTGAGAAGGACTATCTCATCGGCTGCCCACCCATCGGTCCCGATGTGGCTGTTGACACTGATGACTTTAGCTACGCTGAGGATATTTGGAACAAGAAGATGCTTCCAGTTCTTCAGAAACGCATTCCTCAGTTCTCGACCGCTAAGGTCACTCACTCCTGGGTGGGCCACTACGAGTTTAACACTTTTGACCATAATGCTATTATTGGCCGCCACACCGAAGTTCAGAACTTAATGTTCTGTGTGGGATTTTCGGGTCACGGAAGCCAACAGGCGCCGGCTTGTGGTCGAGGAGTGGCAGAGCTCATAACTTATGGCTGTTTCCGCACGCTGGACCTGTCGGCCTTGTCTTATGATCGTATTGCGAAGAACAAGCCCCTTCTAGAACGCGCTGTAATTTAGCCTGAGGGTATGAGTGTATCACAGATCATAGAAAACATTATAACAATGCTTAGTGTGTTTGCAATATTTCATGTAGGTTCTCAATATAATATGGGTTATCGTCGGACACTTACAAGCTTGTTGCTAAAGAGCACTTCCTGTCGTATTAAAATGCCTAAAGAGGTTAATGCGGTCTACAAGTCAGGCGACGCGATACCACCAGGCAGCCTTCCCGAGTTCTTGTTATTAGTCTGCCAAATGTGAGAAAGTGGACATGATTAATTAACCGAGATTGTATGACCTAACACTCTTTAAGTAACGCATTCTATATTGGGCTTAGATCACAGCTGAAACGTGGCGAAGCATCAATAACACTTCAATTCTCGTATTTCTAGCCGAGGAAACGCGGCGCCTAGTCTCAGAGTAGACTGGGGTATAACATTAACCTATCATAACCACATGCCTTGCATGGGGCAGTGACATACTGACACATCGAACATTCCACGCGATTTAGTTACGCATAAAACTTAAATGACCTATACGAGCTTCTCGTCGCTCTATTAGTTATGGTCCACGGTGCACTATATCCACTAAATGTGTGTTTTAGTGGTGATTAGACTGGGATGGGTTAAACGCAACGTAAGTGTGAGGCTGAGTATATATCCAGGGCTAACCTGCGACATGCACATTGTCACAGCTCAAGAATCAGTACAAGTGAAAACGTAACATATAACATGTGAGAAACATAATATTAGTTCATCAAGTGTTACTTCGTGCCACTCACTTTCAATTGAACACGATATCTGCACATGTGGGAGTAACCACGACACTCTTTTTACAATGAACAAGCTATCCCAGAGCACCACTCTGTGGCTTCGACAGACCTACGCCTTGACAAAGAAGATTCTGCTCATCACAGTCGTTCGCCACTGGTTATCAACATTAATTCGCTCCCTCGTCATACCAATTCTCGTCCTCTCGCTGGTCCTCGGAGCCCAGAACTTCACGTCCTCGAACAATAAGTACGGCGTTGGCAAGCCGACATCCGGTCCGATCCTTTCCGAAGTCACTCCCGATGGCGCGAAACTCTTCATTATCCAGCCCTCTGGTGCGGGAAGTGACATAGCGGCTGTGATTGAAGAGGTGGTCAAACCGCTTGGGAAAAAGGTCAAGGTTGAAATACTCAAGGACGAACAGGAATTGATGAAGAAGTGCCCCACGGACATAAATGGAAAAACAGATTGCTATGCCGCCGTCACCTTCAATGACTCTCCTCTCAGTGACGGCGGAAATAGACAGTGGAATTATACGATGCGATGTAGTTCCTCCAACGTTGGATACAGCTTCGACGTCTTTCAATCAGCCAAGGCGGTGACGAACCCCTATATCCCGTTGCAACTCGCCATCGACCAAGCCATCACCAATTCGACAGCACTCCCCGACATGTACATGTTCACTCGAACTACCCAGGAACAGGCCGAGGCAGCGCATCGCCGTCAGTCCATCGACATGGTCTTGGCAGGGCTCAATCTCGTATGCTTCACAAGCATGCTGTCCCTTGTCTACCACGTTGTTGGCACAATAGCATCGGAGCGCGAGTCGGGCATGACGCAGCTGATTGATGTCATGGGCGGAGGTGCATTTTCCGCTCGAGTGCTGAGCTATGTGATTGCATTTGACATTATATACCTACCGTCCTGGATCATACTAGGAGGAAGTAACAAAGGCGCTGTATCATCATATGTGGATCATGCTAATTGTTTTAGTCTACTCTAGTCTCCTTCTTCCGAGTTCTAATCCCGGCATAACCATTCTCTGGCAAATCCTCACCGGTTGGGCTCTGACCAGCGGCTGCGTCTTTGGCGCGACATTTGCCATCAGATACTCTACCATCCTCGCCATTATTGCCCTGGTCGGCATGGCTGCATTCGCACAGCTTCTCGACACCCAAACAGAACCTATATCCGCGGACGTGACCATGGCATTCTCCATCATGTTCCCCAGCTGCAGCTACGTCTTTGTTCTGAACGCTATGGCTCGATACGAAAAGGCAGGAAAAGCGACCAACATCTACGCCATACCCCCTGAACTTAACATACAGAAAGCTACCATTGGGACGCTGTGGCTGTGCTTATGCTTGAGTATCGTTGCGTTCCCCTTGGTCGCTATCGCGATCGAACGATTTATCCACGGGACGAGCCGCCGCGGGCGTAAGTTCAAGACAGGCCCTGAAGCAGCCAACACTTCATTGGCCCTGCAACTCATCGGGGTTACAAAGACATACAAAGCCAGTATATGGAAACGAATGTGCTGCTTCGGCAAGCATCGTCCGTTCATTGCCGTTGATTCGATGACCTTCTCAAGTAGTAAGAAGGAGGTCCTCTGCCTGCTGGGTAGTAATGGCTCTGGGAAGACGACGACAATGGATCTCATCACTGGAAGACAGAGCATGACGGGCGGAACAATCCAGATCAATGCCCCGGCGTCCAAGCTTGGTAAAACTCTCCCTCCTTTCTCTGTGCTGTGACCAGTTCTGACTGTTGGCAATAGGCTTCTGTCCGCAACGAAACATACAATGGGACGAACTAACGGTTCTGGAGCATGTCAGCACATGGGATATGATCAAGGGGGGCAACTCAACTCGATCACGATTGGAAAGACTTGTCGAGTCATGCGATCTGAGTCTCAAGATGCACAGCCGGGTTGGAACACTCAGTGGTGGACAGAAGCGCAAGGTTCAGCTGGCATGCATGCTTGCTGGCGGAAGCTCCGTCTGCCTGATGGACGAGGTGACAACAGGAATGGTAGGTTCCATCCCAATCCAGTCCAGTCCATTCCACGTGAGCAAACCGGCTGCTAGACCAGTCTGACCGGTTATATTATAGGACCCAGTGTCACGCCGAGCTGTCTGGAACATCATCCTAGCCGAACGCTCGAAGCGATCCATCATCCTAACGACGCACTTCCTCGACGAATGCGATGTCCTGGCCGACCAGGTTGTTCTCATCTCCCGCGGCCATGTAAAGTGCCAGGGCTCACCTGCAGAGCTGAAGAACTTGTACGGAGGGGGATACCGCGTTCACGTGCCACATATCGACGGTATTCCCCGGACAGAATTCCCATCAGTGGTTCACCGAGGCGAAACAATCTTCAACACACCCGACTCGGTCTCTGCTACCAGGCTCCTCAAATCCCTAGAAGCGGCTGGGCTGTCCGATGCCGTGGTCTCGGGGCCGACAATTGAACATGTCTTTCTACAAGTCGCCAACGACACTGAGGGGCTGGAGAAGACGACTTTACCCATTTTGGAAGACGACTTGACACCCCTCACTGCGGTTGATCCAACACCGAACGGAGAATTGTCCTCAGGCACGCAAACAACCTTCATCCAGCAGCTTGCAGCTCTGATGGTAAAGCGTCTTACCATTTTTCGCAGCAACTTTTGGTGGTACATTGTAGCCATGGGCCTCCCTCTAGCTTTGTCACCAGCCGCAACTTCACTGTTAAAGATTTCGGACGGCATCGACACATTCCCATTCGAGCTACCTTTGTGCATCAGCACTCAGCCATCTTTCTTTGACGAGCCATATTTAGTTGACATGGCTGCATCCGGATACACCGACGCGGTCGGCTCAGACGCCATGTCGATGCTCCTAGGCCCGCAATCGACACGCAAAAAGGTGCTTGGCGTCATCGAGAAGTTTCCAATTGGAGACAGGTATAATTCCAAAAACTTCAACTCCGACTTCACCTTTCAAAACGGCTTCGATGCTTTCCAAAACCGCATGCGCGAACCGGTCAAATTTACACCAGGCGCCATCTACTTTGGTGATGACTCGGCCAAGGCCACCATTGCCTACAATCCCGAACTCGGCTATGACACACCTGTCTTGATGCAAAACCTTTATAGCCAAGCCGCCAGTGGTGTTCCCATTGCAGTGCAGCTGGCCTTGTTCAGCAACTCAACGCCTGTGAGTTTCTAGTAATCCGTCCCTTAACCAATACTAACGTTTCATCTCTTAGGCTGACGCCGGCTCAGGCTTGCTTGCTGCAATAGTAAGTCTTGTCTATACTTTCTCCGCCTTGGAGTTTACTAATCGACATAGATACTTGCCTTCCTACACTCCCTCTACCCAGCATTCTTCGCTCTCTACCCGGCCTACGAAAAGCTGCAAAAGGTCAGAGCCCTTCAGTACTCCAACAATGTCCGCCCATACCCACTTTGGGGCTCATGCATGGCCTTTGACTTGATCTTCGTCACCATCATTGCTGCTCTTGGAACGCTCGCCCTTTCAGCTGATGTCGAGAACTGGTACTCTGTTGGCTACATGTTCCCAGTCATGTGGCTCTATGGAATTACGAGCATGCTGTGGAGTTATATCATCTCCCTGTATGCAAAGTCTGAGTTAGGGGCCTTTGGCTTGACGGTTTGTTCTATGGTTGGTGCCTTCATCATCACCTTGATTGGTTTCTCAGTAAGTCCCGTCTGCTCAGCGGCCTCTTCCTGATACTAGTCAGCTAACTAGTCAGCTCGGTGCAACAAATCCGAATCCTAACAGCCCAACCCTTACTCTAGACGCAGTATCCTTCTCTCTCGGTCTGCTGTTCCCCATCATGAACCTATTCCGGGCCATGGCGGTTGGCCTCAACATCTGGCTCGTCAGCTGCCGTAACTACGAGCTGCTTAGTTACCCGGGGGACATTCGTGCTTATGGCGGGCCTATAATGCTGCTTGTTATCCAGATCTTTTACTTATTCCCTCTTCTTGTCTGGCTAGATGATCAAAGGTCTTTTTCTTTCTCTTGGCCGTGGCGTCGCACAAAGCAGGCCAATGTTGAAGATCTTGTCTCCAACAATCACAATGGTATTGAGATGGATAATATCGGCAACGAGGGTTCCGCCTCGGATCTGCTTCGTGTAACGCAAGTGACCAAGTCATTCGGAGGCAAACTTGCCGTCCAGAACGTGTCCTTGGTGATGGGCGAGAGCTCGGTTACTGCGCTGCTCGGCCCCAATGGCGCTGGCAAGACAACGCTGACAAATATGATGCGCGGTGAGATGGTCCCAGACAAGGGCAAGATCTATGTGGAGGGAGTTGAAGTGCAAGGGAATCTCCAAATGGCGAGGAGATCCATTGGCGGTAAGTCTAAATCATCCTTCGAGCACATTTACCCATCAATTACTAAACAGCATGATACAGTCTGTCCACAATTCGACGCTCTAGATAAGGTCACTGTCAGACAGCAACTGAACTTCTATGGCCGGATCAAGGGTATCGACAACATAAAACAGAACGTTGACCTGGTCATGTCCAAGGTTGGCCTGGCACCCTACGCCTCTCGCCTTACCCATCTTCTGTCAGGCGGCAACAAGAGGAAATTAAGCCTCGCGATTGCACTACTTGGTATAGTAACTTGGGTCAGGTCTTTTTGAATGTATTGTTGACAAGTACACAGGTAACCCCAAAGTCCTTATCCTTGATGAGCCAAGCTCCGCAATGGACGCCTTTGCGAAACGAGAAATGTGGAAGATGCTCTCCTCAATCACCTCAGGACGCTCCGTCTTACTAGTTGTAAGTCTATTTCGCAGTCTGTTCAACTCATCTTCAGAAAACCTATGCTAACCTTGATGTCATTTAGACCCATTCTATGGAAGAAGCTGATGAGCTGGCTACCCAGGTAGCTATCATGTCTAAGCGTATCCTAGCACTTGGCACAAGTCAAGATTTGCGTAAGCAATATAGCAATGTATACGACGTCCATTTAGTGCTTGAATCAGCACCGGGTTCGTCACCTACAGAGATCCAAGAACTCGAGTCCTGGGTTCGCGATGCTTTCCCGCAAGCCTCTTTCGATGCCATCAACCTCGGTGGGCAAGTTCGTTTCGTTATGCCGGTCGAATCGAGATCATCTAATGATGGGAGGAGCACTGTCCTGAGGTTGATGGAGACTTTGGATCAACACCGGACGAGCCTTAAGCTTGCACACTACACGGTTGGGATGGGAACGTTAGAGATGGCACTTTTGAGGATTTTAAAGAACTGTGATGTGCCAGAGGGTTGAAAGGTTAGAAGGAGGCCTAATAAATATTCAGCACATCTTTTTATGGGTTTTATTATGACACCTAAATTTCCCTTCTAAAGGTACTACTTGACGTACAACTAATTATACATTACACCATGCTATTCGTTTTCCACTTCTGTTTCTTATTTCCCACCGCAATAATAGTCTCAGGCGTAGGAAATGATAACTTTGGTAATAATGACTTTACTTTCATAACCCACCCATGCACGGAGCCTAATCCCAACAGCACTCCGACGATAACAGTTGCCACTGTAGTCGAAACAATGGCCCACCACTTCAGCGCAGGGAAGAGTTGAACCAACGGATCAGTGTTCATAGATAGCAACGTCGCTATCAAACTCGGTGGTATGAAGATAGATGCCAGAACCGTCAAGTTCGAAGTACTTTTGGCATCATCAAGACTAATCGCAGAGTTGACAGCACTGCTCAAGCGATCAATGCGATGCTCGTGTTCGTTTAGCCGTTCTGCCACTGCTTTATAGTCATACTCGTAAGGTTCAGTAAGTTGTGCCATCCCCGGCTTTGTAAACGTGAAGGTCTGCCGTATACAGTTGTTCAGCATGTCCCGGGCTTGGGGGGTCGTTCTTCGCCAAAAGTGTAGTTTATCGAGACTTTGCTGCCGAGTGTCGGTCTCGGCTTTCGGAAAGAAAGAGGGCCTCACGATGGCCCAGTCGATCTGGTTGAGGCGGGTGTTGAGATACTCGGCAAAAATGAGCCAATCTCCGCATATAAGGTGTAAGAGAGACTGGATAGGTACACTGCGTAGTTTGCCCTCTATAGTGTCTGGTGATTTAACAACAGGAACTGATCTTTGGGCCCAGTATAAATATTCTTCAAACCAGCTCTCGTTTTGGTCCGTCTCCTTTCGACGTTGTAAAGGTGGAATCTCGTCATGAGATATTGAGCTTTGAGCATAAAGACGATTCTCGAATGGTGGAATGTCATCCCAGTTACCATATCCTCGCCAAAGGGGGTACCCGGCTTTGGGGGTAGGTTCCAGCAATAGAACGCCTAGAATTGAGTTAAACAAGAGGCTGTAGGACGGAAGTGTTCTCAATGCGTACCGACTGGCAGGTCTGGAGAAAGCCAGAATGTGGCCCGACTGCGAATAAGTCCAACCTTCGCGTCAACAGGCGTTATTTCACGCCGACCACTGCCCCAGGGCCACCAATCCCGACATAATCTGGGATCTTTATCCCAGAAGGTGTCATTGTTGTCTGCAATAATACGACGCATAATGTTGAAATCGTTTGTTTCCTTCTCCGCATGCCGCAGGTCCTTTTGATTGGCAAAATATCGAGAGCGCATGAAGCGCATCTGAAACCAGTCTCGTCGCTGTGCGTCAACGTCAAGAAGTGATGGATCACGCCACCGATCTCGGACATTGTACCATACATTCTCAGTAATGTGAGCTCTGAAGAAACGTGGGTCGATACCGAATGTGCTGCCTAGGATTTCGATCACGTTTCGGGATAAATCCTCGACAGCGAAGAGGTTAAACTGATCTGTTTCGGTGGCGATTTTAATATCATTGGCCGATCTTTCAAGCTGCTTTGATGCAAGAAGGCCAGACTTTTGAGATTCGAAACGTGTTATACCTGGCTTTTGCATTGGCTTATACTGTAGCAGTGCTACGTTCACTCTGGAAGATCTACTACTCTGCTCATGAAGCCTCACTAACGAAACTCAGCAATGATAGTAATGTTAGTACTCATGGGACACTCACATTTTTCTTCTCCTGAATATGTGTAACGCGGACTCTGGTCTCTGTATTTGTTCTCTTCTGGAAACCTGCACCATCTTGTGGGAATCGTGCCGACTTCCATGAAGTCGACAAGGAGTTGAAGATGAGGCCATTTGGGTGCTAGGTACTTCACGTAGGATAAGTAATTCTTTGTCTCGCTATGCTTTGTCAGCTACGTCCCGCCGAGAATGAGGATCTAGAACGTACCATGACCAGGAATCCTTTCCAAGATCGTTAAGAACCTGATCTCGCTTTTCGTCTTGGTATGCGTCCCCGAGTGGATAGGAAGTCATAGTGACTCTCAATGGTGTGAGGAATCTATGAAATAAAGATTTCCTAATATTAATGCTTGGAAGCACTACAGATGCGAAGTTTACATTGCTTCATGAGTTTGCTCATGTTGAATTTGCGGAACAGACTGGACCGTGAAAAAAACGCTCAATCATAACTCACCCGCAGATTGGGGTTTTCCTTTTTGTGAGCTGTCATGTGGCTTTGCATCGAAACCGACAGCCAAGCGAAGCAAAGAGATTCATTGATTGGTGAGGACATCCATGCAAGTCGGGCCTCAGTCCCACCCAGGGCTGCGGGACGGCACGTCTAGCCGTTGCCACACCGGGGCTGAGCTGAAGGACCTTTTCACTGTGTTACCTTATCGGCTGGTAGAGTTCCTTGCTTCTCGAGACTCAGCTGGCCCGGGGGTAATGGACCAGGCTGTGAAAAGTCCCCATCCGTCTGCATCGCTGCCAAGATTGATGGGTTACAGAGCATTACTAGACAGAGGGTTTTTGATTTGTTATTCTCTCTCTTTTTGTGTGAAGCCCGTCTTAGGAAGGTCGGGAAGCTGTCAACTATCCTATCATCACCTCACTGCTCCTTAGTAAAGTGTAAGCACTAAGAAAAGCATCATGCCGAACCGCTCCACAACTTGATTGCCTGTATGGTTTGCATACATGTTTCTGTACCAACTGTGTGGCTATGCAAGACGTATACTCCGCCACAACTGTTTCCTGTCACGCCCAAAATGCGGCACTTCAGTTGATATTTTCCGTAACAAGGGTGAGAGATGGCGAATCACCTCATTCGGTGCTATTTTCGCAGCACAAGAAACCTGCTTGTAGATCAACTTACGGGCTGCAGCCAAGACGGCTGAACCAAGCCTTGCCGCGTGGCTGCAGGTTGTTGCTGCCTGAGGTTCTGTAAGACTTATTATTAGGCATGAATTAAAAAACAATCCCGATGTAACTTGTTAGGCCATGCGCTCTACTCGAGCAGGTAGACTCGTCTTTTCTCCTTAGATTATCACGCGAGTCATTTCTTCCAATATCAACTCTCATCCAACTCTAGATATCATGGACTTCAAGTACACGGAGGAGCTGGATAACAAAACCTTTCGAATCTTCGAGCTTGTGCCTGGACAGAAGACCGATGATCTTCGAGATTCTTTACAAACACATTCTCTCAATTTGCGTCCCCAGTATGAAGCACTCAGCTATGTCTGGGGCCCTCAGGATAGGAATAAGTCGATGAATTGTGACGGCCAGGAGTTCAAAATCACACACAGTCTCGATGTCGCTTTACGCCGTCTCAGACTATTTGACAAGTCCCGTTTTCTCTGGATTGATCAAATTTGCATCAACCGACGCTCCAACAAAGAACGCTCTACACAAGTCGGCGTCATGAAATCAATTTACTCTCAGGCTTCATTGGTCAATGCGTGGCTTGGTCCAGCTGATCAAGATGAAGCGAATTCGGCAAAAGAAATCATTACTACCCTTGCCAGATTGGAAGAATATTCTCATGATGAGGAACACTTCCCAAAAGACGAAATGCTGCTGGAGTACAATCTTCCAGCAAGATCTTCCCCAGCCTGGAGCAGATTGAACTCTATGCTAGGTGCCAACTATTTCTCCAGAGTCTGGATCATCCAAGAGCTTGCAGTTGCATCAAAATTCGAGCTTTTATGGGGAGATGTAGCTATATCTCAAGATGACCTCAATGAGTTCACCGACAAAACTGTTCTATTAGCTATGGGGACCAAAGACCTCTTTAGTGAAGATTGCCCCCAATTACTTTGGAGTCCTGGTGCCAAGTCGTTGCTCGTCTACAATCGTGACAAGAAACCTGATCGCTTTCAGCTTGTTTGTCAGGCGGGATCATTTCATGCCACCGACGAACGTGATAAGATCTTCGCATTAATCGGAATCGCAGGCAAACATACTTACCGTATGTTGCCGGATTATGAGAAGCCTGCAGTAAAAATCTTTGCGGATTTTGCCAGAACCGTCGTGGCCACAACAGGCCATCTGGAAATTTTAGATTATTCTGATGTGAGAGACCCGAACCTCCCAGGTTGCTTGCCTCTTTGGGCTCCGAGATGGCATGCTGGTGACGAGTATCGTGGGTTCGACGGCTACAAGTTTGAAGCCTCGAAAGATACCAAGGCCTTACCAAGAACCTCGTCAAATTTCAAGGTCCTTGAATTGGGAGGCTTGCAAGTTGATACAACCAAACATGTGCACCATCGAGTGAAACTAGCACATGAAGATATATTGGCTGCTTTTGAGATGGTAGCGGATAACATTGAGATATTCCAACAACGATATGAGCCCGATCTCATCAAGCCCATTTTATTGACCTTGATGGCGGGGCGAGAAGTGACTCCTTTCTTCGGAGTACATCGTTTTGAACGTCCAAAAGATGACACTTTCGTCAACAACTTCACAGCACTCACTATCAAACTCTTTATAGAATTTTGCAAAACAACAGACTACAGTGAGCAGTTTCAGAGAGAAGTTGTCGGACTTTTCAGAAAAGCGATGAAAGCGAGTGCTTCGACCACTAAGGGTGCACCCATTCTAGAAGGAATTGACAGTCGCAAAGACCTTTTCAGACAGAGACTCGAAAGTCTCTTTCCAGAAGACCCAGAGACTGTGTCATCAGACATGGAAATGTTAGGGAGATTATCGTGTGATTTACTAAAAGGCTTAGTTAACTTTGTGCTATCTTGCTCAGTTTCTGTGGACCTCAACTTCTTCGTCACGGACAAAGGTTATATGGGCGTTGGTCCCCGTTGTATGGAGCCAAAAGACAAGGTATGCATTCTTTTCGGGGGCTCAACCCCGTACATTATTCGGCCGACATCACATTCTGAGGACAGCTATCTGTATCTGGGGCCTGCCTATGTACATGGAATTATGGATGGCGAGGTTATTGATGCCTGGGAGGGGCAGGATCTAGAGAACAATGAGTTTCAGGAGACAGAATTTAAGCTCTTGTAAGGGCAAGTTATTCGTTTTAATTATCAGTTATTATGCTTGTTTCACTTTTGTTTGAACTTTAAAACTCAAGTTGTTTATTAAGCCTAGGCTCTCTAAATCTCTCAAAACTATTAATAGCATATCACGTTACCGACGTTCTTAAACTCGTAGCTTGTGGCATGGAGAAGGAAAGCAGTGAGTGTAAAATTATCAACCAAAATACAAGAATTCTGAAGCAACTTAGTGATGGCAACCAAACCAAAGACACCATGAGATACTTCCCGACCGCTCAACTACCAGCCAGGTTAGAAACCGCAGGCATCTTGCGCACCCAATCCGGCAGACCTCCCTCGACAGCATCAACAAGCCATCTCGCCAGCGCTCCTCGCTTCTGCGAGTACGTATGACCCTTCTCACCAATCCATCCTACAAAAGCCTTGCCGTCTTCCCTGTCGCGCGCCCAGCTTTCATTATCAGACTGCCCGGGAATAGCAGCTATACGATAGATAGTCCAGTCCAGATCCTTGGCGTCATTTTCAAACGTTTCGCCAATGTTTATTATGGTGCGGTAGGCCTTTCCAGCAATTATGCGCAAAAGAAAGACCATTGCTGGTCTAAGTAAGCTCCATGAATCCTCCGGGTCGACAATGGAGAGGGTTCCCATGGCGAAGATTCGCTTAACGCCGTGTTGGCGCATCGCAGGAAAGAGGGAGCTTCTGTAGAAATCAGGGATGATGTTTGGTTCCATTAAGTCACCCAGTTGAGGACCAAGTAGCGACACGATAACATTACTCTTAGCAACAGCTGTCGAGAGTGCCTTGGTGTCGTTCAGTTCGCCTTTGATAACCTGTAAAGTTAATGATGCCCCCGGTTTTTTTTTATGAAAGACTTACCTCAAGCAGACTATTAGAAGCCAAATCTTTGGGAACTTTTGACGGGCTTCTCGCGAACACTACAACTTTGTGTTTGCGGTGGAGGAGCTCTCTCAGTAGACAGATACCGGCTGGACCGGTGCCGCCAAGGACAAGTATAGTAGAACTGGACATCTTGGTTATAAGATGAAAGAAGGAGAGAACCTACTATTCAGTTATTATTTCCATGCCATGACTCCCTATATATGCTTTTTTATTCCTTGGTTGCGAACTACCAGGTTAATCGCCAAGCCTTAGTTGTGGTCTTGACATCTCCGCGTGGAGTCGACCACGCGCGGACAACCTTAAGTCTAAACCATTTCAAGAGGAATGACTAAGCAGAATTGACTTTTCATTCGTCAAACCATTGGCAATCTCCGCCCTTCATCCATTCCGCGCGGGAAGCTCAATCCAGGGAATCGCCTGAGCTGAGCAATGCATCATCTTGCGTAATCACGGTTACAAACCATGAGAAACAACGGCAGTTGCTGGATCTGTCGCGTACGACACAAGAAATGCGATGAAACACACCCTGAATGTCAAAACTGCACGACTCTTGGCTTATCGTGCCTGTACGGCGATCCAAAACCAGAATGGATGGACAATGGCCAACTGCAGCGTCAAATGAGCCAGCGGCTGAAAACTCAGGTCAAGCGAAATGCGAGAAACCGAAGAGCAAGGCAGATGATCGATAAGATCACCCAAGATCTCAACGACACTCGCCTTCCGCCTTCTCAGGCCATCGTGGATCCTTTGTCTCCGGCTTTAAACGGCTACCCAATTCCTCTCGCCACTTCTACTTCGGAGTCAACGGATGATACGACACCAGCTTCCTGGTCCCACGACATTGACTCCATCGACTCCCTCAATCCCTCTCAACAAACCAATAGTGGCGAATCAGAGATCAACAGCACCCAAGACCTCCTACTGCCTGAAACATCGAGCAAGTTTCTCTTTGGAAGTAGCTTTCGAGAAACCCTCAAAGTCAACATCTACGGCGAGGAAGACGTGCGTTTCATCATGTCTTACAAAGACTACGTATTTCCTCTGCTCCACCCATTCTACCATCCCTCCTTCTTTGAAGGTGGCCAAAATTGGCTTCTTGTCGCTGCCCTGAGAAATACGGAATCTCGCCAGTTGATAGTGAGTCTCGCTACATATTTCTTCTCACTTGTTCCGATATTTCCAGGGGCAGGGTTCCAGTTATGCTCTACTTTTACTTGGGCCGAAGTCCAAAGCCAGTCGGAGCAAGCCTTCAAAGGCATGCAGCACAGGGTCGAGATACTTGGCCAGCGAGGTGTTGCTTCAAATCTGTGGGAGACCACGCATTTATTCGGCGATATCATGCTTCTACTCGAGTTCGAGACCATGGCCCAACATTCTCAAGTTTGGGGGATTCATCTGGATGCAGCTATTATCCTATTGAAACAAATCCTCGCGTCGCCACAGCTCGAGTCTTTTGTTTGGCGGGTACCATTCAACCCAGCAACTATGTCCTCACAAGAGGCGAGTCAACTTACTCCCATAGGCGCCCACCTCTTCTCGTCAACACAAGTCGCATTTCGCTTTTTTGTCGCCAAGATAATCATCGCAGATATTATCTCTAGTTCCAAAACTACTATGAGACGTTGATGAGTGGCAAAGAAGATACCAACTTGTGCTTGAAAGATGTAACAGGATGTGAAACTTGGGTTTATCAAAGTATTGCCGAAATCGTTGAGCTTGATGTATGGAAGAAGAAGACGAAAACGAGCGGCAATTTCTCATTCATGACTTTGGTACAGCGTGCTGGCAAGATCATTGAGAAGCTTGACCTTGGCTTAGCAGCCTTGAGTGAGGACACAGATGCTACACAAGACCATCATGGTGGGCGACTTGGCCTCTTTCCAGAATTTACGCTACTAAAAAACACACGCCCTCCACAGAGTTCCTACAATTCCATCACTCGCATCTGGGCAAATAGTGCAAGGCTTTATCTGCTGGTTGTACTTTCTGGATGGCAGCCTGAAAGTGATGAGGTTATCAACCTTGTCTCTACAAACCTTGAATTAATGGAAGGCTTGAGCTCTCCAAGCTGGTTGACAACGCTGACGTGGCCCTTCTGTGTGACAAGTTGCCTAGCCTCAGAATGTCAAGAAGCAACCATCCTTAGACTATTTGAGCGTACAAAGCCGTTGAGCAATGTGGGAGGTCTATCTGAAGGTATGAAAATTGCGAAAGAGGCGTGGAAGCGACGGAGTAGCATAGACGCAGAGTGGGGTCTGGCTGATTGTTTCAAATGCCTAGGTAGTGTCCCACTGTTATTATAAAGGTGGAAACTCGACTTAGACATACCTACCTATGACTCATTGTACCACCACGAATACCAGCGGTGTGCGATTGTCCAATCTTACATTAGCGACCCACTATCGCGCCATCTCTATCATTCCGGTCAGAGTTCTAGTCCTTCTCTTCCTCTTAGAGTTACATTCGGCTGCCCAACCAACCCGTCAACCATCGGAAGTAAGTGAGACATACTTTTGACCAACTACCGACTACTTATGCGATAAAGACAATATGTCGAAAGCCTAATGATCTTAGTGTCTTAAGTCACACGAGTAAGGCACCTCGTTCTCTAGCCTTGGGCGAACTGCACTGTGCTGAACGGACCCCATTCTACGTTAAATAAACTTCACATTACAGCCAAATGGGACATGTGTTGCTGGTCTCAGTATTGTTTCTACTTCTTTTCTTTTTTTTCTATTATTTTTCAAATTTCCCAATGCTGTTGTGGCTGTCTATTGAATGTTGTATTAAGCCTCACTGACTGGCTATAAATTGATGTTTAGGTAGGTGGGTGGGGAAATGGAGACGTCTTCATTACTATCAATGCACTATATTTATTCATGTGAACTTCTAAAGTCAAGACAGCTACGTTTTGCCATGCAGTGCTATCCTCACCGCTAGATGCTACACATCTATGAAAACCGTGTTGTTCAGCAACCCTTCCGTCTTAATATTTACGACGATACCCCATATCAACCTGTTAATATCGGTAGATAGCGCACCGAAAACATGAGAGACATCATCTAATCAGTTTCAAGAGGCCAGTACTCAACTAGAGAATTTGACAGACAAAAGCCAGAGCCGCGGGAAGTTGCACGTAAGAAACTGAATTATCTCCATGTAGTGAATTAGAAACTCTACCTACCGCGGGCTAACCACAACCATCGGCGCCCTATTACCTGATCCGCTGAAGTTTAGGCGTGTAGCTATCAAACTGCTCCTAGCTTGACCCGTTTCCCTTACACCATTTTCTAGAAATTCAAGGACTATTTGTCTCAAAGTTCATGTCTCGGGCCTATTTTCAACCTATACTGCTTGGTCTCAAGGAAAGATGGTGTGATAACGTATCTTGAGTAGGTTTGACTCATAGTCGATTGTTCTTTCGATTATTGGACTTCATGAAAAAGAGTGCTTCTCTCTTATGATCAGCTAACCATTGTCTCATCCAGTCAGTCTACTCGTCATTGCGGCAATGCATTCGATCTTATCACGAGTAATATTAGTACTAATATAAACCTACTAGCCATGACTTTAAGTTTATTTGCGTCAGCTATATTCAAAATTCTTCCACAATAACTATTAAACTTATTTTACTACCAGCCACTCATGCCCAATCCACGAGTTATTGTTGTTGGGTGCGGTCCTGTTGGGATGCTAGCGTCTGTTCTTCTCTCACGAGCAGGTATTGATTTCATTACTCTTGAGAAGAATAACAATATCATTCCGAGTGCAGGTGGCGTCTTGACAGCGCACGCTTCACTTTTGAAAACTCTATATGATTTGGGATTACGCGAGCAAATCGAGCGGTTATCCACCCCATTTGTACGATGGGAAGTCCTCAGGCCCGGTCGTGCCATGCATGTGCGATCTGGTTGTTTTGATATTTACAAGGAGAAGTAAGCCACCGAGCTTGTGAAAGCGTTTGTCGCTAACTAGTTAGATTCGGTGACTATCCCGGCATGATCAAACGACAGGACATCCTGCAGATAATTTATGACGCGCTACCCTACCACGCCCATGATAAAATCAAGCTGTCCAAGGAAGTCTGTTGTATTTCGTCCACGGACAGTGGCGTTTCAGTCCAATGTCAAGATGGATCTACGTACGCGGGATCCCTTGTTATCGGTGCTGACGGAGTGCACAGTATTATCCGCCGCCTTATTTCTACGGAAACTGGACTTTCTGCGCAAGATGAGAATGGGAAGTTCGAGAGCAGCTTTCGTGTATTGTGGGCTGAAACCCCTAACGCCGTGCTGCCGGGCGGGGCCATTCGGAACGTTCACGATTATGCTGCCTCATGCCAGATGGTTTGTGGTGATGAAAGAACCTGGCTTCTTTTGTATGAACCCCAGACTGCGGGTGAGAAGTTAGACAGAGAACATCTTTGTCACGATGGCATTACTGAAATGAAAGAGAGATGGAAGCACATGCCAATTGGAAATGGGCTCTGCTTAGAAGATTTGATTTCGAGGAGCTGTAGTATGGGGGTCACTAACATATTCAGTGGAATTGCTTCTCAAGTGAGTAGTGGACGAGTGGTCTTGGTCGGTGACGCTGTTCACAGTTGGGGCCCCAATCTTGGATTTGGCTTCAATTGTGGGGTACGTGCCATTCTAGTCGTATATGAGGGAAAGTTGCTAATACAGGAAGGCCGACGATATCACACTTTTGATGCGCCACATCTGTTCAGCCATCGACGATAGCGGCGAACATTTCTGGACAGACATGTCGCTCATGACGCGTTTATTTGGCCACTATCAAGACGAACGAAAAGGTGCAGTGCATCGGGCCCACATGGTTTCATTTGCGGTCCTTTATCTATCATTGTGGACGTCTCTGGTCGGAATGCTTCTGGACTACTGCTTTTGGATGTTGACACCAGATTGGCTTATAGTTTGGGCTATGGAGCCAATTTTCAAGGGATTGATTTGAAATCTTTCCTGAATTTCTTCTTCTACCTTGGTTTAATGACTAGGAAAGCTAGCAGAGTCAGGTTATTATGATTATGTTATTAAGACCGCAGCTGGCCTTGGGCTATGATCGTCACGTAGTTTGGACTTAAAGAAGCCATAGAACATAATTCCTATATTCTCAGTAGCCTTAATGATGACGTGTTAATGGTGTGAAAAGTACCTGATGGACACTTTACGATTTGTCACTTATAGGTTGAGAGTGTCGTTGCCGGTCAGAGTGTCGTGGTAGTGATAAAAGTTAAATTGCAAGATTTCAATTTAAGTAATTCATACCTTATGATACTACCAAGTTTTAGGCTGGTCGTCGAGCGAAGGTCTTAAGTTAATCTTTCCACTATAAGCAGGAGGTAAAGAAATCTTCCCCACTGTGCTGAATTCTATGCAACCTGATTGTAAGACATTCACTTCTTAGACGCTGTCTCTTACGGCTCATGGCCTGCCAGTAGGAATAGAGCCGATAGATAAGACTGCGCAACGTAAAGGCTGTGTAGTTTCAGCTCGTTGTATGTTTGGAATTGAACGGTATATCCCTCTAGATTCCATATTTCCAGAAGGGGGAAATAGCCTTTCATACTACCACAGAGATGCCTTTTCGAACTCCACCCATACACTTTGTGATTATAGCTTAGGTACGGTCTGCTATTCCCAGTGATTTATTATATGAGCCCCTATAGATAAAGAAAATTTCACTTAGGATACTTCTCTAACATCCCTATGTGGTTAAGCCGATATTTTGAAAAGATTGGCACAGCCCTTATCGGGGTAAGGTGTGAACCTACCATGCATGGATCGAAAAACAACTTTTGAAGCCTGGGGGTATCTCCAATAGCAATTAGCTAACTGAATCAAATGCACGAAGGCATCTTGAGTTGTGTCTAGATAACCGAAACGCCACATCAATACTTTATGCCTAGGGATATCTCCAATAGGAATTAGTTGACTGAATCAGAATGCATGAAGATATCATGAGTTGCGTCTACATAGGCAAAACGCCATATTAATACTGAGACATCTTACAAACCGGTTCTTATGTCTAAGGATATCTCCAATAACAATTAATTAACTAAATCAAAATGCATGAAGACATCATGAGTTGCGTCCAGATGACCAAAACGCCATATTAATACTGAGACATCTTACAAACAGGTTTTCAAGCCATTAGTCTCGATAGCAAACATCCTATAATACCACTATATAAGTACGCTTTAAGGCAAATAGGTAATGAACAGGAGTCCAACTCTTGCACAGTATTTTCTTTTATAAACGCATCAGAAGTAAACAACCAAACTCAGCATCAGGTTTCACCCCAAATACGTGTATTGGTGATAGCTTATCTTCACCAGAGCCCCAGAAGCTGGCTAAAGCTTTCAAGATCCGACTTGAGATGTCGTTTGTTAACAAATCCAAGATGAATCCCGGCGAGCTCATAGCTATGGCTAAAGCAAAACAAGTTGAAATCCCCAACATGGAGCCTTGCCTAGATTCCTGGCCGAAAAGAATGAGCCCACATGTTATTGACCTGGAAGAACACGTGGGTAGCCTATTACAAAGGTTGGTACAGCTTCAATGAAAGACAATAGAGGTTAACACGCGAATAGCCATTTGATGGATGCTACCGTTGAACGAAAGCTACGCAAGGCTAAAATCGGAAGATTGATCGCACTGTTCGCTCGCCCACTGTTTAATACAGTCCTTTAAAAGATCTAGGAACTAATAGTGGCAGGGCACTTCCGGGGATTACAATTCAGCGAAGTAAGATTGCAGCATCTTTAATGGTTTGGCTATTCGTATGGGATGATGCCATGGATAAGTCTTCCCAGAGGCCGATTGACAGGGCTCACAGACGGAACTTCTGCTATGATTCCGCTTGTTCCGTTAGGCGAGCGCTAGGCCTTGATATTAACGACGATATCACCGAGCAGCTTCGGGTGGTCATACTTGGGCCAGAGATACCTGAAGATTCTTTCTACGAGTACGCGGGACATATGAAGTCTTTCGAAAGGTTTGCCGTTGATATTCAGGAGCATACATCTAAAGGTCTCTTCTTCAATTAGACTTGAGAAATATGTTCTGCTAATGTTTTTCTTTAGAATATCGGGAGGACATATTCTCTGCCGTTTTTAACTACATTCTACAGGTCTGCGATGAACAAGACATCCAATCAAACAACCAGATCATTACGCCACCGGTTTATGTGCAGATGAGGCTAAGCACCTGTGGTGTCGGGATGTTTCTTGCTATAATTGAGTGAGTGTTAATACATCTTCGTTGAATACGTCTCCTAACCTCTATACTAGGTTCTTAAATCAATTTGACCTACCCGACTGGATACTGGCACTACCAGAAATAACTACTGTTCGGTCAAATACATTAAAGATGTGCCTGCTGTAGGTTTGAACTCTATTAGCATGAAGTTTATCTGACTAAACAAAACAGGATTAATGATACCTACTCCTTACAATCAGAATTGGTAAGGCGAATGTTTACTCTTCCTATCACACGTAATAAATATACTAATCGCTACACCAGGATGATAATTCATAATTAAACATCATTCCACTTAGGTATTACGAAAATCCCTTCACAAGCAAAGAACAGATGGGCTCAAACATACTCCATGAGATTGAGGATTCTGCGAAAAACATTGATGCAGCAGCCACTTGCTTAAATAGCAAGTTGAAGCGCAATCCTCACTTGTCAGCGATGGTTGATGTCTACGTTCAAAATTGTCAAACCATTGTTACTGGTTTATATTACTGGACGCGGGAGACTGTTCGATACAAGGTGCCTAGTTACTCATAGGGTAAGGCTCTTCTGAGATTCAAGGAATCTGGGCCAATCATTCTTTCGAGGAGACTAAGTCTGTTGTGCATTTATAATCCAGGCTTCTGGGGATTCCAACTATATCCTCTCTTTAACGGACTAGTGTATAGCTAGGTATTTATCTTTTTAAAGATCGCATTTATCTTGAATCACCGTGCTTACACCCTAGTAATAATTGGTGAAAGTGTTCAATGATATGTAGGGCAAGACCACGGTTGCATTACTGTTGAATTAGTGTTGGTTTGTGGAGAGGGTGTAGGGTCACGTGATCTCGGTCAATTACGGCAACTTCCTGTGGCCGAAGGAATTTTTAACCTTCGGCACAACTCTATCTTGCGCTGTAGAGAGGGAATTGTGCCCCAGCAGGGGCTTCTTACACCTCTGGGAAATGGAGTTGCGGTGGCTGAAGTGGAATTAAATAATTACTAGAATTTAGTAGGAATAAGTATTGTTCAATAAACAGTAAGAACATAGTTAAACATAGCCATTTAGATAATTCTGAAAAGTTGAATTTGTTAGCTAATTAGAAGTTACCTACCTTACCGCATATTGCTGTTTTGCGCATTGGGTGTCTCTCAAGCCTATTATGTGCTCTTGCCAGGGTATTGCGGAGGCTGTATTGATCAGAGCACGATCAAAATCACTGAGAGACTCCATGGCAGCATTGTGATTCTCACGGTAGAGGGCTTAAATGGCAAAGACATTCTTTTGAGCGACAACCTCATCTGCTGTGAATGCAGCCTCCATTACCTTGCAGAGCAAGTCTTTATCATTTTCGCTTATCCGAACCTTTTCTCTTAAAAACTCGCCAGGGTAGCTCTCCTCAGGGCCACCCATTAGCAACTGTGATTGTTGGTAGGTCAGCGATCTATCTTGCAGCAGAACTGTGCAATGACGGTCCTAACAAGTCGGGCTGCCTCGTTTGTTATTAGTTCGTCGCGATATGCGATAGGCAATTGAGCTCGGCCACTCCACACAGATGAATGAAAACTAGCCCGTTTGGCTTAGCTACGATAACCTAACGTTACCTTACCTAGCGTGTGGCTTAACAGAACTATATATGGCGTCGACGACCACGCCTGTGTTCTTGACTAGCAATTTCTTCACTTATTGAGCTATCTTGGCAATGGTGAGTATTCGTCAATTTTGACGAATCTTGCCATGAACGCTCACGAAAAAGGCAACGTACCGTGTTCTGTCGCCAATCTCTCGCCTGCCGATCTGGATCTCACTGCGATCAAAAACCTTATGCGCCAAGCTGGCGACAAGCTGATCTCGCTGCTGCACACATCCCCACCACAAGCAGGAGAAGTCAAGAACGCCATTGGGGATGCCATCACCCCTGCGGACTACGAAATCCAAAAGCTTCTATTCGAGAAATTACGGACATGGTTTCCTGACCATGGCTTTATTGGAGAGGAGGAAACGGACGATGGCTGTTCCACTTCGTTTTCTCCGTTCGACAAGAGACCGCTTTTTATCTGGACACTAGATCCCATAGACGGGACCAAGAACTATCAAAAGCGCCTACTCGACTGCGCGGTTGTTATCGGTCTTCTCAGGGAGAACGAACCGCTATTCGGAGCTGCGTATATCCTATCTTCCAAGACATTGATCATGGGAGGAAAATATTGGCCTGTGACGATTGACGGTTCTCCATTGACACGCCTACCCCTCAGAACAGGCGGTTTCAGCTGTGGCCTGAGTGAGATGGCGTCCATGTTTCTTCCCTGGCATACTCGTAAAAGATGGCGACTTGCCTACGGATTAGGAAGAATGAGGGGTGAAAGTGACCAGAGCGCTTTTGTCTCACTCCTTCAACCGCTTGCATCCAATCTCGAGCGGCCAGGTTCCGCATCAGTTTCAATTCTTTCGGTTCTTACGGGAAGGTCTGACGGTTATTTATCTTTGAAGGAAGTGCCCACCAAGATAACTGGATGGTACGCCATCGTGTCGCAAATATCCTGGATTTATCTCAGCGTTAATTTTCAATCACTGGACCTAAACCAGCCGTTTTGTCTTGCCGTCACCACGCTTGAATTCGCACGGCAACACCTTCAATGTGGCAGTGAACTGGCAGATTGGCTCGATATCAAAGGGCAACCGTCTAACGAATCGTTGTAATTAATCTCAGCTCATTCTATAAGGAAGCCCTGCTAGCCTCATTACCACCCTCATCAAAGAAGATCTTATTTCCGTTAATCATCGAGCGCTGCAATGCTGCACCAATTCGCACCGCTGTAACTGCTGATGTCAACTCGACAGGCACAGGCTTGTCGTCCAACGCACAGTCCGTAAACTCGATAGCCTCCCTCGTAAACGCAGCTTGGAATCGACCCCAGTAATTTTGGGGAAGTTCATGCCTGATGCCTCCTTGCTCGTAGATGCGAACATGGTTCTCGACGGGTATCAGATTCACAGATAACTTGCCCTTTGTTCCAATGATCTCTGTTGTGTCTTCTTGGCCCGCAGCCATCATCCGCGAAGCATATAGATATGCGATTCGACCGTCGTAGAACTCCACAACGCCCACGGCATTATCTCGATCGTTGTATTGCCTTAGATCTGGTTCCACGGCAGTGATTCCAACCGCATGGACCGATCGAACCTTGGACTCTTGGCCGAAGAACCACAAAGCTAGATCAATATCATGGATGCTGCAATCGACAAAGATGCCACCCGAGAATTGAGCATACGCGACAAAGAACCCGGAAGGGTCTAACACGTCGCAGGTCTGGCTTCTGAGAATCGATGGGCGGCCGATCAAGCCTGACTTTGTTTTCTCGTAGGCATCGCGGTATGAGGCATCGAAGCGGCGGGAAAAGCCACACATGACTTTGAGATCGGGACGGGTAGCAGCAGTGTCGACAACAGATTGGGACTGGGATATTAGCATCAAATAGAGATGAGACTTTCTGGGTAAGGTGAGACTTACAATGTCAACAGTAGTACCAAGAGGCTTCTCGCATAAAACATGCTTTCCTGCAGCAATAGCTGCGTTAGTCTGTTCAGCATGTACAGCAGTAGCTGAAGCGACACAGACAGCATCCAAGCCCTCATGAGAGAGCATATCAGAATAGTTTTCGTAAATAGCTACACCATGAGGAGCCAAGTTCTCAGCTGCCCACTCTCTCTCACTAGCATCTGGGCTTGTGACAGCGACCAAAACTGCGCGAGGAACATTTTGGTGGAAGTTGAAAGCATGTCGCTTGCCCATTCGGCCAAGGCCAGCGACACCGACTTGAAGCTTTCTGGGTGGCATTGTATAGGGTAAGAGGTAGAAGACGAAGAATGAATGGGATGGTTACTAAACGATGAATTACGGGCCCTTACTTCCATATTTATACATTAAACGTTGAAAAGCCCATCAATCAGTCCCATAAACGTGTAATAATTGAGAACCCATTCATGTTCTCCACGTTGGTTTGTCTTGTTGGAAAACCCAAACAGCTCTAAGACACGAGAAATATTGTGGGGTTGGATTGTCGGTGTCTTTAGCCTTGTCTGTCGAATTCAATCGGGGGAACTTACCCCGATTTCTGATAACAGTAAGCGGTCCCGAGTACGATCCTTGTTTCGGTATTATCCACTTCTCTCGGATACGACAAGACCGCGCAGGGAGAAAACTCACGATTAATGTTCAATTTCCCTCGTTATTATCCTAGTCATAGAAACATGACCGCTTATGACCTAATCGACAATGCCGATGCTGAGTTGTCCTCTCGGCTTATCCACATCAGGAATCCTCCCATCCCCAGGCCATTTTCAAATGTGCCTGTGCTGCAGCAGTGGGCCAGGAATGGGTATTCTCGGTCAATGTCAAAACATCCAATAACGCCATCTGATCCCTTCTTTCTGTAAATCGATCTCCACACGCCGTTACGCCCATGCAAGCCGTGAAAGTGGCTGGTCTAGTAGAAGGGTTCGAAAGAGCAATGCCGCAAAGTTCTCGGACTTGGGTTCGGATGTCATTCTGTGATTTATTAGGGTTCAGTATCTTAAACAAGCCGGATTTAGGATCTGGGCTCACGTCAATTCGCTGCCGAGCTAGTTGAGCAGAGGGCCCAATTCGTGGTACTCGGTCATCATGGCACATCAAAAGAACACGGGCAAAGATGCTGTGAACTTGACCGATAACTATTGCAAGTTAGCGGAGCCTTTATAATTAGAGGAGGTCGACACGCACCGACGGCATGGTTCAGGTAGATAATATGTGGAAAAACTTCATCTAAACTCTTGTCTGGGGCACTATATGCTATCGGGAGCCAGGACACAGGCCGAGCTCTGAGCCAGGCTTGGTCATAGTCTACTAACTCTTGGTAATGCACTCTGTTTGGTCCACTGCTACCAAAGCAGTAGTTTATCACCGCTGCGCTATGCACAACAATGCGGTTCGCCCATGTATCATCATCAGCTGGCAAGAGTGAACGATCTATGAATTCGTGATCGAGTTTGATCTTAACTGGCCTCTGACTAGCAAAGCTCATAGTTACCTCCTGCCTCATTCCTATCCAGAAGGAAGCGAGCCGAAGGCTGCTAGGAGTAACTCTAGAGTCGTAGGTGTTCATGAACAGCTGTATCCCAAGGAGGTGACCTTCATGATCGGTGCCGATAAGAGGGACATCGAGTTCTTCCAGCGTTCGCAGAAGTATAGTCGCAGCGAGTAAGTTATCATCGTTGAGGGCCGAAGAGTCGTTCGAGATGGTTGTAAGGTGTTTGAGGCATGCTTGATGGTATCGATCGGATGCGTAAGGATCAAATTGCGCGTTGAGACTAAGATGTCGAGATGAGAGGGCAAAGATGGCGCTCAGAAGTGTTGGACAGTTGGCGGCTCGAGGAGGTACGACGTTGGCAAAATGCCGTCTGGAATCACAGAGATCAAACTCCAAAGTGTCAGTAGATACAGTCTCGGACTTGATCGATGGTAGGATAACATACCCATGTACACATATAAGTCAAGTAATATTGCATCAAGCGCACTTCGTGAGATTCTATCAACGGGTAGGGAACCGAGTCTGTGCGGGCAATTCCCAGTGTCGAACCATGTGGAATTGGACAGTAAGTTCGAGAAGTGTCTTTGCTTGTTGCATTTCGTGATTCACGTCTAAAGGTCTCCATTGCACCACCAAGTGGTGCTAGATCTAGGCCGGGTGCAGGATCCACAGGTGAATCATGATGAGATTGGAACGTGTTATCTTGACCCAGTTCACACGCATTATCCGGATCGGACAAGTAATTAGCTTCAACATCATATGTTTCATCGACGAATTTTACTTCAAATTGGTCAGTCCAACCGTGACACTATGATTCGTGTTACTTACACCGTCGTAGACAAGGAACCCAAACTTGGTCTGAAGATGATGAACTGCAGTAAGCTTTAGCCTTGTTGATCAAAATGCCCACTGGGTGAGTATGGGGAAGTGGGTAAACATCTTACCTAGTCGTGTGCTTAAACCGAAAAACAGGTGCCGTTGAGCAAGCTTTGCCTGTTGAAGCACATCGAATGCAGGATTGGGGTGTTTCTCCGATGTTCTGCCTGTCCCAGACACATTTGAGATGCTGTGTCTTGCACGGCTGAGAGAGTCAGAGTTGGGGTAGCTTTGCATCTCGGCATGGTCACCGATGTCCATGTAGATCAGTAACTTACAAGGCATGCACTTGACATGCTCATATTATCAGAAGATGGGCCGTATGTGTAAGTTTCAAGTTGACTTGTATTGAGGGGGCAGCTTTCCCCGACTATATTAGCATCTGCGGTGGAGTGCAGCGATCATCCGAGGGCAAAAAAGCCCGACAATCGGGCCTCCGCTCCAGATTTTCTGCTCATGGTCAAAGAGCCCGATCCACTAACCCAATTAGGGCGCCCTAATGCAAAGAGGGATATTCTCCTCACGCATTCCTTGCTCAACACGTCTGGCCCACGATTGAATATCCAAAAGCTAAAATCTTTATCCATGACCATGACTCGCAACCATTCAAGCATACCCCATTCCCCGCAAACCACCCCGTGTTTTCCCCAGGTCATGGACGGAGATTGAATAATCCTCCGGCACCTATTGGCTGATCGTGTTCCTGTCTGTAGTCACTGAGTTAACTGAGATGAAAACTATATTAAGGCTCTTGCCGCCATTATAAATAAAAATATGAATAGTCCATTCTGACTCACAGACAATCTTTCTTCATAACACTTATCACAATCCAGTACTATGGATAAACAATTCGACACCGTCAAGAACAAGCTTGACGAGTGCGGTGCCACTACAGAGGAACATGCTGGCATGAGCATGGCCTTGGAACCCTATGGTCCTTCCGGTATGATTACATTCCCTTTCTCGGTGTGTATAGCTGGCAGACTCTATCTCCAAGGGCCAGCATGATAGGAATTGATGGAATTGCTGACTCTAGAAAGGTTTCCGCGGTCTCTTCGCATCTCCATACGTCGCAGCCTGTGCCGCCTTCGCAGCCATTGGCGGCCTGCTTTTTGGCTATGATCAAGGTGTCATATCCGTGACCCTTGTCATGGATCATTTCCTCGATCGGTTCCCTGAAGTTTCGGATGATGCGCCAGGTGCAGGTTTCAAAAAAGGGCTCATGACTGCCATGATCACACTTGGGGCCTTTATCGGAGCTATCAATCAAGGCTGGATCGCCGATTGGATCTCTAGAAAGCGTTCTATCATGGTTGCAGTCGTGGTGTTCACTATCGGGTCTACGCTTCAGACGGCTGCGGTTAATTACACTATGCTTGTTGTGGGCCGTTTCATTGGCGGTATCGGCATTGGACAGTTAGTACCACTCTTCCTCACTATGTCTTTCTTTGGTGATGCTCACCATTACTTCCCCCAGACTTTCAATGGTGGTGCCTCTTTACATATCAGAGATTTCCCCTCCGGAAATTCGTGGATCTCTGCTTGTATTTGAAGAGCTATCCATCGTTATCGGTATTGTAGTGGCCTTTTGGATAACTTATGGAACAAAGGTTAGTTGAACTTCTTTGGATTCAATTACAGTCTACTAACATTGCTCTCTAAGGACATTTCTAGTCACTGGTCCTGGCAGCTACCATTCCTCCTCCAGATCTTACCAGGTTTATTACTGGGATTCGGCGCCATATTCCTACCCTACTCTCCTCGATGGCTAGCCTCCAAGGATCGTGAAGAAGAGGCTTTGACCAATCTTGCCAAATTGCGAGCACTCCCCGAAAACGACTCTCGAGTTCAGCGGGAATGGATGGACATCATCGCTGAAGCCCGGTTCCAAGCATCTGTTCTGCGAGAGCGCCACCCTCAACTCACGCAACGCACAGATACCGCTGGAAAGATTCGACTTGAAATCGTGAACTGGACCGACTGCTTCAAGCCTGGTTGCTGGAAGAGAACGCTTGTTGGTGCAGGTCTTATGTTCTTCCAGCAGTTCACTGGGATCAATGCGCTGATTTACTATTCACCGACTCTGTTTGGTACCATGGGTCTCGATTATGATATGCAACTCATCATGTCAGGAGTCCTTAACGTCACACAATTGATCGGTGTTTTATCGAGCTTGTGGACGATGGACCGCTTTGGCCGTCGAGGCATTCTCCTTTGGGGTAGCTTCCTTATGTTTGTTCCACATCTCATCATTGCCATCCTTGTCGGCAAATTCTCCAACGATTGGCCGAGCCATACTGCCGAGGGATGGACCAGTGTTGCTTTTCTACTCTTCTACATGCTCGCATTTGGCGCCTCTTGGGGACCTGTCCCTTGGGCCATGCCTGCTGAAGTCTTTCCCTCGTCTCTCAGAGCGAAGGGTGTCGCGATTTCTACATGTTCAAGTGAGTCTTGTTATTTATTAAGCTGCCAAACACTAATTGTCTTAGATTGGATTAATAACTTCATCATTGGCCTTATTACTCCCCCATTGGTCCGCGAAACTGGGTTTGGAGCATATGTGTTCTTCGCAGTCTTCTGTCTCCTTTCATTTATTTGGGTTTGGTTTAGTGTACCTGAGACAAACGGCAAGTCTTTGGAGGACATGGATGAGGTATTTAATGACCGAAGCGGAGTGGCAGATGTCGCTAAGAAGGAGCGTATTCTTGCTGAGGTACTTGCTGAAAGGGTAGCTCGTCAGGAGTAAATGTTCGTGTTCAAGTACTTCTGATTGAACTTAAAAATACAGTTCATGGCTTTGTTTACATCTTTTATTACCTTGAAGACGAATTTGTAAGCTATGCTAATAAAAGCGCCTGCTTATGAATAAATTAGTAATGCACTTACTTCGGACGAATAAGGCCCCTGTTCGGAGGAGTTAAGTTAAAGGCATTCTGGTGTGTTACATAACCAACGACTGCTCGTCATCTCTAGTGGTGAATAATACTGCGCAATTTACCTTGTCTAAGCGACAAAGGTCTCCACCAGCTAGAACTCCGAATATAAGCCTAACTCCGTGAGCGTTCATAACTCAAAGTCAAAGGTATATAATAAGATAAACTCTTCTTGGAAACCAAAACAAGTTCACTTCAGATAAGATCAAATCGCAATGTCTCAAGAACAAGCATTCGAGCGCCACGAGGTGCTCTCAGCTTCCAACGCCGTTGCCAAAACCATCCTCGACCGACATAGCACCCGCGCATTTTGTACTGGCCAAGAAGTTCCCATATCCGTCATAGAAGAATGTTTCAGTGTAGCACAACACGCTCCGTCTTCTACAAACATTCAACCTTGGAGAGTCATCCTGACGTCCGGTGCACCACTTAAACGCCTATCTTCTGCCCTTGTCGCGGCATTCGAGAACAAAAAAGAGCTTAAACTTGACGATATCCCTGAAACATTCAATCATTATCGATCCAAACTGGGCCACTATGTGTACGGGCCGAATGGGTATAACATCAATCGTGGGGATACAAAGTCGATGATGAAAACTGTAATCGAAAACTTCAAGTTTTACAACGCACCGGTCGTGGCTGTGCTGTACATCGATAAAGAACTCAACAAGGGTGACATTTTATCGGTTGGGATCTACTTACAGACGCTGCTTCTGCTACTGACCGAGAAGGGACTGGGGACTCAAGTCTCGGCTGCTCCAACTGGATATCCAGAAATTATTAAAAAAGAGCTGGGAATCGAAGAGAACATGCATATTCTTTGCACGGTCGGGATTGGATTCGAGAACAAGTCACATCACATCAACTCTTTGAAGATGCCAAGGGATGACTGGAAGCAAAGCATAAGATTTGTGATGGAATGAAAAAATGAATTCGCTCAGGGTACTTTATAAAAATCTTTTTTATTTATGATTTGAGGGTGTGAATAACGAATGGGGGAGCACCAGGATATAAGCCCCAGGACTGTATTAATAACTATTCCATTACAGGCAGTCTTCACCATTTTATGTAGATCCTATAACTTATATCATTCTACTAGACAGGCTTTACATATACTTTTATGCTTTTCCATATTTAATAAGTAAATTTCAGTTATAGGTTACTCCTTAGCTCCCACTGTATTTAATAGATTTGTTTCTTTTGCTTTAACCTTCAACTTTATCAAGCCCAGGCTTTCCAAATCTCGCAATGATATCAACAATAGTATTTAATAGATATATCTTTAGAATTAGTATTAGTATGAGATATTCTCTTCAGTTATACTTTTAATAAACCTTATTTATAGCTATTGTTAAGTTCTTCAAACATAGTCTTATGGTTTGGCTTCTATCCTAAAAAGTCTTTTAGTATTTCAATCTGTAGAGAACTTAATTTAAGCTCTAGCACCTAAAGTCTATAATACCTCCTAGATATTTCTAAAAAGGACTGTATTCTTGCTAACATATATACTAAGAGGGTTACTTATCAACTTATTGTATATTAGCAGCTCGCAAGCTGATACAGAACGGGATTTGATATCCGATCGCTCCTCCATGGAAGCTTTCTGTTGATGTTAAGAACTCTGTTTTTTTAATTGCTCAATACTGTTCAGTATGTATCCGCTGTAACTTACATATTTAAGCCTGCCCATCTGGTCTTTGCTGAATATGACTCTACAGTTAGCCGATTTCACTACATCTCAATGAATTAAACGGCACAAGTTCGCATCAGGTTAGCTTCCAATATTGTGGAATCTTGAATCCCACGTCTACTCCAGTTTTCACCTTATCCATTTGGCTTGTTTTCTTCTACAAGGTACTATTTCGTGATACTACTATAATAGTTACGTAAAGGAGAATATGCGCGGAGTGTGGTTCACATGACTGTGTCACCGCCTTAGGCACATTGAAACACCGGCCAGAAGGGGACTGATATCAGTCTTGAACGATTGAAGTCGAAAATTGGAATATGATATTTGGACTCGTAACGTACCCTATTCTTCAGATACTTTTCGAAGAAGCTGTAAGGCATAAATTCAATGAAAGAATGGTGCAGGATGGATCTGAGAATAACATGTATTCGAGAGCTGTTTTATAAAAGTACTTTTTATTCTGCAGAACTGAGTGTAGAGTTAAAGTGCTTCTAGGTCAGCTAAACTACTCTGTGAATCTTTTCTCAATTGCGAGAAATTGACTGAGGGTATCTGTAACAGTAACCGATAACGGCCGGTAGTCGACCTTGAGGAGATCAACTGCCTTACTCCCGTTGATTTGATACATCGTAAGCAGGCCTTCGTCCTTTCCAGTGCCAGGATTACCCTCTGGTATTCTATCCCTGGCGTCCCCGAGTCCATTTCTTGCATCATCCGCCGCTGTTTGCCAATCGAATTGCTGCGACAATACAAATCGGTTACCGCCAGCTTCAGGAGTTTCAAGTGCAGCAACGACCATCGCAGCAGTGTCCCGTACGTCAACATAGCCAGGAAAGTCCGGCTCGGGGATTTTCTCTGCATCCACGAGCTGCCATAGCAGTCTCGCTGTCGACTTGATGGCATCCATCGAGCTAACTTGCTCATGATGGGGGCCAAAGACGGTCACAGGGGCAAGGGATGCGAGATCAAAACGAGGTCTTTGTTCCTTCATCCAAGACCAGACAGCACGTTCCGATAATGCTTTAGAAGCGATGTACAGAGCCACTGGATCCTTGATAGTCGTGGCCTGCTCAAAGGTTGTGGGATTCCAGTCCGATTCGCTATAAGTGTATCCAGGGCGAAAGCCTTTGGAGAGATCAAGGCAAGCTGCAAATGACGATATATGGACCACACGCTTGAGGGAAGGCCCGGCATACAGCTTGCAGGCCTCGAGGATACTAGTAGCGCCTTTCACCGCAGGGTCTAGCATGTCGCGGACATTATCCTCAACCTGACTCGGCGCTGGACTTGCCGCATGAACGACGCCAATGATATCCTCAGTCAATGACTCTTTGAACTCTTTAGGATTGGTCAAGTCGCGCACGTAGATGATTTTGAGCTTTGAACCAAAAGCCTCTGGAAAAGTGTCGCGAACTACACATTCAGCCGCTTTGGATCTGACTGTGCCGCGCACGTGGTAGCCTTTTCTCAAAAGCTCGTTGATCACATGGCACGAAAGGTAACCATTTGCGCCTGTGACGAGTACTGTAGGGGCGTTGACGGACATCGGGAGTGAGCAGAGTATGGTTTGTTCTGGATCTTGATGGTATTTGTTGAGACCACGGCTGGAAACTGCCTCGGGGAAACAAACGAGAGACTTGAGAGTATTGTTTAGGCTATGATGTGTGAAATACGTCCAGACAACTTAAAGTAGTCTTTACAGACCCTTATGTAGCCCTTTTTGTGTTTATTTGTGAATTGTGAAGGCCCGCTATCATCCTGGTCTAGCCTCGACGGGTGGACTTACCAGAGACATGTTGCTACTAATTCCGGTCCCGGCTGTTTCCTGAAGTCCTAACTCCGAAGATTTTGCCCACCGAAATATAAACTAGACGTGACAGCCAGCATAATGATAAAATGAGTTACTTTGAGGTATTTCAGCTCGTTAGAGGCAGCTACCAGTATTATACGTACTCTCCATGGATTATCTCATAGGATTAGCCAGGAGTCACCCTTTTAATTTCGCCTGGGGGAAGCGAGAAAGAAACCGTTTTATACCTCACATATAACTAATCTAGTCCATGGCTTCTAACCTCATTATAATCCAGTAAAACCTAAGATACACAACTCTAGTACGACGTTCTGTTTTCAGTGTAACAGTGATATACTCTGTCTTTCGAATACGCTTTGAAAAGCCTGGATTACCTCGACAAATGGTAAAACACGAGGAACCCCTATCGATGTTGCTGTAACGCGGATGAATGAATAGACATCGTGTTCCTCGACCCTTGATATCGAATTTGCCTATTGGTCTTGATCTGTTGCCTCAATGCAATTCCATGGCTTTTCTTTTGAGACCAGAGATCGTGTTCGAGCTTAGTTGCCGAACAAGGCTTTCTCCTCTTTTACAAAAGCTATCAATTCTATGGCAGAACGCGAAGACCACAACCTTAAACTTGAGGCGGTGCACAGACGATACTGTGGATCTAGACATATGCTTGTTTAAACCTTAAAGTCTTTTGCGGAGGCTACGGAGCGCAAAATGCTGCGTCAGAGAATTAGTGCATAGTATTGATGACGAATCGCATGATAGTGCTTGTCGGGGTCGGAACAAAGTGAATGGCGAGATGGAAGATTATCACAATACTTGAAAGGCATCACAGCAGCAGTTCATCATGAGTTCCTCATCCTTTCACAGCACCTTCACATTCGATCTTTTTGCTACACTTCTACACTCTCAATGAAGCTCTACCTAGGTGCCGTAGGCCTTGCCACCTTGGCTTGGGCTCACGAAAACGACAACATCAAAGCCAAGGATAATACCTATGAATACATTGTTGTCGGCTCGGGACCTGGAGGTGGTCCTTTAGCTGCCAACATTGCCAGGAGCGGTCATTCAGTACTTCTTCTCGAAGCTGGTGACGAGTAAGTGGACAACCTCAACTCACGAATGGTGTATAACAACACGCCGGCGATCAACGATCCTCTTACACGTTGGGACCTTTTTGTTACACGTGATACTACAGAGTTTGACAACCAGTATGATTTAACCACCTATCGGCAAACTGATGGCGAATTCTACGTGGGATTAGATCCTCCCGACGGGGCAGAACGTCTAGGCATATATTACCCTCGCGCGGGAACTGTCGGCGGATGCGCTATGCATAATGCTGCTTCCATCTCACTACCAGCTGATGTGGACTGGGATGATATCGCCGAACTTACGGGAGATGACAGTTGGAGGACACCTAATATGCGACAATACCTCGTCAATCTGGAACGATGTAACTATCTTCAGAATGGAAGCACGCCTGACCATGGTTTCACTGGATATATCGATACCTCGGCAGCAGATCCTTCTTGGGCTTTGAACCGATCTGATCTGACCACCCTGGCACAACAGTTTTCTGATGCCCTAGGGGGACTTGAAACTGGTCTATCACTATTTGAACTGCTAAGCAGGGATATAAATGAAAATTCCCCAGTTCGAGACCAGACAGACGGCGTATCCACGCCGTATACTCACTCAAACAACGGATTGCGGTCTAGCCCTCGGCAGTATATTCGAGCTACTATTGATGACTCCAGAGGCTTCCCCCTCACGCTCCGCACCGACTCCCTGTTCTCCAAGAATCATCATGGTAAAGACCCTCAAGCCATCGGAGTCGAGTATCTCCAAGGGAAGAGCATGTACTCTGCTGATCTTCGCTATGATCCAGAGGCTAGGGGTGTTCTCAGAAAAGCCTATGCTTCAAGGGAAGTTATCCTTGCTGGTGGTGTTTATAATACGCCGCAGATCCTCAAATTGAGTGGCATTGGTCCCAAGGATGAGCTGAATAAGTTTGATATCCCGATTGTAAAGGAGCTACCCGGTGTCGGTGTCAACATGAAAGACAACCTCGAAATTGTTATATATGGCACGTTCGAGAAAGCAGTCACCGGGTTCTGGGACATGTTTCTCACGACAGCTGTTGCCCTACGCACACGCGATATTCACTTCTATTGCGGCAGCATGAACTTCGTTGGATTCTTTCCCGGTATGCCAGGTTGGAATGAAAATGAGTTCGAGTGTGGTTTTATGCAACTTCATCCTCGCAATATCAACGGCAAGGTAAAACTTCGATCTAAGGATCCGCGAGACGTCCCCGAGATCCATCTCGGATTCTTTCAAGCTGGCAATGACGATGACCTTGAGTCTATGGTCCAGGCTATTAACTTTGTACGACCAATCTTCAACAACTTGACGGATAACGCCTTTACTGAGCATATCCCTTGTCCTGCAAGTGTCGAATGTACAGATGATTACCAGAGGCATTTCCATCGTGCCCAGGCTCACGGGCATCATGTTGCCGGTACTGCTGCTATTGGAGCTGATGATGACCCGCTTGCTGTCTTGGACTCTAAGTTTCGTGTGAGAGGTGTTTGTGGCCTTCGTGTTGTCGACGGCTCCGCCTGGCCCATTATGCCGGGTGAATTGCCGACTCTACCTACGCTTATGCTAAGTGAGAAAGCAACGGCAGACATTTTGGCTGAAATCTGCAGAAACTAGACTACTGGCAATCCTCAGCGTCGTGTGTGGTAGTAAATTTAGTACAGCCCAGAACACTAGACATTATTACACAGCTTCCACATGATCAACACTCCTATAATCAACCGGAATTTATCAAGATGTAATTGGAATCTAAAATGGCTTTCCTGTTCGTTGTATTATTTTTGAAAAGAATCAATTAGGGCACCTTGAGAGGGGGTGTTGAGCTTTATCTGTAGCTGTAAGGTGTACTTAATCCTAATAATACCCAGTGATAATTCGGAAAACGTAGATCTGACGCATCAGTCAATTCCACTTGAATACTGTTCTCAGCTACTCGTTCGATGGTAGTAGCACCTGTGATGGGAATAATGACTGGCATTCCGGGTCTGCGGAAGCTGTGCTGGAGTGCAGGCTTTTTGAGTAGCTAGTGGTTGTATCTGCTCGGCCAGTTCAATGTCGATGTCAAATGCGTCTAGTTGGAATTGTGCAAAAGTATTTGTCAATGCATGACTAGCAGCATCTCGCGAGCTACTACTGGCCTGAGAAGCGCGTGTTCTGAGCACCGATGCCTGTATATCATAGAGACAAGGCTCCGTGTCACTTTCCTGTAGAATTGAAGTTAATGTTGAACTCCTCCTTAAGGACTGATAAACGCCTTTTTATTATATCGTCTTTGCTATGCATGAACAAATGACTAGAGGACGATAAAGGAGACATAGTAAGTAGTTCTTTCACCTCATTACTGAGTAGGATAGTTGGGTAAAGAGGCATGAGATCAGCCAGAGTCTAAGTACAACCCATGAGGGTATTTTCATCCCTACTTTAAAGTAAAACTCCTCTCAGTTCTTTAAACTATTAATATCTGAAGGTATTGTTGATATCATTGAGAGAAGGACCTAATACATAAAATGCGGTGTATATCAGTATAATACACATCAAGATTAACCGTAAGTAAAAATCGTTTTTAAATAATGTATTTGATAAGCATGCGTCGTAGATAAGTATGCGTCGCACTGCACTGTATAGCTAAAAATAGCTTACCCTATAGTAGATAAAATCTTAGATAAAATAGCTAAAAATATAAAGAAAGTATTCTATATAATAGTATAGCTTAATATATATAGAAATATTTTTTAAGGATTTTTTACTATTTTATATTAAATAGAAAACCTTAAAATACAGTATAAATCATAATGTAAATATACTTTAATATTTCTAGCTATATAGGATTTTAATAGAATTATTTAAAATGTATTTATAGCTTATATTATCACTTATATATAAGGTGTTAATTATATAGCTATTTTAAGCTTATTTTCGATTTTTAATAGACTTTTTAAAAGCTAGATTTAAGGTGTATAGGGTAATGCGACGCATACTTGTCTGCGACGCATGCTTATCATACACGTTATCGTAAGCGTATTTACTCTCTAACAGTAGATTAATTATATAATAAATAAAAACACAGTAGATCTTTTTTAAATAGGCCATGAAACTCCTATACCTATCGATAAAATACTATTCATAACTATGGGTCTAGAAATAGTTGTCGTGATGCCCCCTTAACCTTTCTACTGTCTAGTGCCTACTCTAAGCTAACCCTCTACGCTACTGCATTTGACTATAGTACATTATAGCCTTTCGTAGTCTTAGATGCGGCAGCGACCTGAACAAGACTTTTTTCCTGCTATGCGGGTAAATGTTGCCCAACGCAGAAATGAGGGTGGTCATTTAGTTCTTTTCGAGTAAACTTGCAATATCATCCGAATCGGAGTAGTCAATGGCTAGAATGCACGCACCTAGAGCTTTCTTAAGTTCATGTCGACTCGTCTGGTACTAGCAAATTAGTCTCATGACATGAGGGTTATTGGGACAACCAAACCTTTCGACTCAAAACGACCTTCCCATATTTTCCGATGCAACTATCTCCTAGATAATAGAACGGCCGTCACTACCAGTTCCTCCAGCGACTGCTACGACAGGCGTTGCGTACGTGGGCGTTATTTATGGCGAAAAAGATAGGATCAGTTGGCGCAATGGCTAATTACACGTTACTTAGGAAATGGTACTAAATTTCTCTGGTTTCATGTCAGAGTGGTCTGTTTCTAGGACCAACGACCAATATCCCATATCCCACATCCAACATCACAATTATTAATGCGCTCGGTATCGGTATTGTTGAGACTCCGATATCCCTTTGTGCTAAGACTGTGCGTATCCTGTCGACACCATACAAGGCATAGTGCACTTGACGCGCTAATGCGGTGGGTAGAGGACTCAATCGTGAAGCCAATTCCTCTCTCTCTGAATCATGTATGACATCGGAGTTAGGGGTTAACTAACGCCGAGACTGTAGGTGCCGTGATGAGAAAGACGGAAGACTAAAGCTTAGACAGTTCCAAGCTTGCAATCGATGAACAGTGGCCAGTACACAGTTGGGCAAGTTGTATGGTCTAACGTTAGATCGTCGGTTGACTGTGACGACGCGTTCCCACATTTTACCTCGGCAGTCTAGATACCTAGATACCCCGCTTTCCTCCAAGTATATTGTATCCTTCACTTTATATGACCTGAACTGGTCTTTAACAGTATTTCCTTCCCTTCCATTCAAAGACTGTACTTTTCACCAATTTTTCTGTATTAAATCTTTGCTTACCTTGCCTAACTAGCCTGGTGTATACGAAACCATGACGTACCCTCCAGAAGAACCACAAAACAATGCAATTATCAACAGTGATGTTGGTACAGACAAAAGGCTGTTTCGCAAACCAGTAGACTCTAGCAACCAAGAGAACATTAACTCTGTTATCAAAAACGGATATGTTATTCTTGAAAATCTCTTCACAGACATCGAGGTTGAACAAGCCTGTGAAGAGTTGAAGCATCTTGCCGAATCATCTGCAGCAGGTCCAGCCAGTAGTGGTGGACGTAATAAATTCGAAGGGTTTCTAACGAATCGAATCTATGCCCTGCTTAACAAGTCGAGGATATTCGATAAATTTGTCACGCACCCCCAGGTCGTTGCCTTGAACGACTACTTCCTTGATCCTGGATGGCTGTTGAGTGTAATGCTAAGCATTTATATCCAGCCAGGTGAGGATCCACAGACTCTTCATCACGACGATGGTTATATCACAGTTCCTCGACCTCATCGACCGTTTGGAACTGTAAGTGTATGCCCGGTCCGGATGTCCGGCACTTGGACTGATGTATTCTCATACAGGCTATCATGGTTGCACTTGATGCATATACTGAAGATAATGGTGCAACTGTTATCGTGCCAAAGTCTCACGAGTGGGGACACGATCGTATTCCAACCCGTTCTGAAGCTATCCCTGTTGTGATGCCAAAGGGAAGTGTTGTTTTCTTCTTGGGCACGCTCTGGCATGGCGGTGGTCAAAATCAGTCGGAACACGAACGCCGCGCACTCACCGTCCAGTATTGTCAGCCTTGGGTCCGTCCCATTGAAAATCAGATTCTTGCCGTCGACTTCGAAAAACTTTCCCAGATCCCCAAGCAGATCGTTGACATGTTGGGCTATGAAGTTTGTAAGCCTTTCATCGGTTTTGTTAACGGTCAAAGTCCTCTTAAAGCGGCCCAGAGGTATATAAAGCGACGGGAAGAAATTGAAGCTAAAAGTAGTAAACTCTAAAGATATTATTATTCCAGCTATGGGTTCAAGTTAAAGAGGACTTCTACGCGTCTTTATTAATGTGGCTTATATACTTGTGGTATTTATATGCGATTAGTAAGGTTGTTGTTAATTGGTGACTGATAAGTAGAACTAGTACCGATTATTGTTCCTTTACACTGATTGTAGATACAAGCCCAACTCTACAGAATGTTCCTTGGCTGAACAAACTGACTATATCCTCTAAGTCCACGTTGAAAATATCCGGTGAATGTTTTCTTAGTACAACGATGTAGTAGCATACAAATTTCCCTTTCTACTTCTATAGTTCTATATTATCTCTTGTTTATCTTGCATATAAATACCAAATAGAGAATCTCCTATATTCTTTGTATCTTTTCCTCGTTAACCTAATCAAACACATCCATCACATACCTCACATTCCTTTGTTCATCGAACCACTTGCTTGCCTCGTCAAAGGTCATTTCACCCCCGAGTTTCTTGTCCATCTCAGTCTTGACTTTGATCATGACCTCCCGTACCGACTCAGCCATCGCCCTCGAGCCACATACATATACCGTAGCTCCTTTCTCCCAGAGCTCGATGAAGTCCTCTTTGTCTTGCCAGATTCGATCTTGGACATATTTGCAATCCTGTCCATATCGACTGTACGCTCGCCTTACATCTACTGCGCCGAGCTTCTGCCAATTGTCGAACTCGTTGCGGTAAAGATCATCTTGGTCAGGAGCACGACAGCCGAAAAAGAGCAGAGCCGGCGCAAGAGTACGACCCGATTCGTATATCATGGCCCGTTGTTGTATAAAGCCTCGGAACGGCGAAAGTCCTGATCCAGCTGCTACGCAAATGATGGGCGTACTTTCCGGGTTTGAGGGAAGGCTGAAAGCAGCAGGTGACGATCTAATGGCCACTTGGATCGTGTCACCTTCAACTAAAGAATCGAGGTAAGAGGTGGCGACACCTTGATATGTGCCTTGGCCTGACATGGCGGGCCCTTTGAGGACCGAGAAGGTTATTGACGCGCGAGATTGCTCCCATAGAGGAGACGAGGAGATGGAGCTGGAGAAGAGAAGTCAAAAAGGAGTGTAACAGCACGGCGATAAGATTCTTACTATTGTCGAATTCGTATAGATGGCAGCATCTGCAAAAAGTCTCTGATAGGTAGTTCGATAGAGGGATAACGTTCTAGGATTTCCAGAACCGATACGCGCTTATCGCTGATCGCCTCGATGTAATCCTCCTCAGATAACGAGGTCAAAGCAGCCTTTGTTTCTACATCGGATGCAGCTTCGGCAATGAGGAGGAGGTTCTATCACGGTCAGCTAGTTTCATGTCGCGTGCGGTTGCTTGTTGATGTTCTCACCCTTTTAGTCGCCGGCTGAGAAAGCTCAACGTAAGAGCCAAACACGTCCAGCGCCGATATAGACGTATCAGTAGGGAGGGCAGTTGGTGTACTGCTCGAAATCTCCAGATGAGCATCCATTGGAAGCTTGAACCTCCTCAGCGCCCGACGGACAACTTCTTGGGGATTGATTGGCAGGACAGCAAGGTAGTCACCGGCTGTGTAGTCAATGCCTTCAGGCAACTGTATCTCAATATGCTTTTTGGCATTTGCATCGTCGATCCTTGTTAACGTCTTGGTAGAGACCACTGTTGCCTCCTTGACATCTTGACGAAGGGTAAGGGTCCTGAAGTTACAGCTCTTGACACTCAGTCCCTTGGCTGTAGCCGTGTTGCTGCGCTCAGGCTTGTAACGCGCTTCAAGAGCAGGCCACAGGATGTCATCTTCCCATGTCTCAAAGTCACTGAAGATCATATTTTGAGATGCATCGGTGACACCCATGTCGACAATCCGAGTAGCGCCAAGCTTTTCGAGATTACCATCGACAAGCCTAGGGATGCGATGGAAGGTCTGTACCCAATCCTTGTGACCACAGCCAAAAACGGCATACGAGACGTCTTTGAGGGGCATGGATTCTTGGTCAGCCTTCTCGATCCAGGCTATAAAATGCCCAGCATTGTCGGGGGGTTGACCTTCGTATGATGCGGTGACAATCACAACTGGCTGATCTTTAGGAAGGTTTTCCTTTGCCGTGTCAAGACAATCAATCTTGGTGACATGGAAGCCATGCTCTGCGGCATCAGTTGCAACCCTCTGCGCCAAAGACTCACATGTTCCACTATTGGAACCGTACAGGACGGTTATAGGGACACCGCCTTCAGCCTCAGTAGACTTGCCGTTGGGTCCATTCTCCTTGCTTGTTGCTGTACTGGATAAACCAGCCAGCCGGCGCTCAAGGGTGGTCGGCGTAAGGTTATCCCTCAAGATCGCTCGCATATACATGTCCTTAGGTTTAATGGTCAAGGTCTGTTTGTAGCCGAGATGGTAGGTAGGATCAAGAACAAAATTGAAGTTCTGCAGAAGCACTACCATAACCAGCAGAGATTCCTGCCAAGCAAATGGCCTTCCAATGCAGGCTCGCATGCCATTACCAAACGGTTTCCACGAGTTGGGGAACTCGCTGTTCAGTCTGGCAAAATTGTCATCAAACATACGTTCTGGTTTGAACTCATTTGCATCGGCTCCAAATACCGTGGGGTCGAGCTGTGACTTTGCGAGAAGGTTGACGATGGTCTCGCCAGCTTTGACGGGATATTTATCCCCAAGAAGGGTGTCTTCAAAGGCCTCGACAGTGAAGAGAGGGATGGTCGCGTTAATCCGAAGGGTTTCTCTCAGAACACTGTTCAGATATGGAAGCTTGGAGAGGTGTTCTACCTGAACGGGTCCTTTCCCAACCACCTGGTCCACCTCATTCTGAGCAACCTGGTAGGCATTTGGATGTGTGAGGAGTTGATAGAAGGCAAAAGATAAGAGACCTGAAGTAGTTTCGTGCCCTGCAATAAGGAAAGTAATCAAGTTATCCATAATACTTTCATCCGTCATCTTCTTGCCAGTTTTTGTATCGACGCCCTCAAGCATAGCTGTCAAAAGGTCCTTTCGTGTGGTTCCATCAGCCTTTCGGGCATCAAGAACCCCCCTGGCAGTACTTCTCATGATCTCGATATCATACTGATACTTGCGATCGCGCTCGCGGTAGACGACTCCGGGTAAAGGCAACCGTCGAGGCTTTTCTCCAGCCTCTGTAAGAAAATCACCCATTGCCTCGATGAACGGGTGGAGAACTGGAGAATAATAGCTATTGAATCTGTACCCCATAGAACATAACGCCAGTGTGTCTAGGGTCAGACGCGTAAAGTCGTCGGTTACCATAATAGGCGAGTCCGGTCCGTATCGCGCCCACTTGAGAGCAAGTTGAGAGGCGATATCGTGCATCTCGTCAAACATGCGCTCGATCGGCAATGGTCCGAAGGCTGGCATTAGCACTCTGTGAGCGATGCCCCAGTTCTCTTCTCCGAGTTTGGCCTGCATTTGTGCTTAGAGTATGATATGCCAAGGTTGCTGAGACAACATACAGTAAAAAGTCCATCGTGAACTCCTTCTCGGATTTGCTATGGAATTATTAGCCTCAGTCCAGCCCCGAGAGTATGCCGTGACTTACAGTGAGAGCTGAATTAACAGATTTCTTAAATCGCTTCTCATTACACGTCTCGTTGACCAATGCCTGTGTGGAAACGACCACGATGGTTCGGCCGGGAAACCTTAAGCGGTAGATCTCGCCTTGTGATGCATTGTTAGCTAGTTGTCACGCCCTTGTATTCGCGAGGTTATTCCCACCATATTGCTCGGCGAGTGATACCATAGACCCCAAGGGGAAGTCGGGATCGATTGATTTGATGTTACCCAGCAAAGGCAAGCCGGAAGGGGTCGGTATCTCGGCTGTTACAGCCATGATGTTACGAGGTTAAACTTTATCTTGTAGAAACTCAGTTTAATGCCACTATGATGCGTCAAAGTCAAATCACAGAGACTGGTATATTAATACGTAAGGACGAAGGATACTCAACGCAATTTGTCATGCTCCACCATATGGGACCATAAGAACCAAGGATTTACGTGTGCCTCGGCTCACGACAAATGCATGTATACATTGGTCAGCGCAGGTTTTAGAGTTGTCGGTACCATTTGTTGGGACGTTATGTCTTCACACTCGGACCGAGAGTAGTCCATGAGCTTGGACAGGACAGGACAGGACAGGGGCCCCTGAAGATGGCCAAACTGTTGAGCCGGTCGGTGTTTTCATGGCGACCCACAAAGTCCCGGAGGCCGAGGCAAATCGCCCTAAGCTGAAAGAAAATCCGGGCCTTACCGATTTGAGAATCCCGCTATCTTTATCTTTATCTTGTTCGTGCTCTCTATTCAGAGTTGGGGAATCTCTGCGCTAACTCGAATCGCATCAACACGTCCACTTCATCAGACCCTAGTCTGGGAGTTATTTCCGGAATATCCTCAGGCATGAATTCAGCGAATGGCGTCCAAAGTGTTGATAGAATCCCTGTCGATGCAAAGTCATAGCCCTCAGAACCATCAAGCCACTGCGTAGTCCTAATTCCCTGCGTTTCTGGTAACGCAGTCGGTTCTCTTGAGACGACCTCAGCTTCTCGAAGCGTTTTCCCGATCATGATTCTAGCGCGGTCGAACAGATTGTACGCAGCGTCGGCAGAGATATAAGACTTTCGCATCTCTTGTAGAGCTAACAGGCAGACGGCCAAGTTATGCTTTGCTAATTGGCTCGACGACGGCTTGGATGACATCATCTCGAGCAAGTGTACTTGGATTGGGGGGCCAATGATGAGGACGCTGATAAAGCGTCAGTAGAATAATGCTTGGCGGCGTGAAAGTACGTACGTGACCGTCTGGGCAAACTTCATTAGATCCTCTGCCATCATAGAATTGACGGCCTGCGTTGCGTGAGAAGCTGCAGCCCGAACTTTGTTCTTTGCAAAAGTTCTCCAGGAATCCTGCTCCTCTGCTGGAACTCCATGTGGTGTTTCAGAGAGGAATAGTCGGTAGAGAGTTATGATTGCCGCCCTGCAACTAGTTAGCTTGTGACTATTCATGTTCCTCTAGAGCTTACTGAGTATGAAGCCGGAACTGATACAAGTGCGATGCTAGCACTGGGCTTTGGTCATTATGGTCATCGGGAAACCAGTTAGCACGAATCTCGCTTTCGTCTCTTTCAATGGCCGCCCTCGAAGGTCTTGAATTCTTGATAGCATAGTTAGTCGACAATACTCCTCCCATGACGCAAGTCACTCCAATCAGTCGTAGCCACATCCCGAGCAGCGTGCCGAGCTGTTCAGGTAAATAGTGCTGATACTCTGGTGAACAGTCGGGACTTGTATCGTAGTACCCCGGTATTGGAGTTGAGCAATGATCGAGAGATATCCGCATTGGTCGACCCTGGCCCATTGACAGCCATACTTCGCGGTAGTAGATACACCACCAGACACGTCGCCACAAGGGTTGAATGCCATCTCGTGCTGGGGATGTCAACATGTGAAGGCCGATGGTATGGGAGAGGCTGGTGGCAATCCCATTCCAATGCCAAGGACCCAGGCGATCTTCAGCATTAGCGTAAAAGTGCCCCATGAGAAACACAGACTGGATTAGGGTAAGTTTGTTCTTCTCATAATCTACATCATATAATGTCTGCGCAATTTGTTAGGACAGTCGATTTTGCCTGAGATGATGGGGACATTGAAATTCAAAGTACCTTGGCTCGTTGAAAAGCTGTGTGCTTGAAAGCAAGCTGAGAGTCGTAACGGCTTTCGGCGAACAAACTGTCCTCGACGAACTGTGCCCGTCAGCATGCGTGCCCACTGCTGGTGTCGTGGAGACTTACACTTGCAGCGCACATAAATACGTTCCATAGTAGTAACAAACTAAGATGACCTTTGCTATACTTGTTGAAAAATTCTTCAGGATCCAAGACCGGTTCAAAGGGGTGGACATAATGGAAGTAAGCTTTGACAAGAGTCTCTCTTAGCGAGTGTTGGGGTAAGGAAAAGCATCCCTTGAACCGGAGGTACTCTATCTCCTCTGGCAAAAGAGATTCTAGCGAGGGCAGGGACACAAAAGCATGATTACTATTGTTTAGTCTTCCGGGCTTGCAGATGTCTATCACGAAAGCTGGTCCTCTTTTGTCACCTAGAATGGTCAAGATCGAGAGTTTTCATCGTTCATAGAGTGGCTGTTTACCTGGGTAGAACGGCACTCGGTTGCCATCGCTCTCATGCCCCTCCAGAGTTTCGGCCCATGCTGATGTGGCATTGGCAATTGGTGATGAACGGGCTGTATCAAGACTCTCAGCTTGTCTTGATTCACCAAGTTGTGAGTCCAAACCTCCAGCAGCTTCGCAACTCTGTACGTTGTTGTCGACGGAAACGGTTTCGTGGCTAGCCGCGGCAGATGAAGGATGATGGAGGTGTTGCAAGTGGTCAGGGGATAGATGACCAGTCATATCAACAAATGAGTTCCAACGGCATGGCTCATGATCTTTTGCAATGCCTGTATCCTGGTGCGGACTCTCGCTTTGCGAAGTACTGGGTTGTGGAATTGAAGAGCTTTGTCCCGAAGGTATCGGGCTGTCTTGCGTCCCCGAACTAGACATGGCAGGCAAGATATCCATATTACTATACTAATTAGCTATGTGAAACACTTCCGGACGAGAGACAGTCTTGCCGTCGCCGCTTACGGCTTTGCATCTCGCAAGGGACGTTATCCACAGCACAGTTAGCGCACGGGGGCCCGGATAGGGTAACGGTGCACCTGACCTTGCGAGCATTACAAGCCTTACATGCTATATGGGCCCGATTATAGGGCCTGTTGGTCATTGGCGGCATTGTGATTCTTAAGCTTAGGGTTTAGAGGGATGAAGGAAGAGAGCGGAGGTCTTCCAGAGAGGGAACCGAGGTAATTGACTATACAGCAAAACAGGGTTACAATAATATTACATTTATGTACTTATTCCTATATCGGTAGTATTACTATAACGGTACTAAATTTTATAGGTTTATATAAATTTTGAACTTCTTTTTTAAAATATTTTAGAAACTTTATTTATTTTAGTATATATTTTTCTAAACCTAAAATTCATATTTCTAAAATAAATAAACACTTGCTCCATTTCTCTAAAAAGAATTTATTAGTATAAAGTTCTAATTCCTCTATAATATCACTAGTAAGACAACCCACTATTACTTTCATTAGATAAATGGTTACTGTAAAAGAATTATTAAAACAATATAGTACTATTTATAATTTTATTTGAAGGACTGGGAGTGGACTGAACCTGTTAAACCCGCTGTGCTAAATAGAGTGGCCTCTAGGTCATTTAGGTCTAAATCCGGTTTAACAGGACTATAGAGACAGATTACAAATAAGTTGTATTAGCCCTCTCACATGATAAGTGAGGTCGGCGGAAATAGCATTCTCTGAATTTCTTACTGAGGACTCTTGGTCTTGTAGTCAACCTTGACCTCGGCAACTTGTGGGGCCATGCCTACTTGAATGTACCTAAATGGGAATGGGCAAAAGCTTTAGGTGATGTGGTAGTAAAGTCACTTATAAACAATCTCGTAAATCCCAAACACAATCAAGTAAACACATTACCAGGAACTTCACTCTCATAATGCCGTTGACTATTGCTACCCCGGCTTCCTATGCCTTACTGCCTTTCAAAGACATCACTGTCTCGCACGTACCAGCGAACGCCTCTACGGCCACAAAGGTCCTTGTTGTAGCTTTCAATCGTCCGGAAAAGCACAATGCCGTCACCGAGAACCTCCTCACTGAGCTTGAAATAGCCTATCAAGTCATCAATCAAGATGAACGAGTTCGTGCTGTCGTCCTGACCGGCACAGGCAAGGCATTCTGTGCCGGAGCCGACCTCCAGGTTGGATTTACTCCGCTAATGGCTCATAAAGAGAGCGAAGATTCAATCTCCAAATACAGAGACCAGTCCGTACTTACGTGAAAGACTAGCCTACGCATATGCTAACACATGGTCAGGGGGGGACGAGTCGCTCTAGCCATGGCTAACTGCACTAAACCCACTATTGTCGCCGTCAACGGACCTGCAGCAGGCTTTGGATTCACTATTACCCTTCCCGCCGCTATCCGCGTGGCTTGGTCTGGAGCTAAACTTTCTCTACCTTTCGCCCGTCTGGGTCTTACCCTCGAGTCTTGCAGTGCCTTCTTTCTCCCTCGGCTCATTGGTCTAGCAAAGGCGACGCATATTTCTACTACTGGTGCGACATATGTGGCCTCTGACCCGCTTGTTAGCTCGCTCTTTTCGAAACTTCTTCCAACTCCACAAGAGACTGTAGTATATGCCATAGAGCTAGCGGCAGAGATTGCAGAGAATACCTCGCTAACCAGCACCAAGCTAATAAGGGACTTGCTGTTGTATAGCCCTAATACTCCAGAAGAAACACATGTATTGGATTCAAAGGCCTTTATATCTGTCGTCGGGTCGAAGGACAATATAGCTGGTATCAAGGGCGTTTTGAAGAAAAAAAAGCCAGAGTTTAGTGGGGCTTTTGATCAAGAGTCTATACCTTTCTGGCCATGGTGGAAGCCCGACAATGGCAGTTATTTGAATGCAAAACTGTAAGATTATGGAAGGCCAATAGAGGTTAATTTACTACTCAGCACCTCAAATATAGTTCAGAGTATCCTATACCTAATACACCTCTAGCTAGTATTGAGCTCCTTAAATATGGCCCTACAGCTCGGCTGCCGTCCCAGAAAACCTTTCAGTATCTCGATCTCCGGACGACTCGATCCTAGCTCCAGCACCTGATATCTGTAACGCCTCCCAGCTTCCGGACTCATAGGGTCCTGTGCAAACGCGGATGCAAAGAGGTCTGCTGCATAGACCATGGATAAAGGGTAAGCGAAGTAACTACCGTCGTTCTTGCGAAACATGTGTGCGAACCGCGCCTGTCCTGCACCCCAATCTTGTGGGTTCGACCCTGAGGTGTATGGGAGTATGTCTCTCTTTGTCTTGTTCCAGACCTCAGTTGTATTCATCTCTACCGCTGCTTTATGAGTAGCCGGTGTGTGAATGGTAAGGTCGAATACAGCGGGTTGGACCTGAGCCAAGATATTAGTAGCCCTGTTTGCATTTCTCGTGCGGGCAACACCTTCTGCTAGGTCGCGTGGAAGAGTCGTATGGGTTTCATAGTGACGGCCAAGTCGAACCAATATATCCGGGAGCCAGATCCAGTTCTCCAGCATGATGCTGGGAATCTCAATGAAGTCTCGAGAATGAGATATTGAATACTTGGTCCTGGCAACAATGTTGTGAATGGCATGTCCAAACTCATGGAACATGGTCTTCACTTCACTATGCTGAAGCAGCGATGGACGGGAAAGTGTTGGATTAGCAAAGCTACACACCAACGCTGACGCGGGGTAATGCCTTTCACCTTTCGCTTCGATGAAGCCCTAAGCATATGAGGGTTAACCTTGTACTGTATGCGCATCCAAAGTTGACATACCGGTTGGATAAGAACATGATGTGCCCCACGATATTTCCCCTTTCTATCAAGGATATCCACGTACAGGTGACCTAAAAACTGGCCTCCTTCATCGGGGGTGTCCCATGCTTCGTATACAACGACACTCCCGTGCCATACTGAGGTCTCAATACGCTCAAACTTGATACCAAAGAGATCTCGGAATACATCGATCATGCCTTACAGCGTTTGATACGCCTCGAAGTATTCACTTAGGAGCGCGTGGTTCACTGAGAAGTTCTCCTGGTTTTGCTTGTGGAGATAATACGCCCTATCCCACGAATACAACTCCTCGGCGCCGAACTCCCTTTTCTTCAGCTGCAGCAGTCTATCGGTCTCAGCCTGTGCGAGGGGCTTTAGCCTTCTATGAAGCTGAACCAACTGAGTCTCCACATAGGCAACACTCGGTGCCATCTTGTCCGTAATCTTAAGAGCCGCATGGTGTTCAAACCCCAAAAGCCGAGCAGCCTGGTCTCGTAGAGCGACCAGATTCTCCAAACGCGTTACATTTTCATGGGATCCGATTTTGCTGAGCGACGTAGAACCGTCGACGAGCCTCGCTACTCACTGCATGACGCATGATGGCTGTCACCTGGTCATTGCGAAATGTCACCTGGATCCGAGTTCCTTCTTACGCCAAGGTTGCCAAGATGTTCTCTGGAACACCTTCCAGTGCCGACCGTTCAAACCAGATGCCGTCCTCTTCTTCTGTGAAGGAAGCTTGCGTAGCAGTTCGCAGATCACTGATCTGTTCAAGCGCGGTGCGTAGTTCTTTGTGCTCGTCATCGCTTCGCAAGCACGCTCCAGAGCGCACGTACTCGTTATGGACATGAGCGAGCAAGTGTCGATCTTGATCATCGAGGCTCGCATCTTGCTCAATTTTCTCTTTCTCGTATACTGCTGCCACCAGGAGCGCAATGTCAGGCCGCATTTGTATGTTGGCTTGAGCTGCTGAGACTATCGTTTCGGCCTGTTGGGCGGCATCGCGAAGTTCCCGGTCTGGTGACAACTGGCCAAGCAACGTCGTCAGAATGCGTAGGCGGCATGCTGCCCGGTTGGTATCGTTCACAATGGGGCGGATCACGCAGGCAAAGTCTGCGCTTGTGGCTGTGAACCTAGCGGCTAGATCATCATGTAGAGCTAAGGTGGAGTCAATTATATCCTGTATCTCAGCCAGTACCGCATCAGGCTTGAGGTCTTCAAATGACGGAGGGGAAGGGACTGTTGGTCTAGTGCTCATGGTGAATTTCAAAGTCCAGCGCATACGCGCACGCACATATCCAAGGCCTGTCTAACCGCTCCTGCCGAGGGTGTTTATAGTCGTACCACGGAGAATCAAAAGTCCTTGTGCAGGGAACTGGCGCATGCACCAACAACGTTGGTTGTGTAGGTCGACATACAACCCTGTAGCCTTGGAGATCAATGACTGATTGGGCAATCCTAACTTCCGGCACGTAAAGCCGTACACTTATCGCGCCATGAGGAAAGCGGTTCTTTCGTTCCAGGGATGTACCTCACCATTGACCGGCAGATTTCAGGCCTCTGATAGACTTTTCAACAAGGTCATTCCAAAAGATGTTCTACGTACCTGGAGTATTTTTCTCTGCGCGTAAACATCTTTACCTCCCATTATCCCAACATTGAACTACCGTCGAATTGATCCAACATGATGAATCACTGGAAGAGATTATCAGAAAGAGAATGTTTTCCAGTCAAGAGCGACGACTTCAACACGGATGCACCGAGCGATGATTTTCCAGACTCAGAGCATACTACAGCTGGGATAAAGTAGTACTAACCAACAAGGTCCTGTCTCCTTTACGTACTACTAGATAAGCTTGTAACACCATCTGGAATGTCAGGAGGAACACTAGCCAAGAACAACGACTAAAGGCTACCATCTTTACAGTTTTTATTGCACTTCTATTCCTTAAAATATATACCCTAGATATTTGCTATATTGCTCGATATTTCGGGTCTATAAACATGTTTACGAATCTTTTTCGTGTTGTTGTCGTAGTAGTCCACTGTGCAGTGTTCCAGTTCGTCACTTGGACTCCAATGCCAACCATTCACGACTTCCGCAAAAACAGCCCTGGCAGGAGCTTTTAGTACCACTAGCCGGAGTATCTCATCTCGAGTGGTATGGCCATCTGTCTGTCCCATGTACATATTCGATGGGACAACCGAGACTTCATTGATGTGCATTTTTGAAAGATGATGATTTTGTCAAGTAGGATCTGAGTATGTCGAAGATAGATCGGCTAGGACTCAACAGTAGCCTAGAGGAGAGATGTAATGTGCAGTCGGTACTTGAGGTAAAATAATAATTGATTCAACAGAATGCTAGCTAGGGTCTTCAAGTGTAGAGTTAGAAGAAGCGCCATACATATTGTTGAACTGGTATTCTTTATGTACTAGTCCTGACGTTCATCATTGGTAGCCATGTTCAGAGAACATCTTTTGCTCAAGACAGAACTCAGAACAGGACATCCTCGGACTGATTTCAACCAGAAATTAAGTCAAAGTACACCTATAACTTCTGGTCTGTTCAAGACCGAACAGTTCTGCCCAGGTAGTCAGTGCTATGGTTGTGTAACTAAGAGGCCCACCAACCTTCATGTTCTGGTGCAATAGGTCGCATGGACACTGGAACACAAACAAAGAACAGTTGCCATCACACGCAACTCAACCTGAACTAGCGCGCAGCTAGAGTACAGACAAAGAACAGTTGCCATCACATGCAACTCAAACTGAAAATGATTTTTGCAACTTAAAACTTATCTCGGCTGCCACATATTGGTCCCACCAGGCCAAGACAAAGGATGATTGCTGTCGAGGCGTATTGTCATGGTGCGGATCATGGCCCGTGATAACATCTAGCATCAGACCTAATCATTGATTGACTTCGGTGTTTCCGGTCGAGTGTGCTTGCCCCTTTGTCGCAGCGTCTGGTCATCATTGTCTACAGGCCGAGTTTGTGGCTGCGACATGACGCCCCGGAATGGTCTATCGTGATTCAATTCGCTGATTTTGAAGTCTCAGCTTCAACACCAATACACTGTTGGTGTGGCACAAGTTGGTTGCAACACAATAAAAATACCATGAGCATTTGGCTGAACCGTTCCAAATTGGTAAACAGTCATCCTCCTTATTCTATCATAGTAATATAAAGAGAACACAGTACTCCTGGCATCTGCTGTCTACAACAACGTCCAGAAGTTCATAAAAGCTTCAATCCTACTCATTGAATATCTCAAGTTCTGTCTCAAAATAACACCCGCATCGCTATGAGACACATCACCATGGCAAAAATAAGCGACTCTCCTCCACCAACCCCAACAGCCCCTTTTCAACAACGGCTGACAAACTGTGTATCACCCGGCGAGAATCCACACTACTACAGACCGGGAGGCTATCATCCGGTCAATCTGGGCGATATGCTCAATGAAGGCCAATATAAGGTCATTCGAAAACTTGGAGAGGGGTCTTTCTCTATTGTCTGGCTCGCTCATGACTTAATGTACCTTAACCTCCCCCGCCACCAGGTAACTCTAGCCACTTACTGAAAGTTTTCGTAGCAACTCTCGATATGTGGCGGTGAAGATTCTAGTCTCGGACGAGACAAAACAATCCCACGAGTTGCAAATCTTGCACTATCTTGCCAAGGTTGCTCCCTTGGAAGGACCCCAGCGGACCACGCAGCTTCTCGCTGAGTTTGAACACACAGGCCCTAATGGCACGCATAAATGCCTGGTTTTTGAACCGATGGGCCCATCCCTCTGTCAAATGCTTCTGGAACTTGACGAGGAGGGCAGTTTTGATCGTGAGACGAAGTATCCGCTCCAAATGGCAAAACGCATTCTCCGGGACGCCTTGGAAGGGTTGGCATTCCTCCACAAGAATGGCATTTGCCAGGCTGACTTTCAGCCTGGGAATCTGCTGTTCTCGGTCAGGAATATTAATTCCTATGATGAAGCAGCCTTATGCCAAGTGGAAAAGCTTGGCGAGCGCTATCGAATTGAGAGAATTGATGGCAAGAAAGATAAATGGGCGCCAGAATATTTGTGGACTGCAGAGCCGCTCACTAACTTCACGAGTACTGATGAGAATCTCAAGGTTAAATTGGCCGACATGGGTGGCGGTAAGTAATTTCTCTCCTGGGATGAAGTTGGGCTAATAGATTGTAGCATACTTCCTCAATGACCCTCCCCAGAAACCAGTGACCCCAATCGGTCTTCGAGCTCCAGAGCTTGTGCTCAAAGGAGAATTCAACATGGCTCAGGATATCTGGAGCTTTGGTTGTCTTATCTTTGAATTGATTGCTGGAAGACCTCTCTTCTATGTATTTGGCCCAGGCAAAGACGGTATAGATGATGAACATCTTCTTGAAATCACAGATAGACTTGGTCAACTACCTGATGAGCTTTATAGCCACTGGAAAACTTCCTCACGCTATTATACTGAAGATGGAACTAAGTATAATTGCATGATTGGTGGTGTCCCTGAGGGTAGAGAGCCACTCATGTTGGAACAGAGTTCGATGGAACAAGCCTTCGACAAGGAGAGTCCAGAGGTGACCAAGGAGGAGGCAATTGAGATTAAGAAACTAGTTCGGTGGATTCTCCAGTATGATCCTGCCAAGAGACCATCAGCGAGGGAGATTCTTTGCCATCCATGGTTTGCGGATGAGTGGGAGATAAAGGCAGAGTAAGAACAAAGCTAGAAGTGGTTTATAGGAAGGCGTACATAGGAAAGGGAAAGGGAAAGGCAAGACTGGTATGTATTTGAGATTGAATTGTTCGCGTAGTAGGTAGACGGAGTATTGATTTATGTTTTGTTTCACCGACATTTTAACCAAATTCTAATAAAAGCAACTGCCACTACCATTATCCCCAAGGAAGTTAGCGCGTATCGCTTCAAGCCGAGACTCGGGCTCTTTGCCAATCACTGAACGAAGATCATTAACTAAGTTAGCTGAGACAGTAGACAGCCCATTACGTCAGGGCACTCCACTAGCGATCGGGCGCTGGAGAGATCGTGATGAGCAGTGGCGAAATCTTGAAATTCGATGCGGATTCGAGACCGAGAATGGGAAAATCAAGGAAATTGCGTGGACATCTTTCCCATGAAAAAGCATGGACTTCCTGAATCTCGATCATCAATCCCATTCTCTCCCACTTTCCCAAATGGGTAACTAAATAAACCTGTTCCTGACTTGCAATCAGGTCTAGACCCACGGAGTGCCAGAGTGGCAAATAATCATAGTGAAATAAATAACTGTAGTAAATAATGCCTACTCGTATGTCAATTGCGGTTTTCTCTATGCCGTTATTGTTTGGGCTTTCCATGCTCCAATGGCTCCCCCAAGGCTGAGGGCTTTACAGCCGGCTCAGCCATCGCCCTTGTCAACTGCATCACCATCGTCATCAGTAGGCCAAAGACCACTGCCCAGTCTGGCCCGCAAGGCCGGATACGTTCCCGCGTGCGAACCTTGCCGCAAACGAAAGAAAAAGGTATGCCTGATCCAACAAAGATGCTACAGGGGTATAATACTCTATTCTTGCCTATGGTAGTATGGGACGTCATTAACAGACATGTTTTACAGTGCGACCGAAGTCGACCGGAGTGCTCCAAATGTACCGAGAGAGGTTTGGAGTGTATCTATCTTGATGTGGCAATTGAGACGCCAATCAGTGCCAGCCAGCTCCAAAAGTTGGCGTACCTGAACGGTGATCCATCTACCATCCTCCATCTCTTGACCACTCTTCCATATTTCGATGCTTTGGAGCTCTTCAATATGCTACGCGAAATGCCCCAAGGTAGAGAGGCCTCGGTCACATCAACAGAGGCTGGCGTCACCCTTTCCATACCTTCGTCCTCTCCCCAACCGCCTCAACACAACCTCATCAGAAGCCTTTTACCAACATCAAATCCCCTGGAACAAGAACTTATGGTTGAACATCCTATTGTATACCCTGTCCTGTTGCCCACGACCCTAAGTGGCCTCCCTCTCGAGTATCTGCTGACCTCTCGGAAACCCGGTATGACTGCCACACAGTTTTTATGCGATACGAGGTCTCCTTCATTCGCCGATATAATGCTCATGGACGAAGAAGAATTAGATGAAGACAATGCTCTTTTAAAATTCTGTAAAGAGTTGCCACATCTGGAACAATCACATATCGACTATCTCCAAAAAGTCGATATTTCATTGTGGATGGAGATGCCAATTCCCAATCAGACTGCTGTCCGAGTCATTGCGGTTTATCTTAACAATGACTACCCGGTTCTGCCCGTATTCCACGCGGATTTGTTTCTTCGGGACCTCTCACAGAACCGGCCCTATTTTTGCTCAGCCCTGCTAATCTCAGCTCTTTTGGGGTGGGTATGTGTGAGTAAAGTTCCAGATAACGATTCATTTGCTTTGTCAACGCTGACTCTGTTCTTATTGATGTCCGCTAGCAAGCCTGCTCTTGTATCGACCCAGAGACTGCTTCATGGAGCTCTTTCTTTTTCCTTGATGCTCAGACTAGGTGGAGCCAGCTCAATCACGATGAATCCATTACAATATCTAGTCTTTCTGCACTCCAGTTCATGTCTATGACAGCCATAACACGTGGGCAAGATGACCTAGGGCTTGAATATCTTAGAAAGGGTCTAGATCTTGGCCAGAAGATGGATATTCTGAATGTCGAACCGGGGATGCAATCTCACCCACATGCTAGCTGGCTGAACGGTTATCCTGATTGGAGAAGGGCTGCATCTTATGCTGCATGGGGTGCTTATAACTTGGCGTCGTGAGTAGTCTTTCTCTGTTGCGTTCTGAACCTAACACATATATCCCCAGTATGGTCTCACTCCACTTTCACCAGGTTGAAGTCGAGGCAGCACCTGGTATCGTGATGCCCGGAGATATCGATGACATCTTGGCTGCCGAGGAAGACGAACTCAATGTCCCGTCCATTCATGGCGAGATCTTCAAGGCTAGCTGTAAGCTTTGGACGATTTTCGCCCCCGTAGCTGAAACCTACTACAGACAAGGCAACAACATGTCTAACGAGACGGCCTGTCTAGATTATGCTGAAAAGGTATACCAGCAGCTCCTCAGATGGGCAGATGAACTACCTCTAGAGTTGGTTCCTCAAGTTGGCAATTCACAGGGTATACATATGCTGCAGTAAGACTCTCAAGGGTTGAGGTACACTTGCGAAGGGACTAATCTTCTAACTTAGTATTTACTTCCACGCAATCATAACAGATCTTTTCCGCCCCTTCCTACAAAGTGAGTTATCATCGGCCCCGCTACGCACCTTCAAAGTGGAAAATGCGACTCCACAAAGCGTGTACAATGCCTCCATCCGGCAATTGAAGCGACTTTTACTCTCGCATCGTTTAGAAACAGGGCCAGAAATGTTATCAATTTTCTGGCAAACCTGTATCATCTACGTTGCAAACGCAGTCATTCACGGCGAAGACGATCAAGAAGAGAGGCAGTTCTTTGTCCACCTTTCTCTGGCTCGACTGCAAGAACTGTTCCCATCTTACCCTATTTCCGGTACAGTAATCAAGGGAATTGCAGCAATGGCAATTGGAAAAGGAATTTTGGAGAAAGGTCAGGCTAGTCAGATCCATGGTCGACTAGAGGAAATTGGACAGCATCGTGAGCTGGGAAACAACGGCAGCGAGGTGATGGCGAGTTGGGTTCTTGACTTGGACCTTGCAGTGACAGATCTTCCGCAGGCACGGGGAGGCAGACTTGCGGAGGAGTTTGATGGTATGGGTGAAACTAAGGAAGAAAGAAGGTAGTAATTAATATTGTATTGTGTTATCTCATTCCATTCATGTTGCCTCTGTTCGTCACAAGATACCCAGCGTAGTCTTGAGCACAGGAAATAGTCAACAAATCGTATATCGTAAAAGGGCGCAGTTAACTCCCGCAAAACATATGTGATAAAGACTAGAGCTAACTTTTATGCATGCGAAATATCCAAGGCTTTAAATCCAGCGCTAAAAGGCGTAAATGAAGACGGGCTGTCGAGGCAAATAACGTGTTTCGGGCCTCATGGATGACTGATTCTGGTGAAAACAGAAGCAGCCATTGAACCAGAACGCGTACGTGTTGCTCGCTTGGACTGGACCAAGCTGCAGAAATTGCAGAGAAGAGGGGAGTCTGGGGCGCTGCGTCGCCAGCGGGGTGTCTCGGTGACGCCGCATGTATGACATTGCTTTGGTGATACCGGTCGGATGTTGTTTGACGGTGGGGACCTTGAGCGTCGTGTCGCTTTATGCTCGGTACCGCCGTCTTCAGAGATTTGCCGACGTGGCACAGATCGAACTATCTCATCGAGAGCTTGAGAAATGTTTGCAGCGAGGGTCACTACAGCTGATATGTCTATGTCGTTGGCGGAGGAGGTCGAGGCGATTGATGGTTTGTTCAAGAATTGGCCTATATCGTAGGACTGGGCAAGCTTGTGTAATGTGTGAGCATCTTGCGAGATCTAGTTGAGTTGAGTGTTAGTATGGAAGTGACAACAGAGCGAGATGAGGTTGTGTTAACATACTCTCTGTATCTTGGCGGCTTCATCGATGTTCCTGCTGTAATCCACGCCTGATCGGTGGAAGAAGTTTCCCGACTCGAGCTGGGTCGGTCCCTGTTGTGATGGGGGAATCATAGGGAGTAGATAGAGCAAAAGCTAGAACGGCGAATTCTCTGAGTTCGATTGCACGCAGGCTGGTTGTGGGAGAGAGAGAAGGTAGGGACTGTAAAAGCGCATAAGATGCAGAAAAATGGCCCAAGTGAGTGTGGGAGATATCGATGCCTTTGAAGGAATTTCAAGACAAAAACACAACGGGGATTCAACATTACCCATTGTGATGTCATGTGAGAATAGACGTGGAGGTTCAGGTCCAGGCCAATCATGAGCTGGCGGATGTCCGCCCAAGACCCCAATATGCGTGATTGTGGACCTTGAACCCTGAATATTGAACCCTTTGCCCTTTACGCATTTAGAGTCCACAGACTTTGAAGACCTGAGCCAATCAGAGGCGGAGAAACCGCCGGAGGTCCCCCTACCCTTGATCACCAAAGCCGGCTAAGCCGGCTAAGCCGGACACCTAACGCACGTTAGCTACTCTGTCTAGGGGGGGAATTAAACACCGGACGCCATTTGGTGGTAGATCAGCGATTTTTGGTGCAAGTGCGTCCGGTGTTTTTCTTCCCCCCGAGGGTCTGTATCCCTAGTTAGATAATAATTACAACAGTTAGCGTCATGACCAGCCCGCCAGGGTCTCAAATGATAGCGCTAGGCCGAGTTACCACGTACCCCTCAGCGGATCAAGGGTCTTGTTGTTTTTCACTGTTTTTCCCCGCACAGTCAGGGGCGGGGTCGCAAGAAAAGCTCCATGCTTGTTCACTTGTCGGTCAGGGCTTGTGACAAACTAATCCGACAGACCCCCAATAACAGGAAGTTAGAGTGGGGATGGCGTGGGAATCCTTAACCTGTCCAACATGAGATGATAAAAATGGTGGCACAAACACGCAGCCGTTAAGTAAGCGTCTCTGTTCCATATTTTTATCAGGCCCTGTCTCAAAAAGTAAAAGATTTTTACACCCCTTCCTTACACAGGTTAAAACACGTCCCTTCCTAAATTTCCCACCAGCTATTTAGCCCATTCCTCATCAAGTCTTCCCAATCATAACACCAGGAAAGCCGAGATCCATTTCTCCATAAACTAACTATCTCTTATTCGACTGGACTGCAACAATACTGGTCCCATCGTTACACTGTTGACGTAGGCATTAGCTCAATACCGTACGATTGATCAACAGCTGTGATAGAGCACAGGCCCTAAGCCTCCTGTGGCGGCCACTCAGAGATGCAGGACTCTTGCTCTGCCAATGACTATCATGCAAGCCACGCCTCGTGCCGCTACTATCTCCGAGGGGATCAGAATGATTAGCTTGTGAAACATGTCAGTGACAATAATGGTTGGCGGATTTGAGGTTATCCGGAGGCTACTAAGAGTACGATCGCTTTCCTGTTGCTCAAACCTTATTAAAATTGGTAGGTTTAATTCTTTACCTTGTGCTTTAAAAACATCGCGGAAGGTTTGAATTCTTAGGTGGTTTTTTATCTGCGAATATGCCTCAAGACCAGTAATCAGAGCTTCTCTTATTCTACAAACCATATACTGCTATAATGAAAATCGAGATCTAGTTATATCACCATTAATCCTTGTAGTATTTAACTCTTTGAAATATAAAATCAATACCAAATTATCTCTAATACAATTTTGAAAATCATTTAAGAATTAAATTAACTTCTCGCCTACTAATACCAGTTGAAAATACCCTCTTTTCTTCCTCAAATCTTCAGCCTCACTACCCTTATTAACACGCTATAATACCTTTGTAATATAATATATCAAAATACTATTAACTCGGGGTTATAAACGCATATTCGCATTTCATAGTATTAACCCTCCTTTAGATACATTCAAGCTAGTTAGGGTTAAACTCCGTGGGCGCTAAGCTGTACCCTATAGATCTTGTCTCGGCCAGCGATATACAGCCAATCATCCTTCCATTGCATGTTAACCGCAACGTCGCCCTCCGCAACTTTGATAATACCCAGGTGCTTCCCAGTAGAGTCGAAAACAGTCACTCCCCCAGCGATTCCCCCGTACACTCTACCGTCACCATCTAGTTTGATACCATCCGGAAACCCGGCGTCAACATATGCAAAGACATCGCCTCTCTTGACCGGTATTCCGCTTGAGTGAGACAACTGGAACTCGTATATTGTTCGTCCGCCTGCTGGGTTATCCGACGAGTTGCCGCGGTTGGTGACATACAGCCTGTCCTGCGCCGAGTTGAGTGCTACTCCGTTAGGATTCGTGAAGGGTCCCCCGCCAGCACCGGACACCATCCTCAGATCGTTTGACTTCATGTCCCATCGCCACAAGCCGTTGGCTAACTCTGGCTTGAGAGTGTCGTTGAAGTTGTCATAGCCGTAGTACCCGTCAGTGAAGTATACTACGGCGTCTCGAGTGATGACCACGTCATTTGGACTGTTGAACCGGTGCCCGTAAAAGTTGTTGAGAACGACCTCTGTCTTTAATGTCAATGGATTCATGCGGGTGATACCGCCAGGACAGTATAGTTGCCCTCTTGTGCCCAGTAAATAGCGCCTTTGTGATAATAAGCCCCGTTGGGTACGGTCAATTGAGGCGAGGGGTACACCTTCTCGGTTGTTGGGGGAGTGTTGTGTAGGTTCACGCGCCATATCCATGGCATGGCATCGGCAGAAAAGCCAGTCTTGGGAGGATGTAACTCTGCCATGAAGATGCAATTGCATTCTGGGGAGTGAACAGTGCCGTCGTGCACTATGCGCTTTGCCCAAGATGGGCCAGGCGGGAATTCGAAGATGGTTTCGACTTCTTTTTTAACTGTATGGTCTTTGACGCCAAGCAACTGTACACAACAGAAGGTAAGCCAATCTGATGTCCACAGACAAGTTTTACTCCCTTACCTTGTACATATCTTTGTTGAGCACAATGAACGAAGCATCTTTAAGGTCCTTTTCCAGGCTCGTAGCATGTTGGCTTGCGTCCCCGTCCAGTACGTCGGTCTGCCACCATGTTGTTGTCACATTTCGATTAAAGTCTTGAGCTGGGAACACGTTCCTGTATGCGCTCCCAACTTGGACGATAGACGGCCCTCTCAAAGGCAATGAATCATCACTGTTGAGTCCAGTCGTGGCTACAGCTGGCCGAGCCGCAACGTGACCACTCAGCAGGGCGATGGTACAAAGGCTGGTGCGGAGACAAGATAAAAGCATCCTGAAAAATTCTTGAGGTGGAAGATAAAATGCTTTGCTAGATGTTGCTCCTTCTGGGAAAACTATCCAAGAGGCCCAAGCTGTTAATAATGTTTATATACCCTACAGCGATCTTCATTTCACCCCACAGATGCTGTACACTTGACTTCCCCATGGGGAAGCTCATCGAACTATCTCCACAAAGCCAAGAAACAAACTTGGCGGAGATGCCGACATGGCCAACACCAGTTCGTCAGGTGATGTACACAACCTCCTCGTAAATTAAAAGGGTCTCGGTATTGCACCCGACGGCGCTGCTTAGCGGGTAGAAGACCGTCTGCCAGTGCCAGCTGAGGTACGGAATACCAGGGTCGGGATGAATCCGAACATACCGAGCAAGCAACTCTTCCTCGGCATCTTGGTCATGCAGAATATTCCAGGTGCATATATTGATGTTCTATCATTTTATATTACCCCAGCTTCCTGCACCCTCTTTTCCCCGCCAGCAGTTTAAATCAAAGCCATGGAATTCCTTTACCGCCAAAATGTCCGAATTTAACATCCTTACGCCCAATGCGATGCTCGGCTACGGCTACAACGTCGAGCATTTCTGGTACGGCATTCAAAAGTTCCAGCCCGCAGCCATCATCGTAGATAGTGGCTCGACAGATGGCGGGCCGTACAAGCTTGGCATGAACAAGATGACCAGATGAAATTTGTGAGTCACGATGAGAAAGTCTCTGCGCCATCGTCTAGCACGGATGTTAACCTTTGAGCACAGTCGACCACTACGACAATCAACGCAGTTGGCAGCCTAATGATGTTGATATTACTAACTCTGCCTATAACCCGACACTAATGTACAACACGGCAACGTTCTGCGCATTCTGTCAACTACATGTGGTATGTGGACTACTGATCTGCTGCTGACTAGACAAGATGTTAACACGTGCGAAATACTAGATAACGACCGATATGCTGATGCTGCTCTTCGATCGCGGACATACAGAAAATATCTATCCTGAAATCGAGGGCATGTCGAATAGACTTACAGTATGGTACAGCGAGCTATCCTCTTCTCTCAAGATAGAAGAAGATATGACACAATGCTCACCGCCCCATATCGCCTCTCTAAAGTAAGTCACGAAACTCTTTCAGTTGACCAAGCAACTGACTGGTTACAGCTTTCTATATCACGCACTCCACATCCTCCTTCTCCGACCGCTCCTCCACTGTCCCAACGCCTCGCTCCGCAAATTGTCTCTCGCCACATGCGTCAGCCACTCCAAGAAGATACACGCGATCCACGACCTTTATACCAAAAGCTTTCCTCATCGCTTGATGACGTATCAAGTAAGTGACCCAGATGAAAGTCAGGGCGACGGCTGGGAAGACACCGGCACAGACAAGGAATGTTGCGAAGTAGCGAATGGCGGTGGTGCGGATGAGGGACAGGAGTATGTAGCCAACAGCACCGACGCAGCAGAATACAAAGACGAAGGGCCCTCGCTGGCCAACACGGTCGGAAATCATGCTCATGCCCACGCAGACAAAGTATGCGGTGATATATGGGCAGGCAGAGAGGCCTTGTGCGTTGATAGAAGTATGCCCCATATCCTTCAGGATAGTAGGGAGATAAGCCGGCAGCGAGCCAAACGCGGTGTTGAGGCAAAAGATGATGAATGCCTGCATGTAGTTCTTGTAGTCGTAGAACGCAGCAAAGACCTGAGCGAAGTTGAGCTTTCTCTCCGTATCTTCTCCGCGACCCTTGATGGCGCGTTGGCTGATGATTTCGTTTTGTCGCGGGGTGAGGAACCGACATTGTGAGGGTGATGCTGGGAGGTACAAATAGGCAAGGAACGCAAGAAACAAGGTAGGAATACCCTCTGAAGGGATAATCAGTAATGGATTGACTGTATCAGGTTCAGTGGAATAGCAACTTACCGACAATGAACAGAAGCTGCCAGTTGTGGATGCTTGTCTTTGCCTGCACGATTCCGTACGCGAGGGCCGAAGCGAAGCAGTTGGCCAGCGGCGAGAAGGAGATGAACAGACCATAGCGCAGGCCCATTTCGCGTCGATGATAGAAGAATGTCAGATACAGCGCAACGGCAGGGACGAAACCAGCCTCGAATGCGCCGATCAGCACTCGGAGAGCCATGATGCCAGCAAAGTTGGTCGTGGCGGCTTGCAGGATACTAGCAGCGCCCCAGCCAAGGGCCATACAAAACGTCCATAGCTATTGGAATTAGTATCAGTCTCGGGATTTGGGGGATGCTAGGGGTAGTTTAATTACCGGTAGGGGCATAAACTTCCAGACGAAAACATACTGTTAGCTGTGTTCACGTGTAGGGTCATGTATAGAACTACTTACCCAGTGGAAGCAAATGTACGCAATGTAGTACGCGGTCACGATCCAGGAATAGTCGTTAGACGTGATACCCCATTGATTTCCCATACCAGCCGTGTACGCGTTACCGATGTTGCCGCGGTCAATATAAGACACCAGATACAGCGAGCCGACTCTGTTTCACGGCTTGTTAGCGCGCATGACACTTGTTTTGTTCAACGAGAAGACTGCTCACAAGGGAATAAGGCACCAGTCGAGTTTGCGAAGGGCCTTTTGCTCCTCCCCAGGAGTCCAGCGGCTCTCCAAATGTCCGCCCTCCATCTTGGTATCCTCGTCTGCGAGAGTCATAGTCTCAACGTGCTGCGACCGCTGAGTCTGCTGAGTCGACTTGACTGGAGAGTCATTTGCGGTCATGGTGTGACGAACAAGTCAAGTTGCAGCTCTGCGTTCTTCAAAGATGTTGTGTGGCTTTCTGATTGGAGTCTGAAGGGAAGTTGGCTGTTGACTTTGACGAAGGGTTAAGGCATCGCTTTTATAAATGTCAATTTGATTAGAAGTTCGGCGTTCCCCAGATTTCCAGGGTGAATATCTGGGGTACATGTCGGTTAGTCATGCAATGTTGGGGTCACCGGAATCTGTGTCAAGTGGCCTCGGGAAGATACCGAGTACGCAAAAGGATGTCGGTATGTCGGCGTCTAAACAAACATGCCGAGGGGATATCCAGATCCGAGAACAGCCATTTTTAAATAGCCAATAATTTGAGTCATCCCCTCTCCATGTTTTTACAAAGTCTAGAGTTTCATAGCAAATGCCCAAGCAACAATATGGGCAGCGTTGAGAACAACCGAACACGGCCAGAATTCTGCCAATTACCTTTGCGGAGTGGCGACCCAAAGTATTCAGCATGGGGCCTCTGGGGCGAGAATGATGAGTTGGGAACACTCAATCTTCTGACACCTGCCATTGTCAAAGATGCCGCCAAAGAGATTATCACTGGCACACAGATTGTTCTCAAGTAAGCTTCTGCCTCCTTAAGACATCCCTGACCTGTAATTCTGACCTTGGTAGTCTATCTGTTGATGCATTCAGCCAACCTATGAATCCGGTGAGGAAGCCATGCAGTCATAGAATCATTGCTAAAGGCCATGCCAATGACGATGAGGTAAGCACTTTGTGCTAGTCAACCGTTTTCTGTTGTTCACACGAATGTCAAAAGCTCGACATGAACATTACCCGTACCAAGACAGTCTGCTGCACTACAATGGGGTGACTCAAAACGAGATCTCGGGACCTAACTCAACGACAAAGATTGGTATTCAAAGTGAGCATTTTCTTGTCCCATCTTCTACTGACTGCTAACCGGTGGTCGCGTACCAGACCTTTCGAAGCGAGGCATCGTCGGACGAGGAGTGCTGCTGGATTGGGCTACATATGCCGACGACATGTGCATCAACACAACATCCCCTTTTGAGGCTTTCGAAATCCCCCTCTCGCAATTAAAAGCAGTCGCTGCACAACAAGGAACCACCTTTTGCAACGGCGATATCCTCTTCATCCGCACCGGATGGTTGAAGGCGTATCGGAGCCTAAGCCTTAAAGAGCAAGCCGCACTACCTCACAGAAAAGTGCGGACATCTTGTGGCGTAGAGGCATCTGAAGAGATGATGAAATGGCACTGGGAGAACCAATTCTCTGCTGTCGCAAGTGACACAGTGGCCTATGAGGCTTGGCCCAGTCGTCGGCCAGCTGGTGTTGCCCTCCATGAGGTGTTTCTTAGTGGCTAGAGTTTGCCTATTGGCGAAAGTTTTGATCTGGAGAGATTGGCTGAGGTGTGTAAAGAGAATAGACGCTCGTCGTTCTTCTTGACGAGTGTTCCTCTGGACATACCGGGTGGTGTTGCAAGCCCACCAGGTGCTATAGCGATATTATGATACATGATTATCCGAGGCATGGATCTGATTACCCCGCATTCCCTAATGATGTCAGAACTTGAACTTGGTCATTTCGATCTACTTACGTTCAACAACCAACACGGAACTGTGTTTTGACATCCAACACGACGACATAACTTCCTTGATTCAACCCGTCAGCTGCCATCTACCTTACCAGTCCCCACTACTCCAGCATGACATCTAGAAACCTCAACAAGACCTGGCGCGATATTGTCTTTGAACAGTACGAAGCCGACTACGTAGCCGACGTCCCATTTCGAATCCGCTACTTAATCTACGGCGACCAGTGGAGAAGAAATATCATCATTGAGATACCCACTAAGATTAATGTGCCTGTCTTCCGTCAAGCTCTCCTCCACGCCGCTAGTTCCAGACGCCTTGAAAACGACCCGGCATACGAAGACGACCTAATCAAGGTCCGAGCACGTATTCCGCCTTCTGTCCAAAACAGTAATGATGCTCACTTACAAAATGACTCTGCTGTTGGTGGCAACAGCGGCTAATACTTTGGAGTTTACGGATAATAGTGACGGCGACTGCGAGGTAAGTCCGTCCGGTGGCCTTCGGGGATTTGGTGATAAAGGCACTTACTCCATTCCTACATCCCAATACCTCTAGTATGGTATAATAATATTAACTGGGGTTCCCTTTTGCATGACACATTGTCGAGAAACCTTATAAACGCACAGTCTGGACATTACCTACATCTCTGAGTATATTTCTGAAACGAGAATGATTTATGGACAAGATTCTAAAGCATATACTATATAGTAGAATATTTTAGACTAAGACTCTGTATGGGATCTGAACAAGCCGAACTGATTGTACGTATAAGATCCAGACGTCTCCCGCTTGTTGTTTCAAACTATATGGTAAGTGAAGCACTCTGGTGAAGGTTACGTGAACTAGAACCAACGGTGAACTTGTACGCCCCAGCCGCAACCGTCCACTTTTGTGCCTTAGTATCCCAGTAACTCAGATCGCGACGACGAAGTGGGAAGGAAATCTCAGCAGTGTGACCAGGAGCTACCATCACTTTTTCAAAGCCTCTGAGGATGCGTTCGGGCTGATCGGCCGAGTCTGGGAATGTGATATAGAGCTGTGCAACTTCGGATCCCTTCAGATCACCCGAGTTTTTAACGGTCGACTTGACTTCAATCACCTCGTCCCACAGGTCAGATTGCCCGCCTGGTACCAGTTTACCGGTTGGGTGCTTTGAAGAGAGGGCCTTGCTGTCCTTGACATGGACTTCCACCTTGCCATACTCAAACGTGGTGTACGACAATCCGTGTCCAAATGGATATCGCACTGATTTGTTGTGGGCGTCAAAATAACGATAGTCGATGTATGCACCCTCAGTGAAGTCACATTGCTCGGTCAAACAGACGGAAGCTGGATAATCAGAGGCGTTCTTGGCGATGGTATGTGTTAACTTGCCGCTGGGGTTTACTTGGCCGTAAAGAACGTCCGCAATAGCGTTACCACTCTCTTGACCCAGAAGACCAGCGTAAAGTACCGCTGTGACGTTGTCATTCTCGATCCAGGCGTCGAGGATGCGTGGACCAGAAGTGTTGACGATTACAACGGTGTTATTGCAGTTGGAAGCAACAGTCGTAACCATAGTGTCTTGGTCATCGTTCGAAAGTTCGCTTCGATCGCCGCCCTCGCCTGAGTATGAGTTCAAGAAGACAAGACAAACTTCGGAATTGGAAGCATAGTTGGTGAACGAAGGGCTAACAGCTGTACCCTGACCGAGACCTCCGAGATTGACACCGCCAGTAGCATCGCCGCCACCGCTAGGAGGAGATCCCCCGTTACCTGAGCCAGTTGAGCTGTTAGATGAACTTTCTGGCATGCCATCGGGCTTATCTCCTCCGCCCATACCACCACCCATACCGCCCCCAGAGCTGGAAGTATACGTGTCGTTCATGAGCCACCAGATCATGCTGTTGTCCTCAATGGCGCGGGTCGTAAGAGCTTGGAAGGGAGTAATGAGGTAGGGAAACGACAGCTGACCAGATCCACTTCCACTGGCAAGATGTCCCTGGTAAACATCACTGTCGGTTCCTTGAACAGAGAATGCTTGGTTGGGACCAGCCATACAAGGACCAGCGTGAGCTCCAAAGAGCGATATAGTACGTGGTTTGTTGAGGGGAAGTCCAAGGCCGCTGGTGTTTGAGTTCTTCAGCAGGACGATAGACTCACGAGCGACCTCACGGATAAGTTTGTTGTGGTCACGACGTACATCGCGATACTCTGTTGCATCAGCTTTGGACGGCTGCTTGCCATTGTCAAGGCCCACGTAGTAGTAGCCCATGACATTTCGAACCGCCATGTCGTCCAAGCGCTCTTGTGTGAAGCTGCCGTTCTTGATACCAGCTTCCAGAATCTTAGATGTCCACAAAGTGCTTGACCCAAAGTCGAGACCTGCATTGGCCGACTTGTACGACGTCGACTGAGAATTGACATCAGGGAAGACCATTCCTGGGAAACCCATGTGCTTTTTCAGAACGCGGCTGAGAAGATTGTTGTTTTCGCAAGACAGTGTGCTGTTCACACGAGTCATACCGCACATAACAGCCATCATGCCAGCCCTGACGCCATCTGCAAAGGGCCAGGCGTATAGTTCCTGGATCGTCTTGTCATCGGCGTTGGAGGAGTAAACATCGCTGGTGCTATCCGAAGTTCCTGACGATCGGTTGGTCTCCTGCTCGTTAAGGAGAAAATGCCTTCCGCCAGCAATAACACCAGCAGAGTTCATGCCGGTAATAGCTTTGCCCATCGCTATTCCAGAAAGGTAAGGATCGGCCGAAAACGTCTCGGGTGTACGGCCGCCGAAAGGGACTCGTCCCAGGGGACCGGGCTCAGGGCCGTCGATCAAGTTGTAGCCCATGTCGTAGAACTCTTGGCCAACGGCCTTGAATTGGCGCTGGATAAGATCTCGGTCCCAAGACATAGTCAGAGCGTTTGCCATGGTGAAGCCTGAGACGTAGAACTGAAAATTGATACCGGAGACGCCATCTTTGGTGTTGAGGGCTGTCCAGGTGTTGTCGCCGTCGAGGCTACCGCCTGTAATGATGGTGATTTTCTCCGTGTTGTTCAACTTAGCAACGAAGATTTTTGCTTTCTCATATGCGCTATTGAATCGTCCGTTCAAATTGACTTTTTTCTGTTAGGTATAGTCACGCGTTTCTCATCTCAAGCCGGTCAACATACCATAGTCATCGCCAAGAATTGCAGAGTCAGACGTCGAGTCGGACGTGGCTGAGCTGCCAGCAACTAGAAAGATGGGCAACAAGCCAAAGATCCCAAAAACCCTCATATTTGCCGCAAACGAGTGTGAGTATAATCGTGAGTGAAATGGAATCACACTTTAGGGTACGAACAAAAGAGTATTTGGTCTCATTGATGACATTTTATGTTGTCGGGATAAAGCAGACAGCCACATTCCGAGATCAGAGCAAGACGTAATCTATGTAAACGATGAAACATATTTATTAGATTAACAATGCATTTCCAGAAAAATGGTCTAGCTTCTGGAGTCGTGACGTGCTGTTTATGCCGTTCGGCCCGTATCGCACTGAGGCCGCGTGGCGTTGTGGGGATGTTGAACCGTGCAGCCGGGACAATAAACATTCACGCCAAGTCTGGATTAATAGGATTATAGAGACACGGTTTAAGGGAATATTTACGGATTATTATAATTCAGGTTGTATTACTAAATGCGTATTACACAGTAGAGCCGACATGGGCTATACATCCAGTTATCTCTAGTATTGCTTTTTCTTTCCTGCTGTAACGCTAATCAACGTTAGAATTATTAGAACGTAATAGTTCCACTGGGGTCTTTCCTGCAAATCTGTTTCTACTACTCTACTAGAAACAGGCTATGCCACATTCCGGGTTGCTTTTGTGGCTCTAGAGACAAGATTTCAAAAACGATCTCGGGAAATCCGAGTCGGCTTTTCCGGTCCCACTATTTAACAATCCGAGAGAGTTTGGCTTTTACACCTTATTATACCTATTGAGAAGAATACTTACACAAGCAAGCCATCAATAAATTCTGACATCAACTTAACAAGTCTACAGCCAGCGTAAGTATAGTTACTAAGCTCTGTTGCCTGTTTCCTTAATTGTAAATTCAATCCTTTATGTGAATTTTATTACGCTCATCCTGTTAAGTTTCAACCATAAAAGGATGTTTTTACTATCGATATCATGTAAAATTAACATAACATTATTTTTCATTTAGGATATATAAATATATTATTCATAGTGATATTAGCTTTTATAAACTCTAACGTTGTATAAATCTGTTCACTTTCTCCATGCTTATTGAAAGCCATAACAGGCTGTAGTATGTCGGTAAACATTAAAAATATACATGTCTTCTAACATCAGACGCCAGTGACTTGAGACTAATCTGTGCCGTGTTTTGGATTTGAACTTTACTTTACTTAACTGAATTTCGTTGACCCGCATGTGGGTGAGTAACGGCTTGGAGGTTCTTGGGCTGAAGCGGTGCTAGCTATCGCCGAAAGTCATCACCGAAAGTCATCGCCGGAAGCGATCTCCGAAAACTACCCTGTAGGCCACATGCTCGCTACGAGAATGACGATGTATAAATGTTTCCATTAGCACTGCTTTCATTGAGCGACTTGTACCAGAGCTTCAAGCACATTATCTTACTATTTTATCTACACCTAAACTTGATTTGCATATCCTTTACACAATGGGCCATCACGGACGCTATACTACTGAGAAGGTGACCTACCCGTCTCATGGGGAAACCATTAGCGGTATCCTCTACAAGCCCAAGGGCGTTACCAATCCACCTGGGATCGTCGTCCTTGGTCCGTATTCCTTTGTCAAGGAGCAAGCGCCTCTGCAATATGCCACTCGACTTGCGGACGAAGGTTACGCCGCTCTGATCTTTGACCCACGCACCGTCGGAGAAAGCACCGGCCAGCCGCGACGTCTGGAAAATCCCAAGATGAAAAACGAAGATGTCGTCTCAAGCATTGACTACTTGGCCGGCAGAGGCGACGTGGATGCCAAGAAACTATTCCTTCTTGGCGTCTGTCAAGGTGGTCCTGAGTGTCTGGATGTCGCGTCATATGATGACCGCGTTGTCGCCGTCGCTTCCGTGACGGGATACTATCGCGATCATGAGACGGACATCTGGATGATCTGCACTGGCTGTGTAAACATTGAGCCCGGCGTCGACGTGGGATCTTTGAAGATGCCTACTCCCGAGCAAGGAGAGGCGCTCTACCAGGCACGTATCCAGCGAGCTAAAGACGCCAAAACGCTGTATGAAAAGACGGGAGAAGTCATCTACCAGCCTCTCGTTGACCCCAAAGCCGCGGACCCAGATGTTGGCTCACTCGCTGGCCTCCCGGGACCGGTTGCGTGGTCGTGGTACGGTCCTTGGACTTTGAAGGGCTTTGAGAACCGGTATGCTGTTATGAGTGATTTGGACCATTTTGGCTATTCCACTGTGCCTGGGGTGGCCAAACTCGATAAGCCGGCTCTAGTGATCCATGGAGATAACTGTATGAATGCGCCTGCAGCAAAGCGACATTTCGAGTCAATCCCGACCAAGAACAAGAAGTTGATTTGGGACAATGATGTGTCGCATTTCCAGCACTACGATCAGCCGGATGTTGTGGATCGTAACGTTGGCGAGATTGCGGATTGGTTTGAGCAGGCGAAGGCATGAGATGAGACGTGGCAATTGGACTATGACAGACCTGTAACATTTTCTGTAGACCTAAATTGACATGATTCACATAATAATTAAGTGATTCAGCCGAGAATCTGTGCCCCTTCAATATGAATGGAGAAATTCCCACCACGTATCTTCGCCGCGCAAAGGATTATCCCCTAAAGCCGACGAAACAAACTACTCATAGGGCTTTATTTAAGGTTTACTTCCTAACCTTGGCGGGGGTCTAAAACTAAGAACTACGATAGTTACGTCACAGGTATCATCTGCACAGAAGCGGGGTTAAGCTAATACCGGCCTACTAAAATGCAACTTACCACCTACACTTCATCTCCCGTTTATACACATTATCCTAATCTGCTTGTCCTTTTGCACTTTCCAACGTATTTAAGCTGTTGACTTGATTACAATGTTAACAGGCAATGGTACTATCGGACCGTATGTTAGACGCAAGCGTCCTGTGATCTCATGCAGAGAATGTCACCGGCGTAAACAAAAGGTAAAGGTACTGATTCCCGACAACCCGTGCTAGACTTACGTAGTAGTGCGATCGTCGTCAGCCATGTGCAAATTGTATCAGGCGGGGCAAGAGAGTAAGTATGTCGTTTCTTTGAGGGATGCCATTCGCTGAGAAAGCAGGATGCCTGTTACTACGAGCTGGAAGATAACGATACGCGGTCTACTGTCCCTCCTGAAAACCAGTCAATCGAAAGTGTCTCGGAAAGCTGCTGGAAGACCGTGTTGGCGACTTCTAACAACGCTGGAGATGAGTTCGCTCGACGGGGCTACGCCAAAAACACAAAGGGAACTCCAGGAATTATCCACGCCCTGGGAGAATCCGCAAGCCTCCTGGATAACTCGCATCCCCGAAACGGCTTTTCCCCAGGTCAATACATATACATCATACGAGAACTTCCATCTTAGAGACATATCGATATTCTAGTGTAAGGGTTTTTCAAAGATATCACGTGGCATTACGATATTATCGACGAAGCTAGATTTACCAACCAACTCTCCCAATAGCGCTGCCTAATGCATAGCCAACTAAAACAGGCACCGGGCAGCTTAACGACCAATCTCAGGGCTTTCCCGGCACTACTATTCCAGGTTCTAGCACAAGCTTTACTATTTTAACCTATACAGTATAACCAAAGTCTAGATAACCTAAAGTATACAGCCGACATAGAGTTATCCAATCGGGCAGCGGAATACAGTAATACAGGTCATTGACTTGTTATGTTAATTGGCAAAAGTAAGCTAACACTCACGACTATACAGGCTCTCCTAATGTAAGCCTGTTTTAAGAAAACTACCGGGGCGGTAATAGAGGCCTGGCACACACTTAGAGTCACTGTCCGCGACGCTTAAGAACTTAGTCTTCATCTAATAAAGCCAGAATTAACGACATCCTCGGGAACTAAGACTCTATTAGACGGCAAAATAGACTGTAAGTTATAACTTACGTTTTATCTTTAGGATATTTATATAGCTATCGTCCTTAAGAGACCAATATCAATAAAAATAAGCCTTAATAACGTACCTTTTCCCATTTCGTAGAGTTACGACTCTGGCGTATCCTAGTTACTATAACCCTATAATATTATTTTATATAAATATTATACTACCTATAAATTCCTATAGGATTTACCTAAACTTAAAAAAATACCAGACTATTATCTTTTCGTTAAGAATATTTATAAAGTACTTATTATAAATATTTTACGCCTCCCTATATAGGCAGTACCTAAGAGACTATATTAAAATAAACCTACCTGGCTTTCTATAATATTAAAATTTATATTTACCGAGGTAAACTTTATAATCTTTATTCTATACTAACCTTTTATCTTTTTAAAGCTAAGTAATTATAGTAAGGCCTTTACTTCGGCGATATAGATTTTAAAGTTATAGACCTGACTTTTTAGCTAAATAGAACCTTTATAATATAAGGATTTTAGTCTAGTATTTACGATATTTAATACTATAGTACTTATTATAGCTTTATATATTTACTTTCTTAATAAATTTATTAAAGAATATTTTATAACCAAAAGAAATCTAAAATAGGGTATAAATAGACTAAATATTCTAAAAGCTAGGAATAACCTTGCCAGTATAGCCTTTAATATTATTTAATGGCTTTATTAAAAGATAGTAACGGTTATAATATAATCTACAGGACTATAATATATAGGTATAAAGGGTAGTAATTAAACCGTAAAGGGATTAAATATATTAAAAGAGGTATAAAATATATTTTTATAGCCTAAATCCGTAAATCTACTTTCCCCTTAACCTTTTAATAAGCTTTTATAAAGTAAACCTCTTGGCATATATTTAGAAAGGTAGGAAAGTTCCTTTAGTAAAATATATAGGTTATAGGCTAACGGTATAGATAGTTTTTAAGTATACTATATAACGTAAGGTATCTTAAATACTATTACCCTATAGTATATTAGCTATATATAAATTAGATAAGAATAACTAGGGCAAGTTATATTTTACTTATAGCTATAGTATATAATACTAATTATTAAATCTCTTACTATTCATATTAATAATAACTACGAGTTAAGTCCTCTAGTTATCCTTCGGGAAAGATAAAACAACCCTTCTAACACATTTTAGATGTAACGGTTGTACAAGCCGTTTAGCCACAGGGCAAAAGATCGGACCATAATCACTATGTGAGCAATTATGGTGGTGCTTACAGCTGCCTATAGAAGCCTTATAGCACTATTACGGGTACGAATCGTAACATTATCCTAATAAATATTTAGATATAATATAGGTCTTCTACTGTATAAAGGTTCTACATTTAACCCTTATTCCTTCCTTAATAAGAGGGGTTCTTTTCGGTTAGTATTTATAGCCCTATTATTATAATAGGTTACGTTAGGCTTATAAGGAAGTTAGTTTAATTAGTATGCCCTTAGGAGTCAATATTAGTTATATTATACCTTTAGTATTTAATAACAGTAGACATTAGATTGCCGAGCTATTGAATATAGGTTACTAAATGTTATAGAATTATCTAGCTATAAAACGGACCTAATTAGAATTTAGGACGTATTATCAGTAAAGGGGGGGATAGTTATAAGGATACAGTAAGAGGCCTATAAGATTTATTACGTCTGAAGACCTAGGCTCTTTGTATACTGATGTGGAAGGCAGTTTAGATATATTATGTCTAAACTGGTTGACTTGTAGTCTTTTAGTTAGATGGGTACCTTCCCTTATCCTTACAAGGCTTTAGTATTATATTGAATTTATTACTAATAAGTTATATCTATAAAGCTAAAATTGTAAAGATAGTATTAGTACTTTAAATTACTGTACACTTTAAGTAGAGAGCTCTAATTTGAATTCCTTATAAGTTATAGTGCTATGAAATATAACTACATAAGTAATAGTAACTACTGAATTCAATTATACAGCTACACCTAAAAAGGAAAAGAATAGTGTATAACCTATTAAAAAGAATGTCTATGGACGATTGAGGAAAAGAAGTTAATACAACCCTAATGGCTATACTGGGATGCATAGTGGCTGTAAACTACTTCAACGGGCTTTTTCGGTACTGACTCCGCCTGTTAAAGTGCTGGATAAAAAGATGGCCGAGTCTCGCCTCTTTTTCTGGGAAGGAGTGGATGTACTGTTTTGTCTTTCGATCCTTCTTGTATTCCTACGTGACATTTCATCTTCTGCTTCCCTGCCTTGTGAACGTGTAATAATGTGCCCTCTGTGGATGAGTTCTGGCATTTGATCACCAACGTCATCCTCCTGCTGGGAAGATGGAATAAAGAACGCGGGCCAGACATACTGCATTATGTCGTCAGTTTCCACCGGCTGGGATTCGGCAGTCGGCGATCGTGCTTGTAAGCTCTGGTTCTCTGCCCTCATCACGGAAGGTTCCCGAGCTGCGCCGGGTGGCCCAGCCTCGGCTTTGCTCTGGGCTGTGGAAAAGGATAATGGCACCCAGTCCTCGGGCATGCTCGAAGAAAAGAGTGGACGAACTGGCTCCAGTAGCTGCTGAACAACCAACCACGAGTTGCATGCCTCCAGTGAGATATGATAAAGGCGTGCCTGGAAAGATTCTTGCTGCGAAGGAGGGACCAAGTCGGCGATAACGCCATATACTTGATCAGAAACCATCTTCGCTCGAGCTTCTCTGGTTCGAGCCGGCCTTGCTAACTGAATCTTGAGCAGCACTGCGCGGGTGAAAGCTTCATGTAGGGGATCTTCTGTTTCCAGATCCCCTAGAATATCCTCAAAATCATCGTCTTGAGTTAAATACGTTGCTCTTAAGACATGATCAGCGAGCGCCATGCTATAAATCCTGAGACCGGCGGCGACCCTCATCAGCCTAGCAGCTGGGGAGTTGGAATTAGGCAAAGGGATGGAACGGTCAATTGGGGTGCTTTTTCGAAGTCTTCCCCATACTGTCGTATCGGTCAGGAATGCGTTTTCCAGGGGAATACCTATATACGACCGCATAAGGCTGAGCGCGTTTTGTAGTATATCATCCAAAGCGTCACCACTACTCAGGCGGATTAGAAATAGTCAAACAGCGCTCTGGCTTGTAACATACACTTCAGACCGTCTAGCCTCAAAGTTATCAAGTTTGACCACAAAAGAATGAAATGTCGTCAAACCCGTGCGCGTTTCATTCAAGCTTGTAGTCAACTCATCTATTCGCTTTTGCATAGACTGCTGTGTGCTTTTGAACTTTGTCAGTTCCTTTTCTGCTTTTGTTAGACTTTCTTGTTGTGAAGCTTTAGAGGCTTCGAGGGCATTAACGAGTGATTCTTTTTTCTTGATCTCATTAATTAACTGTTTGGCAGATGACGACTGCTTCTCGATCTGCTCTTCCATTGTCGTCAATTTAGCTTGGTGCTTCTTGATGCTTTCGTCGACCGCTTGTTTGGATTTCACAGTTGCCTCATTTTCTGCCCTCTGAGAACTCAATTGCTTCTCAAAACCAGCTTTCTGTTCTTGGAGTTCAGTCTGACGCCGAGATAGCGCTTGGATGTTCTCGTCGTATGCGATTTGGAGCTTCGCCTTGTCTCGCTTGAGTTCTTCCTTTTCTCCGACGACTCCTTTCAAGGCATCGAAACTACCCTCAGAACAGTATTGGTGGAGCAAAGTGATCAACTGCTTGACGGAGGCTGAAGCGTCCTGTTGGGACGACGAGTCTTTGGCTCCCTGCACTCGCTTTTCGGTTTGTGGAGACATTTTGGTTTAGAATGAAGTTTCAGAAACGTCAGCGTAACCTCCACTTAGCCTTGAGTTTGTAGGAATAATGGGAAACTGATACTGATAATTAGAGACGCCGAAGCGATGGCAGCCTTATAGGCTGAGCGCTCGGCTTCTGGCTGACCCGGATAAGAGAATCCGGACATGGTGGGCCTCCTGCACCATCAACGATGCGTGCGTTTGTGAAAGGTTGTTGGTCGTGCTTCCCACAGCCTGGTCGACAACTAAGCCCACCGACAAGGCTTTTTATTCGCTTCGAATGATAAACGAGACAGCACACGGTTTAAGGACAGCCAGCCAAATCGTTCCACATTTCTCCCGTCGTTCCAAGTAGGGCGGCAAGCATACATGTCAAAGTCGATAATTCGCTCGATAATCCAAGGCTTCTAGGACGTTCAACAGCAGGTCTGCAAGATGGTGCGCTGACTGCACATTGAGGTCTACCAACACGCTTGCCAGTTGTCGTACCACGCTGTGTTCAGACAAAAAGGAGGGAACGTTGGGCGGCGGGATTGGAGGAAGCCGTGGGGGTAGCGTATATAGATCCCCGCGTCCAGTAGAGAAGGACCCACAGTCTTTATCAGAATGCCACGCCGGTTTTAGCCTAGGGTGCTTTGATTGCAAATAATGAGGCTAACCATGATCATTGCTCGACAGTCGTTGTCATGTCTAACGCGGTCAGGTAGGTTTGAAGGACGTAAAAGAAATACCCAATTTCACTTAAGGCATAGGGCGCTTTTTCGCCCGTTTCCCGATTTTTCATTGTGACGAGTCATGTATCAACGGTTTGTCTCAATTCAGTCGATTCTGACTGGCGCAGAAGTTGGAGAAGTCGGAGGAATGGGCGGGAAACACGCGAACCACCATGGAGATGCTTCTCGCTCATTATGCTTTAAAAGTCTTTCACCCATGGTTTTACTAATCTCTACTCGGATGACTTTTGATGGCTCTTAATAAGCGCCTTTGCTAAATACTCCCTTTATTACTTTTATGCCCATTAGTAAACTTATGGTGAGATAGAATCAATACTGAATTAATGTTACGCCACGGTAGTTAGAATGTAACCGTATGCGGACCCATAAGTCTATTTTAATTAAGCCTAAGCTCTAATAATTCCATGTATGTTCTCCTTATGCTTAATAAGGTTATCTTCACGGCTGTTTGAAATAGAAATGTTGCACAATTCGCATGTGAGAGTCTGGCCAGATATTCCTAACAGTGCTGCGAGCGATGGATGCCAGACTCGAACATGCTTCTTCATGTCGGCCTGTTGTGCTCCTCTGACCGGACAGTACGGGCAGATGACCGGTTGAATATGATGACGCGCGTGTTTTCTAAACTTATCAGTGCAATTCAGTTCTTCTGTCAGTTTGCGAACTCACGTCACGAAGGAAGGTGATTTGTACTTTTGACGCGGGGACTGTTTGCATCGTGGGTGGACACAAAACCATCCTTCGCCCTTTCCACCCTTCGCATACTGATCGATAGGAGGCATTTCGCACTCTTCAAAAAGAGCACTAGCAGGTTGATTCGTTGATGTACGATCGTGAGTTCCGGAGTCAGAAGTCTCCATTACCGGATGCTCGGGTCGGAGAGACTAATGGCCCTCGCCCTGATCAGAAACGTTTGTCTCTCCGCGTTCCACAACGACATCTGAACTGTGATGGAGTTCCAGATCTTGTAGGGAAACGTAAAGATTTGATTGGCCCCCAGGATCAGCTCTGTAGTTCATGACTGCTGCGTAGCCTAGGTTCGTGTTTAACGAGGTGTGGAGTACCTAATGCGAGGATGTCAAATCATAAGCTTTCTCAAAGATCAAAAGTCACGCTTAGGGGGTAATATTCCTCACCTGACTTTATAGAATAATGTGGGATTGCAACAATGAGTTTGGAGAGAGCAGTTGAATCAAACAGGCTGAGAATTTAAGTCAATTGAGGGATGTCGATTACTAAGGTTTATCAGATTAAACAACTATCCAATCATTACGCACGACTTAAATCGAATCGCTCACCCTCTGGGAGTTCCAGTATACTAAAGATAGAAGCTGGCTGGAAGTCTATGACGTGGCTCATAACAGGGGTGCACTGCAGAAGGCATACCACAAGACCTTGGCAAAACCCCTTTTGTTGGCTCGGTTGGTATTGCTGCTTTCCAATCACTGACTTTGTTTCAAGCCTCATTATGCGGAAGGCATACCACCACCGCTCTGAAATTTTATCAATTAATCATCCCAAAAGGCAAGAACCTTGTTTCATCAAAGATGTTTCGTTGCGTATAATGAACATTTATTCAAAACCCAATGGCTTAGATTTAAGATGGGTATGAGAACTGATTGAATATCGGACTAAGCATCTCAATGTTAACATGACATACAGACAATCAACTCATGACAAGAGTTCCTCTGGAACCAGCGCTTATCAGGCGATTTTATATCCCGCTTTTGTTACTTGTCTGCCTTACGGCGATGTGCCCATTTGGAAGAGTCGCAGAGTACCCACTGGCCGAAGCATCAACTAGCCTTGAGCCACTCTTTCAGGCGTTTGTGTCGAAAATTGCCTTTCTCTGCTGTACAGAACCTGGATCTAGCACAATTTCCGCTTGCACGGTACTGCAGCTCCCTGATCGTGTCCAATATGTATTTGGGTTCAATCAGCGTAACAGAAGCCAGTTGGAAACAGTCCAGCTTGGTATAACTAAGATACTCTGGCTTTTCGGCACGCGCTCTGGCCAAAACAAAAAGACAGATGACCAGATACGGACCGAGGCTTTGAGAGCATCGCTCGAACTATCTGAGTGTCGAGTTGGTAGCTATTTGAAGGCTTTGAACGATAGTCTGCAGCATTGTCTACTCGCATGTACGCGAGACGCTACTGGAGATGGTAAGTATTATAAGTAAGGTAGAATACAGGGACTTACAGGTCTAAAGACAACCCGATTCGAGCAGAGCTCTTAAATCTATTCGAGAAGCTCAAGCCATGTCTTTCCAATCATGACGCGACTTTGAACGTCACTAAATTACGTGGTCAGTCAATTGAGTTTGTCCCTCTGATTAAGCACATAGATGACTGACATCCCGTTGAACAAGTCAATCATTCTGCTTTGCCAGACTTGATAAGTTCCCTGAACCGACTTTTCAAGTCCGATAACCTCCATCACATCAGAACTCGTCTGGCTCGTGAGGATGACTTAGGATCAACAAGATATTGGTCGGATTTTACTCACGTCGCTGGACGGTTGCAAAGCTACAAACGAGCAGCAGATGTAATCCTTTCAGTCTCAAAGGTTTGGCCTCGCCTATTCCTGGACTTTCAAGTCTGTATGATACCATCCAGCTCTAAAACCCCCGAGATTCTTAAGGGCAAGCCTTTGACAGCCGAGGATATTTCTCGAAAGATTACGAGTAACCAAAATTCATTTCTTCGCTTCCAGGAACAGCTACAGTACCTCTCAGTACACAATCTCGATACCAAGCTTGCTGAATTGTGGCATGATGACCCGAAGCCAATTGTACATGCGGAAGTACTCGTACATAGCTGGTTGGAAAACTCAGAAGGGGGGATACGACCAGAGAGATTCTTTAATCGCTGGAAGTTCATTGGCTCAAGCAAACCTCCATGCAAGCTATGTTCTTACTTTTTCGATGAGCACCCGGGTGACGTGCAAGTTCGTCCGTCCCACCAGAACGTTTATTTTCGCTGGAGGACGCCAGATATCTATGAGCACCAAGGCGAGGAGGCTCGAATGATACGGATGAACGTGATGGACAGGATCAAAACGCGAGTGGGTGCAGATATTGCGCGCATCATGTCGGAAAGGCTATCAGATGGGCGACCTCATGACTCGAGCGCATACACAACCCTGCAGCAACACGGTGACATCCCGGGTCCACACGCCAGCCCTTACTCTGTTGAAGCAACAGCTCTACTTTTGGACTCCACTTCCATTTCTGGTTTACCTGATGAGACGATTGATGAGAATGATGGAGAGATTTTGCTTTTCCGAGGCAGGTCATCAACAAACAGGTCGGTGCCAGGAAAGTTGATATAAGCTCAAGGGGGTATTCTAGTATTCTATACATGTCAAGGTGATTAGCCCGAACTAAGTCTATTCCAGAGGAGACAATAGCCAAGACAAGTGGAAGTGAAAAGCTTTCAGCTCCCTCTGCCATTCGTTTTGCGGTCGTCGACTGGGCAACTGTTGATATTCATCAATCACCACTGCATCACAGGTCTTTCAAGAGGAGCAACATCTTATAATCTGAAATTAAGGTCACTGGCAACTATTAACGAGAGTGCATACGATATGGTAATTGCTGTGCATTATCACGTAACATGCCCTAGACCTCAGTCTCCTATATGTCTGCCGCTGGCAAGATAACTTAAGTTTTTCAAGGTTATTAGCCCAACTACAGTAGAGTCCTATCATGTTGAATATTAGAGATAAAAGCCCTTAACAACATTGCCATTAAAAAAGAACACTATATCTCAAACTTTTACTCATACTACATCCAGTTCACAAAATGCATTCAAAGCAAGAAGATAGTTGTATAGGAAGCTAAAGAATGGGGCAATATATGTTTTATATTAGTATTAGTCTACTGTTTTAAAATTTGCAAACCGTCTTTGCTCGTAAGCCGCTGGGCACAATCAAGGTCCCTATAGTGACTTATCTACCCAAGCGTTTTGCAACCTGTTCCTTTACCTTACTATCTAGTTATTTCTTTCCTCCTTTCATCTCCCCAGCGTGGGACCTTATCAGAAGGCAAAAAACACAGCAAAAAGAAGATTGAGGCTATCTCAACGTCATCGGTCACTTGAGCTCTGTTTCTTGATGAAGACCAGCATTGATATCGGCGTCTAAAGTTTGCTGGATTCTCTGACTTGGCAGCCACTTTTCAGCAGGAATAATCCACCAAGTAATCAAGGCCAGTATGGTAGTGACGGCCATGATAACAGGTGCGTAGTTGAGGGTTTCTCCACTAACGGGAAAGATGTACGGCGAGTACAGGATGGCGACGACCCAGGCGTTCCAGAAAACAGCAATTACCTGGAAAGGCTTACTCCATCGTCCCAGACTCCAAGCAGGCTTGGGGAAGTTCTTTGGTGTGAGGAAAAGCCGCGAGAGACAAATAAGTCCGTATGCAGCAGCTGAAGGGACACCAGCTGCAGAAACGAGCGATGTAAAGGCAACGGCTGAAGGAAGAATGGTGCAAGTGATGACAGATGCAACACCCCAGACAACGAGGACTGCGTTCCTGGGTTGACCTGCCACGACCTTGGAGACCCAGCCTGACCATGGGAGAACGCCGTCTCGTGCCACAGCAAAGACCAAGCGCGAGGCGGCAAGCACAGCGATTGCGGTGTTCTACATGCTGCATTAGTCCGCTGCTGATGAGGAATAATAGTGTGATGTGTACTTACAAACCACAAGGCTAGGATACAGACCACATTCATCACAATGTGGCCACCTTCGCCAAGAATAGCGGCATAAACCGAAACAAAGGGCTGCGGTCCGCCATAAGAAAAGAGGGTCTCGGCATCAGGCTGCCATCATGTCAATAATCCAGGCTCTCACGACTATATGGGGGGATATTCTTACCACACAGAATAGGAAGAGAATAACGACGAAAAAGCCACCAATACCACTAACAACCGTACTCCAGAAAATACCCCTTGCTGCCGCAACAGAGGCATTCTGAGTCTCTTCGGCAACATGGCCTGAAGCATCGAATCCAATTAGAATACCAGCAGTGGCAAGGTACGAAAGACACCAGTTCCACGCTGGAGGTGCACCTGTGCCGTTGTACGTTGTCATGAAAGCATCATGCGTAGAGCGGAATCCGACCGTCCTACTCGTTGCTATCGGGAGCCAGATCAGGTTAAGGACAAAATCAAGGACAACAACACCCGTGGATAAGGTGAAAATCCACTTGAAATATCGAGCTGACGAGATCAACTGTTAACATCAACGACACTGGTTAGGCAGGTGGAAACTCACGTGGTAACAAGTTCCAAATACAAGCGAGCGCGAGCATCACTTCTGTAAGAATCCATTGAACAGACCGAAATTTGATACTAGAGGAGTCGGATGGGAAATCACTACCAAAGACGGCGATTTCCTGATAATGATTAGCGCCTGGTCTTGGACGATGGGCTCTCACTTACAGAAAGCATGTAGTTAACGGCCGCTTGGGTGTTACCTAGCAATATCGAATTAGCATTTCTTCTCTTGTTAGAGCCAGGAAGGTCTTTGACTTACTGGCGCAGAATGTCGTCCATGCGGTAGTGCTCCACCACGCAACAATGAATCCAAACAGCCTGCCGAACCGAGGACCACCGGCTTCAGCCGCCCAAAAGTAGATAGAGCCCGCTAGTGGCAGGGATGAGCAAATCTCTGCAATGACAGCCGCTGTTATAAAGGTGAAGACGCAAGTGATGATATAACTAGTCCTGTGTGGCATTGTCAGATATGGTGTGAACCGAGTCTCAAAGCCAATCGAGCTTACCAGTATGCAAGGTTTCCACCAGCAGCAATACCAGTAGAAAAGGTAACGCGGACACCGCCAATGAAATAGAGGGCAGCTAAATTATCAGTCAGTATTAAAATCGGATTGACGGGGAAATGAGAGATCTGACCGAATGTGGTAGCGAAACTGTGAAACTGGTTGAATGTACGATGCAGTACCTAAATCACATTTATTAACCCTGAGGATGTGTTACATACACCGCGCAAAGACTCACAGGCTTATATCCGAGTTGTTTCTATTCAAACTCTTGTTAGCGCTACGTATCTGGCCCGATCGTTAGGCAGATGCATACCAATAAGACATTGTCGCTTGTAGTGCCGCTTGATTCGTTATTAATTTCTTCCCTGGTATTAGGTAGATCTTCTTTGCTGCTCTCCTGTGGTAGTGACATGGCGACACAAATGTAGTCAATTGTCCTTTGTAACTATGAGTATCTAACACTTGGTGCAGAGAAGATAAGAACATAGGAGATTAATGTGGCTTCGTGCCAGTATTCTTTATATGCTTGAAATTCACTACCAGGGTGTACAAAAGACACAGGCCTCCTGAAAGAGAACTTGAGTAAAATAGGACTAGGTACATAGCCACTAATCCGGTAAATACGGCATATTCCCTATAAACCAGTTGGTGCTCATAGTGGACCATTAGCACGTCATCGGCCAACATACCATAAACAGTGAAAGATGAGAACTAGTACTATGTAGCGCAATCAATACAATAATGGTGTCTTCTCAGACTCCATAAATAATAAGCTAAAAGGCTTTGAGCCTTATTGCGTGATGTACATATATACGACTGAACCTCGGAATGAAACTAGCAGGCTAATTTACCAACAAAACATCATCATTGGGCTTCTGATTACAATGACATTGCCATTTTTTGAGCTGGCTTCAGCCTCCCTCATTCTGTTTTTGCTTTCAGTGCGTATTTCCCTTGACGGTTGAATACTTCCACTGAATGTTGTCTAGCGTATCATTAAGAGTTACACATCGCCCCTCTCCAAGATTCCAAATGCCGGCTTCGGAGCGGCTTTCTCAAGGCTCATATGGGCTTTTCCACACGAGTATATTGGCACACTGACACTGGAGTTGCCTAAACTACACGAAAAACTAGGTAATCGCAGCCTTCATCTTTAGCTGCCTAGTATACACTCTAAACCTGCCAGGGCCACTTATCCGCATTGGACCGAATGAGATTTCCTTCTATTCGCGCGAGACCTACGAAACTGTCCACAAGGTTGGAAGCAGGTTTGTAAAGGATCCTAGAGTATATGGAGAGTTTGTCCAAGGCGGTCATCCAGCGCTCTTTTCCATCACGTAGGGTTTATTCTACCTGCCGTGATGTGCCTTGCTCACATACAATAGAGACCCTAAGGAGCATGCGAAGCGGAGGAGAATTATGGCACAGCTCTTCAGTCGAAGTAAAGTGCCAAACATAGAGAAACTCATTTCATCTCACGTTGAGAGGCTGGTTAATAAGCTGCAACACGAAGTCTCGCACGTTAATCTGGGTACCGCAGCAAGGGCCCTCGAAGCGGACATTATGTGTGCGAATCCCCCAAACGTCTCAACCTAGTGTTCAGTCAACTTTGACTTACTTTTATCCAGCCGAATTTTCTTTTGGTACATCTATAAAAGCCATTGACTGCTGGGCTAGTGGGAAACAGCTGGCTATGGTGGAAAAGAATGACGAAATGGCTACTTGGATGCCAATGGTTTGTCCTGTTATTCGTTACGTGCGTACTGGTTCTAACTCGTACTTCTACCACATAGCTCACAAACTTTCCTCTTCTCTGCGAGGTATGGCAACAGCTAGAAAGATATCTCTTCCACTTAACGGGCTTCAGGACCCAGTACACAAAAGGGCTCGCCGAATTCCAACAGGTAGGTCAACCGCATGGAATTAATTATTCTCGAAATACTAATCTAAGCCCTGTCAGTGGTGTCGAAGGTCTTGGCAAAGCGTGCTCTCGGCCGACTCAGAGGGCATCACGGGTGATGTCGGCTCTCCAAATTTGATACAAACTCTTTGCAACGCGGGCCTCCCAGCAGAAACCGCTTTATCAGAAGCTAGTGAGAATCTTGGTCCCGGGACAGATACCACGTCTGGTACACTTGCACATATCCTATGGGCCCTGGCGCACAACCCAGTCTTTCAAGATGCCCTGTATCAAGATTTGGAAGCTGTTTCGTTTTCCTCTGACATGACAACCCTGGAAAACGTCGCACGTCTGCAGGCCTGTGTCAAAGAGGGTATTCGCTGGGCGGCCACCGCGGCGGCAATGCTTCCTAGAATTGTGCCTCCGGGTGGCATCGAGCTACATGGCAAATTCATCCCAGAAGGCGTCAGTATTCCAAAGTGCTTTTTAGGCACGGGAGAGGTATGCTGACAGGCTATTCTAGACAGTCCTTACATCTTCACCCATTTGGTATTTGCACGACAAGACAGCATACCCGGACCCTGAGCTTTACAATCCATTCAGGTGGTTAACAGAGGACGGAAAGGATCTGAGCCAGGACCCTTTACGAGATCGTTTTTACATACCCTTCTCTCGAGGCGCTAATATCTGTCTAGGTACCCAGTAAGTCATGCCACAATACTCTAGATGACGTTCTTCAAAACTTGAGACTAACAGTCTTTAGCTTTGCCTATCTAGAATTGTACATATCTATTTCACAGATTGTACGCAATTTCCGGCTAGAGCCCTCAAACCCTACACAAGCTGTTAAACGTCAAGATTGGAATGTGATATCACTACCGAAACGAAGGGAATGGGTTGCTGCAGTGCCGGTGGATGATCTTAGTGTTATCACTCATCCACGACACAGAAGGGAACCAAGTACTTACGGTGAATACTGATAAATGCTATAAAGAAGCTGTATGTAATATAGTATTCAAATTCAAGTTAAATAAATAACAGAATACCTACCCAAAGAGAATTTGCCACGCCGAAAGTAGACCTACCAGCTTCTCTCATAAGTGGATCAACAAAGCTGACCTCAATTACAGTCAAGATGTCAATCACGGCCAACACCCCTGCTACCCGCCGAAACCTGCAGGCGGAGCTAAATGCCTACAACAAGATGCAGCCTAGCAACGAGGCCATGTAACTAAGTATAGGCTATGTATAATATAGTATGGCTGAAAACTACCGCCTTGCTAACTACCTAAGTATTATTTACACATCTGTGTATACGTGCAAGTCGCCCCTTTAGCCCCTAGCGCTATGCTAAGCCTGGTCTGTAACCCTTGATAGGCTGACTGTCTGCCTTGCGTTTCGATTTAGGTTAGGCTTGGACATAAGGCAGTAAGGACTAAGCACAGTGGGCGTGTAAAAGTTCCGACAATTTCCCCTGTTCTAAATTTTACCAAAGATTACCTAAACTCTAATAAGCTTATTTTAATTTATATAACCTTATATACTTTTATCCTAAAATTATTCAAGTCTTCTAATACTGATATATCTTAGATGTCTGTTTAATCATGTATCTCTTGTTCGCTCATTTTCGGGGCTTTTGCACGGAACTGTACATACCTGGTAAAGCGGCTATGAGAAGACGCCCCCTGTTTTGGGGCTGAAGCAAAAGAGCCAATGGGTAGCCCACACGTCCCATCCAGGTTGACTGCCCCCGCCACCCTCGTCAGGCGTTTACAATCGAGAAACCCGTTTTCCAAGCCCTTTTCGTCCTTAGACTCTCATATTACTACATTCCTATCCTACGACCAAGACAAATCACCTCCCGACATTGACCTCCCACGTATAGCCTCGTCTCGCTGTGTCACTAAAACCTTCTCGGCCTTTAGATAATTTGCACCTCTTTATCCATTGTAGGTCGAAACGATACGGCAGAAGTAAGAGGCAGAATCCCGAAAGAAGTCTATATGTAAGCTTTTAACTGCAGGAAATCTTCGAACTGTTAGATTTACTTTTCGAATTTAAGCCAAGACCTCCTCGATAGAATGTCCCGCCAGCTAGTAACCCAAGCATTCGATACAGACGAACCCGAAATTGACTCCAAGGCTACCAATTATCAAGGGAAAGAAAATGAACTTAGTTCTGAGAATGTTCACACCTCAGACCCTAACGTCCTCATCCCTTGTGCTGCTACAGCCTCTATGTTCCTCTACGCTCAGGGAACCTCCATTGTGTGTTGCCATCATGATACCCTGGCTATAGAAAAGACATTTAGCAAACATGCGAACGAGGTCATATTGCTAGCGGTAGACAACCACAGCAAGGCGGGAAGCGGCAGACTTGTTGTCAGCTGCGACGCAGGCCAGGTAGCTATAGTGTGGGACTTACTTACTGGTGATGAAATCGCACGATTTGTATCATACGAGCCGCTGACTGCCGCTGTGTGGATGAGAAATGGAATCGTCGCGCTTGGTATGTATAAGCCAATAGAAGGATGTCTTCATGCAATACTAAACCTGTGGCCTAGGTAACACAAAAGGTAGCATCATTCTCTTTGAGCCCGCCACTTCAGAGCATATCACGATACGGACTCTAGACCAGATTAAAGTAACAGCATTGGCGCCTTTGGCTGATTGCCAAACCTTTGCTATTGGGTGAGCCAGACGCGAGACCATCGGGCTTTATCTGAGAAAACGCATCGCTGACCATAAATTAAGATATGAAAATGGCAGTGTCTGCATCGCGACTCTCCACTCGCGATTCAGGGTTTTACACAATCTCACAACCTCACAAAGACCTTCACCTATTGTTACACTCTCATGGCACGCGCTATCACCGAACCAAGATTCTTACAAGTTGGCCACACAAGCCCGAGATGGCGACCTACGGGTCTGGTCTGTGCCTAAGGGCCACAGCGATGACAATTACGATCCATCGAGGGTTATAAGACGAATGAAAAAGCCGGATGACCATGCCGTCGGCCCCCAGTGGATCAGTTGGTCCAGAGACGGTCGCATCATCCAGTTCACTGGCAGGTATGTTGTACTCCCCACCCGACGTCTACATGCACTGATCGCAAGGGGATTTGTACAGTGAGACAATATCGTGGGATGTCAGGACAAAACATGTCTCTAGGGACTCTATTCCCACGTTAGAAAAAGTCCGCGGCATCGCTAACTACGGACCCAATGGCAAACTGTTTACATTGGGCACCGATAACATGGTTCAACAATTTGATGTCAACCACCCATCCATCATGGTGGCCAATGTTCAACACCCTAAGCAGACGGTTAAGGAATTGGTCGGTTCTATTAGCAGTTTCAAGGCCAATACTACCAGTGTTTACAGCAGTAGTTCAGAGAGTGGTGACGACAAGCCTGGGGAGAACGATAAGGTTGATGAAGCAAATGAGGACGTCGGAGAACTCAAGGAAGGTCAACATGCCGAATATGGCGAAGACGACGTCAAGAGCTTTCAATCATCTACTTTTGATCTGGACATACGGAGCAAAGTGACGCGCCCGTCGACCGTGCCTACGTCGCACCCAAGCACTAAGCCTCGACTGCCGCCTGAGGTGTCCAACATCGCAGAAAGCTGCGATATGGTTGTAGGAGAACGAACCGAGGTCGAAGCCGGCGATGGTGAGGGTTTCAGAGATTCTCATACCCCGGCTGACGGCGAAGCAGAACAGCAGCAACCCCCTACTGATGACTGTGACGCAGAGACCACATACTCCATCGACAGTCGCTTAAATGATCCAAAACTGCAATATCTGCAAGTCTTTACGGAACAGCTTGCCGACGATATCAAGTCTGCGTCTGACGATTTGAGTATCGAGGGGATCGAGGCTGAATGTCTCGATTCAGTATTGAGAGAGTTCGCGTGGAAGCTGCACGGGGAGTCTTCGAACCCGTTTGAATGGGAGGCATCTGTGGTTCTTCATCGAAAGCGAAAGTAAGTGAACATCAGAAAAACTTCCTCTGAGCAAGAGTTTGACATCTCGCTACCTAGGAATATCGTTGAGTTACTTGTCTCTCACCCCTCAAATCTTGACGATACGGGAACCGAGCTGCACACATCTGGTTCAAGTGAGGATGGGGAGAGTGATGAGCTGGCCGAGCGCACGCTATTTAGTAAACCAAGGGCAATGGTCATGCAGTGGGTTGGTAATGTTGAGATATCACCAATCGCAGCTGAAGAATGTACCCAGGGCATGGATGTCGACCTCGAAAAGCATATCGCTACCCGATTATCGAGTTACAGGTCGTTCATCAAAGAATCAGAGGCCTATAACTGGCTCCTAAACAAGATTCGCCAGTATGATCAACTGGACTTTCAAAACGCCGAGGCAATGTTGGAAATTGGGTCGAAGATTCGAAGTCAGCTGAGAGCGCAAGAGCCACTGCGCAAGATGAGCAGCCGAAAACCCCTTTCCTTGGTCAAGATGACGTTCAATCTCGACTGGGATCCTATTCAGTTCATTAAAGATGCAGGAATTGATTTTCTGTTTGATCAACAGTTTCCAAATGTCCTCTGCCTGACAGGCTCGTGGAACGAGGCACAGGCCCTAACTGTGGCTGAGTATACGAGCCAAACATGGCCTCAATCTGGACAGGCTCTGATATCTTTGTTACAAGAGCTTTTATCACATGTTGAGAACAGAGAACCTGCTGGTAAGACCTATGCCACTCCATAATGGTTTCTTTGTATTGATAACCGCTTTCAGCCCGAACACCGGACTGGTGTAGCATCAGCTTCCAACATAAACATGGTCAGGGGACGGGTTACTCACTACCAACGGGAGCACAGCTCATGCTTAGTTTTCGGTCACCATCATCATGCTCTATCTCAGTTACTGGATGCGTTTCCTTCGTCTCTGAGATTGCTGAACAGATTGGATGGTTGGCCTCGGCCCTTAGGGCTTCCTCAATTATCCAAGGCACGGTAGCTTGCACTCCTCGCATTGGAGATTTTGAGATGACCATACAGGACGAAGGGACTCAGAAGTTGATGGTTGTAGGATCATGCAACCTGACCTTTGACTTGGAACCTACACAAACATCCAATCCGACTTCCGGGTCCTGCTGGGGTCGTCTCTGTTGTAATGCGATGCTAGTGCATGGCTATCCAATCGCTCGACGGTCAGAGCCAAATACGGGGCTTGAGATGTCCTTAGGCAATATGGCCATTATCGTTGGGTCGAACCAAATAGTGCATTGGAATGGTAGAGTCATCATGAAAGGATTCAGTATGCTCCTGATAGCAACGCTCGCAGCTACCGATATAATCGTGTGGCATCTCCTCGTCAGCGAGAAAGCCGGCGAGAGAATTTCATATATTGATCCTCGGCTCGACACGTTAGGAATCGAACCCTCAAAGGAGATTTCCCTTCGAATGCTCGAACCCAGCCGCCATGTCATCGGATGGTGTTCCAAAGTGACGGACTTGTGCGGTAAGGAATCGACCCGTATCCAAGTTTATGGGCTGGACTATTGTGCTGACTTGAGAGTAGGTGATGCAACGGCAAACCATGATGTTAAAACATCTGGACTAAAAAGGCCGCCGGCGTCTATCATCATAGACCGTCTATATCTCGAAGCGGGGTCAGATGTAGTCGGTGGTCTCAACATGAGCTTCAATAAGAAAGAGCAGCCATTCTGGCTAGAAAGGGAAAGCGACTACCCCAGTCTGCTTAAGTGGATGGCCGTTCAGCCTATCCTTTTCTATGATGTGGAAGACTGCCGTGCATGGCTTATTGATGGTGCATCAGCACTGCTCTATCTTGTTCGCATCTCCCTACATCTAGAGGAAAACGACCCGGAGTCGACATATGACTGGGTATTCGACGCTAAAAAACTCAAAGATAAATGGGACGGGCTTATAGGGCGTCGAGCAGCACTACAAACTCTTAAATCCTGGGATAACCTCGACCTTAACGTTTACGTCACCGGCAAGCGACGCCGAAGCGATGGCGTATCTGAGACACAATATTCAACTCTCGAGACGCGCATTAAGAAGATACTCCACTCGATCGAGATCTTAATCGACCGGCAGGCCAAGATGGTATCTCAGGACGGTATACGAATTTCGCAGACATTAAATCTTCGCCGTAATATTACTGGCTTTGATATCCTAGATGTCCTCACGCCACTGGGCCCCATCCTACCTCGAATCAAATACCTAGACTCATGGCGGTACGGATGGGACGATTTGATAAATTCGCATTGGCGTGACTACCATCTTCGGTAGCGGGTTCGGAAGCCTTATACGTCCTGATGATCCCGAAGCGGCGTGCAAAAGTTGGAAGTTTGTCCCCGAGGGCATGGACTACATGACTGCGTCTGTGTCGACGCTACAAATGCTCTACGAAAGGCGCCTCCTGAGGATGGACCCAGGCCTGGCGGTGGGCCATATGACGAGTAAGATCGTATGGAGTTCGCCCTGCCACCCTTTCAGCCCTTGCGAGTGTCTCAAAAACCAAGAAGGGAGCAACAAAGGCAGTAGTGATGAGATAGTGGAAGAGAACTGTCATGCTGATCCGGTACAATTTCTCGTCAAGAAATCTTGGAAGTCACGTATCACCCTTCGCGGCACGACGCCTGTAAACCTGGCGACACTTGAGGGCAAAGGAGCGGTGGTTTTTGGTCACATTCCATTCTCAAATCTCAAGAAGGAAGGGAACCCCGTGTCTGAAGAACATGATGAAGATGAAGGTGTATCTACCCCTCCTACCCATGCCGAGACTGGAGGAATACTACTACCTCCACGCATTGCCTCCACTACAAGCGATTCAACTGGATCAGCTGGGTCAACAGGTATTACTGTGCCGAGTTTAGGGACGTCAAGTGCTGCTGAGAGGCGGGATGACGATAGCATAGGACATCGTGCGATTACAGGGGAGAGAAGAAAGATAAAGTGGTGGAAGGCCTTGAATGAGCGTAGAAGGAAATGACATAGTGTACCAATCCCTTCATAGCTGCATACTTAACTCAATGAATATCATACGCTTTAACGCCAGAACGGCAATTATCACTTCATCACCCAAACGTGTAATAAGCTTCGTACTAACTAAGATGAAGGCAAGCAGTATACAATACACTTCTATATAAAAGTCCTAATATTAAACTCATACTAAATAGATAATCAAATATATCTAAAATATATTATTGTTAAATTACTTAATATATAGTCTTGTTTTAAGATTGTAAAAGATTATATAAAATATAAAAAGCTTATTATAGTTTAGATACTTTTATATAAAATTTAGAATAGAGAGAATTATGAGAACATCTATACATTTACTATAGTTAGGGTATGGTAATGGGCATATACATCGTCGACGGTCGCACTGAACTAAATTTACCTAAATAAACTACAACTGCGCACTGTAAAGCGCGGCGCTCTAAGGCTTTCACTATCAGCACCGCCTCAATGTTTTTAACTCAGAAACTTTTCGACCCTCGGCAGCGCGTTGCGTGATTTAAACCCATCCTAATGTTTGAAGGATGCCTTGCAAAAGTCCTTTGTACAGCGTGGGGCGAACAAGGGCGAGAGCTAGCTGGTGGGTGGGCTGTGATTGCTAACTAAATCTGTTGTCTGTAAGTGAGATGGGTACAGGGGGCGAGAAACGATGAAATATTCCAACTGTAAATAATGCAGCGTCGGCCAAATCTCAGCAGTATGTTCCTTCTGTTGGATCATATTACTGCTGCCTTAGGTTTATTTACGTAACAACCCTAGCGCGATAGTCTTGAACTCCTCTCCATACTGTAGCTTTGTTCTCCAACGCAGTGGAATCCCAGCCTCTCCGTCTCTCGCACCAAGTAAACCGCCTGCAATCGCAGCATTTGTATCTGTGTCGCCACCAATACGCACTACATCCACCAGAACATCCTCTAACCCCCGTTTGTCTAGCAATGCTGCAATGGCAATGCTCAGGGAATCAAGAACAAAGCCACCGCCGCTATCCTTCAACTTGTTTGAGGCACCTTTCTTCGCCATCGTGGCTATGCTAAGCTCTTTTCCCAATTCGATAGCCCGGTTTACCTGAGCAGATTTGAGTGTAACTGCAACGTGTTGGCCAGCGGCGATGGCATCTGCGGCGCTACTCCCATTGATCAACTTGGAGACAATTGTATTGTAGGCGGCGCAAGAGACGGTGCATCTCTTGTCGTCATGTGTTACGCGGCTGATGCGCTCGCTTTCGATAATCAGTGATTCCGGGTTGGTCTGGAAAAGGCCAGTGGGTATACAGCGCATCAAGCTGCCATTTCCAGCCCTTCCCCTTCCAGCCCCTGCATTATCAGGGTCTTGTGTCTCTCGGTACTTTTCGAGGCCATCTGCTACCGCCAATCCGATATCCTTTGGCTGGCTCCCAAGCTCTCTACCTGGCCAGTCGCCGTCCTCCCATTTGAGGAAATTGTCTGCCGAGAGGCGAGCAATATCTTCTCCAGGCTGGACGTCTCGATAAGCTAGTAATACCGCACGGGTCATATCGGTATCGTCAGTCGCCTGTCCAGCGGACCACGAGAGAAGCCCCCCGCCGATAATCTCTCGCAGACCTCTGGGATAGTCGCTTGCAATCAGATCATGTGGAGCGAATTCCAAGGTGGCACCGAGCGAGTCGCCCGCATGAACGCCAAGCAGGGCACCGATAATTCGAGATTCACGATCGACCAGACGTTTTTCTTGTTCACGATGAGACATAGTGTCAACGAATTAGTGGCCTGTTATTCTGGAACCCAGAAGTGGCCATGGAGGTTAGTCTACTCCACCGTGAATAAAGTTCGTGTCTTAAGTAACCTCCTGGACCTTGAGGGCTGCTGCCCTGCCGCCTGAGGTAGACATAACATGGTGGCGATATGTCAAGACAGGTCAAGAAGATGCCGATCGAATCGCTGACCGGCCAATTTTGGCCGGAACCCCTGTTGGGTGTTGTGGGTCTATCGTTAGCTCATTGCGCCACACACTCACTTCTTACAAACCCGGCTTAGTTTATCAATCACCATAGATTTAGACTCGTCGGGCTGCATATGTCATAGCTTATGTAGCTATGGCAAGCTTCGCCCGTTTGTTTCAGCTTGGACAGAGCTTCTGGTTTAATCTAGAGCATCTTCATAGCATATTGGATCCGGCAGTGACATACACCCGTTATAAATTCACACTTGGCTTCCAGGGGGTTTTCATGGCCACAATCCGGTCAGAAGAGATTTAACTTCAATGATATCTCTGAGGATTCAATTTGTAATCGACTTATAAGCACGGAAGAACTTTGGTAAATTCCATGCATAATGTACTAGGATATCTAAGACTCACTAACGTGGCTAGTAGAGGTCAAATCGAGCTAACATCCGGCAGTTCAAGCATCCTAGTATCGTATTAACGAAGTTTACTTGAGTTCTTCCGCATATTAACATGAACCTGTAGTAGAATTGTGGAACTGTAATGCGCGTATAGGTACAGGTATCTTTTAACAGATTTTACTCGGACTGGGGAGAAGGCAGTCAGTTAAGTAGGATAACACAGCCACTCTGATAAAGAGTAATAACACATCTGGAGTGCGATGAAGATGAAGTACAATCCCAGCTGCTATGCTTGGACAAACAAATTGTGTTCAAGAATATGTGGAATATTACCTATAGGTCTTTTGAGTATACATCAACGCCAACTCCACGATGATCAATCCCGTGAGGCTTTAATTCATGCCGTATATAAGACGGCAGACAAGGCCAACGTGTGGCCAAAATATTGTGGGAGCCGAGATATGATATTCGAATATTCTAAACAATTTCCATTCTGCTCCCCCGAGGACTCGGCCTCGGTACCGAGCCCGAGTTAACCGCATTGATAAGCTTCAAATCGAGCTCACCTTGCCTAGCGCAGAGTTGACAGCTATTGAGGAGATCCCTGCATGGCTGTAGGAAACTTTCAAACGAAGGATTGCCTGGTAGCGGTACTTTACAGACCAATCACATGGTTTTCAAGGGTATAGAACTTTCCAGACTCAAGGTCTCATCTTCTTAAGCAAAGTGCAGTCTAGATTCTCCATCAATCATACTCGAACATACTGGCCAACTTGAATCCCGAAATGAAGGAGGTGGCCATTGTGGATATGATGATCCTACGAGGCATTATCCTGGGACCTTGACATGAGGCGATTCCGTGGATTGGGGCCTCTTGAGCGTGCTTGTAAGCTGTCTGCTCGTAAGCTTTCTGCTTGTAACCCCATATATATAGCTCGTTCTGGACGCTCGTTGAGGTATCATGAGCTTTAACTATCAAACGACCATATTCCACAGAACCCCAATAACACCACTTTGAGGTCCAATATGTTGCTTCTTTCTCTCTTATCACTCAGCCTCCCACTGGCAGTGTCTGCAGCAACTGTTGACCCTTGCGCACGCATTGCCACAGGAGTCAGTGAGACCAAGTCTTCCCCTGTCGTTGTGCCCGCGCAACTTGCCAAGGAGTGTCTCCAATCTATGCCGTTCTATCCTCAACTCGCTGCGAGCTTCATCGACGAGGTCACCAAGTACATCCAGTGGCAGTCTACCCTCGAAGCCCTCAAGAACCCCCCCGAGACATACACATCGTCACCGACCGATATCCTAGGAGGCCTCAAGAAGATTCGCGGTACCAACTTCTCAAGCCAGTGGGAGTTTGATGGAGCGATTAATGCACTCCTTAACACCGCCAACGATGGTCATCTCAGGCTGGAGCTTTGCTCCCAATCTCTCTTCAGCTTCATTCGCAACAGTATTCCCCTCGTCTCCGTATCCAAGGATGGCCTGGATGAACCCGAGATATACACGCAGAACGATGCCTTGTTACTCAACAGCACCAAAGTCAAGGTCTCACCGGTCGTGTCAATCGATGGCGAGGATCCTGTCAAGTATCTGCAAAAGATCGCAGCTGCGGAAAGGTTTCAGGATCCAGATGCGAGATACAACAATGTGTTTTACTCTTACCCTGATGCATCCACTCCTCTTGTATTTGGATCATTTTACCGAAATGCCGTATTTTCAGGCCGCAATATTACTGCTCTAGAGTTTCGCAATGGGTCTACATCCGAATTCCAATCTCTTGCCATAGTTCGTAACGAAGACTTCCAGGCTCAGAGCGGTGAAGACGCTTTCGATACTTATTGCCGACAGCCGACGAACTCAAACACAGCACGAGCCGAGCTTACTTACTCTGGCGACTCCAAGGACGCAAGCGGATCCGTCAATCCACCGCTTGAGGCAGGGCCAGCATATCTTCCTAAGCCGTTCCTTCGAGACCCATACAATCAGATGGTCGGATATTACCTAGATGACGACACCGTAGTCATGGTGGTTCCATCTTTCGATAATTCAGGACAGCCTAGTACCTACGCGCAGACCTTTGCCGAACACGCAACTGAACTTGTATCACGGGCTCTAGAGAGTGGACGCAGCAAGATGATCATCGACATCTCCAGTAATGGAGGCGGCCAGATATCCAGGGCTCTCGACCTTTTCAAACTATTTTTTCCCGACGAATTTCCATACACAGCAGCGAGATTTCGTCGCCATCGGGTCTCAGAAGATCTTGCCAAGGTCTACTCGGTGCTCGATGAGTCAGTAAAGCTGAATGGCATCTCACCACAGCTAGCTTGGGCTTTTCAGGTGACGCCAGACCAAGAAACTGGTTTTGCCTCGTACCAAGATTTCCTTGGCAACAGCACAGAAATAGGTGTCAAGGTCAGCTCACTCCAAGGCGAATACAATTTTACGCGGATCTCTGGTGACGGAGACGGAGCCCCTATCCGTGGTTTCGCTGGTCGGCCTGTTCTAAAGAAACAGCCTTTTAAATCTGAAGACATTCTCATCATCGGCAATGGCATGTGCTCTTCGAGTTGCACTACATTCGTCAACATGATGACCAACATTGGTAGTGTTCGGACTTTGTCTTTCGGTGGGCAGCCCAACGATAAGCCTATGCAAGTGATGGGCGGTGTTCGTGGTATACAGGTGCTGGACTTTTCAGCTATCTACTCCTTTGTGGAAAAGGCCGAGTCACTCTTCCTCAACAACCCCCAGGTATTCGACTTCATATCTCAGGATGAAGTTGAGACCTTCATCGACGCTGCCCCTCGACCTCTGGCCGAGTTCCCGATAGTTCTGAGTTATGGACAAGTCAACTTTTTTAATTCCTATCAGAAAGGCAACGATGACCTACCACTCCAGTTCCAGTACCAGGCCGCCGACTGTCGCCTTTACTATACTGCTGACAATGTCTTCCACCCTGAGACCACTTGGGAGTCGGCCAAAGCGGCTATTTGGGGTAACAGGTCATGCATTGAGGGGTCTACGGGTGGGAAAGGGTCACTCAAAGACAAAAGCTCCAAGGGTAAGAAAGGTAACACAACAAATGGCGAGGATAAGAAGGGCAATAAGGGAAGTGATGGAGATGAAGGACAAGACAGCGGGGCAAGCAAGGTAGTGCTTGGCTGGACCGGTTTGACCGCTGCTATTGTTGTTCCCCTCATATGGCTCTAGAGCAGGGATACTGAGAAGTTTGTAAGACATGAAAGTGGTGTGTTGAGAACAAGTCGCGAGTAGGTAGAGTAGTGTAGAAAATGGTATTTATTTTACCACAGATGTTGCTATCGAAGAGGGTTGGGACAGTCATCTAAACCCTGGACCATTGTGTGACATCATCAAGGCACTTACTTCGTTGTTGTGAACACGCTCAACTACCTGTTACTAAGCCCTTTCATGCTGGCAATCGTATGTTGTGGTACAGATCTCTTTGTGAAGCAAATACTAGATGATAAGCGAGTTGATATCAACTGCCGAGGGCCTGCCATAACCTCTCTAGTGTTCAGTAGCTAGGAAGAGGCATGCGGTAACAGAGTATCTTCTTAGCTACCCGGGGTCGATCCAACCGCAGGCTTAAGCAATGGCCAATTGTGCATGGTGATACAAGGTCAATCAGCCTCCTGTTGGGTCAGAAGGAGAGATATTTGCTCACCGCACTGATGGAGGCGCCTGATGAGGACTTCTAGGCAATACTGCATGTGTTCGTTGACGTGACTGGGCACCTCTATGGCTACTGGACAGCTGAACCAATCAATACCAAACGGGCCGCTCTTGAGGAGATACAACCATTTATCGAGACGTGATTCCCAGTAGGAGAGCAGTGTTTCTCCCAGGTTCAACAGAATTCTACTCTAGATCGACAAGAACAAGACATTCTGCACTCATATGTTGACTTTCTCTGGCTCCTTCTCTAGAAAGGTCTTAACAGCTACTGAACTCTTGAAGGTTTGGTAGCAGGGGGACGACCCAGAACAAATACCTGGCCTCTGTCACTTGCTTACCTTCTATTTATTCTACGTATGTGTGCGGCTATTATGTATGCCTTTTGGACTAACCTAAATTGAAATTTAATGCTCTCTATTTTGGAGATTGCATGTAAGAAGTGGAACAGTCTTTGTGGTCTTTACAGCAATCTGGTACTCTGATTCGGTTAACAACCCAACAGAACACATTCTGTAGGTATACTCAAAATACACCACAATTAGCTTGGTGGCACCGGTCTTTCAGGTTAGCTATTTATAGCACCTGGAGGAACTAAAGTCCGAAAAGCCTCCTGCGTAAGGACTCCGCTGTTGAGGATTGACCACCATAAGAGAGGGGGATATAATTTTAAACCCGCAGTAGTCTCACGCTAATCGTGATGTATGCATGGTATATGTCTTGGAGTCATTTAGGATCGTGAGCTAACCATGACTGCTACACTGGAATGCTCTTATATCCGATCAGCAAGATCCTAGTACACGCGTGGCGTCGGGCTGACACTGCTCTAGCTGCTTTCGGAGTTGAAATGTCGAATTTGGATAAGACACAGTCAGTTATGTCCGAGCACTACCAGGGGCGGCTGGCTAGGCTGGCCAGGCCAATCGACAAGTCACTCTATTGCATTGCTAGCACTGTCTACTACGTATGAAGAGGACTAACGTAACGATACGTGCCTCTCAGCACTTGCCCTATTAAAGACGGGCATAGCCAGTTGTCCCACCCATCTTGATTCTCTCCTTTTACTCTCTTGTGCCTCCATGGCCTACCGCCGGTTTCGTCATCGCAACAAGCCATTATGAACCTCCCCACGATACCGCGATTGTTCATCGTCGCGTTGATATGCTTCACGACACAGGTTGCTGCTGATGTAGCACAGCCAGCGGGACTATTAGAGGATTCTGCGCAATGTGCAGTAGGTATCTAGTGACAATTAACATATTTGAGATGCACTAATCAAGTAACAGATTAGTTGCCTGACTAAACTGCTTGGATCGCCAGTCTTTTCCCCCGCGAATAAAGAATTGCTATGCAGCGATAAAGACTTGAGTGATTCGGTCACAGACTGCGTGCGGAAGGCCTGTACGGTGAGAGAGCTGCTGGGTGAGTATTTCATGTCCCGTAGAACTCTTGATTTGCTGCGACCAAGCAATCAAGTATTGTTCAAAGAATACACTACTGACGTTACCCTAATTGGACCTACGTAGACTTTCTCAATTCTGAACAACGAATGTGCGGGAGACCAGATCTTGACAATGACCACAACATCAGAGCTATCAACTTTTTAATCCTCGGGATCGCTGTCGCGGCGGTGACACTACGCATAGTGTCCAAAGCCTATCGGTTTACGAGATGGGGTGCCGACGACTATCTGATTATTGCGGCAGCAGTAAGTCATGGAACTCACTGTTCTCTACACATTTCCCATTAGAAGTATATGCTAACAGCTATAGGTTTTCACGGCCATACAATGCAGTATCATGATCGCAAGTAAGTTATACTAAAGCAGACAGACTCTTAACCTTTGATCAAGGGCTGATACAGTATCTTTTTAGTGACCTACGAAGGTTTGGGTCATAATATTTGGACTCTTGATGACAGTTCAATCACAAAGTTCTTGACGGTAAGCTTATACACAGAGGATACCCAACCGGGTTGCTAATCCTCTCAGTATCTGATCGTTGTCGAAATCGCCTATGTCCTTAGCCTATACCTCCTCAAAGTCTCTATCCTGTGGTTCTTTTACCGAACGTTCCCCAGTGTAGGGTTCCAAAGGATTGTCATATGGACGATAGTCTTCAATACTCTGTCGGCAGTATGCATTTGTGTATCTGCAGGATTCCAAAGTTTTCCAAAAGATCCAACACAGGAGCGTTGGAAAGACGAATCCTCGCGGCGTAAGGTAGACGTCCAGGCTTTGGCGTTCGCCCACGCCGGGATCAATGTCGGCCTTGATATCTGGATGTTCGTTCTTCCCCTAACCCAGCTTTACCACATCGGCCTCAAGACAAGGAAGAAAATTGGTGTTATCTTAATCTTCGGCGTTGGAATATTGTGAGTGCAACCTACATGACTCTGAAGTGATGCTGACCAAACTGTTTCATAGCCTTATTGTTGTCAGCTGTCTACGTATTCCATTCATGATAGATTTCAACGGGAGTCTGAACGCGACAGGTGAGATGATATTGATATTGACACTGATTGTCCTTGTCTCTAACATGGAAATTATCATAGCCGACTCTCAAGGAATCGTTATCTGGTCAAATTTGGAGAGTGGCGTGGGCATCCTCGTGGCCTGTCTACCTCATACTCAACCACTCTTACGAGCTACCATGATGCGCGTGAGGTCCATGGAGCTATTCTCAAGGTACTCTGGCGATAGTCAAGGGATATTCATCAGTCGACCCCTTGCCACTATCGACGTTACGCGACTCGATGGAACTACAGTCATAAATTCGGATGACATCATTTTAAATGATACGGGAGGTCTGCTCACTGTAGATAAGAACACTTCGCTAGAAGAGGGTGATCAAAAGCCTGACAGTATGAGCGTTTCAAGCATCACGGGTAGAGATGCGAGGCCAATCACATAATTTGTTTTAAACATGGAATTTTCGCAAACCGATATGTACATTACACTAAGTCTCAGATTTGTAATTTCTGTCGCCGCGGGTTCGGTCAATTTACAGAAAGAATATATTGTTCACTATAGCTTCATCTAGAAAACGTAGATAAGATCTACAAGACCACACGATATGGTTTGATAAAGACCCTATCAGGATTCCTAGTCAAGGAAGACACCGCCTTGGGAGTCGAAACGTGGTCCGGCAATGGCAACAGCTCGAACGTCCATATGACGAGGGTGAAGAAGATCTTCATCTCAAGATACGACATCTTTCTTCCAAAACAACCCCGGGGACCCGACCCAAAGGCTTGGATAGGAAATGCTTGCGAATCAAAGACAACCTCCTCTTTGCCATCTTCACTTGTCATTGTCCTCAACCATCTTTCAGGAACAAATGAAGCAAAGTCATAGCCTTCTTTGAAACAGTGTTTTGCCTTGCGAGAGCGCACCCATTCGCTGCTACGCGACTCGTCGTAAGAAATTGGGGGGGCCAATATACTGGGCCCATTGGATAAGAATGCGACAGTGGTCCCCTTGGGTACACGAGCTCCGAGGATCTGTGTGTCAACCTGCACCTCTCGCAGGCACATACCCAAGGGATATGAGAGACGAAGAACCTCTTCTACTACGGCATCAAGATAAGGCACACGAGTTTGTATGATTTCTGCCAGCGAGGGAGGGCGTCGTTCGGCTTTGGCCTGGGCATGGGCTTGTTGAAAGGCGTTCCTGAGCTCAGATTGCGATCGCTGGTCAGCACTAAGATAGCTCAACCCCCATCGCAGGGCAGATGAAGTTGTTTCGTGGCCACCAATGAGGTATGTCATAAGCTAAATCATTTATGTCAGCACAATTGAGAAAGTTCTGTACTTGGCCTTCGAATGGAACTCACCTCACTCGTGATAACCTCGGAGTAGTAGTCTGGCTTTCTATTCTCCTTCTTGGCCATAGCCTCTTCGCGAAAAGAGATCTCATCCAGGGCGCACTTTGTAATCTCCCCATTTTGTCGCCTTTGGATACCGTTGGCTATTTCGCGGCGCTGCAGTTGCTTTGAAAGAGTAATTGCATTTCTCAGCTTTCCAGACAGGTTCCGGTACAAGAAGTGGAACAGTGGCGGAGAAGGTGTCTTGACGATCTTTGCGATACTCTCTGCCAATATAGTCAAGGCGTTAAGTTCTTCGTTGAGCGCAACCTCCCTGAAGACAATTTCACCGCCTTTTTCGCTTTCCGCGATATCTTCAACTGCACTGAGCTGCTCAATCTCTTTCACCAACTGTGTCTTGTCGGTGTCCAGACCAAATGCAGCGCAGACGATGATATCCAGGGCAGCATTGTGGACATCGCTAGAGGCAGAAAAGAACTTCCCACCAGCATAGTCCGTTTTCAAGTTCCATAGCTCCACAAGTCGTGAGAATTTATCGTAGATTTCAGGGGCAGAGACCTGCCATGTGTCAGTTGTTTTACTTTAGTAGTGGTGTTTGTCCTGTTGGCGTGTTCTCACCTCTGATAAAAACGTAGGTGTCATCAAATTGCGCACGAGTTCCTTGTTCTTCTTAAATTGCGGATTCGAGCTCTTGAGGGTAATATGTGCACTTGGAACAACGCAGTGAAACAATGAAGTACTTGCAGTGCCTCTGTCAAACTCTTTGAGACGTTGAGTGCAGATCTCAGCCGCCTCATGGTGATCGGCAATAACTACCCAAGGTTTGGCAAAAGGCCGGACAAATGTTTGGAAAATCGGTGATTCGTGTTTGACGGCTTGTGTTGCGAGCCAGTCGGTCAAGCTACCGTAAGCCTTGACTTCAGGAAGGTCGCCAAATATGCGATTGGTGGCTGTGACGTTGTATGGGATTCCTTCGAGGGGATGGGGTAGCATCGATCGATACAGCTTGTAAGCGATGCCTACCACAAGGAGCCCACCAAGAAGGATCCTTGTGGATGGGTAATCAATTGAGTCTAGCACCGATATGGCCATTTTTGTTATAGTAGAATGCGGCGTGGGATATGCAAAAGGATTCACGATGTCAGAATGGGAGCGGACCACGAGCGTTTTAACACATAATTCCTCGATTTAAAACCATCCATGACTGAGATTCAACATTTTTAGTAATTATCCCAACTTGGTTAGATAATCCAACAATTCCACTGCATTTTGCATCTTATAAGCAGCCGCAATTAATTTTCTCCAATTAAATGTCTTCGATTGTGAAGTCGGTAGGACAGTTGGGGCTCAGGAACGCCTTTAAAATCTGATGTGAGAACGCCAAGTCTCAGTAAGCAAAAATGTCTCTGTGTTACATAAGCCACTCTAGTGACCTTGATTTTGCCTATGGCTTATGAGCATGGATGGTTAGTAGACTTACCAGCGGATGGACGTGTATGATACTAGTCTTGCGATTTCTGAAAGACTACCTAAGAATTGTATTGACAGCCCATCGAGTTCAATTGATATCTATCTCGTAACGAAGTGTTGGAACTCGATACCTCCTTCCCTACACTGACTTCGTCACGTCAGTGGTACCCGATCAGAAGTGAACACAAAGCAAGACACAATTTGTGGCATATTTTAAGACACTCATCATTTGTTTTCCATACTCGATGCAAGAAGCTGATTTCAGCAACTCCACAGTATACAGCCAAACACTTCTTTAAGTGTTTTAAAATTAATGAGCTGGTGTTAATGGGCGCAGTGTAATTGGGTGCTCCGTTATGCTGCAAGCATATGCAGATTTGCTGATGCATTGGATGAGTAGAGAGATAGTAGCTTGATAGTGGACCTCCTTTCTATGTAATTAGTTACAGCTGGGTTCGGACACACCGGTAGAAGTACTCCTAGGAAGTCAAGAATTATACCTGGACATGTAGATTAACAATCGGCATAGGTGGTTATGATAAATATTCGTTTTTATTGGCGTGTTATATATCAAGACACCGACGGGAGGGGAGATAACCCAACCCTATAGACAAAATCACGATTTAGGAAGAGACTTTTATCTTTAGATAACCCAATGGGATTTGATATATTGAATTTCTTTCTGTCCCTATCTATGCAACGATCTACCAACTACTAATACGTACCGTGGGAAACAGTCCCAGACTCAGTGTTGGGGCATTACCTGACGCCCTAGTAAGGAACCCCGGGACTAGAAGAATTATCATAACTCAAAGTAAGTAATGTCACAAAACGATCGATGATGTCATATGGCCGTGAAAAGTGCGATGTGGACGGTGAGCTCTTGTGCAAAGTCTTGGGTGAATTAGATTGCCGACCTGATGGTGCCTGTTGCAACGCTCCTAACAAGTCCAATCTCTTTAAACAAAGTCAAATCAGATTAATGTAACTCAGGAGTCTTACCATTTTGATCGAATTAATTTCATGCATTTATTTACTTAGTTTGAAATTATTGTGCTATAGCTTATTCATGTGTAGGGTAGGTAAGTTTCTCTTGCGTCAAGCGGACATAATTCCCTTTTGTTAATCCCTGTCTTATCTCTACCTCCTTATTCTTGAATCATCGATAGCTTTATCGATAAGATAAGATCTTGAACTAATTTAGCTCTGACCTCTCTCAATCTAATCCAACAATTATCAAATTTATTCCCGAAACATCGATTCAAGGTTATGAGCAACAGTGGCATGTTGTCATGTCAGTGGTTCGAGTCAGATTTTCCTATCCGAGATTGCGATTGTTTCTTCTGTAGCTATTGTACGTTTCTCTGCGGAGTAGGATAGTTACAATTCCAGCCCGCTGTGAAAGAAACCGACGATGGCCCACAGGATGTTTCCATCAGAACGATCACGCTTGGTAATTAAACGCTGGACGGGAAAAAGGATGTCTCGGACCCGTTGAATTTGTGCCCCCACCATCCATTTCAGTCTATTACCTACAATATAGCTGTTGAAGAAGAAGCTCAACTACTTGAGAGCCATAACTTACTCTGTTCGGATCAAAGTTGAGCAGACAAACCTTAGCTGAACGTCTAACCTGTGGCCTTCGGTTACCTCGGAAGCGGGGAAAACCGGCCAGTGTATCCGAGTCACATCACTTAATAACGGGGCTTTAGCGCCCTTGGCAAAATTCTAGCCGTTGACTGGCCACGATTGCCAGGGTTGGCACAGTCCTTATTAGACCCAGCCTTTTCTCCTTCCTCATCCGGTTGCAGAGCTTGGGCGCAGAATCGTTGAAGACTGAACTCGCCCTCATCTCATCACCAAGCGTTTCGCAGTACTCTGGTCCCTGGTTAAATATAGACTGGCTCTTGAATTATTGTTTGCGCAGCCCAGAACTCACAAATTCGACAACTTTTCCTCTCAGCTATAAGACCGCCGATACCAAGTGGAGGGTAAAAGATTCGGTAGCAAACGGCAGCAGAACGAAATTAAGAAAGAGCTTGCGAGCTGAAGAGGCAGTCGCCTCTTTCTGGCAGCTCTTGCATGTCACTACGTTTGGCTTAAAAGAGCCGGCAGCCTAATATTATATATATAAGAAAGTATGCTATTAAACGATTCTAAGCCATAAACGTCCATCATTAAGGCAACTCCCAGGCTTGTCTTTGGTCTGGTTGCTGGTCCTTTGTGCCGTATTGGTAATACTCCCTTGGAGGGACCGGTGCGTCAAGTTGATGGAGTCCCGTATCCTTTGGGATCTCAAATGTTGATTGTGGACTGGGGTTCTGGACAACTTGTTGCTTTCGTTTTCGCCGAAGAAGAACAAAAGCGACCAGAGCAAGGAGAATAAAACCGATAACAGCACCGATAGCAATACCGGCTATAGCACCTGTAGAGAGCCCGCTTGGCTCTGTAGGTCTTTCTTCCACATCACTCTGTCTGGCTGTCGAGGAGCTGGTGAAATCCGAAGTCTCTGATGCAGTAGTTGTTGCGACACTTGCCTCGCTTGTTGTCGACGTAATCTAGACATGGCCTATTAGTAATTTGTGCGTAATCTTTCATCAAGAAATAGCTGCTTACAGAAATGAATTTGATTCCCCAAGCCTCGATCCCTTCCGCAGTCGCGGGTTTGCGTGTTACCGGTTTCTCGGTAGGATCTTCGAGCCCGATATCTGTCATGACACCTGTCCAGGTTACGCCCTGGGTAGCTGTCGCGTGGCACCCGTACTGGTGATCTCTGCACATGAAAGAAAACACGTTCCCGGTAACACTGTACAGTCAGTTAATGTCGTCTGTCGGGAGCGACTTCCATACCTAGGACAGCATGTCACCGTACTCGCTGGTTCCCCATTGTAAGAGCCACCAGTTGCACAAGCCCTAGTGTAGCCAGAAGGGCAGCCGCCATCTGTAATGTATGGTTCGTTAATGGTGAAGGATGGTGGAAAGCAGTCGCCTGATGGAGCAATTCCCTTTCCAACCGGCGTAGGTGTTCCGTATAAATTACTGAAGAAGCCGCCTCCAAGGAGCACATAGTAATAATTAGTACTGGCGAAGCAAGATGTTGGAGCCGTCCATGTTGACGGTAAAGTGTGTAACGACGTCATGTTGGCGACTTGGGCCTTTGAAGACGGAGATTAGATGTTATAGAAATGAATCAGAAAGATGAAGAAGAGGAGAAAAAGACGCAGATGACAGATCGGGAGCCCACAGTTGAGACGGTCTGCTCTCTGCAGTTGAACGGGGACATGGGCGATATAACGCCATGGCCTCCCTGAAGACTTCTAAGATGCCAAGCCAACAGACATTCTGCATCAGCTGCCTGAACCTTTGCAAAACAGGCCTCGCCTCGCTGGGTTGTTGCTTTGTTTGACGCTAAGTGACTCCTGATCCTGTCGGGGAGGGCGGCCAGGGTTGGATTTAGTTCTCTCAACCAACAGGTAATTTCAGAAACCCTGTATCAACTTGAGAGGCAGAATGAAGCTCGACGTATATCTTCACGAAAACCCCGAAATAAAAGACACCACAGACTCTGATTATTTATAACCCCATTTTTGTCTCAAGCCATTGTTACAATCTGATAAGGTGTTGCTTTAAAATTGATGTTGACGGAGTAAAAAACAGCTCAGAGAGTAGAGTCAATTTCAGACCAGGATTGAGGTTGTTGGTTGTTCGTGTCCCCACCTCACCTGAGACCTGCAGAAATATTTATGCTGTTGGTTGTGGTTTTTGCTGATCAGCCTGTTTTAGTAATGCCGCCGAAACCTATCACATCAACTGAGTACCTCAGCGCTTAAATGACCTGACTGTTAAATTTGGAGCATTTATTAATTTAGGGAGCATATTCTGATGCAAAAATACGACGTGAGATGCGTCGCGTACGAAACCAGACTGCTGGAACGGACTATCCAATAGACTTCGCTGTTGGAAGCGCCTGCGTAGATTGTAAGCGCTTCACTGCCCCGGCCAGGTCAATTATTTCGGAACATGGATGATGTGATCCACAATGTTACAACCAACACAAGATAAGATTGCTGTGTCGTGTTCCGTACAAAACAGGCCAAGCCCCGGCCAATACGCTTTAATTGCCGCATGTAGCATACATCGACGGCTGGACTTGCTGGCAAGACGGCTGCGACTTTTCAACCCACCTGCACCATCTTCCTTTTTCTCTTTTCACCCAAAGTTGGCATTCAGCGATGCACAAACTTCAGGTCGGGGGTTTCTCCCTGCTTGAGAGTTTTCACCGAGGTGGTTTTCGCCGGTACAAAACATTCATCATCACAATCACTGCCTTTATTTTGCTCTATGTTACGTGGATGTGCTCCAATCTCGTGGTGGAAGCCTACGAATCACGGTTATCCTATACCTCCGACTTCAACACTAGCGATGATCAATCGGGCTTCTGGTGGGCACGAAAAGCCACAAACACTTTGATTCAATCTATACCACCCAAGATTTGGCAAATACATCTTCCTAAGAATGGATCGGACGAGAAATATGTTTTGGATTCCAAAAAACTCGAAATGACGGCGTCCTGGTTGGCCTTGAATACAGATTACACCTAGTAAGTCGGATATTATTACCATGCCTTTGAAGACCTGACATAAAGAGACATAAGTTAACTTCTCCGTCTGATAGTACATTGGTTGGCAAAAAGGGAGGCGATGAATTTGTTCAGCGTCACTTCGCCAACGAACCGACCATCGTGGAAGCATATCACAAAGCCCCTAACGTTGGAATGAAGTCGGACCTCCTTCGGTATCTTATTCTTGAGGTCGAAGGTGGCATCTACACCGACACCGACACCATCGCTATTAAGCCTATTGACGAATGGGTGCCAGAAGAGCTGCGAGGTCAAGTTGGCTTGATAGTTGGCATCGAGTTCGACCGACGGAACGGGGGAGGTTGGGCGGATATCCCTCACTGGCTTCAGTTTTGCCAGTGGACGATTGCAGCCACTCCCGGACACCCTGTCTTCAAGAAGATGACCAGACGTGCTATCAGGTCAATGGAGGACCTGTCACATAAACACAACGTCTCGATTGAGCAGCTCAAGCCAAGTAGCTTCGAGGTTATGAACTCGACAGGCCCAGCAGCTTGGACTGACGTCGTCTTTGAGCACCTACAGGGACTTGATTCTACCCTCAACACCACTAAGGATCTATCATTTATGACAGAACCGAAGCTCTATGGCGACGTACTGGTTCTGACCATTGATGGGTTTGGTATGGGCCAGGTTCACTCGCATAGTACACATGACGGAAGTATTCCCAAGGCAGCGCTAATGAAGCATCGTTTCAGGGGGTCTTGGAGGGGCAGTTCATAATGTTTAGTAGATCTTATATCCAACGTACCTTTTACAAATGTTGTATCATATGATATGGGCGCGAGCGAATACCTATTGCTGTTTTCAAAGGTTAGAAAAATCACCGCCCAAGCTTTCCTCCACTGTAGACTGTGCGCTCTTATAAAACTCATCAACCTTTCGGTGCTGTCCAGTGGTACACCAGTAGGTGTCCTCCTGTCGTGATTTCGAGAGCAAGCCAGTCTAAATCGTGCCTGGCAATCAAATCAGGCATTTTGCGAAGTCTATTGGCGTTTCTACTAAGGCGCTGGACATGCAGCAGACCACGCAAGATGCTCATGACAACTTCAATGCCCAATTACGCTAGAGAAACCCACGCCTTCATCCTGCGCAGTCCGATAAATGGGCGATGTAGCCACGGAAACAGCAAAGAATGTAGCTCAAGCTTGTCGTCAAAAGTCTTCTTAGAAGATGTCCAAACCTGAAGAGCTTCTTTCCCTTTGTTTTCAAAGTGTGCAAACGTATTAAAATTCTGATCACCGATGCCTTGGGGACGAGGCTGAAGCCAGAGTAGGCGACTTTTTGGCTTTCCTTCGTTCCGCGAGTAGTGAACCTCTTACGTCGTTTGCCCACACTGTTAGCGGAGCTGTAGTTAATGCTATTGGTATTCCCATCCAGTGGCATTCCTCTGATTTTGGGCCCACCACTACTGGAGCTAGGACTTCTGCAACCGGTAGCGCAACTAAAACGATTTCTTCTTCAACCGGCACTTCTTCGAGTGATTCCACGTCGAGTAATGGGGGATTAAGCAGTAGATCCAAAGCAGGCATCGTAATTGGCGCTGGAGTTGCCGCTCTTGTATTTGCCGCATTAGGCTGGTTTGTGGCTCGAGAGAGGAGGGCTAAGCAGGCAAATAATGTCGCTGAAATTGGGGGAGAAGATGCTAAGGAGCCTCACATACAGCAGCAACAGCACCCATGGGAGCTTGATAGTCACGACGCTATGATCCCGGCGGAGCTACCATCGGAAAGTGTGAGTCATGTGAGGTATAAATAAAGGAAATACTGCTGGGAGATTAAATCTTGAGTAATATATTTTTTGTTATCGTTGTTGATATCATATAGAAATCTGGAGTATTTGGGCTTAACAAATCAAGTTGAAGGTCAAAGAAAAAGGACTTGAATTTTATTATTATACCTTGGAAGGTTTACTTCCTTTTTCTGCCTAAATGAAATCTTGAAGTCTTTCACTGACTTTAATTTATCAACCTCAATATGCATGTTAATCTTTTAGACATTACTAGTTTGTTAACGGCCAGTCCATAATATTCCCCATTTACTCCCTACCTTACGGCTTAACCTATACTTGGTAATTTGATCGCCACCAGACTTGAAGAGCTACTTCTCGTCTCTTAATATCCTTCACAGATCTTCGAGACGAAGGAATGCGGCACGGTAGCCCCGGAAAGACCGGGAGCCACTGATAAGGCTTAGCCTTTGACACACCAAGACTGTTGATTCGCTCACTTCCTAATCCTTGTTTCAGCTAATCACCTGAGCTACTAGGGACCATGTCAGTTGCGCGAATTATTTGCAGAGTAGCAAAAGGAATAACATCTGAAAATCATCTTTGGGATGAGTAGACTAGAGCCATCAAATCATGTGGAAGAGAGACTGTAATATACAGAACCTAAGATTACTAGAATAACCCGCACATATGGTTAACAATAACTAAATCGGTATGCAGCCAAACGGTGGGGGCTAATGAGTGGGTGGGCATTCTGAAACACACGGATATAGGAACCTCAACTAACAGTTGTAACCTTACCATGAGTGCGCAGAGTAACTTCTTACGAGTTACACCATCATCTGATAACTCCTGTCCTTGCCTTCAAAAAATGTCCTAAATTCCTCTTCCCTACTCAATCGACAATAAAATCAGCTCCTTAGGATCGTCTTACCTTTGAAAACGGCTTGTTCTATGATGAAGACATAGCCACAAATGATCTGCCATGTCATGCCGAAAACCTCCGACAGTCAATGCTTGACTTTGCATAAGAAGACTCTGACTTGACACACCACTGCCGCAAGGCAGTTTTTAGTCGAGAATCATTCTAAGGGCAAAGTCGCTGAGGAAACGTGGAGGATCTTCTTTCGAGAGAATCTCTTCAACCCTCTTGTGCAAACGTCTCGACCTCGCGCGACTCACGTAGGTTAGTTGAGAAGCCGGGTCTTGGACATTGTTACTGACAGGTTCCGTCTCAGAGTATCACGATGTAATTGCTATTACAACTCTGTGGCAGTGTAAATCGATTGAAACATGGACATTAGTGCTGAAGTAATAGTAAGATGAGCCGCTAATGAATCGGTATAGGAGATGTATTGATGGGGTGTAGAGAATCGTTGTTGAGGTATAAAGTTATTCAAACAGCTATGGATGTGATAATCTCCTTTAAGTACAAGAATACCGAAATAGCAGAAACAACGAATAGCTACATTGAGAAACCCATGGCTTTAGAATAGTATGTAGCCTTCCGAAGGGAAACAGACTGGACTTTATTTCTAATGGCGAAATACAACTTATGTTTCCAACTCGTTCCAAATAATCTGTCCTTTAACGGTTCGTCCATTAAGTCCTCTCTTGATCTTCTCAAGCCTTGTACAGAATTCCAGTGACGACTCACCCCAACGCCGCAATTCCCAATCTCGTAACGCAACTCTCATTGTTCGCTTCCCACTCCACGGAATCTGGTCTGTAGCAAACCCAGCAACCCCATTTCCCAATCTTGGCTGATCTCGAAACCTCTCCACGAGCAACCAACGAGTCACTTCTGGAAATGGGAGGCTGGCTATAACCCCACTTCTATAGGTCCCTTCCTCACTCGTGTATTGTAATTTTGCTCCGTTTCGAACGAGGAATTTGACAATTTCAAGCCTTCCACAAGCGATGGCACACATGAGCGGGGTGCCAAATCCCGAGCCCTCCATCTCAATGTTTGACCCAAGAGCTAGGAGTAATTTCACTGTATCAAACTTTCCACTCGCAGATGCATTACAGCATGGGCTGCCAAATTCATAATCTTCGTCATTGATAAGCACCGCCGCTACTAACGGCGGTAGGACCAAGTAAAGCTGCTTAATGGTACTACAGGATGTATCGAGCACTGCTGCGGCCAAAGGGTTAAATCTCTTGAAGGGGATGTTCGGCGCGCTTGGTATTTTCAGACGTGAATGAAATATGCATTGGCGAGAGGCCTGCCACCCAAGAGCTAGATGCGCCATTGGAACACCACTTCGGTCCAAATGTTCAGGGTCGAGCCCCATAGAGATCAGGTATTGAAACATTTCGCTTGTCATGTCTTGTGCCAAAAGGTTGGATCCGTCAACGGACATGAAGTTTATGGCGAAAGGACTTCCTCTGTGCAAGAGCTGAGCCGTCTTTATGTTGCCACACATAACTGCATAGACCATGGCAGTGTAGCCCACATCATCTTTCAAATCCACCGACGCACCATACTCGATCAATATTTTGGCAATTCCAGAGTGGTCGTTTTGAGCGGCATGAAAGAGGGGGGTTGCCTCGTTACCATCACGGGAGTCGATCTTGGCGCCTTGCTTGACGAGCATATGTATTATTTCGGCATAACCCTCCCTTGCGGCGCAATGGAGCGAGGTTTCCTTCCTCGCTGGGTTGTCATATGACACTAGCTCATTGACAAAGACTGGACCAAAGTTCGGGGCAGAGAGGGTTTCAGATTCCACGTCCCTATTACCCCCCCTGGCGTTACTGCTCAGATTTAGTAACCAATCTCACGCCAGTGCTATGGTTCGAGAACTTACCAATATGCTTCCAGGTGACGATTGAGGTCCTCTAGAATCTTTGATAACATCTCGACATCACCTTTATTGACAGTATAGTAAATAGCTCCTGTCAGCGACATAGACCATAGCGTCGGGTGTTGACGAGCAGAAGTCAGGATTGTACTTAGGCAAGTCTGAGACTGCAATAAGTAAAAGGCAAACATTACCGCTTCTACATGTGTGTTGTGATCGCAGAACACGTTCGTCGGTTTCGCTCCTGTCTCCAGTAGCCACTGCACAACATTCTCCTTCTGTGACCGGATTGCCGCAGAAAGGGGTGTGCATTTGCCGCAGCTTGGAAGCACAAGGTCAAGAGATAGACCATGACTTGCAATCTCCTTGCACTTTTCAAGCTCTCCTGCAAGGATTGCCTTTTCGAATAAATGACGTCGGTCAAGTTCTATTAGCCTTTGAGACGAATGATCTCGGCCTCTATCACTGTCACCTTGAGACCCAATCTTGGACGAATTAGAACCCGACGGGAACAAGAGCTTTCCAACCTCGCCAAAATTATTGTCGAAGGCATAGTCAAAAGGCAATTTGTTGTCTCGATCTAGAATTGAAACGTTGGCGCCATGTTGAATCAACAATCGACAACATTCGAATGATCCCGTAAATGCGGCAAGATGACTTGGCGTTCGTCCGCGCTCAGTCATGACGTTAATATCATCAAATAGTTTTCGCTTTAGAAGATAGCCCATTATGTCGGGTGAATCACACGCGAAGTGCAGCAGGGTCGCATCCTCATCAACAAGCTCGTCCTCTCCGTCTTCGGTTGAGACCTTCAAATAGAATGTTCGTCGATATCCTAAGGTTGAACCCATTGAGAAGAGCCACTTGACTATCTCAAGATTGTTTTGTTGGATGGCTCTTTGTGCAAGACCCCACCCATCCTCATCCAATACATCAATGTCTTCTCCGAGATCTCCAAGACACTTCACGATGTCCCAGTCTTCTTCTCTCGCAGCTTGGAGAATGATAGGCGGCTGTAGCTCTCGTAACTTGAGAGGGTCGACTCTAGGATAAAGCTCTCTAACCTTGGACATTTTATCTTCACTTGTCCCCTTTACTACCATCTCTAGGGGTGTGGAACCACTTGGTCCAACATTACTGAAACTCTGTTCAGGGCTAGAGTCGACAAATAATCTGAAGATTTCTATATTGGACCCCAGACATGCCATTTCAAAAGGGGATCTTGAAGCCGGAACTTGGGCGATTTTTGGAAACAGCCGATGTGTATCAACGCCATAGTTAATAAGCGTGAACACTAAAGCCGGCTGGTTTCTTTGCATGGCCACTCTTAGGATTGAATAACTGTCGTCAAAATCTCCAAGGGAATGATAAAGTTCTGAAGCATCCATGACTTGGGTAATCAAAGGAGAAATCGAACAATGGCAGAAGTGGATATCGTCTTCAGGTGGTATTAATGCTTTAATCAGGGGAACCACTGCTGGAATCCTGATAGTATTTTCAAAGGAGGAGAGCACCCCGAAGCTTATGATCTGTTGCATGGTATCCGAGAAGAAGTAACGGCAATTTGTAGAATCACTGACGTCATAAGACTCAGACTGAGAATCGACAAAGCAGCAAATCATATCTGGACCTAACGTATCGCATATGAGACTCCAAGTATGTACCGGCTTTCCACCTTTTTCGAACAGAAAGTTCAAGGGAAGAAGAACCCGCAATAATGCAGTATCCAAAGGTAATGTCTCGTCTTCATAGGCTAACTCATTATGAACAAGCCATCGATGAAAGAATAATTCAAACGGCGATTTTCCAGCTTTATCTAACGCCAGTGGATCATAGGTTTTACCCAGCCACTGAGCAAACTCAGCTGTGCATGTCGCGCTCAAGAAATGCATTGGTGTGGATTGACACTTGGTGGTCGTTTTGTCAAAGCCTTTGGCATTTAAGATGGCAGTGAAAAGCTTCTCAGATCCAATCGTTGCTGCGTGATTCAAGGCCGTGTGATCAAGTTGGAATATATTTGGTTCCGATTGGCATTGGTTGAGAAGGAACAGGCAGGATTGAGCTTGCCCATTTGCGAGAGAGGCATGGAATGGCGTCCTTCCATTCAAATCATGACTCGCTAGGTTATCGATAGCGTGTATATCTTTCGAAAGCAGAAAAGACAGGACTTCACAACTCCCTTCAGAAGCAGCAGCATGCCAAGCCGTCTGGCCCGCTTTGTCTTTCAGCGACGGATCAGCTCCATGGGAGAGAAGAAGATCGATAACACCTACGTTGTTATTTTGGCAGCAAATGTGAAGGAAGCTTCTGTTGGAGGAGTCTACCGCATTTGGGTTGAGTCCCAAGTCAAGGAGTATCTTGAATATCTGAGATGAAGGTGGAAACACTTCGTCCTCCTCTGAGCTTAGAAGTCGGAAGGCGGGTTCCTCGCAGCCTCGAGCGTCGTCAGGGAAGCGACGGTCGTCAACAAGTATTTCCAAGCTGTCAACAGAGCCATTCTTGATAGCTATAGCCAACTTATCTACATATTCAGAGTCACTGTAGATGGAGACTGATAGGTTGGCTGGGATTGACAGGTCTCGCCTTTGCGCGTACTTTATTGCTTGTTCTGTGATGGGCTTCCACTGAGGAGGAGTATCTTTCCCGTCAGATAACAGCAGAATAGACACCAGAAGTTGATTATCGTGGTCGTTATTCCATGTGCGACCAAAGAATGCTTCTATAGCATCTACTGGTACGGCAGTTGTGGCGCGAACGAAAGGAACAAGAACCGAGCTTGAGAGGTGTGTAAATGCGTATGCCAAGCAGCTTTTACTGTCCAGGGTTAACTCAAGATCGGCTCCATGGTCTAAGAGTATCCTTAAGACCTCAGTCTGTCGCCGAGTCCAAAATGTGCCAGAGCTGCTACTGATTATGGATTCGTCTCGAATCGAGAAGATTGCTTGAGCTAGCGGGCTAGTACTTATGACTGCCTTGCCGAGGTCCATGCCTCTCTGCAAAAGGAACTCGCAGAGCCGCGGGCTCAATATATATGAGGCAACAAGTAACGGATCATCCATCATAGTAAAAATGGTATGAAGGGGGAACTCCGCCAGGAAAGCTTTATAAACCCAGCTCCGGAAATGGTGTCGTTTTCCTCTCTCGAATAGTTGCTTCAATAGACCGAGAACTGGTTCCTCCTCAAGGACTGCGGTTCGAGCCAGATAAGGATATTTTTGTTCCAGAAAGTGGAGAGGCACAGCTACAGCGATTTGGTAGAAGGGATGTTCTAGATCCCTCTGCGACTGGTAGGAACGCTCAGCTCCCCGGTCGTAGCTCGGATTCCTCGCAACTTCATTTAACAACAGAAACGTAACCGCGGTTTCTGCAAATGATTGGTATGCCAGGTGTTCCCTAAAACGGTATTCACCGGCCTGCTCTGTCTCCAGGTACTCCAGAACTGTGAAGTGAGAGAACTCGAAGAACTTCCCATCCAGAGATTTATGTAAAAGACACCCAAAAAGACGGGATATCGCATCTGGCTCGATGACGTCACCGTCATCTATATGCTCGACTCCCGGTTTGATCGACACGGCTTCACATAAAGCAGGTATCGTCAATTTGGGCTCCTTGAGTGCAGTCCACTGAAGGATCTTTCGAAGACATGCCTGCGTTTCTGCATCATACTTCATGAGTTTTTCAATGACCCGATCGTATGTTTCAAATAGGGTTGATGGCAGAATTTTCAGTGCTCGTCTCAAAGCACCTTGACTTGGTTGATCACAAATGTGATCGATTTGGCAGGCCACCCACCGAAACCTGGTCTAGATTAGAAGGGCGAATTGACAAATAACTTGCGGGAACGCAAACTTACATCCCTTGTGCGCCATGCACGAGTGTGCGTAAGATTTCTTCATATAGGTCCGGCTTTTTGTGCTTAAGTTTTCTGAGTTGTTGTCTTTTACCAACCTCCGTCACAGTGAAATCCTCCAAGTCCTTCATGTCAGCAAAAACCTTAATGTGCTCAAAGCTGGTGCTTAAGTGGTCACTAATCTCATCTTCTGGGCGGCTGAAAAATGCAGCACTGATAGAAGGAGAGTCATCGACAAGAGACTTAAGCCTCAAAGTCATCTCCGAGATGTTTGTGCCACATTCATCAAGACCATCCACTATGATAAACACTTTATCATAGGCCTCTGCTGATAGTTTGAAGACTTCTACAAGTCTGTCGATCTTGGGCCGCCCTGGTAGCTTATCCCCTGCGTGAAGGTCGTTATAGTATTCTTCAAGATACTCGAAAGCCTCCTCACTCTGTAGCCCAAGCTGAACTATGAGCGCAGCGATGATGTTTGAAGGGGACCATGTATCTGGGGTCTTGTAATCGCAAAAGGCGTAGCAGACTGCGGTGTCTTGGTTGCTTTCTTCAAGAAGAGTCTCAATTACAAGTCCGCACAGAACTGTCTTTCCGCCTCCTAAATAATACAAATTAGCGGTTGACTTATATGTGTGTCATAGACACCCACCGGCAATTCCGCTTAGCCAAAGTCTGGAGTTTAAGCCGCTCTTCCAATTTGCAAATTCCGGGGTCCTTTCTGTCAACCATAGCCCAGTTGCTTCGTGGCGAAGCTCACTGCTGATATCAAGGTATGTTTGAGGGTTGACAACAAGGAAGTAATTCATAATGTCTTTGCGTTTCTTATCGAGCTGCACCCGTATATCGAAACTGACTTTCCGTTCTAGTGTTCTCTGTATTGTATCTTGTCTTTCAAGGATATGCAATAGAGTATCCATGCTGTCCGCGGAAAGCGCCAGTTGGATATTAGCACGATGCTCTTGAAGATCTGAGAAAAGACTGTTGGTCTCGGGCAGAGTAAAGGGCCATTTTAAACGACGTCGAAGTTTCGTTACTCCTTTACCACTATCAAAATCGCTTTGGGCTTCATTAATTGGTTTAGAGATGCGGAGAAGAATTTCTTTGAATGACTGAAGATGCTGGGGTCTCAAAAAAGACTTCGGGTTGTTCGCCTCTAGTGCCGTGCCTAGAAGCCTGAGGCTCTCAAGCATGCCAGCGAGGTCTCTAATCAAGCTCACAAGCTCTTGAGCTTTCCTCGGTGCATCCTTAACTTCTTTGCAAAAGTTGAAGACGAGTTTGAAAATAGTACCAGTGAATTGAATGAGCCCGACAATACTGCCAGCCACGCCTATAGCTTCAGCCATCGTGAAGACTATTGGTATGAATGAATAAAGGTCTGGGTATGAATGACTACCTGGGTTGAAAAAGAGAGCAAAGCCCGGTTGAGGGGTATCAGCATGGAGCAATTGCGTTGCTATCAGCTGATGGTTGAAAGAACCAATGATTAGAAAGTGCTAGGTCGTACAGGTCACTCGGGGGGCCTTTTGAGGCCAGCGGGTGATCAATATCTTCAAGCAGGTTGCCTGCAGCCATGTAATGTCTCAGAAGTACAAAGATCCTGTTTCTGACTGCTTACTACGATGCTTGGCGCATTCGAAGGCGTTTCTTACAGATGCTGATAGGATACTGCAGGAGACCTAGATGGCCACACTCAGCCCAACAAGAGACCCCATTTTCTCCAACTTTATCACAGACATCAATGCTGACTCCCATCGCCACAATGGCACAGACCGCTTTAGGCCAGTCATTACGTGCGGCGCAACAGAATCCGTTTTCGGCTAAGATCCAAGTACCGATGTTTTCGGCGGGCCTAAGGCTGCACATAGAGCTCTATCGATTGAAGTTGGAACTTTGGACCCAGAGCTTCATGTTGTAAACCGTATATTTTAAGATAAAATATGATAAACAAGTATAGACTTTTATAAACTAATCAGAATCAAGATTAGTAAATCTAAATAATAAACAAATATACATTAATATGTATAAGATTATAAAAATAATTATTATTTAAGATAGACTTAACTAAATTAGTTTAGATTAAAGTATATTGATATGAATTGTAATGAGAAGTTAATGTAAAACTTTTATAGATTCTTTATCTTGGTCGTTTAGGCCACCTCAACACCAAAGCCATGCGCGCGGATATCCTCTAGTAGTCAGTCCATTGGCGTTACATACGTTGCATCAAAGGTCTGCTCACGGGCTTCCTGAGAACCGACTCCAGCTATAATCATGCCTACAACACGACCATGCATATCCCAAATACAAGCTCCAGAGTCTCCCTTATTCGAGAATGTAAATCTGCGGCCTCCACAGTCGATGGCGCCGATTATGCACCACTCATCAGAGGTGCCCTGTATCCCTCCTGCCGGCGGGTTTCGTAGGACCGACAGAACCGTATTTCTTAGGCCTGATGAGTATCCGGTTGTCTTTCCATATTTGGCCACGACCATTGCGTCGAGGTCGGGGTCGGGACCTGGTGATTCGAATTGTGGCTTCTCCAGCTCGGCCTCAGTAAAATGACCCTCAAGCTTGACTCTGTTGTCACCTTCGTATTGTATGGTGAACGGCAATTCCTTTACGCTTTTCCTGGAGTTTCCAGCCATGAGAAGAAAAGTCTTCCGACGGTCCTCCGCCCATACCACATTCTTCAACGCTTTAATCGGAGTTTGGTGCATGTCCTGATGGAGCTCGATAAGAGCCCAATCGCGGAATCGCCGCAACCCTGCTTGTGACTCTGTGAATTCGTACTTTGGTGAGAAACGAACGTGGCCAATCGTCCGAGGCCCCATCTTTTCCAACCTCGCCAACAGCGCCTCAAGCCTCTTCTTCTTAGTAGCGTTGGTGTCAAAGTCCTTTTCCCTGGCTTTATCAGCCAGTTTTTCGATGATGACAAGCTCAAGCTTGACGTCTTTGATGCCCGCCTTCAGGGTCTCATTCCCTGGTTGTATAACTGTGCGAGGGGCGGAGTCTTTATGCCTATATTCGAGATTAGGTTCCCCGTTGAAAATCACGTGCCGACAGGTCAAGCTCAGGATATCACCGGAGTCTTTGAGACGAAGGTATGCTCCCTTTGTCCGCTCAATCTCAGGGTCCTTACCAGCAGCAATAGATGTGCCGATCATCTCCGAGTGGTGAATAGTGGCCTCCTCTGGTTCCTCTACAGGGTCTGAAGTAAGTGGATGATGCCCGACGGCGGGGAAGATGCAAGATTCCTTAATCTCGACTTCAATTTCGACTCCATGGCGACACAGGATTTCGCGGCATCGTAACGCGACCCGGATTGCTGTGCTCCAGTCGGTCGAGCCATTGTCGATGGAGATGAGCATCGTGACAGGGAGGAGGACCTGCTTGTCATCTGGCTCATAACCTAGTCGCAATATGTCGATGACGTTCCACTGCAACTCTTCTACAACTTCGAGGATTTGGGTCCTGAGCGGTCCACTGTTATTCCAGAGGGTATTATTCCAGAGGGAGACGATCTTGTGTGACCCGACAGGGTCAAATCGTTTCGGAACGGGATGCTGCATTTCAATGCGGAGGACGAACGGCTCAGAACTAGTTCTGGCCACAAGTCTTGGACAGCTCGATATACCATAGTAGTAAGTGGCAGCTTCGCGATCTCCTGGAGGATATGGTTGTGTCATGTTGGCGCTCAGTGACTGACTCAATGTGGGAAGACTGTGAGACTCGTAACTAGAAAGCCCGGAGGAATCAGCCGAAGAAGAAATGGTTCCCTATTTATACCTTTGACCTTACGTAACCTGACATTAAGGTTTGTGTGTAAGGTTTCCGCCTCCTCAAGCAAGGTTTAGAGAACTGTCCTTACGGACGATATCACCGGGGCGATAGAGGCGAGGGAAGGTTTCACATGATCACTTTAGAGTTGGGAATGAAGCGAGAAGAAGCGGGAAAGGCGCACAGACGATTGAGGGAATAGGTAGAGAAGGAGAAAGGGGAAGTAAAAAAGAAAGAGGGAAAGAGGGGATAGACGAAGGAGAGAAAAAGTGTTAAGGCGAGGTTATAAGAGGTATTTAAAAGTTCTAATAACTCCTTCTATCCTAAATTTTATATAAGAACATCTAAATCATAAGAAACTTTTCTTATTTAATCTAGGTTTATAATAAACTTTACTTATTTTATATACCTTTATTCATGTTTTTGTAAACTCCTCTTAATTTATATCATATTATAAAGATAATTATACAGCAATCTCAATCTATATTAAGTTTTAGATATTATAACAATTTCTTCTAATCTCCTGTCTTTATTCTGGGTCTCTTATGACGCCTGATTTCCCTCTTTTCTGCCAGTGCTACGCATCTGATGTGCGTTCTGTCTGCAGAATAGTGCTATCACTGGTACTTTTGGATGCTGATGTATTGTGTTCAGATAAACAGGTTCTTTGTTCAAGAGCTGGTTCAAGTGTGGATGCGCTACACAATAGGTACGCCTCTGAAACTCAGGCGCTGATGAGAGAGAACAGACCTATCCCTTTGTCCATCAATTATACTTCAATAAAAATTACTCGTTCACACTCTGTTATGTCATCATGTTCACAGGCGTCCAATTGGTCTGCTGAACACGGTTATTCTTCTTGTTCAGACATGAAATACTGAGCACTATTCGTTGGACAAAGGTATGCCCTACTACTGTTAACTTGTCAGATTTGGATTATAAATATCCCTCGATACTGCCCCAAGTTTTGTCTTCCATTCATCACTCTCAACCTCAGTACCCTAACAAGCATACTCACAACGACATACCAACAACAACATCTATTGACATCATCCTTTTCAGACCTCCAGATCAACAATTACAAAATGGAATTTCCCAAGCTCACTCGTTTCGTAGAGGACCTGCTTGACACTTACAATCCAGAGACAGTCATCGAGAATCATGAGGACGACAACTCATTTGCCCATGATGATCTGGAATCAGCAGTCGAAGAGCCTATCGACAGCCGGTGTGAAGAGGATCTTGTTGACGCCGATGAGTATCACAGATTCATGGAGTGGATGGCGAAGCCTTCTGACCCTTTCACTCCGAGCAAGCTTTTTGAAAAGATCAGAGACTATGGTGTTGTTGAAGGCACACTCTCCTTTGACAACTGGGATGGCTCGCAGACAACCCGGTCCAGCACTTCCATCCAAGCGCAAGTAAAAAAATACAACGCAGCCAAGTATGCCAGGCTATGTAAAAAGCAGTTCCGGGACCAGAAGGACAGGACTCGTTTGGGTCGTCGGATGCAAAAACGCCGGGAGGCTATTAGTCTGCTAGACTCGGAGCCCGAGCCATGGGGCGAGCAACTGCGTTGGGAGTTGAGTATGCTTCTTGATGACCAACTTGTGGATAGGAAGCATTGGTTAAGCATTAACAGTCGGATGGAGAAGCGTCTGGATATCATGAAAACACTTGTTTCTTTTGATGTCAGCATGCAGTAGTATCGGTGGACAGAGGTTTGCATCACGCGCACGGCAGAGGGCTACATGGAGGGTTGAAGAGCCTTGATTTCTAGGTAAATGAGAGGGGGTGCTGGTCGCCTTTTGATTCAAAGGGAATTCGGCTAACCTGTCGGTATGCGAGCCAAACAAGGAAACCTGACCCTCTGACAGTTTGGGATGGAGTTAGGGAATTTTCAAGTCTTTTATTTCCTTCTTTATAGATGTTCTCAGTATGGCGAAGTTGTTATCATAGAATGAAAACATGGAATATTTCCTTTTTATTAGAAGTTAAAATATTCTTGCAGTGCCTCATAAATACTTTTTGCCTTCATTTATACACACAAACATTTCCATCTAACAACGCCTCGCGAGAACTATTAACTTGCCAGCCATATAAATTAGTCACCGACATGTGAGGCTAACATAATATACACACTGGAAGCAAACTTAGGCCACGACATGTTATGCGCCCATGTCACTGGCTATAGGCCGACTTCCAGCGTATCAACAGATCTCGCTTCAAAGAAGCAGATCATCAACGTCATGACTCTCAGACCGAGATCCAGTTCTCTATTTTGGTCTGCAGGTACCGGCATTTGATCCATGCTCCGGTTCGGGAAACAAATAGCTATGAGCTCGAATTTCTTTTCTTCAGGACCTTCTTTCCGTATTCGAACAATGCCTATTAGCTCTGTGCGGTTTTTAAATGTCCCGTAAGCCCCAATAATGATATCGGGAACATGATCGGCAGTGACTTTTTCGTAATAGTTAAAAAACAATCTCATCCTACTCTAGCGCATCCCAGAGCATGCTTGCGGAGAGTCTGGTTTCTACCCTGGTGTAACTTGGCAGCTATGGCAGAATTTCTAGTTCTAGAGCACGTTAAAAAGATTTTAAAGATCCTTCTCAGTAAGACTTTTCAGAGGGTGTGGTGAGGGAAGGTCAAATACAGATGAGATTTCAGATGATTTAGAGACTTTTACAAAGGGAAAAGTAAAGGAGCAATGGTAAAAGATTATGTGACATGTTTGTCGAGGCCGAGAGCCGGATTTCAGTTGAGGTAATATGCGGTATACGAGCGGCTGTTGAAAATCGAGATCTCTTGATCGGCCGTCAACAACAACGAGTATACCACAGAACACAGAAAGCACAGTTAGCATGCGTTCGAACATGCACTGCCCGAAGGAACAATGGGGCTTTCTTCCGTTTAGAAAAGCGTCAGCTAAACGAGGCTATACGAGCTACGAGCAGAACAGAACGAGGAAAGCAGCGAATCAGCGAGATTAATCCCCACTTCCCCCACAGTTTATCGAGCTGTCCCGTGCCACCTAACAAAGTTTGTTAGTCACTTATGGTTCAGGAGCTATGCAGGTAGCATGATGTTTTGTTTCTTTCCACTCTCATTCCCTTGTTCATCGTTTATCGTTCCAGCAGCTCCATTTGCCATTTACCTTTCCAGTGCAAATACGATCCGGCCAGAGATTTCTCCCATCCTATCAATGACGTCGAATCACATGGGGACGTCACCAAAACCACGCCCCGCACGCAGGACACACAGGAAGTCGAAGAACGGCTGTCTAGACTGCCGAAGACGCCGTGTCAAGGTGAGCCTGTCTCCATACTTAGTCTTCCCTCCTAGCACCAGCTGAATGATGTGTCTTCTTCGCTCAGTGTGGCGAGGAACGCCCAAGTTGTCGGATCTGCGAGCGCCGCGATGTCTCTTGTAAATATCCAGACACAGTTTTGAGTTCATCAACGGATAGTCCGTCTACGTCTACGCCAGCACTATCTGCATCCCCCCTATCACTACTGGGCGTTCCTCGGTCCCCTGTTATCGCATCAGCTTCAACATCGACGGTAGCCACCACGCCGCTTCAGAGTCTTGGTTATGTAACCACTGAAACGCTCAAGCTGACTGATCTACGTCTGCTTCACCACTGGACAATATCAACAAGCATTGATCTTTGTAGATGTCCCACAGCTCGATACATCTGGCAGGAAGTGCTTCCTCAAATTGGTTTCCAACACGAATTTGTATTACATGCCTTACTAGGACTTGCTGCTTTACATATTGCTCATCAATCCCCATCCGAGCAAAGAGCGATGTGGTTGGATGGTATTTATCATCACAGTAAGGCCCTGAGTGGATTTCAGGAAGAAATCACAAGTGTTACCGAAGATAACAGCGAAGCATTATTTGTCTGGTCGATATGTAATGTTTTGTATGTTTTTGCTATGTCAAATCCGCTTCAAGAGACTGCTTTTCAAGTCGCTCCCTTATCGACGTCAGCACGAAAGGAGAAGATACTCGGTGCCGAATGGATCCCCATGATCCGCGGTATGAATGCTGTGCTCGAACCTACCCATAATTACCTTCGTTTTGGGAGGATGAACACTATCATGAGTCTTGGTAACTGGGACAAGCTGGATCCGGACCAGGATAACCCTGTTTTCGAAGACATCTACTTCTGCAGTACTCGTGAGACTTGGAGTAAATCTGAACACTCAGAAGTCTATGAAGAGGCGCTTCAAATCCTTCGGAGGTGTCGTCTTTATTCGCAGCAGTTCCGCAACATGGATGCCAAGACACTCGATCAATGGGGGCATAACAAGGAGTGGTCAGGGCCTCTTATCTTTATTCATTTTGCATCTACTTCTTACTTCTCACTCCTTCAGCAGAGACAACCCGCGGCTTTAATCCTTTTTTCCTTTTTTGGGGCACTTTTGCATGAACTAAACGATTACTGGTTTCTACAAGGTTGGGGGAAAGCAATCGTGGAAGTGGTAGCGGATGTTCTCGGCAGCTATTGGAAACCATGGTTATTGTGGCCGTTGCAGGCCGTCCAGAAATGACATGGGTGTGGCGAAGGTAATATTATCTATGTAAGAAGAGGATAATACTAGGTTTTATAGTATTCTCAAATTAAAGGGGAACAGACTTTAGTTGCACTACCCAGTGTATTGGAATCTTTAATTGACAGAGTCCAAAAGGGAAATTGTTATTAGTTGCCTACTCCGTACTCCGTACACTCCTACCCTATAAAGTTCCTTCCCCAGTTTAAACTACCTCTCTTGAACTTCGTCCATAGGATGTGCACTCCGCGAGATAATTATACTGAAAACACCCTTTTCGGCATGCCGCTTCTCCTCTGTCTTGGCTCAGTATGACAATACATACTTTCCAAACTAATCTGGAAACATGAACTAATATAAATTTTATAATGCTTTTGCTTAATCTTAAATTATTATCACCAGTTTGCTGTAACCAACCTAACTCAAATTCCTGGGTACTATCTGACAATTATTAACTACTGATTAGTAAAGATCTATTCCCTAGCATAATGCAGGCTTAATATGGTTACTAACTCCGGATTCGGTGAGGTTTAGCTGCTTTATGGCTTGGAAGACTGAATCTAACTGGTTTGTAAAACCCCCTTCATGTAAACATCGCCGCTGACCAGGGAATCATTGAGTCTTCGCATTGCAAATCAGAACACAAAACAATTATTATCGTCCAACCGTAGCTGGAAGTGAGCAAAGCTACACATGCTTGATCTGGAAAGCAGGCTGGTAGATAACCTGTAATGCCTGGAGGTAGATAGGTTGGTGTTTTAGGAGAGGGGTAATCCCACAGTCACAATAAGCTGGACTTCTTTACTTCATGCTCTCTTAAATATCTCTAAAGATCAGACGATACTGTCCTCGATTGTTTAAGCCTTGCTTCTTGCTATATTCTGATCAGCCCCAGCCACACCCCAGTCCAACTCCACATCTGAGAATGACACTGGTACCAAGATGGTAGGTTGAGTCTCCCCTGCATCACAGACAAGTAACTAGAGCATCGTATGGAGCTGCTTGTCTATCCTTATCGTCTGCTCCTGGAACCGCGTCCACCTGAGCATCCTAACTCAAGATGTTGGCACTTCCTTCTCATCACCCTGGCTGGCAATAAGGGTCTGTTCTATATAGAGATTTTCATTATCGATATTTCTTTAGGTTATTAGGATGGCTAGATTTCTTTTGAAAAGATACTAACATAATTATTATTTATAATATCTCCATTTTAATAAATCTAATTACATCAAATCCGGAACCCACTCTAGGGAGTATCTACTTGGGTTTTCTGGTCGCGGAGTTGTAGGACGACAATAATTGCTTGTGTTGATTGCCCGTCAGGATTTAAGTCGATATGAGGGCTCTTGAACTCACCGGCAAAGGATACCAGGCTGCCGATACAGGCTATTGTCTCAAGCACCCAGCCAAAGCTACTAGTCTTTGCGATACTTGGCGAAATGAATGAGGGTGATGTATGTTTGGTTCTTTCGCTGGAGTTGTCGGTGGAAAGGGGAGGGAGCGTCTGCTCGGACGCTTGTGGATCACGCTGAAATACATGAACGTTCGAGCCTGGCTCTTTGGACCGATCGCTTCTACTGGCTGTTGATGGTTGTGAGTCCAGCGGGCGATGGTAGCCTTGATGGCGGCTGAAAGAGTTATTGGACATTTTGATGGATAGTCTGTCGGACTTGAAAGCGAAGCGGCGACAACGAGAGCTATTAAGTCCTGTGTGACTGAGGGTAAGTGCACCACCATCATAGGCACCCGCGTGAAGGCTGAAGCACATGAAACGTACTAATTGTGTGTAGGAATTGCACCTAATCCCTGATAGGCACAGATGATCTGCAACTGGCCAAATCTGGTCGTCAGCGCTAACATACGCCTGATTACCAGCCAGTGAGAGGCTTGGCTGATAGCCTACTGCAGCAACCCTAGCTGTTGTTCAAAGCCACGGGCGAGCTATTACTGTCGCAAATAGGGTCACCCAATAAGGGAAATCCTGGCGGAGCTGTCAAAGCGTAGACGCTGCGACGGCACGGCACGGCAGTGTGGGTAATAAAGAGTCTAGCGCGCTTATGGTAGTCAGGCTAGAGAATATGGGGCCTGAATCCTGAGCCAGCGTAAGATAGCTGAGGTGGCTCTGGCCAAAGTAAGCTGGCGGCTGGGACGTATCAACACTTGGTAGTTTGATGTTGGCTGCTGGTTTACAGCTTTAAAGATACGGACTACAGCTGCATTCAGTCCATCGCATCGCATGCCTCCCAGACCAAGCCTTGTCGTCATACCGACGAACGAATTGGTAAATCTTTATACTTATATCTGATAAGCAGGGTCAGCAATACTCAACATCAAGGATGGGCTTGAATCTACTACGGCCCATCTAACCTTAAACATAAATACGCTATGTACACTGGAACGGATGTCTGGGGTCAAGTATTGGTGAGGAGGATCAACGATCTTTTTTAAATGGGTTGAACTTGTCTTTCAATCCTCTTCGGATCCTGAACTGCAGCTAGACATAAGTTCTCGATTCACTTTAGCGTAGACAACCCTATCTTTTACGCTTGAGAATACGCTTCTCGAAGTATTTCCCGAATAGTGCTGTCCTTCTCCGCAAGTTGATGAGGGAGGTATTCATCGTGCGTCTAAGTCTGCAGATTGTCTCCGCACTAAAGAAGCATCGCCACCACTTTGATATCATCTCTGTCTTTCTTCTTTCTTTTGTCACCACGTCTTCTGCTTCAGGTAGGGCTCCTCCTTGGAGAAGTCTGTCTGTCGCAACGGTTGACGCCGATACCTTCTGCTATGGAAATTTCTGCAATCTCCGAGTGACTTCTTGCTCCACAATGAAGCGGGGTCTGTCCTTCACCGTTGTTGACATGAAGAGATCCCGGGTTTTTAACAAAGAGCCGCATAGATATTCTTAAACTCCCGTTTCCGGCGGAGGGCCGTTTGTCCTTCTTCATCAGTCAGGGGAAGATCAGTGTGTCGATCCAACAACAAGTTGACGACCCCCAGATATCCATAGCCGGTTGCCACGTGTAGTGGATAGAGCCTAGCTTCCACCTTCTAGCACGTCGCAAGACTGATAGTGCACTAGGACTTCCACGATTTCCTTACCACCTTTTGAGCACGCTAGGTGAATCGCGTCATGGGGCAAACTAGAGAATTTGTTCGCGTTAAGGAGACTTTTCACGGTTTCTGGGTAGCTATCATGGCAAGCGATAAGTATCTTATACTTAGTCGTGATTTCTGAGGCCGGGGGAGCCCCAGTATTAATAGCGGGAACATAGTCGGCAGTGACTTTCTCATAATAGCTAAAGAATAATCTTATCCTATTCTAGCGTATTTCAGTATATATTTGTAGAGAATATAGTTTCTACCCTGGTACTACTTGGCAGCTATTGTAGAGTTTCTAGTTCTTTACTAAGCCATATAAGCAGAACATAATCATTCCCAGTCTCCTCTTAAGAAAGCCCCTTCGGCAAGTACCTGTTCCTGACACTCCCGCAGAAATCTCGCCTGTCGTCCGACCTCCTCTAATCTCCCCAGTACCCGGCTGTTACACTCCACGAAGCCATAGACTTCATATTTGACTCCTGTCTCCTTAGACCAAACCTTGACCTCTTCACTTGCCTTCCTAAGATTATGTCTCGGCATCGTCGGGAACAAGTGATGGACAGCCTGGAACTGCAAACCCCCGTGCATCCAGTCCAACCAAGTCGGGCAATCGACATCCATAGTTGTGCGTAGCTGCTGCATGGCCCAGGGTTCGTTACGGCCGGGCGTGATGGTAGACATGGCGAAGTGTGAAAGGGTGAATTGGACGTGCAAAGGCATCGTTACCATGTGTGAGATCATGAGGAAGAGAAAGCGTTGGGTCCAGGTTGGGATGCTGCACCACATGATGAGGTAGCCGAACCAGAACCAGAAGAATATTTGTCCACAGAGCTCGTAAAATCGGTGCCATCTGTTTGATCTCGGGCCTTTGTCTCTGAGGATAAACTCTAGGGACAGAACGTAGAGATTGAAGCGCCCGAAGCATAGTAGGGGATAGTACAGGTATTTCTGATACGTGACAGCGGTTTGGGCGAACGCGTTGAAGGCCATGACTCGGTCGTGGTAGGTCGAGTACAGCGATTTGAAGAACTCGGTTGAGATAGCCATGAATGGGAGATGTTGAATACCCTCATCGTGAGCAGGGTCGTTGGTGATGACGTGGTGGATGTTGTGGGAGCGTTTCCACCAGCCCATGGATAGGCCACCAAGGTGATTTCCCACTGTCATGCCGATAAGAGTGTCGATGTGGTAATTGTGCGTGATGCCTTTATGGCCTGCATCGTGGGCAATGAAGACAAGTTGGTGCCAGAAAGCACCAAGAAAGACTGAGGAGGTGACATACCATCCATTGTGGAGGAAGAAGACCATGATGGCAAATATGGTCGTGATTCTGGCAACGTCGCCGAGATAAGCCCAGTAATTGCAATTGTAGAGACCTTGGTCATCTAGTTTAGCGATGAGGTTGCGGAATGAAACAGCTATTTCGTCAAGCTTTTCTTGGTCCATGGGTGGGTTCGAGTCGATTGATTCTGAGGTTAGTTTGGGAAGTTCAGGCAACTTCGCGTCATTCTTGATATCAGTCTTCTTAGGAGAAGTAGATCCTGTATCAGAGACTGACGAACGGGAAGAGATGGAGCCGTTTCGCACTCGGCGCCGAGTTAGATTTGAACCTAGGCGGTCGTCGTCAAATACGTCAGAGCTAGCGCTGCTCAGAGTCTCTGAATCGGTTCCATCATCGACGTCTATCTCTATGGTCTCCCCAGCTGGTCCTCTCTGGATCGGTGGAAGAACATTATCCCATCTGTTTGCGAGAACGCCGATTTGATAACGCAGCATTTGCGTCCTTACATCTTCAGGATGGAATCTAATCGATTGATACCTCGCATCAGTCTCGTGATATTCTTTCAGGGGCATGCAGAGGAACTTACGCAACAATCTCATCGCTTGCATCTCTACCAACCATGTGTAAGATACATTTGTCGCCTCCTGGATGATACTGCAGCCATAAGTCTAATTTCAAGACTTTTCTATCGAGGATGACAATTGCATGGCCATCGTTGATCAGTCGATAGATCTCATCAGGGCATATCACAGCCTGTTTCTTTGACGTCGCCATAGTGAGTGAATGTGCACGGTGACTTGGAGAAAGATTTATGCGCAAACAAAAACAAGAAGTAAAGAAAGAAAGAAGAAGAAAAGTTCACACGAGAATGAGACACATATATCAAGAAGAATTTGTGTTTTCAAGTACCACATACAAAGAACAAGCTGTCCCCCTTATCCAATGACTAGAAAGTGTCGTCATTCGTAGGAAGAGTCCCGAGCAGGGGATGTGTTAGCTGAAACTGCGCCCCCAGAGAACCCTGCAGCCTTTCTTGCGCGGACCCCGACAGGCCGAGAATGTCAAGATTTGGATTTTCTGACAATTCGATGACTATTTTTCTTTTCTTTTGCTTTAAACTTCACCTGTATCAAGCCCAGGCTTTATTCGATGACTATGAGTATCGTGGTGGTCTAGAAATCGCAATATCATAGATGCCTGTGCTTAGATGACAGGTGGGCATTGGAGCTGTTGGGTTGGAGTCTGGGAATGGGCTCCACTTTCGTTTATCATAACATTGTTGATTATTCTCACAAATTGAACTAAGAAATCTAGCACGGAACTTTTTTTAAATTCACCCGATATCATCACCCATGCCGCGTCATTCTCTCCCTTTTTCTATGGGCATAACCCCTTATATTATCCACTCTCGCAAAATACGGTCTTCGGTTATCGTACTACGTACTTGTCTCGCAACTCGGGATGGAAACACGGAGGAACTCTATCGCCCGCAGGCACTGCACATGCTAAACGTGGCCTGCTGTCGCCCGAGGTTAACCTTAAAAAGCTAGTTCCTAAGTATTGTTCTAGCAGGGTTTAAGGGTCCTGTCAATCGCAACTCACAACTCCCACCTCGCAACTCCAAATCTTCAGTAGGCCATGGGAGGGAGAATTTCGTAATTTTAATGTTTCTTCATTTACCTGTAAAACTTCTCCGGCTTAGTTTTATTGTTGATATTATTAAGAGATTTGGAACGCCTGGGGTTGATAAAGTTGAAAATCAACGCAACAAAAAAAGAAAAAATTCTTCAGCTGGCGAAGTCGCTTGTGAGGCCCGGCGCTTATTATCAGGAGCAACGCTTTTCCGAGTCCTCCTTCGTATCCTCGTAGTAAGATGCATACGGGAGGCTACCTGAAGATACTAAGAGCTAGAGAAAATGAACGCCCGGGGTTCATATTCATGGCCCCTTAATGTACTGGAGGTTCGCGTATAATAAAGTCAAGATGGGTGACGAGAAGGGGGTTGGTCGCGACAGTAATGATCGAAAAGAAGAGCGAGAAGCCGGTGGGAAGCAAGACTTGACGTAAACGAGAACCTGAGGCTTGGCGAATCTTGAGAACGAAGCTAAACGAGTCCAATAGATAAGGCTAATCAATACGAGAAAATCCGGGGTTCCGCTTCGATTTGGGGTTTAGGCTTTCAATCAGAGAATCCTGAACGTAAGATCTCTTCTTAAAATGATAGATACATAATAATGTTGTGTAGCACATTCTTTTGCCTAACATGATTAATTTTTGATATAAATATTGATGGAAAAGAGTTTGCTCGACGGTTTGGTTAAAACATATCAGCCTTGCCCCGCACATACGCATGAATGTGTATCATTTTATCGCGGGGACCATCCGTCTCGAAAAGTCTTCTACTGGGGGTATAGAACGTGCTCAGCTCGGGGTCTTGCTCTAAATTCTAATTTAATTACACAACACTATTGGGCCGGGGGCTTCCGGGACACGAAACTTGACCGTCCTGATCGAAACGTGATTTCTGTAGAAAGCGACAACAACGCATCATGTCGAGCCTATCACCTGTCTCGATGCCTGAGAGTTGAATTGACGAATCGGGTAGCTGGCTGCTTAAACAAAGCTTTAAATGGTTGAGCTGGCCACGAAAGATCAGTATTAATTTGTGGTTTTCGATAAGATCAACTCGCCGAGAGATTTTAGCGTCATCTTGTACTTTTTCTTTGTGCTTTAAACTTTAATTTTATCAAGCTCAGGCTTTCTGAATCTCTCAATAATATTATTAAAAAAATAAACTCTTCTACTGCCAAAACCTAATATAATCAAGGCAGCAGAAGTCACACACGACAACTAAACTCTTTCCAGGTGAACACGTAGATAACTCACAAACGTCATCTTGTACAAGGAAATAAATAAGCTGATAACTGATAGTCTGTTAAATCCATTCAAGCTCTCTCTATTCACGTAATACTACACGGTCTACACCAGAGAAACTCAAGTGATGAATTTTGTAGGCCGAATTCATCGCCGTAACTATAAACGTAACCAATTATAACTGTTTGGCACTCCATTCTAAGAACATGACGCGCCTCGTCAGACTCTTTATTTTCGATTAGTAACTATAACCTATTCTTGCCAGTTTTTGTCGTTCACCTATATTTGCCCTAGCTTATTATCTTCGCGCGTTGACCTTAAATGGTCGTCCTTGCCCTATAGTAGGAAAACCGGATCAAAGAAGCTGAGGATGCCAACCGCGATTGTTATTGTAGCGGCATCCAGGCCAATAAAGAATCGCTCGTGGGCGATTAAGTCCCTATCCTAACCCTGGATGAGCTTAATCGTACGGTAGATGCTTCGGACGAAGATCATAGTTAGGGAAATAAAGACGGCGGCCAATAGCCAGATATAACTTCTCGGGAGCGCCTCGTGCTGTTCTGGTCTATTCTTGTTGCTCTCTAAGTATGACGTCTTTAGAGATACTCTCCTCATGAAGTCCAATACCAAGACGGTGAAGACTACCATGGCCGCCATCTGGAAGACACTACCAGCGACCTGTTGACGAGTCTGTGTCAGCTAACGGTGCTTATCGAGCTAGAATTGAATAACCTCCTTCCAGACCCTTCCTCTTTTAAAAAGAACAGACGTAGACTTACCATGATATTTGTTCCTGGCTTCGTATTGCCGTGGATTTTATCTGCCTCAGTGGATGCCATACCTCCTCCGACGGCCTGGATGACAAGAGCGATGATGTCACATGTCAGAAAGACAGTGGCATACATTTTGGGGGTGAGAATGGAAGATTGACGACCCAGCCGGTTGATGAGAGCGCCAAGTATTATGTATAATCCTACCGTGAAAAGGTTCGGAGCAATAATGAGCGTCGTGATCTGCATCAGAAAGGCGTCGCCATTATACGGACACTCGCTTGACCACGTACGGCCAGCCCAACCTATCAATTCAGCTACGAACAAGAGTCAGCAAAAGGTAAGCTCATGTAAATTCAACCAAGCGCGTATGGTCAGTAGTTTGCATACTCATAGCTCCAACAGCAAAGGCGAGTGAGGTCCATCTTCGTTTTCTAATATATTGCATAATATGGCCCACAAGACTTAGAATGAACAGAGCACAGAAGGCAACTCCAACCCCTAAAGTCGGCACATAACCGTAAGATGTGTCGATGCCCGGTTTCAGGCCTTGACAGCCTTTCTTCAGAGTTTCCATCTGGTCCTGGGTAAGCTGCCCCGGCGCTTCAATAGTGCTTGCCATGTTTGTGAGTGGGTATTTGATGATGCTTGAAATGCAGTGGAGTCCATGAGAGTGCAGTCAGTTGATTCATGCACGAGCCCACAAGATAGAATCAGATCGCGCTGTCAAAAATGAGCTTCTACCTGAGACCGGGGACTAGCGATGGCGCATATATACTACTGCGGTGCCCGCGGGGTCCGATTTGGTGAGGCACTCGGCCGTTAGATGGGATGCCCCATCTAATGCGCGTCTGTCCCGTCTGTTATGCTTCGTCATGGAACGGCTGGAAGGCTCGGCATGACAAAGTCGATCTGTGATGGAAAGATTTCGTCTTGCCGGTTGCGGGCGCAGGTTTTGCACTTTGATGAGCCAAGGAGCCCGGCTAGTAAACAAAGAGGTCATGGTTTCTCTATTGGCTCTGAGGCCTCTATGTATTAATTCTATTTAGAAGATGCCGATTATATAACGCGTCCGATCTTTTAATTCCGCGTTCTACTCCTAGAGTTATTGGAGCTTTCGTAAGCTTCAACACTTACTTGACCAGGATAAATGCAAATGGAGTCCGGCCGTCCGGCATTGGACTTATAGAGGTGCACGTCGCCGAACCAGCACCAAAAGAAAATCTGCCCAGTGAAAGCGACCCATCCGTGTAACGTAAAACATCCCTTCTTAAGACCACGGCTCACGATGGGATAGTCCCACGAGAGGAATCACAGGTTAAAGCGAGCGAAAGGTAGGGTAGGAAATTGTGTCCAGGCTTGAATGCGCAAAAGGACCTTGGCGAAGGCATTATACTTGTAGGTGCATATTGAGTTTTAACCTTAGAAGGGTTATTTTTATTGTTAATATCATTGAGAGATTTGGAAAGCCTGGGCTTGATAAAGTTGAAGGTTAAAGCCAAAAAGAAAATACTTTTGGGTGATTCTTATCTGGCCAGTGTCATGGGTGGCAAAGATAAGCTGAGTGTTACTATAATAGATTTATATATAACTCTTTTATCTTACTAAAGATTACTTACTTTCCCTAAGTCGTATTTACTTAATAGGTCTTGTGCCCACTCCCCAAGTCTACCAAAGAAATCCTCTGGGTCCTGTCCCTTCCATTGCTTTAACTTGATCCAAAGATAGCGGGCATATTTTCCTGCTTGTAAGGCCTCCTCTAAATGAGGTGTATTTTCCTTTATGATCTATAGCGGAATGTTAAAAAGACGTACCCATAGGTGTTAGAAGTATTAAATACCTTACGAAACTCAGTGGAGTATGCCTGATTCTTCACGCGCTCTTTAGGCTCCCCAGCTAGCTTGGATCGAATATGAACAGATGCCTCTCCATTCTCATCAAGGATCAAGTCGCAGCCAGCGATCGAGAACGTGATTTCCGAAAACAGAAAGGGAACTATAGATCCAGTCTCCCAGTCAAAAACTGAGGTGATTCTAGTATGATCTAAGCCAATAATATCATTCAGGATGTTATGAACACCAAAGTCATTATGCTGTAGAACTGGCCGGTATAAGACTGCTTCGTCGCCATGTGGCAGGATAATAGGGATCAATCGTAACAAAGCTTCTTTGGTATCGAGTGCCTTCCGACCTATAATCACTTTATCTCGAGGCCACCCTAAAATGTCGCCCTCCTCTTTGATCATTGTCACTATCCTCGTTTTGAATGCAGCCAGCCAGAAGTCGCGGGTGGCACCAATTGGAAGTGGCAGCTCTGTGGGCATCCATTGTTCTGGTTGGAAAGTACGCCATAGTAACCAATCGCTCACGAATTGGGATGGAACGTCTAAATGGAGCAATGCAGCGCGGATTCTAGCTGCGTCAGTAAGAGTAGACATCTTGAAGCCCTTATGTTAGCAGATACATATTTTGCGGTAATCAATATACTCACCCTTTGCTGTTGTCCAAGTGTGGCCCAAGCCCCCACCTCGCCTTTTGCCATCTCGAATATCATGAGGCGACGGCCGCTAATATCTTTAGGCGTTTCACTATTTTCCCCATAGTGTTGGATGGGGTGACGGTAAAACAGAAGACAGTCGGTTGGGACATTTGGATCATTGCGGAGAAGGTTGTTTGTATCAGCCTCGAAATCGACCTGCTTGTGCAACCAGCGTAGATTAAAGCCACCATAAAGCGGCATGTTAACGTCGGCATTACCTAGGCGAGCCAGCACATCTCGCTGATCCAATAGTCTTAAATGGATACCCTAGGTTCAGAGGTTTAGTTAGAGTAATACCCTTGAGATAATAATACCACGTACATAGTTGTTGGCGCCAGTGTGAACGCATGGAACATCAATCACTTTGGCACCCACCTTATCTTCGACCTCGTCAAAAAGAAGGTTGGCATCCCATACAGGGCTGAAAGGGCTTTCTGCCTTCCGGAGAAGCTCGAAGAGATTTTGCCCATCCCAGTTGGTTCCATTCCGCATTCGCGGCCAGTCATCGCCGACGTATATATCCAGCGATGACATAGAGGCCTGCCAGTTCTATGGGAGGCAATGGCTGCTATAGGAAGGTACTGCTTGATTTTGGTTAGACTTTTTACACATGAATCAGTCACAGTAACAGGGCGAATACGCTTACATGTTGAATAAGAAGGCAAGCCAACGAAAGAGAACTAGCATAGGCACAGCCAAGGTATACCAGGCCTTAGTAATGAACTTTCAGAATCCTGTACAATCTTAGCAACTTAGAAGCTCGAGCTAGAAGAGATTTATAAAGGAAGAAGGACTTTGGGCAAATCCAACTCTCTTTCCTATGGGAGAAGGATCTTCCACGGCCTTTCGGGGGGCTGAGAGACGGAGTGAGACATGAGGCGGTGAGCGGATGTATGTACCTTTGTCTCGAATCAGGCTACCAATCATCTTAGCGAAAACATAACCAGTGTTTTTACGAGGCAGCCCACTTACAAGATAGGAATGGAATATGTCTCATTGTCTTATCTTCGCAGCCAATATGATCCGAACTGGGACAAATAAGAGCCACACTAAATTTCATGTCCGCAGCCGCATGAGTCATTGCTCTACTGTGGCCGGGCGTATAGCGGTTTTTACTTAATGAATGCCGTCATTTGTTATTTGGTATATCCTATGTAAAGATAAAGAAAGAGTCCTAAGAAAGCCTCACCAGGCAGCAGTCAGGAGGCGGTGAGCACTTATATCGCCTCGCAACCCATTCAAATTCTCTATGTAACAGAACTCCTCTAACCCTTTTATATCTTAGTAGAAATTAAATTATATAGTAGTGTTTTTAGTTAGAAAAGTAAGGACGATATCCATATAGCACTTATAAATAGGTGTGATATCTCCGGGGGATCTAAGCTACTCTACACCAAAAGAGCCTTGGAATTACAAGTTCATTTACTTACCTCAATATGACTGATACCATCTCGCCTTATTTTTACAATCGACTACCCAGCTTAGAGGAAGCTAAGCAAAAGTTTCAGGTGCAGCTCTATTCTATAATATTTCTACCTTAGTAGCTAACTTGAACGGCTAACTACAAAAGGCCATTCCTTTTGAAAGTCTGCTCAATGGGCCAATTAGGGATGTGTTCCTAAGACACGGTTGCGAGGAGCAATTTCTTGTTTACCTCCAACATTCCCATCACCGTATCATAGAAGGCGAGGCGATTGTGAAGGTCAATGATAGCGGCCATCTAATGAACCAACAAAACATCGACGAGATTACCTCAGCGAACAATAGGATTTTCCCCTCAACCTGGATGACTAGTGAATTAGGCCTTTTGCCTATGGAGCTCCGTGTAGTATCCTCTAGGTGAGTCAACTGCCCAGACCGCTTGGAGTGCGTACTAAAAGGCTGTTTGCCTTCTAGCGAGTCTTATCTGAGTCCGACAGGAGCATTTGCAGCAGACTTTCTCTCCGTTCTCAGAGCCAATAATTGCGAAGGACTTTTTGGCATAGAAACGGCTCCAGCGCACAGCTGTCTGGAAATTTCAATTGGCAGTGCCAGTGTGGTAGTCCGGTGCGATAATCTGGAAGTGAATGATCATATACCTGTGGGTTTTGTCTTCGATAAGAATAGGCCGGGATACAAGGTGCGCATTCTCTGCAAAGTCAATGAAATGCACAGTTACCAGCCGTTGTAACAAAGGCAGCTTAGCTATAAGAGCATTATGAGAACTGTCCGGTACAAGAAAGTCTCTGGTTCATCCGTACATGGGGAGGGCTTGCAATCTCTTTTGCCTACGAAGACGTATACGAATTCCCAATATAATAACTTGAATTCGTTAAATGACCAAGCTAGCATCTCACAGAGTCACCACCCATTATAGAATTTGCTGAGGCGCACATGACACACCGCCTCGGTATGTATGTTAACTATTTTACTCCACACGTCTCACAAGTAGTGCCTTTTCTTAAATCAGGTTTAAGAATTGTGAAAGACAGAGCCTCGTTACATCACTCTATGCCTGAAAAGGTTCATCAATGGGCTGCGCCCTCTTTATTATCAAGTTAGCCCGGCCACCTTAGGTTTCATTCTCCACCTTTTCTTCCTATATGTACTACCTAGACTACAACTTCGTCATACCACCACACAGTCACTCTTTTGATCTTTACATAGCACGCCATTACAATCCCCAATCCAAAATGGCTCTCTGCACCACTTGTCACGAAGCATTAAGTCTGGACAACGTAGGCTCATTTCATGAACTGGCTATTCCACATCATTCGTCTATTTCAGCCTTTCTTGCTGCTGTGAGCCAGAGATGTCATCTTTGCTGGTCAGCACACCGCCACCTGCAACCCCACATCAAGTCGAAGTTTGATGAACTGGCCTCCCAAGAAGCGTCACGTTCTGTTACATCTCAAGGGTCTTCTTGTCTTTCTTCTGCGAGAAAGGCTGACAAGGTCACGAGGATCATTTGGAAGAAGGAGTACTCTATACTCAATGGCCCACAATATCTTAACCTCAACCTTGAACTTGATGGAATTCCTGGTCGGACGCCAATTGGCTATAAGTCTTTATTCTTCATGCCAACAATAGGCATGTCCCAGGCATCTGTTTCCTACAGGTCTATTTTCACTTCGCTAATATCTAGAAGATGCAAAGAAGTTCCCCCAGCAGATGAACCTCTCTTCCAATACCAGCTCACCAGCGTCTCTCGGCATGGTTATGGGTTGGCTGGACCAATGTGTGTCGGCGCATCCAAGGTGTCGTGTGTCTGATGCTATCCCTAACTTCCGTCCGGCTAGATTGCTTGATATTTCTGGAGAATCAGGGCAAATTCGTCTTGTGTCTGGTACTCAAGTCTCGTCTACTGAATCATACATCACACTGAGCTATCGATGGGGCACAAGAATGGACATTATGCTGACCCAGCAGAACCAGGCTGATCTGAGACTTGGGTTATCAGTTCAAAAGCTATCTCGCACTTTCCAGGACACCATACTAGTTGCTCGACAGATTGGCGTCCGGTTCCTGTGGATCGATCGACTATGCATCATTCAAGACGGTGATGATGGACGTGATTGGGCCGCTGAATCCATACGCATGGGTTTAATTTACCAACACGGCTATTGTAACATATCGGCTGATAGTGCATCAGACACACAAGGCCTCTTCTTTGATCGCGACTTAGACTTTTTCCGGCAAGTTAGGATATCCACGAGAGATGTAGGTGGAAGTATTACCGAATGGACTTCAATAGATAGGGACATGTGGGCGACTGAGGTAAACAATTCAGTATTGAATAGCCGCGGCTGGGTATTCCAAGAGCGACTCCTAGCATCGAGGGTCATACACTTCTGCCGTCAAGAAATCTTCTGGGAGTGTCGTCAACGTTTCTGTTGCGAAAGCTTTCCAGAATCTTTACCATCTGCTGAGGTCCTAGACCTTAGCCAGACAGCGTCTCTGAGACAGCTACCTACTGAGTTAGCGAAAGATTCTCCTTGGGCTGGAATTATGGATTTTCCAATTGAGGACCTGCCATATGATGGTTGGGATGATGTCGTCAAGGCCTATACCAAGTGCCAGTTCACCTATCCTCAAGACAAACTTGTGGCCATCGCTGGTGTTGCAAGACATATGAAGTCTTCGATCAAGGACATTTATTTAGCGGGCATGTGGAAAAAGCGTCTCTCTGCTGAGTTGGCATGGTGGGTATACCCTGATCGCGACCGATACACCTACGGCCAAGAGCCCTCTTACTACGCCCCATCCTTTTCCTGGGCCTCTGTGAAAGGTCAGATCAACTCATCAGGACCTTTCGCTTTGGGGATTTTAGTCGAGGTCGATTGTGTCACCATGGATAGTGGGCAACACAATGGCCGACGTGACAAACCAATTTTGGAAGACGTCTTTGGTGTTGCACTTAAGTCTCCGATGTTCCAACTCAAGGTGATTGGAAAGCTTCGGTCATTCAAGTTGCACAAGAAGGAGGTCTGGAAGGCTATTATGCCTGTCTCGACATATGCTGCAAAGCAGAGTGCTCTAACCACCAGCATTGTGGAACTAGACGCTTGGCTGGACTTCGCAATCCCGGATTCTGAAAGCAGTTATTTCGAGAGTCAGCTTTTCTACCTTGTACACTGGAGGCATGGACCAGACGCAGGGGAATTTGACATGAGCAATGCAATGCTTCACTGTATCTTGCTCCAACAGATAAATAGGAGTCAAGATCAATTTCGACGTATAGGGTGGACTATTGCCTATAATTCCAAGAGGGACTTACTGCTTAAAGACAACTCACAAAATCAGTTAACACAGTCGCTTAATAATGTTACTGGGTCTTCTATAATATATTTAATTTAGATATATTTCTAGTAATTGATTTACATTTTAGGACTTGAGTTAGACTTTACATTACTTTATTATCTTTCAATTTACTGTGTTAGGTATACCCACAGGTTATTTCGGGGCACATAAGGAAAGAGGTACTGAATGGCCTAAAATGAAGGCCTACCGTGAAATGATTCGAGCTATTCCGTGAAGTCAGCCTGCACAATGGTTCGAAGTTTACACTGGGGAACTAATTTCAAGGCCCAACTCACAGGGCCCATGTTAAAGTGCGATAAGATAATCTGTATATGAAGAGGCGACGCCATAACGTGGCCGACTTGGGTACATACATAAATCGAGTCCGGCTGTCCGGTATCGACTTATGGAGCAGCCATAACCGAACCGGCACCAAACGCTTTGTTTGTCTTTCCTCCTAACTTACGAGGATTAACGGGACAAGCCTTACCATCCACTACAAACTTTCAACCATCTGATTGTGCATTATTATGCAGTAGCCGGCTTATACTCGCGTGTAAATTCGCGAAGCAGGTGTCGATTGAAATGTGCAAGGAGACTGCCACTACCCTACAAAGGGTTTGCTTTCCCCCTCCGTTGGAATGTATACGCGTTGAAGAAATGAATTTTACATACGCCTCCCCAATGAAAGTATGCAGTGGGATATGATCTTATCTTAAGTTTAATAACCATGATCCTCATTAGGTAGTTTAGACAAGAAACCTAAATCGTTAAGAACGTCTTGGAAGCTCCATTACGATTGGTTGAGTAGCGTAGTGTAGGTACAGGGTAGCGATAGGACCAAATTAAATACATTGGGGTTTGGTTTGGTGTTCTAAATGTCAGATGCGGGACTAAGTATGGGTTTGAAGGCCTATAGTTTCTTGACTTTCCTACCCTGCAGTCAACAATATCGGAGCTAAATCGGAGTCGGGCCCCGTTCCATAACGGACCGTGTCGGCATTTGGAGAGCAAGTGCCGGGGCCCAAACGAGCACACATTTCCCTTAATTTGAGTTTGATGAGAATAAGAATAATTAAGAGCATTGGCCACGCACAAGCAATTCACGAATAAACTTATCACTGCCCAAACAAACCTTATCGTTGACATTTCCAGTGAGAGCCGCACGATTAGTCATCCCCCACGCCGACATTCCGACTCCACTTCTCCAGCTCCGATCTAATTTTTTCCGTTGACCTCATCGCACCGCACAAACACGACCTCGACTTCCCCTCTCATACTCCACGCGCAAACAACCAAAAAAAAAATGAGTGGAAAACCTGCGCTCGGTCTTCTCGGCGGTGGCCAGCTCGGCCGAATGCTGTGCGAGGCCGCTTCACCTCTCGAGGTCGAAATCGCCATCCTTGACGCCGCCGATGCCCCTGCTAAGCAGGTCAGCCGAAGCAAGTACCATGTCGATGGATCCTTCAAGGATGCGGCAAAGATCAGGGAGCTGGCCAATCACTGCAGCGTCCTCAGCGTTGAGACTGAACATATCGAAACTGCTGTTCTTGAGGAGCTGTCCAAGGAGAACAAGGTTGTTGTCTACCCTTCGTGGAAGACGCTTCGCCTTATCCAGGATAAGTACGAGCAGAAGGATTATCTCGGCAAGCAGGGCATTCCCATCGCCGAACAGGTCGCCATTCAATCATCCAGCAGCGATGAGATGCGCGCTGCTCTCAAGGACATCTCATCTAAATACGGTTTCCCTTTCATGCTCAAGTCCCGAAAGGACTCATACGACGGCCGAGGCAACCTCAAGATCTCCAACGACGAGGATATCGAAACTGCCGTGAGCGAGTTCGGAAAGCTTCAGTGCTATGCCGAGAAGTATGTTCCATTCCAGCGCGAGCTCTCCGTCATTGTCATCCGCACAGAAGACACCGATGGCCAAACCAAGCGCCTTGTGCCATATCCCGCCGTTGAGACAGTGCACGAGGACAACGTCTGCTCACGGGTCTACATGCCTCCTCGCGACACCCCGGATGATGTATCCAAGCGTGCCCAGGAGGTTGCTGTCAGTGTGGTCGAGAAGCTCTGGGGACGAGGTGTGTTTGCCGTTGAGATGTTTGTCACAGAGAACAACGACATCCTTGTCAACGAGATTGCCCCGCGACCTCACAACTCTGGCCATCTTACTATCGAAGCTGTTCCCTATATGTAAGTCAATGTCTACTCGGTGAATTTGGTTTTGTTTCCGGAAGCTAACTATCACCTAGGTCACAGTACAAGGCGCAGCTAACCTCCATTCTCGACGAGCCACTTCCCGAGAAGCTAGAGCCCCACGTCGCCTCCAGCATCATGATCAACATCCTCGGAGGCGCTGAGCCCGAATCCCATCTCCCGCTTGTCAACAAGGCCAAGTCCATGTTCGCCAGCAAGACCGGCGTTTACACCCACCTCTACGGCAAGCAGTCCAAGCCCGGCCGCAAGATCGGCCACATCACGCTCACCGGATTGGACGCCAGCATCAAGCAGCTCGAGGAGTTTGCCCAGCCGTTGGTGCAGTTGGCCGCTGATATGAGACAGGAGCGTATCCAGGCCAAGAGCAAGGCTATGCGCCCTGAGCAAGCAGTTGCCAAGTCTTCACAAGACCCCCTGGTTCTTGTCACAATGGGCTCGGACTCTGATCTCCCTGTGCTCAAGGCTGGTCTTGATATCCTGACCCAGTTCGGTGTTCCTTGGGAGGTTGACATCACTTCTGCACACCGAACACCTGTGAAGATGGGAGATGTCGCCACAGCCGCTGCTGATCGCGGTATCAAGGTCATCATCGCTGCTGCAGGAGGAGCTGCCCATCTGCCTGGTATGATCTCAGCCTACACTCCCCTGCCCGTCATCGGTGTTCCTGTCAAGGCGACCCATCTCGACGGAATGGATTCCCTTCTCAGCATTGTCCAAATGCCTGTAAGTAGCTCGATCTCACCCAGAAATACAGGACACTAACTCTTGACAGCGCGGTGTTCCTACAGCCACCGTTGGAATCAACAACTCCACCAACGCTGCCCTTCTCGCCATCAGAATTCTCGGCGCATTCATTCCCGCCTATCTTGAGAAGATGAAGGCCTACCAGACTGACATTGGCGAGCAGGTCAACGGAAAGGCTACCCGTCTGAGGGAATCAGATGTGGAGTCTTACCTTGCTCAAATGAAGAAGGGTTAAAGAACACTACGGGATCTGGTTACTTATGGATGAAAATGATTAGACATGAAATGATGACTTGGGGGTTGGGTGATGCAGATGTGGGTGTTCGATAGAGAAATACCTAAAAGCGTAGACGGAGGGGCAATGGGCGTTGATTGAAAACTTGAGAAATTGCAACTCCGATGCATGAGAGCCTGATGTCTCATTTGCGTGAAAAGATTGCTGTAGTCGACATGTTACTGGGTAGCGCTGAAGCCACATCACCGAAATTGCCGCTGCATAAAATCAATTCCTCAGCCGTCTATCTGCGTGGGAAAAGCCTTGTGCATACTGTTCCGTGCAAAGGTTCCGACAACGAGGCCACTAGAGATAGATAATAAGACAAAGAAACAAACTATATCATATTATGAAGACTTTATATGTAATCCTACACCTGGTTGAAATAATATTATGTAACATATAATATACTTCATCATAATTTATATAATCTTACATAAAATTTAGACTGGAGAAGATTGTCGTAACCTTTGTACACCCACTGTACATACCAGGAATATCTCGGCGTCATTGTTTGACCCCAGAGAAGGGTGATAGGTCTGTGGTTGGGGTGAGGTATGTTGGAGGCCGACCACCCTTTCAATCTCGACACGGTTATAAAAACGTCCACAAGATGGTTTCCCACAGAAAAGAATAATCAATTCTTTCAACTGCAAAACCCCAAGCCTTCCTAGAATTCTCAATCTGATCTAAGAGTGTACTGCCCCTCATGAGCCCCTCTGCCCAGCCCGTTGTTTCACAGGCTCCTCTACACCCTCATCTGCAACTACTCGACAATGGGGCTGATAAACCAAACACCGTGGGGGCTTTTCCCATTTTCACGCACCACGTCGAGGAATCGCTACCCAAATCTGAGATACCAGCTCAGTATGGCCTTCTTGGTTGTAATGTTTCACAACTAGAAGACTCCCCATCCCGCTCGATCGATGGTGACGAACAACTCAAAACACGGTTGTTCTACAATGTAGCTGCTCCCACTAGTACATTTATCTGTGGTAGTCAAGGCTCAGGCAAGAGTCACACGCTCAGCACTCTTCTGGAGAATTGTCTGATTCCATCCGAAGCAAACAAATTGCCACACCCGTTGACTGGTCTCGTATTCCACTACGATACCTTCATCTCGGATACCGGAGGGATGCCCTGCGAAGCTGCCTATATATCGAGCCATCCAGCCGTACAGGTGAAGGTGCTCTGCGCCCCTTCCAACATCCGTCACATACAGGTAAGTGCTCTCTGATTAGACTGAACGACCCCTCTAGCTGACCTTCGAAGCGCGTTTACCAAGACCTTCCTCACGTCACTGTAAAGGAGCTGCGGATCAATCAGTCAGACTTGAACACGCGAAGGATGCTAGACCTCATGGCCGTCAGCTCGATACAAGGCGGAGGGATGCCACTCTATCTGCACGTTGTTAGCCGCATTTTGCGTGAGATGCGTATCACACAGCAACAAACAGACTCTGCATTTGATTACAAGGCTTTCAAGGCCGGTATAGATAGAGAGTCCTTGACAGAAGGACAGCTGGTGCCACTGCAGCAACGTCTGGAGACTTTGGAGAGCTTCATGGTCAAGTCACAGACCCTCATGGACAAGCACTCGAACAGATGGAAAGACAAATTGAAGGCAAATACCGACAGCGCCATGGAAGGTGAAAGCTGGGAATTACACGTCAGTATGCAATTTACTTTAATAGATTTGTGCTAACGATGACTTTGTAGGGCGGACAACTCACCATCATTGATCTTTCATGCCCATGCGTTACTGCCGAGGCAGCATGCTCCCTCTTCAACATCTGTCTGAGTCTATTTCTTGAACAAAAGGCTACTATTGGTCGCGTGGTGGCCCTGGATGAAGCCCACAAGTACATGAACGACAGTTCTGATAGCCAGACACTCACAGAATCCCTGCTATCAGTGATTCGTCTGCAGCGCCATTTGGGAACCAGAGTGGTGCTCTCTACCCAGGAACCTACTGTGTCGCCCAAACTGCTTGACCTCTGTTCTACCGTCATTGTTCATCGTTTCACGTCGCCAGCATGGTTTACTACTCTGCGCCGACACTTGGCTGGCGTCTCTTGCGTTGAGGCTGGAAGGGATAACCGTAATGACGAAGTGGAAAGGAATACGAAGGATGAGAAGAGGAAGAGTGCATTGAGCTCCTCCCGTTTGAACATCAATTACGAAGATTTGTTTACTCATATCATCGAATTGGGCACTGGCGAGGCGCTACTCTTCTGTCCAAGCGCACTGGTTGAAGCTGGTACTACTGAAGCATCAAGCCCGGAAGCATCTTTCGTTCAGCTCGGGAGTAGCACCATGAAGGTTCGCATTCGAAAGAGGATTACGGCAGACGGTGGTACGAGCATCATGGCAAACTGATGTACTACTCTAGAAAGAAATGTAGTGAGATATAGAATAGATAAATGTTCTTGAGATGCCAACTAATTAGGAAAACCCAAACTGTAACAGATGTACATCGATAAGTTTACTTGAACATTCAAAACGCATCCCCAGCCCAAAGCCGCTCCCATACATCACGACATACCTCAGTCCGTAGCTTCTCAAAAAAGGCATCTACCGCAATCGGTTCCTCACCCTCGATCCTCAAGACCCCATCCTTGACACCCTTCCAGCCTTCAACAGGAAGCTTGAGCTTGTCATGCCCGATGCCCCAAAAGTAACGACCTCTGAAACTCTTTTCGCCGCGCTGGATGGCATCGTATTCGGCCTGGCACTCCTCGCATATCATGCCCGTCTCATGAGTCACGTATAGATAAGCTGAGCGGTTTGCCCACCATTGGAATTTGCGGGCGGGATAGCAGAAACCTCCACAGCTGTAGAGGGCTTCTTCGTTATCGATCAGATCCCCTTCGTTGTCTGGCATAGGCCCAAGCTTGTTTTCGTCGTCACTTGAGTCAATCTCGACTTCGTCTCCCTCGTTTGGAGTTTGGTCTTGACTATCCTTCTCATCTCCTTCGCTCTTTGATCCTTCTGTACCATTCTCCTTGCCGTTTGCTGCTAATCCATCGGTGCCTGCTTTATCAGAAGCATCCTTTTCATCCTTGGTCAACTGCGAGAACATAGCAGAGCCGACAATTCGAGCATATCGGCGCAGTTTATCATCATTCCTGAGTGCCCTGCTCATCAATGCCAGAGTCTTTGCAAGAGTCCAAAGATAGGGTGAGTCACTCCACCCCACCGAGTCAGCCAGACCGACGAAGCAGTCATCTAGTAGAGACTGGGTTATTTCTTGGAACTTTGATACAGGCCCCATCACCATATACATGTAAGCCAGTGCAATGCGCTGCGAACTGGTGAAAGACGCAGAGGTCCGCGGTACGTCCAAAACGAAGGGTCGTTGCATCATGCTAGCCATCGAAGCAACTCGCTTGCCTTTGTATACGGGATCTCGAGATCTGCGGAATAGCTCGACCTGGACATTTGCCATGCAGTCAAGAGCCCGGGGTATCATCCAGAGCGCGCTGCCACCCACGACAGGGTATCGATATCCCGTGGCATGACCGTCGAATACCTGGTCCAGTGTTTCAAGCGTCTTTTGAGGATCTCGACAGACTTCCAAGTATACAAGAGCAAGGTCAAGGCGCAAAGGTGGTGCAGCATCGATGTTGTCAAGAAAGCTAGTAGCCTCCTCATAGAACTGAACAATGAACTCCTTTTCCCCAGTCTCAGAAGCAATGTCGCAGAACGTCGCATGCCTCTCCTCTCCTTCGTCAAGATATTCTGACGCAAGCCATGTTATCCTCTCAAGAAGACTCCAGCCTTTCAACATCTGGATGTACTCTGTCTTGTCTTCCTTTCTGTCAACGACCTTTAGCTCGCCAACAAGATCTTCGCCAGGAGTGATTCCGTCAGGATCACTTGCTTTGGCTTGTGCGTAGGATTCGAGAGCAGGACCCAAGAGACCTAATTTGCGCTGGACCTTGGCATGTGTCGTATGAACATTTCTTCTCAGGGGCGCTGGTACTTCATTCGTTCTCAGCTCATTGACGGCTGTCTGAGAGACCTGGTATGCTTCTTTCTTCTTCTTTCGTTCTAGAAGTATGTTGATGAGGACGCAAGACGCTCTGTACCATTCTTCATCAGTTGATGTGCAGAGTTCTAGAGCCTGCCTACATGTCGTCTCTGCCGGTACTTTGAGGCCATTCTTAAGAAGAATTGTTGCAACAGCACGGTGTCCCGCAGCTTCAGGCTTGATTTCTTCACCAAAGAGACCTATTATGCCCAAGCTAGCTTTAGTCTCGTCGTACTCGTCGCTGAGCTTAGAGAAGTCAGGAAAGTTGGTAGCAGCTTGATCCATAAGAAGTCGTTCCGCACCTGCCTAAGTGTGAGAGCATTGTTAGCGTTGATGAATCGAGTTGTAGCTTTTAGAGAGTGCACAGAAGGGAATTCTTACCAGTCGCAAGATACCTCTGAGGCGTTCCCACCATTCGATAGCTGCGTTCGAGTCCTTGGCCTTGTACAGTTCGTGTAGATAACCTTTGGCGATACCAAAGCGACAATTTGCTGGGTCCTGTCCAGCACGTTGCCACCATTCGATTGCAAACTCGCTAAGATTCTCACTGATCCCTGGATTGTTAAGCAGCTTTGACCATTCGGTAGCCTTTTGGTTGATCGCGGAAGTTGTTGCGTTCGAGTAAGAAATGCCACTTTTCCCCAGCATTTCAGCAAGGCCAGTCTTGTTAGACAGGGACTCTGCAATACTCTCCAGTACCTCAATCTGGTCCTCGGAGCTGTGGCTTTCCATCTCTACGTGTAGCCAATGTGCTGTAAAGAACAGGGCGCAATACTTCAACAGACTCTCATCTACTTTCGAGCGAGGGGATCGTAGAAGTTTGGCGCTGGTAACAAGTATTCTCCTGTGGGCTTCTGAAGGTGTCCACTTGAGTGTAGAAGTACTTTGGGAGCTCTTGGTGAAATAGTGTCTCATAGAACGTTCTTTAAAAGCGACAGGGAGTGGCCCATCATCATAAATGCTGTCGTGGCCTTGGTCGTCATGGAGCTTCAAGTCCTGAACAGCAGTGGCATCGCCAGCCTGAATTTTCGCTAGTGCCTCACTGTCATAGCCAGGACCTCCGACTGTGAGAAACCTACTAAACAGCTCGGGAATCTCCTCGATATCGAACTCGTTGTCTTGTGCGAGGTTCTTGACCAGTGATTCAACCTCAGCCAGTGTCAAAAGCCTCATAGAAAAAGCAATCCAGTGGAGAAGCGAGGCAGAAACCTCTTGATGCTTGGTGGGCATGCGGCGCTGACATTCTGCAAGAAGGACCTCATAGATTCCATGGAGATCATTGGGCATCTTTTGTTCAAGTGTTCGAAGGACAGACCCTTCACGTCCCAAGTCATTCAGGCGAACGAGCAGATGCTCGGCGTACAGCATATCTAGTAAAGGTTGTTAGTTGATTATTAAAGAAACATCAAGCAAAAGTACATACTGGGGGAAACTTCTTCAATCTTGTCCGCAACTCGCTGCTTGACATAACGACTGAACCCTTTCAGATGGTCAAGTGAGTTAATCTTGTTCCAGACCAAAGCCCTAAGATCCTGACTCTGCTTCTTTTTGGTTGCTTGTATCCGGACCAGATCGGTGTCCGGAGGAAGGTCATCAAGCCGATCAGGCCTAGATGTCACCACGAGCGAGACTTTGAGTTTCTTCTCCATGAGGAACTTGGATACAAACTCCTTAAACTCCCACCAGTCAACTATCTCATCCAATCCATCTAGGACAACAAAGAGATGGAACTTGGACTCTTGACCGAATACTGCCCCGAGGAGATGTGTGACAAGGTCTTGCCACTCCTCAGTGTCAATGTCAATATCATCTCTGCCAATCTGCGTATTGAACTTCTCGCAGGCGGCAAAGTTGGTCTCGGCGACTTGGTTAACGATTGTGATGATACCACAACCAAAATAAGCGAATGCTTCTACTTGCTCGCGGAAGTAGAAGTGGCTAACGCAGACGTGATCAGCTTCATCCTCCTTTGCCTTGTGTGAAAGCTTGTCATGTATCGCAGCTGCTATATGACTCTTTCCAGTGCCAGGGTCTGCAGTAATGGCGAGAATCGGGCGAGTTCCATCAGGCATCTTCAACCATTTCTCCCATTCGGGCTCCGCAAAGACCCAGCCACATGAATCTGGTAGTAGTGTCTCTTTCAGAGTCTGGTATTCGTGTTTGTCGTCAAACACCTCTGGCATAGAGTTACGAACACTATTGGCAGACGGCGGCTTGTTAGCCTGGGGCTTCTCCGTTGACCTGTCCTTCTTCTGCGTATCAAACAGCGTCAAGAGCTTTGCGATATCGCCACGAATACTCTCTGTATTTTCATGGATGGTATCAATAGTGTGACCGACTCTCTCAAGCATCTCAGTATGTGACTTCTGGTTCTCGTCGAGTTGTGACGCCATGGCGAGTGTCTCTTCGGTGTTGCCGAGGATGGCAAACTCAGTTGCTTGCTGAAGATGTTCAAGTCGCTTATCCAAGCCCGCCCGTGCTCCGCCAAGCTCTCCATCGTCGCCTTTGAACAAGTTGGAGATCCATTTCTTGAATCGGCCCAGCTCGATATACTTGTGTGCAAATCCGCATAACGTGAGGAATGAGGTAAAAACCTCCATCAAGCAATTCTGGTAGGCCTTGTGCTGTGGGAGCCTCGTCTCCAAGATGGTGATTCTGGTCAGAAAGCTGTTCATGTCTTCAAAGAAGACAATAATTATATCATAGTCAGCTGAGACGGAGCGACAGGCTTGAAGCATGTAGGTCAGGGCTGTTCCTATGGCTGCTGCAGGTGGAAATGCGGGTGCTGCAGCGGCTATGATTTGATTGGAGCCTTTCTCTATCAAGTCCAGATTGGCAGAGAAGAGGGTCCTGAGACGGTCTACTTTGCCTTTGTCATGTCTGAACTTGTGGAAATTGTTCATCTGGTCAGTTCCGAAGTCGAGCATAGACTGGGCATTGTCGAATTTGCGATCGAGGTCAAAACCAACGATGCTCTGGTAGCTCTTTAGTGCTTCCTTCCAAAGGTCCGCAACATCGCGATCGTCGCTCTTCAGCTGTGTCTCCAGCTGTCCATTGGGGGTTTGGGCAACCATTGTGCATATAACACTGAGTAGCCATGGAACGATTGGCGAAACAATGAGAGGCGCTGAGTTGGTATTAAATGGCTCGTGTTTCTAGCCTGAGTCACTGGGCTTACGAGTGTAGTGTAGCAGTAGCTATTCCTCGCCTGACTCTTAGTGGTGCTGTGCCTCATTGCTAATATTTGTTTGATTGGTTCCTGGTAGCCTGATGCTGGCGAGCTGACACTCTTCGTATGCAGTCAGCATGTGGATGGCCAATGCTGGAGTGTAGCTGTGTGCTGCTATTTTGAGTCTTTAAAACGCAAGTAAAGCGCACTGTCTAACTGAACTGCCTTTTAAAACTTGGGCAAGAGTTGTCACTGGATAGAGAATATTTAAAAGGTGCATTTAGACCTCCGGGTTGGTAACAAACAGAGAAAACAGACCTGTTTTATCAACACGATTACCTTGGCGCGGAATTACTATTGCCAGTAACAAAACTCAATGCTGACACCTGCTTGAAACGGATATAACATTCGAGATCCCGTGTTGAATTATCACCCCAATAGTAGTCAAAGCTGGTCATCCGTCTTTTGTTACGAGGGCCTTGGGACTATCGGATATCCAACTGTCGAATTCGCAGATATGCAATGGGCTATGCCATTAGTCACGCAGGTTTACAGTTAGCGATAAGAAGTTGCAGACGGATCTCTAGCCCGTTCACCAATCCCTGTCTGACCACCAAAAGCTCGAAGCTGTTTACAAACGACCTCAGGAGGAGTGGGTCGAGTACGGATATTCCGGGAAAAGACCTTATTGCAGGCATCAAGCGAAATGAAACATATCTGCCAAGCGCAAAGTCTGGATACAACTCTTTTCAAGTTGGGGTATCATGAGCGAAGCAGAAGAGGTTGAGCAGTATGAATGGGTGTGTTCATTCGACTTGTGTTCCACCACTTGACGTAAAATACACAAGAATAATGTCACATCTGCATCACAGTCAAAAGAGTTCAGTGGATCACCATAGTGATAGAATAAGATGCACAATTAGTTTCGATAAGAGGGAATGAATGCATGTGGCTAAATACATATGTAAAACAAAAAGATACAAACACAAATGTTGATGTCGAAGAAGAATGATCAATCGTCATGATTCAGTTCGGATTCGTGTCCAACTGCAGCCTCACTCCATCATTTCCTAGTATCGAGCGCGAACACAGTTGTTTCCGCTCTGCTTCTTACCAGCAGGGCAGCTACACACCTTGTTGGCCCAGACCATCTTGGTGTTGGTGCAGACACACAGTCTGGAGCGAGAGTCGTAAGAAGCGGCGCTGCCACAGTCGACGACGCACTGGTTCTTGGACCACACCTTGCCGTCAGGGCACGCGCAAGACTTGTCCTCCTCGTTGAAGAGCTGTCCCTTCTTGTCGCAAATGCAAGACTGGGACTTGCCGTTCCAAGAAGCGTAGTCGCCGCAGTCGACGATGCACTCCTTGCCGCTCCAGATCTTGCCCGAGGGACAGGCGCAGCCAAGAGTGGCCTTGTTGAAGACTTGGCCCTTCTTGGGGCATACACAGGTCTGAGACTTGGGATACCAAGAGGCGAGCTTGCCGCAGTCCTGATGGCAAGACCCGTCAGACCAGACACCATTGTTGGGGCAGGTGCAGGTCTTGTCCTTGTTGAAGTCCTGGCCGTCCTTGTTGCAGATGCAGGCCTTGGCAGCGTTGCTCCACGAAGCGTCGGAACCACAGTTGGAGGCGCACATCTTGCCGTTCCAGCGAGTGTCAGTAGGGCACGTGCAGGTCTTGTCGGCGCTGTTGAAGGTCTGGCCGGTCTTGTAGCAAGTGCAGACGTCCTTCTTGGGGTACGCGTGGGCGCCGCAGGCCTTCCAGCAACCGGTGAGGCCCTTCTTGTAGCCGGGCTTGCAGGCGCAGGCGTTGCCCGAGAGGACCTGGTTGGGCTTTGTGCAGACGCAGTCGCCGTCGGTACCGCGAGTGGCGCCGTCGGTGCACTTGGCCTTGCACGAGTCGTTGACCTTGTCGAAGCCCGTCTTGCAAGCACACTTACCGTCGAGGCCGCGTTCAGAGTTATCGCCGCACTTGGCGACGCACTTCTTGTCGACAGTCTCGAAGCCGGTCTTGCAGGCGCACTTCTTGTCGGTGCCGCGCTCCTCGTTGTCGCCACAGGTAGCAACGCAGGCATCGTCGACAGAGTCAAAGCCGCTCTTACAGGCGCACTTCTTGTCGGTACCACGCTCCTCGTTATCACCGCAAGAAGGAACACACTTGTCGTCAACAGAGTCGAAGCTGGCTTTGCAAGAACACTTCTTATCCGTGCCGCGCTCCTCGTTGTCACCGCAGGCAGCGACACACTTATCATCGACAGAATCGAAGTTGGCCTTGCAACCACACTTCTTATCGCCGTCGGTAGCGCGGATCTCATTATCGCCACATACAGCAACACACACGTCGTCGACAGATTCGAAGCCAGATTTGCAACCGCAGGTCTTGTCGGTACCGCGTTCCTCGTTGGCACCACACTCAGCGACACACTTATCATCGACGGTTTCAAAGCCAGTCTTGCAACCGCACTTCTTGTCGGTACCGCGCTCCTCGTTGTCACCGCAAGAAGCAACACACTTGTCATCAACCAAGTCGAAGTTGGCCTTGCAACCACACTTCTTATCACCGTCTGTAGCGCGGACTTCGTTATCGCCACAAACAGCAACACAAACATCGTCAACGGTCTCAAAGCCAGTCTTACAGCTGCACTTCTTATCGGTACCGCGTTCCTCGTTGGCGCCACATTCAGCAACGCACTTATCATCGACAGATTCAAAGCCAGTCTTGCAACCGCACTTCTTGTCACCATCAGTGGCTCGCTCTTCGTTGGCTCCGCACTCGGCGACACAGGCGTTATCAACGGATTCGAAATGGGCCTTGCAACCACAAGTCTTGTCGAGACCTCGCTCCTCGTTGGTGCCGCACTCGGCGACACACTTGTCGTCAACAGTCTCGAAACCGTTCTTGCAACCACATTTCTTATCGCCGCCGGTAGCGCGGATCTCGTTCTCACCACACTTGGCAACACACTTGTCGTCAACGGTTTCAAAGCCGGTCTTGCAACCACACTTCTTATCTCCGTCAGTGGCTCGCTCTTCATTAGCACCGCACTCAGCGACACAGATGTCATCAACGGTCTCAAAGCCGGCCTTGCAGCCACACTTCTTGTCACCGTCGGTTGCGCGGATTTCGTTAAGACCACACTCAGCAACGCAGGCGTCATTAACAGTCTCAAAGCCAGACTTGCAGCCGCATTTCTTGTCGCCATCGGTAGCTCGTTCCTCGTTGGTGCCACACTTGGCTACACAAGCATTATCGACAGTCTCAAAGCCAGTCTTACAACCGCACTTCTTATCGCCGTCGGTGGCTCGCTCTTCGTTAAGACCGCACTCGGCAAAACATTTGTTATCAACAGTCTCGAAGCCGGATTTACAGCCGCACTTCTTGTCTCCGTCTGTAGCGCGCTCTTCGTTTTCGCCGCATTGGGCAACGCAGGTGTTATCGACGTTCTCGAAGCCGGGCTTGCAGACACACTTCTTGTCGCCGTCAGTCTGACGCTGCTCGTTGGTGCCGCACTCAGCAACACAGGCGTTGTCAACGGTCTCGAAGCCAGGCTTGCAAGTACAGTCGCCGTTGGAGCGTTCCTCGTTGGTACCGCACTTGGGCTTGCAGACACTTCCGACAGTCTCAAAGCCGCTCTTGCAAGCACACTTCTTGTCGCCGGTAGTCTCACGCTCCTCGTTGGCGCCGCATTGGGCAACACAGGTATTATCGACGTTCTCGAACCCAGACTTGCAGGCACACTTCTTATCGCCGTCGGTCTTGCGCTCCTCGTTGGTGCCGCACTTGGCTACACAGGCGTCGTCGACAGTCTCAAAGCCGGTCTTACAACCACACTTCTTATCGGTGCCACGCTCCTCGTTGGTCCCGCAGGCAGCCAAGCAAGAATCGCCAACCTTGTCGAAGCCGGACTTGCATGTGCAGTCGCCGTTGGATCGTTCCTCGTTGGTACCGCACTTGGCCTTGCAGACGGTTCCGACAGTCTCGAAACCAGCCTTGCAGGAGCACTTGTTGCCCGAGATCTCAGCGTTTGTATCGGTGCAGGCACAAGAACCGCCCTGTCGAGTAGCTCCAGTCACGCAGGGGTCGACACAGGCGTTGTTTAAGATCTCCTTGTTGCCGGGACACTTGCATGTACCATCCGTTTGACGAGTAGCAGTAGCAGGGCACTTGTCGACGCAAGCGTTGTTGACAATCTCCTTGGTACCGGGACATTTGCATGTACCATCTGTTTGGCGGGTAGCGGTAGCAGGGCACTTGTTGATGCATTGGTTGTTGACGATCTCCTTAGAGCTGTCACACTTGCAAGTACCATCTGTTTGACGAGTGGAGGAGGCAGGGCACTTGACGACACATTTGCTGTTGTACGTCTCGTATCCAGTATTGCAGAGGCATTTGTTGGGGCTTGAGGCCCAGTAGGCATTGGAATCATCGCAGTCGCACCACCAGCCAAAGAAACCAGACTTGTACTTGGAGCCGTCAGGGCATCTGTTGACGCATTGGTTTCCAGACACGTATTGGGAATCGGGGCAGCGGAGGACGCGCTTGCTCAAGGTCTGCGAATCATCGCTTCCAGGAGCAGCAGCGGCAGAAGCTGCGCCAAAGGCGAGCAGAAAGATATTCTTCAGCAACATTCTAAGTGATAACCCGAAGTAGGGTCCACAGTTGAGAAGAGAAGAGAGGGGGGAGAAGGAATGAATGGATGGTTGTGATGATGAACGAGAGGAATTTGGTTGGAATTGTTTGTCTTTATAGAGCTTCAAATGAGTTGACTCGAGACGAGTGGGAAAGGGGATTTACTACATCGTCAGTAGGAGATTGTCATGACCCCAAACCAGATCAGTCGATAGACGCCACTTGACGAGTAGCTCCAGCTCTTGCATGATGGTAAAAAATCATCTTTCTGGCCTTTCCCGACCATCAGAGTTCTAGATCCAACATTATTTTCAGCTTCTCAACCGACCGACAGTCCGAACGACGCCATGAAATTCGATAGATTCAGGAGATGGCTGAGCTGAACGTCCTCAAGGAGGGAACTATCGCTCAGCCACAGGGTCTCGAAGATCATTATGATCTAGCTCCTACCTCCCTCCTGTGTCATTTCTGGGGACTTTAACCTAGATACAGGAGATCTGATGCCTGCAGGCGACTTCCGGGGCTATGGGTACGAGCTTCGGGTGTCGGGCTAGAGGCGAGTGGCGTAGTGCGATGTCACTGCTCACTTCCAGCAAATTCATCGATCAACAAGCATAAAATTTAGAGCCCAGTTGACTTTATGCTTGAAATTTCTCCCAGGCTTAATTGTAAGTTTGTAATGCTGCTCACTTTATCGAGATACGGCATGTTTTTGGAACTCTCCTGCAACTCAATGTCTTGGCCTTTGCTCGGCAGTCATTGCCAAGACTGTTAACAACCGTTGCCAAGTACCCCGGATTTCTTTAGCGGTCAGACAATACCAAGGCACCGAGTAACAACTAATGAATCAGCACGCACTATTGACCGGTCCCAGTACCGGTACCAATACCAGCTGCTTGGGTTTTTTCTTTTTTCTTTTTAGTAGTCCTTGTTACCCCTGGCCCCTGACTAACGTTAGCAGCACACTAGTTCAGAGTCCATCTTCAGTCCCTCAACAGCCAATTGGCTCAGCAGGAGATTACACTCACACATGCATCATTGCAAGATGCATCATCTGAGACAATAACCTACCAGTTTACGGATAACTACAATACAAAGCTTTCCGCCGAGGAACACAACGCTTTTTCCATTAGCTTCGGTCTACGTATCAATAGTACAAAGCCCCTGTTTCTAGTTGTTCTGTAATGGAGAACATGGCGTTAACATACCGGGACGTTGTGAAACGGGTGCAAGCTTACTAGGGGTACGAGAAAAACTATGGACCTTGCCAAACAGGAATAAGACTCGACGCCACGGCGGAGATTCGCTGGTCAAGTGACATCTGACTCCAAAAGCAATTATTAAAAAGAACAGTGAAAAATGCACAATGAAAAAATATTAGTGGCAAATGGCTGCACGTGGGTAAATGGTCGGTTTCTTATTCCCTGGGTTTATGGCAGGGAATTGAACCTAGCGACAAGATGACATTGTGGCTGTAGCATTAGATCATTATCTAGATGAGGAAATCCCAGATCGAATCGGGCGTTGTGCTGAACTTTACTGTAGTCTCCATGCAAACTTCCACATAGATGCATAACCCTCCATAAGCCTCACCTGCCTCTAGGAAATACGCCCGTCCGTTTAATTGCCACAGACTCTTCTTAGCCTACACTCCTTAAAGAAGCATAAAGCTAGAATGCACGACCTCCAAATTAAGGAAACCGATAGTCCGGCGTGGCTTGGCGCTCCTTTCTCCTCTATGCCCAATCTGATAACAGTCGCTTTCCAGCCTTCCCCATTACCTAGAGCTGCAGCTTTTTGATGGCTTCGCTTCTTTCGCCAATCACACCAAAGACCACTCTCCACCAGGCCCGCTCTCTTTGGTTTGGCCATGCGGAATGTGGGTTACACAGGGCATGGCTCTCCAGTTTTGGGGGAAACGGAGTCATTGTAGTTGTTCAAGTAGGGTGGTAAGCTTTGACATCTTGCATTGACTTCCAGTCACAGGAGGTGATCTCTAGATTCATCTCCGTTACCTTACGGAGGGTCGTTCTTGAACCAATGCCATTCGTCGCCACCTTCATCAAGGCATGCATAATTCCGTAGGTAAATTATGCAGGCACTTCCACAATTGTCGGCCATGTTTGTTTGACAGGTACGGCAGCATTTGGTGTTAACAACATCAGGTTCTCCTTTAGTAGGACCATTGGTCATCTACAACATGATTCAAACTTCACTCAAGTACCCTACACATCTCTATCCTTCTGTTACTATTGCGGGGAGCTATGCTAACCGGCTAGCTTCAGCTTCAGCTCGGCTTTACTCTAACCCTCTATAGTACCGATTTCATAAGTTTTTCAACTATTGCTACGCTACTGCGTAATATCCCAGTAATTTTTATGCATAAGCTGGTAAACATAAACAAGCATCGCCAAGTCCAGGCTCAGCAACAACGCAACCAGCCAGCTCAAGCTTCAAAGTCACATGGTCAACAAGCCTGCTAGCTCAATTCAACCATAAAATCTATGAATCAGAATGTCCGAGCTCGTTCTCATCCGTGAAGCCGGGACCGAGGCAAAGTCCGGCAGCACAAGGCTGGGAGGTAGCAGCACTTGTTCTAGCTGCAGTTGATTAAGCTTCTTAGCTTCTTCTACCGATCTACCCTTAGCTATGCCACTAGCTGGATTTATTCGACGACTATTGATCATAGTATGCCAGCCCGTATCAAGGGTCCCCTAGGGTCTACAGTCTGCATGGTCAGCCCGACGGTCCGGAACAGCTCCGTCCATGGACCGCGAGCAACTCTACCTTAGAGCCCTGTGTTGCAAATCGCGCCTAGACATTTCAGCTGCATCTTTACAGCTCTGGACCATATAAGTACTGAAGAGCTATTCCTTTTAAAGAGATCTGTCAATAGTTTTGTCGCGGTGAATCCTAGCTGCCTTTCGCATAAGCCATTACCAACAGATCTTCGGAGTGAGTTGGCATCAGCCTCACGTCTGTTGTCTGTGCTAAGATTCACGGATCATCCAGCGTCTGCTGCATCCGCTCAGGCTTATCTGATCCTGAGTCGGACGTGGCGCTTTAGGCGAGACCGAGAGAAGCCATCTCCATGCGACACTAATCGGCAAAGGCGGTGTTCTTTCCCTGAATTACCTCATTGAGTAAAGGCAGCCCAACAAGCTAGACAACTTTTCATACTGAACCGATCGTCACGTATTGACCTACCTTCGCAGATCGTAGCATTGTGTCCCTGCTCTTCGTAAAGCTGTGGCGATGAACAACGCATCACGTCCGTAGTGTTAATAGCTGTTTTCCGTTCAACTCAGGAATCTTCACGAACAAAGTCTCACCACTCAATCATGCCATAGTGTCGCGAGTAGTGTATTGGAAGCTGGAATTTCTTACCACTCAGGATCGGCTCATTGCCCTCGGTGAGGTCAATGATGGAGCTCAAGTGACAGAATTCATACCATCCCGTCATCATTCCAAACCTACCCTAGGCCAAATTGGTCTTGTGATCTATGAGAAACTTCGCTGATATTCAGCTGTTATATCATCCCGATCGAAATGTGTCTTCATGGATAAAGGAGAGCTTTATTTATCAAATTACAGTTGCTATCCTCGGACCTCACGCTAAATCTCATTGGGGCGCAATTTCTTTCAACCTTTTTGTTTACTTAGAAACATCACGATATAAACGTAAAGCCTTAAATGTGTTAAATCGTCATTTCAGTTTTTGGCTACCGGCTCACTTGAAACTTATCACATTACTGCTTCGCAAATTGTATAACAAGCACCACTCTCTAAACTACGCTTGGTTATTCAGGTCTAACTTAAACTGTTATTTGTGCTCTGTGAAACTGTATTTTAATTTATGAAATAGATTTGAGGTGTCTGTGTAACTTGACCCCCTCGGGCGGTAATATATGAACTGACCCTATAGTCCCTGACTCCCTGTGTACAGGGTAATCCTTGTTTGTCTGATACCAGTATCAGTTACGTGTTATCTTCTAGTGCTCGATTGAAGTTAGACGATAAGATAAGAACGAGACGGACGATAAGTAGTCGGATAAATAAATATCCGCCTATACTACAGGCCTTATTCTTAAGCAACATAAGTTCCAGTTGAATAACTTTGCATTTGAATAGCTTTGAACCTACTACCGGATCTTAAGGAAGAGGACTGTTATTAATGAGGTAGATATTTATACTGTTTTGCTGATTCTTTGAAGTTAGTGCGACGAACAACCCTGGAGGCGGAGTTACAAGCCTGGGTGTGACGTTGAGGTTGTGTAGTGATCTAATCAATTATGTCCCTGAGTAAAAATGCTTTGCAGTGTATGGAATAATTATAGCTTTTCTTACCATTATGCTATACACCTAGGCCTATCTTATGGGAGGAAATGGCACCGGCAGCTAGCACAGCACAGGGTAAGCAGCTTGTGATTCTAAGAACTAAATTTTACGACCAGCGACTACCCGTGGACTTAGCTAATCATACGCAGTTGACTAGTGAAAATGATGGAGAATCTGATGAGTCGGCACAAACTCGCTTCCGACACCGATTGAATGATGCTGACTAACTAGACGGAATGACACGACTGAAAGCTCGGGAATCGGTCTTGATATCGAAGCGAAGGGACTCAAAGGGATTACCTTGTTTAGAAACACCCGCCCTCGTCCAAGTTATTCTTGCCTAAACTCCCTATCCCGAGGGTCAGGGACAACTTGAAAAGGCTAAATCCTCAAGTGTGTGATAGTGCGAATCCTTTCGGTATTTTTTCGCCGGTCATTTGGCGCACGTCTGTCTGTGCGTCGTCATCTGGTCTAAGACCTCGATTTCTTAAACTAAGCATATCCAGATGATAGTCTTGCTTTTCTGATGATATATAAACTAGGTTCGTAGTCAAATTTCATCCAATTAGTACCGTCGCTGAGGGAACAAAATATCAACCGAAAGCGTTTATTCGACACAAGATGTTAGAAAATCGATTGCTCCCAAGGCGAACCTGGGGTATTCCCCTGGATCAATCAACCGTATTTGACGTCAGCACTAGACATATTCGTGGCTGAGCTGGCAACGTCACCTTAAAACTTTCTACCTGGTAGATTTTCGAAAATAGGATTTTGACATTCAAATCCTCCAAGAGACTAGCACCCAAGAATCCGCCTAGGCGCATCAGTATCCCCCTTATTCGTCCCTTAGGAATACGAGGTTTCGTCTTTCTCTTGACACTCCTGAACCCAGAGAGGAAGAGGTTAGCCTAGAGCACTGCCATAATGATCTTCGTTGCAGATGATGATCTTCGTCGTAAGCAAGCTTGTTCTGCCGTTTCATCTGCTAAGAATCAATATGTCTTGGTGTGTGATCATTATGTATCACCTGGTATAGCTTAATCATCGCGGACGAGCTTTTAGATAGAGGAGATTTCACTGACTATAAGAACCTGGACCTGCTCTAATAACAGAGTCAATTTGAGCTTCTCAGTATCCAGATCAATCCAACCACTTACTATCATATACTGGTTCCTAGCACTCTACACCATCGGTCTACACTTAATCCAACGATGCACCTCTTGAAATTCCTACAGATCTTGCCGGTGGTCACGGCAGCTCGCCTGATTGTCCCCCGTGGTGTTGAAGCAACTGAAAGCAGATATATTGTCGTTATGAACAATCATACCGTGTCCAAGACCGTCACCAACGCGGTCTCTAAGATTGGTGCTGATGCTGACTACACCTATTGCAACATCTTCAACGGCTTCTCTGCTACTCTCAGCAAGACTGAGTTGAAGCATCTCCTCGATGATCCAAATGTCGATTTCGTTGAGCAGGTTACCACTGTGTACGGAGCTGCAGTCCAAAAGAACGCACCCTGGGGACTAGCGCGTATCTCCAACTCTTTGCCGAGCCCTAATCCTAGGACTTACACCTACGATGACAGTGCTGGTGAAGGTACATGCGCCTATGTCGTTGATTCTGGCATCGAGGTTGAGCACCCTGTAAGTGCATGGCTATACCAATCAAGACTTTCCTCCATTTTGACACCAGCAATAGGAATTCGAGGGTCGCGCCAAGTTCGTGCAGAACTTTGTTGACAACGCCGACTTGGACGCTAATGGCCACGGCACTCACGTTGCGGGCACGATAGGTTCCAAAACTTACGGTGTTGCAAAAAAGACGAAGCTGTTTGCCGTGAAGGTCTTTGACGAGAATAACGCGGGTCAGACGTAAGTTTGTTTCGAGGCTCTGTCAACATTGCAAGTGGTACTAAGAATGGAAAAATACACCAGTTCTGGAATTCTCGCTGCTATGGAATTCGTCGCCGAAGATGCCTCCACTCGAAAGTGTCCTAGAGGTATCGTGGTGAACATGTCTGTATCACTCCCATCCTCCCCTGCCATCAACGCCGCCGCTCGATACATTACAAAATCGGGTCTGTTTCTGGCTGTTGCTGCTGGCAATGACGATTCAGATGCTTCCCAAGGCTCTCCCGCCAACGAGCCCACGGCCTGCACTGTTGGTGCCACTGCGATAAATGATACTCGAGCCTCCTTCTCCAATTATGGTGTTGTTGTTGATGTTTTTGCCCCTGGTGTGGACATCAAGAGCACTTGGGTTCGCGGAGGTGTCAAGGTCAAGTCTGGTACCTCTATGGCTACACCACATGTTGCCGGCTTAGCAGCCTACTTGATGGGCTTGAAAAAGGTCAAGACAGCTAGTCTGTGTAATCTTATTGCATCAACTGCCCTCAAGGGCGTTATTAAGGGTGTTCCTCACGATACAGTGAACCTCCTTATTCAGAACGGCAAAGCAAAGTAACCGCGCCCATCACTGCTTATGGACTTGAAGGGCGTTGTTAAATCCCATAACGGTAAAACAATGTTGAAAGGATGATCGACTTGGATTCAGAAGTTTTACTTTCAGTACAAGATATGTTATCAAACCTTTTGTGGAGAAGATTCTTGCTGGTGTTATATCACCCGGCCCGGCACTTGCTCTTCGAATGCCGACACGGTCCCGGTACGGAACGGGCCCGACTCCGATTTAGCTCCGATATCGTTGACTGCAGGGTAGGAGAGTCAAAACGGGCTTCAGTTCTCCCCAACCAGCAACAGGGAGAAGCGAACCACTACATGTGGTATTATCTAGTCAAATGATATTGTATATATCCCATGACATTTGAATCATAGCATAAAAGCGAATTGAAAGTCAAAGTGTAGGCCCATCGCTCGGGTGACACGACAGAACAATTAGCAATGTCGAACCACCCACCTACATTTTGGAATCATCCACCACGGTGAGTGTAAATCAATAGTTTCCCAACCTAATAATTGCTACAGGCCATCCAGATATATCTTTCTCGGCCCGTCGGTTCGGCTAAATGCTGTGGCTGTAACATCCACTTTATTCAGGATCTGATTACGTGCCACAAATTATGCCAACAGGCACGGCCCGACATGGAATCATACCCAGTCCCAAAATCAACCCTGTTTGAGTTCCATTTACCCACCAATACTCAACCAGAATCGGTTAATAAGGTCCATGTTGTTTTGAAACAGCCAGGGGTCTTGGTTTCCATAAACGAATTATGTCAGTCGATTTGATCGGAGATATTCATGCGCTAAGAGCAGGGGGAGACCCATCCGCGATAATAAATATCCAAGCTCCGCGACTTTATCACGTACCCAACACCAGTCATCAATCCCATCACATATCCGTACTACGATCAAAATGCGCGCCTCTTTCGACTCCGCCCTTCTCCTCCTCGCCAACGCCTTGGCTGTAAAGGCACAGTCTTGCCCCGAGATTCACATCTTTGGCGCCCGTGAGACTTCAGTAGCACCAGGCTTTGGTTCTGCTGGAGCACTTATCGACCAGATTATCGCCGCTCATCCAGGTGCCACTTCAGAAGCTATCAACTACCCTGCTTGTGGTGGTCAGGCATCATGTGGTGGTGTGCATTATGGCGACTCTGCGAAACAAGGTACTGAGGCTGTCACTACCGCTGTCAACGGTCTCAACCAGCGATGTCCCGATACTAAGATTGTGCTTGTTGGATACTCTCAAGTATGGAACCCTCGCATTTCCCCATGGCGTATTATGACTCAGTGCTAATTGTTCTTGAATCACAGGGAGGTCAGATAATGGACAACAACATCTGCGGAGGACCTGACAACGGAGCCGGTATCTCTGATGCGTCGGTGCCACTCTCGGCCAGTGCAGTACAGCAAGTAAAGGCTGTTATCATGCTTGGAAACCCTCGTTTCGTCAGTGGACTACCTTATGGAGTCGGAACTTGCAAAGCAGGCGGTGTAAGTGTTCTAGTCACCTGATAAGTTACAAGTGAGACTAACAATTCTAGTTTGATGCACGACCCGCTGGCTTCTCTTGCCCCAACGCCGACAAGGTCCAGATCTATTGTGACTCTCAGGATCCCTTCTGCTGCAATGGAAACGACCCAGCCCACCATCAGCAATATGTTACTATCTATGGAAGCCAAGCTTTGCAATTCGTCAACAGCAAACTCTGAATTATTCAATAGGGAAAAAGAGAATCTGCCATGATTTTACAGCGTTGGAGAAAAGACATTTGCAATTTATGTGTTCCAATACGACATTATATAGTCAGTATATGTGCATCGCCCCGAATCACCACTGGCCCATGGAAATTGTCTGTGATGATTTCTTGTGACGTAGAGTGCTATCCATGTTTCTACTGCCAAATACCTTAAGGGCATCATTTCCCACCAGATTTCCAGCAGCACCAAGACTGTGGCCTTTTCTTCCTCCGAATTGGGTCAGTCAGTTGAAGAATGTATTCCCAGCAAACCCAAGAGCGGTGGAGTGTTATGGATGTTGCCTATAGGCCCAAGTAGTAACCGCTCATAGAGAACTTCAGCAAGGACCTGTTGAAATTTAGGGTTGTCAAAGTTATCGTTATCAAGGTCAAGCTCCTCGATTCCTTTGCGTAAGTTGCCCAACAATAGGGAACAGAAATCACCAGATTGATTAGATAGACACTGTTCACATGAAACCCTGCAAGTTGAAATCACATAACCAACCCCTTCAATGCCATTGTTTCTTGAACCTGTTACCAAACCTTCGTTCTAACTACTCTGGCCATTGTGTTGTCTTGACTTCCCCTCCACCACTTCTAGATTCTCCACTGCTTGGAAATTCTTCACTGGCCTGCGATCAATCATTCGACAACAGCTGAATACGATCAGTTATCAATTGAACAGATTGGATAGAAAGTCATTCGCCAGTCTTGGGTCAATCTCTCTTGTAAGCCTTTCTCAGTGGATCAGGAGCCGGAAGTTCTCCATTTTGGATTAGTTCCGCCAATTTTGCTTTGTCTTCCCACTGGTCGTAGCATGCCAGGTAGTCTATAGGAAGGTACTTCGCTATCGCGCCGGCTAGTTGATGGCCACGCCGGTTGTAGACAGATGCATCCAGTGTTCCAGGCCATCTTTCCGTTCCTTCTAAGAAATGCCCGGCGAATTCCCAGTCAATTAAAGCCCGAACTTGGAGAGTTTGTCGGTCCATTATGATGTTGTTAGCTGCAATATCACCATGTTGGAAAACGTAGTCATTGTTTTCCAGAGGTAAGGTCTCCCATTGTTGTTTGCCTTTCCACGGAGGCTGACCTAGGCTTAGCCAGGATGGAGGCATAACAAATCCTTCAATACCGCGTTCATTAGATTTCAATTCAGCCAACTGTGGTAAAACAACGCCATTGATCAACTTCAGAGCGTTTCTGTAGGCTTGTGTTCGGCATATACCACATGGGGTGCTGTCTGTACTTTCTGTATGATTGCTTCCCTCTGGACTCAAGCAACCTTGACTGGAAAGTTGACTGAGGAGTATACCGTGGATGTACTCCGTGATCAAGTACTGGCGTCCGTCTGGTAGGACCCCATGGTCGAGGAGCTTGGGCACGGGAATGGTTGTGTTGCGAGAGACGAGTTTCAGTGCCCTTGCTTTATTGGCAATGCGCTCATGGTTCCTAAAATTGACATATTCGTGGTCAGCCACGCCCTCATCACTAAAAACGTGCCAGCAAAGGGTTTTTTCTTCCTTACCATGGTCTGAACCACATGCATGAAGTGCCATCATTTGCTGTAAACAAATGAGGAAGACGTGAGGTCTTTTTGAAGGTTGTCGCCGTGAAATCATAACACACATCTTCCGTTTCCTGGAAATAGGTTAAGTTTGTTGTAGTATCTTGACAACTTTGGTTAGACCAGTTATGACGTGACACTGGATGTCAATATAGTAAGCTTACCAGCTAATTCTTTCATTTTGGTGTGGTTTTACAGGGACAAGAGAGGAAAAGATGAAACAATACTGTTGTTCCTTATTGTGTCTTGCTGGTGATATGAAAAGGTCAAGGTGTAACTGACTAGAGGCGGGGTTAGGTATACATACATAGCCCGTGAAGCGACTCACTGATGTTAGTACAAATCGCGCCGCATTATTAAATTTCCGTCTGCCTCAGCAAGGTGAAGTCCGTGTTACTCAAATATACCATCTTCTTTACAGAAATATGGAGGTTGAAACCATAGTTACGGTAGTTGCCTAATAGAACAAGCTTTGGTTATTCACTAAAACTCTTGATCCCAGTTCCGATGATCGGCAAAGCCTCGACGGCAAATGCCATGTCCTGGGTTCTCAACAGACCGATCTGATGAACTCCTCGCTCGATAAGAATGTGTTGAAAGCTATCGTTTAGTCGGTCGTATGGAGATCCGACATTGACAAAGTAGGTGAAGTTGCCGAAATTTAATGACGGTCACGATCAAGAACCATGCCGCCGTGCGGGCGCTATGAAGTATTGAAGTGCAGGTGAGAGGTACCAGCTATATTGGAGAAATACTCAAACACTGGAGTGTAAGAGGTGATGTTGAAGGGATAGACACGAATTTGGCATAATCCTTCACTGTTATTTTGTAACAACACATGGCTATTCACTGCACAGTGGTTCTAGCAGGGTTATAAGTATTTGTTCTGATTCTTCATGCTGTTATTTAAACACAACAGCAGCGACAATACGTTCAGTGCGACAATCATGTAAATTATCATACCTAGCACACATAGTTACTAACTATGAGTAACAGCCTCAGTTAGGAGCCTCCCACTCAGCCTTGACAGCCTGTACAAATTGCCCGTAAGCCATATCGCTGTTGGGAATAAAGCGTTCAATGTGACGCTTACCGTCCATCCAATGAAACGACTCGTCATGCACCTTATCATGCTTCTCGAATTGATAGCACTGAAGCGTGATGCAGACAGTCTTGGACTTGTTGTGTAGCTGATGGATCTGATACTGGTCCTCGCCAAGCCATGTGACATCGCCTTTCTTGAGGTTAACCGGCTGCCCGATCACTTGAGGCTCGCCATCCTCCTGTAGCGCGTCGAACCAGGTCACATTGATACTACCGTATAGAACTCTGATCACGGCTGAGGCGTCTCCATGCTGATGGATGGGAGACATGTGCCCTGGGGGCCAGATTTCCATAACATAGGGAATACCTGGGGAGTTGGCCTATGTGTCCGTTAGTTATGAAGTTTTCATTAATGGCTGGGAACGGCCTACCAAGTTATCGCCAAGGGTGATACGAAGGTATGTTTCCAAAGGATCTCCAAATGTGTCCTTGTTCTTGAGGATCTTGCCACAAATCTTGTCGGGGTCCTTGCAGCTTTGATCAATAGCCTCGGGTAACTGAGGGAATGAAGCTGGCTGGACTGTGATGTTGGGCCCGCAAATGTTGTGGTAGAGCTTCTGGCAGCCTTCAGGCAAATTGACAAATGTCATGGCTGTCGAAGACTCGAGTTGCTCAAGTGTGATATCGGTCTCTGGCACAATCAAAGGTGGGAGATCTACAGTAATAGGTGAAGCTCTGAACTTGATGTCTATCTCGGAAACGGGGAAATCATCTCGATGTACCTCTGTCGAGCTAAGGTTTTCCATCCAAGCGGCTTCTTTCTTAACGAACTGAATCTCCATAAAGGTCATGGAATTGTTGATAAGATATTTTCCATATCGAATGCGAGCGTTGCTCCGGTCGACGGAGATCCAGTAGGCTGTTTTGTCCGTAGTCAATGGACTGAGAACGGCTGACAGCTTGCCTTTAGGGAACATGACCTTGTTGACATATGTAGATCGTTCCTTATCTTCTTCGAAGTCGATGATCTCCTCAAATGGAACATCCTTTTCGGAATCTTTCTCTCTCTTGCTCAGAACACAGTTACCCTTAGTGATCGTGAGCGTGAGAGTAGGCTGAGTCCTGGGGTTTGCAGGACGGATGGTGAATGAGAGGCTTGTGTCTGGTGGATCAGGTTTGGCAGCAATAGTTCCCAGGCCTGGGACCATGAAGTCGACTCCCACAGTAATGCGCTCTAGGGAGGAAAAGGTGGTTAAGAGAACCTCGCCCTCACTAGCGGGCGGACAGTCGGGTTGGACAGCAACTAGAGCTTTAGGAGGCTCCCAGAAGATGTCAGAGAAGTGAGATGGGTCAGCCATGGTGTGGGAAGATGGTTCTTGAAAGATGAAGATTGGATGAAGAAAAAGTGTCTCTTTCTTCGAGGGAAATCAGATCAATAAATAATAATTTTGAGCTGCAAGTGATTGATATGTGATAGATTCGTGGACATCCTATAGCGATCGTTGGATTGGTGATCTAAGACAACCTAACTCTGCTGGGAGACACTAGCGGGTTATCAGCCAGCCACACTCATGCAGCTCGCCAAACTATCGTGCATGCTTCAAGCTGAAATTCCAGAGCGAATCGCATTGGCCTGTAAAGTACTCTGCGTGATTGTAAATATAGATGGGTGCAGTTGTTAAGTGAGACACTACCTATTTCGAATTGATGTTAGTCTTTTTTGGGGCTTTATGCAGTATTTGAACCATTAGTCCGCTTCAGTGGCCCCTACAAGCTACACCATATCTGAGCAAATTTATTAGCGCCTAAGGATACGTTTCTTCACTTTCGACAGGGGTATACGGATTCCTATGTAAAGATACAGTTGCGTGCAAAGATTCCGACGGTAGGCTAACTAGATAGGAATACATATTATAATGTAGATAAATGAAATGTGTAATAATTATATTATTTCAGATATAATGTTATTTTAGTATTATTCAAAATCATATTAATAAGACTTCTCAAGACTTTATACTACCTTGGAAGAAAGGAAGTTGTTGAAAACTTTGCGCACCTAGTATAGAAAAGAACTGTCGAAAGTGCACGGAAACATGATACATAACATACTTGCACATCCAACGTTAATTCTCCTTGTCCCATTTCGGCTTTTATCCTTCCCCATTATCTTCCTCCTGCTCGTCATCCAGTTTCGGTCTTTTGGTGCCTCTACCCCCTCCATCCTCATCCTCATCCGGCTGCTCGCTGACTGACTGAAGAAGTGCTTTAGCTCTTCCATCTGGTGTCAAGTCCCATTTATCCAAATACCTGAAAAGGACACAAGTTAAACCCTGACTTCTAATGCAATGGAACTGGAACACTTACGAGAGAATGGCAAAATAAGCGTATGTTTCAGCTGTCCTGGTCGCATTTTCAGGTCCTGAAGCTCTAATCTGCTGACAGTCTGACCACTCATCTGGCTTTTTCCTATCCTTTCGATACTTTCCCTTGTGCTCATTGTTGCTATTGTCCCGAGCAATGCTGGCGACGAATGCCATGCCATCTTTGTACAGGTTAGCCTATGTTCGCATGAAGCTGCTGAACACTTGGTAGCTACTTACAGACTTTCGGGTTTGGCAATATGCCCGACGGGTCCACTCGAACAAAAGAGACACGTCCTCCAGGCCCTTTCTGTTGATAGAGAAGGCATCCATTCTTATCAATTGCGTCTGAATCTCGCACTGATTCGACACCTTTGGTTAGCAGATGCCGGATAGGTACATGAAGGCCTCAAACTCACGCAAATCGGCACTTTGTGGATTCCCATCCCACTTCTCAGGTACCCTACTTCCATAGTAGTGCGCAAACTCGTGTATCATGACGCGGGCTATACTTGTTGTTGCGATACCGGCATCATCGATATTGACACCTTCCTTCACTTCATCTGCGTTCCGCACCGCAGACTTTTCTGGTTTCAATGCGAAGACCGGGTCGCAGAAGGTAATCATGTCATGTTTCTGTTGAGTTACACCATAGATGCCTGGGGCACAGATGGAAGCACCCAGGTTGCTTTCGGCAGGTTCATACCGATGTTTATGAATGTAGGCTCCAGGCCAGCCCAGTCCTAACTCTGAGCCGACCCTTGGAAAAACTTCGTGAATAAGCTTGGAATTGTCGTACGGGTCCGGCGCCATTTTGTCGTAATAAACCCACGGATTTTGTCCACACATAATCAATGGCTTCTTCTTCAACTTGGTCAACTGGGCAGAGTATCCTCCATTGGGCATGGGGTCCCCTTTGACCAGACCAGTCCACAGACCGTCGATCACATCTGTAAAGCCTCAGTAAGTCCTGTTGAACTCAGATCTAACTTTTGAAAGAGGTTGTAAGTAACTTACAGCTGACTTGCTTGAAGTGTTCGTTTTCTGTGTCGTATCCGTTCTTGAATGGGTCGGCAGGAGGTGTGAGGCCAAAAGTCACGACAAGATTTCTTGCAATGCGGTCCCAATCAGTGTCCCCAATAGTCGAAGACTTTCGTTTCAATGATTTCTTGCTCTGAACCTTGAGTAGGTCCTGTCGAGCCTTGGCAATTAACGTTCTAGCATCGTCAAAGGCCTCATCTAGTTCTTTACGCACTTTATCGCAACTCTCGTCAATCTCCCAAGCTTCAGGAAACCTAGAAACTGTAGACGTCACAAGTGGGACGAAAAGGCTAAAGAAGAAGAGTACTGCATTAACCCTCATAGTGGCTAACTTGTGGGTGAAAATGCAAAACGTAAAGAAACCAACAGCGAGAAACGTCAGGTCGAAAAAAGAATAAAATCACAATTGCCATGAAGAATATCAGCGGCGGATGTTATCTAGGACTATATACATACGGTATGGTAAAGACCATGTGCTGTATGAATGTTCTATCTCAAGTATCAGATAGGCAGGCTGTGGTGATGTGTGCCAGGGATCTCGTCGGGAATCGTTGGGAAGCACAATCTACCGTGCACTGCCAGTTTCACTTTCAGGCTTGACAGCCCATAGTTGAGCCAACAACCATTTGAATGAAACAAAAAAATCTTCAAGGCTTCCAGCACATAACGCACCGTGCGCCGCGGCCATTGCCTCTCAACTACTAGGTTAGTGGGAAGAATGGGGTAACCAACGCAGTATAGACCAGCTCAACCCTTGATTATAATTGAGGACTGGTTAGTTACCTGGTTGTACGTACATCTTAAACCTTGCTTTGGTGCAGAGGCATTAAATTCGGTGTTCCTGAACTCCACTTTAGCCTTACTTATAAGTTTCAGTGCCATGCAACCTACATGTAACTAACGACCAACAACCAACGACCAACAACACGACCAACAGGAAGCAAAACTTAGTTGCGGGATTATTTCGAGCATTTGGAAGATTCGGTGTCATCCCTCTACCTTGTGCGTTATGTTATGACCTCTTCATATTGTGTCCTGCAATTTTCACCTGCAGGAGCACGGCTGAAAAAAGTGCCACAGCCTCACTTCTACCTATCTGCGACAGAGTGACCTCCCCGTTAATTTCAATCGAGAGTTTACGATACCAATTTTAGATACGAACAGGGTTGGCCAGCGTTGGGACATCCAGTATTACGTTGTTTTATAGCTGTGTCAATAAGTGAGCTTGAGTCATTAAGTCAGCTTTAATGATAGAGAGGATTGTCGATTCGGAGCGAAAGCTATGTCTCCCACATAATTTCTGACCCAGCTCTTGGTTCTTACACTTCCTTCATTTTCACATCCTTTCTGACTTTAAACTCCTCACTCTCTTGACCATGTCTACACTCTGGAAGACGTACCTTCTGGCCTTAGTCTTTCTAGCCCCTACCCACAGCTCAGCTGGATCTCCTTGCCGCCCACGGCCTCCAGGCTCAACCATACAACCTAGTACAGAAGGACCCTCTTCAAGTATTAGTGAGACTCGCTCTAGAAGCACCTTAGATCAGTTCGTGACCATTGAACTTCCACTGGCCAGCGCATCTGAAACCGAAGGCACTGATGGGAAAAGGTCTGGACAGTATGGAGCAACTACAACATTAATGAGCTACCATACTGATACCCCGGGTAACGGTGCAAAGACGGGTTCCCTGCTTACCGAAGTTCGACCTCACCCGGAAATTACATCGTGGAGCTCCATACCCACTGAATTTGGGAGTTTTATCGGCTCCCCTACGTCAGAGCCTACGGAAACGGCCTTCGTTTCAGCTACTCAGATCGATACTCGAACTGAGGTGGTTACTGCTCCACGAGATAGAAACACCAGCCAGTCTGATACCAGCCATGTCCAACTTCCATGGTTCCAGAGCACTCAAACTTCAGCCAGTCCAGAAGACACGATCTCACACTCTTCGTCACCTCTTCAACCCACTAGAGGTCTATCTAACTCCCAAGATTTGCCTATTCACACATCATTGCCAGAGTCTTCAAACCGAGCTATCTCTACGGATTTGACAGCTTCGGGTAGTGAGACAGTCACTAGTCCAATCTCTGAGATATCTTTAGGCTCTGCTGAACACACAGATAGTATTGCAGCAACAAGCACTAATCCATCAGTTGGACAAGAGACGACAGCTCAAGATGGTAGCCAAAGTGCAAATACTACTACAGGTATACTAGCAGATTCCTCAAATGTATCGCTTCCTCATACCCCTCAATTATCCGTCACATCCAACCCTCGTACTTCGACTGAAAGTATTGAAAGTCAAGACGACGCTGCTACCAGTACTGGAAATATTGATACAGCCTCCCTCGACCCCACGACTTCATTGTCAGGGGAGATAAGTGCGTCAGGAGAACCTACTGGATCATCGCTCAGTGGAGATGACAGTTCAGCGCTTTCAGGTACACATACAGCTGTCAAGGGCTCTCAAGCCATGTCAGAAGTGTCGACAAGCGAGAGTGATACCATCGTATCATCGGATCCTGCCACCAATGACCAAAGCGCCACGACCGATGTGTCGAGCGAGCAGACGCGACCTAATGTATCTGAGACTCATATTACGTCAGGAACAGAATCTGGAGGGCTACACAATACATCTCAGGGTGGGCATATCACAGACCCCATTGAAGCTACTACTGGGGCAGCCGTCCCAAAGTCAACTGCAATCAGTGAAGAGCCTGTCGTAACATCTCACGAGCTCTCAGAGACTCCCATTCAACAAACCGAAATCACGGATACTGATGGCCAGGTCGTCACTTGGAGCGCAACAAGGGACCCCCAACACACTGACAACTTTCGAACCGTCACTCAGACCGACGACGACGGTGGCCTTATAGTCATGTTCCCTGGCGGCTGGAAGTGGTCCCCAATCGGTGGAGGCAAGAAAGGAGGGCCAACCCCAACTGCAGATCCTACACTAGGAGATGACAAAAACGAAGATCCTGACGATGAAGATGACGATGACAGAGAAACGTGTACTTCCAGTGCGCCCCCAAAATGCACCCTAACCATGTCCTACTATACCCAAGAGGATGGCGTGGGAACTAGGCAAGTAGACAAACCCATACGTTGATGATAAAACACTTCTCACTAACATGGCCATAGTACTCGGATCAGCACATGTCCCCCGGTCACAGGTTGCGTTTTGGGTGAGCAAAGCACAACCACTACCACGATTGCCTCCGACGTTCCCCGCATATTAGGGCCTGCGCCAGATGACTTTTATGCACCCCCAATCGAATACTTTCCAATGGATGACGACCTTGTGGACTATTACCTTAATCTTTTCGAGACCATGGGTATTGCCAATAAAGCCCAGGAGCCTGAAGCTCAATGTCAACAAAGCATCTTTGAGAATAGCCCCGTGGATTGTCTGGAACTCTTTTCGAGTCCTTTCTGTGATGTCGTGAATGGAAACGAGCAACAACGGGTCACGAGGAATCTCACCTTTGAGGATGTCAGTAAAAGGTTTAAGAGAGGTGTGCAGGCTCATCAAAGCGCATGCGTGTCGTACATCTTCAACTTCGACTGGACTGGTGCGAATGGAGAGTGCAAGCTTACATGTTCCGAAGCTTTTGATCTCCTCAAGACCCAATGCACGATGCCTGTCTTTGGTAGACTGGCTCCTGAGGGCACTCTGGACGTGGGCTGTGGTAACTACACTTATGAGGGAAACCGGGAAGCCCTTTTCAACCCATCAAGCAGCACAATACTACCTACAACAACACCCTTCACCGCCAGTATTTATAGCACCGACATCATCGATAGCACCACTAGTATCGACAGCACCACTAGTATCGACAGCACCACTAGTATCGACAGCACCACTAAAATCGCCAGTACCACCACGCTCGCAACATCAACCGAGGAACCAGAGCCCACAAAAACAAATGCTGATCCAGAAATCCACAATCTTCAGTGCAACAAAGAGGAGAACTACCCAGGACATGCTGCAATTCACGATGAAGCTCTTGAGTCCGTAATCTCACGGGCGTGTAGAGACATGAAGAAGAAAGGTTGGCATATGACACCTCGGGATGAACCTGTCAAGTGGGAATATGAGGACTATGAAACACATAAGCATCGTTTTACTTGGTCTTGGATTGAGGGTTGCACCGCGGAGACTGAAGATGTTAATCTTAGTGATCCACTAGATGAGGGGGAATTGGATAAAGACGGCGATGAGAGGTGTCTCTTCATATTTCAGAACGCCTGGGCAAACTGTGAGTGAGGCGATAAATCGTCTGCTTTTTATCGTACATGCATGCTGACTTATCATTCCACAGGCAATAATGGTGGTGTCGGTGGTTCGCAAGATGTTGGTTGCGTCCAGTATTGGTTGGAAGCTGGTATCTAAGAAACCTTTCTGCACATTAACAAGTCGCTAGTTTTGTTGATTATATTTCTCATTATTCGAATGCCAATCATTGATTAAAGTTTATGACAAAGAATGTGGTAATCTAATTTCGAGGAACAGGTCAACGAAATGTAGAGGCGTATGGTTGTAATTTATCTGGAGAATAACGTTACAGCGCAGTAGATAGAGCACTGAAGCCTATTTTGTCCGGTTAACTATATCACTAGCGTATTTCTCTCGTTTCATGCTAATGGTGCTGAGTGCACGGGGCATGCAGGCGGTTGGCTCGCCCCGGCAATAATCAATATGACACCAAAATTTGAATCTAACTAAAACGCACTGTTAATTTTAGTTACTTAATAAACACCCCATATCCTGCCTCTTCCCTTTATTTCTCTTTCCTCTCCCCACAACAACCACCTACCAAAACCATGAGCCAACAAGCAGCCCCTCCCGCCCTAGAAACAAGACTCCCAGCTGATGTCTTACGTCTGATCTTCACAAGTTTTTGTCGCCACTGCTGTGGCGAGTATGAGCAGCCTTTCAGGGTTGTGCCGTTACCACAAAATATCACAACTTTATACAACCTCTGCTTAGTCTCTCGCTTCTTTCGAAATGTTGCTCAGGGAATATTGCATCATTCGTTCGATCTCAATCTTACGCACCATGAACCGGAAAATCCCTGGGAAAGGCGACTGGAGCCATTTCTCAGAACTATTACATCACGCCCGGACTTAGCTCGCTTAGTCAGTGCCGTCTTTCTACCGTGGAGGTTGATCGAAAGCTTGAATTTTGATGAATGCAGGAACGCATTTGACAAGTGCGCGAGGTCAATGGGTACTACTGCATCCAAAATTTACGAGCTCTCGCAGAGAAATACAGCTCCGATTTCGAAAAAAATTGAGGAAGCATTCTTTCTATGCCAGCCTATCTCAGACGATGAGAGGGAAGAGAGCTATATACCTATTGTGGCGAGCGAGCTTATGACTATAACGATGGCTATTTTACCAAACCTGGCCCATCTCGGCCTCGTGGAAGATACTGACTTGCACCGGAGATGGAATTTCGACCTTTCGGCACCCACTCTTAACGCACTTGGCATCACAACCTTGCCACTGAAAACATTCGAGAACGATTATGGAATGCCAAAGCTACTATCCCGTACCAAAGGCCTTGAAATGTTGATTACAGGTGGCCGTGGCCAAGTCCCTGAAATACCAAATCTCAGGGCCTTACATATCCGGGCACTCGATGGGAATTACATATCAACAAACAATGCCTCCCCTATATTTGAATCCTCGAGACACTTGACTACATTCTCATTCACAGCAACAGGGACCCCTCTCTCAAAGGTGATTGAGTGTCTCGATCAGCCGAGATTTCATGCAAGCCTGGAGTCGATTCGTCTTGATCTCCGTTGCCATCGAGACTTGAATGCTGCATCGCAAGACATCTTGAAGCTGAAGATGTTCACAACGCTAAGGAAACTCTTTGTTCCTATCGCCCCAATCTATAGCGCAAGTGATATTGAACTCCAACCTCAATCACTCGTCTCTATCCTCCCACCCAGCATTGAATACCTAACGCTTATGGAGCATGTCACGCCAACAGCATGCGGCCTTTTGCACACAGATCTACTTCGTCTCATTGAGAAAAAGCCAACACTCTTTCCCGAATTGAGGGAGATCATGAGCGACTCGGTTCAAGTGTGTGATGAAGGTCTAAAGAATGTGTTTTGGCAAGCTGGAGTCGCTCTCATACATCGAGAACTTCCTAGGAGTAAATGGGATTACACGGGGCAGCTATTTTACGACTGCGAGTATAGACCTTGGGACGCATCGAGGGAAGGTTGCTACATGGAAATGCCTTTGCCTTGTGAGCTATCGGATGAGGACTTATAGGTCGATTGGTCTAGATAGGGTGAGTGATTACAATCAAGTTGGATAGAGGTCTTTTATGTCTCGCCCAACACTCCTGTACTTATTGTATTACTAGTGCACTTCTCACAAATCAACCAGAATTTATCAGGAGCTCACGACAGTTGAGATTGGCATCTCCACAAGTCTTTGGGCATGTCGTGGTTCCCTAAGGAGGTTGCGCCCGTTCCCAAGACATGGACTGCCACTACCGGTGACTTGAAAATATCTCGCCCTTGTAGTCACCTTTTAAGCACACAGCATAGATATGATATGCGCCTATACACCGACCTTTTGGCTGCTATGTTTAATATCACAAACCTTATTATGTCATAGCGTCGACCCTAACTTTTAGCTTTCCCCGCCCTAAGCCCCTTGTACTACACTCCTATACGTACTTGGGTAGTCAGTACTGTACTTAATCTCATGTTTTCCCTTCTTGCAGTGCTAGTCATTTCTTATTTGTCAAAACGATCTGCGCTCTAAAAGGTGCCGTATGCTATCAAACAGGTTCTTTCTTCCATCGAAGAGCGCCATGAATGATGCAACTCGCAATGAGGCGCTCGAAATACCACCTGCTCGAAAAGGTACCTCGTTTGTATGCGACACATGTCATCGGCATTTTTCACGATTTGAGCACCTGGAGCGACACAATCAAACCCATATTCATTCAAAGACCATAAAATGCACCTTCTGCAATAGGAGATTTAGTCGCAAGTTAGTACTGTCTCCCATCAACTATCCTCTGAGCGAAAACACTTCAAGAGAGACATAATGGCGATTTATTTACTGACTGCTCATCGATCTTCAGGGATGCGGTACAACGACATGAACGGTTACACGAACGCGAAGCGCGTCAAGGCGAGCAAGACTCAACCACTTCGTCGCTGCGCCGAACTTGCACGCCCTGTTCTAAATCACGCATCAAATGTTCGGGAGGGCCACCATGCACTTACTGCGCCATGAGGAATTTTGTCTGTTCTTACCTGCCTCGGAAACGACGAGAGCGGCAAATCACACTTAGTGCATATGAAGAGTCTCCGGCATTGAGCTCGCAGTCTAGCCAAGCTTTTGCAGGTGGGAGACCCGCGTCAACTATGCAGTCACCTTGTGATGTAGCCACTCTTAATTGGCTTGAAACTCCGACACACCAACAAAACATCACTTCTCTTACTCAAGTCCAGACAAATTTAGTACAGAATGATCGATTACCTACCAACGAGGGCGGTCAAAGCTCATCTGTGGATAACGATCTTGAGCGTGAGCATTCAAGACCAACAGGTATCATTGGTGATATCTCAGACATTTATTCATTGCCCACAAACTGGCTGCCATTTGACGACATCCCAGCGAGTAACTCATTAGTGCGCAGTCTCGACGATATGCCCCGTCTTGCATTTGGAGTCGACCAAGCATACGCTGTTTCTCACCAGAACCTCGAGACGCAAACACCACTTTCAAATCTTTCAGCAATACATGGGCAAACCCTACAGCAAGACCATGTTTCCGCCTTGATTGCTTCCATGGCCTCAGATAGGTCAGGGAAAACACAAGCTTCGGGCATCGGTGCCGATACTGCGCTTTCCAATACTCAAGCTACGCATTACTCAGACGGAGCGGGATTTCGAGAAAGCAGAGCAGAGCGGTACATGCGCCAGCGACGCGCTGCTTACACTGAAGAACATAGGCCAAATACAGGCCATCAGGTTCACGCATCATGGCTGATTGATCTGAATTCCAAAGTTGCGGCAGCGACTAGAAATATCGGGACATCCGAGGACATTCCAGACGGCATCTTTGAGGAAATCATATCGAGATCGAATTCACATGAAACCAGCTCCCGCATTCTTGCCAACTTCGCCACCCACAAGGATATTCTACTAACGAAGTCTACGTTTCAATTCTTTGTAAATCTTTATTTCGAGCGTTTTCATCCGGTAAACCCTTTCATTGACAGGTCGCACTTATGTATTCCTCTCTGGGGCTGGAGTCTATGCCTAGCTACCGCTACGATTGCTATGAAATATTTTGGTTCTGAAGAAGTCAACTCTTTTGGAGATGACTTGTGCTGCATTCTGCATTAGCTGATGGCAAAAGAGGTCTATTAATCGTCACCCCATCACCTGAAGATAGTCTGGCTAACTTCGCATAGCTTGATTTTGTCAACTGCCAGGAACCGCTGCCCTACATACAAGCCAGGATCTTGGCATCGATTGGGCTTTGCCAAAGTCGTCGGCCGGAGCTACTCAGATGTGGTTATAGCGCCTCAGCTATGGTAGCACAAGCATGTCTTCGGCTTCACTTACTGAGTGAGGATGACAATGTCGGCTCCTATCAAGATGATCAGAGTTCGGATCAGAAATGGATCACTTGGCGATTTCGAGAGACACGAAGAAGGACGGGCCTTTTCGTTTGGGCAAGTAACTTATTTGCGAAATGGTGCCACATTCTAACGCGCCGTATAGTTAACAAGTTGCTATCTCGCTCTGTCTTCTGAACGTCACCCGTCCTTGTTCCCCGATCAGCCTCAACTGAGGCTTCCATGCCGTGAGGAATTATGGGCAGCCGAGTCCCCTCAAGCTTGGTATACGGCAAGGTCAGATGCAGATGCCGATCCAATAGCTTTCTCTGCCGAAGAAGCGTCACGACCGACAGTGCCTGAAGTCACACTGAAGCTTTGGCGAGAGCTTAACTCGCAGCATTCGTCGAATTCCTTTGCGACCGTAGTCATCATTCACATGTTGGTTCATCGCAGATGGAACGCCAACGAATATCTGGCTGATGCAATTCGTGACGTACCACAGCCAGATCCATCAAACCTCCATGTACCTGGGAGAAAGTACCTTGGTTCATTGCCCGAGTACATAAAGTGGCGTAATCAGTGTTGCGACTGCTTGGATGTGCTGCACTGGGAAGCACTGAGCCTATCAGCCAAGGCAGAAGGACTTGAAGGCCCAGTACTATTGCATCTCCACCTGGCTCGTCTCTCACTTCTTACGCCAGTGGGGGACCTTTTGGCGTTTGCCCACCAAAGTACTCTCTCGGATACCACGCACACAGCTCCAAGTAGTCTCTTCCGCAACGGTATTTCGAATCTAGATCCGAGACATACTGTCAAGATCTGGGCGACTCAAGATCGATACAAAGCTCGCCTCGCATTGGTGCATGCTGGGGCTGTTCTTTGGCATGTAAGACGATACTCATCAGACTCGATTGTTGAGCCATTTACACTCTCCCTTACGGCGCTGGTGCTCTGGGCTTACGGGCAAACATCCAATATTCGAAAGCTGCACGAGTCTACGGGCGCTGGAGTGCAGTCTCCAGTGGACGACAATGGGGACTCAATGAGCCTTGTAACCTCTATATCTGGCTCAGTAGGAAGTCGTACAACGCAGATGGGGGGTTCATTGCTGCCAGACGATTATGCATCAAGTCGACGGCGAATGCCAAGCACCATGCAATTGGATAGGCCGATGGATGATGAACTTGTTCAGTACTTTATTAGATTTGGTGAAAGCCTGCGACTCCCACTCGAAGGAGTAGACGACTTATGTTCAACCGAGGGCCCATTGAGAATTTTACACGAAGTGTCAAATTTACTGATGGAACAGCACAAGCCTTAGGGTATTTCTGAGACCTATGCTAGATTCCTACGAGACTTGAAAATACCGCAGTGGTAGACGTGAAAGCATTCTGGACTGAGAGAATGATGAGTTTTTGCATCGGTCAAAGAGGAATTGATACGACATCTGCTTCTTTATTCAACTTCATGTATTGGAATGACTGCTGGTAGCTCAGGATACTTTTCGAGTCACATGTACCGAGTTTGGCCTTGATCAGTCGCCATGCGAATCCTATTCCAAAGAAAACATTGCTGCTTACAAGCTTGCTCGCGACAACCGAGAAGCTCGTGCTCAGCTGGACCCTTCAAACCTTCTGCATTCTTGCTTCCTGGTTGTTATCATAGGCATCGACGTGATAGGTCTTGAACTTCCTCGTAGGAAGTTTGGCCTCGAACATCAAGTCAAGATCCTCATAGCTGCGACCCCTTGTTTCAGGCAGGCGGAAAAAGGCCCAAACTACACTAAGAAACGCAAAGGCGAACCAGAAGAATCCAGTTTTACCTGTGGTTTAGATATTAGTATCCGAGAGTGATAGAAATTGAGGGACATCCACGAACCTTTCCAATTCCACGCAGATGGATTCATCATGTACGGCTGGATGACATTGGCAACAATCTGTGCCAGGTAGTATGAAGTTCTAGCCAAGACCACGGTCTTGGACCGTAAACGGGTAGATGAGACTTCTGCAGGGATTGCCCATCCAATTGGCCCAACAGTGAGAGAGAAGGTAAGCAGCCAGATCAAGCAAAGGATCGATTGAACCCACTTGACGGCCGGGTTGTGAGTGTTGGTGGCTAATGCGCCGATGATGAGGAGCCACACGCTCATAGTAGTCATACCTGCAAGATACAGGTTTCGACGGCCGATGTGTCTCATCAAGAACCAGGACACAATAGTGCCACAGAAGGCCATTCCCGTGCCGCCCAGATTCAAGTTATAGGAGGTTTCCGAGTCCAATCCTGCTTGCTGGAAGAAGTACGTAGCAGAATAGGCGAATTGGGCACCGCAGGTGATCTGACCAAGGAACGACACACAAGCAATCTCGGTACGACGTATATCAGCCGGCTTGAAGCAGTCCCAGTAAGAAGTCCCTTCCGCAATGCGTTTTTCCGTCTCGTTTGTGTGGATCATCAGCGCGACTAGGGGCTTTGCTTGCGGCTTCTCGTGAGCTGCCATCAGGCGGAGTATGCTCTTCTCAGCCTCGTCGTATCGACCCTTGCGAACTAGAAACCAAGGAGACTCTGGCATCAAGACACATGCGGCAAATAGAAACGGGATCCAGAGCCATTGTAGGGCAAAAGGAACTCGCCATGCCCAATCATCGTTCCACTCGATAAAACTCTTGAGAACTCCAGCACCGATGAGCTGGCCGGTTGCGAAGCACATGTTGGTGTAAGCGGTGAGGTATATTCGAAGAGGAAGGGGACAAAGTTCGGAAGCATAAGCAGGGCCAATCGTGGCGAAGATGCCCCAAGGTAGACTGCTCGCGAATTAGCAGGGTATTTAAGAGGTTATATTGTGCATAAAGGTGCTTGACTTACCCGCAGAGAATCTGTCCCACTGCCTGAAGCTCAATAGACATGCCGAAAAATGACACGAAGATAAAAGCGGTCATCAGCACAACACCAAGAAGGAATGCAGGGCGATACCCAAAGCGTTGAATTATGAAACCGTTCAGGAGGGCACCAATGATAGCACCGGCTTGGGGACCGCTGCCCATGGCACTCTGCCACCGAGCCGGGATTTGATAGGTCTCAGTTTCATCCTGATATTCGCCGAATCGACGAGCGTAGGTGGGATATGCATATAGTGACCCGATCAAGATAGTATCGTAGCCCTCCATAATGATTGACAATGAAACAATAAGAGACCAGAAAACAGCCCAAGGGTAAGACTTGAGGGCCTGGCGAACAGTGAGGGCATGCTCATGTGCATTAGCTGCCTGAGCTTGGCCCAAAGTGGCCTCCCAGGAGCCATTTTGGTCGAGCATGGTGTTGGGATCTCCTTTCTCGTCCCGGGTATCGTGTCTGTCTAGCCCTTCGTTGTGTTCGACTGCATGAGAAGAGATCGTCTTCTCCATGTTGGAATAGTTCTGAGGAATGCTTCTGGCGATAGTGGGGAGAGTGAAAAAGGATAGGAATGAGGATGTTCGATCTCTATTATAGACAGGATCGAAGCTCTTTATTTTATACTCGCAAAACTCAAACAATGTGAAGATATTAGTATTACTTGGAACCGAGATACTTCAAAGTCGCCTAATAGCGGAACCAACTCCCCAAGCCCCGTGGGGAAACGCCACAAAATGACCAGAACCTGGAGAAGCAGGCAACATCAGTGAACCAAACCAACCCCTCCATTGTGAAGCGACTGGCTGCATTGGAGCGTATGAAGCCTTCATCCAAGTTTGGACAAGTGTATGGATAGAGGGCAGGGCAGATACGGTGATCAAGGCTCTAGCAAGGATCTTCGGTATTTCCTTGTGGGTTTTACAGTCGCCAATTCGAGTTAAGCCTTGTTGTCAAGTAAGTAAGTATTCGCGTCGGATCTTCCACCCCACAATGAAATCCCGAGATTGCATTGCACTATTGACACCCACTGATGAAAGACTAATCAAGTGTGTGTTTCAGCAAAGCCCACCCTCAGGCAACTCCCCACTCTATATTTCCTAATGTCGGTGCTTCCAATTCTCTCATGATGCTGGGAACAGGGGAATAACAGGAGTCCTGAGAGGGGTGAAAAAGAAGACAGTGTTTGGCTAAGACGATCTGCATTTACAAGACATATAAGAGGTAGTGTTGGGTGGTCTGTCCTGCGCAGATACAATTCCATTTCGCTACTTAATTTCAACATTACGTATCATCATTTTTCCAATGGCAGACAACCCTATTTTCATCTCGTGGCGAACCAGCTCGCTGACGATAAACTTGACCAAAAATCAATTTGGGGCAATTTGTCTTTACGAAATTCTCTCGTTGAACTATAACCATCAAAAGTCGGCTTCGCGTATTTTTGCCTCGTCTGAATTGCCACTCATCAGTGTTCGGCTTAGCGGCGAGGGCAATACCAACGACAAAACAGCAAAATCACTTGTTGGCGGGTACTTGTCTTCAAGACTGAGATACAAAAGTCACGAACAAAGCCAAGATGGTGATGTGCAGAGACTGGACATCCACAGTCAGGATGAAAGAGCGGGAATCTCGGTGACTGCTCATTTGAGCGTGTACAAAGATATTCCCGTTCTTAGGTCAGCCGTTACAATAACCAATGAATCCAACTTGTTGGATGTTGTTGTCACCCAGCTTTCATCTTTGACTATCGGGGGCCTCACAACAATTTCGAACGAGTGGAATAAAGACTACGTTCTCAGGACGGCAACCAACAGCTGGTTTAGAGAAGCTCAATGGCGCAAACATTCCTTACCCGATATTGGTATAGACAAGAATGGAATCTGCGAACTGCCGGATGGTCACTCAGGCTCGCAGGCAACTTTTAGTCTCCAGAACAGGGGATCCTTCTCGACAGGCTCACACCTACCAATGGGTATATTGGAGTCTAACTCGAACTTAGACACCTGGGCTTGGCAGATTGAGCACAATGGGTCCTGGAGATGGGAAATTGGCGATTACAAAGACAGTATCTATATTGCGGCTGGAGGTCCAACCAAGGTGGACCACGACTGGAGTCATACTCTGCATCCCAGAGAAAGCTTTACCACGCCCCCAGTCTCGATTACCCGCGTTTCAGGATGTTTTCAAGATGCCATACGGGCACTAAACGACTACAGACGAAAAATCATACGGCCACATGACGATAACAAAAAGCTTCCAATAATCTTCAATGATTATATGAACTGTCTCATGGGTAACCCAGATGAAGATAAGATCGAAGCTTTACTTGATCCTGTAGCCCAATCAGGGGCTGAATACTTTGTCATTGATGCCGGCTGGTACGCTGACGATAGTAACTGGTGGGATGACGTTGGCTTGTGGGAGCCCTCCGAGAAGAGGTTTCCATCAGGCTTCAAAACCTTGATGGACAAAATCAAGAGCAAGGGCCTCATTCCAGGACTGTGGTTAGAGCCCGAAGTCGTTGGTGTCCGGAGTGTTGTTGGCGACAGGTTACCAGAAGACGCCTTTTTCCAGGAAAATGGGCAGCGGATTATTGAGAGAGGAAGATTTCAACTTGACTATCGTCATCCCGAGGTGCGAGCCTGGATGACTCAAGTTGTTGATAGACTTGTGGTTCATTATGGCGCTGGGTATTTCAAGTTCGACTACAACATAGAAGTCATTCAAGGAACTGATGCTCCAGGTTCGTCATCCGCTGGCGCAAATCAGCTCCTCCACCAAAGAGCTTATCTCGACTGGGTCAGGTCGCTTCTAGACAAGCATCCGAACCTTGTGATTGAGAACTGTTCCAGTGGCGCACAAAGGATGGATTATGCCATGTTATCAGTTCACTCTCTTCAGTCCACCAGCGACCAGCAGGACCCTATCCTACACGCAGCAATTGCCGCATCTTTGCCAACAAGTGTACTTCCAGAACAAAGTGCCAGCTGGGCATACCCTCAACCGGAATGGAGTGATGAACTCAATGCCTTCACTATGGTGAACAGTCTACTGGGAAGAGTCTATCTCAGTGGTAGGCTTGACTGCCTAAGTCCTTCGCAGTTAAGTCTCGTCATTGAAGGTTTGCAAGCCTACAAGATAATTCGTCAGCATCTCGTAACGGCACATGCTATCTGGCCTCTTGGACTACCTCACTGGCACGACTCCTGGATTGCGCTGGGTTTAGAGACCAATGATGGTTTATATCTTGCAGTTTGGCGAAGAGGTGGTGGCTCTAGAAAAGAGATACTATTGCCAAGATTGGCTGGATCTGCCAAGGTTCAGGTCAATGTCCTGTATCCCAAGCGGCTACCAACCCAGGCCATATGGAAAGAGGCAGAGAGTTCTTTAGAGCTCGAACTCAGCGAAACAACATGTGCCCGTCTGTTTCATATTACCAACTAGATACTATCTACGGTATGCTCTACAACATTCTCAATGGTAAAGGAAGCCGGCTTGAACAATAGCAAATAACACTTATTTTCCACCATCGCCGCGGCATTGTAATTTACAACTCAATGCCCACATAATTGCCTTCTAGAAGCTGCAGCGCAGCAAAGTCGGTATCCTGTGTGACTCCATCTGAATATAAAGGCCTGCTCTTCCTCCCTTGAGACAATCCAGCTCAACAACCAAGATCACACGAAGTCAAGATGGCCGCACCAACTCGAAGGGCCCATAAGCAATCATACAAATGTGTTAGCCAGTAAAGACGAGATGTCCGATTATGAATTCTTACCAGAGGAGGTAAATAGATGTTTGAAGAAACTTGACTATCGGAAGCATTGTGTGTGCAATTGACGTGGATGTTACTTAGTTTATTTACCCGCCAAACTCTGGTGAGAAGTATTTACAGAAACCGACTTAGAAAGAGATGAAACGAAACTACGAGCCTTGTCTTCTAGCGCTTTTCCCTAGCAGCAAGAGCACCCCTAACACATGGCCACACTAGTCGAGGCTACTCTTTGCAAAAGTCAGAGACAGGCCCTCATACCTCATTTAGAGCTTATAGCAGCATTAAGCAGCCACACTATTTGTGCTAGATTCCACGAGATGTGCCGGTATATACAGATTGGTCAACCTTCCAAATCGAATTTCCAAACTAATAAACAATCCACTTTTTGAAGATTGCTGCTGTCCCTAAATTAAGGAGCCTATATAATAAAAGAAAACGTGTGCACCAGTCAAGGACGTAACTTGACTTGATCCAGGACTCGCGTAGGCCACACACAGAGGTGCGACACCGTAGGTCTTCCGATACCCTTACAGAATACTTATAAGTCGATGGGTTTTAGTAGGGTATATACTGGAAACCAAGCCGGATAGAGGTCTTTTACGTCTCGCCTAACACTCCTGTACGTATTGTATTACAGGTGCACTCTCACAGATCACCTAGAATTTATTTATCTCTGTTTTAGCACTTTGCATATCAAGAGCGGGCAAAATATGTATTGTATTTTGTTTCAAATTGTAACGAGTGTATTTTTTCTTTTCGATTTAACCTTTAACTTTATCAAGCCCAGGCTTTCCAAATCTCTCAATAATATTAACAATAAAAATAACCCCCTCTGAGGGCAAAACTCAATATAATCAAGGCAGCAAAAATCGCATACAGTAACTAAACTCTATCTAAGTAAACACGTAGATTATACGGCCGTATGCATAAAAGCTGGCCCCCCCCCCCCCCCCCCCCCCCCCCCCCCACACCCTTAACCTAATCCATACCACAAGCCTAGTTAATTAACCCTCATAGCTACCTAGTAATTAGAGGTTAGAATCGAGAAGTAAGGTATAAGCCAAGTTACGTATAGTCAGTTAATTAACCCCTACCCTTCGGTATATATTGCTAACTAATTTTATAGCTACTATAATAAGTATCGGAATAATAAGCCGCTATTACAATAGAAGTCTTAGTCTGACCTATATATAAGTTGAACGGGCTATTAATAACCACTGTAATAACAAGTAGGGGCTAAAGACCAAGGCCGAAGCCCTGAGAAATGCCTTCCCGGGGTGGAATTTCCGGGGCGTAATACCACCTCCCGGGATAGGATTAAATAATCTCAACCTAGTCAGGCTAATTGCCTTTGGCCATGAGGTCCTGATACTGCATGAGATGATGCTAGCAAGTAACGAGTGTATAATAGTAAGGAAAAGACTGTAAAGCTAGCTTAACTACTGCCATTCATTTCTTAGTGGTTGGTTGAATGTAATAATGCCCATCGCCACTGCTGCCACCAGAAGAATAACAGTCATTGTCTGCATATTCCCAAAGTTAGCTACTTCATCTCTTGCTTTCTGCTTCATTCCATGCTGACCTACGGTTTCCTTTTATAAGAAACTCTTAGCTGTTGAAGCACTTGTGGCGACCGTTGTACTGAGGCCTAGAGATGCACTCGTGCTTCCCGGTGTACTGCCATTTCTGACTGTTCTTGGGGTAATACTTTGGGCAGACGCAGTTGACGTGGCCGAACTTCGGCTGACATTTGATAGCACAGCGTTGCTGCTTGCCCAATGGGTTTCCATCGCGGAAGTAACACTGTCCAAATTGTTCGTTGGCACAGGTGAAGGCTTGGACAGCCATTACCATACCGCTAACGACAATGAATTTGGAGATATGCATTTTGAGTTGAAGGATGAAGGAGCGGAGTAGAGGGTGCTTCTTGGGCCGCAGTGATAGATAAGGTGGTGTTTGGAAGTTTCTTTGTGTTGGAGAGTGCTTGAGAGTGAATGACTTAACTCGAGAAGTGCAGTCTCAGAGTTCTTATACCTCTCTGTTTCACAGTATAAGTGGGCCAAAAATATCATGCCAGCACAGGTCTCCGTGATACTCACCCATCAGAAAGTAGACAAAATATGTCAAGCAACTTCGCCGCCCCGGAAGTCCTTACCCTTTTCTGAGGCCCGGGAAAGCGACCCCAAGGACCCCCAAGGGCCCCCAAGGGCCCGACTGAGACATGCAGACTGTGGGCTCTGGGATCTGGGATCTAGGGGTAAATTTGTATCACTCTCCTCCTCCATGCGTTTTGTTAAGGTCAATCAAGTCTACATTCAATGAACGATAACAAAAGCGTACCTTCATCTGCAATAAACATTTACTAATAGCCTTTATGATATTAATCAGTTATTGTTGGTATCATTCAGACATGTGGAAAGCCTGGGCTTGATAAAGTTAAAGGTTAAATCGAAAAAGAAAAATGATATTATCAGTACAATCAGGATATACGGTCTCTGTGATAATTGGATAAAGAGATATAGGAGGACTTGCATGCCAAGGCGGGATCGGAGTAATGCGCCGTAGCTACGCATAACAGTTGCACAACCCTTAGCTTACGAATTACGACGTGTATAGTATTTATTTGCTAATATGATGTAAAGATGATCCAAGAATCAGATGTAAGGACTTGGCCTGACACGGTAGTTAGCAACAAGCGTTTACAGGACTACTTGTGTGTCTCAATGTAGATACCCAAAGAGATATGTAAAGAGTCATCCTACGTATGTCGTAAATGCCGATTCGCTGTACGGAAGTACAACTAACAAAGAAGATGTTAATTGCGTAACCATGCTGGGCGAATGAATGATAGGCATTGCACAGATAATAATAGCAGTTACACAAATAGTCGCTATACATACCAAGTTAGTCCACACCAAGACTATCAATAGTAAGCATTGTCGAAAATCTCCGAGGTATGAATTTGATATAAACCAGTGACAACCAATAAGGCAAGGAAACAGCGGGGAAGATGGGGGCGATATACATAGGCGCATATTTGACCACGTATTCACGCTTGGCAAATAGCTATATTCAACCAAGCTGAAAACATACCTTGTGTTCTGCATTTGCGCACTGAACAGCTCTCTCTTGGACTAATTCACACATTGCAATCAGCCATTGTGTTCATCCCCTTTGGCATTGGTTCTAGGAGACTGGTGAGGTTACTTGCACATTTTAATCTTACATTTCCGTCGATGCGCGAATTTGATCAAGATAATCATGATCCTGCCAACCATATACTGACTTGCATTATTATTATAAACAGCATACATTGGCACGAGAGAGGGCTAGCTAGGCTTGGAAGTTATGTAGCTTCGATTAAAGATAATTCATATACATAGAAACATAAATAGCTATCTAAGATCTTTAAGATAGAATTGACAGGTTTCCATGATTGTAATCTATGGTTGACTAAGTGCAATCTTTATTGTTTGCGAGGATCTAGCATCCGCGAATGTATATATCCGAAGAGTCCAGCAACGTGTCTAGGGAAAGAAGGTTCATCTCTCGGCCGGGATTCTTAACATAAGAAACGCACCGAGACGTTCCAAGAACAACAGCCACCAGCACCGCATCCAGCAACGCTTCCCAGTCTTGCCGGAACTGTGCAAAGTTACTGTGGGCTAGAGTTGGCTCGCCGTTAAAGTATTTGATGATTTGTCGTTGCTGCAGAGTTGTCGGTGATGACTGCAGAATCGAGACGTCAAATAAGTTGGTAAAACCGCTGTCTGTCTCTTCCTTTCTCATGTATGTAAGAGCATCTAAAGCCTGCTTCACTTTGTAGCCGCCCGATGTCGATTGAAACACTGGTAGCCAGATATTAGAGAGCATCGTAATGATACGATTTATGGATCTCCAAAAGAGGCCACCCCTTTTACCATTGAATTGAATAGAGTCAACATAAACGGGTAGGAATGAGACCTCATCGTCCCAGCCTTCGTCGAGGCCGATGGCGGCAATCCAGCCGCCACGGCGCAGATCACTGCCGCTGAAGATGCACCGCTGCCAAGGATCCTGAGATAGTGGTGGATAGCCGTCGAGAATTCTCTGAACATGTGATTTTGACAATGTTCTTTGTAATGTGCCTTGGAGGTGAAGAACGAGGATATCTGGCTTGTTTTCCATCTTCTTGATGATCTGCCTGTTGATGGCTACACCAGCAAAGTCGATGTCTATGGCATCAGGGCGCTGTCTTGAGGGCAAGTGGTCGGCTTTAGCCGCCATGATAATGAAGGCGCGGATCACATTAGCGTCGACGTATAAAAGGTCATTGGAAAGAAGTAGAGATTGGGGCTTATTTAAGCGCTCATAACCTGCTGATATTCGTTGATTAAGGACGGTTGTGAGAGTGCGATCCCAGCACGTCTTGTCTTTGACGTGTGTCTGGGAATGACATTGAGACGACGTGCAAACGTGGAGCGGTCCGTCCGATAAATTATGCCAGAAAAGCTTTGCGCATGTTCCTTCAGATGGATGTAAGGCTATTCGGCCTCGACGAGCTGCCCAGGTGATCATATCCCAGCCGCGATCAGTCAAGATCACAGCGGCTAGGGCGGGAACTAAAGCCACGATGGCGAGAGCAGTGTCGCCAGCCATATCGTTTCGCTTTCCCTAAGAATTATCCCATGAACAAAGGTACCGTCTGGTCTTTGCTTTGGTAACAAGGCATTGCTTACGGAATGGAATCTTGTTGGGCAACAAGAAAGAGGGGTAAACGCCACAATATTGATCAGGCAGAAATCCAGATGTCAATATTTGAGTCAGCAGCCCAGCATTTCCACTGTTCAGATTGCGTATCAACCAAATATAAGATGATCTCTCAGCCTCAGGTCTCAGCTGCATACCATCCATCGCTAGCCCCTACTAAATATGGCTCTACACCTCGAGGACCAGCTGTTCCAGGCCATCCAGGGGAACGACACATCCACTGTTGGCCAGCTACTTGACGATGGTGCTGACCCTAATGCAGGCCTGCTTGAAGGTGACTGCTCAGCCCTTTCTATAGCTGTTCGAAATGGAGCAGAGGATATCGTCGACCTGCTTTTGCGCCACGGCTGTCATTGTTGCATGGTCGAACATGTTTCCGAATCGCCCGCGACCCCTAACCCTAATCCTGGAGTAGACACAAATGCGACAAACTCCTTGGTCAGACGGTTAGTCGCACCCATAGGACTCTCATTTGCCTGGACTTCATTAGTCCGCTATATGCTGCGACGTTTTGGGTGGCAGCGTCCAAATAAGTACCAGGCCATCTTGATGGGAGCTGGTCACTACCTCCACTGGGTCGAAGTTGTGGCAAAAGAAGCCCTTTCGCTTAATGTCAACTTGTCATGGTCGTTCTACCTAAGCTACAAGTTCCATGTCGGTAATATAATCATAGTCGGCATTTTCCACAGGCTACACAATGCGATCACCGGTAGACTTTCGGGAGATTATGCAGCGGCATCAAGGCTAGGCCTCAGCTTTCCGTGGTTTGCTCAGGATATCTTCTTTTCGATACTTTCTCACATGACCATTCACAGTATGGCTAGATGCATACGATATATGGGTATCAGGGCAGGGTTGATGGAGAAGCCTCTAGCAATCAGCCCGGAGGTGATTTCCAGGCTCCAACGCAGGAATTGGGTGCCACCAGCCAAGAAGGTTCTCGACGCTGTTCTTGAGTCGACTTCAATCACTGAATCTATCGTCCTTAAACTGTTACGGGCCGATATGCTGGCTGCGAGGCCGTACAGCAAGTCACATGTAGTGTTGGAGCTCTGCGACCTAGCCATAGACCGTTGCTGGAGCGAGGTCTTAGTGTATCTAGTCCGCCAGGGTGCTATTCTCGAGCCGCTCGATCACCGCCTTTCTCTGCAGGATACCTCATGGCCTCACGTTATGGAGGCCATTGTTTATGAAATTCCTTCTACAGAACAAAATGGGTTTGCGACAGCGAGCTTTAAAGGAGTCCCGGTTCGGGGTAGCATCGAAAGACCGCCATGGTCTTTAATACGTCCTAAACCTGCATTCCACGCTTTAATGGAATCTACAACATTCCAGAGGCTGGTCAGCTCGGGCCTTGAAAATGATGAGGCGATGTGTGAGAGAATGATGGATATCTTGGTGGAAGCCGGGGCAGACTCCACGGCCATCCATCACGACCGCGACGCGGCTTCCTCCATTACCAGACCGAAAAAAAACCCTTGTTCAGCGAGGGTCCTTGAGTACTTTCTAAGAATTCACTCGGCTGCTACTCTGCCCGGACCAGAAGTAAATATAGACGAAATGCTAACTGTGAGAGAATCTGCACTGTATTCTGCTCTGAACAGCATCAACCCGAACCTGGAACATGTTGAGCTTCTCCTGCGCATTGGCGGCTACTCAGCCAGGGCTGAGAACAGCGAAGGCCGTACTCCGATGTTTGTCGCCGCATATATGAACGAGATCACTGAAGCCATGGACCTGCTTCTCGACCATGGTGCCGACCCCAATGATGGCGGCAGTAAAGGTTATCCTCCGCTTGTGCGAGCTTTGGAAGACTCGAGCTTGGGCAAGTTCATGTTCCTTCTCGCAAGCGGAGCCAATCCCTATGTCAGGCACGGTGACAAAAGTATCTTGACTGTTGTACTGGAGCTTCCTGATACTTCGGTGGTTTTCAAGTACAAACTGGCGCGGCATCTCATGGTAGTCCGGGGGGTTGACGTCTATGAATTTGCCACTAGGACTTCGCCAGCGCTTCGAGTCGGCACGGCCCAGGGTTGCTACCCAGGTTACAAAGAGTTGATACTTGATATGCTCATTGACAGTATACCTAAGAGATACTTGCAGGGCCAGTTGAATGATGCATTAGAATTCTGCTGTCGAGAGTTAGAACCCCCATTCTTTTGGAAACCTTACGCTTCCGCCCTGTTCTACTTGCTGCGTAACGGTGCTGAACCGAGGGTAGCCAAACAGGGATTTAATAATCTGCTTCATCTTATCTGCGGCAGTGGGGGCGGGTCTGACCACGAGCATCGCGATGATATAGCGGCATTGTTGGCGAAAGATTCCCTTAATATCAATGCTGTCGGAAATGGTGGCAGTCGACCCTTACATCTTGCTATCCTCCAAACTAAGAGGGATTTCGTCCTACTGCTGCTCGAAAATGGCGCTACAACAGATGTTGAAGACGACCATCATATGACGCCGCTACAGGTTCTTTGTTCTAAGCCATGTTCTGAATATGACCTCACTTACTCATCTGATGAGATAGATAGCAGTCTTGACGATCCCTACTATCAAGGCAAACGAGGAGAAGGTGCTTTTACGTTCGATCTCCGAGCAGCGAGGATGCAGGTGAAAACCAGTCTCGAACAAGAGGAGATACTTCAAGCACTATTGAACCATGGCGCAGACCCTTTTAAGGTAGACGCCAGCGGTCGTAATACTCTCATGTTGGCATGTGAAAAGGGAAACACCGTGCTTGTGGCAGGGATAATTTACTGGCTCCATCAGTCGCCGGCGGTTCTTTCTGAGACAGTCCTGGATGCTACGGACAATGAGAGGAACACTTGTCTTCATGTTGCGGCCGCATGGGGACGCACACGCATTGTCAAAGTCTTGCTTGGCCCGCAGCATCTCCGACAGCCCGTGCGAAACGAGTGGCGAGAAAAAGCTATTCGTGATGAAAAATCCGCCAGGTCAGATACATTTACCAACCTTCAAGTACTGCAACGACAAGAGGACGATTACGCTAAATCCCCAGCTGGACCCTTCCTTCGTGGCAGGAGTTTGATCTTCACTCCACCTCAAGCTGATGTTAGGTTCACTATTGGTAGCGAAAGAAGACTGACCGAAGAAAGCATCACACTACCGAATGTCAGCGTTTCGGAATGGGAACTGAAAAGAGCAACGATCACCAACCAGACCGCCAAGCTTATTGTACGAACAAATACGAAAGGGAAGACACCACTACACTGTGCCGCACAAAATGGCCATTTAGATGTCGTTGAATTAGTGCTAGAGCTTACAGATCCTGATATTGCGGCAACAGATACCCAAGGGAAGACAGCAGCACATTTGGCCTTGGAGAACAATCACTTTGATATTTACCATATCTTGCAAAATCATGGATAGAGACTCAGAAAATGGAAAAGATCTCAATCGGTTACGCCCTAACTTGTGTTGGAATAGCCCCATATGATAATACTTAATTGGACTACTACCCGATCTGCAGAGTGAGTACATGCGTCTAGGTATCCAATTGTTTAAGTGCCTAAGATTTAGTATAGATATGGGTTAGACCTACCTACGTTTAATCTGGTATAGTTGAAAAAGGGTGTATTTAATAACCTTAGGTCGAGAGATTGTATATCTTTGAAGCCTTCTATACTATAGGCCTCCTAGGACGAGTAACCATGTCCACTTAGTTACTCCGTCGCTTCTACCTACGAGCAACTCAATCGCAAGTGGAGTGAGGGATCGTATCCTTAAGTTGTAGTTATTAAAGCTAGCTAGACTTTGTTCTACGAAAAGAGCTAGAATAACAACTTTAAGATTTCTTTTTCGCTAGCCGCTCTCGCCCATCAGTCCCATGAAACCAGTCTAACCACGGCATACCTCCAAAGTGAACATCGAATCGTTCGTGATGGCGGTCATGACGATATGCTGCACCTCCAAAGAAGTCATATCCGCTATGAACCGTAGCTGTCTCAACGAGTTGCCAAGCAACGAACGCCCACATTGTTAATATGTGAGTGCGCAGAATAATAGGCGGTAGGACTATTGGGATAGTGTTGGCGACAATGTGCTCGACGGGATGCGCATACTGTGATGCGAAGGAAACAGGTGCTTTAAATTTGTGGTGGATCTTGTGGATGCGACGGTATAGATAAGGAACATGGAAGAGCCGGTGGGAATAGTAGAACAGGATCTCCCGAGCTACCAGACAGATTGTAAAATCGAAGACAAAAGCCTTTGCAGATGGTATTGGTGCTGTGATCTGAAAAGGGGACGGCTGATTTTGTAGGTTCGCAAGAGCAGCCAAGGAAAGCTGAAGCGCGAGCACAATAGCTTGATTTCTCAAAGATATGACGATTGCATCCATGATTTCAGAGTAACTGGGCTGCTTTGGAGCAGGTTGGATCTTGTGTTTGGCTGCGAAGGATGGGGCAAGATAGTCGAGAAGAACAAACAAAGCCGATGGTATCCACCAGAAGACAACTTGAACAGCCAGAGTGCCGACCATTTCAATCACAAATGGATCGTGGCGGGCAACTATCTGAGCCCATTTCTGAGACATGTTGGATTCTATAGAGGAATTGAATGATAATCGACTTGTCGACGGACAGATCCAAGGCCTATATATAAAAGTGAAGCTACTAACTCAATCAAGTAGGAGGGCAACTTTAACACGCTACCCCGCGATTTTCAATGCTAGCGCATGGGATTGTCATAAGAGGCTAATGAGGGTGTCTTCTCACTTGCCCAAACCAGTCAAGCAACTTCAATCAAAGCCAACATTGACCCGAGAGCCTCGGTTGGCGTTATTCATCTTCAGCTTCTGACGTATCACATGGGTCCATCACATGATTCTTGAATTTATGTTAAGGATTTGGCAGATAATTCAATTGTAGGCTCGTACCTATAACCCGCAGTCTTTATGTGTAGGCCAGGAAGACCAACCGATGTGTTTTGTGAAATGAGCGATATTATCACTAATATGAATACATCCAGCTGTATCCAAATACATGAATGCTACCTGATATAGACTAGGTATATCTGATTGGTAGTAGTCTTATTCTTGGTAATCAGACAACTACTAACAGGATGATTTTGTCATTCTGCAAACCATGTTAAGAATGTCTTTGACTGAGTAATAATTCGTGAACGCGGGGCGAGAAATATCACCTCTACAACTAAAACTTGCAATTTTAAGACGCCAGTTGGAGCTAGCAAAAATGGAGCTAGCCTAGCCTATGCCTTGTCCGTGGCGGATGATTAGTCATCCAGGATTGAGCATAGATCTCAGACCAGGTTTGCGTTTGTAGCCTCGCATCGTATATAACCCCATATTGTGCGGACATAGTATCTCTATAGACAAACTAAATATATGACAAGAGTAATTGGCTCCAAGAAGGGCTGCCGCTACGGATACAGTGCCGCATCGGATATTACGGCCGGAAGTTCTGTGCCGCAACCAGTCTCGGCACCAATGTCCCGGGCTTAGCTTGGAATTCTTTGCCAAGAGCTAAGAATACACCTTTCATAGAGCCAAGAAGTTACATCATCAGCACCGCTGTGCCACTCAATCAGGCATTCTGTCCAGAGGTACGTAAGCCCAGATGATAATATTTCAGCCACCTTGGAAATACAAGGCACAATGTTTCCGGACGGAAAGCTTAGCATGCAACCTTGTTCAAATGACGTTTTTGCGATGATGCGCGAGATATAACAAGCATTAGTCCCAGGAACGTCGTTCCTGATGTGAAGGTTCTTCATTTATTTTACTCTGAGGGCTAGTAAAAATCAGCATGGTTTCGCAGCACGTCTTCGACCTTTGCCAAGCAAGAGACACGGTCAGTTCCGTCTTGGCAACGGATCCAAGCCAACCACCCGGCGACATCGTTAAGAAATTGTACGGCCATCACGAACACGGTTTACACCACGGTCTCACGACCGGAGAGGGTAAAACCTCGGCCAACGACACCGAAAACGCTCTTCAGTGCGGTCGTTGGGGTCCCACCAATCCAAGTGCATTATTCCTACAAGCATTCGCAGACTCTCTACGATGTCTCGACAGGGATCCTCTGGCAGGTGTTGTCTCGCCTCCTTTGATGGGTTCCCATGGAACAATACCTCTTACAGTCATTGCGCCGCTGGCGGATGTTATACGTCATTGCTCCAACCTGATTGTGCGCGCCCAGAAGGAAGTGTTTTACATCACATGCTCATGGGCACCATCAGTAGCTCAAGCACTACTAAAAGATGCTCTGATTGAGCTTTCAAGACGGGCTGGAAGGAGGCGAGAGCGAGTGGTGGTCAAAATTATGTTTGACAAGCCGGGACCGTCAAACGCAGTAACGCCACATCAGCCCGTCAAGGTCAAGACGTATACTTCTAAGTCCGTCGATCTTCCTTCTCCCGAGGAGATTCCCAACATCGACCTCGAGGTGGTCAGTCTGCACAGATTAATTCTGGGAACGCTGCATGCCAAGTTCTGCTTGGTCGATCGGAAAATCGCTGCGGTTATGAGCAACAACACAGAAGATAATGATAATTTGGAGATGATGGTTCATGTCGAGGGACCCATCGTTGACAGCATATACGATACAGCCTTGATTACCTGGCAGAACACCTTACACCCAGTACTCCCCTCACTTGGACCCTCGGCCGCTGGTAGTGACTCGTCATTATCCGAGGAAGACCCTTCAAATACCAGTGGAGGGGAACTACCGATAGTAGATCCACTCACAGCGACACAAAACGACGGCGGTGCGCTTCCTGAGCACATGCCTGGCAATCCCCACTATGACGACGACATTCAAGGAGAGATCACACGCATGCAATCATGCTACTCTATGAAGCAAGGGGAGAGCCGTCTTCAAGCAGCCAACCGCCATCTCAATATTGCAGTACACCGACCAATCGAGCCTACAGGCCCGGAGATCTATGAGGGCGAGGAGATGACACCGTACATCCCAAGTTCGATCGACTCAAAACCAGTCCCTATGGCTCTTGTATCCCGTCCCCCCTATGGAGCTATCGATTCAAAAAGCATCCACGTTCCTCAAAACGAAGCTTGGCTGTCCTTGATAAGAAATGCGACGCGGAGTATTTTCATTCAAACACCTGATCTCAATGCCGCTCCTTTAGTCCCAGCACTTATCGAAGCGTTGAAGAGGGGAGTTGAAGTTACTTATTACGTTTGTTTCGGATATAATGATCCCGGTGAAATGATCCCTGGCCAGGGTGGGACCAACGATCAGATTTCTCAAAGTCTTACTGCATCACTTCCTAAGGATGGCCCTGAACGCAAGCTTTTGCACATATACAATTATGTCGGGAAGGATCAAGACCACCCCATCCATCAGTCCTTCAAATCTCGTTCATGTCATATCAAGCTTTTGATCGTGGACGAGAGCGTCGGTATTCAAGGCAGTGGCAACCAAGACACACAATCATGGTTTCACAGCCAGGAGATCAACCTCATGGTTGATAGTACGGAGATCTGTCGGAAGTGGAGGGAGGGTATCGATAGGAACCAGAATACGAGAAAGTTTGGAAAGGTAGCGGAGGACGGAATATGGAGAGATGCGAAAGGAAATCCTGGTAAAGGATATATGGGTAACCCAGGAACTGTGATGGGTTTGGTAAAGGGCGTGACTGGGATGATAATGAAGATGAAAGGACCAGGAGGGTTTTAAGTACCTTAGCTACACGTAATCAAGGGCAATGTTACGCATGATTCGTTCTTTTGACATCTGGAATTGACATACCTGGCTATTTGTTAATCGCCCATTCCGAGATTCGCTGCTTGCAGCGTAGACCAGTAGCCGAGTAAGATCGAGTTGTCAGCCCAGGGAAACCAATTCAGTGAGTATTTGAGTGTAGGCACCACTGGATTTACCCTAGAGAATGCTGCTGCTAGAATCTCTCGTATGATCTGCCCTTTTGTAGAGTAGAGCCCATGGCCATGTTAGAGACAGACTGATAGGTCGCATCGTAGATATTGTCCCAGCCGTACTACATTTTGAGGTTTGCATTCCGGATGCTATTGTTATTAGAGGCATTGAACATCGGTATGGATCCGAGCTCGTGAGCTACGCCGCTGGGACTAAGCTCGACCAATTCAATGTCATGCATGGTAACTTTGTTGTTAAAAAGTCAACAGCCTGACAGCAAGACCAACATTGAAAAAGATAGGTATAAAAGTGAATTCTCAGTGGCTCAGGTCTAGACTCAGCACATAGGAGTTTGGTAGTCACACATCTTAGCCAAGCACGGTCACAAGCGCAGTCACAAACGATAGCACATATCTTGTCACTTCGCACCTACAGTTCGTGCCGTCACTGCCGTGCCGTATATGTCTCCAATGAACAGCTGCATCAGCAAATAATATTAAGGGCCAGGTTGAAAATGAGGCTGACATTGTGCGGGGTAATGTTCAGCTGAATCAGATATTGCTTTTCACCACATATTCAAGAAGCGGCTCATTTTTGCATCGCATATTTAGACGGATTCACTAGAAGTGCATCAAAAAGTTGCATTGGCTATAGTAATTATCGATTTCACACTTTTATTACTTCATTAACCTCACCTATGTGTGTGGAGAGACCCTATCTGTGTGGTCAATACTCACACAAGCTCTTGCGGTAATATCTCATCCTCAATGGCATTCCAAACACCATCAACCCCAAACGTCGATCACTCCCCTCCCTTGGCTCTGGAATATCGTATCGCAATAATATGTGCATTGCAGTCGGAGGCGGAACAAGTCCGTGCTGTGTTCGATACCTTTTGGGCCGACCATCCTTCAGGCGATGGAATCACAAAAGCTCATAACGACCCGAACCATTACACGACGGGGACGATAGGTGTGCACAATGTTGTCCTTGCTCATATGCCTAGTTACGGCAACAAGACTTCTGCTGCAGTGGCCTCCGGAATTCGACATTCCTTTCCCGACATCACGCTTTGCCTTGTTGTTGGTATCTGTGGAGGTGTGCCCACAGCAGGCGGAACAGAAATCCTACTTGGCGATGTTATCATCAGCGATTGCATTATCGAGAATGACCTAGCACGACAGTACCCAGATCAGCGTCGACCTGTCAACACACTGGGCTATCGCCACAACCAAGAAGTACAAGGATTCTTGAATATGCTGCAAGTCAACTCTCTAGAACACTATACGCAGACATACCTCAACGATCCTTCCAACAGTCGACGCAACATCCCACCCACCGCAAAACCTACATATCTAGGTTTCGGTCAAGACAAGCTCTTCGAGTCAAATCATAGACACAAACATCATACCCAGGATCATTGTAGCATATGCGATAGCTGTTCAAGTGATGCTGATGCTGTCTGTGAAAAGTCGGAGAACCTCGACTGTGAGACGCTTGGTTGCTACAGACGGAAACATCGCAACTGTCCGGCAAAGCCTGAAAATACCAATCCACGCGTGCATTTCGGCAAATTCGCATCAGGTGACGTCGTCATGAAGTCTGGCAAGCATCGTGACGAGTTGGCAAATGGTTTGGGAGCCATCGCGTTCGAGATGGAAGGGGCAGGAGTGTGCAGAACAATTCCTTGCGTTATCATCAAAGCAGTGTGCGACTATGCGGACAGTCATAAGAATAAGGAGTGGCAAGGTTATGCTGCAGCAACCGCAGCGGCCTGTATGAAGGCATTCTTGAAGGATTGGAGGCCCAGTGTTGGTATGATGAGTCAAGTTTTGACCCTCCGTAAGTTATTTCCCCCAAAAGACAAACAACACCAACCTCTGCCTGGCTTCCTGTGAGCTTAAAGAGCTTGAAATAAAACAACTTGACGTGGATCTAATCTATCGGCTCATTAATAGTTCATTCGGACCCCCGAATTATCCTGAAAGACGCCGCAAGCACCGAGATGATGCAGAGTCTCTTTGTCGTAGACCCACCAGCCATCAGAAAGGAGATCGAAATGGCTAAGGGTCCTCTGCTATCTAGCACAGGATCCTGGATTTATGACGACGGCAAAACTAATGTACGTTCGCAAAAGCCTACGACCGCGCATTCTGTTTTCAGCAATTGGTGGACAGACAATGTGTCTCATATACTTTGGATTCGTGGCGATCCGGGTAAAGGAAAAACAATGCTCGCAATCTCGTTGATCGATGAATTGCAGCGGCGACTGGGAACCCAAGAGAAGTCAAATACTCGTCAGCCCTCTCTAGCGTATTTCTTTTGTGCCTACGATGATGAAGTGAAGAGAGATGCATCATACATTGTCCGATCGTTACTTTGGCAACTTCTCTCACAACACCCCGACCTTACACTATCTTTTCGCCGGACATACGATACACAAGCGAAAGATTATTTGTTCACGAAATCACCAGCCGCTCTTTCCTCACTACTACATGTTCTTGACCAGATTGTCAATGAATCAGGATCAACTTCATATTTTGTGGTTGATGCTCTCGACGAATGTTCTCCCGAATCACGAGATACGTTGCTGAAGTACTTGGAGGGACTCAATACGCCAAAGAAAACGGGGAAGCGAGGTACATCCAAGTGGGTACTCACTTCCAGAAACAATATAGAGATATCAAGTGATATGTCGTCTATAAGCTTGGAAGCAAACGCGAATTATGTCGAAAATACCATCGCTGAGTATGTGGAGTACAAAGTTCAGAAATTGGCATCATCAAAGCAGTACCCGGACGACATCAAAGACACTGTCCAAAAGACTCTTTCAGAGAAAGCAAAGGGGTCATTTCTTTGGATAGCATTGATCTATGAGGAGCTTCGACATGTCAAAAGTATCAACATACCGACAGTGTTAGAAGTCATACCTGCAGGCCTCCCTCAGCTTTACAATCGAATGCTCGACCAGATACTTGACAATCAACATACACCTGAAGATGTGCCCCATGCAATGAACATATTGCGGACGATCACAATGGCGACTCGACCTCTGAGCTTGCAAGAACTCGCCGTAGCCGCGAACCTACCGAAGGCCTGTTGGGATAACGACCAGAGCGTTAGAGAATACATCTCACTCTGTGGGTCATTCGTCAACCTGAATCACGTATCAGACTATGCATCACTTATCCATCCGTCTGTTAGAGACTATCTCCTTCCAAGCGTTGCCTGACGGTAAGTTCTTGCTGGACGAGTCCGGTCAAAATGTACTGTCAGGATCCAAGCATATGTCGCTGTCCAGCGAAATGCCTCAAGCCCGAGATGTATCCACAAGCGGAAAACCACCCAATTCATGCTATCATAGGCTCAGATCGTTGGTTTCCAATTGAGGAAGGGATAACGCATACAGCGATGGCCGAGCAATGTGTCAGCTACCTGCGTACCGAGGTGCTCAAACAGGCTTCTCGACGTGCTCCACCAAGGCGAAAAGGCGATGAGTCCTCTGACTCCAAGTTATGGAGGCCCCCCTTGGCAAAGTACACAGTTACCTCCTGGGTAATCCATGGCAGAAAAGCCTCCGATGACATCGAAAAGGTTGTAAGGAAGATCCCAAATCTAGAACGTTTCTTGACTCAGTGGCTAGCAGCCATCTGGGCGCTCTACCAACACGAAGACATTCCATTCAATGGCCGACTCCCAAATGCCAGAAACATGACGCCAATGTGCATAGGCGCCTACATCGGAATTCCAAAGTTGGTGGAGGTCTTAGTTGAGAATGAGGCAGATGTTAGCGAGAAGGACGGTTCGGGCTTCTCGCCTCTTTGCTACGCAGCCGATGGAGGGCATGAGAGAGTGTTACGTTTGCTACTTGAGAAGGGTGCAGATATCAACGCACAATCTGAAAATGGGATGACAGCGCTCTTTGCTGCAGTTGAAGGTGGACACGAACGCATTTTAGATCTTCTGCTCAAATCCAAACCCAAGGCCGATCACACAATCACACGGGGTACGCTTCGGCAAACCCCACTGCATGTGGCAGTTGACAAGCTAGCACATGGGATGGTAGAGTTACTTCTAGAGCACGATGCTGATCCCAATTCCAAGGATCTCCACAGCTGTACACCACTTCATATTGCTGCAGCCGGAGGCATTCAGGTGATGCAAGACATGATGCGCCTCCCGGAGGGTGGGTGCTGTGCTGGGTCAAGCTCGGCCATGTCATTTGGCGGTCCGAAGCACATCAAGATCAAAGCCGAGGACCAAGCCGAGAATAGATCCTATGCAGACATGGTCGAATTGCTCATTGATCACGGCGCGGATGTTTCGGCTCGTGACCGAAATTGCCACACACCACTCCACTTGGCAGTTGATGGGGGCTACGAGGCTATTGCCCAGGTATTGATTGACTATGAAGCCGAGATTGATGCCGTGGACAAAGATGGATGGACACCTCTGCAATGGTCTGTCGAAAGAGGCTTAGTCAACATGACCCAGCTGTTGCTCGAAAATGATGCGAGCCCCGACATTGTAGACAAGTTCGGAAGGACAGCATTACATTGGGCTGTTTTTAAAGAAAACATGGCGATAGTAAAGATCCTATTAGAACACAGAGCGCAGCCTAACATCCTCGACATCTACTCTGGAGCAACACCACTGCACTTGGCGTTATATAGAGAAGATAAGGATATGGTACTGTTGCTGTTGAAGCATGGTGCCAACCCGAATGCTCAGTCTGAGATTCGAACATCCTTTGCTGAAGAGATCAAAGCCAAATTCAAGAAAACACCCTACCCGTACGGACGGAGCAGTGTGAGGAACTATCTTCTGACGTCGAAATCAGTGAGCAAGGTGTGTGAGGGCAAATCTGCTGGCATCCCCCTACAATGGGGGAATGAAGAGATGAGGACCATCCTTCTTGAGAACGGTGCTGATCCGAACCTACAAGAGAACGAGCTCGGCTTGTCCTTGCTGTTCCGTGCAGCAGCTTCCGGGGAACATGATCTAGTACGGCTGTTATTGGACAAGTACCACCCGCCATTAGCTGCCCGAAATGCACTTCAGCAGACGGTTCTTCACTATGCAGGGACTGCAAAGATTGCAGAAATGCTTCTTGACGCGGGAGCTAATATCAACGCCGCGGACGTAAATGGCAGAACAGCTCTACACTCCGCGGCTGCGTTTGGGTATCACGACATGGTGAAGAGACTTTTAGCGAGGGGAGCTTATCCAACCTTGAAAGATTGTGATGGAATAAATCCCCTTCAACTAGCGGTGTGGATGGAAGCTGATCAGCTCAAGAGGCTCTTTGAGAGATGGTACAAAAGGCAGTTTCCAACTGCACGTAATCATACTGAGCTACGAATGAGAAGAAATGATGAGATACAAGATGGGACGATGGAGGAAGTATTGTTTTATTTTAGACCGGTTAAGGAAGAACTAGCCTTGTACATGTATGCTATGGCTTGGGAGAAATTTATAACTAAGGTTACATAGTGTTTAGAAATGATTTGTGAGAAATGGTTTTCTATTTCTACTTGGGAATTTAACTTAGTAATAGAACCTGCTACAGGGACCACTCGAAATTGAAATCTTCCGTCATAGTATTAGTTTCAAGCGAAATCCACGGAGTCCTTATTATAAACAGTACGTAGAGGTATCAAACGATGCCTCTGGTAATGTAGTCTTATCGCTAATCGACTTCTTTACATTTTAATATGCTACGGTGCGGTATCTATCTACGCAGCCTTGTCAGACCCAAATTCCCTACATGCCCGTCATTTAATGTCGATATGGATTATGGAGCCTGGCGTTACGGCTCTAATCACGCAATCGCCTTCTGGGGGAAGTAACCGTTGATGTTGGCACTTATAAATGTAGGAAAGGCAAAAAGAAGAATCTTTGTAGGCTTTCTTTTTTATGAACCTAGTACAAGCTAGGGATTAGTGATAGGGTACTCCGATCTGGCCCAAGCGCATATTGGGAATGTTTAGCTTACCTACGATAAGCTTCCATATTCTCGTATGTAAAAAGTCGTTTAACTCTACTATCAGTATGCTAACGCGCTTCCTCTCTTAACAAAACCAAGCCTCTCAAGAGTAACTAGGGTTATCTTCGAAAACAAAGTCTGTATATGTCCCCCAAAGCTCCTCGAACTCGCGTGGCGGCGGTTCCTCGTGATTAGTTGCCGCCACTGTGTCCATGTCCTCTCCCGCTACTTCCAAAGCCTGGTTCACAGGGACCAAGATGCCAGTGTCATATTGAGTAAAGTTTCTAGTGGCTTGATCGGTGCCAATGAAGCTGTTTCGATGGTCTGAAAGGTGTAGCATCTCAGTTTGGTTGCCAAGAGTGTGGTTGGGGCTCTCTGGAACCAATGTGTCTGTGCGCTCACTTCCCGAGCCGAGACCTTCCTGGATAGTGTCGGGGTTACTGCTGAGGCTCTCTTCTGGAGTTCCATTGCTTCTGTTTGAGGCTCCGAGGGGTCGCGCAAGTTGTTGGTTGAGATATTGGCCAAAAAGGCGGCCAAGTGCACGCCGCATATCATTGATACCAGGACCTCCCTCGCGTGAAAAGGTGGGGTCTTGTTGTATTTCCTGTAACAGAACTCCAGCGCCATCTGTCATGAGATAATGGTAAGGGATATTAAGGGCTTCGTCAAGCGCAGCAGCGACGGCTAGTGGTTGTTCGCAGATCTCAAAGTTGTTGTATGGCGAACATGGTCGTGATAAATGGCCGGGAAATAAAATGTCAAACACTTCATACCATTGCTGTTCCCTAGTACCACGAGACGATGGCCTCTGAAGTCGAATCCTCTTGGCCTCTTCTACATGTGGGCTGTGGTTGCGTTTGAGATGTTGTTTCACGTCGCGTACCCGCTTAAACCCAAACCTTGTACACTCACGATAGACACGCAGATCCTTTTTAGAGAAGGGACATGCCAAAGGCGGCTCAGTATGATCTTCTACTGTCCTTCTCCGGCGTTTCGCTATTTTGGACGGACCAGATGTAGCTTCCAGGTCATATGTTTCATGATTTTGCTTTCTTTTGCTTGAATCTTTGGACGCTTGATTGCTTGGCGGACCGTTTTCTCCATTGTCGTTTGACTGTCCTCGGTGACGATCATATGTTTGGTTTTGGAAGTCCTGCCGCTCTTGGAGTAATTTTTCAATCATATACTTCATGTTTTGATGGAGCCACTGTTGGTGGTGTTGTTGTTGTTGTTTTTGTTGTTGCAGAAACTGGTTTTCCGAAATCTCTTTGTCTTTCGATGAAGAATTGGGGGCAGTATCGCCATTCTCAAGTGCTGTAGTGCTTTCACCGAACCTAGAATCGTCTGTCTCATGCGACTTGGTTATAAACCATGTGCCACCCTGGTCCAGATTAAGTCTGTTCTCATTCGATGAGAAGGCTCCAGTGGGCGTCGACGTGTCTAGAGCTTGTGGTTCGATGGACTCGATTTCTTTGCCAAGCTGGCCTGAAATGAACAGAATGCTTCGATCCTTGGTAAAGACTGATTCCGGCGGAAGGTGATCAACAGCTACCATGCTCAAATGCAGAGGCTGGGATGTGTTGGATCTAGTCACAATTTCTAGCATGGGCTGTCAAATGCTGCATCTGTGGTGGTCATAATTAGAACGAGAAAGGGTGTGATATTTGGGTTTTCCAAGTGATGGCCTAGTCCGTACCACATATGAGGTTACACTGAGCTGGGAGAATTCTCACGTCTCTCAATTGTTGATGGAGCGGGTTAGGCGTATCGAGATAAGGAGGTTATGTTGATAACTCGTGAGCTAAGTTATTCAAAAGTGGCGAAATTTTATGTACCCACTGGTCGGGGCGGACGGGGCAGCCAGCAGCAGTGTCGGTTTCACGCCATGGAATTTGATTGGCTGCGGGGCGCATCTGACGTAGCTGCTGTGCATGTGCAGGTCGTGACACCTCTGTGTGTAATCAGAGGCTCGAAAACACAGCAGCACTACACTATGGTCAGCAATATCAAGTGATGTAACCGACTTCGGAACCGACTTCGGACATTTACGCATTTCACTACAGTTACTTAAAGATATTGTGTTCAAATACTTGACAAATAGTTGTTCTGCTCTCCTAGCGTCAATCCGTTTATACCGGTATAAAAGTGTAGTTCTAAACATGAGGTAAGATATACCTGGCTAAGTAAACTCATAGGAGCTGTCTAGTATTGGCATTCTCAACTCAATCTTAGAGCAAGGATGAAGCTGATGGAATGGAGCGCCACAACCTACAGGCCACCTAGAAGTTTGGGTCACCGTTGTGACCCAATCGTGGCTACCGATAGAAACCATTGGCGTTCAAGAACTACCTAATACCCAATGGAATACGCCACATTTTTATTCCCCCTGAATACATTTAATTGGAGAGACGCAGGTGTGAAAACCATATAAAAAAAGCAAGCATAATCTCAGTCACAGACGTGACAGAAAACACTTGCCAGAACACAATTGTGGTCACCCCCGCCTATAAAGGTGTTGCTTTTTTGTTGTTGCAGCAATGATAAGAAAAGTTCTTACCAACTTTATACTCAACACCCGGCCACGTCCTCAATCATCATCCCATTCAAACAAGTTGCAATGAACGAAACTCATACTGAAAACTCCTGTGTGTTCCGTGAAAGATTGCGATCGCTCTGTCAGTCTAACATTACCTAGCCAATAACACGGGCTCGATGCTGCTCCCTTTCATCCACGATGATACGTCAATGTCGGAAAGACTAGCCTTTACTCAGTCCCTTTCGCGAGATATAGAGAAAAGAAAGGAAAGATTGGCCGCAGAACTACAAAGGCTTGATTCGATTATGTAAGTCGAACCTTTTGTTGTCCGTAGACAGTATGCTAATAGAACGGGTTAGAGGTAATAAGACCTCGGCAGGGAGCAAAAGATCGCCGTCGTAAGCTTTATAGGTTTCGGCAGTCTATATACGGGCCTGTACTTATAAAACTGTACTTAATATGCTGACATGGGCCCTTCCCAGTCTACTCTCCATACATATTGAAGATCTACAAAGCGGTTTTGATACTTCGTGTGATGGAAATTATTCACTGGCAACTCCTCTACCACCTAAATATAGTCCCTCTAGTGAGGTCTCACCCTCTTTCAAGATCTATTTCTCCTCCCAAACAGGTAAACATAACAGCGCCCAATCCTGCTTGACGACTGAACGAGCGTGGAGTATCATACGGTAAAGAGCCAGAGGGAATCAGTACCAACCAGGCTCCTCTCCAGGGTCAGATGTATCTTGCTTGGCATATCCGTAGCGAAGACTCTTGTTGGTTTCATCATTGGCTAAAATAACCTTCTGGCCCTCTGTTTCAGCAAGAGCCCAGATAGTTAGGAAAACTTCATTCTCCCACATGAGAAAGTACTATACAAATGGGTTAAGATGACAAAAAAGAATACGTTATTACTGGAGTCGGCACTGACCTCATTCTGAGGCTGGATAGTGATATTCGTCTTTCCAACATGGTTGCTACGATCAACATATATGGTAGACCAAGAACCGCCGGCAGTCGACATCTTGACGGCAGCATACCGTAGGGTCCTGCCTTGGAGAAGGCCCCGGCGTCCTGCTTCTCGGGATCACCGAGCTGACTGTTGGCTAACTTGGTCCAATAGTCGGCAGAAATCTTCACTTCGCTGTTACTGGCAAGCAGAGGAACTTCAGTTAATTGATTAATTGGAAGAAGTTTTGTCAGCTTATATCAATAACGCAGCTTGTGACAAAAGTAGCCCGGAATGACACAGCGAACATCCAACACCGCAGAAAGAAAGTTCAGGTCATTTCCACTCCGAGTTTACGAACATGTACCAGCGAAGATTGGCTTAGAGTTAGCGGATTGAGAGACGACGTTTTGACAGCCCATAGCTCGAAATTAGAATCGTTCGTTTTGGTGTTATTTAGACGCAGAATCTACAGACTCGGTGACTTAAACTGTATCATAAAGCTGTTAAAATATTATTAATATCATTGAGAGATTTAGAAAGCCTGGGCTTGATGACTTAAAGGCTAAATCAAAAGTAAAAAGAAGGCTATTAAAAGATGCATCTGGTGATGAAGTCTAAGCCATAGGTTAAACTTTTTATTACGTTAATGTATTGTGGTACAGTGCCTATCTAGGCAGCCTTATCAAGTACAAATCCCCGGCATGCCCAGCACGCAACTACAAGGTCCTTCTTCTCCATCTGTATCTCTCCTGGAAATTCCAGATTTGCGTCTTTCTCAACCGCAACAACCGATCCATACTCATCAATCCACTCCAACTCCTTGGTTGGGCGCTCTTGAACCGTCAACAAAAGCTTCTTCTTCCAGTCATCAGAATCACGGTATCCCCGCTTATGCATAAGTGCCTGCATCCTGTCCTCTTCCACCTTGGTCAAGGCACGCTTGATAGGAACCATGTGGTAGAATTTGCTTGATCGGCCGGACTTTTCCATCACGATACTTCCTTGGATAGTGCCTCTTTTCTGGCCTCTGATTACAATGAGCGGCGTGGGGCCGAGACCAACGCCAAGACTGAAGGGGATGTTCATCTTTTCGCCAGAATAAAGGGTCATGTCGTCTTCGTATCTGATGAAAGCATCGTTTCCGGTAGCTGCACCAATTCGACGAACTTCGCTGGGTAGCAGGCGGCACATTTACAGCTGCCAGGGGTTGCCAGCTTGGGTATTACGAGTGGCGATGTGATAGGTTGGGGTGGCTGGGGTGGCTGTTGTTTCATAGACGTAGTGGCCCTTAATATTGAAAGATTGCTTAGTGGTATGAGTTGATCCTTCAGGGACAAAAGGTGTCTCTAGCCGAAGTGACAGTGCGTTACGAGGAGTATCGCCGGAAGAGCTCGATTCGACAAGGCTAGTTTGACTCATTTTGCAGGTATTTTGTTTTTATTCAATGACTTGCAGAATGTGGGAGATGCGTAGATGAAGAGGACTGAATTCGGACTGACAAGACATAAACTTTTTATATAAACCGAAGAAAACAATTAGAGGGAATATCTCAACCTGTCAGACAAACTGACTCGAGCCACTGATTAAACAGCCACCCGCATTGGGAACGGAGTAAGCTTCAGCTTGAGAAATATGCCTCATACTCTCACATTAATCACACCCAACGCAAAGCAACGTGCGCCATTAAATAAGAGCATTCCATTTGTCGGCGCGGATATAACGGCAATGGAAGGATGTCTTAGTAGTATTGTACCTGCAGAAATGCCACTGACTCTGTTCCAGATCTTCAACGGCCAAGACCTCGTTTGAATACTCGGGACCGAAGCCAGCCCGAAGAATGCGAAAACGAAGAATGGTGTCAGCTGTTGGGTTACTTGTAGATAGAACCCTTGGAGATAAAGAAATAGACGTCTAAGCATATTCGTTAGATATTAATGACAACGGATAAATTGTATATATATGGCATTCTTAGGCATCTCTAAGCGTAATAACCATAAATTAACCTATTTATCTAGAATAGGAATAACCTCCCTTCTAGAAGTGCTTCAGTCGGGCTAGAAGTCTAGTGATGATCACGCTACATCAACTATTCCCTATTTGGTCTAGACCCGATCACTAAGTAAGTGCTCTCTCCTCGGTCTTGAAAGCAGTGCTCATCGGTCTGAGTATGACGTAGGTGTCGCGGGGTGTCGTAGGGTGTTGTAGGGTAGTTGTCGACTTAAACATCTGTTATTTGCTGAAGCGTATGCTTACCCTTCCTTTCACCCGAAAACCGAGTACTACTCTCTTCTTTTATATGTTGATCAAAGTATACATAAGATGCCCTAGGTCTGCTGCCCTTTTGCCATTTTTTGAGCCCTTAGTTCCCACGTTTGCCTGCCGAGTTCGAACACGGATGTTTCACTCGAGTCTTGTTCACTTTTCACATCACAACCAAAACCCGAACGTTCCAACTCGGGTCAGACGTGGACATTCGATGACCAATGACAGAGGTTTATCTCAATTTGACTGAGTGGCTTGTGAAATTGCTCAAAGGCCATACCCACGAGATGCAAAAATCTTCAGGCATGGTATGATTTCGTCATCGTGGACGTAATCTTATCGCTTCAGTGTCTCAATTTTCACATCACAAGCTTACACGAAAGTGAGTGCTTAGGCCACTGTCAAACACGCGTCAGGTCCGGCCCAACTTTATTTCACATGCCTGTGTCGATTGCCGGTAATCGACCACGCGTCAACCCGTCGCGGCCACTACCGACATGTCAGCCTCGCGCTTTATCTCGTCCCAGCCTTGAATTTTCTCGCCCATCATCGTTATCACAATTTTTTTTTCATTAGAAGGAGCCCTGTCTTGATAAAACTTAATGCCATATTTGGAAGTCATTTCGAGCGGGCCCCGCGCAACCCGATGTCCGGGAATCCGGTCCCATAAAATTGTCATCAGTTGCCTCGCAAACTAGTCCTAATTCTCAATCTCATTCGAGAGTCGGTATTGATTAGAAAAAAATCCGGTCTTTACGCAGCTAAAATTGCCTAAAATTCAAAAACATGTGTCATTGTCACATGCGTCACCGTGACACGGCGGAACTTTTATTAAACTGCTTATTGAAATAGGGCTGAGCATGGATCGCAAATGCCCGACGGAATTTTTCATCGCTATCGTACGTTCCGTGCCCGTGATTTTTTCACCTTGTCCACGGGCTCCGTATCATCAGCCTTATCACTATCATGGGAAATATAAAGCAGTGGGAGTCCAGCATTGACATCAGCAGTAGACCTTCTCAATAAAATATGATTTCAACGTGTTCACCTGATACTCAATTCTACAAAATATGGCTTTTGAAAAAGACTCCGATTCAATCATTTCCCAGCCACAAACCCCTCGGCGCTTTAGGAATCTCGTCCTAGGTTTGCGAGTGCTGGCTCTTTCAGTCACAACCGCTGGGATCGTGGTTTCAGCTATCCCTACCCCGAGAAGTCCTATCGCCATCGGAATATTGGGACCAGCAGTAAGTCATATCATTCCCGATTATTTCTTGACTAACAAGTTAGTTTATTACGACGTTTTTTTGGTCATCCATAGAGTTTCTGTTCTCTGTGATCAGATTTCTCCCAACTATTCGCCCATCGTTCAGTTTCGCCATCGATTGCTTCATCGCCCTTGGATCGGTGGTTTGCCTTGTGTGGTTTGGAGTATACCAGCCTTGGTGGGAGTTGAGAGATGCAGCTTTAGGCGCCTCCGTTGGGCCTTTGGCTACCGATATATTGTTCAAAGTGGCCCTGGGGCTCGGATGTGCATCAACGTAAGTTCATTACCTTTGACAGATAAGAGATTGGCTTATTAACTTGGCATAGGTTTATTGAAATAGTTCTTTGCCTTGTATTCTTGATGGAGTGAACGGCTCCACAGTCTGCACAGGAGGTTTATTTCAAGGCGATAACGTTAACGCTATTGATACACGATTTATGGATGGGTTTGGATGGGTTAATGTTTCTTCGATCTCGTGATAATGTGTTGGATTTATTGAGAATATGGTATAAATGTCATAGATGAGAACTTATGTAGATGGCGTTTTCTCTGCGTTGCTTTTAGATATCCCTAGAATAGATAGCATTGGCTTTTGACATAATATTCTTCTTATAAATGCATTTGAATTCAACTGCTGCCTTTCCCTTAACGTGGCCGTTTTCATTTTGTTGAGCCGTAGGCACCGATTTTGTTGGGCTGTAGGCGCTAGCTTTGATGAAGGTCTGACAAGGTTAGGTCAAGGCACAGCCGTTGTAGATCTGTCAAAAAGCTCGGGTGATGTGGATCTTGTCGATTGACACTTGGTCGCCGCAGCTGAAATGTTACAGAGTAAGATGGAGCATCCGGTAGCAATTAAGGAAACTTCGAAGGATCCTGGGAGGCATCGAACGGGTTTGATAGACCACGTCAAAACCAGCTGTTGTTAAACCTCATTGACCGATGCACTGACCTCCTGATTTGAAGTACCCCTGTAGTTGTGAATGAGTAGTAAAGTCTTGTCACATGCACCAATTTACAGAACGGCCTTTCTTTGTCGCCTTGATTAAGCAGTAGAGCTAACTTAACAATTCAATAGATAGCAAAAAGGAGGGATACCCGGTAAAACACATAATATTATTCTAAACTCCCGTCAACTCCAACAGGAAGACCAAACTCACACTAAACTCGTGCAGTGGCAAGCGTATTTTTGGTATTGTTAATTTACCCCAGACACACAGCACGACTGAGATTGCGTCTTCTGGCACTGCATTGCGCGCCACCCTTGACCAGGAGTAAATAGCTGTAAAGTACATACATTTCGCAAAACAGAGCCCTTGAGGCTTTAGCGTATGCCTAGAGTGTATATCTGAACCCCGACGCGACTTGAGCATCTGTTGGCCCATGCTTCCCACAACTCTTCCCAGTCTCCAACTTCTGGTTTTGGCGACGCAAGTACAAACGAGCAGTAGCCGCAAAGGCGATAGCGCTGACTGTTGCAGCCAGGTTGACGATAAACGCAGTCAAATATCGCGGAGGCGAATAATACAAATAACTGCACCATATGTTTGGTGTGTTGCAGATGGAATTGATCAAGGCAATTGCCGATGCTCGCTTGGCCCTTGGTTGAGACAGGGTTCCTGTGATCCATGACAGGGTAACAATGGCTGAGGCGTAGAAGGATGCGGGGAGCATCATCATGGCTACATATCTCGCAGCGGTGTTTGTTGTGGAAACCGCAATGATATTGGCTACTGCTGTAATACTCAGGGCACCAATGATGTGGTAAGAGCGCTCTTGGACACGATCTGAGTGGAAGCCGTTAATTAACATGGCAATGACACAAAGGAGAAAAGGCGGAGCTGTCAGGACGTAGGTCATGTTTCTACCATACCCCAAGCCGCCTACAACGCTTGGGAAGAAGTTGGCAACGGCGCCGACGATGTAGGTCTATAGAGCTAGAGTCAGTAGATTGGCTATAAGTAGAGAGCAGGAGGAACCCACGCAGTATAGAATACCAACGAATAACCACGTCTTGGGATCTTTGACAGCCATCATGAAGCCGGCAAAGGATGATATCTCGTGGCTATCGTCACTCTGGCCTTGATCCAGCGCAAAGTTATACTGTACCCACTCGCACTCGAGTGATGAGAGAGTCATGATCTTTCTGTTGGAGTTAGGTAGTATAAAGGCGAAGATTATGCCGAGGCCAGCTGTGGCGACACCCTCGATAAGGAAGAGCTATCTTTGTCAGCGACATATATCACTATCTTCCAGGAGACGTACCCATCGCCAACCAGCAATACCATGCGCTCCATCAAGCTTCAGGACGGCAATAGCTAGTAACGTGCCAAAAGCGTTACCTAGCTGAGAGCCACTGTATAAAATTGCCGTGCGCAAAGCAAACTGCTTTCGATTGTAGAACATTGACAGAAAGTAGAGGGCTCCAGGGAAAAAGACGGCTTCGACGACTCCGAGAAAGATGCGGGCGACTACAAGCCCCGCAAAGTTATGCACAGATGCCATGATGGCTGAGATGGCGCCCCAGATAACCATGCTGCAGCAGATGTAGATGCCAGGCCATTTGATGCGACCGGCGATCATGTTGGACGGGACCTGGAAGAGGACTGCGTGGGATGAATTAGTGTCGAGCTGGGAGAAGGACCTTTGGAGAATTTACTGTAGCTGCAAAACAAAATGCTAACCGCTGTCTGGTACTCGACAGGAGACAGGTCAAGGTCTTGTTCAATATTGGCAAGCTTTGCGCTGGCAATATTCTGTCGATCGAGGTAGTTGAGGATGTACATGGTGACCAGTATGGGCATTATAACGAGATCCATCTTGAGCGTCGCCCGACGACCGAGGGCCTTGTACTCGGCGTCTGGAAGCGCTGCCAGCTGGATGGGCATAGGCAAGCCATCCTGGGCCTGGGTGGGCTTGACCGATTCGTGTTGTTCTGACGCGGCGTCTCTTTTGTCGTCCATTGTAAGATGCTCAGTCGTGGCGATGGAACTTGACTGGTATACGAATAAATTGGCAGTTGAGCCGGGACAGCAGCAGTTAATATTGAGTTGCAGCACTTGGTGTTCAAGTGTCTGCCCCACGCTCTGATGCGTGGGGGCACAGTTACCCCAGGTTCCACTACTGCAGGGCTACACTGAAACGCGGGGAAGTCAGCTTGTTAATGTTTGGCTTCATCTTGTCGGTCGGACAGAAAGCCGTCGGTATGGTATGGCGTGGGGGTAAGCGAAAAGCTTGGAACCGATGACGGAGGTGAGTCTGTCGGGGAAGCGGTTTAAAATACCCAGCAGGCCGGAAGCACATGAGGAAAATAGCATACACATGTCCGTATCAATTCACTACCGTACACAATGGCTACCATCCCTGGGGCTGAAGTTGCTCAGCATAACACAATAGAGTCCTGCTGGATTGTGATACATGGTGCTGTGTGGGATGTTACTGGTAGGCCTTCTCTCATCCTTATTGCAACAGTATGTTAACTGTGGCGACAGACTTCTTAAGCGAGCACCCTGGTGGTAGGGCTCTCATTCTGAAATCTGCTGGAGAAGACGCGACTACCTCCTACGACGAGGTCCATGAACCAGATTTAGTCACGAGGATATTATCACCAGAAGCTTGTCTCGGCATTGTGGATGCCACCACACTTCCCCAGGAGGCGTCCAAGGCCCCAAAACAAGGACCAACCAAGTACCCCCCGCTAAATACTGTGGTCAGCGTTGCCGATTTTGAAAAGATTGCCCAGTCCTTCTTGACGCCGACAGGCTGGGCTTATTATTCTTCTGGCGCCGACGATGAATACAGCATTGATGATGCATTCCGCAGTTTTCGCCAGATCCTCCTTCGTCCCCGTGTGCTTCGTCAGGTCGAGCCGGTCTCCACTGGAACCACTATCCTCGGCTGCCCTGTCTCTCTACCCGTCTACTTCAGTCCAACAGGTATTGGGAGATATGCTCACCGCGACGCAGAGTGCATCATGGCCGCCGTGGCTGGTAAAGAGAGGCTGATCTACTGTATGCCCACGAGCGCGTCTTGGGAGTCGGTGTGCAACGCGCGCTCAGCACAAGACCAACCACTATTCTTCCAATTGTACACAGGCCGCGATAGAGAGCATACTAAATCCGTACTGCGCTCAGTGAAAAACCTTGGGGTTGCTGCGATCTTCCTCACTGTTGATTCCCCCGTTCTTGGCAAACGGGAGCGTGATGATCGTGTTCGAGCCGCGGATGGTGAGGACACAGTTACTGCATCTGCAGGAGGTGTTGCAAAAGCTACTTCAAAAGGTTTGCTCAATCCTTTGTTGTCTTGGGATGACATTGGATGGATCAGAGATGCCACAGGACTCCCGCTTGTACTCAAGGGCGTCCAGACGGTGGAGGACGTGGTCCTTGCACACCTCCACGGGCTAGATGGCGTTGTACTCTCCAACCACGGGGGTCGCTCACAGGACACGGCGCAGCCTCCAATGACAACACTGCTGGAGATACGTCGATATGCTCCGCATTTGCTCTCTCCAAGCATTCGCCCCAAATTCCAGGTATTTATAGACGGCGGCGTTCGTCGTGGGACAGATGTCATCAAGGCCTTGGCTTTAGGTGCTACGGCAGTGGGTATTGGACGCCCAGTGCTCTACTCTATGTGCGTGGGGTATGGGGATAAAGGTTTACATAGATTGGTCCAGATCCTGCGAGCGGAGGTAGAAACAAATATGGCGTTGGTGGGGGCTACGAATGTGAAGGAGCTGGTGCCGGAAATGGTGAATACCGAGAGGGCAGAGGCTGGTGTGTCGCGACGAGTGAAGCTGTGAGTGTAGGGGTTAGACACAATGGTACAACATCTTGGGAGCATAGCTCTTGGCTGAAGATCCCCCACACTTTGTGCCTGTCCGGTGGTGAGTGACCCCCACGATTTTGTCTCCTCTTTCACTCCCACTGGACGCTTATTATCCGATGCCACCGCCCCAAATCTGGTCATGCACACCTTTATAGAATCTGTCTCGTTTATTGTCCTAACCTCAGGTACTATAATGAGTGTATCTTGCTATCTTTAGCTGTTTACTATTGGAGCTACTGATCCCTAAAGATGATGATGTAGAGTTCGACAAGGCATCCCCTAGGACGAATACAGTAACGTACCACTAGGGGCATCTTAGTGATCCACGGAAATTTAAGCCGAGGCCTCCACTATTTTTCATAGAGGCTGATCGATGTTGTCTACCAAGTAGAGAACAAGCAACCCAGCGTGAGTATTACTGCCATTAGGTTCGAGATTAAAGACCTGAACAAAGATTTGGTCCCCTACAAATTTAATTGCGACTAGACCTGTATGCCATTGGGAAGAAACATCCGAAACGCCGATTTTACAGCCCCCTTTCTGGACCTGAGCAGAGAAGGACGACATCAGACATGGCCTCGGGCTCGGGTTTGGGCCAAGTGTTAGCCGGCCCCTCACTCTCTATGGTTCGAAGATGCGAGTTTATGTATGTTGTCACAAATTAAATAGCGACGAAGATCCTATTTATAGTTACATCGACCTGTGAGATTCTTCGTTGAATTGCTCTCTCGGTCATTGGTCTTTGAAATTTTCAACCTGTGGCCTGTGGCCGTCATATTCAATCCTTGAGTTTGCGAGATGAGGGTGTCCTGCATCATCGCATCGTATTTACCGACCTATTCTAACTGCATCGCTAGCCAGAGACCAGGACAACTTGAATAACGCTAGCTTATAGAATGTATCGGAAGGCCTTGTCCTGGCGATCGGTCAAGTCCGAATCAATAGCCACGCCACTCTGAATGCCACTCGCGGATCCTTGACTATCCACCACGTAGTCAATGTTGTCCTCCACCGCCCTTTTATCCCGCAGGCTGTTTTCCTTGTTCAGCAGGAACGCATAGACAACCAAGATGATCATCAAGAAAATCAACGAAGCAATACTAAGAATACAGCCCTTGAGATACCGGGGCGCCGAGTCTTCTGTCCAAGCTTGAGGCGATATGATACACCCGACGCAATAGGCCACAAAGAACATCGTTGTGATCGATGATTTCTTCGTGTTTCCCTTTACGTTGCTAGCCATGAGAGCTGAGCAGCTGCTGAGCAAGCAAGTGACGGCCGTCGCCATCCAGGTTGACGCAACAATGCCCCAAGGGTGCGAAGCAGGCAGCGTCGCGAGCAGTATGGCACCCAAAAGAGGGATACAGCACAGGAAAAGGGCCGTAAACGTTCGACTGTACTTGCCCTTGATAAGACGTGGGATGAATGCCCCAAACAACGTGGTCAGAATGTTGATGAGACCACCAGGCAGTCCCACGAGCATCGTAGTATATTTATCGTAACCGAAGCCGTTAATGACGATGGAAGAAAACTGGTCAAAGTGTTAGCAAAGACCTATTGCTTCACGTTGAAACGGGAGTCAAACTCGCCTTGAGGATGGCTGTGGTGAGAGTGATACCAAGCGCCATGTACACGTAGAGCCAAGTGATGGGTGATTTGTATGCTTCGTTAAACTGGGATCGGTTGAAGTCTGCCCGATCACGGGTACTGCGATCTATCGCCAGCCTCCTGGTCGCGATTTCTCGCTGGCGTGGCGTCAGAAACCACGCGGTCGTGGTATCCCCCGGCAGTAGGAAGTAAAACAGCAACCCTGAGGTGACGGTCAGGCCACCAATGATGAAAAACAGAACTCTCCAGGGGGCAGCAGCAAGTCTGGCACGGCCGAGGCCGAACATGATGAGAGCATTCACAATCTGAGCGAACCCATTCATCGAAACCCATGTGGCAACGCGCACAGGGTGCTCGCGACGCTTGTACCAAACCGAAGTCAACATCACAAAGGCGGGAGAAACGGCTCCTTCGGTCAAACCGAGAAAGAATCGAGCAGCCATCAAACCCGCAAAGTTATGTGGGAGACCGACACAAACGCAGGACACGCCCCAGACTACGACCGTGCAGCCTATAAAGGTCCGCAGAGGCAGTCGGCCAAGAAGGTATGCGGCGGGCCAGTTGGACAGTAGCTGGCCGAGATAGAACATGGATACACACCAGCTGTACTGTTCACCATGCAGATCGAGGTCTGAGCGTAATCCGAATATGGCAGCATATGTGATGGATTGCTTGTCCAAATCTAGATCGATCAGCCCACCTGTTTCCGAGTCTGTACAAGAAAGGACGTAATTAATGAAAACAGAGACTTACACATGCAGAAATACACCAAAGTCATCAGAGGTAGCACGTGGAGATCCAGCTTTTGCACAACTTGCCTCTCCTCGGCATCCTCTATGGCCTCGAAGGTCACATGGGTGTCGTCAGTGTGTTCGATTTCATTCGAAGCAGCGAAGTCCTTGTTGTGCATAGCCTCCTTCGTACCCATTATTGTATTATTGTTTTAGTAGATAGTATTTGTATTGACTTGATCAAAGGGAGTAAATGGTTGATGAGAGACAAAAAGAGCGAAGAGGCCGTATATATTGGAAATCGAAGACCTAAGATTCGAGACTGGTGGAAGCAAACACCAATCAAGAAAGAGACACTTCCCCGGAAGCCGGGTCCACAAGCCGAAGTACACAATGCGGGGAGTCTCTCAGTCTGGGGAATCTCGCGGGGTAAGTTTCGGTCTCATAATTAGTGTGGTCTAGATTCCCCTGTACGCCTCATAATAGTGTCTTGAGTAGCTATGGGGTGGGTAAGCGAGACACGCTCCCCCGCATAGGTCTCCGCTGGTTCGTGGCCACGGCTTCGCTCTATGGAATGAATGGACTAGTCATTGACCCTAAGGAGCTTTGAGACGTGGACCCCAAGCGGCAAACCGAAATGATACCGGAAACAGTTCCCGAACCTAGTCTGAGAAGTAATTCGATCAAAAGCCGAGCTCATCTGTCACACAATAAGACATGAGTATCAATTAGATTTGAGTAGTGCAAGTGCCTGGCCTTTTTGCAGGAAGTTACTACATGTATGTAATGCAATTGCCCACTTAAGGCCTTTCCTTGAAAATAAATCCTAAACAACTTATATTCTATTGATGAAGAATCTTCAGCTTAAAGAGCGCCTCGCTCACGCAGATTTCTCACGAACCCAGGAAAAACAACCGCAATTGTCCCTGCTTTTCGTTTAGAGGGTTCTCCAGCAGTCCAGCTTAAGTATTACCATGCACGAAACGTTGGTGGCACTTACCATCAACCCAATGGACTTGCAGCACTTTTCAATCTTCCACGCCATAGTATTCAAGTGTTTCTTGTTCGATCTTCTTCTTTTTTGCTTTCATAATGCTCGGGAGTGTCGCATAACGCGGCTCGTTACGCCGTACATCTGTGGTCACCACCATCGGTAGCCGAGTAGTCAATAACACGTTTAAGGGGAACCAAAATTCGACGTGGTCGACTCATCTTCCCTCTATGAGGTTTATGCTGGAACGTTGTGTGTACTACGCGGCCTATAAAGTATCGATTCTTATGTCGGATCGACCTGGTTAGTTTGGTTGACTTGTTCCTGACTGGTTGGATCATATCCGGAAGATGAACCAATCGGCTGACGTTGGCCGTCCTTACAAGGCCGAGCTGGTTCGGGTCATGAGTTCCGGGGCTGATCCGCAACTTTACGAAAGGCCCATGCACCGAGTGTGTAGTGTATCACCCTTCTGATGAATCAAGTTACTTTGTGTATTACACCGGGTCAATATTTGGAACGTAACAACATTCGGGCCCGTTGTGACGGATGTTCTCTGGGCTGCAGCTTCAAATAATCGCAGACCTTTCAAGTCCACGACTCAATTCAGCAGCTCAGTTCGCGGTGTTGGCAAGAGCCATTCGAATCTGTACCAGTTCCTGTTGTATCCTACGTCATGCACTCTTTGATAAGGAATGTTGGGACGCGTTTGTCTTTACGGCTACATGTGTACTCCACTATACAGTATACCGGGCGGTAAGCTTCAACACTGGCAATTTTCGAAGGTAAGAACCGCGTCGAGGGTTGTCTCAGGTGGGAGGGACTTGAAGTTTAAGAAGGCTTTTGATCGAGTCCTTCTTCCTCTATCAGATTCTCTGAAAGCTGCACTTGGAGCATCCCGTGCAGCGGTTGACAGTGGCTTTGCCGACAACAGCTTACAAGTCGGCCAGACTGGAAACGTGGTCGCTCCAGTGCTGTACGTGGCGGTCGGTATCTCAGTGGCCATCAGGCATCTCGCTGTAACAAAAGACAGTAAGGTTATCGCCGCCATTAATAAAGACGCCGATGAGACCATCTTCCAGGTTGCAGACATAGGGTTAGTCGGAGACCTATTCGAAGCGGTACCTGAGTCAATCCAAACCTTGTCGGTCGATAGACTTCGTGACTCTATATAGCTATGTTTAATTTTATATATAACCTTTTTTATCAGGTGCTATTTTATTATATCTGTCTCGTATGTTTTCACTCTCCAAGGCCAAGTTGAAGACATTTCTAATTTAGATAATAAGAGCTCGAAAAGGGCAAAATTAAGTTTAAGCTTAATAAATTTAAATATCAATAATAACAAGTTATTGTGATATTGAAAAGTTTTTCAAGTGTTTATATTTTAATCTAAACATTATTTAAAACAGAAATGTGCAAAGCAAAAGCCAAGTGATCATCTATACAGGTCAGCTCCTCATCCATATCCCGCCTACACTGGCGGGTGATAATTCTCTTCTTTCATGGCCAGAATGAATGAAAAGGAATGAGCCGTGTATCGAAGACTCTGGTGTGCGGTTAATATTTTGATACAATCATTTAATATGACTGCGGGGTTAGGTAAGCGGGAAAGAGTCAATCTCAGCGGGAAACAAGGCCTGTCTTTGCATAGCGGATTGACCTAGTGTGTCTTGGCGTTTGAAAGTGGCTCTAGCTGAACCCTTGCAGCCATTGAACAGTCTAATCCGTGGGACTCAATCAAGCCTTTCGGCCTTCCACGGAATCCATGGAAAGGCCGAGATCAGAACATGAAAATATCTGTGCGCAAAGCTGAAAATAGTTCTTCTACTTCTATTTCTACTCTCCTATCCGCCGACTTTTACTCAACAACCAATTCTTTTTCTTTTTCCTTAATTATTAATCATGGTCCGAATCTCACCTATTTTGCGCAAACGATTGTTATTTGCGGCCAAGGTTACAGCGGGGGTATCTGCCGCTGGTGCTGGAACTTTTCACCTTGTTACACAGAAATGCTACTTTGAACCATTTGGTCCAGGAAATGGAAAATCGCTATTTGAACATCCTTTGCTGAAGCAAATCAATCCCTGGAACAAACCGGTCTCGCACGACTCTTGTGTCAGAGAAGTTCCGTTTGAGAAGCTTGACCCCACGCTTATCGAGGATGCAAAAAATGGTGGAACACAGCTGATCGAGAGGTTTATCGCTGGAATGTGGGGAGGGTTTGGTAAGAACTGCAGGATCTCATATGTAATCGTTTTGCTGATTATGACTAGGCTACGCCGTACAACGAAAGATCATGACATTCACCAAAGATGACGTTAATAAGAGTGACGTCTGGGACAAGAAAGATCTTTTGCAATGTACCTACGAGCCAGGTATGCTCCTATTGCCAAACATCTTGTACTCGGATAATCGCTAATCCCAGCTAGGCACATTCTTTACCAATCACTTTCTTGTCCTTTCCAAGACACCAACATGCATTACGATGCGCGGATGTTTTAATCCCCACCAGTCACCACCAGTACCAACGGACATAGACAATATTGTCGAGTTGTACGCTGAGTTAGATGAGGTCAGAAAGGTGGCGGTCCTCAAACTGAGGGTCATAACATTTGATGGAAGACAGGAGGCGAGTGACAAGGAGGATCCTTTTGGCGGTGTGGGTGGATGGCTACATAAACGGTATTCTACTTTGCTGGTTGAGTCCGGTGCTAGAAATTGTTTAGCATAAGCTGTCACGATGTATTACTGAGGAGGCGATACACTTGTACGATATTAGGAAATATAGATTCTGTAGACATTTCTTGTACCTTGACAGACAAACATCAATGGCAGATTCACACACACTTGCAAGTTACAATTTTATCTGGATCATGAAACTATAAATCCTCACAATAGGTGTGTCTTGGGCCTCGCCCATGCCTATGACGGGAATGCTTGTTTCATACATATGACTAGGCAATCTTAGCGAGCTTCAGACCAATAGTCTATTGTCAATCTCATCCCTCAGTTGACAGAAGCATTGCCATCCTATAGTTTCACGGCCTCTTGCGGCCCCCTACATGGGTTTGTTATTGTCATACGGGTATTCACAGTCACACCGAATTTATGAACTCATGGTGGGCCTTCCACATACATGTCGAGGTGACGCACAGTTCGAGGTTCTCCAGAGCCCGTCTATAAGATAACGGTGTTTACACCGGATCAGTTCTAAACAGATTAACCACGACCATTTCTTCAAAAGGAAGAATCACGACAAGAGCCATATCACCTGACGTTACACATTATGACCGGCGATACCGTAATCCAAGACGGTGATAAACATTCTCACCACAATCATGACGCATCAGTCGTTCCTCCGAGGAATGGCCACTCTACTCCCCAATTCCAGCCTCAGAGAGGTTGCAAGCCCACAGTCATTGGTATATATGGCATCTCTGGATCCGGAAAGTCTTTTATCCTTGACATTTTGAGGAACGACCTTGATCCTGCTCACTTCATCCTCTTTGAGGGCTCAGAGGTGATCGACTCACTTGGCCCAGGGGGTTTGACAGCATTTCGTGCATCAACCGAGGAAGAAAAGTCAAAGTTTCGCATTAAAGCTATCAATTTCATCAAGAATGAGACTTGCATGAGTGGAAAGACTGCGATTGTTACAGGGCATCTGATGTTCTGGTCAGAGATAGACAACGCCCCGGAAGCAGTCTATACATCGGAGGACCTTGACACGTTTACACACATCATCTACCTCAACATCCCCATTGACATCATTGATCGACGCATTGCTGGCGATATTGAAAAGCACCGAGAAATCACGTCTGCGGAGTCTTTGACAAAATGGCAAGATGCCGAGCTTTCTACTCTCCGAGATCTCTGCCGTCAGCACAGTATTCTCTTCCTCCCCGTTTCCGAATGCAGGGGCCTGATTTCCAAGTTGAAGGGTCTGGTACAATATTTCAGTCGACCAGCGACAGTTGAGGATAACATTGAAGTGGTGCGATCGCGACTCGATCAGATTCTTGCTCTTCCCATCAATGCGGACCTTGAGACAGTCTTGGTACTGGATGGCGATAAGACGTTGGCGGCTGAAGACACGGGTGCTCTATTCTGGCGAGAATTTGCTCGGACTCGGCCAACGAGCAACAAGTGCCCATTGAAGGATCTCTTTAGCGGCCCCATGGGATAATCGGATGCTGCATTTCGACAGGCAACCCTACTCTACGAAGAAGCTGTTGATGACAAAGAGTTTGATGCAATCTGCCAGACCGTTGCATCTTCAGTCAGTTTGTACCCCGAAATTGTCTCCCTCCTGAGGCTTGTTGCAGTACAGAAGCATGTCGGAGCTATTGTGGTCACATGTGGCATCGGCCTTGTCTGGAACAAAGTCTTGGAGAGATATGGGCTATCAGTAACAGTCAAGGTGATGGGCGGTGGGCGCATCTCGGACGGGTACATCGTCAGCCCATCTATCAAAGCCTCTGTTGTGTCTCATCTTCAAGATGTGGCACATCTCTATGTTTGGGCCTTTGGGGATAGTCTGTTAGATATTCCTATGCTTCAAAGGGCGGACCAGTCGATCGTCGTTGTTGGTAATGCCAACACCAGGAGCTCTAGCATGGACGTGTCGTTCTCCGAGGCAATCCACAAGAGTGGACTTGAAGCACGACAGGTCTTACTGCCAAGCAATTCACCACCCCGACTTGATAGTAAACTTCTGCCTCTCATCAGCCTTGAAGATAAGGAGCTCCTTCACAGTATCTTCAGTCGTCGAACATTTCAACTCCTACAAGCAACCGGTAAGACTTCCGCCAAACTTCTCATGGCACCAATGCGCGACGCTACGATCTCTGGCCCTCATCTCAGGGATGCCCATACAAACGTCGGACGGTATCTAGCGACTGAATACGTCTCTCAGCTCATCGGACTAGAAGAATACGACATCCCTCACGTGCAAGGTCATTCAGCGACTGGCCATCGTTTGCGCAATGAAAATCGGACCTCAATCGTGGCTTTGATGCGTGGGGGAGAGGCTATGGCTTTTGGTATCAGCGACGTGTTTGCAAAAGCCATGTTTATCCATGCGTCGTATGCCGAAGACATCAAATTACATCACGTACAGGGCCAAGCCACTGTGATACTGGTGGACTCAGTGGCTAACAGTGGAAAGACTCTCATCGAGTTCATTAAGCGCGTGGGTCGTTTGGATGCCAAGGTTCACATAGTGATCGTGGTAGGAGTGGTTCAGGTAGATGCAGTCGCCGAAAGTCACATTCTTGCGAAAGCCATGAGATATCATGGGGCTAGCATGATTGCACTGAGGGTTTCGGAGAACAAGTTCACGGGAACAAAGACAACAGATACTGGCAATCGGCTGTTCAACACAACGCATTTGGTGTGAAAGGTGCGACATTAAAGAAATGGAAATCGAACTAAGTGGATGGAATGAAAATTGAAACTATTTAGAGAACTATCTCAAGCAATGAAGTTCACCTCAGCATACCTTCTGTTCCAGTTGAAAGATGATATTCATGAAAACAGAGCACTTTACCACCTCAGTCTCTTGGTGTATTGCTAGCAACTCACCGTTCGCACTACTACTATCAAAGGCTCATATCTCGCTCTGTGAATTTCACTTAGAACTTCGGTCACATATTAACGCCGATGTCAACTCCATTCTTACGCCACCGAAAAGTCAATGGCCTCCTGCAACCGTTCGATATTCATCTCCTTCCGAGATAACACTTGAAGCTGCAAGCTCTTAGTATATGTCACATTATTGACGATAGTACTTACTGTCTTAACCTTTTCGATCCCTTCTTTCTTGGCGTACCAAGCCAAGTCCCTCCTCGCGCGGTTTTGGGTATGCATTTTCTTGGTAGACGAAGTGGCTGGGAATCGGGTCCAGATCAAGACAACAGCGTCAGAGCCAGGATGGCGATAGAAGGCGAACTTTAACGGTGTCGGGGATTCGAAGAATTGGGCAAGGGAATCAGGCGCTATTTGTCTGTTTAGGGCTACGAAATAAATCTCTCCTTCGAAATGGTCTATTGTCTGGGAATGTGTAAGCTTTGCTCTCTGAGGGACAGATAATTTTGTCGTACCAGCTGCAGCAGGTCGCCTTGTTGCAGCTCTCGTAGGGCCATCTTACTGCGGTTGTCAATGAAATAATCTGGCTCAGCAAATGGCTGGTCTTTGGTTGCTGGGATATTGATGGTTTGGCGTTCTGTAGACATCTTTTCTAAGGGTTTCCTTCGGTGGACTTGAGCTTTTCAGTAATAAGAGTTCGAGTGGTGGAAAGGCATAGGAGATATAACGAGCATAGGTAGCTTTTAGTACTAACATAGGAAGTGATCCCGCAACTGTAGGACTACAGCTGGACAGTGCGCTAAAGTACCCTGCCAGTCCTACAAGGAGTAGGACTTGCTGAGATTTATGGCAGCGATGTGACCTTTGAAATAAAAGAATTTCCATTATCATTACGTTATGCTCATCTGTATTCCTACAGAATCATCTACCACATTATAACCCTTCGAGTGGCGAGTTGACATACGACAAAGGCAAAGTACAGAAACTTATCAGTCATGAACTTGAACATACTGCACAGCACTCAATCAATACACATCGAGATTCGTTACGACTGGGAACTCGTGAAGATAATCTATATCTCAAATGATATTTTCTCGGGTGAGTTTGTCTCATATATTCATTACATCATACTTCGTAGCCTAAACGTACTCAAAGATATCCTTGATCTCCTCAATAGAAAGCTTCTTCTCCAAAGCAAGCTGGAGCTGAATGCGGGACTTGGAGGGGTTCAAATAACCGGCTCCGATACCGAAAGGTCGCTCATCAACATAACCCCAAGCAGTGCGTCGGCTGACAACGACGGGAATCTCAGTTTCGTTGAGAACCTTCTTGATCTCAGCAACAGCCTCATCGGGCCAACCTCCCGCACCAAGACCAGCCAGGACGATGCCCTCAGCGCCGCTGTCAATGGCAGCCTGGAACAGCTCCGGGTCGGCTTCTTGGTGGCCGTAAAGAACATCGACTTGAGGCAGGGCCTTCTTGGTTGAGCTGGTGCTGATGTTGAAGTAGTGGTGGCCGATAGGTCGAGTGGCTGGGTACCAGAAAACAGGCTCGACGTTCTCAAATGATCCGAGGTAGCCTTGATCCTCAGCCTTGAAGGTATCGAGAGAGTTGGCGTTGGTCTTGACTGTGTAACGCGCAGAGGCAATCTTGTCGTTGAGAACGATCATGGCTCCTCGACCTTGGGCGCTCTCGCTGCTTGCCAGTCGAACGGCTGACAAAAGGTTGAGGGGGCCGTCGGCGCTGAGAGCAGTGGCAGGGCGCATGGATCCAACCAGGACGACAGGCTTCTCGCTCTTCACAGTAAGATCGAGGAAGAAAGAGGACTCCTCGAGGGTGTCAGTGCCGTGGGTAACAACAACGCCCTGAATGTGAGGACTATCGAGATCCGTCTGGATCCGGTGCGCCAAAGTGGTGAGGATGGTAGAGTTGATATCGCCGCTATCAACATTGGCGATTTGCACGCCTCGAACATTCGAGACATTGCAGATCTGAGGCACAGCGTCAATCAGCGTCTTGATGCCCAGCGCGCCAGCCTTGTAGCCTGTGGTCTGGTCGGAAGATCCAGCCGAGCCGGCAATGGTACCACCGGTGGCATAGATGGTGATGTTGGGCAGGCTGGCGTTGAAGCACTCGAAGCCATTGACTGCCCGGGGGATAAGCCGGGGTGGCTCTGGGACAGGCGATGCAAGGGCTGAACCTGCAAGGGTTGCGAGGAGAAACAGGGATTGGAGAGATGGTGACATGATGGGCGGTCCGGACTCGATGGCTGCCAAGACGAAGAGAGGAAATTTGTGAGGAGGAGCTGGCTGGGGAGGTAGAAGAAAGAGAACAATGTGGTGAGAAAGGGAATATTGTTCATCTTTTATAGCGTTGATGATCTTGGCCAAAACATGGCTGAGCCAACACCAAGACGATACTGTTGGTGCACATGGCATCATAGTCCGAGAATAGGCGTGCAACCCAATCTGTTACCTTATCATTAGTTAACAAGTCCCATTCTTCGTTGAGGATAGTCAGATAGCCAAGAGCAAACAAGGTTGGCTCAGGCGTCCAATCGGGATCTGCGTTGTTGAGAAGTTCCGACCTTCGCTCGAATTACGTACTGAAGAAGGCTTTGAGTGATGCAGATCGGCCAACTGTGGAACAGGGATGTGATGTTGTATGCTTCTAGCTTGAATCATGTATCTTTTCGGCTTGTGGTGCGTTAGATGCCGAGGGACTAGACTATACCGGTAAGTGAGGCTCTCAATTGACTTTAGCTAATGTTTTTACATTAATTTCTAGTCTATCTCTTATCATATCTGATTAAGGTTTGCTTAATTAAAGACTCTCGTCATTCTTGACATATCGTGCCAAGTGATGAGCGAGATGTTTACAGCCCAAAGAGGACTAGACCAGCTTAAGCGGGGTGTTCAACCAGCCTCTCTCCCTCCCCACGAACTCAAAATTCACTGCCTTGGTTTGTCTTTAACCTTGACCTAACCCAACTTATCTTGACTCGATCCATTTTCCATGCGGGGACTTTCCCTTCTAGTTTTTCCTTTCTTTTTCTTATCTTTTCTATCCTAAGGAAAACTTGCACCCTATCTAGCGCTCTCCGTTCTCCCCGACATTTGCCGTGCCCCCTCCACCTCCACCCACACACAAACGTGCGGGATTATCACAATCTGCGATTACGATAACTCCCTCTCGGTCTTATCCATACAGTGCAAGCTTAGCCTTGTCAATGCCTGACGATAATCAAGATATCCCACCCGCCAAGCGGACGCAGGTACCTAGGGCCTGTCAGCGCTGCAAGACGCTCCGCAGAGGCTGCAACGAGTATCGCCCCTGCAGACGCTGTGTGGATGCTGGCCTTGCCGACCGCTGCATAGGGCAATCAGGTGCTCCCAGTATACTCCATCCTGTCCACACCCATTACTCGCTCCCGAGCCTGCGGAATGGTAACGCGCCTGGTGATGCCCTCCACAGACTCACCGAGCTTGTCCCCAACCAGGTCCTCGACCACTGTGTTGAACGCTTCTTTGCACGGCTCTACCCGACCATTCCCATTCTCACTCGCGATTATGTCGAACATCTCAGGTCGGCCTCAGCCTCGTCCACGCCTGAATGGCGGCTCGAGGCCTACTCGGTCCTTGTCGCCATGTGCGCACAGGTACTCCTCCAGACAGAAGAACCCGAGAATCTTCTCTCGCAAGGGATTATCGCCGAGAATAATGCCACTTATGGATCAATGATTGTGGATCAGGCCGTTGCTGTCCATCAGTCCACTCCGCGTACTATGAAGCCGACCCTCAACCAATGCCTCCTAGCCTTCTTTCTCTACGCCTGCCAGGCAAGGTTGTCGCATCATAGCCAGACGTTTTTATTTCTTCGCGAAGCGACCACCTTGTTTTGTCTACTGCGGATTGATGATATGGATATTGATGCAAAAGCGCTGGCGCATCGTCTATTCTGGGTTCTCGTCGTGTCGGAGAGATCCCATGCAATTCGATATCGTCGCCCCATCACATTACAAATAACAGACGAGGCACCAGAAATTGACATGAACGATCCGTCACTATCTGGATTCTGGAGTTTGTCGGCTTTGTTTCGACCTATTGATACATCATTTGTGGCGCTGCTGAACCAAGAACGCTTTGCTATCACACCGCCTCTTTCATCTCTCGACTATGTCGAGACGGCTGTCAACACAGCTATCAAGCCTGACTCACCACTTCATGAGACACAAAAGGCCAACTTGCGAATTACTCAGCTCTGGCTCCGGATGATTGTATGGAAACTACGCCTGCGACTAGGTCATCTTAGTGAAAACGCCCACCAGCATAGTCTCACCTATCAATACCCGCTAGTAGTGGCCAAAGATCTTACTCTTTCCACTCGGGATCTCTCCATCGACAGTATAAGGATTCACGGCATAGGCATCACCGAAAAGCTTTACGATATCGTCTCTGCTGTGGTGGATGTTCTTGCCCGAGTGCCCGTCACCCCTTCAAGTCCACAAGGGTTAGCGATGGGCACATCACCAGAAGATGATCTATTGTATATTAGAAATCTCATAACCAAACTGCCAGGAGGTGCATCGACATATGACCCGCTCCTGGAGAGGCATATACAGCAAGCACTTCCCAGTCCAGGGCCCAGTGTAGCCCACAGTAGTCCGCCAATAGCCCGAGCAAACTCATGACCTATCATCAGCATACGATATAAATATACCCCAGGCGTTGTTTCTCATCATGTCCAAGTGAAGGAAAGTGAGAGCTCTGCTACATTGTACATATTTGCGTAGTTTCAGAGGAAATGTAGTGAGGTATATAAACGTCCTGGTGACTCCAAATATATGAAACAGCTGCAAGACACGGTAGACGAGAAGTTCAAAGCCCTTCCTGGAGCTCCCATATGTCTAGAGTGTGTCGATCTACGAGAGCGAGATGATTGACGAGTCTTAGGTGGCATGGTGTGGTAACCGACGCTTCACCAAGGTTGTTCATTCTTGTTGTTCGCAAGTCCAAGTTCACAATAATACTCTGCTTGCTACCACTCGCCAGATTCAAGCCATAACATATTCATTCTACCTACTCAGCCCTTGCAATAAAAGAGTTCAAGTTTTGATGTAACCAAAGTTAAAAGTCATTAGCATCCTTCGACTCGCTAGCCGAGGCAGTCTCACTATGTCGATCCTCAATGATACGCTTAGCATTCTCTTTAGCCGCCTCTGTCCCAGACGTGATCGCAGCTTTAGCATCATTGCTTACAGGCAACCCACTCTTGGTGATAACATCTTCAACCAACTGTGAGGTCTCTGCAGCCTTCGCTACACGCTCCCTAAGGCCTTGAAGAATTTCATTCTGCTTGCGGGTAACGAGGTCCTTGATAACCGTTCCTGTCTTGTCCATGTAGTTTGAAAGCTCCTGCTGCATAGCAACACTTGACTGGCCCGATGCGGTACCCTTCGACAGCTACACCACCTACTTGTGATCAGACAAGGTGAGGACGTGAAAGTATCGGAGGAAGCATACCGCAATAAAGATCTAGGCGGGTTCCAGACTTGGTGTTCTTTAGAAGGACAATTTTCCCGTCCCAATGTGCAGGAAGAAAGTAATCTTGCTTTTGCTTGTCAATGGGCTCATTTTCAGGTTTGAAGTTGTGACTGATGTACTTTCAGTCCCAGGATCAGGAGGACACCACACAGTCGAGTGATAGTTGAGATACTTTGGGACTTTTCAATGATGGCAACAAGGCAGTTGGATAAAGTAAAGCTGCTTGGCAGATCTTCTATTCAGAAAACTAGCATCATTCAAGGCTAATACGCGTAGTTATATCGACTATTGACGGGGGTCGGCCGACCATGGTGGAGATGAGGAAAGCGATATTGAGCTATCGACGGCGTCACTGTTGTCTAGGCAGTTGTCTCCAAGACGCCATCATCGAAAATCCAGCTGATTTACTAATCTCAGACACATTCCGTATCATGGCTCAGCCTCAGGGATGAAATGACCCCATCTCGAAGCCAGTTAAGCAGGATTCAATAGCGCAAAGCCATGCACGGTCTAGAATCTCTCCTTATGATATTGAGCCTATGCAGAACAAGAAATCCGATCACTCATCAAGACAGGATGATCCCCCGGATTAGTCGAAAAACAAGGGCGAGGAAGGATTGACTATTATTGGGATTATCATCTATGCATGAGCCACGAGAGACACCAAAGTAGAATCTAGACCAACGCCCTAGTCTTTCACGGTCCGTGTCGAAGCTCCCCGGTATGAAGTCTTCCCGTTCTCTTAAGCCATACTGGAAGGAGTTTAGACTTATATACGAAAGACAAACTAAGAAAAGAATCAACCCTGTTACGAACCGGAAGACGCGTAATGTACGAACCTGCCATTCCTTAGTCGCAACAGTATGAACATATGGCGAATCAGCATTAAATTGCTAGTGCTAGGTCCTGACTTTCTCAGAAATGACTAGGTCAGGTAACCTTCTTTTCTTAGATAGTGGCAAGCCAAGGGCTGGCTGAAATAATCGACCAAGTTGCTTGAATCGTGTTAGTGATGAGGCTGAGGCTGCCTGTTCTGAAACAAGTTCGTTCTTTTTAAGGTTTAGTTCACCCGCGCGCGGCCTGTACCGAGAAAACCTAGGCTGGCTGGCTTGAAACAATATTTCCCAAGGGTCCTCTGCCATAGGAAGCTTAGCGTTGCTCGAGACAGCCAGCCACAAAAAGACCAATTATGACCAATGTAAACACCGGAGTCATTGCCTTCGCTCTTGACCGCTCTTTAGAGGATCTAGATTGCTCCATCATTGAGCTATCACAAATGCAAGGATCTGAATTTGTGAATCAAGACCGCTGCCACGTATCTATCCCCAAGCTATACGATTTTGATGCATTCCGAGCGAATGTAGGGAAATTCGCGTCGAAACATAACACTGAAAGTAGATAGACGGCCGCTCTGTGTTTCTTCAGGCTAGGAATTCTTCCGTGCTCATTGATATAAAGACCTGCTCGTCCCTTAGGACTCTTACAGCATTCACATCAATTTCTTCAATCACAAACAAACAAGACTTCCTTTCTATCCTCCGATAGTCTTAATACACCTCTTTGACATTTTATCATATTAGCCTTGAAAATGGAAGGCTTCCAACCTGATAACGGCTTCCAACAAGGAGGCTTTCAACAAGGAGGATTCCAGCCCAGTTCTGAAAAGGTATAAATATATCCTCTCCAGCTACAGTGGCATTGAAGCTAACAGACAATTACCAGGGCTTTTCGTCCACTTCCGACCAAGTTCGTGTCCAAGGCTCCGATATCGCGGCTCTGCGTAAGGCAGTTGATGCAGCCAAGGCGAGAATTGAAGAGGCCGATGAGTTGATCAAAAAGCTCGAGTTCCTTCCGGTTTCTACAAATGATCCCGGCTTGTCTAACAATGGATTTTAGTCCTATGAAGACTGGAAACCTAGAATGGAGGAAAGTGGAAGGTGCTATAGGGGCTTAGGAGTCGTCTTCATTTAAGAGGTTACAATGATGAAAGTGTTAACTACGCTGTAGTTTGATGGTTGACGTATTCAATGGGTTGATAAGTTGTATTGATTGTCATTCCCGTTATCAATCTTGTGACTATACTCCTTACTTATCCATGTCGACCCTGTAAATAATACCACGCAATAATAGAAATAATTGGCGGGACTGACATTTGAGGAAACAAACTTGGAGCTCGTGATCATACTTTACCAAGACATATATCCATCATGCATGGCAAACAACTTTATTTGGTCACAAAATATATGGCAAATTTCTTTTTTGAAATGATGCTTATTAATATATTTTTCCGCACGGATTACGTGCTTGAATTGTTTAGATTAGTGTCGCATGATAGCAGTATTAACCAAGATATTCACATACACCGGTGTTCGAATTAAGGTGCAATTGCCGGATGGATATCAACGTCGCAATAGTTGTTGTATAAGGTAGTTTAGATAATAAACCCATGGGTTCATTGCACGAACATACGCGTTGGTACGTTGCGGGGCGGAACAAATACTCAAGATCTCTGTACTCAAAGAAACGCACATCAGAACAGTCATGTACACAAAGAACAACCATCATCTATGAGAAGACCTAAGTATATAAACCCTTCTTGGTCCCTGAAGATTTGTTTTCTTCCCAACCAGCTCTATCTTGTGAAACACACAGTCTACCAACATCTCTGTACTGATCTTGACAAATCTTCACGGACACTATCAACATCAGCCTTAACAACTACCAGCTCACGGATTTTCAACAGTATCATTCACAATGGCAAGCACGAAGACCCAGTGGAAGGAGGAGAGCGTCTCCGGTTTTGCGGCCACTGCTGAAACTGACAAGTCGTACAACTCCAAGCCCAGCAAAAACCTTCCCGTCTGGAAGAAGGAGGAGAAGAAGTCTGACGACGTTTCACGCCCAAGGTCCGGCAGCAAGGTTGTGGAGGAGTATGACATTGTGGTGGCGGAGCCTGAGAATAAGAAGTAAGTACAATTCATTGGTGGCGATGGATCTCTGAGGTGAGTTTGATGGAAGTTCTGAATTAGGTGGGAGTTTTCCTTTCTTATCGGTCTTGATGAAGTTGATTCAGGCGCCCTTGAGTGCTTAGGCACTCTCTGGCTTTTTCGGACACATGGATTAGGCCTTGGCAATGGTAAGATAGCTAGATTGAATGACATATTCTTTGTTAAATGAAACAAAACATACATCTTTGTGTCAAGTGAATACAACAGCTGGAGCAGCGTCGAGTTGGAGTGCGTAATGTCAAGATGACTAAGCGTTGAACAAAGGATTTATCAATACATTTTGAATATGGCAAGATTTAACTTTGCGTGATACTGTGGACTCATATTATCGCCGTTCTGGGCGATCTTCAGATTACTCGCGTCGTCTCATATGCCCTGGTTTTGCGATTACGACTTGCTACATCACATGATATAAACTTATTTCGTTCTGGCCAGATTTTCATTCGTACTGATTTCACTTTCATCCACAAATTTCTGGTGCACCCCTTAATGAGACAAAAGTCAAATCGGCATGACGTTTATGTAGAAATCTCACACGGCAGCATCCCTCGAAGTCTCGTGTGGCAAGCAGGGTTTTTTGGTTCGAGCTAATCTGGATAAAGGTTCAAGTTTGCTTCGAATCGTGCCGATGTTAAAATCTCGGTACTGAATGCATTTGAGACTCCTGGCTGAGCATACTGGGGAATCGGAAAGGATTTGATAAATTCTGCAGCAACAAGGCACGTCTCTCAGAATGAAGAACAATCTTGTTACGTGTCGCCGAGAAATTAAATAATAGTTGTTGATACGCTTTGTGAGAGTTTTGACTTGCCTTCTAACACAAATATTAGTCTTTAAATCTGCCTCGACATTTGCTTGTGTTGCTTACACAATTGATGCGCTTCTTATGCTTCATTGACACTGATACTGATTAGATTATACGATCGCAACTTTAAATTAACTACGATGTGCCAAGTCTCACTGTGCTTCTGTGTCACTCTGCCACGATCATGAGAGGCCTCTTGGCCTTGACCTCAACTAAACCAGTACGAGTGACAGCTATCTCCCTCGTAGTGAAATCTCTGATAAATAGTAACTTGTTACCCTAGTACGATTTCACTGTTACATACAAAGAAGCCCCCGCATCCTTTGATGCGATTCCAGCCTATCCTGTACTAAAAGTTAACCTCAATCTGCCATCACCCGGCAAAGAGACTTTCCTTTAAAAGTTATCTTTCTTACACTCTAATAAAGAACAAATAACCTTACCATAATTCACTCCGCAATCAAGCTGCCCAGAAACAAGTATAAAAAGGTCCTCCGTCCCCCGAAACATACTTTTCAGACATCACCAACTACCAACTACCACCTCCCACAATTTTCTCGCAACACTTCCCTTTCACCGCCAACAAAATGTGCAAAACCATCCTCATTAAGATCATGACCTGCATCATGTGCAGGGCTGTCGCCTACTACGACAACGAGCCGAACCGTGAGGTCAAGAGGGAAAAGAAGGAGTACAAGAAGCAACAGAAGCGGGCCTCCAAGCAAGAGAAGCTGGCCGCCCAGAGAGAGAAGGAGAGAAGAGTCGAGATTGCTCGAGGCAAGGAACCGGCGACCGACTTTTGGTGAACTAGACCTCGTTGAGCTAAATGATGCTGAACACTGGGTTCATGGTAAGTGTCGTGGAGATGGATTGTGTGGAGAGACTAACCAGTTCAGGGATTGCCTTCCACGGAATGGCGATATGCCAATGTGTCTCAAGTCTGGACCTCGCATGTTTTTGGGAGTTTGGGGTTATGGAGAAATTGTTTGGGGGATTGATGCTGGTATACCCGACGGGACGTGGAGGGCAATTGTCAAACAAGTAAGAAGCACCTTGTTCCTTCAAATACAGTAAGGCGAGGACGACCATTTAAGTTTCTATAACTTGGTTCGGCAGTTTAGCGACTCTGGTCCAGGTTCACAGGAATACAATCCCAGCAGATACCCACTACTGATAGAAGGCAGGAATTAATTATCGTCGAACCCAGAATCTATCTGGAACATCACAACTTACTAGCAGTGACCGATCCTTGCCTGTGGTACTCCTTCTGTTGGTTGCAATCCAGCCCATGACCATACCGCTGAGCCCGCTACTTAAACTTGGCTCCTTAACACTAAGATCATACCTCTCCATGCGTCACTGCTACTCTTGTCTTCTCTCCTCTCTCCTCCTCTTGACCCAGACTCCAAGGTCATTTCAGATAGCTTCTTTTTCTTACATGAACAAGCTCGTCGCTAGCTCAAGTACATGTGTGCGTGGATACCTTGAAGTAAAAAACCTTTTTTCGTTTAAGATCTATCTTGTTGATGTATTACAGAGGCTGGAATGAACGGCTTTAAGCGCCGTCGGAGAATAGAGTCCCGTTCAGCATTACGATTTTCTAATCTGGACTAGTACATTCTTAATAAGGGTTTATCAGGTAAGCCCGTTCTTACTGCCTCAAAATCTCAATGGCCCCACGGAGTACTGATACTAGCATTGGTATTACAGGCCACCAGGGTTTCAGTACCTGTTAACAAGCTTTAGTGTCTTTCCCCTCTTCTTCCACGTGACGCTTCAAACATCAGCTGAAACAATTTCGCTCTCCTCATTGTCATACGATTCTCTTAATTATCTATGTATCTCAACGTAAAAGACAATAAAACAAACAATATCCGTTAGCTTTCGGTTGCCCTCCCCCTCCCCCCTAACAAGATGGGCTTGGAACGCCTGAGTCCGGAACTTGTGTCCCTCATCCTACAAAATGCCGAATCGCCACGCGCCCTCCATGATATGATCTCAGCATCATCAATATTCCTGAGGGTTTTCTCTGAAACACCTCATCTTATCCTTTCATCCGTGGTACAAAATGCGCTGCCGGACGACAACTTGACACATTTCCTTGCTGCCCGGCAAACTCCATTACCAGCAACTAGAAATACGGTCTCTGAGTTCCTAGATAAATACTTCGATCCCGCCTATTCGTTCGATTTCCCTACCAAGAAAGAAGATCTAGTATTGCTTTGCCAGCTTTATAACCGCGTGACATTCTTAATTTCCTGTTACGCAGAGTATATGCAACGGCTTGGTTTGGCTGAATCGATTCTTGTTCCCTCCTCAACTGAACGTATACGACTTCAAAGGGCGTTCCTGCGATTCGAAATCTACTCTCGCGTCTTCCTATCTGAAAATAATTCTTTCTATGAGAATCTCTTACCAAACGATCAGTTTTATTCTGCTGAGCAGTTTGATCTCTTCTTGACTTGTCTCTCACCCTGGGAAGTTGAAGAGATGGCTTGTGTCGAGTTGTACTTCACTCTTATGATACGAGATTACATTGACGAGCTTGAGAATCAGTTCATCTGTGCTGCTAGTATGTATGCAGACTCTTTATCTGCTAAATCAGAAACAGAAACAGAGGCAGACAGCCTTGTCGGGTTTGCAGCGCTGGAACAAACTAGTCTTGCTTTGTTCTCGAAACAAGGCAGATACCATTCTCTAGATAATATCAGCTACATGACCTCTCTCGGTGTTGACTTTATCTACAATCTCTGTTCTCCTGGGCAAGGACGATCCGAGTTGATTCGTTCAAATTGCATATACACCCGCGAGTTCCTGCCAGCAGCGTTGAGGCATTCTCCAACATGGCCTCCAGATCACCAATATGAGGCAATCCCGAGTCTGGAAGATAACTGGCCCTGCAGCAACAGTAACCTCGGCTACCTGATCTTTGGTAGAGTCGAGGGTGATGACAGAATTTATAAACCTATTACCACTACAGGCAACCTCTTATCAGGCGTACGGCAACTTGGCTACGTCTTCTGGGACTCCGACAGGATACGGTCTCCGCTGGTTTATTATAAACTTGAAGACGCAAGACTGAAGCTCTGGCAGGATATAACATTCGAGTTTGATCCTGGGGCTAAAAGGGGAGCTGAGGAACTTCTCGCGTACGTCAAGGTTCGGCGAGATCAAATGCAAAAGCTGGAAACGGATTTTGGATATATCTCCTGAATGGCGCTATTCGGCGTCGAAGTGTATAGCGAATCCCACTTCGTGAATTATGGAGAAAGGAATAGGAATCAAGGTTTCCCTTTCTGGTCCAACTGCTTCGTTCCCACGCTCATTTTCTCTTTGCTCAGTTCAGCTACATTTTTTCGATAGGCGATCCACAATGTTCGTGTTACCCAAGCAGTATAGTGCAGGTAGGCTCCAGGGTGTGCGTAGGCATGTCCAGGTGTCGTTGTTTGTACGTCAGGGTTGGTGTTAATAAAAACGCGTATCAAGTTAGACTCGAAAATATCTACCATCGGGGAGAGGTGTGCGGAGAGCAGCTGCTGGACTTGCATTGCTTCTTAGTGGGACGTGGGGAGGCAGAGGTGGAAGGCGAATATAACTTCAGCATGGCGGTGCATGTCCGCTTTGAGGTCCGTCGCCAAGATGCCGGGGTTGGCGATAATGCTGGCGGTTGACCTTTCTGCCGGCTTTTGTTGCTATATAGTTATGTCCTAGTAGCTTCGTAGTTACGTACAGCATTGTATTAAGCAAAGTATACCAACTACTCAAATTCACCCTAATGCAGGCGCTCTGTCTCGCAGCGAAAGAAAGCCTCGATTATGGGACTGCTCGACTTATCTCGGGAGCGTCTCTACGCTGTAGCCCAAAACTTGCATGTAGAGAGCGGTCTAAAAGCATTTGCGCGGACCGATCATCTCTTTTGCCAGCTTACGAACCCGTACCTCTACGACCACAACATACGATGCTCCAACGACTCTGCGCTGCTGTGAGCAGCTAAGCATGAACAAGAACGCACCGTGTGCAAGCTGCTAGGGAAAACAGTGTGGGTTGATTCTTCAATGAGGCCATTGGGGCAAGCCGTTATATTAGCAGCCGGGGCAGGCCACAAAAGCATCACGATCATCTCTTGAATGAAGGTATTCTCGACGGCATACTGTGCGTTTGAAACGAAGTGTCAAGGGTCAGTAAAGGGCTGGTTTATGATTGCTCAATCTAATGTCAGGAATTGATACTGTAAATTTGAGATCTTTTGACATCTCCAATAGAATCTGCACATCGCATAGCGTTATTTGAGTCTCCTATTTAGGCTGTCTTGTTCACTATCTCCATCGGTTGCTGAAGGGTGGACAGGCCCGGTGGGAGTCTTTATTATACCATTCCCTATTCAAGCAATGGTACTCTGCCTACTCTGTACAACGCTACGCTTATCTTTGCTGCCATATAAGACATAACGGCAATTTACGAGCAGCTACGGATACAGATTACTTCCTTATCAAGTGCTAGTATCTACAAACGCGATAACACATGACAAGTGCTCGGCACATGCCTTAGTAAATTCGTGTTTTCTCAAAGATCGGCACTATCACGGCATCCTATTGTGAATTCATGTAACATTTCTAGCTATTCTGAAGCTACGTACGGTTTGAATACAGTTTCTATTGGCTACCTATGCTAATAGTATGTTGCTGATGCTGTGTAATTAATCACGGTTCAGCTGACAATTTTACATCGTTCGACATCAAACTTCTTAAATACCATCCTTCTAAATTATCTGTTTTGAGGTTACATAAGTCATGCTATTTTACTAGAAAAGCTTTTGAAACGAAGAGGTGAGTTGCTCCGGCAGGAGCCGTAGGTGATCACCATAATCACAACCATCTTCCCGTAAATCCATTTACAAGATCTATACGGCACAGCTACGTGTAGCCAGTACTTGTAAGAATTAGATTAATAAAGGTAATCTTAATCGTATCCAATGTATTGATTAATACCTATCTACTTTTACGTCTTTAGTTTATAAGGACTTTAACTAGCTAATGATAATAATGATATAATTGACTTATAGAAAAACAAACTTTAATATAGTCAAGAGGTATTTCTTAAAGTAAGTACTATGGACCTTAATAATTACATAAAGTTATGATAGTTACTTTATGAGAGCAAATTATAATATGCCATTAAGATATATATAAGGCCTACAGATCGAGAGACTAAGATCGCGCCTACTATGTTTAGTTATGAGGTTTTTTTTAGTTGCCTTGTTTCTTTACCGATAATAACGATTATGCAGGTAAAAAGATTCAGTTTCAAAGAAGTAACGTTATGAAGGTTGGTGTAACAATGTTATTTGTAGCTCAATTATTTTCCAGTACAACCTAGCGCCAAGTAATTATATACATCCATATCTCGACTATCACTACAAGACCTTTTCTTATCTACTATCATGTATTTCAAACTTAGTGACCCCTAAGGACAGTCTACTGCATCTCCTTCTCGTTCAACTTGGTATCAGCAGCAGCGGAGTGAGAATAAGGATCGATCTGAGTCGTGGCAAACTTCCTAGCCGACACTCGCTTCTCAAACAGAACATCCAACTCAGCGTAAGTACGGTCCTTGGGCTCGGGAAGTCTAAAGAACACCCAGACGGCAGAGAAAAGACAAGTCCCGGCCCAGAAGTACGCTGTGCGAGCTCCCCAGTTCCAAGCCGTGGAGGACAGTTGGTAGTTTGTCATGACGTTGACGAAGATATTGCTGGCGTTGTACGCAGAGCGAGCCATGACGATTGTCTTGGCTTTGAGTCGGGTGGAGGAAAGCTCCGAAATAAGGGAGTATGTCACAGGCCCGACGGTGAAATCGTAGACGAATGTGAAGACGATGAGCATGGCGCCGATGGCCCAGACCGAGCCGTTGTCCTTGGAGAAAGACAGCGAGCCGACGATGATAAGGATGATGAGTTGGGTGCAGAGGCCGCTGAAGTGGATCGTTCGTCGACCGACCTTGGCCATCAAAAACCACGAACCGAAGGTACCGACCATTCCGAGAGCGTATTGGGCCATCGACAGAGAGAAAGAGTTACTGGCATCCATCCCGGCTTGTGTGAGGAAGTAGGAGAAGTAACCCATGAGGTTTTGACCACCGAGGGTCTGCACAAGCCAGATACCTACAACGATCTCTGTTCGACGAAGATCGACACCCTTGAAGCAATCTCTGTAGCTGGTGCCCTCCTTCAAGTTCTTTTCCATCTCGTTTGTATGTTCGATCATGGCAATGGTCTCGTCGGCGTTGAAGTTGGGTTGTTGCGGGGATGTCAACCTGAGGAGTGACTTTTTGGCGGCAGCTCGGTTACCCTTTCGCACATGCCACCATGGTGATCTGATACCTGTTAGCGACAATATTCCCAATCTCGATACGTCTTTGACTTACTCTGGCGCAAAAATGACACCTGCCAGGATGGGAACGGGCCAAACCCACTGCACACCGAAAGGAATGCGGTAAGCCCACTCGTCGTTGCGACCAACAGAGCCTTTGTTGACAGCAGCAGCAAAGAACTGGCCAATGACCCAACACATGTTGATGAAGGTTGTGAGATATGGTCGGAGCACAACCGGTGCTACTTCGGATGCATATGCAGGAGTCACACTCTGGAACGCACCCCAGGGAATACCTGGTTATGGTTACATTAGCAAACGGCACAGCTGCGCTGGTGGACTGACTATGACATACCGCAGAGAACTTCTCCCAGAACGAGGATCTTGATGTTGGGAGCGAAGAAGAGGACGAAGACAAAGGCGATCATGAGGACCAGCGCTCCAACGGTGGTCATCTTGTAGCCGTATCTGTCGGACGCCCATCCAGCGAGAATGAGACCGATAATTTCGCCAGCGCGGGCTCCATTGGATAACCCGGACTGCCAAGCCGCCGACACAGCGTATTTCTCCTTTTCAGCATTGTACGTGCCAAATTTCTGGTTGAAGACAGGAGAAGCGTATAAGTTGCCCAGCAGAGCAAGATCGTAACCTTCCATGATGAGGGTAGACGACAGGAGAACCGACCATCCGATGGCCTTGGGGTATGTTTTGACAGCTTCCCAGAGAGTCATATGATGCTCGGCCTCAGCAGCGACCTTTGCCTCAGAGGCCAAAGCCTCAGGCGAGACAGTCTCATCATGATGCGCGTCGAGAGCCTTCTCGGGATAAGTTTGCTTGGACTCGGCCATTGCGGAAAAGAGGATTGGAACAAAGTCAGACAAGGGGGATTGAGTGGGAGCTGAAGAACCTGGTGATGGCAAGAACCGAGACGACAGCAGGTTCCCTTTATATGCTGAAGCCCTCGGCTCTAGGATCCAACAGATCGGATGATGAATTTGTAGACCAATTCCCCAGAAAAAGGCACGCTCATCACTCGGTACCGCGCATGGGGGAAACCTGGGGCACGGGGTTTGGTTGTGTGGGGTGATGGTTAAGGAACGGGATTGGATGGAGAAGTTGAGCTTGCTTTTAAGAACAGGAGATTCCGTCGGTTAACAATGGCGAGGCGGAGTCTCCGTTGCTCGGCTTACAGGAAGCTATTTTCATTGGAGATTGTCCTAGCGTGCGGAGGAACTCCGTCGGCGACACACCAAAGACGGAGTCTCCGCCGCCAAAGCTCATCACACTCTTCGGCCAAGTTTTTTTGTGTTGTTTATTGCCCGCCAAGCATTGACGTGCAGGGTAAACGAACCTCGGACGATCTTTTCTCTCCCAGTCGCTGATGAACGCTACGTTCCATCTACAGGAGGGTCCGTTGCGGGTGCGGCCTTTTGATGAGAGGATTTATCTCCACATTCAACGGATGGGGATGAGAATTGATAATAAATAAGAAATGATAAACTGCTCATCTTCCCTTTCCACTTGCAGAATTGTTCTCTCCTCATGACTGTTTACTCTTAACCTTGTCGTTCATTATCCCCTTCCAATTTTCACGTCCACATAACCTTATTTCCGTCCTCGTCAGCATTCGCCACTATGGGCTCCGTCATTTGGGACGATGAACATCAATGGGTAGGCAAACAGCCCTGGTGGAAAGCCGCGTCTTTTTATCAAGTCTACCCAGCAAGCTTCAAAGACTCCAACGGCGATGGATGGGGGGATTTGCCTGGTCTTATCTCCAAGCTCGATTACCTGAGTGATCTGGGCATCGACGTCGTCTGGGTGTCGCCTATTTTCGAAAGCCCGCAGAAGGATATGGGCTACGACGTTTCTGACTATCAGAAGATTTACCAACCATACGGTACAGTTGAGGATGTCGATATCTTGGTTCAAGAGTGTCATTCAAGAGGACTCAAAATCATTCTTGATCTAGTGGTCAACCACACCTCAATAGAGCACGAATGGTTCAAAGAGTCAAGGTCATCCAAAGACAATCCAAAGCGGGACTGGTATATCTGGAAACCCGCGCGATACGACGAAAATGGCGTGCGGCATCCTCCGACAAACTGGAGAGGCTATTTCGCCTGTTCAACGTGGACTTGGGATGAGCATACTCAGGAATATTATTTGCACCTCTACGCGCCCGATCAACCTGATTTGAACTGGGACAACGATGAGTGTCGCGAGGCTATTTACGACAATACGATGCGATTCTGGCTTGATAGAGGCGTTGATGGGTTTCGCATCGACACCGTCAACAAATACTCCAAGAGGAGAGATTTTGTTGACGCGCCTATCACGGATCCTTCATCGCCGCATCAGCCTGCGCCTGAGATGTGGTGCAACGGACCACGCATCCACGAATTCATTCACGAAATGTATCAAAAAGTCCTAGCTCCTTACAATGCTGTTTCGGTTGGCGAGCTCTCCAACACGCCTAATCCATCACAAGTCATTCCTTATGTATCCGCTGCAGCAAAAGAGTTGGACATGGTTTTTGAGTTCTCCATGATCAGACTCGGCAACGGGAATGGCTTCGGCGATAAGTATATCTACCAGCCATTTCCACTCTCCAAACTAAAGGGGTTAGTCTACAAGTGGCAGAGTTTTATCGAAGGGACAGATGCTTGGGCGACAGCCTTTTGTGAGAATCACGATAACGGACGATCGGTGGATCGTTTTGGAGACGCGTCTACACCAGAATGGTGGTTAAAGTCTGCGAAAACCATAGCGCTTTGGCAAACAACACTCACAGGCACGTTGTTCTTGTATCAAGGCCAAGAGATTGGCATGACCAACATGCCTCGTTCGTGGGGCATTGAAGAGTACAAAGATATTGAAAGCAGCAATTATTACGCCGAAGCAGTTGCGTCTGGGGATGAGAAGCGCGTGGAGGATACGATGCACGGACTACAGATTATGGCGCGTGATCATTCGCGTGTTCCTTTCCAGTGGGATGATTCGCCTAATGCTGGCTTTGCAGATGGGCAAGCAAAGCCGTGGATGAGAGTCCATGATGACTATCGCGATATCAACGTTGCGAAACAAGTCAAAGACCCCGAGTCAATTCTGAGCTTTTACAAAAGGATGCTCAGACTACGGAAGCAGTACCAAGACCTCTTCGTCTTTGGCTCATTCAAGCTTCTTGACCCAGACGATGAGTCTCTCTTTACCTATGTTAAGGAGAGTATTGTTCCGGTCAAGGGCCGACGGTCTGAGAAGAGAAGAGCTGTTGTTGTTCTAAATATGAGTCAAGAGGATAGAGTTGGCCCAGATGTACATGCAGCGTTGGGATGTTCGGCGGAGAATGTTCGATTACTTGCTTGCACAAGACCAGAGAGCGCAACAGGGCTTAAGGGCGGCCGGTCAACGCTTGCGGGATGGGAGAGTTGGGTTTATGTCAATTTTGAGTTAGAATAATCATTCCAGAGGATATTTTCGGTATGGTATGGACGATGTAATAAGATAGCATTGGTCTCCGTATGCGGTTTGGCATTAAATCTAATTTCCAAGCAATTTCCCACCGAACACAATCAAGGTGATGATGTCCACCCAACAATCAAAACACGAATCAACCAGTCTGCTGAATGTTGGCCAACATTACCAAAGCGGCTCTTGACCAGCTCATATCAGGAGCATCCAAGGTAATAGGCCCCGTCTTCCATTCGACATAGCGCTCCGTTCCAGACACTCCCCCACCCATCAAGCGATCAAACTCCTCTTGGGCCCCAGGTTGTCCAGGCTGGAGCTTTAGTCTGAACGGCCATTTCTCAACAATGGTGTTTTCCTCTCTGATGATGGCCCCTGCGTTTTTGGCCACTTGAGGGAAATCGAAAACTGTCATGAAGCTTACCGAGCCCGTTAGAATTTTTATTAGAAATAGAGGGGCTTAACTTACTAGTCGAAGTAATCATCAAAATATCGCACGGAATTACGGGCAGACGTAAGCTTGACGACTTGTGGATCATACGTTCCTCTGATGGGCGGCTTGACAGGAAGGTACTTGTGAAGACGCTGGGTTACTCCATTGTCAAGCGCTGGGTTGGGGAGGTAAACTCCTCTTGCCATCATTTCATGGACAGCATTCATGAAGATTGTGATGAGGGTTGCATGTGGATTGAGTTGCATCTCTCGAAGTAAGGGCGCCAGGATGATAACTGTGTTGTCTATACCAACATATGAAGAGTCGGTAATGTTAGACGCCTACAGGAAGTTGAGCGGAATGTTTTAGAGCTGTGGAAAGTACAGTCTTACCTCGATGCGATCAAATGTACCGTCTGTAAGATGGTTGGGGAGGAGGCGAGCGTCCATCGGCAGCAGGCGAAATAACACTTTCAAGTTAGCAATTCGATCTAGAAACGCTCGCAGGACGGATCGAAGGTAAAGAAAAAGTTTGCCGTAGATGTCAGCCTTGGCAGGTCCATATGGAGTCGTTTCAACGTCTTCAGCGGACCATCCATCGAGTGGATCGGCATTGTCGCGCATCGGCCACACAGATACATCTTCTTGAAAGATGGTCCTGCAAACATGAGCTTATAGTCACCACACAGTATGGGTTACTCACGGGTTCGGCTCACTGAACTCAGCGCGCTGATATCCAAAAGGCTGTAAAATCCCATCTTCTCGAAAGTATTGTGCAGCAACGCGACGAAAGGGAGATAGAAAAAGAAAATGACGATCACGATAATCCTTCCTCGACTCAGCAAGGGTCGTCGCCTTCCGGATCTTATTTGCTTTCTCAGTAGTCAAACCCTCGGGGACCTCTGTGAAAAGCAACAGCTTGTCCCAGGCTGATTTCTGAAGATCAATCTTCAGGGACCTCCGTCCAAATTCCCATTTGGTGAAAATACTACCATCCGCGGGCTTGCCTTTATGTTCCTCACAAATGTCTGCAATGAGGGGACGGACTCGCTGCTGGATGATGTCAAGGTCGGATTTGCGGATGAAGGCTGAATACCAGACGTGAATGATGCAGTCAATTGCCGCATCTTGGTCTTCGGCTGTAAGCGCGATGAGTAGCATGATGACGTTTCGTGCTACGATGTCGAAATCAATGTCGTTTATCGTGATATGCAGTGGCTTATCGTGGCTTCCAGGTAGCTGAGAAATTGTTTTGATGACATTTCGGATGTCACCAGACGCTATACTCTTGGTCAGCGAGGTCAAAGACATTTCATCCGAAGTACCAACCGGCAAACAGCAAGTTCAGCTTCTTGTTGTAATCTTTCCCCTCATTTGCCTCAAGTCGAAGAATATCAAGCGCGGGAACATTTCCCCAGAGATACTTGGAACCTACAAACTTTTCCTGGGTATTGTCTTCTCCTACAAATGCGGACTGACGGCCTTGGACAAACCAGTCGGGACTCCAGTTGGCTTTGTCTAGGGCTGATTTGCACTTGGCTTTGTGAGTGGACCAATGGGACTTTTGGCATTCTGGGCCCCAGTACTAAACGGTGATGAGAATGGTTCAAAGTGGTAAAAGATTGATGTGTTGGTGGTCACTGGTCACTTACAGCCACGAGATGACAGTTTCCGCAGGTGAACTTGCCAGTGTCTGGACAGGTGGTGCCATCTGTATTCCAGTTCGCGCAAGGAGTCGCTGGGGTCGTCATGGTTTACAGTGGGAAGTATCACAAGACGTTCTGTACTGATTGACGGGAGATCAAAAAGAAGAAGAGAGCAGGAGAAGGGATCGGGCTGTTGTATCAGTCGATATGGCTAGACGGCATCCTTCAGATTGGGGATGATTTTTGCGAAAAGCATGACTCGCTTTGGGATGAAGAGATTGCCTTGCATCATGGATAGACTGTGTACTGTTTCCTTTTTATTGCTCGTTGCTTGCCCTTTGTCTAACCAATTAAGCCCTATGTTTCCTGTCACAAGGGTCATTGCTGGTAGTACGGCATGTGGGCCACATGTGTCGATGTATCTTGATGGTCAACACCAGCGGTGATTGCCTAGTTTAGCTGGAGAGTTTGCGTTGCTTGTATGGAAATCATACGGCGCATTGTGAAGCATGTTACCAAAGCGTTACAAACTATGTGGAGGTTTCCAAGTTGCTTGTATGATGTTCAAGTGCTTGTTGACCAAGTGAACACATACAAATGCAGCAGATTGATCTTTTAGTTTTTTGCATTCGAAGATGATTCACGACGACAAACTAGAAAGTAACTGCAAAGATGTGTCACATAATGACAATTCAAACTTCAGGCACCCGAAGCGACCCGCTCATAACCTCGACAGCATTTCCACCAAGATACACCGTCTTGACCTTTCGCAACCCAGCACCATCCATCTCAATCTCCACATCAACAACAATAAGAGATTTTCTTCCCATCTCAACACCCTGAGTAATCCTAAACTGAACAGTATCCGCATCAAGCTTATACAAAGCCAGGTAACAAGCCAACGCACATGCAGCGCTTCCCGTGGCCGGATCTTCCATCGCGCGCTTTACGAGTCTTGCTCGAAGGTTCTGCACGTATTTCTTCCCGTCGGATGATTGCTCACCGCTTACAAGCACGAAGTAGTATCGCCTGGAGTCGAAATCGTGCTTCCATCCTTCGTCCTGCAAGTCGCCGGAAATGAGGCCCATTGCTCCGACTTTTGCGGCTCCTAGCATTTCCAGAGAGGGGAGTTCGATTAGGGCGAATGTCATTCCGTTGACGATGCTGAAGAGCGGTGCGCCTTCTTCAGCTGCGGCGACTTTGGCAAGTTGCTCATCACCGGTTTCGTATTGAGGTTGTGGTAGACGTGCCTCGTGGAGTCTGACATCATGCGGGATGGAAGCTCGAGCAGAGCCATGCTGGTCAAAGTCGATGTCAATCCTCCCGGCTTTCACGACCATCGTCTTGACACCCTGGGAGCGTAGGAAGACCGCAGTGCCAATGGTGGGATGGCCCGCGAATGGTAATTCCCATTTTGGAGTAAAGATATCAATTTTTCTCTCCGATGTCTCTGACGGATTTTCAACGTCATGAACAAAAACTGTTTCCGAAAGGTTAAACTCGCGGGCGATTTGCTGCTTTTGAGTCTGCGTGAGGGGAGGCTGCTGGTTTGGTGGGATGGTTACCACGGCCAGCGGATTGCCTTTGTAGGCAGTTTTGGTGAAAACATCGAGAGTGCTGAATTTTAAACTCATTTTATGACTATTTTGATGTTGTGTAATTATTCATTTATCCGTGGCTCAATCGATTCCTATAAATACGACTAGCATGAGTCAGAAATCCAAGGCAAAGATGAGTAATTCGCGCATCTTATATGCTTACGAATTGCGGGTTCGTGAAGGATCGCAGGGAGTCACCTTTTCCGCTACCGGAACTAAATGATTCGCTAGCTTTACGCAATGGTCGATTGTCAATGTCTCGCTTAATCGCCGACCAAGCAGATAGATACTGGATCTGTCAGATCTGGTGACTATTAAACGCAATGGTCGGGGAAGAGGCATTGGCATATCAATGGCTTCTGTCACTGTCCGCAAAGATTTGCAGATCCAAGAGGTAGTGTTCTATTGCTAGCGGATAAAAAGTCAAGGCTCGCCAATCCTGAGGCCTTGGGTACTGTATGCTAACCGCCAGTGATCCGCGATATGCGGGAGTTCAAACTTTAATGCAACCTCTTGTTCCATCATAAATCATCAACATAGTCCCGTGGTTAGAGACGCATGTTTTATAAAGCCTACTAATATGTAACCATGACGCATTGATATCACGGTATACTATTCTCTGTGTTTCTCCCGCTAACAGAATTAGGACAAGCCGTGTCCGAACTACGTGACGTCACCTTTACAAGTCTATTTATCAAAACCAACCTTGTTCACGAAAAGCTTCTCTTTTTCATTTCAATTCAAGTCAATTCAGTTCATCACACGATAATCATTTCAGTAAAGCAAGACATAGAGCTTGGTTGTATCAACATCTACAAAACGGACCCCAAGTATACGACGCCTCAATCACAACAATGACAGAATCTCTCGCTGCTTTCCGAGCCGGCCGAAGCGCAGAGCTCCGTAAACTCGCCGAGGAGCATCTTGAGCATGAGTATGTCCACACTTGACCTTGAAATGATTTGAACTTCAGCGATACTGATACTATCTAGTTTGAACCAAAATGACCGCGATATTTTGAAACGCGCTGGGAGCAAAGTGTCCACACAAGCTACAGTGGGATCCCTTCTTGGCCTGGGTTTGGGCATTTACTGTGCATTTCGCTTGCGATCAATGCGAATGACCTACTTCAACGCCTTTAGAGCTATGGAAAAGCCAGTAGAAATCAAGTTTGCCGACGGCCGTACCAGTAAGTGATTGAATCTTATATATCCATACGCGTCACATTCTAATCCCGCCGTTCTTTGCAGAAGCCATCCCAGATATCACAGCTCAGCTCGCGCCCTCAAAGTGGAGTGATGCAGCAACCTACTTCTTTTTCTCCGTTGGAGGTTTATTTCTTGGTGGCGAAACTGGTCTTCTCTCAGGCACCGCATCGGCGGCACGCACTATCACAAAGGATCCTGATGCCAAGGAACGGATAGAAAAGGCGTTCAAGAACTATCGCATTGATGTGTTGAAGAAGGAGATTCAAGAGTTGGAAGGCAAATCGAAGTTTGAACAGCTTTTCGGCTAGTAAATTACCGAGTTATTCTAAGCAGTGGCTTGACTAGAGTGCTAAGCAGTTATATACATCTATTTCCGATATATAATTGAGGCATCGCTGCTTCAACTACAGCTGTGTGAATGACGCCGGTTGTGAGGAGACGAGACCCAAAGCTAGATTCAATGAAGTACAGGAGTTTATCCTGTCCTTGAAATGCATTGCCATTGATGCATGAATCTTTTCCAAGCGATATATCATTAACCTGCAGCTAGTATGTGTGAAGGATTGACGTGGCCACAAGTCTGTACATATTCCAGTGGTGTTAACTCCTGGTTATCACCACAATCATACCAGCTCCTTTCGTGCACGTCCACTGCCTTTCCTAGTAACAACCGCACAACAGCCTTGTTCCCATCCTTTATGGCATAAGGTAAGAGAGTCATATCTTCCTAATCCACAAGATCAGGATCTACCTCGTCTCTTTCGAGTAAGAGCCGTGCTACCCCCTCTTGCTCATTCTCCGCTGCGTAAGATAAGGTAAATCGTGTCTTTAGTAAAAGTCTTACCACCGTCTCATGTCCCTTCTCTGCCGCAAATGGCAATGAAATTCTTCCCATATCTTCTAATTTTGGTTGTCTTGCTTTTTTAATTGCAGAATTCACGTCACATCCTTTCTCGAGGAGCAGATGAAAAACAGGCACGTTCACTTTCTCCAGCATTTTGGAAAGAGGCGTTTGCCAATAACATGATACCGGCTTAGTGAAAAGCGGCTGCAGCCCCATCACATAATTAAATTCATCCGAGGATAATAAGGTTGAGGAAGCTCCACTGTTGAGTAGGATTTGGGTGATACCCTCATGTCCTGCCTCCACAGCATAGCTCAGGGGCGTTCGTCCTGCGTTTAGACTAACCATGCTATCTTGAGAATTTATGTCAGCTCCTGCGTTCACTAATAACGAAACAATTGTTTCCCAGCCAAGTTCTGCTGAGTATGACAGTGGCGTTCTGCCATAGCAATCCTTACGATCTATCTCGAACCCTACTCGAATGAGATCCTCTACAAGATTTGCCAGTCCGAAATATGCAGCCACATGGAGCTTTGTGAAGGACTTCAAGTCTTGTTTGCCCATACGACGAGATAATAGATGATTCACCATAGATTCAGTAAGAATTAGCAGGTTCGCTGATGTATGGACATCTGTCTCTAAGACAAAACTCTCAAGTTCCAGCTGCGATATTGGTGAATCACGAGCATGATGTCCCCAGTTTTGTGCTGCATAATTGTAAAAGGGGTGGTACTTGACCTGTTTGAGGAAATCTGTCATACCACTCAAGGGGTCCCCATCAAGGATCCTGAGGCCGCTGAGGGATATATAGTTGAGACAGGTCCTGGTGATGTACTGCTCCGTCATTGGGAGTAGCTGGTCAGGTTGTTGGTTGATGTATTCTTGGGTAGTAAAATGAACCAGCCGGATAACGTTTGTTTTCTCGTCAATTGTTATGAGCCCGGCGCACACAGCAACCATCTTCTCAACAAAGGGCAAATCTTGGTCATGGACCACCTGCGGTTCGTTGCCTGTAGCCAGGGCATGTTGAAGCTCGATAACCTTAAGCTCTCTTCTGGCGAAGGCAATCCATAGTAACACTTTTTTGGCAAGGATTGTGTGTTCTGGCTGTTGTCCATTGATTCTTTCCATGGTTTGTTTGTAAGCATCGGCTAGAGGCGTGCCAGCGTTGCCTGTGCCTCGGCGTTTGCCACACTGCTGGAAAGCCTCTAATTGGTTTCGGATCTCAGTAACGGAGATTTTGAAGCTCAGCAAGTTCAGATAGATTCGAGCTAAGAGAAACCTATCATTCGTAAGCACTATACTGAGTCATTATACACATTAAAGCTTACATTCCATCCACAGATTCCGCGATCCCTGCCACGATATCCTGTGGTAACGTTGTTCCGTTTCGAATGTTAGGAGGTAACCACTTCAGATTGGCTCTCACATAAGCCTGTAGGTCATCTGGTGCTGCAACGATTTCCAACTTGGTGAGATTCCTGAACAGCTCTTCATTCTCATTTGTAATCTTGGAATCGTGGCGTGAGGTAGTAAACAGGTTGATGTGGTTTTGTTGCTGAAGGCGACTTAGCTCGGTCAGAAAGTCTTCTCGTTCATTTCCAGTTTCATCGAGTGCATCAATAACAACAAACACTCGGGAGAATCTCGCAGCTACTGAGCCCAGAGCCGAAAGTATTTCCTGTGGAGACGGACGAGTTCGCCCCGGTTGGTGATTGGTATAGAGGCGTTTTAGTTCTATCGGCAAATCGGGTAAGCCTGCGGCGAGTTGTTTGAGAAGACTTCCGAGGAGCTTTTGGGTTGCCTGGTCGTCCACCCGTCGGAAATTGCAGTAAATATATGCGATGCCAATGGTTGAGTTGTGGCGGAAGTTGGAGATGAGATTGTCAACCACGATTGACGTCAGGATTGTTTTTCCAACTCCTGGAATACCTCGGCAAAACAAGGTTTGTCCTTTTGTCAATAGCCAGGTTTGGAACTCCTCAGTCTCAATAAGCCAATGACCAGTTCCTTGTTCTCGAGTGTTAATGTTCTCGCTCTGCTGCAAGCCATAGTCGACTGGCGTTAACCAGTCAAGGACCTTGGTATCCTCTTGTCTGGTTTGCCGGGAGTGGATCTGAGCGACATCTTCTTGTAATCCATTCAGAACGGATTGAACTGCATTTACACTTAGAAAATAACTGGCAAGTTGGCTCGGTCAAGACTAACCTTCTTCGAGTATATCCTTCACAGGCCTTTCTTTCTCTATGTCATCTGCTTGAACATATTGAAGAAGCTCCTTTGCAAATGCAGCAGCCCTGATTGCCGCGTATTCCTGCCAATCGTCGTTCTTATGCGAATCGGCATAATCACAGATACCTCGTATGACAAGACAAGGAAACTCGTTCATAAGACCTGCAGCTTCCATCTCAACACACAGAACATGGCCTCCGAGTTCTTTGTTAAGTTTATTCCGGAAAGCAGCATCTTTGACGAGCTTGTCTCCTGATGCGATAAGACCATAGTGGACAGGTGATTTCTCAGGGTTTCTTTTTACAATCATACTCTTGTCGCAAAAGTGACAGCTTTCGTATTTTTTGTAATCCTCTTCATCCTCGTCCAAAGCGGGCTGCTCCACGTGGCTGTAACTGGACTTGAATAACAGATCCTGAAGTGAATCGGTCCGACAAATCATGGAAGCCAATTCACTCGACTTCTGTTTGACCTCTTCGAGATACTGCGAAATCATGGACCTTCCCATAGCATGCCGTGTCCTGAGTAGTGTCAATGCTGTAAGTAAGGACTTGGGAGGCATATTGAGCGAGCCAGTTCGCTCAAACTTGTCAATCCCGGTGATCTTGCCAGAGTCCCACTTCACAACTCCAGGATATGTGCCGACAGGCGTACTGACCACGACATCGCCAAGTTGAATGTTGTTATCTTTTGACGGCACACCGCCGCCAACGCCAACCATCAGGCCAAATTTGATGCGAGGAAAAGTGGCAACCATGGAGTTGACGACTGCAGCCGAGGGAGCGATCCCAGTCATACCCAGTGGAAGGCAAGCGATCACAACATTGTGTTCTCCGATAGACCCCAGCGTGTATGCGTTATTGTCAGTTGATGGTTTCGATAAGGGAGGATGTTCCCTGTCAAGCATCGCTGTGGCGGCAGTCTGCTCCTCTGAAAGTGCGCAGACCCATCCCACAGTATAATCATCATGCGTAAGCGACTCGTCCTTCCGCTTTCCCTTGAAGGTATTCTGGCCGACGCTGTCGTCTCTTGGTCTTTTCCGCCTCATCACAACGTTTGACATTGATACCAGCTTGGGAAATGTGCGTGAAGATAAGAAAGCAAAACCGTACAATAGGTCAGTGGCGACGAGCAGAATTAAACAATGAAGAAACGCAACACCTTGGAGTAAGAATAATTGATGAGCAGCGAGGCGGTGACGGTTTTATTTGAAATGATATGACTGCCTAAATCCTCAGCTGAACGACTCTTCGCTGTGGTAGACCCCTGTATAGGACTTTGCGGCACGGTCACTTGGACCAACACATAAGATGCTTCTGCGAATCATGATCGCTAAAGAGAACGCCTTGCAGATAATTTGTTTCAGCCATTCCACATACCACACAGCCCGGGCGTAGATGCCTCCCTTAATTGTTCTTGGCAGCGGTGAAGAAGCCAACTGATGGCTTTGGTGGCTGATCCCTGTTGACTCGTTTTGTGCAATACACTATAGTGAAGCATGATAAATTTGCTGAAGCCTTTTCCAATTGCTACTTGTCAAGTTTCTTTGTTGTTTTCTCTAACCTCTATACCACCCTTCTATCCTATTAATAAAACCCTGTCATCTTTACCATTTCAAACCCACAAGTTCCTTTTCGCCATCCATGTCGTATGCATATACCTAATCCCACTGCAATCAACCTCAACCTTCTATTCCTCAATCTCTAGCCTCTTCTGCGCCAGCCGCAAAAGCCAATTCTTCTCTCCCACCTTATCCTCATACATAGACAGCGTCTCGGTGACCGACTCCTGCAGCCCAACCGCTGTCTTCTTGGCATACTCCAACCCGCCCGTGGCCTTGATATCATCCACTGCGAGTTTTCGCATCTCGTGACAAAGACCTTTACCGCACTTGCGCTGCTGCAGTAGACTCATCAAGCGGCCTTGTTGGGGTGATTTGGTCGCGAGGGCGTGGATGAGGGGCAGGGAGATCTTGCCTTCGCCAATGTCTTCGGCGAAACCCTTCTTCTCGGCATACTGCATCAATCAACATGTTAGTCTGAAGAAGGTGTACGTGTTCGGAAGTTGCTGGCATACCTCGGTGCATTGAAGGTTCATGTAGTCATCACGGGCTTGGAAGAAACGACCGACAAGTTTCATCAACAGCGTGACATCCAAACTTCGGTGCTTAGTAGCTTCACATCGCATCAATTCAGCCAAAAGGGTGAAAAGGCTACCAGTTTCTACGTCAAAAGTCAGTGAATAATATCTTAGCCAGTCAAGCAATGCGCCACCACTTACTGCCGTCGACCATGGTAAAATACTCCTCCTCTGTAGGTATAGCAGTATGATACGTCCAGTAAAGATCCATGCCTTGACCAATATGACCCTCGATGAGAAGATCTATCAACAACCGCGAGGCACGAGGTGAGAGAGCTTCGGCAGCTTTGAGAGCCTTTATGATAAGTAGGCTGGCCGTGTTGATGGTCTGGTTGACACCAAACACAACATGTGTTGCTGGGTATCCGCGTCTCAGGGGAGAATCGTCCTCGATATCGTCGTACCTTGAGAATGTTTTAGCAAGACAATGTCTACCTTATGACTATAGAGTACATACATCAGAGAAGAGCTGTGTAAGAGATTAATAACGTGGCGAATAACGTTGAGAGACTTCTCCGGAACCTGGTACCAGACTTCCAGTCCGTCAATGACCGCGTTTCGAAAACCTTTGGAAGGCATCATCTCCAAGTACTTCAATGGCTGTAGGATCATCTAGAGATTGTTAGCTTTGCCACGCCCATTTTTGCAAGCCACATACCTCTTCGTACTGATGTATCGACCACGTCTTCCTCAGCTGCGACGTCTGCTCTTCAGTTTCCACGCAAACACGAGGCGGGTGATCATCATTTGTACTTTCGGATCCTTTTGGTCTATGTTCCGGAGTTGAGAGATCAAGATATCTGCGATCATGAAGAACGACATCAATCTTGTCCGCCATAGCCGCAGCATTGACCGAGATAGGACGACCGAGGCTTTCGCTTTCATCCTCGGACATGTCGGCACACTTCTTCCACAGAGCCGGATACACATCCTCGGCGCCAGCTCTATAGCGCGCAGTGGTCATGCTCCAGGCGAAGTTACCCGCCGTCACAAGGTCGAGTAACTCTAACCACTGGCGCGTCTTCTCCGTAGCTTGACCCTTGGCAAGGAAGTCTTCCTTCAATTTGCAATATCGGTTCTCGCGAGAGATGATTTCCTTGCGGAGCATTTTCTTTCCCTCTTCTTTACTGATGGAGTACCAGTTCATGAAGAGGAAGATTGCGTTGGCTATCACGCCAGTAGCTCCGTTAGCGTGGTGGTTGCTCCATTCTTTCTCCCAGGAGAAGTAGTCGTTCACCAGGACCCAGGAGTCGTAAGCGGCGGAGGTGATGTGGTCTGTCTTCTGCTCCTCGTCTACCGAGAGTTTGAAGTCCATAGAGAAGCACAGAAGACTCATTGTCCACCTGTCAATTTTTAGTAATCATGTTGCTTGGACCGAGGTGAGTTGACATACGGGCATCCAGCGTCCACAACACGAACCTTGAGATATGGGTCTAAGGTGGTAAACTTCATGTCTCTGATCTGAACAAAGACTTCTGACATCTCCTTCCAGAGACGCAGCGTTTCCTTTGCCTGTTCTTTGTCGACTTCCATGAGCTCCATGACCATTTTGGCCTGCAATTGGCGGCGCTTGACATGGTCTTTGGACTTTGAGCCACGGCCCATGTCTCCGCCCAGGGTCAGACCCTCCATCAGCTGGTCGTTGGATTCTTGAAGCTTCTGGTGAGTTAGATACTGTTTTCTGATATTCTCTTGAGGTATTAGGTGTTTGTTTACCTTGGACTCGTCTTTGTTCTCGGCGTACTCGATAACTGTGATTCCAGAATTAGCGTTGGCCAATGTAGTCCATCATGTTTCTGGGTTAGTCCTTACCGTCGTCATGAATGTAGGCATACTCAACCATATACGTCGTGAGAGCAAGTCGCTCACTCAGGGCTTCACAAGCACATAGAGCCGTGAAATTGCCAACCACGGGGTTAATACAGCCCACGGCATAGCTGTGGACGTCCTTGTTGCGACTCGCTCCAGCTCTGGCCTCATTACTCGCCTTGAGAAAGTCAACCTGGCACTGCCACGAGCCAGCGTCTGAGAGACGAACATCGCGATGGATACGCGGCGCGAAGCGGCAGAAGTATTCGTCACCCTCGTATACATGCCAAGGCAGAGGTATGGAGTTTCGGATGAAGGACTGTGCACTCATTGTTGTTTATTTGGTAGTAGAAGGTGAATGTGCTGGTTTGATAATAGAGAAAGGTTCTTGGATCTAGGGAACTCTACTTTATATATCCGAAATCTTTTGTCTTCTTGCAAGACTTGCCTCGCTTGTTATCTTGCCAAATAACACATCAGCCTGAGGTGCGGCAACCGGCACCGGCCGTATGTGAGCACTGAGAGTTCTGACCCATCGTGTGAAAGTTCGTCTGTCACAAAAGGAGTTGAGCTGCAGTATGACGCGGGTTTCACGTCTGATGAATGGTCGAGGCCTGAATTTGAGACGCTCACTGTATATTGATTTCTCTAGCTAGCTACTAAACTATTTGGGGGTATGGTGGTCTGTCTCTCGCTTCTCTTGATGCCCATCAGTGTATATCTGTTGTCTTCAGGCAGGCCTTTTCTCGGCTATTACTTCTCCCGAGATCTGACAAGCGGTAGCATCTTTCTGAGAAACCACCCTCGCAGGGGCTTAGAAGGATGGATAGGAGATAGCGGCACGGGTCGTCAAGTTCCCGACCGATCCCGCTCGGGAGAATGCCTCGATTCTTTCGTGATTGGCGATGAGTCGCCTGCATAATCTTATTTATAAGAGCAGACTCTTGTATCATTGGACACCGCAAAAGGTCGCTGTCTTGCCTCAGCTGGACCTCTGTTAACCATTCTAGCCACATGTGGAAGCAGATCCATGGTTGATATCTCCACTAGATCGACGTCGCATAACTAGCTTACTTTCACAATTAGCCCTGCAGAGGAACACTTCTTCAGATCTGACGATTTGAGAGTAGAATGAAAGAAAATACATGCCAGAGTTTACCGGATCGGCGGCTGCATGCCGCTGCATGTCTCTTATAATGCACAGCTTACACGGCCATATTATAATCACGATGATGGAACTACATAGCAAGGAAATCGAACAAGAACAAGTATAAATCGAACAGAGTTTATTTCAGTGTCACCTATCAGGTTATCGGTTCTGGTCATTGTGAAAGCCAGCACAACATCACCACCGTAGGTGTTGAAGTCGAGCTTGAGCTCACCAGTTATTTCCAGGTTGGTTTACCAGGAACTCAATCGTAAAGCCACATGCGGAGCATTCAATCCGAATTAAAGAGGCTACGCGGGGGTGGGCTCACTGCCGAACTCCTTACTCAAACCCTGCAGGGCCGTGTTTTTCTCTCATCAACGATCGTCTTATATCCACTAGTTCAAGAGGCTTATTATTGTTATCTCCCATACATTGACCTCTCATAAGCAAGAGCCTCAATCACACCCATGTTGTTACTCCCGTTAGAGCGAAATGTGAGATACTGTGGAACTAAGAAGCAATAAACCCCTGACCCATGCTATACATATGTATCATTCCCTAAAGCAGAGACATCCGAGCTGTAAGACAAAACCTAATGCACTGGATCGGTGCGTACCGCTAATCAGAGAGAGGCCTGGTATATACCAATTTTTGGATAGTTGAGTCTGCATGTCTTGTGTGGCATGTACTAATTACTAGGCAGTTAAACCAGATCGTGCGTGCGCGGCTTCACGTCAGGAATTATGTCATTATGACGGGCTTACACTGGATAAATAGACGTGGTGTGCGTGCATGGCCTGCATACTTATGGCACATAATAGTGCTGCTCCATAACAGAGTACCTTTCAGTCAATTACGTTAAATCTCTTTCTCCACGTTGTAGAGACGACAAGAAATGTTTTTGGAGGCAACTACTTACAAAAGGGCTACCTTTAAATACTCCACCTCAATAGGAAGACAACCTAAATACCACCCCGAACATACGCGAGCGTAAAATATGATTGGAGACGTGTTTTAAAGATCCCCAGCTCGATAATATGCATTCATAATCTAGCTACTAATAAAGCTTTTACAGATATCAGGCACAAAATACAAGGGAGACCGTCACATGCATCTAAACTACGTACATGTTACAATGAGATTATACTTAACTCTTTTGTAGATTTAATGCTCTATCCTCACCTCCCTTGTTACAGCCTGTCCTGTTGAGGTTCAATTAAATCCCGTTTTCATATCCAGCACCACGGGGATATCAGCCCACTTATCGGTTGATAACGCCCTTGCGTCAAGCCGACCTGCCCGAGTATTGTCTCACTGCTAACTGAGACCGAGTCATACGATACCACTCAAATATCATCACCAATCACAACCCCGATGGGTCTTCCTTCTGTCTCAGTTGGCCAACACCCTCATCTTTGTCCCAGATCACCAGCACTTCTTTGCCAATGGCATCTAAGCTGCCGGTAGCTGCCGCTTTCTTAAGCCTCATTCTCATGTCTTCCTCTGGCGCACATGCTAACGTCATCAGGATACTATCCTTTAATGTTGGTCGTCCTAAGCTCTGTGTTTCCCATATACATACGATGGAAAAGACTATTCCCGCTAGAAGATTGATGGCAGGAAAAAGGAAGAAATACCACCGCACGCGTGTGATTACTACCATGATTGTCGCTGATCCTTTCTCAGGACTTGTCTCTAGGTCGCGATCCCTCATCCATTTAGTTAAACTCAGAGCAATATTCTCAATTGTTGTAGGGATGTGCTTGGATTTTCCAAGCCCAGCAACAAAGCTAGGCGGATTGGTGTTTCCTAGTGATGGATATATCCAGGTCGCTGGAGTCCTGTAGAGATATGTCTGACTTAGCTCAGGTCCCCAAAACCCCTTATTGAGATCGCCGAGTAGCGAGACAATCGTGGGTTGTGTGATGTTGAATGTTTGTATCGGGAGGTTCGATTTGTGAAAGTATTCGTCAGGTATCTTTATCTGGAGGTCAGATAAGTTGACCAGACTGGTGCCCATGTCCAGAGTGTAGTTGGCAGACTTAAAGAACTTTGTCACATTGCTTCTTTCATCTCCATCAGAGTATGATCCTGCGGTTCTGTCCGCCCAGGACATTACAACTGTTTCTTGCAAAACACCCAGCGATAGGGTGTCTTGATACTCGTTGACGCAGAAGGATAAGGCACATTCTTGACCCCTCACTTTGGTTTCCTCCCAAGTCGTTTTATTCTCATGCCAACTTTCGTCTGCAACCAGGTACTGTAAATTCAGTATCATTGTATTCAGGTGACCAAAGTTGATGGTGTGTGCTGGGTTTGTCGTGACTCTTGTCGTCAAGTACGTATCTGGGCAGTTGTCGTTCTCAGACGTGCATTTTGTTTTGCCGTTGTAATTAGACAGACTGAGGTTCGTGCCTTGGACCTGATGCTTTGTATATGTGAGGGTCTTCTGGTTCAGGTTGACATTTGCTCCTGGGGCCTGATTGCTGATATCAGGCAGCTTGCCGTTTCCCCATCTTGCCGGCAAATAGATCCCTGGTAGCGTAGTCCGCCCGGTAGTCTTAATCAAGGACTGGGATATATCCTCGCATTTGTGGCAGACAGCGATAGAAGCAAAGTTAGACCAAGAGCAGTTGCCAGATGCACAGTTGAAAGCCGGTTTGAGATTCTGAGGCGTGATTAGAGGTGAGAAGCCACTCCAAACAGCTGCCGTCATGCCCAAGTCGTCCTGGATGTTATTTGTGAACAGATCCGCAGAGAATGTAAATGTGGTGTTGTTTGGGCCAGGGAATTCCACCCTGGCTAGGCTATTTTCTCCACCGCTGAAGCCAACCCAATACCCGGCATCTAGTCGAGTAGAGCTACCAATGGCGGGCACTGAACTGGATGACTGGTTGTTTCCTCGAGCCATTGCGGCGTACTCTTCAGGTTTGAGAGGGACTTGGCGATTCTCTAATGATAGAATGGCTTGGGTGAAGGGCTCGAAAGCCAATAAAGCAATAGCAGTTAATGCTCCCAGAGCATACCAGTGTCTATGACTGAAGTCAGTTACATGCGTCGAACCTGAAACGGCATACACGTATGTGAAATACATCAGGTGAGTGAAAAGGAAGAGGATAACAGAAGATAAGAGATCAACTCTCTCATGTTTGACAAAAGAAGACATTTAAATAGATGAAAGAAAGGTATTGACTTACGGTCGACGCACGCATGATTTCAACACACGTAAACTCCCAGTAGCTCCTCGACTAGCAGCATCGAATCGATCAAAATCCACAAGTGGTCTCGATGTTCGGCTCAGCCAAGTCCATTTACCCTGCGAAAAGCACATACTAATCACAAACGCAAGGCTACTCTTGGACGTTCCCGCCAGAATAGATACAAGTGCGTTTATAGTGATGGGAGATTTGGTCCATTTGGATATAGGCTGTTCGTCTGATGCGAAGAGCAGGTAGGTCATGGCGATGAAGGATAGTAAACTCAGTACTAGGGCAGAGGTTTCCAGTTTCCAATCAGAAAGGAAGGGAAAAAGTCGTTTGAGGACTTCATCCTTTTTCTTAGGATCCTCGATGGGCTTTTCAAGTACAGATGCGAGGGACATATGGGCCGGGGGTATGTGTTCTGGGGTTTCCAGTAGTGGTTGACTGGTAGTCGTTGGGCCATCTGGTCTTGACGCTTCGAACTGGTCCATTGTTCCGCTTCGAACTGTGTCTCGATTGATATTCGAAATGAGAAGATTAGAAAGAAGTAACTGAATTTGGTTAAGAGAAAAGGACGGAACGAGGTGCGTATTTGATCCATAGAAGTTGGGTGTCTTCTCTCCGGGGGCTGAGTGTTTGTGTAACAACGGACTTTTATTTATGGTGTGAACTAATTTTGGATCAACGAGTAGAACTCGCAGAAATAATTGAATCGTAAGACCACAACGAGTCATATTTCTCGAACATTTAGCAGCCGTTTCATACCACAACCGCCAGCCTGATTTTTGCTGACTGTTACACTGCATGGGTTGTGGCAAAGTCCTGGATGACTTCAGCCTGGCCGAGCATATGTAGTTTTAGTTTGTGTGTCTTCCGAAGTCTTATTGTCTTAACTTCTTCGACTATTAGTTTAAGAAGACTGCAAACAAACACTTTTAGGACAATATTTAGAGAATTAGTCTATGGAGTTTCTCAGACGCAAGCAACAAAACAGCAATAAGTATCAAACACACAAGCCGGGCATATCTAACCCCTCACTACATACACATACCACAACTTACATTAAGCAAAAGTTCCTGCTGTGTAACTAGGCTTCTCGTAAATACGAAGGTCTGGGGGTGGACAGACAGCCTGGGGCGAATGGACAAATGTAAAAGCCCATTCTATCTGAGTAAACTGTTGCATTTATTTATAGAATTCCTTGCCTGCGTCCGCTTGACTGAATTTTGGCTTCTGCTGCTGTTTTATTTGAACATGATCTGGGATATGCTGCTAGGTGACCTTGATACGTTCAAGTGGTAGGCTCTACGCTTAATATCAGAACTGATATGGATGCTATCTTATAGTTTTTGTCGGGTAAAACTAAGCGCTTCTCCACCAAAACCATTCAATGTGTAGAATTACGTGGATCTGTCGTCAAATATTAACAACAAACGATAAATGGAGCCGCGATGACGGCTGTAATGACGTCAACCGACGTCAAAGCTGCTTCTCATACTGCGTTATGTGGGCTGTCAACATCTCGAAATTTAATCTTGTCACTTCTTTCAATCTTTCTCAATCGCTTTCGATCTCGAAACTGACACCAAAATGGTCCTCCAGTACGAAGGGTCTGAGATCCCTATTTCCTTCGCGTCATGCAGCATTCCCATGAAGATCAAAGCCAGCCTACCCGAGAAGCTGCGGGCTATGCAAAAAGCAGGTTTTGACGGAATAGAGCTATCTATGCCCGATATTCTCTGCTATGGTAAACTTATGAACGGATCGCAGCCGAAGGAGGATGACTATGATACTATTGCCGATGTCGCCAAGCAGATCAGGTCATTGGCCGATGAGCTTGGCTTGAAGATCATGATGCTTCAGCCGTTCGCAAACTTTGAGGGTTGGAAGAAGGGTCAGCATGATAAGGAGAGGAAGCAGGCTTTTGATAAAGCTCGGGGGTGGATTAAGGTCATGGAGGCAGCTGGTATCACATTACTTCAGGTATTCCACTACCAAAGTTGAATCACCGTTCAAAGAATTATTTACTAATGCAATCCAGGTGGGCTCATCCGACTCTGAAGGAATCGCATTTTCCTTCGATGACCTGGCTGCCGATCTTGCAGAGCTAGCAGACATGCTCGCCGAAAAGGGCTTCAGTATCGCCTACGAGAACTGGTGCTGGGCCACTCACGCTCCCACATGGAAGACAGTCTGGGAGATCGTCCAGAAGGCCAACAGACCCAACATTGGTCTATGTCTGGATACTTTCCAAACAGCAGGTCTCGAATGGGCGGACCCAACTAAGACCGATGGCCTGGTCGAAGCTAACAGCCACGAAGAGCGCGAGACGCGGTGGAGGAAGAGTCTCGAGGAACTCGCTACTACCATCCCTGGGGATAAGATTTATCTGCTGCAGATCTCAGACGGGTACAAGATGGATCCGCCCATTGAGGATAAGAAGGATGAGGATGGAAGTCGACCCAGATGCCGCTGGAGCCATGACTATAGACCGTTGCCGTACGATGGGGGTTATCTGCCGGTAAAGGATATGCTGCATGCTGTGCTCAAGACTGGGTTTAGGAGTTGGTTGTCGGTGGAGGTTTTTGATGGGACTAAAGGAGAGGATACGGATATGAATGCGTATACGCAGGAGTCTGTTGAATCGTTGAAGAAGTTGCTCACTACCAGCGAATAGGTAAACAGCGTAATTAGTTGATATGGTTTTATAAAGCAGTTCGCGCGATTTCCATCTGTTAACCATTCCATGATGATATCTAAACTCACTGTTTACTCTTAAAGCCGATCCCCTAATCGCGGTGTTATCACAGGACCTTCCCAGCAGGCTATCACATCATATCTATCTTCCCACACAACCTCTGTAACACACCAACACTGGATACCTTTTCTCAAGACACCTTACTTGTAACCGCAGTATACTCAACCAGGTCTTTCAAAGCACGAGCATGCTCACCCTCAATAACCTCAACATGCTTTGACGAACGAGGTGTGATGGAACAAGGGAAAGGCAACGGGCTTGAGTTGAAGCCCTCTGAGTAAGCAAAACTATCAGGCATAAGCATCTGAGCCTCCGAACATAATTGGTCTGATCAACTTACATATCAACATCAACGTCCTTTCCTTTCTCATTCTTCTCGAATTTGATCTCAAAACCCCAGAGTATACGTGCAATATTGAGCGTTACAGATGCAGCTCCGAGATGCATTCCTGGACAGATACGTCTACCCCAGCCGAAAGCGCTATGGCCGAGTGTGCCGGGATACTCACGCTCTTGCATGAAGCGCTCTGGCCGAAACTCGTGAGGTTCTGGGAAGTCGGCTTCGTTGAGATGAACTGGTGGTGTTAGAATTACTAGTCAGAGAGTACTTGGTATAACTCACGTGTCCAGAGGGGCGCAATGATGGTGCTCCCTTTGGGGATGAACATGCCCTTGTATACATGGTCTGCTGTGCTGGCATGGGGGGTTCCTCCGAGGACAGCTACAGGACGCCATCGGAGGGTTTCTGAGGCAATGGCTCTGATGTATTCAAGCTTTGGTAGGTCGTTGAACGTGGGCAATCTATCAGGCCCAACAACTCGGTCAAGTTCTTCTTGTGCCTTGGGGATAAACTGAGGTCCGAATTTGACACATGCGAGTAGGAAACTTGCAAGTGATCCCGCGGACTGGCAAACTGTTAGCCTTTGATAATATGGGTTTGAAGGAAGAGGATGAGTAAATATACCGTCTCAACACCAGCGCCAAAAGGTGATCCTGCTGTATACGCAATCTCCAGATCACTCATACCAAGATTCTGTTGCTCTTCCAGAAGATGTTTCGCAAAGCAGGTTGGCGCAGTTCCTCTGGCTATCTTATCACGAACTTCGTCCATAAGTTCGGTATAAAGTTGGATGTCTTTCTTTCGCTGTTGGAGTACCTCAGCTTTCCAAGGTGCTAAGAAGCTTGGTAGATACTTGAGGGCAGGGTAGCGTTCGACAGCATACTTCCCGGGAATACTAAACAAAATTAGTGTACGTCTGGAGTGTGGCGATTGAAAACTTACTTGACCATAGTTAGGCGTTCCATCGCTTCAGCATTTCTCCTCACCACGATATCACTCCTAACATCCTCAACCCGTCGTCCATAAGTAACAGTGACAATCACAGATGCAGCATACCGCTCCAGGTGCATCCTAAAATCAGCAGGCGTCTTCAATAGATCATGCAGCAAAACCTTAGACTCAAGACTCTGAATCGGTCGATACTTCTCACTCTGTCGCTGCATAAAGCCACTATGCAATAGCTTCCTCCATCGTCTCCAATAAGACGCATAAGGAGCCATCAAACCTCTCATTCCACCTGATAGCAACTCGCCGCCCATGATAAACCTCGGTCGGGAAGAAAACACGGCGCCGCGCTTCTCGAGAAGATCCCAGGCGGCTTGTGCAGAGCCCAGGATGATAGTTGGCGTGGGGCCGAGCTGGAGGTAGACAACGTCGCCATATTGCTGGCTGAGTTCTTGGAACCAGAGCCAGGGCTTTCGAATGCCGGTTTTGACGGTCTTGGGGCCTGGAGGGAGTTGAGAGCGGTGCGAGTAGAGCTTCCATTCTTGTTGTAGCTGGGTTTTGTTAGGAATTGGTAAACAATGAGGTACTATTGGTGGATGATACTGTACACATACCCTGGGGAATATCAGGACCAGATAAGCAAGACCCACGGCCACAGCGGCGTAGACTATGAGGTTAATTACCATCTTGTAAGGATAGAGGTACAAATTATCAAACAAGATAAATTCAACCCTTCCTTGAGCCTTTGGTGAGATGTAAGTCGGTAACCGCACGGTAATAACCCAGCACAAAAGATAGCCAAGCTGCAATTCTTCAACTGCCACGTTCAATTGCCGGTCTGGATCAGCCACCCCCGCCTTCACGACTCATGATAACCAGTTTAAACGATGTAAAGGATGCTCAAATGACTATCTCACCCTCGAAGCGAGCTGATCTTCCCCGTCTTGACCCCGCGTTCTAAACTGCAACCGGCTTCGCCAAGACGTTTAAACCCGGGGAACTGGATCCTAGACAGCGTGTTATCCCTGTCGGTCGGTAAATCTTACCCCGAATTTTAAATAAAAGACATATAAAGAGTGTTTGGTAGCATTGTGGGTGAGCTGGGTAGTTCGGTTATCTTTCGACTTACGGTTGGAAAAATGAAGAGTGACGCTTGGCTTAGCAAGCCTTTTCTAACCTCCATATTCCTCGGAATTGGAGGTTTTCTCTACGGATTGTGAGTCGATCTATAGAATCATTCATGGCAATAACTCACATACCCTAGCGACTCGGGCATCATCACTCCCAGTTTGGCTCTGAGTTCGTTCCTTACGTATTTCGGGAGTCCAGATCCTCCTCTTCGTGGTGCCATTGTGTCTATGTATCAAGCTGGAGGTAAGAACTCCCCCTTTTGGTGAGGTCCAATGCTAACATCGTCACAGCATGGCTGGGAAGTGCTTCGGTTGGCATCACCAGTGACTGGCTGGGTCGACGGAAAGCGATTGCGTTTGGCTGCATTTGGGGTGTTGTTGGTGGTGCTATCATGGCGGGAGCAGCTCATGTTGCAATGCGTGAGTGTTCACATACAGTCGATTGGACTTTTTCTAACAGATTCAGTAATCATTGGGCGAATGTTGGTTGGCTTTGCTGTTGGAACGATTACCGGTGTCTCTCCCGTATTCGGAGCAGAGATCGCCAAGGTATGTTCTTCATAGCCCTCTGTTATCACTCTGGAGTTATTAACTCTATTCTAGACTCACGAGAGAGCCAAAGTCACTGCTGTCAACCAAATGAGTAAGCTATATCCCCATATACACACCCACCGTCAGCCTCACTAACACATTCAGTGACCGCCTGGGGCTTCTTCGTCGCTCTCTGGATAGGCGTCGCCGAAGGAAAATGGCACAATGCCAACCAATGGCGTCTCGGCTTCGCCATCCAAGCCATCCCAGCCCTCATCCTCGGCGTAGGTGTTCTCTTCCTCAGCGAATCCCCCCGATGGCTCTGTCTCAAAGGCCGTCACGACGAAGCCGAGAAGGCATTTCGCAGCTATCACTACGATGGAACGAACGACGAGTGGTGTCGCACTGAGTTCACCATGATCCAGGTCAATATTTCTGAGGAACTGCAGGCTCAGGGAAGACTCTCGTGGGGCGATCTTCTCAAGACTCCTGCTTTTAGAAAAAGACTCTTTGTGGGATCTTTTGTCTGGGCCGCGGCTATGCTGTCGGGTATTTCCTTCGTGCAGTACTACCAGACTGCTATCTACGCCACGCTTCAATTCAGCCAAGACCGCCAACTTCTCGTCAGTGGTCTCTACGGTTCTGTGGCTCCCGTTGCTTGTTTAGTCTCTTTGTTCTTCGTCGATAAGATCGGGCGCAAGAAGATTCTTGTTCTCAGCTCTTCGCTGCTGTCGGTTTGCTATTTGATCATTACCATCCTTGCGGCCAAGTTCCCCGCGGTCCCTGGTATGCCTACCAATGCTGCGGCGCAGAGGGGTCTTATTGCTTGTATTTTTGCTGTCTCGGCGAATTACTCTGCTCTTCTTGGGCCGATGACATGGATTATTCCGTAAGTTGTGTATAAATGGCTTTTTGGTTTGTACTGACGACTGTAGTCCTGAGGTTTTTACCACCGAACTACGAGCCAAGGCAAACGCCATTGTTCAAGTCGTTCACTATTCTATCAGTTTGATCATCACGCAGTGCTCGCCGATCGCTTTGGCTGAAGTGGGCTGGAAGTATTACGTGAGGTTTCTCGATCTTTGTATCAGCATTGATTCTAATCGTTATTTAGATTCTCTTTGTCTTGACAAACGCATTCTGCGCTGTTATTTTCTTCTTTGTGTACCCTGAAACTCGAGGTATGAAGGCCCCCACTACAGTTTTGTTAGTCTGCTGACACATTTAGGCAAATCTCTCGAGGAGATTGACGAGATCTTTGGAGACGTCAAGATTGTGCATGAAGAGGATGTCAGGTTCTCTGAGAAGAGTGGCGTGGAGGCAATCGAGTCACGGGATAATCGCATTGTTTAGAATACTTTAGCTATAAATGATATTTATGACTCTCGGGTGAATCAGTATTCAAGTCTGAATTTCTGGTATCGTTTCATTAATAGTGTTCGGGAACACTTCCGTGCGGCATTTATATGAAGCCAATAGAACCGATGCTGACTGTCTTATCCTTCTTGATTGTGGTGTTGGATCATTACCTCCCTGGGCTATGGTTCTCTTTCTATTTACTGGTCTGGGTTTAGCTTCTGATATCAGATTGGCTCCTCCACATTCTCATGCTTATCATATGGCTATCTGTAAATGTGACTGGATTCCTTGGCGGAAACTCCTTGATAGCAGACATAATTGCCGCAACGTGACCGAACTGTTTCTTTCAGCCCGGTTTCGGAGAAGAGGAACGAGATACCGCCAATCCATCCGTACCTTGCCCAAAGGCTACGACTAGGGTCTTGAACACTGGTTAGCTTAGCCGCAGGTTTGATGGCCACCAATGGCTCAACGAGGGTATCTAGATGCTTGGCGGACTGATAAGAGTAAGGGTGGGCATTTCCCCGCGTTCTTGGCATTATGAGATAGAGATATCATATATACGGGCTTTTACTATTAAACTCTGGTGATATCCTGCCTCATGATGGGAATTACAACCAACATCTTTCACCTCTCTTGTCAAATCTTTCACAAACCTACCTCTGTCTCGACATTCTAGACATGACTGACAGATCTAACGAAGCTCAGATTGATAGGCCTGATATCACGTCTGCACCCATCAACACTACTATTGATGATGTCGACGCTAGCAAGCATCTCGCCGGACATTCAAACTACCATGGCATTGATACAAGTCAAGTCCAGCCTGGTGCTGATGCAGTGTATGAGGCCAAGATTTCAATGCTGAACGAGGCTTTGATCGATATCGGCATGGGCCCTTTTCAATGGAAAATTTTTATGACTACAGGTTTTGGTTGGTTCATTGATCAGGTATATCTCTCACACATTTACGCGCACTTAGAGCTGACGCCTCTAGCTTTGGATGCAAGCTGTGACCAATATACAGCCCCCCGTACGGCACGAATTCGGTGTTGATCGGATCGCCTTTCTTTCAGTCGCCAAATACGCTGGTTTACTGGTCGGGGCATCTATCTGGCCCATGACAGCAGACTTCATCGGCCGCCGACTCGCATTCAACGTGACACTCCTCATCACAGCAGTGGCTGGGCTGGTAGGTGCTGGAATGCCTACGTTTCCAGCCGTGGCGACGCTCTGTGCCTTTGTGGGCTTTGGAAGTGGTGGCAACCAGCCTGTCGATAGTGCCATCTTTCTGGAGTATATCCCCGCGACGCATCAGAATATTCTGGTTGTGCAGTCGGGTTTCTGGTCCCTGGGACAGGTTATTGCTAATATGGTGGCTTGGTAAATACATCCCTAAATCTCTAAGGACCAAAAGCTAACTTCAGTAGGCCTTTTATTGCCAACTTCAGCTGCGACTCCGAAGCGTCTACTGAAGAATGCGACTTCGAGTCCAACCTCGGCTGGCGCTATGTTTTCTGGTCACTCGGCGTCTTCACCGTTATCCTCTTCGTCATTCGTTTCTGCTTCAAGATATACGAGACACCCAAGTACCTCCTTGGACGGGGCCGCGATGAGAAAGTAGTTGAAGTCGTCCATAAGATTGCTGCGCGAGATGGGAAGTCTACTTGGCTCAGTCTCGAACACTTCCAGGCCATTGATGCTCGCTTGGCTAGTGAGGATAGACCGGGCGTCGACAATAACATGACTGTTGTGCGAAAGTCTCTTGAGAAGTTCACTCCGAGCAAGTTCAAGGCTCTCTTTTCTACGCCTCGTATGGCTCTTTCGACGTCACTTATTCTTTTTCTATGGATGGCCATCGGTCTTGCATTCCCCTTGTACAACGTCTTCCTGCCTATGTATCTCCAAACCCGTGGGGTACAAACTGGTTCACCTTCTCTCAACACAACATATCGCAACTTGACTATCCAAGCACTCTGTGGTCTCCCAGCTTCCTTTCTCGGAGGTCTCACAGTGAACCTCCGCGGCATCGGTCGTAAAGGCACTGGGTGCGCCGTATGTCTCTGCACCAGCTTGTTCCTCTTCTTGTTCACGCAGGCCAAGACACAGGCAGCAGTCCTAGGCTTTTCATGCGGGGTTGCTTTCTTTCAGAACTTAACTCTGGGCTTGTTGTATGCTTACACGCCTGAGCTGTTTCCAGCGCCGATTCGCGGTACAGGTAACGGCCTTGCGATGCTGTTTAATCGTTCGGCTGGACTTGGTGCGACGCTTATTGGAGCTTATGTTGGTTTGACTACGAGTGTGCCGATTTGGATCTCTGCGGCGTTGTTTGCTGTTGCGGGTTTGGTGTTTCTTGTCTTGCCTTACGAGAGTCGTGGCAGGGCTGCATCGTAAATATCAAAGGGCATGCAATCACGAGGGCTAATCAAGAAGTTAGATACAAAATTCGTACAGACTATTAAGTATTTTTATGTTTGTACAGTATAATAACATGCGATCATCAAGATCGCCACTATGTGGCTTGAGTATATGTATAGAGAAAAGAAGTGAAGTGCTTAGATCTAAACACACTGAGAGTACCAATCGTTGTGCTTGGTACACTTCAGGCCAGACGGGCACTTCGTGGGACCAGTGTAGCCAGCACCACCACATTGACCATAGGCCGCAGCGGTAGCTCCAGACTCAGCCTTGACAGCAGTCTCCTTGGAAGCAACAGCGGTAGTCTTAGTAGCAGCAGGCTTCACGGCAGTGGTGGAGGTCTTGGTGGCAGCAGGCTTCACAGCAGCGGCAGTGGTCTTGGTAGCAGCAGCAGGCTTGGTAGTGACAGGGGCAGCAGAGGCCTTGGAGCCAGAGCTAGAAACACCAGTCTGCCAGCCGCGTTGACGAGAAAGCTCATACCACCAGTTTCGAAGCATCCATCCATCAAAGTCGGTCACCTGAGTCGCTGAACCAGCAAGCATGATGAAGTTCTGCTGGCCGGTAGGTGTCCAGTCGTAGAAGTCATCGAGAGCAAAAGTATGGCCAATCTCGTGCTGAAGAATGTGGATGTTCTTGGTGCCGAGAAGCTGCATGAAGTACTCTCGGCCAATACGCTGGCCCCAATCGCCTCCTGCACCACCCTGCATGCCATCGGTGAGCCACAGCGAGTTGTCGTAGTGTCGCTCGGCGCCTCCGGGGCAGCTGCTGTAGTCACCGTTCTGGTGGAAGAAGCGACCGCACTTCTCGGAGCACTGAGGAATGCCCTCGGCATCGGTATCGGTGTAGATGTCGAGACCTGCAGTAGAACCCTGAAGGAGACTCTTGTTCTTGACGGCCCAGCCAACAACGTTGATCTTAACTTCCTCATAAGGAAAGTTATCATAGCCAGAAACCCACTTCATCCAGCTGGTGTACGAGTCCTGAAGAGCAGCAGCGACCTTTGTGCGCTGCTCAGCTGTAACAGAAGCACTAGACTCCCATCGGACACAGACGTTGAGCTGGCCTTTACCAGCAATGACTTGGTCCCAGCCGTAGTTCTTGAAACCCAGGGCATCGCTGTAGGTGGACACCTCGTGATCCCAGACCTCCTTGAGAGCACCGGCGAGGTTGGAGGGCGGGTTCCATCCTGACTGACGCTTGGTAGGACGGTTACGGGGGACGTTGTCCCATGATCGGGCTTTGACGGGGGTGAGAGACTGCCAGACTGAGCCGTCGAGATCGGATTTGGCGGAGTCGAAGGAGTGCGCTGCGGTTGATGCGGCGAGCGCAGTGAGACTGGCGGCAGAGAAGAAACGCATGGTGATGTATAACGAGTGAAATTTAAAAGAATGAATAGTAAGTGAGTGTAAGGTCTGGAATAGTTGAGAACAAAGAATGAGAGCGTCTACCAGAGAAAGCTTGTCCCATCAACAAAAGACTAGACGAATAGGTCATACTATATAGTATAGCCTGGGATAGTAGGGAAGTAAGTGGAAACGAACTATGGGCTGTTACACGAGGTTTACAGGGTCTCTATTGGCGGAATAACAGAGCGTTAAAGATTATATCCGCTGATGATATGCATCTGTACTCCGTGTGTCTAGCTTCGTCCTTGTCAAATTAAACTCATAACCTTTCGGGGCTGTCCAGCCGAAGCCTTGTTCGAGATTATATTTCGTATGGGAATAGTCTAGAAAATGAAACAAGGCTAAAATCCCCGATAGGCGCAATCTTGATTTGGCCGTGTCATTTTTAGATAATTCTTGTCCTGAAACAGCCTTGGCGAGCAAGGTCAATCCGAACCCGCGGGTTTTGCATGGATAAGTGCGAGTTTATACGCGTATTTTTGATAGTTTAGTGTAAGTGACAGGCCAGGCACGTGAGCTTGGACTACTCTTTGCCAAACCCGACTCGGGTTTAGACCCGAAGATTTGTCTTCTTAGGTATGCAAACCCGAAGCCCCGCCTTGTATCCGTAACTACCTACTCATCCAGCTCATATCGAAACGCGATACAATGCGAACGACAATAGCTTGTGAAAGGTATTCTACTCTCATATCGAAATAGCTGAAGATGTAATTCTAATTTGACTGTAGATGCAGGTAATGCCAATTGGTCCAATATGCAAAGCCTGTTAATATCTGACCACCCTCGTACAGAAGATCAAAGGTCAAATGCAGGCATAATGATCAGCCCCCATGTGCAGGTTGTGTAAAAAGCGGTTGCACTGAAACATGCACCCTGAGTGGTCCTGTCCTAGGTCAAAGCTCGCAGGTTAAATCAAGACCGAATAAGAGACAACGAGTCAGTATAAATCAGGCGCAGAGCATTGATAGTGTCTCGCCGGAGAATTCTTGGCAAGATGTCAATCAAATCTTTAGTCAAACTCCTCGAGCACAGGTTATAAGTTCTATCAACCTATTCCGTGCTCAATTTCCCGAGTTTGGATTTCTCCATGCAGACGACCTCGAATATCGTGAGGATGACCTCTCTGTCGTCCAGAAACTTCGCCTCCTCGCCATCGTTGCAGTGTCGCATCGATACATAGAGACAAACGCTACAGAAACAAATAACCGAAACATCTTATTCATAGCCAGCGAGGCACAGAAGAGAGTAACAAGCGGTCCGAGCCTCGTCCTCATACAAACCTTCCTCATCCTCTCACTCTGCAACTGGGGCGACGGCGATGGCTTCAACGCATGGATGCACTGCGGTATGGCCACGAGAATGGCGCAAGGGTTACTCAGCACTGGCTTCGCGAGCTGTGGTAAAAGGGAAACCCTTTCGGAACTTGAGAAAAGGACTTTGTGGACATGCTTCAAGATGGACAGACTGTTGAGTTGTGGGAAAAGACGACAGGCTATGTTTCCTGATGAAGAGATGCACTTCTCGCTACCCGTCAACGATACACAGTTTCTCTTTGGTCAAGAATCCCAACCTTCTCCTTTAGATGGCAGTCTGCGTAGCTACGGTCCTGATGACCATCTTGTTCTTCTCATCCAGGGTCTGCGTATCTGGTCGAGGGTTCATACGTGGATTGCGGAGGGCGGCAGAAGACAGCCCGGTATGACGGAGCCGGAACAATGTCCTTTCAACGAGACTTCACAGTGGCATAATATGAAGCAGGACTTACTCAAGTGGAGGGAGTCTCAAGATGCGTTGATGAAATACCCCGGTACCAAGGTATCGGTGCATGCTCAGCGTGGACAGGCCGAGAGATTTGGGTATATCAACTTAGTATACTACGTCAGGTAAATTACTAGATATTCACCCTTGAAGCATACTAACCAAATCGACAGTCTACTCTTCCTCTGCCGAGAATTCATCCCCTTCAGTCCCGTAGACGAAGTCAAACCCCGCGGGCCCATCGAGCCGCCTCTCCTAAAAGCAAGAGGCCCAGATGAATTCTGGTCCCAAAACACCTTCGATCTCTATGACGCCGCAACTCAAATATCATCTCTGCTCACAGATCTAGAACACGTAGGCTGTCCACTTCGTACGCCGTTCTCCGGGCTGTGTGCGTTCTCCTCAACGCTCTGGAGTATCTACGGCTCAGCGTTTCCAAACTTCATGGGCTTCTCGGAAACTCAAACTACAGAGGCGAATGCGCAAGCTGAGAGGACTATGGCGTGTCTTGTGAGAATTGGCAAGGTTTGGAGACTGGCGGAGGAGTGGATCGATGTGCTTAATACAGCGGAGAGTATCATGACACGTGTGAGTGAAGGTAGACGGGTTAAGCGCTCGCGGTATGATTATCCAGAGTTGGAGGACTCTATTCACCTGGCGCCATTACAAGGGATGCCTCGGTTGACGTTTGATCCGCTCACTTCAGCGTCTGTTAACTCTGCGGGTGATGATGTCTCAAAGTTGCATCAGTTGGTGGCAGGGGACGTAGAGGCAGGGACGGAGGCGCAAGATGGGTTTCTTGTTCTGGAGGATTCGATGAGCGGGAGTGAGTTTGTGGGGGAGGATTGGTGGAGGCTTTTGTCGTTTTGTGATGATCCGCATCTTCTTTCGACGAATATTGATGCCATTGGGGGTGATAATGTAGGCTAGATAGGATATTCAACCATACTGTTCAATGTTAGTTGCTGTTGAAGCCGAGTATGGGTGTAACCCGGAAGTTATGTCCAAACCCGAACCTTTTCTAACCCGAAGTACTCGTGGGATGAAGCCGACTAGATACCTCCACCTTTTTCTTCAGCTGTGATATAAAGTTATATATTTCAGTCTCCCACTTAATGACTATATCTCTATTCTTCATGAACAATTGACACCGTCAAACCATATCTGTTACACTCAAGTTCTCTCACAACAATGGGCGACCTTCAAAGCTTGGCCTCAGAGCCACACCTTCTGCACCGCTCTCTTCTCAGCCGTCCTGAACCCGTCGCCTCTGCGTCAGGCGTCTGGATCACACTATCTTCTGGCCGTAAGATTCTCGATGGTTGCGCCGGCGCTGCTGTAGCCATCATTGGTCATGGGAACACTGAAGTTCGCGATGCTATGGTCGAGCAGATTTCAAAAGTGTCATACGTACACACCATGACCTATACCACGGACAGTTCAGAGAACCTAGCCAATTATCTTCTCGAGGGAGAGCCGTTCGACCTGACGAGGGTGTATCTCGTGGGCTCGGGGAGTGAGGCTATGGATTCGGCTATGAAGCTCGCTCGGCAGTATCATGTTGAGAACGGACAACCGCAGCGCACACGCTTTGTTTCAAGGAGGCAGGCTTATCATGGGAACACTATCGGTGCCATGAGCGTAGGCAGCCATTTGGCCCGAAGAGCTCCCTATGAAAATGCAATCTTGCTCGACAACGTGAGCTATGTTAGCCCCGCGTACGAATACCGAGTGAGGAAAGACAACGAGACAGAAGAGGAGTACGCGCAGAGATTGGTTGACGAGCTCGAAGCGGAGTTCCAATCTGTTGGGCCAGACAAGATCATGGCTTTTATAGCAGAGACTGTTGGAGGCGCAACAGCAGGCTGCATCACACCACCAGCTGGATACTTGGAAGGTGTAGGAAAGGTCTGCCGGAAGTACGGCATTCTTCTGATCCTCGACGAAGTCATGTGTGGAGTTGGACGATGCGGCACCTTCTTCGCTTTTGAGAAAGATGGCGATGTGCGTCCTGATATCGTCACGACTGGAAAGGGTCTGGGGGGAGGATATGCGCCTATTGCCGCGACGCTTGTTCACAGACATATCATCGATACGCTCAAGAAGGGAACGGCGAGTTTCAACCATGGACACACGTATCAAGCCCACCCTGTGAGTTGTGCCGCAGCGCTAGCGATTCAGAAGATCGTCAGGAGAGATGGCCTAGTGTCTCGCTCAGCCACACTAGGGGAGCGGTTACACAAGTCTCTCATCGAGGTATTTCAAGATCTAAAATTCGTGGGGAATATTCGAGGTCGAGGGTTATTCTGGGGGATGGAGTTTGTGCAGGATAAGAAGACGAAGAAACCGTTTGATAGCAAGATTCGTTTTGGTGTGAGGGTGCAGGAGAGGGCTTTTGAGTTGGGGTTGGCGGTTTATCCTGGGACTGGGACGGCTGATGGGCATAAGGGAGATCATATCATCTTGTCTCCGCCGTTAACGATTACGGAGGAGGAGATGGATATGATGGTTGGGTTGTTGAAAAAGGCTTATGATGATGTTGCTGCTGGTTTCGGTTCTACGGGTTAAGCGCGACGGTGTTAATGAAGTATTGGTACAAGTATGATTTATTCATGGATTCGAGCAATACGCACTATGTTATGAATGTAGAAATGAGTGTCAAACTGTCTGCTTCCAGGTTTATAACGGCAAGCTAGTACAGCACTCGTAAAGCCAACCTTGGACTCCAATCCTCCCCGGTCGTCAACCTATTTGATTGCTTGAGGTGAGTATTCTGGCTGCCCGCCACTAAAAGGCTGTGAGTTTTCCTGGGGCAATAGTCGAGAAGAAGAAAAGATTAGCTCCATTTCAACGATACAATATGTAATATGGAAATAAGAATATCAATATTTCAGTCAAAATTGGAGGTTTAGATGTGCCTTATGAGGATAGATGGCTCACTGGCTTGTATGCTTCAAAACAGGGTATGACAGAACAGATCAGAAAATGGACGGTCGATAAATATAATAAAACTATACGTCACCTATAATTAAACGCCTTGCGATATGGACATAGCAGAATGCCATTGACGCTCTGAACTTGGCGGTATCCCCTCAGTGTAAACACCAAAATCCTCCCCACGACTGGTTGCGAGGGATTTATGGAACGACGTAAGGAAAACCTTGCACAATCATCGGGCTTATGGTCTAGGGGTATGATTTTCCCTTCGCATCTTCAATTCGACATCGTCGGAAGAACGGGCATGGGAAAGGTCCGGGGTTCAATTCCCCGTGAGTCCATGTTTTTTGTCAACGGGTATGACTTTGTCCCGGAGAGTCGCGGTGTGCTATGGCCTGTCAGCGGGGGTGGTGTGGTAAAGAAGATAAGACACCACGCTTGGATGTTGCCGAGATGTACGGATAGCACTTTAGAGAACGGGTAGAGTTGGTGGGTGTAACGTCGAGATATAAGTGTGATTGAGAGTATGCTATGTTTATCTAAGAAGAAGACATGACGGAGAAACGCAGCAATAGTGCTGTAGCAGTTTTACAAGACACTCAATTTACTACAGTGGCTGTTTGTCTCATCGAAGCGGGTTCCGATGAACGGAGCTCATGTGTGACCGTTACACGAACAGCTTGTCCAATTCGGCTCTCGAATTGACGTCAATAGAGTCGAGTCTCGTAAGCACTTACTAAAGAGCACCATCAGATGGCAGTAGCTTCAAGTTCGTATAAGTAATCCACTGCGCGTCGTGTACACTACCATTCATTACGGCACAGCCAATGAATTAATGACTTGCGTTCACTTAGGTTTAGTTAGGTGGTCAGAAAAAGGTGGAGAGGTCAGAGCACAATGACGAGACATAACACAGCAAAACTTATTTACAATTAGAGCACTTCCTTCTAACCAACCAATGATAGGGCTTATGGTCTAGGGGTATGATTTTCCCTTCGCATCTTTGAAACATGCTTGGGAAAGGTCCGGGGTTCAATTCCCCGTGAGTCCATCTATTTTTGTCTCCTTTTGCTTCTTTATGATACTCTTTGTTGTTCTTCGAGGATTTTTATGGCGTTAAGAAGTACAGCATAATAGAATGTGCTAATTATTATCATAGCTATTCAATTTTTGTATTTGTTGCTAGTTTTGTGACATCCGTAGCTTGACATTTTGCGAGCAATCTCCTGACATTGAATGTTTCCCTTGAATCATGGCTCTGCAATAGTTACATTCTAAGCGGAACAATTGACGTAAATGCACCAATCGATTCTCAGACATATTTATAACATGACAAAGGACTTGCTGTCTATAAAATCCATTAAATCACGTCACTCTACAATGCTCAATTCATTTAGTGACGAATGCATATCTCGATTAAAACCTGGTATAGGGTGAGACACAGACATGGAAATGCCCGCGTTCTTCAACGACGTGTACCCGTGCTGCACTACGTGTATAAGCTTAGATTTAAGAAAAACCCTGATTAAAGTAACGGGATATAAAAGCCAAAGAGAGCATTGAGCGGGAGGAACAGGCGCCAAGCTGTGTTTTGGACTCGTGAGTGGAAAAGACACGCGAGTGGGTGAAACGGGCGCTCCCTGGAGAAGTTGGGGATGTGATGTAATGGCTGCAGCCTCTAATTACAAATGAAGCCTGTGTGGCGTTGGCGGGTGGATATACTAGGCGGATAATTTTATTTAATGGAGAATTTGTTTTGTTTTTGTTAGGGATGAGAAGTGCCTGTTAGTTTGTCAATCGGGTAAATGAAACAAATCGGTGATATCGAGCATGACAGCATCAGTCAACAACCATCACTGCCACGGAAATACGGGAGTATCACCAGAGGATCAGTAAAATCTCAATCGTGGCGGATATCCCGGCTCTCACGGTTTGTCTGGGCGCCAACCCTTTTAAATGGCTTGAATGGGTCTGGAGATTGCGCTGGCCATAAGAACACGGCGTGTGACGTAGGGTGACCCACTTGGACCGCGACCGGATCGTCTAAACTACGTAGGAGGCTAGGGTATCCCCCAGCGAGGTTCAGTGGTTCACAGGTTAGAAACGCTCGCTGAGGCCCCGGGCAGGGGGCGGTAATCTTGGTTCAGTGGCTACTGACGCTGCAAGAGGCGGCTGATCGGACCTGGAACTAGGCCTAACCTGTCTTTTGTTGTCGCTGCTTAACCTGTTTCTGCTTGTTAACGTTAGACTTTTCCACTTCCCGTGGTGATGAACTAATATTACTGATACCATCCTCATTCATCATCCTCACCTCTTTTTTTTTCTTCCCTTTTTTTCTTGGACTATGCATCTTTTCCGGGCATGGCTTCCAACTACCCTCACCAGCCTTCGGGCCATCTCCAACCTGGCTACAACAACAATAACACCGGCGCTCGTCGCTCGCAGAGCCCTGCGAATCCCGTCCCCGCCAGTCCCGGTCCCGTCGAGGAGACAGCATCCGATTACTTTAACCCGCTGAGCCAAGCGCCCTCAGCACAGTCGCAGACTTCTTTATCATCATTCCCCCGATTTCCATCGCAGACCTCCCTTTCCGGATTTCCCTCGTACCAAGAGTCTCCATATTATCAACAAGCCCAACCGCCACCGCGGAGACGACCCGTCGATCAATCGCGTCAACCTAGCATTCGAATCCGTCGAAGTTCAAACGGGTCTGTCTACTCCAACCACAGTTCTATCAACGCAAACCATTTCGAAGGCTTTGACGATAATGGCCGACCGCGCAGCATTTCGCAACCCGAGCGTGCCAGGGTTAACGATGGGAATCCCGCCCTTGCCCGACACTCCCGACGAGTGCCTCAAGCTGCTATGCCGCGACTTACAGAAGAGGGAGGACGCCCTAGCATGGCCGAGTTGGGTTTCAACGACGACGATACTTCTGCCATGTCTCCCATTGCTTCTGCCCCTGACGAGGCGATGCATCAGCGTCGTGGTATGAATGGACTCCGACGAGCTAGTCGCTTCTTCTGGCCCGGAAACCATCACAACCGACGACCAGGCAGCGCAGACACGATGGATGTACCTATGGGTCACCGAAATAACGTCTCAGACGATGAATATGACCAGGAGTTGGTGGACTGGTTAGATGTCATTGGTAAGCAACTCTACAACATCCCCGTAACATACCATCTAACATTATACAGACCCCGAAGTCCAAACCCTCTCGACTCTTACCAACGTCCAAAACTCCCTCTTCGTCCCCGATCTCGGCAAATGGATCAACCGTCGACCAACATACACTCTATCCCGCAACGACCCCCAAGCTGGCTGGGCAAGAGGCGCCGTGGCCGAAGAGCGACGTCGCGAAGCCGCTCAAGAACCCCAAGAACCCACCATTCCTGAGGCTGCAAATGAAGACCCTCCTACTTTCCAGCGAAGCAACACCATCACATCCCGCTTGACCGATTCTCACTACGCCGCGCTTCCCCACGGAACTACCCTAGAAGGATGGACCCCGGAGGAAAAGGCAGAGTTGGATGATCACGTCAGACACATGCTGCACTCTCGACGTGCCAGGTTCAAGCGTCGCATGAAGGGTTTCGGGCAGTACGTCAGAAGACCTCTGGGTTTCTTCGTTACGCTCTACGCCACCCTCATTACACTATTCGGTCTGGCCTGGGTTCTCTTCCTCATCGGCTGGATCTACGTTGGCGACAAGCAGCTCTACACCGTTCACATCATTGACAGTGTTCTTGTTGCGCTCTTTGCCATTATGGGTGATGGTCTGGCGCCTTTCCGTGCTGTCGACACATACCACATGTTTTTCATCTGGCGTTTCTCGCGCATGATCCGGAGGGCCGAAGAGGGCAAGAAGCCTAGAAAGAAACTGCAGAAGAAGAAAGTACCACCAGGAGTTGCCACCGATCCTGAACACTCGCACCTTACTGCCCATCAAGCCCGTGTTCTGCTCGAAGTTAATGATTACAACCCCGAGAGAGACGGAACTAGAGCAACCCCTGATAACCACCCCGAACCCCAGCCTGAGAGTCCCGAGACGGTTGATCTGGAGCAAGCCAAGTCCAACGGTCCCGAATCTGACCAGCCTGCTTTGACGTTTGCTCAGTTCAAGAGCCTACAGCACCACCAGAAGAAGATGGCCAAGTCGCACAGTTTCTACAAACCCAACGAGACATTTACCCATTTCGCCTTCCCCCGGAGCTACCTTATCGCTATTGTCATTCTCCTCGACTGCCACTCCTGTCTTCAGATCTCCCTGGGCGCCTGTACCTGGGGCATCGACTACCACACGCGACCCATGGCGATCACCACCGTCATTCTGTGCGTGAGTATTACCTGCAATATCACAGCGGGACTCCTCATTAGCAGAGGCGATCGCAAGACGAGAAAGAAGGACGTGTGGGAATTGCTCGATAGGCAGGAGTTGACGCAGGATGCCATCAAGCACATGGAGAAGAAGAAGAAGGAAGAGGAAAAGAAGGAGGAGAAGGAGCAGCAGAAAGATGTCTCTGATAGAGAGGATGGGTCGAGCAGACGCACGTCCAAGGAGTTTAAAAAGCTGGTTAAGTCATCCAGCTAAGGAGGATACATGAGCTGAGAGAAAGAGGAGGTAATGAGGAACAGCATACGGATATGATGATTACGGTTTAATTCATACCTAATCGATATAGAACATGAAGCATATAGCAACTGTTAATTAAGCCTTTGTTTTACCTGACTTTCTTGTAATTGAGTGGTTCCTATCTAGTCTCGAAGTTAACCACCAACACCTGATACCACCCAAGGAGTGTACCGATCTATCGGGCTCTCTCGATCGACCATGGACATTGCACCCGCTTATCTGTCAATCACACCATCGTGGGCCGATGTCCCTTGTCTCGTTTAGTAGATCCAGAGTCCCTGCATCTTGTTTTTTTTAGCCCCGCCATGTCTTTCATGGTTCGATGTGTCAACTGCCGATGCAAGACGATGATCAATAATGGCCTGTGCCTCAGGCGAGTGTGGAGAGGTTTCGGGGTCTGGTTCTTACGCGAATATTCTTCCTTTGCTTACTGACACATGTTGGTTATAGCAAACTGAGAGAGGAGCACGGCATGGATATACTTCACTGGACAAAAAAGTGAAGTTGAAATCAGTGCCATCTTGTGGCATCAGTATAGTATTTGTTATAGTATGGTATAGCATATCATATCATCGACACTTTAAGTTTTCACGTAGCATCCTTTTCTTCTTTCTCTTACAATTAATCAACACAACACATATCTCGTTATATTTCAATCATTATGTGCTTGTAGTGAAACTGGAGAGCTGATCGGTGACGACAAGACCGGCGACACTGGCGGAGGTGAGGGTGGCCAGGACACCAGAGATAAGAGCAGAGACGGCAAGACGGGCAACGTCACCACCTCGAGAGGGAGCGAGCTGGCTGAGAATACCAATCTGGATACCGAGGGAGCCGATGTTACCGAAACCGCAGAGAGCGTAGGTGGCGATGAGCTGAGAGCGGGGGGTGAGGCCGTAGAACTCGGAGGTCTTGTCGGAGGTGGTGAGGGAGGTGAAGGCATTGTACTCGTTCTAGAAAGGATTGTGTTATTATCGTGATCAAGGTCAGTGAGGGTGAGAATTGGACTTACGGTGATGACCTTCTCGGCGATGAGCTTGGCAACGGCGAGAATGTCGCCGTGACCCTTATCCGGGTTGGTGCGCGAGACACCGAGCAGGAAGGAGACAGGGTAGAGGAGGTAGCCGAGGATGGTCTGGAGAGTAAGAGTAGGGTCGTTGATATCGATGTATCGTCCGAACCAGGTCAGAATGCCGTTGATGAAGGCGACCAGGGCAATGATGCAGAGAAGAGAGGTGATGATGGTACCAGCAATCTTGATTCCGAGCCAAGCACCGTTGGCGAAAGCGTGCAGGGCGTTCTCAGCCTTGTGCTCGTCGTCGTCGGGGATGACTACGCGACCGGCTGTGAGGGTCTCTTCGGTCTCGGGGTAGCGCATCTTGGAAATGGCCAGAGAAGCGGGGATGGACATGATACAAGAGGAGACGAGAGCCTCACGGTTGAGACCGAGGCCAATGTAACCAACAAGGGTAGATCCAGAGATGGTAGCGAAACCACAGGTCATGATCTGGTGAAGCTCGGCCTTGGTCATGTGAGGAACGAAAGGTCGCACAAGCATGGCAGATTCACCCTGGCCGATGAAAGGTGTGGCAGCAGCGACAACAGCCTCAGCGCCAGAGACTCCGAGACCCCAGAAGACAAAAGTGGCGAACTTGATGATGAACCACTGGATGAAGCCGATGTAGTAGAGCACCTGCACGAGCGAGATGAAGAAGATGATGGCGGGGATGACTCCGAAGAAGAAGTTTCCGGTCGCGGCAGTGTCAGGGTCAGTCAGGAAGGCAACACCAGCGCGCGCAAAGCCAAGGAGATCAGCGGCGCGGTCGGCGATGAAACGGAAGATGTCGTATCCGACGGTGGTTCGCAGGACAAACAGACCGATCACGTACTGGGTCAGCATGCCGCCGATGACAGTGCGCCAGTTGATAGCCTTGCGGTCACGGCTGGTGACCCAGAGGATGAAGAGGAAGACAACCATGCCGAACAGACTCACGGCACGGTTCTCGCGCGTGTTGTCGGCGACCTCCTCGGAGACAAAAGCGCCAACGAGGATAGCGGCGACGGTGACGCTGGCACCAGCAAGAGTGCGCAGCTTGGCGGGAATGGCTTCATAGATCTTGACGGCGCTGTGCTGCCACACCCACTTGATAGGGGTGGAGACGTGGCGGCTGGGAACGTGGAAGAAGACCAGGCGGAGAGAGATGCAGAGCCACACAAGGAAGGGGACGACCCAGTTCTTGTCGTCGCGGTGCAGGACAAGAGAAGCGATCCACCAGCCGGTGAAGAGGCAGAGGAGGAAGAGGTGGATCAAGGGCCGGCGGTATCGGTAGAGGGGACCGGCCTTGCGACGCCAGCCGACGACCGCGACGCCGCTCTCGCTGTTTGTGCGGGCCGAAGCATCTAGGACGCCGGGCTCGGCCTTCTCGTGGTCGCTGTAGTCCGGGGGCGTGTGGCCGAGGCCGTGCTTCTCGGTGGACAGCATGTCCTTGTTGTCCTGGGAGTGACGCTGGGTAGGGACGACGGCGGGCGCATCGGTGGTGCCGGTCGTGTAGACGGGGTCATCGTGGCCGGGAGCGTCGACGCGCGGGGAGTGGTGGTGATGCTGGTGATGGTGTTGATGGACGGGCTCGAGAGCCGGGTCCACGCTGTGGCCTGCGTGGTCATGGTCGTGGTGGGGTGTTGTTGCGTCAAGAGCCATTGCGACAACTTTGAGTGTGTATCTCACACAGCAAACAACAGAGTATGAATGTTGAATTGACTTTTTGTCTGGTCCTGATTAAAGGAGGAGGAGGTTGAAAAGCCTGGAGCTTTCAAAGCTTGAGCAGTGAAGCACAAGAGAAGAAGAAGGGAAACCTGGGGGACCGAGGCGGCGGGACAAGGGCAGTTTTTGTTTAAACTGATTAGCCCTAAGTTTTGAATGGGGATCCAAGAAGAGATCCTGCCGAGAAAGAGAAAGAGAGAGAGACGATCTTTTTTCTGCCCGTGGGTCGAGAATGGAAAAAAAAGACGTGGGGATGGCTCTACTTTTTTAACCCGAGCGACCGAGTGGAAGCTATTTTTTTTTTGCCTCTGGTGATACCGCAAGGGGGGCGTGTGAGTAGGGAAAATAGATTATTACATGCAGTAAAGACGCGGACTGATAGGCTAGAGGCTATTTATCTATTCTACCCCGGACAAAGACATGGTTGTGTTTATCTTGCTTGGCTAGAACGACGATCATTTGTGTGAGAGAGAGGCCGTTGGTTGTCGGGTTGGGGATTGGGATTGGTAGGTGAGCACGCGGGCAGCTTTCTCTTCTGGCGAGTCGAGGCCGTGCTAAAAGAGGACTAGAGTAGGTAGGGATCTGGAGCTGTCTGTAGCCTGTAGGTAGGGACTTTGAAAGGGTCCGAGGAGCTTATCAGTTGTGTCTCCATCTTTTGTCATTCTTTTCGGAGTCGCCATGCCGGCTCCACGTTTATATCGATCTATGATAAGGGAACGGGAGAGTAGAGGAGAGCATAACATAGTGGACAAAAGACGTGAATTACTCAGCTGAACTGTAGTCTAATGATGTAGAGCTATATTATCGTACTGTATCACCAGCAAAACATCTTCAAAAGTCACCTCTACTATACTCTGTACTCTACCTCCCGATACAAAATACACATCGCCACAGTTGCCATCTGCATCTGCCCCGGCCCATCGCTCGGCCGCTTCTAAACCTATTCTGGCAGGTTGCTGGAACGTTTGAAAGGCGCCAATGCAGCCTACCCTGCACGTTACCCGAGAAAAGGTCTCTCCACTGACGTCGACTCCACTAACGGACCAACAGTCCTGGGTGGGAATAGTGCCAAAGCCTACTTCCAGTGACTCGATTGGAGAGGGCCATGGACTGCTCTGCTGCTGTTATGCTTGGCCGTTGGTTGTAATTAATGTACGTAGTAATTACTGCACACCATCAAAAGCGCAAGTGGTCAGCATTTGATTGTCTGTCACAATTGACCAATGCCATCTCCAAAGAATGCATTTCAGCTCCAAGATTGATCTACACAAGTTCCCATCAACCCATTAATCCATCAAGACCCAGTGACTGGAACAACCACCCCCTCGGTCACTAACTTGGCCTGTTTCCCCGGGTCTACTCTATCTCTCACTAACAATCTCCCATATCTATTAGCATCGCTCTTATCAACGTCTAGACCTCACGACCCCATTAACCAATTAACCCATTAACCATATTCAACTCCCATCTCCGAAAATACTTTTACTCCCCCAGACACAAGCCTCAAACATTCTCCAATCCACTAATCCTTAATCCTTAATCAACACGACAGCCACACCCGTTCACCTCTCACTACCAGCTAAAGCGGCTAAACCTCATGGGGTCACATCACAAGCTCTCCCCCCCGTCCCCTTGTCTCTGAACTATCGCTCCTTTAGGTAGGTCCCAGGCGACTTGACTGCTCTTGGCTTCAACTGTTCCTTGTCCTGTTATGTAACAGGCTTAACACCTCAGGTCTCTTTCCCCAGGCCGTTTGCACTCTATCTCACCCCCTGTCTCTGCATCTCCCCCCCCCCATTCCCCGATCCCTCAGAGCCCTGATAAGCTTTCCCCAGCCTTTTTCCACTGTGTTTCCCTCCCCCAGCTTTCTTGTGTCCCTTTCCAGGCCTGGCCTTCAGCTAACCGGGGTCCTGCACACCCTCTTCTTTCCTCCCCCCCCCCGAGGCTAACTATCTCAATGCGCAAATGGCACCTCTCAAACGCTCTTGGGCCACTTGTCATGTCAGCTCCCAAGAGATAAACGAGCCTCTTGTCCCAATCCTTATTATTATCTCCTTCCGTTCAAGCTATAGTTTCTTGCTTAAAAGGTCCCCTTTCCCTCCTCATCGGCCATCTCCGTCTGGTATCTTCGGTCTGGCCCGCCCGAAGCCTTCAAAGCCAACCGTTGTACCGGGTTTTTGTGTCGCGGACGATAACTAACTTACTTCCGAGTGCGACACCCGCATGTCACTGTATTGCGAGTGTCTGCTTGTTTCCCCATTACTCTTTAATTGCCTGCATTGTCTAATCTACTAATCTCATCTCACCCGCAATCAATCAATCAATCACATGCTTCTTCGGCCTCGTCGTATCCTCTTATTACTTCCGACTACGCCGCATCGTGTCCGACCTGCTCTCCCACGTGAGCTCCGGGAAGAACACCTTGACCCGTCTTAGCAAAACTCCGTGATCTTTTCGATAGACTCATCTACATCTCCACTGATACTAGGCCGGACTGCCGGATCTCAGAAGCAAGAATCCCCTCCAAACCCACTGCCCGAGTTCCGATCGTTAGTCAACCTGTCTCAGCCTACTAATGGACTCCATCTCTCCAAGCATGTTGGTCTGATCTCAGCGCAAACCCATATATCCACGGTATTCTTATCTGATGGAATGCTTACCACCCATAAGGAGCACTCTGCTGTTAGTCGATGAGAGTGGGGAACTTCAACGCGTAGTAATCATCAAACCCAGCGTGCTGTCGCCCTCACGATTACATCGTGACTACCCTGGGGCGGACCAAGTAACTCCATCCACCGTAACAACCACATCCCTCAAACCTCAACAGCCCTGTGCACCGTGATCAACAAATTGCTTAAACATGTTTTGTTTGTCTTAGAGCTAGTTGGTGCCATGCAATATTCTTCATGTAAGTGTGTTACTGTGTGATGTACAAATACAGACTACCCGGGACGGCGGTGACATATTCATCATGAATGTTACATAGCTAGTAGCCAGTATAGAAAGACTTCACAAGCCGTTGAACTACAAGTAAACAGTAGCTCTATGCATACAATAAATACGTCGTGTTCTTATTCAATGTTCAACTTATCAATAACGCCCAAACACCTTCACACTCATGTCTCGTGCCGACTAATTACTACTACCGCAATCGTAAACACCCCCCCTTTTACTCGCCACTTCTGAATCTTCGGTTGAACTCCTCCACCGCAACCCCAACCATCTTGTACAAGAAGGCTCGCTCACTGCCTTCACCAATCGGAATGAATGGCCCGTTAGCTCCTCCTCTCAACGACAGGCTCAGTCCCGTTCGTTCCTTTGCGATTGTTTGAAGATCCTTGAGCGGCACATCCCACTCACTTGTCAGACGTCGCGATCGGATCAGCAAGATCCGAGCATATGTTATCATCACCACCATGTCCTCCTTGGGTAGCTCCAGGTGTCCAATGTACTGTTCGTCAAAGTACCTTCCGTTGTCCACCTGCTTCAGCCAGTATTGCCCGAGAGCTTCCCGCGGGTTGTACGGGCGCACAATGCCATCCTGTGGAATGTATCGTGGGTATCGCGAGCGATCTAGCTCCTGGCCGTCAAACACTGTTGTTGTGTTGCGAATGCCCTCACTGACGTTGCTGGCCATGTCCAGTACACCAACTGCCGGCTTGGTAGCCAGTCCAATGAAGCCCTTGCCGACACCCTTGAAAAAGCCTAAAGCACCCTCCTGCTCAGCACCTTCCAGAGGCTTGCGAGCAAGTCCACCGACGCCGGATGCGACACTTGTGATGAAGCTGTTGGCACCAGCAGTGACACCGTACAAGGCGTGCTTCGGTCTGTTGCGAGCCCTTGTGATACGCCGGCGGTCCTGGAACTGTTTGTCCAATGACGCTGCGGCAAGTCCCTTGCTGAGACTGCCTGTGAACTTGGAGAAACTGTCACTGAATCCAAACACTGTCTTCTTGGCGAAAGAGGCGGCACCCTTGGCAATGCCCAGACCGAACTCCTCTGGCTTATCCGATAAGATCAAGCCCTGGTACGGTTCGTAGAACACGTCTGTCACACCCGATGAGATGCTGTTGAACAGGCCGACCGGGTTACCAAGGAAATCGGCAGATCCCAGAATCTTGTGGATCTGGTACATAACTTCCTGGCTGTAGTGGCTTGAGAAGTTCTGGATCAGAACCGCTGTAGTCACTCTCACATTGTCCAAGATAAGCGCATTGAATCGAAGTGGCGCATCGTTGACGTTTCCGACAGCCATGGTCATGACGTTGAGGAAGAACATGATAGGGTTGCGAGATGATGGCTTATCCTCAGCGTTGACGCGTTCTGTTCGCATGAAACTTAGGTTAAGCTGCATTGGCTGAATGTTGAGCACCTCGAAATAGATGTCTTGTCCAATTGGTTGGCCGGAAGGTTTGGGGATTTCGAGATTTTCGTCGCATAGCTTGCCACTGTCATCCACCTCTGTCCAGCTAGCGCCTGGAACGTTGGTGAAGTCAAGGAGGGCAAAGACAAAGTCCTCGTCCAGATCAATGGTCATTTCCTGCAGCAAAATGGTTGCGTATTTGATGTACAGCACACCGTATGAATCATCCTTGACACGACTAACCATAGCATGTAGCGATGGATGAGCCTCCACTTCCTGTGCCTTCTTCGGCACCACACTGGGATAGAGGATCATGGGGAAGATACCACCATACAGCTGGTTATCGATCTGGATCCACTTGATCGCCATCGAGACGGTCTGGACCAGAGGCGAATCACTGTACCGTAGTTGGACGTCGCGGAAAGTCAAGTAGGCAAGCTCCTTCATCTGAGCGTTGACCAGAGACAGACCGATGCCTGCCAGCTTAAGCTGGGCGCGGAAAGTAGCCCCTGTATCTTGATCTTTGACTTCGAAGGCTTCAAGACCGGTGCTGGCTCTAGCTAGCGACTTTGGCTTGTACATACTCTTGCTCTCGCGGAAGTTGCTGAGTATCAGTGTCTGCTTCGGTCCATCGGCAGCAACATTGATGTCGACGATCTTTGGATGCCCAGGTGCGTTGGAGAATTTCATTGGGATCTGGTTACCAATTTCTGCCAGTTTGACGTGTCGCTCTCTGCCGTGTGCAGAAATGACAATTTCTCGGAACTTGGCCGCAGGGAAATCCCAGGCGTAGGGCATTATGCTTCGTGGCGGGAGACGGTATCGTATCTGTCTCCAACCGCTGCGATCCTCCTCACCATCCTCGTCAACGCTAGGGTTGGCCTGCCAGAACATGAACTCAACATCGCTTTCGTTGCGCATGGAGTAGGGCCAGTTCTTCTTCTCCATACTCAAGTTTAGGAAGATTGTGGAATTCTCCATCAAAACTTCCACCTTGACCAGGTTCTGGCGCTGTCCGGCCTTGGCGATCTTGACATAGTGTGTGCCAATATCTGCAATATTGAAAGGGGATGTCCATTGGTTGTTGACACCGGGATAGCAAAGACACAGTTGCTTAACCTTTGACTTTTGCATGAAGTGAAGAGGCTGGGTGGCACTTTCGCTCAGGGTGAGATAGCCAGAGGCGCTAGATTCTCGGACAAGAATCTCTCCTTCCATCTTGTTGTGAAGAACGAAACGAGGGGCAATCGTGACAACCTTGATATGCTTGTACTTACCCTGGCCCGATTCAACAGTAACACCTACGTGAATCTCCTTGTCCTTGGTGGCCGAGTTCAACACGACTTCGGTGGTACTGCCGAGAGCTTCAAAACTCTGAGGCTTACTCCATTCCGAATCGGCAATCTTGAGAAGTGCTCGGTTGCGGTGATCATCATCATTACCAAAAGAGAACATAAAGGGGAGAGCCTTGGGACGTTCCTGGTCGGATGTATCCATGAGAGGGAACTGGCCTGCAGCTGGCTTGGCCTGTTGGAGGAAGCTCTTGGCACGCACTCGAACATCCAAACCAGTCTTGTTCAAGACAACATAGGGGCTGTATACCATGATCTTGAATGCACCGCCGCTGTTGGGAATCTGGACATACTTCATTGTAAGACTCAGCGGCAATCCTTGATCATCTTTGACGACGAGTTTAGTCTCCTTGGTGAAGTTTTCGTTGTTTCCGCGATTGATGATTGCGAAATCGCTTGCCTTGAACACAGTATCTTGCATGTCAACACTGAGAAGCAGCAAATGCGAAAGCTCAACAACGTGAACTGGACTGACACCTCCCTTTCGCAGAAAGTTGGTCCAGTCTTTCTTAGTGTTCTTGTCGTAGATGCGGTATTTGAAGTCGTATGGCAAGAGGTTCTCCAGGGTCACTGGCGCAGAGAGCTTAATCTTCATATACGGATATTGCCTGCCTTGGTTAGCATAGTCAATCACATGGGATCGGTAACTTACTTGGTCAGTGGGTTTGCCTTGTCAAAGCGGGCATGAACTTGGAAGTAAAACGGATCGCCATTCTCTCCCTTACAGACCACCTGCTTGGTAGGTCTCTTAAGAAGGTCCCTCCAGAAAAGGTGATCGTTGCTCCACTGATACCCAAATCCACCATCAGGTCTGATGAGGACACGCTTCTCAAATACCGCGCCAACAGGAGCAGGTCGAGATTCGCCGGGAGCGATCTTCTCAATCTTGAGCAAGTGGCCTTCCTGTGCGTCGTAGATACCCAATTCGACTGGAATCTCCGTCGCATTCTCCACATGGAGTGGCGATCTGAAGGTCACGTACTTGATGTTGTCGGTTCCCAACTCAACTTCAACACACAGACGATGCAGGACATCATCAGTCTTAGGGCGGAGACCATACAGATATTCACCCTCTCGGTTGAGTCTTACGTTCTTCACAGGATCAAAGCCACTGCCTTCCAGCTGAATGGAGACGTAGTTCTGGTTAGACTCTGTGAGAAGGTTCTCACGCATCTTCTCCCAGTGCTCGAAACTCCAAGGTGCTTCCTTTCCATCCTCCAAGCGAAGGTTGATCGGTTCATCGCTAGTAGGGCTCTTGGAGTGGACAACAACATCGAAGCCGGTGTAGTTTCTGATGCGATATGGTGCTTCGACACCTCGGGGCTTGTCCAAAACATCTTCGTCTGATGTCAAGAACTGGAACGACTTGGAAGCCAGGGCAATCGAAGCTGTAGTGATAGTCACGTCGAAGACCTTCTTAGAGGCAACATCAACTGACAGCAAGCCTGATTGAGGATCCTTAGCCACACCGAAGCCAACTTGCCAAGGCTCAAGAAGTGGTTCCCAGCTAGACTTTGCGAAGTTATAAACATTCGTGTAAATGTCGATGGCAGTCTCGGCTTTGAGGTTAGAGGACCAATTCTCAGCTGATGCAGTGAAGCTCTTGATGCCCAAGTCAAGAATGGGAAGTTCGTGTATATCACCAATCAAAACAACACGAATGCCGTCCACGGTTGCCGAAAGTGTCTCGAACTTTTGCTGAGCAATCTGTTCAGGTGATTTGCCAGCCTTGGTGTCAGCGGCGTGGGTGACGGCATGGCTGGTCGCTGTGACCCTGCTTCTACCGGCGATGGTAGACTGACCTCGACCGCTGCCAGAACGCTGCCTTATTCCAGCGTTCCTTAGTTCTCGCGCTTTCTGGTCTGCTGGCGTCTCCTTGGCCTGCTTGGGCGGCTCGTTGCCAGACAGCTCACTTGCTTTGCTTACAATTTGCAGCACAAGGAGAATATCGCGCAGGGACAGGCGTAAGACAAGTGGCTCAATGTCCACGTGGATATCGTTAGCATTGGGTTTGGAACCATCCATGCTTAATTGAACCGAAAAGTCATCGATGATACGCAAGCGAGACGTCTCAAACTTGTCCATTCGGCACAAGAACATTCCAATTTCGGAAATCTGGAAAGTCAAGGCATGTTGTTGCGAGAGGAGCATCTGTCGGATAGACAGCACAATGGCTTCGGAGCTTGATGTCAAGGGATTGGCAATAAGTATGACTTGTGCATCGACAAGGTTAACTCGGAAAGCAATGCTCATGGGTGACTCTTCCTTCTTCTCCTTTTGCTGGCTGACCTCCTCGCTCTGACGTCGGGAGATCTCCGACTTAGGACGTGAAGCAAGGGTAACTTGCATAGAATCAGTGTCTGACTCCTCAGCTATGCCCTCAAGCATGCTCTCGTCGTCCATGGGACTGCCCTCATCAACAGTCAGTGCTTCGACAGCAAACTTCTGAATGGCGAAAAGGTAGTCAAGCGCGAAGATGACCCGTGGGCTATCGATGGTAGCCATAGCTATCAAGCTCTTTTCCTTGCCACCTGACATTGTTACACTAGCCATCAGCTGCTGCACATCCTTGTTCATTGATGACATGATGCGGCGGAACTTGTTGGTCTCACGTGGCCGACTGTCGTAGATTGTGAACGATCGGATGAGTAACTCGGCTTCAAGTGAGCCATCGGAAAGCATTCTTGTCTTGACTTTGGTATCGTCAAGCGAGAACCGAGACAGGCTAGATTTCGCGATATCTTGCACAGGCTTGTTCTCTTGAGCGTTGATCAGCTCAAGACCGATGGTGTTGACACGGAAGACAAGATCAAGCTTGGTCCATTCCTGGTCAACGGAGCTAAGTTCAGGGCCAAGGTCAACCAAAGTCTTTTCATCGCCTGACTTGTCATCGTTGTTGATCGTTCGAGCACGCTGCAGAGTACCTTCATCGACAGCCTTGGCAGCCGCCTCCTCGTTGTCGCCACCTTCACCAGCAAATGCTGCAGGTACCGACTTGGAGATCTCCAAAAGGAACTTGACCTGATATTGTGTGAGTCGCAGATTGAAGTCAGACATGGTTCCTTCGATCTCAGTCTCAGGTCTCTTGACTCCAGACTTATGCTCTGCGTAAGTGATGTTGAATCCGAGGTCGACATGATCAATCATCTCAAGCTCTTCTGAAACGCCCTCAGGGAAGTGGAAATCCGATGTGAGCCTGATGTTACGAATGCCCGCGGAGAGCTTCATGGCGATGTCGGAGTTCTCACTGTCGTCAAGGGGAGTGAATTTGTTCTGAGCGTAGATTTCACCGAGGTAGGCAGTGACGACATCTCTCTCGATCTGGCCCGGCTGCTGCACACGAGGGAAAACAACGATCGGAGTATTGACGACGACATCGAACTTAAAGCGGCTAGGACTCTGTTGTAGTTGGTTCGCCTGGTTCATAGCAGCCTGGCGAGCAGCGTTATAAAGAGCCTGCATCTTGCCAAATTTGACCAAGAAGTCGATGATCTTGCGGAATGGCTCCTCCACGAAGTTCACCTTGACGGAACCAGCACGAAGGAAGACTGAACTGTCATATCCTGGGTATGCCTTGGGGTTAGTGGAGTCAAAAGTCTCGTAGCGGAAGTCTGCCAGATCGTCTCCCTGAATTGTGACAAGCCTTCGGAGGTGAGATTCCTCTGACACGCCGAGGTTAACGTCGTCAACAAGAGAAAGGTCGCCAAGTCTTGCAGATATGCGCATAGTGTTGTTCCGGAGGAAGATACCTGCGTCAGCCTTGTTGAAGGACAGAGTGGCGAGGCGGATGCCATCGTTATTGAGGATCAGCCTGATACTCTTCAGGTCAACCTTGACTCGGATAGATCCCGTGCTGGCGCCTGATGGCGGTGCGTTGACGACTGCGACGGCAGTATCGACGCTTTCTGTGTCGTCGTCGTCACTATCAACAATTGCCTGATTATTGTTGGGCTGGTTGTCGTTGTTTGTGAAAGTGATAAGAATAAAATCCAGCAAGGTAAGCAACGTCTTTCGAGTGACGATCAAGTTGATAGTAGATACGACAGCATTGATGTTGGTTTCCACGCCCTCATAAACAGACATGAACTCGGGAGACAAGGGGTTGACTTTGACAAACTTGACATGAACCAAGCTGCGACCTTCCTTGAGATCCTCGCTGTCACCAGACGAGATGATAGACTTGAACTCTGCAGAAGGGTTGTCAACAAAGTCATCAACCGTGAGTGAGCCCAGTGAAACATCCGCCACCATATCGAACGGTCTGGTATAGAACTCCAAGTCGAATCGCTCAGCAACCAGCTCAACCAGCAACGCGTCAGGCTTCTGTCCATCAGGGTCACTCCGATAAAGTGAACCCTTAAGGGTATCGACCTTGAACTTGAACTCAAAGATTCGTTGCTGGACCCGGAGCTGCTCAGATTCACCTCCATCTTGCGCATCTTCAAAGTCGTCATCATCTTCGTCCATATCTTCAAGCACGACAGCCGTTTCTGATTGCATAAATGGGAAAGGTGTAGACTGTCGTCGCTCGCGCTGAGACTTTCTTCGGGATCGGTTGGATGAGTTGCTCTTGAGGCGAGGGCGAGACATCTCCTTGTGTTCCTCCATCACCTTTGCTGATGACCCGCTAAACTTGGGAATAGCCACGTCGATGACCTTCATGAGATTCTTATACTTTGTATCGGACACAGTGGCGTGGAGCATTGGTAGATGTCCCGAGACCTTGAACTTGGTCAAATTGGGTGCTTTTGGCATGATGGAGGTCTCGACGACAAAGTCCACATTGATCTGTTCGACGACGTGGAGATGAGCCTCATCACTCTTCTCAACCAACTGAGCTTTGGTAGCCTCGATCGAGGGTCCGATAAGGACTTGAGTCGAAGTCAGTTTGACAATAAACTTGTCATACATGACAGACTCGAGTCGTTTAAGATCTTCATCGTTATATGTCTGCTTCTGCTTCGATTGGATCTCCTTCATTGTACCATGATCAACGAGTTCACTGTTGACGTGGATGTGACCCGCATCGACAATCAAACAAGTGGAGTTCTTGGTAGTAATACTGACAGGCACGATGATCAAAGGTGCTTGAAGATCCAACTCGGCGTTGATTGTCTTGTGCTCCTCCAGGGCAAACTCAAGACCCGCTCGAGTCTGCTCACGAATGCTCTCGACAGTCGCACCAGCACTCTCCATGAGAGCAGTAATAGACTCCATATGGCGCTCAGGAGGTCGAAAGAAGTCGGCAATGCCCACTACGAAGTTGGGGTTCCAGATCACCTCGAGAGGCTTCATTTTTCCAACAACAGCAATGTCGCCCTCGCGCTCAATGGGGTTTTGCTCAAACTCAAACTGGAAGAAGGGATCCTCTTCTGATTGCTCAAGCTCTGCCAGCGAGAGTCTCTTACGCTGCTTCTCAGTGGGTGCATCCTTGACTCTCACAATCTCAGGATAGACCGAATCTGGTGTGGTGCCATCGTTGACACGTAGACCACCAAGGCTTACGTTTGCAAGGAGAGAATCCTTCCTCTGCAGCGCCTTGGCCTTGAAGACATCAAAGTGCAGACTGAGAAGGTCTGCTGCGTTGTCGTGTGGGCTCTTCTTTAGCGTAAAGCTACCTGTGCTAAGAGACGTTTCAATGCACATCTTGATGGCCTCACGAGGTACGTCGACTTCGTCGGCGATAGCGTTCTTCTCGTCCCAATCGATGGCCTCGTAGAGCTCTTGTCGCTGCTCTTCAGTCATTTGTGTGTTCTCTTCATTTTGCTCAATCTTTTCTTGTGGCTTCGAACCCCAGACCCATGAGATCCAGCCTTGTTGTTGCTGTTGCTGCTGTTGTGGTTGGTTTCTGAGAGCTTCAGCATTCTCTTTCTTGAGTTGGTTGCGGGCCAGTGATCGCCAGAACCGTAAATCCTCGTATGTGAGCTTCCATTCGAGGGCGTTGATGGCATCGGTTTCCTCGGCGGACAACTGTTGGGTTTGTTTTCGTTTTTTGAAAAGCTCGATGTATCGTTGTCGGTCGTCACGTCGCTCTCGGAAGTAATCCCACGACCATTTGCGGTTGCGCTCGTGAATCTTCGACAAGACGGCATTGCCCGCAAACTCTAGCCATGCTCGTGGATCTTCCTTGGGTCGGGCACCCTTTGGTTGTAATCGTTTGTACTCTTGATGCCGGATGAAGTAGTGGAACAGATCAACCATCATCAAGGCATCTCTATATTGGTCATCGTCCAGAACAAGACCAATTTCTTCGAATAACAAATTGGCCTTGAACTTGGGTACCTTTATATCACCCGACTTGTCGAGTTCGATCTTAGCTTGGCCGTTGACGGGCTTGAGAATAAACTGATGGTTGGTATTCTCTTGCGCCTCCTTTCCAAGCATTTCCCTAAACTTCTCAACCATTTCATCGTGCGTCATCACCTCCTTCGAGGAGGCTGAAGCTTCTCGGCCGGTTCCTAGAAGAGTCGCGTCGGTATTCCAATACACAGCTAGAGCTCCTAGAGTGGCCAGCTTGTGGGTGACGATGTTTGAGTCTTGGATGAAAGTGGGCTTCCACTGGCCATCAGTACTGACAGCACTGAACTCCTCGAGAGTCACACCCAAAGCGAAGGGATGACCCGGTGCGGAGATGGAATCTTCATATCTGATGTGAATGTTCTTGATCGTGACTTGAAGGTTGTCGACGATCTTTGTTACCAGACTTTGTGTAAAGCTCTGGCTCTTCTTCTGCTCCTCCTGACTTAGACCTTCCTGGTTTCTCTCCTTGAGTAACTCGGCACTGTCAAGTTTCTCCATCTTGAGACGCTGCTTTCTGCGGTCTTCCTCGTCTTGGTCATATTCGGCTTCTTCTTTCGGGCTGGCGAGAAGAAAGACATCTTGGATGAAGACCTTGACAGGAGCACCGCGGAGGTTGGACCAGGGAATGACAAGAGTCAGCTCACCGAGGTGTCCCTCCATAACATTGATGGGGAGCTTGAGCTGGTCGAGTGCCTCGCGGCGCAGCTCGAGATTACGGAGCTTCACATCGCCAGACCAGATACCGACTTTGAGCTGGGCAGGATCGAAGTTCTTAACGTACATGCCCAGAAACCTGTTGAGCAGGCCGGCGACAAGACCTTCGAGCATTCTCGCGGTATTGTGGCCGTAACCCGGGCCGGGGCAGTAAAGGTCGGTTCTTGTGGTTTATTTTATCGAGTACTCATTTGTCGGAGGGGAAATGTGTGATAATTGACACGGGTGCCATGCGAGGCTTGATCGGTGAATCGTCGACTCTCAACAGCGTGAAGAATATAGTATACCGGTAGAATTACCGAGCGGGGTTACAGTCGAAGCTGTATCGTGCGTAGATGGGTATCCCTGGCAGAGGGAAATGCAAGTATTGCAGAGGGAAAGGCGGGATTCGGTGGATGAGGGTATTATCGATTATGCCTCCTCTTTGACGAAAGGTCGAGATTAGTGATGGTGAAAAGGTGGGTTCTTGGGTCGTGTCGTTCCATGAATGAGTGACGCAGCTGGACGGAGCAAAAGGCAAAAGTGGGAAAGCAGCGGCTTTGCTTTGGGGAATGGTGTGGCGTGTATGACGATGCTGTTAGCGGTACTTGGCTTTCTGCGGGCGTTACCGCAATTTGAAAGTACCGAATCAGGTTCCAATTGCCAGTGGCTTTTCTTTTCACGTTCCAACGTGGTCGGGAGGCTTGGGCAGCTCCATCTCAAAAGCTTAGGCCGCCCCAGCCCTGGAGCACATCAACGCACAGGGCAGGTCTAGTGGGGCTTCGGCCGATATTTTAGAGGCACATTCCCTAGAATCGAACTTGGCGGGCAGTTCTTAGAGTTCCATCCATGGATGAATATCAGTAGATCAGGTACTAACCTAACCTAACGATCATGACAGCTCGAGCTCTAATTCAATGGCATGAGCACAAGGTTTGCATTCCCGTTATTGCATGCGGTTAATGGTTGGGGAAATGGCATTGCTCTCTGCTTTCCCATAGCATATCCCTGTTGGTGTTTAGCTTGAGCTTCCACACCAGATGCTACAGTCCTTTCATGACGTCACGACATAGCTTCACTCTGGATCACGATGATGTAGTCGAGACGTGACAGCCAAAACAGAGACAGAGACACAGGAGCAAAACATCCATAGAAGGTTTAGACTCGTTTCCGGGCCTAAGGGAGTAGCTACCTCACTGTGCCCGTGTTTTACAATGTTACTATGCGTGTCCAGGAACCAATTAGTTAGCCATTACGTAGATAGCCCATCTTATCCTGATCTTGATCTTGATCCCGATCTTGGAAACAGAGAAAGCTTCCATGATTGTGCTCCATTGAGCGAATGCTATTTCAGTTTGTGCCTCCATTCCAGAACCTGAACTACTTCTTCTCTCTTTCAATCTTTTCTTCAATAATCATTGTCAGGAGAACCAGTCTGTTTTCGTCTGTCTGCAGCTCTTGTTGCTCTCTCTAGCTCACTTGCACATCCCCAATTGACTTTCACCCCCTCATCAGCAGCTTCACTGCCTCTTGACCATGTTCCGCACCTCTTCGCGCTCCCTCTGGCAGCTTGCCTCGAGGACTTCTCCCGCCAGAACCACCCTCCCACGCGCATCAATCGCACCTCTACTTCGCCAGCAGCGCGCTGTCTACTCTAGCAAATCCGACCAGGAGAACCCTCCTCCCCCAAAGCAACCGATTGACTACGAAGCTGAGCGCAAACGCGCACAAGAGCTTCTCCAGTCCAACCCTAGCCATGTCTCTGTTGAGAGCTCCGTGGCCAATACCTCCCCCAACCCCAGGGGGGCTTCAAAAGGTGACGAGCTTATGGGCAACGAGCTCAAGCACGATATTGTAAGCTTCAAAAAAAGCAACGCTTCGAAAGAAAACTGTTAACAAACCGCCGTAGGGCATTGTCAAAGATACTTTCACCTTTACAGACGTACCTCAAGAGTCGCGAATCCTCGGTCTCGCCGGTACACTCCCTTATCTCGGCACCTCTCTATCCACTGTCTTCCTCGCCTGGGACTTGAACAAGAATATCCCTTCAGGAAATGCTTTCTACGATGCCATCATGATCGACCATGAGACAGCCAAGCACTTACTCACTGTCATTGAGCCTATTCAACTTGGTTACGGTGCTGTTATCATCTCCTTCCTCGGTGCCATCCACTGGGTAAGTTTTTGTCTCTAGCTTCGCAACTATGAGCAACTGAGCTAATCGTTCTTCTCACCAGGGTCTTGAGTACGCTGAGAAGCAGCCTCTTCGCGAACGAACACGTTTCCGCTATGGCATGGGTCTCGCATCATCCGTTATAGCCTGGCCAACACTCATGCTCCCCGTCGAGTATGCTCTCACTACTCAATTCATGGCATTTGTCGGTCTCTACTTTGCCGATACCAGAGCCGCGACGAAGGGCTGGGCCCCTCGCTGGTATGGCTCCTACCGCTTCCTTCTCACAGCTATGGTCGGCTTCTCCATCTTCATCTCTCTCATCGGACGCGCCAAGATCAAGCAAGGTGATGCCATTACTGCCAAGGGCTTGAGCAACAACTTCTCCAGAAGCGGTATTGCAGATCACGATACCAACTGGGAGAAGCTAGAGGCCGAGGAGAAGGCCCGTCTGCAGAAGGAGAAGAAGGAAAAGGAAGAGAAGGAGGCCAAGGAGGCCGAGAAGAAGAAGAAGGAAGAAAAGAAGGGTAAGAAGAAGGACAGCAAGGGAGGTGACAAGGAGAAGAAGGGTGACGACAAGGCCAAGGCTTCTGAAGAGAGTGATAAGAAGGGTGATGATAAGAGCGAGGGTAAGGATAAGGATGCGGAGAAGTCTGAGTCTAAGGAGACTGAGGCTAAGGATGAGGGCAAGGATGAGAGCAAGAACGAGGGCAAGGAGGCCAAGGGAGACGAGAAGAAGCCCGAGTCCAAGGATGAGTCCAAGGATGAGTCCAAGGATGAGTCCAAGGACGACGACAAGAGCGAAGACAAGAAGGCCAAGTCCAAGGATGATGGCAAGAAGTCCGAAGAGGAATCATCAGACAAGAAGTCAAAGGATGACTCTGAGAAGAAGGATGACTCAGAAAAGAAGGACGACAAAGAAGACGAGGACAAGTCTGAGGACAAGAAGGACGACGGTGATAAGAAAGAGAACAAGTCCGATGACAAGGACAGCGACAAGTCCAAGGACGACAAGTCCAAGGATGACAAGTCCAGGGATGACAAGTCCAAGGATGACAAGTCCAAGGACAAGAAGGAGAAGAAATAACTTGCAGTCTCAAAGACCAAGCATGACAAGCATGAGTACTGAAGCGATCAGTTGGAGTTCTGGGATTTTTTTGTAATTAGGTTCTTACATGTTAAGTTAATGAATTAATGTTCACAAACACACATACAGACTAAATCTATGGCATCGAAGAAAGGAAAGCATCGTGATGTAAGAATAAAATCATCAACTTCATGCATTAAAACAACTAGGTATCTCTGACCCGCCGCGGGGTATTGCTTCGCAGAATCCCAAAGACAGCCTCGGCCCATGTATAATTCTATCAAACCCCTCGAAGCAAACAAGATAAGATGGTGGCACAAGTTCCAACGCCGTGAAAATGCAACCCGGGCCAGGACCGTCTGTGTCTGTCCCAGATATACCCATCCAGCTTTTCCGCGATGAACCTTCCAAAAATCATCATCATTAAAAGTACTACAACAAACAATCATTGTCTAGTCAACTAATGTGTCACGGACAACGTTCCTAAGGTCGAGCGAGTCCTTGCTTGGCCTGTACACACGTTAGTTTCAACCTTGGATAGAATAATCGAATAGGAAGTCAACGTACCTTCATCTGTTCAATTCTGGCCTTCAGCTGGCTCGTCACCTCAGCTGCTCTCCTCCAACTCTCAGCACCGTTGCCTGTTGGTTGAGGTAGTGATGACATTGGTCGCTGGGAGGGTGCTGGTGTATGGTCTTCGTCACGGAAAGATGTCGCACTCCTGAATCCTCTTGCCGGAGATCCACGGCCTGACGAGCTTGCACTGCCAGCGTACCGCATCTCAGGGCTGATTTTACTGCGAGACATCATCGATTCGCCGTTTTCCTTCTCTTCGGACATACTGCTTGTGACGCTCATTCTATGGCGGCTCACTGAAGGTGGTCCATGGTCTCTGTAGACGTCTTCATGTGTGGGTGAAGCAATACCGCCAGGGCTGTGCATACCGTTTCCGGAATGACTAAGTCCCTCAGCACGACTCAAAGCCTTCTTAAGTCTATCGAGCTCGCGCCTCAGGCGGTCATTAACCTGTTCGGTAGCCTCTGCATCACTTCTCGCGCGAACCAGCTGCGTCTCCTTAGCTTTGATACTCAACACGTCGCGGGTATGATCCTCAATCAGGCCAGCGTTCTGGTTCTTGAGCTCTTGAATCTCCGACATGAACTTGCTACGTTCCTGTCGCATCTCATCTACTTGTCGACTTAGTCGATCGTTGGCTGCTCGTAGCTCCTCGATTTCCGCACGTTCCACAGCAGTAAGACCGCTAGATGGAGGCGGCGAGGCTGGTGCGGGTGGGGGTGAAGGTGCAGCAGGTTTGGCGAGTGAGCGTCCGGTAAGACCTCGAGAGAGACCAAGGCGAGGCTGGAGAGGTGCTACTGGCTCTTCATCGGGCATGACGGGAGCCCTACGGGGAGAGGCAGGGCCAGGTGCCCCAAGGGTTCTCTTCTGAGGACCCTTCAATCCAAGTCCAGGCTTTCCTAGCTTGCCAGGGGCTGGTCTAGACGAAGGTTGGGGGGCGAGAGGAGCCTCATCGGGCATCACAGGAGCGGCGGCAGCAGGTGCAGCCTTTTTGGCCAAAGGCTTCTTTCCACCCATAACCTTCTTTGGGGGTGCTTTGGCTGGGGCGGCAGCAGGCTTGGGCTTGGGCTTTTCCTTGGCCTTAACTTCAGCTGCCTCAAAGAACTCCTTGACCTTGTTTCTGCGAATGTCGTCTAGCGCTTCCAAGTTGGGTGTCATGGCACGTTCGCCAATGATCTTCATGACAGTACCGAGAATCTCAGCACCACCGTCTCGAAGTACAGCGGTCGACTCTGACAAGAGCTTCTTTCCAGCTTCACAGATAGCGGCCTGCTCCTGTTTGCTTGGCACATCCCGTGTTGTCCGCAGGCATCGAATCAAGAACTTCATGGTTCCTTCCTTGACCTGCGGGTTCTTGTTGCTAAGATATGCGATGATGTCCTCGAGACACTCAGTTAAATCAGTGGAGGCGAAAACAGCATCGAGGGCAGCTCCTAGAGCATCTGATACCGTTGCTTTCTTCTCTTTGAGGCGGTCCATTATGGGCTGCATTACGGTCTGCCGATATTTCGCAAAACCCTTGCGTAGTCCCTTTGCAAGAGCCTCGATACACAGCACCGCTTGTGTGACGACGGAAATGTTGGCGTCCTTCATGCACTTGGCCAAACCACGACAGACTTCGTTGAAGTCAGTTTCCTTGATACGAGGAACGTTGAGGGCCTGGTAGAGAGCATCGACAGCTTCTTTTCGATCCTTCCATTTTGACGAAGCAAGCTGGTCACTAAAGTTAGGAGGGATCTTCTTGCTGATGTCTTGAGGCTCGGCCAGGTCGAAAGCGTCGACTTCACCAACATCCTCGCCCTCAACGTCGCCTTCTCCACCCTCCTCGCCGCCTTCGGGGGCAGCGTCAAGGGCTTCTTGTTGCGATCGGAGCAGACGTTCTTGCTTGGGGGTGCCCTCAGCCTTGACCTTCTCGAACTGCGCTTCCAAATCAGTTTGCTGTGTGGGCTTGAGTTCGCCCCAGAACATAGGCTTCATGGCCTCCCTCAGCCATCTGTATAGCTCAACTGTCAAGTTCGTGGCTTCAGCGCGGACGTTCTTGTCGGCAGCACCGAAGGCTTTAGGGAGTGCTTTGAGCACGGCTTTCGGGTCGACGACCTTGCAGCCATAGTTATGGAAAATCTGCATAAGAGCATTTAGCGTCGCAGCAATGTTCTTTGGGACCTTGTTGTTCAAGCCAGGAAGCATGTCCTCGATGACTGGCCCGGCGACGTCAAGTTCGATATAAAGTAGCAGAGCTTCCATGGAGTTTTGCTTAATTATGGCACGGGTTGAGGAGAGACATTTTTCGACCATGGGGGTGATGGTTTGGTTTCGTGACCTCAAGCAGCAGTCTCGTCCACCATATTTGAGAAACGCGACCAGAGCGGTGACGGCTTCTTGTTGGGCGGCAACGTTTGAGTCTAAAACTGCTTTATTCCACAAGCTTGGGTCGTTCAAGAATGGTCGGAAACAGGGATCGGACTCGTCGGGGGACTTCTCGAACTGCTTGGCAGCTTCTTCGTATGCTCCTTTTCTGACCTTCCAGACCTTGTGGGTGAAGCGGTCGGCCAAGGGTATGGAGCTGAAATCTTCTTCTTCGGCCATCTTTATGTCTTTATCGGAGAAGTGGTACTGGGGAGAGCTTGAGGCGGGATATCTTTCGAGTGTATGAGCTTGATTCTTGGTGGGCTTGAAAAGCTGAACTAGGCGGGTAATTAGCTTTTGAATTAAACGGGTGCGCTTTGGAGGGTCCATCGTAATCATGGATTAATTTCGGGATGCCATGGGGACGCCAGATGCTCCATAGGAGCTTGCGGTTGATGTTTCTTGAATATTGCAATGTTGCGGAGGATGAAGTGAACATACCGAAGAATCAAAGCGATAATGAGTATGACGGGTATCAACTGGAGGTAGGAGGTCGGGTGGTTGTCGCGAGTGGAAGGGCAATCAGTCGATTGAAAGGAGGAAACAAAGCAGATGCGTTGTTCTTTCTGTAATAAAAGGCAAACGCACGGTTAGTGAGTCTGGGTATGTAGAGAAAGAAGCTTGCGCAACAAAGCGACAAAGACCAAAATAAAGATGCGCCTTCAAAACAAGCAAGGCAAGGGAAGAGGGTCTATTTGTTCCTGGATCCTTGTTGTTTGGACAATGGACGATGCTCTTGTTTCGTTTTTTTGGAGGGGAAAGTCAACAAGCGCCTGTCACCTGATGTAACAGGGGTCGAGTGGCCTAGGAACAGGGGCCAACAGTGGACGGGACAGCCCAAATACGGGGACCAATATTCAGGGACTGTAACTTACAAAGTTATTTAGTCGTATGGGGTATTGCAGTAATTAGTTGCAGATTTGTATGTCGAACATGAAAAGAAAGGAAAGACAAGAGTTATATCAAGTAGCAAACAGTAAAAACGCTGTGACACACACATACCCCATAAGGCGGCGTTCCTAGTGCATAACTGCTGGTGTGTTGTCATTCCAATGGCCCGCACGCTTTATTGACGCCCAACCTGCCGCCATTGCCCCAGAAACAGACGTTGGTCACTTACCAACGGCTCAAAATGCATAAAGATCAACATCAGCTTAGGGCTATGCTTGACATGATTTCAGCCGGGAAGAACCTAATGAATAACATAACACAATGGGTCTCAGCCTTACTGTTCCTGCGGATGTTGGGGCTGATACTTGCTTCAGATTAACACGCCTTCTTCAAGCCATAGGCTGCCTCTGCCCTAGAATGCCAGAGCTGTCCAAATTGAGGGTGAGGTATGCTGACATGAGCAGAACAGATACCTCCTCAAAAGCTGTCTCGCTTGGAATCCTTACACTTCACACAACCGTAATAACACTGGTGAATACGTTTTGATGTGCAATCAACGTGCTATTCAAGAAAATCGCAGATTAACGCATAAAAGCATTATTTTAGTATTGGAATTGTAAGATCATCGTCTTTATGACTTCGGCCATCTTGGGTACCCTACGGTATTTGGAGAGTAGAAGGGGTGTATGACTATTGGCTAACGTAAAGTCACCACCCACTGAGCTGCACGTGTAGATAAGATAAGGCACATCGTCATGTCCGAGCTTTTTAGGTAAGCCAGCAAGGTTTCCAATTGTCTGCCTACCTGTAGGCTCTCGCGTCGCAAGTCTTGCGTCGACTATTCATTCATGTGCGCTCGCGCACTCAAAATTCAACTTTAATATACAACCCGTCTTCGCAAAGAACACAACCATAATGAACGGCTCCACGCGACCGTCTTTTGACCCCTCGCGCCTTACCAAAGCTGCTGCGGCCGAATACTCTTCATCAGCATCCGAATCAGAAGATGAGCACCTCGCACCGGGTCTTGATGCCGACAACGACTTTGGCGATTTCAACCCTCGAAAGAGACGTCGCGTTGGCGGAAATAACAAGGAGAAGGCTGCACTTGGCATTTTTGGCTCCGACAGCGAGGACGATGGCCCTGCAAAGAAATGGAAGAGGACAACCTTGAGAAACAAAGGTATGAATTTTGTCTCAACTGGTGCAGGCAGCGAAAAGGAAGACGACGACCAAGACTCCGACAACAATCGCCCAATGCTCGGGGGCAGCGCAATGGATCAAGACGAGGATGAGGACGAAGAAGAAGATGAAGGAAATACCCATGGAATAGGTCTTGGTTTCGGAGGCGCTGCACGCGGCTTTGTGCAGAACAATACCCAGAACTCAAGTCGAAGCGCGAGTGCCGAAGCACCATCTCGACCAGCTTTTCGAGCTCGGTTCGACGGAAAGAATCCTCTCGGCATGGGCTTTGTCCCCTCCTCAGCAAACGACCCGGTACTCAAAAACCCACGCGACGATGGTTCACCGACACCTCGCAACAAACCACAGCCCAGCGCTTTCGGCGCAAAGGGTAAAACCAACCCAAAGTCTTTCGGAGCCCGTATGATGGCAAAGATGGGTTACCAGGAGGGGCAAGGTCTAGGCAGAGAGGGCCAAGGTCGAAACGTCATTATTGAGGCGAACCTAAGACCACAGGGCATCGGTTTGGGTGCTGTGAAGGAGAAATCTGAGCAAGAAAGAAAGGAGGAAAAGCGGCAGGCCAAATTACGGGGAGAAGAGGTGGTGGATTCGGATGAAGAAGAGAAGAAAAGGCGGAAGAAGGCAAAGAAGAAGTCTATTGGAGCTGCTTTCGATAGCGCGACAAGTACACCTCGACGCCAGAAACCGAAATATCTCACAGCGGAGGAGCTCAAGGCTGCTGCTCCAGGTCTACATATCCCGGATGCGTTTGCCCCTATTCTGGACATGACAGGACCCGGCAGTAAAATGCTTACATCAACGAGTGGTATCATGACACCAACAACAGGTACCGCTACACCAGAGTCGACAGAAGTGATTGAGGCAAGGAAGCTTGTCAGGAGAGCACAGGCGGACTTGTTGGCATTTTCTGATGAGTGGAAAAGCTTGCAAGAACGAAAGACGTGGATCGATCTGGAGCTCAAAGAAAAGGAGCAGGAAATGGATGACCTACGATCGGACTTTGAGAGCTTGCAGGTTTTCTCCGAGCTGGTCAGCGGAGAGCTCGCGACAGCCGACTGGGGTCAAGTTATTGGGTGTCTGCAGAAAGCTCTCGAACTGAAAGCAACGACGTCAGAGATTGCCGACATTGCTGTCGCGGCTATTCATCCATTTCTCCGAGAGCTAGATTGGGACCCTCTTCAGGAGCCCACACGGTTTGCTTCAGAACTCAAGAGACTGTCCACCTTGCTCATGCCGCCAACGTCGAATGGCAAATCTGTCAGCAAATGGGATTCCTTGGCGGTCAACACAGACGACATATATCGCCGGCATCATAAATCAACAACACCCTACGAAAGCATGATGTATAAAAACTGGCTCCCAAAGGCACTTACCGCCGTTCGCTCTTGGGACGTTTACGATCCAACCCCGATGCTCAACATCATGGAGGCCTGGAACGACCTCCTACCACCCTTTGTCCGCGCGCAATTCATCGATAATATCGTCCGGAAACTGGAAACCGCAGTGTCAGACTGGAATCCAAAGAGCAGACGTCAAAGCCATCGTCTACCGCACATCTGGCTCTTCCCCTGGCTTCAATACCTCCCGTCGTATCACCTTGACCCCAAGGGAACCGGTCTCGTTGCGGATGTCAGGAGAAAGTTCAGACAACTGATCGACGTGTGGGAATTCAAGAAGGGTCTCTTGCCTGGTCTTACACAATGGGAGGGTGTCTTGGGAGACCAGTGGCGTCCGCTCGTCATGTCCCACGTACTGCCCTCAATGGGCAAATACCTCAGTCAAAACTTCAGCATAGAGCCTTCTGATCAGGAGCCCACGCTCCCTGTCCTCACAGGTATCCTTAAATGGACACCCATGCTCGGCCGAAGGGTCATCGCCGAGGTACTCATTCAGCATATGTTCCCCAAGTGGCACAAGATATTGAAAGAGTGGTTATCGCTTACTGATGTCAACCTGAGCCAGGTGGCAGAGTGGTATGCATGGTGGCGAGGGGCTCTGCTCAAGGAGCTCGCCGAGGTCAAGTCCGTAAAGGTCGAGTTTGACAAGGGTTTAAAGACCATGGCGAATGCCGTGGCAAGGGCATAATGCTCAGGGTCTTGAATTTGGAAAGATACAATGTCTCGGCTGGCCGGCGGTATATGGAGCGTGAAAGAAATAGATAGGGGTTTTTAGAAAGATGAATCAACTAGTCATCTGGACGGACGATCACGTCCTTAATTTGTGTTTCAATCCTGACCTCATCTAGTCTCGGTAGTTCCGTCAAGTGATTGTCGATCTTGTGTGGTTTCTCCTCTGATACATCAGGGGAAGCACTGAGTGGCCAACATGTTGATTCAGCCTTCCAAGCAAGGCGAAAGCACGCTGCAGTGGGCGTTAAGCGTAAAATCAGGCTTGCTGGGCGATGCCACGGACATAACCGTATTCGTCTACGCTTCATCATCTCCATCCGTTTTGGACTCTGCCTATCCGCAGCTGGCAAAACGGACAATGGCTTCCCTCCGCGGAGTCTAATTGCCACAATATATGAACCCAATTCTGTGCGAGCTCATAGGCTTGTCTCAATTGCCACTTCTTTTCTAAAGCCTCCGTATGCCGAGATTAACCTCACAGATTGGCGAAGCAATCCATGAGGCTGGTGTGACAACTGGAGGATTGGGTTTCAGAATGCTTGACAGATTTCCTTCACGCCAGCCACGCTCTTCTGTCGGTTAGCGGAATATTGTGTAAGCCGAATCAAAGACATTGAGTTGCAGAATAGTGTACAGGTTGGCGAGTGATGATCGTGTATTCACAAGTGTAGATGTCATTTTGTTTTTGCTCGATATCGCCGAGGAGGTCACTAACTCTACGCCCCTCAACTTACATCCACGGCCGAGATGATAGGAGGAACTAAGTGCTATAAGAAGACAGTTATTCTCATCCCCTTCTAGTCAGTATCATTCTCATCAGTCTTCAAAGTTTCCTCACAAGATGTATTCTTTCAAGTTCCTCTTAGCTCTGCTTCCCGCAGCTGTTGTTGTCGCTCAAAACAATGGCGGCGATATCATCCCGGGCAACTACATCGTCACAATGCGACAGCAGATTGACGACGGAAAGCTTGAACAGCATCTTGAATGGGTCGACGACCTGCACCTCGGAAGTTTGTTCCGTCGTGGTGAAGACGGCGTTGACAAGGTTTGGAATGATACCTTTAAGGGGTACTGTGGAGAATTCGACCGCGAGACCATCAAGAGGATTAACGCAAGCGACGATGTAAGTTTATACCCGTGTCCTTGATCCAACTGCTTCAAGTCTTACTATTGTATAGGTTCTCACCGTTGAACCGGTCCGCGTCGTCAACTTGTTCCAGAGCATCACGACTCAGCGCCCTTCGACATGGGGTCTCGGATCCATCTCGCACCGCACCCCCAACTGGAAGGAGTATCCGTTCGATGCATCTGCTGGTCTCGGGATGTATGCTTATCTGATTGACACGGGCGTCAATACCAACCACACCGACTTCCAGGGCCGGGCCGTTCTCGGTTACAACGCCATGGCCGGTGCCCCGTTTGTCGATGTTGACGGTCATGGAACGCATTGCGCGGGGACTATTGCTGGTAAGCAGTATGGTGTGGCCAAGAGAGCCACCGTTGTCGCAGTCAAGGTTTTCCATGGCGGCAGTGTAAGTCCTGTCCTTATATCATGTCTTTTACCCGCCTAACGCTAGATAGACAACAACAGCCATCGTCCTTGATGGGTTTAACTGGGCCGTGACCAACATCACCAACACACCCGGCCGCTCTGAGCAATCGGTTATTTCCATGTCTTTAGGCGGTGCCAAGTCCGACGCCTTCAACCTTGCCGTAGACTCGGCCTACCGCTCTGGTGTACTCACTGTTGTTGCGGCAGGTAACGACAACAAGGACGCGAAGGATTACTCCCCTGCCTCTGCCCCCAACGCCATCACCGTGGGAGCCATCAGTATTGATAACAAGAGAGCTAGCTTCTCCAACTTCGGACCCGTGGTGGATGTGTTTGCGCCGGGCGTGGATATCACCAGTACCTGGATTGGTAGCAGCAACTCAGCTGCTCGGACTATCAGCGGAACGAGCATGGCGTGTCCTCATATCGCTGGCCTGTCGCTGTACCTGAAGGCCAAGGAGGGATTGACTACTCCGAAGAGAGTAACTGATAGGATCAAGGAGTTGGCGACGAAAAACGTTGTTCAAGATCCTGGTCGTGGAAGTCCTAATCTCCTAGCTTTCAATGGTGTTTCTGTTTCAAAGAAGATATACTACGTCTGATTGCAAGGATGGTATGGGAAAGTTGAACACACGACTTGATAGATGATTGATAGAGGGGGATTTATGGAGTAACTGGACACTCGTTTTCTTTCTTAGATACATTCGTTTCAATCGTATTCATATTTCGCATAAACTCAGGCTTCAAAACGTGTTTATCAGTAGTCCTCGCATTGTGTCGTCACAACATCAAGATGTCCGTTCTACAGCGGGAGAGACATAGGGTAGCAACTAGCGTCACAGTATTCACGTGGGAACCATGGAGAAACATGGCTAGAAAATGCTATTTCCGGTAAGTGCTTAATGAGTACCTAGTTCATAATCTCATTGTGAGGATCATGTTACTCATTCAAGACACGCCAGCCACGTAGAAGCCATGTATCATATTGGTGAGAAAAGTGATTGTGCCCACTCGGAATTGTCGGTAATGGAGCGATGCATGCACAGACAGCGTGGCAGTCCGTGACGAGATAGCCGGTTCCGGGGCGATCTGTAACATTTAGATAGTGGCTACTACTGGCCAGGTATTGGAGTAAGCTGATTAGCCTCCATGTTGAGGATGAATTTGAACTTGTGCGACCATGTCACCACATTGCTATGCTGCACTAATTGATTCTCTATCTAGTAAACAAACCTCTTGATCTGCAACTGTAGCCATCTGCAGCTTAAATTGCGTCCCAGATCCCCCGTTCCGTTCGCAGCCTCGCCCCTTTTCCCAGTTCGATTCGAGGCCTGCTCCACACCAATTCAACACATACATATTCAAGATATGCACGTGGTTACTACTGAACATGGAAACACTGCTTCATAGGAGAAAAACAACAACAATAACAATAACAGCCCAAACATATTCATATAGGTTTCTTGGTTCAAATAAAGTATTCCATTCCGAGTTAATGTAGCCCTAAAAGGTCCATGCCCAGATGCTACCCACCATCTGGGCTTGAACCGCTACAGCCGCCACAAACCTCGGAGCAGCTCAGTAAATTGACGCCTGGACTGAGCAGCGTCGCGTGCGTGTGAACCTGGTCTTATCTTGTCCTAGTCTCGCTCGGTATGGCTTTTTAGTCTAGTGTTTGCTTTTGCTTGTGCGTGGTCAGGCACAGGGACAGACAGGGTAACCAGGTTTGTTGTTGTTGACGCTGTCTACCGTAGCCGCTCAGGCAGGTCAGGAAAAAATAATAGAGAATCTCAGCTCTCGTTAACGAGGAGGACGTAAAGATTTAGTCAGATTTACACCTGTGAAGATAGCCTGACTTTCTCATTATTTCTGTCATCTTTGCCAAGATTCCCTGTTATTTTCTGACCCACCTGCCGCTGCCTTGCCGCTCGCTAAAGCCCTCCAGCTTCCCTGGACATTGGCTTTGGGCTCTGCCCACTCACTGCCCGCCTGTGCTTGTGCCTGTGCTTGTGCTTCACTCAGCTCCTCCATCGTGAGAGCCTGACATCACTGCACCATCCACATCCACCATCCACTGTTTAAATTCCATTCCTTCAGGCTGTTCCTCCACAGCTAGACAGCTTTTCGCCTTCTCCGGACCACTATTTCCCCTCTATTTTGCCTCGTCCTTGGCAAATAGTTGAATGCGACGCGACACTCACACTCTTCATTGACCACTCAAGACTGCACTAGACATTCTGGGAATGTCACAGTCAGACTTTGGTCTTTTCGCCATCCATCGCATCAATTCTACCTCGACTGTTTGATCATACGTACCTACTTTGGCTGTGCTGAGGTGAGGTGAGGTAAAGTCAGGTCAAGTGCTACTGCTGAAACTCACTCTCCGCCCGCCGACCCGCCTATGTCTGCCTGACTCGATTCGGCTTCCACTTGATTACATGATCCATTTCGACTCCTCCACCTTCACTTCATCCATCCTTCAACCTTTCTGCTCCGCCAAAACGCTCTGGTCTTGCGTCTGCGACTGCGACAACCACTGCGACTTGGGCCTCGAGCCATACACCCTTCATCATGTTTTGGAGGTTTGGCGGTTACGCCAACATCTCCACTATCGATACAATCCTCGATAAGCCCGACTTTACCCTCGAGGAGTTGCTCGACGAGAGCGATCTGATCCAGGAACTCAAGCAGCACAACTCAAAACTCATCGAATACCTTCGCAGCGACAATGTCCTTGATAGCCTCCTCGAATATGTAGTCGCTCCCAAGCTCGAGACTGTCGAGTCACCCGACGAGTCCACCGATCAAGAGGCAAAGGCCAAGAACAGCCTGCTCTCCTTCTCGCGACCGCGCGCATCCTCCCGCGCCACCGACCTGGGAAATGACGATGACGAAGAGCAGGAGAAAAAGCGCAATCGCTACGCTTTTGTGGCCTGTGAAATTCTCAGTTCTGATACCTGGTCAATCTACGAGGCTTTGGCCGAGAACAGACAATTAATTCGCGATTTTTGGAAGTTCTTGTCCCGCCCTGCCCCGCTCGATCCCCTCCAGGCGAGCTACTTCACAAAGGTCAACGAGTCTTTGTTCGAGAAGAAGACCGAGGATATGATGGAATTGTTGATAACTCTTCCGGATGCTGTCCCTAACCTACTTAAGCATGTTGAGTGCCCTATGGTCATGGACCTATTGCTCAAAATCATTGCCCTGGACCGTAACGAAGGTGGCCAGGGTGTGGTCGAGGTATGCGCATCCCACATCCAATTTTGGTACACCCATACTGACCCATTATTCTCTAGTGGTTGTTTTCTAAAGATATCATCCCAAGCCTCCTTTCCTGTCTCAGCCCCGAAAACAACTGGGTCGTCCAGACCGCCGCTGGTGACTTCATCAAAGCCATTATCACCATTTCGGCCAATGCCTCGCAGAACGAGCAGCAGTGTATCGGTCCTAACGAGCTTACTCGTCAACTCGTCTCCAAGCCATGCGTTGAGCAACTCATTGGTTACATGCTTGGCGGTGGCAACCCTTTGACTGTCGGAGTTGGCATCATTATTGAGGTGATTCGAAAGAACAACTCTGATTATGATCCCGACATGGGCACTGAGGCGACTGCTGCACCCTCAAGCCGCGATCCCATCTACCTGGGCACCCTTCTTAGGTTGTTTGCCGAGAACGTTCCCAATTTCATGAGCTTGATCATGGATGTCCCTTCAAAGAAGGAGAAGATGGACTCGACCTTTGGTGTCAAACTCGAACCCCTCGGCTTCGACCGCTTTAAGACATGCGAGCTGATGGCCGAGTTACTGCACTGCAGTAACATGGGCTTGTTGAATGAGCCAGGTTCTGAGGAACTCACTGCTCAGCGAGATATCGAACGACAGCGTCTGCGTACTGAGGGTAAGCTGGGTCCGGTTAAGGAGGAGGACCACTCTACCGACGACTTGACCATGCGATCCGCTGCGCCTGAAGAGAAGAGACGCCTCGAGGTTACCAATGCAGACGATGATGGTTTCGAAGAGGTCGAACCAAGCAAGGAAATGAGTGAGGATACTTCTCATGAATTTGTCAAAGCCGAGGATGACATTCCAACGGTTTCAACAACTTCGCTCTCTGGTAAGGATGAAGACGATTTTGCTGATGAGCCGCTCAGCCCCCCTCAACAAGTCACCAAGATGGAGGAGACGCGGTTCGAAGAGCCAGACCTTATGGTTGCACCTTTGTCGCCCTCAAAAACCAAGTCTACCGAAGCTGCGTCGGCAGACTCAGCCAAGGCCGATAAGACTGAGAAGCCCGAATCCAAGGCCAGCAGTGAAAAGGCAGAGGAGCCAAACCCAAGCGCTACTGTGCAAGGAGTCGCTTCCAAAGAGGATACTCCTGACTCCTCGGTTGTCTTGACACCTGCTGCCTCTGAGCCTGAATCTAAGGCTGAGTCAACCGATCCTTCGGTCAAGGATGATGATGTGCCAGGTTTCTCTCCTCAACCTGAGGATACACCTGCACCTCTTTTCTCTGCTCCGCCCGCGCCTGAGTCTGGAGCTGATCGCCCGCCCCAGCCTGTTGAGAAGTCAGCGACTGATGTCCAAGGTGCGACTGAAGAGGTGCCTACTTCTGAGATCAAGACGGAGGAGGCCGAGGAGGCCAAGGAGGCCAAGTCCACGGAGGAGCAGCCTACTGTGCAGGCCGAGGAGCCCGTTGTCGGAGACTTCCTCAAGCTCCAATTTGTTGAGTATCGTGTTGTTCCAACCATTCTTGTAAGCCATAACTCCTCCAACCATGCCGTGTACAGGATGTTTCCTAACTATAGCAGAACTTTTTCTTTACATACCCCTGGAACAACTTTTTGCACAATGTTGTCTACGATATTGTTCAGCAGGTATTCAACGGCCCTATGGACCGCAGCCACAACCCCAACCTGGCTGTCTCCCTTTTTGAGGCTGCCGACGTTACTAGCGCCATCATCAATGGCCAAAAGGTCAGCGATGAGTCCCAGGCCAAGACTAAGACCCGCATGGGCTACATGGGCCACCTTACTCTAATCGCCGAGGAGGTCGTCAAGTTTACTGAACGACACCCTCCGGAGCTCCTTTCAGAGACGGTCCTCGACAGAGTCATGAGCCAGGAATGGATCAGCTACGTCGAGGGATCACTTGCCGAGACCCGCGAGCGAGACAACGCCATTCTAGGTGGCGTACGACCAGAGGTGGCTATGGGCAACCGAGCCATGGGCGGCAGTGGACTCGGCGGCGTCGGTCTGTCCGGGCTGAGCGGAGGCTCTAGTGGCGGCGGCTCTGGTGGCGGCGGTTCCAATGCACTGGCCGAGGCTGGCCTAAACGGTGGAATAGAACTCAACCAGGACAGTGGAAACGGCATCGGCCCTTTCACTATCAGTGCCGGAACACTGATGTCCGGCTTCGGCAGCAGCAGTGACGAAGAGGACGAGGATGGAGATGGAGATGAGGAGGACGTGAATTCTGAGGTGAGTGGTGTTTCCGCTGAAGATGGTGACGAGGATCACGGCATCCCTGGATACCCTGGCATAACGGAAACCCTTGAGGATGTGATTATGCGCTCTCCAGAGCCTTTCCGGGCGGACTCGCCGGATCTTGATGACCTGCGAGATGTTACGAGGGGCTCTCCTATGGACTTGGACGGAGCCCCAGCCCCAGCACGGGGTCCGTTTCAAGACGAAGAGCAGCAGCATGCGGAGCAGGTCGAGGACGTTTCTAAGCCAGGAGGCAACCCTTAGGAGGGCTCGTCTTACTGGGGAAGCCTTGATCGTCCCCGCACAAGACGAAACCTGCGACGCAGGCAGAATCACCGGAGCCCACAGCTTGACGACCTTGAAACACTCGAGGACATCGATACTGAGGAGCTCACGAGGCTGCTGAGGGCGGCAAAGTTTTGAGACATTTATACTAGGCGTTGTGGAATAGAATGGGTGGACGGATTGGCAAGGCAGGATTATCATGTAAAGGGTCTGGATCATGACCCGAGTTTGGGATCTGTATAGATTTACGATTGGCAACGGAGACGAGAGTTAGGATTGTTGTTGCATGTTGCATACGAAGGAACGAAATGGAATGGAGGATCAAGATTCGATGCCAGAGTTTTCCACAGGACGCCTATCCCGCTGCCAACTCATCACATCTTTTTGTGTCAACTGATCACTCATGGACGCCTCATACTGACGAGACCTTTCTAGTTCCGAGCTTACACGGACCCTCTGAACAGCTCAGGAGGTTCGATGGAGCCCCCCTCGATCCCGCCGCCACCTCCGCCACCACCACCGCTGAACATTCCCCCTTCTCGGGCCAGACTCCAACTGGCAGCACGGTTGGCAATGCATCAAAAGAACAACCAAGCACAATCGTCTGGCGATCTAAGTAACGACGACGATGACGACGAGGAGAACCCTACGGATCCCTTTGCTGACACGGAAGAGGACTTTGACGACGATGACCAGCCTCAAGATGATGCAAGGGGCGCTTGGTGGCGGGATGTGGTGCGAGATCGTGGAGGCAAGCCGGACGGAAACGAATCTGACGATGAGCGCGACGATGAAGATGACGATGAGTTTGGAGACTTTGCCATGCCTGAAGACGACACGACTGGCGACAACCAGGGATCAGTTTTACGGCCCCAGCCTGTGAATCCGACCAAGGAGGGATCAACTCGAGGTCTCAGTGGCTTGTGGCCTTTTGGTCTCTCCAAGGCAGAAAAGGAGAAGGAAGGAAACAAGTCAATAGTGGAGGATGAGGCGGCGGGTAAGGCTACAGGAGACGACGAGACGAAAGCTGTGGAAGTAAAGGAGGCGAAACGGAGGACAAGCATTGAGGACCCTGACGACGATGAGGTGGTTGTGTAGGGAGTACGATACCAGTATGCTTTTACTTTAGAGGATGATAGAGTGCTGCCAGGGGGCGATAATGATGGTGTACGATATATAGGAAATGGAGGTTCATGCTGAATGCTCAATATGATAGGGTTATGTTGTACGTAGAATCGCATTGTAACACGATTGAACTTGAACATGAGAATTTGATACTGATAACATGGATTGATGTAATCTGCAAGGAGGCATGTACTCGGTGGTATGGTATCAATATCAACACAGCCCTCAATCTAGATTCGTAATCCAAGACAGCTTAAGGCTGACTATAAAGCTCCTAAACCCCGAAACTCTTCATGAAGAACGCTTTATTAGGAAGGTCTTGTTCTTGACAGGATCAGATCCTCTGGATTATAATTTAGTTATAGCTGAAGCTCTAGTCCTTTGGCGCCCTGAAATGACTGAGTCAAGCGAGTGCGGCCGACTTTCTGCGGGTGAGCGCTAAGAATACGCTATCTCATCTCGCTTGCAGCCTTATTTCGCTTGCTACCGAAGTCCCGTGTTGCCGAGAGGGACGTGGTGATTGGCTGGAGAGGTTGTTCTGTAGGGGATTAATTTACAGTAGACTGGACTTTGCTACAGTCGTCTTGTTAGTTGAAGATGGTGCTATTGAAAACATGACAGTTTTCTGCTGTTGTTTACTATTCAGTTGAGAATGCAAGGCTGAAAGGGGGAGAAGACGCTGGTAAGGTTTGTTGGTCAGAACGTTAAACTTTGTTGCAATTTCGCGTAAATGCTGTGCCATCTTGTTATCCACCTTAGCCGCCCGGGAGATCTAATCAAAGTTCCCTTCTGGATCAGGTTACGAGCCAAGCTTCAGCACAGCCCTTTTGGCCCCATATCAACAATCTGATAACGCAATGGCGACGAAGATAATAAAGAAGAAGAACTAATGATGATCATGTAAGTAAGAGCGGGAGGCGCTTGTGAACAGACGCGTGTCGGTGATGAGATGCTAAGAGGGGAAACACTAGCGGCTAGATTGGGTAAGAAACTTGATCTTGATTCTTGGTTGTGCACGTGGAGGGAGGGGATGAAGGTTTCTGGTTGACAGCTGCCTGGCTGGGGTGGTGATCCTTTTTGGAGTCTGCCATGACGATGCTGGGATTTGAAGTTGGGGGCTGTGAAGTAGTCAGCCTTGGGATAGATGCATTGCTATATTTACTTGTTTCAGGTTCGGATGTCCATTTGTTCGCTTATTAGCGAGAATTGATATGAGATGCAGAAATGGAGTAGAGTCAATTGCATTTATTCATGATTACGGATAGACAACACGATTGCTTCAAACAAGAGAGAATAGGCAGTTGATGGTTTACGGATACAAGTCAAGGAAAAAGTCAGACATACATGTAACTCACTCGACAGCACGTCATTGCGTAGTGTTGGAGGATTGATCACCTCTGCAATTCGCTCCCTTTTGATCGTCCAGTCCAATCCTGTTCAGCCCCTCTCGTCACTGGTACCTCGTACCTCACGACGACCTGGGTGTTTTCTGGGGTACCCCGTACAGCCTACGAGTGGGGGCCAACTTCTTCTGTTCGCCTTGCTGGGTAGTAGTAGGCTGTGGCAGGATTCAAGATTTGGGGATAGATGGGGCATGTCATTGATAGCTCGTGCGAAGGGTTGGCAATGTTGGTTAATAAAAAGCTTTGTGCTGCTTGTTTTGCGCAGAGGACGAGATGTTTTGAGTAATTGGATGTGTTATACTGATTAACTTGCTATAAACAACATTTGAACGATACAGTTCAGTGTATACGATACTCGGTATGCGGTAACCATTATTATCACCACGACCTACGGATACAACGCAACAATTCATCGCGATTCTCAACACCAAAAGTCCTCCATCACCATGTCTCTCCAAAGACCAAGCCTACCTAGGCTCATAACCACCATGTCGGCCAACGAATCCTCCTCAGACCGCCTCATCCAGGCCATCGCCGAAACCCTCGATATCGCCCTCGAGGACATCTTACTCTTCGACTCCTTCACAGAACTAGGCGGCGACGAGGAATCAGCTCAGATGGTCCGCGCGGCCTGCCAAAGCAAGGGGCTTGATGTAAGCGGTCACGATATCATGGACTGTCCTACTTTAGCCGAGCTGCAGACGCGAGTGACGCCCCAGGCTCAAGCCCTCGCGGATGCACCTCAACGGGGGGCCAGCGTTTCTTCGCACTCGAGCTCGCATTCTGATTCGGCAGGGACATTTTGTAGTTATTCATGCCCAGATTCGGAGTATGAGGAGGAGCTGGAGCAGGAAGAGGAAGAGGAACAAAAGGAACAGGAACTTTTTGAACCGGGAGAGACACAGACACAGACACTGACACTGACACACCCTGAATTGGCCAACTGTAGGGCTGCAGGGGCCTCAATTGGCCCTGTGGACCCTAATTTGGAGCGCTTACTGCTGTCATTTCCCAGCGTCAGCAGCATCTGCATGGTCCGGCCTAGGGCAGGCCCATTTGACGGGCAATTGGTAGCTCTTATTAAGATCAACTCTTGCACTGGTCTTGGTCTAGGACTAACTAATCAGCCTCCAACGTTAAATCTGCACAGCCAAAATACTACCAGAGCTTGCATCTCCCCCCTTGAGATCGACCTCGTCAAGCAAGAGATCTCCCTCCTTCGCATGGCCGTACAGGAATGCCCTCATCCGCCGCAGATCTGGGTTCCCTTGGAAAACGACTGTGAGAAACCGCGTCGCTTGCAAACATGGGTCCAGAACATGGACGACGATACCTACAAAGAGGTCATGAAGCTGCAGATTCCCGCGCGCCGCCGCCGAGTCACCCGGCGGAAGAGCGCAATGCCAGCGGTGAGCACTGAGCATCTTGAGACTTTTGCTCTCTCGCCGATGCAGCAGCTCTACTTACAGGCGATTGATACGAATGATGAGACTGCGGTTGCGCAGAGTGAGCGCTACACCCAGAGTCTTATGCTAAATGTCAAAGGCGGTGCAGACCCTTCTGATGTCGACGCTGCCATTGAGGCGATCGTGGCCAGACATGATATGCTTCGAGCTCGGTTCAGAAAGATTCAGCAGGATTGGATGCAGTGCATCCAGCCTGAGCCGAAGAAATCCTACAGACTCACTCACCACGTCGACGTTGGTGAGGAGGAGGTTCTCGCGCTCATCAACGATGCCGAAGAGGCCATCAATCCTATCGACGGGCCTGTCTTTGCGGCTATGTACATTCACAACCAGGACAGGCAAATGCTGCATCTCGTGGCTCACCAACTAGTCGTCGATTCTCTTTCGTGGCGGGTCATGCTCAGTGACTTGGAGGAATTGCTGCAAAAGGGCACTCTTCTCTCTGAAGGGTCTGTGTCTTTCTCGCATTGGGTCGATTACCAGAATCATCAAATGACACAAAGACTATTCGAACCAACACTTCCATTTGACGTCTTTTCCGCGAATCTCGAATACTGGAACCTGGACCAAGGATCGAACACCTACGGAAACTCGGATCGTGTGTCTATTCACCTCACAGCAGAGCAGTCGTATGCTCTCGAGCAATCAAGCGCCCGCATTTTCAGGACGGACGTTGCTGATGTCCTTCTGGCCGCGCTACTACTATCCTTCCGTCAGGTCTTCCCAGATAGGAGTCTCCCGACGCTGTGGAAGCAGGAGAATGGACGGGATGCCACCGAGGGCGAGTTCAACATCGTGGAGACGGTTGGGTGGTTTGCTTCGCTTTGTCCGATTGGTGTTTCCGTGGATTCGACTACTGACTTGATCGAGGCTATCACATTAATTAAGGATACGCGAAGGGCCATTCCAAGAGCTGGTGTGCCGTTCTTTGCTTCTGAGTTTTCGACGTCTGAAGGCGCAGCTGCAAATATTCCTCTAGAGATCGTCTTCAACTCGGTAGATACGGCTAGAGAACTGCAACAGCAGAACGGGTTATTAGAACCAATTCCATCACCTGGGCAGACAACCTGCCTCAAGTCCAATGCAGGACCTGGAATCGGGAGAATTGCCTTGTTTGAAGTATCATCCATGGTAAACAACTCTGGAGCACAAATCGATGTCGTGTACAACAAGATGTGCAGATATCAAGAAAAGATTCAGATGTGGATTCAGGAGTTCGAGTTTCAAGTGCTCGTTGCTATTGCGAAACTGCAGAATCTCGAGCCTCAACTTACTCTATCCGACATTCCCCTAATACAATCGTCATACCAGGCCCTCGAGAGACTCCGTTCAGATCGACGCATCAACATAAAGGACATGGAGACCATCTACCCCGTCACACCAGCCCAGCAAGAAATCCTCATCGCGCAGGCCCAAAACGCAGACGCCTTCCACGTCCACGCCGCCTACGAACTCACAGCCCGACAGCCCCCCGTCGACATAACGCGACTATGCGCGGCATGGGAAGCTATGGTCGCCAACACCCCCGCGCTACGAAGTATTTTTATCGATGCTGTTTCTCGTGATGGTTTGTTCGACCAGGTTGTTCTAAAGAAGATTTCGCCGAGTATTCTATTCATCGAGGCGATGAATCCTATCGAAGCTGTTGCCACGCTGCCAGCGGTGAATTTCTCATTCGCGGAGCCGAGACATCGTCTCGCGGTGTGTTATAGCCCGTTGAGGATGGTTGTCAGGCTTGATGCGAGCCAGGCACTCTGCGATGTAAGTTTATGTGCTGATAGATTTTGAAACGAGTGCTGACAATACTAGGTGACGAGTCTTCATCTTCTGATTGCAGAACTCAGCCGTGTCTACTCAGGAGAAGATCCTTATTATGATTCAGCTCTCCACAACACATACCTCCACCAGATAGCCTCCATGGACACGGCATATAGTCTCGAAGTCTGGAAGGCCGGTCTCTCACATGTGAACCCGTGTATCTTCCCACCGCTTTCGACAGCCGCCAAGGATGCTTTCCACAGTCTCCCCTACGATATCGATATCTCGCAGATGCAGCTACAGGTGTTCTGTCAGCAGAACCAGGTCGACGCTGCAGCAGTATTCCAACTCGCATGGGCACTTGTCCTCCGCGCTTTTGTGGGCGAGGAGAGTGTCGTTTTCGGCTACCAGTTCAATGCTCGTGACGAGCAGCTTCTGTGCGGGATTGAGCAGCTCGTGGGCAGTTTTGCTACGCTTTTGCCATGTGGCGTTGACCTTCCTGCGGGTCAGTCTCTAAAGGAGTGTCTCGCCGCTGTGGGAGAAGCGTTCACTAGTGCCAGCAAACATGACAATCTCACCTTGTCTGAAGTCCAGCATGCGCTAGGCCTGGAGGACAAGCGCTTGTTCAATACTTGTCTCTACTTTCATAAGCAAGATCAACTTGATATTGGCGAGGAATTGACTTCTGCGCTTGTCACATCTGGTCGAAAGACGGATTGTGATTTGTCGCTGACACTCATGTTTCTCAACGGCCGTCTTCACGGGAGTCTCGCAGCCCGGTATCTCTCATCAAACCAGATCCAGAGCGTCATGAGCAGTTTCCATTCGGCTCTTAGTCATATCCTGCAACACTCTGAGCAATCTGTTGCGGAGACGGATCTTCTTACAGACCGTGGGTACGCACAGCTGGTTGTTCAAGACTGGGAGTTTGCTCAACAGCCCCAGAACGTCTCAGCTTGTCTGCATGATGTGATCCTCCAGCATAGTCTCATTCGCCCTGATGTACCCGCAGTGTGTTCATGGGACGGAGACATCACATACCTGCAACTTGCAACACTCGTCACAAGACTCCGAACATACCTTATCAACCTCGGTGTCGGCCCAGGAACCGTCGTCCCTGTTGTTCTGGAGAAGAACCATTGGGCACCTGTTATTCTTCTCGCCGTTCTTCAAGCCGGAGCGGCGTTTGTGGCGCTTGATAGTCAGGACCCAGCTACAGTGAAGTCTACCATCGACTATCTCAATCCTCACGTCGTTCTGGCTACTGAAACAGCATGGAAAGACTTGAGCACGCTGGCTATCAACCTCGTCATCATCAACGATACTTTCTTCGCTATGCTGACGCCGTACTCATCAACGATTGGAAAAGACGCCAGTCCTGACCACGCTGCGTGCATTTTCGTCACGCCCAAGAAATCGAGGAGTATCTTCTTCACCCATGCATCTCTCCTCTCGGCTTTCACAAGCCAAGCAGCCGCTCTCAAGATGAACAGCGAGAGCAGGGTTCTGCAACTGTCCGCATTCAATGTTGATATCTCACTCGTTGAAATCCTCGGCACATTGGTCCACGGCGGATGTGTCTGCGTTCCATCTGCTCATGATCGAGTGCACGATATCGCTGGTGCTATTGCGCGCATGGACGTGACATGGTCGTACATGACCAGCGTCATCGCTCGAAAGATTCACCCTGATTCTGTGCCGAGTCTGAGAACGTTGTGTTTCCGAACAAGGAAACTTGATCCTGATACTTACATGCCCTGGCTTGAGGACCATGATATTCTCCTTGCCTATGGTGCACCTGATATTTGCCCCCTTGGCATATCCGTTACTGAAGTCTCAGAGGGTAACAGTCTGGACGTTATCTCCCCGCCAGTGACAGGTCGTTTTTGGGTTCTCAATCCCGAAAATCCGAAGAAGCTTGTGCCTGTTGGTGCAATTGGCGAACTTGCCATTGACAGTCCTTTGGTCACACCTCATCGGTTCGCTCTTGATAGACCCCTCTTCGCCCCGGAGATATCTCACGAAGAGGGTGAACGATCTAGACCTCGTTATCTCAAGACCGGTCATCGCGTACGGTATCTTGACGACGGAAATGTTCAATTCATATCCAGCGTTCGCGATGAAGTCAGAGTCGGCGGATTGATGGTCGACGTAGCACAGGTCGAGCAATTTATCCGTCGTTGCCTAGGACAAGGCATTGACGTGGTTGTTGATACTATCACAACCCAAGACTCAGGTCCTCTTCTCGCTGCATTCATCCAACTCGGTCCCCAAGTCATGCAACAACACGAAAGTCTCCGGGATCTCAGTCCCGAGACCAAAGAGCGGACATATGTCGCCAAGAAGATGTTCGAGGCCTCTCTCGAGAACCCAACATCCCAAATGCCCCGTCTGGAAAGACACTGTATCCCCTCTATCTTCATCCCCGTAAGGGCATTCCCTATGTCCACCTCCCTCAAGGTCAACCGGCGCAAGCTTCAGCGCATGGTCGCCGAGTTCTCGTGCAACCAGGTTCTGCAAATGTCTCGCGTTCCCAACCCCGGCGAGATACAGCGCATCGTCTTATCGCAGAAGCCTCTACCGTTGACAGGTCCTGAAGAAGCTATGCGAGAGATGTGGGCCAACGTCGTTGGTGTTTCGGTCTCTGGTATTAAAGGATCGAGCAGTTTCTCTTCTGTCGGCGGAAACAAGTTCCTCGCTGCTGAACTTGTCGTCACCTGTCGCAAAGCTGGTCTCTGTGTGTCCCTTACAGAACTTCTGAGCGACACCACTCTCACAGATATATGTCGCGCCGCTGAGACATCTTCCAGAAAGATCTCGACCAAGACACCAGTGGCTAAAAACCTCGATACTCGATTTGTCAAAGAAGTCATCGCGCCCCAGCTGCACTGCTCGTCATCAGATGTTCTCGACTTCACCGAAGCATCCTCGCAGCAAGTCAGAGGTCTTGAGCTAGGCATATTCAAGACTCGCGCCGATATCGTTTGTCTTGCTATTAGGTTCAACGGCCCTATCGACTCTTCTCGCCTCGAAGCAGCTTGCAATGCTTTGGGCAAGATGCACTCGATTCTTAACGTCGCGTTTGTCTCTTACGAACATTGCGTCTATCAAGTACACTGCGCGTCCTTCAAACCGCCTTTTATTAATATCTCCTGCGCCCCAGCAGCTCTCGACGATGCTACACAAAACATTGTCAGCGAACACCAGTCACTCCCTTTCGACCCAGCAGTCCCCATCACGAAGTTCACGTTTCTCAACGCCGATCATCAGGGCTTGCTGGTCATCCGTTTGAGCAAATCTCAAATCGACGATGTATCCGCACATCTCCTCATCCACGAACTCGCCTCCCTTTATGAAGGCGGCGACACCCACGACATTCCTCGGTCTTCCTACCTCGACTACACGCGCGCATCGCGAGTATCTCGTCAACAAGGCCTTGAGTACTGGAGCTGCCAACTGGAAAACGCGAAGATGACCAAGATCATCGCTTCTACGCGGCCTATTGCCCCAGCTTCTGTATCAGAGATCAGAACGCTCAAGCAGACAACTTCCCTGGGCCATCTGGCTCCCTATGGTATGGCGCCTGACGCAGCGCTCAAAGCAGCGTGGGCCATCGTTCTCTCTACCATCTCCAGCACACACGACGTTCTCTTTGGCGAAGTCATCCAGACCTCAAGCCTGGATGTTGTGGGGCCCATGACAAACACGATCCCTGTGCGCGTCCAGTTTCCTTCAAGTCACAGCACGCCTCTTGATCTTATGAACTGCATCCAAATCCAGCGTCAGTCGCACGCTCAGTTCGACACCTTTGGCATTGGAGAGCTTGTTAATAACTGTACCAGTTGGCGATCTTGCACGCAGTTCAGCACCATTGTGCAGCATCATGTTCCTGGGCCTCATGATGGTTCGTCCACGATGAACATCGACGGTGCGACATTTACGTATAGAATGATCGAATCTTGGACAAAGGACTTTCCAGATCTTTTTGTCCGGTCTACTATCGAAGCTAACGATCGCATCACCCTCGAGATTAAGTACTCAGAGGAACGACTCGCCAGCTCATTCGTACAGTCGTGTCTGAGTCTTCTCATCGCTGCATGGGAAACTATCACTCATCCGGATACTATCCACCAACCCATGATTCACTCCGCAGAAGAAGTCGCTCGCGCCGAGCGCCAGATTCCCTTTTCCGCAAAGCAGCAAACCCCCAACCCACCTGTGGAATCCGTTCTCGATTCTTCCCAACGAAAGGATATCCAAGAATCTATCGTGACCGCCTGGGACAAAGTCATCAAGATTCCTTCGAGCATCTCCAAGAACAAACTCCCCACAACCCCATTCTACGCAGTCTCAAAGTCCATTCTTCCTGCGTATGCCCTCACCGCAGAGCTCAACTCTGTTCTCCCGGTGACCCTCACAGTCGACGACGTCCTTGCCCATCCAAGCATGCGCACTCAACTCGAGCTCGTGGGCCGTCTTCTGCCTCCCAGGCATGATGGGTTTTCCTCTCTTCTCCGACCCAAGTCGAAGAATGGTCCTGAGCGTTCAGCCACCACTGCCTTACGCGACGGGCTACGGAGTCTCAAGAACAGGAATAGCATACTCAGTAGTAGGAGTAGCATGCTTAGCCTCAAGAACGGATGGACAAAAAGCAAGCAGCCCTCGACTGTGATCCCAGAAGATGCACCAGCGGCTGTACCAAAGATGACACAAACACCCTCGCATCCACTATCGCCCATTCCCACCATCGTTATCCCCGAGATTGGCTCCTCAGACATACCCATCACCCAAGCCAGTCCTCTGTTCGAACTCGACGGCGGTTCATATTTCCCTCAAGACCGACGCAGCAGCGGAGGTTCATCGTGCAGAACACCCGAGGAGGTTTGTCTCAGCCCTGTCTCCATGATGAGTCCTGTTTCCTTGAACACACGTAGAACATCTACGTGGGGGTCTATGTTTGAGGCTCCACGGAGAGGACTGTCGCCGTTTAGGAACAGGAACTCGTCCACGTGATGCACATCTACTGTAGTTTTCCTTATGTTTTTAGTTTATGCCCAAGGGCACTGATGGATAATGACACTCATGTTGTATTTTCATAATTGTACGTTAATAGTTTAGATCTTAATGATAAGACAAAGATACCCAATACCATAACCTGCGAAGAGATCATATTCTATGTCCTGTGTGATACTGGTTGCTTCATGCGATCACATAGCATTCCCTGTTACCTTGAAGTCTCTGTCTTACTTCCCTTTCATGCAAGCAACGGATTTACCAACAGTCCGTTTTAACTCCGGTCTCACAAGGTCAACCTGGCCGACGTATCCAATGCACGGAACATACCGTCTTTGACACGCGTGTAAGCCGAGCTTGCTCTTGTTTATTCATCCCACCTTTATCTATATACCAATGATGTACCAGTTTTTTGAAACAAGCTGCATTCTCTTCAACAGCCCTTCGCTGGTCCGTGAAGTAACGCGATTGGGGCTCTTTGCGTCGGTTCTGCCAGGGTGAGAAGTCGCCGACGCTACGACGCTTCAGGACATGGAATTCTGTTTTTCATTATTGTGTCGCTTTTTGATCTCGCTTTCTCAAACGTCTGACAGGATAAAATATGGGATGTGACCCTCGGGGTGCGGGGCGTGGTCTGGGCAGTTAGTGCTTACTTTTACCTGCTGGGCTACTGCATGGATGTGAAGACGTAGGGAACTGCTCACAAGAGCCGCGACAACTTTTGTTCAGAGTGAGAGTGAATTGAAGGCTGCAAGTATCATCATGATGTGATATGGGCTCACGGAAAGCGCTGATTGATCAGATATCGCCGAGTTACAACGGAGGGTATCGTGACACTTCACGAATGGCTTGTCGCGCGAAAGCAACAAGATGAGCCGTGGGTGGTGTCAAAGAGACGACGATCCAGTTAAAACCTATCCGTGTGGGCATTTCCGTAGGAACTCGGCATCAAGTCTTACAGGCTCGCCTCTGGCGGTGTAGATGTATATATCGGGGACAATGAGTAGATCGGGTCCGACATTGAAGGACTCGCCGCGAGTTGCGAGTCAGAATATTACACATACACTATAATATTATGTTTTTGTGTACTCTGTTTAGTTCTCTAGGATGTGAATTTGGAATTGTAGGAGAGGATTCTGAGATAGCTTCGTCTAGGTGATGACCGCAGAGAAAGGTCGATGCTTGGAAAGTTGAGTGATAGTGACATGCATCAGTAGTAGGATCACTAGCCATGCCGCAAGTGCCCTCCTTGTCCCTTGTAAATGCCGCTCTAGACGAACAAAACGCCATTTGTCTTGTCAACCACGGAATATCCACTTTCTCGCTGTCCGATGCTTCAAGATGCCCGAGTCTGAGATTCCTTGACTCGGTGTCCTACTTTGCGCCACAGGCAAATTATAAGGCTGACATGAGACATGGGGAGCACAACATGTGACCTCTTTCCTGAGTATTCCCGGTTTGTTTCTGTTCTGTCAATAAGCGGTCTATGCCCAAGTACCGAGGTATGCTGTTTCTCATAGTAACCGTGGCTTTCGCGGGACGAGACGAGAACTACCACCCCGGACGAATCGGCAGCTAGGGCGGAGGCATGAAATAGCACCTTGGTCTGTGCAGGATGCGCTTAGATATCACATCCTTCAACAATAGTACCTCTATTTAGAGTTTTCTTGACAACAGATCCCTCGAGTTTCATGCTTCAGATGTCGAAGTTTCAGACTGAGTGAGACGGTAATGCCGATGATCAACATTGACAGCTTCAGAATCGGACATGCAAGACAAATCCTTCTTCGACGAGTATGGCCATGAGCATAAGCAGCACTGAAGAGTTCTAGCATCATCATCCATCGTCAATCCTGCCGGTGGGTTGGGGTTGCAACACCACGCTCCATGGCATACCTCCATGGATCATACCGCGGGCGCGTGCCTTTCCTCTAATGGACTGTTAGCCCAGAGCAACGAACCTTTCAGAAAAACTTCTCAGCGAGACTCCCTGCACATCAGAAGGGTACTTGTATGCCGTCAGACCGATAAGTATCTTTCTTCCCGGGGCGTGTGGCATTACAGAAACCTGTCAGGACAGACCCACGGTTCACGATATCTAAACGCCCCCTCCCTTCTGGGCGAGATGAGTGCAACTCTGCCTCGTTCTAGGGCTCTGCTGGAACAACTTGTCTAAGTAGAGGAAGACAAGCTCAGATCCACCGGTGCCCAGGTAGGGCTGACAGGAAGCATACGAGGAACTATCCAGGGCAAACAGAGCGCCGAGGGAAGAACAAAAGCGGTGATAACTTCAAGCCATTCACTGCGTTCGCACCGTCGTTGTCCAAGTGGAAACATATGTGTTGAAAAGCATTCGCTGTCCCTGCACAGTCCTAGACCGAGAAAGGCAACGAAACCCAAGGCCTATGCAGTCAGATTGCAGACATCGATGAAGCACACTGCGGGTAGATAGTTCGAATACACTATTGCTTTGCTGTCCACTCCCCCAATAAACATGATCATCACTGCATCGAGGCATATCCAAAAGGGTATCAAGACGCGAGCTGTCTTTCTCCCGTAGAATAACACGTCATGAGAGCAACTCCCGAGGGAGCTATGGCCACAGAGATCTATCTAAACGCGATATTGGGGGGAGGGGGTAATGATCTCTATTTTTCTTTGCTTTTTCCCCCTCTAATAGCCGTTCGACAAGGCTGCATACACTATCAGGACTAAATACCCAGTACCAAAAGGCTGGTAAGACAAAGTATTACCCCAAAAGGCAATCGCCGGCACAAAAGACATGTCAAGCCATGAGCATAAGCGGACAATCCACCAATCCGCCAGGCCATGACCTCCCCGTCGGCCCCAGACTTTTGACGCATCATAGATCAGTACTGATAAGTTGTTTAACTCATGACCTTCGTCACAGCCTGCAAGTCCCCGCTATACAAGCTCTTTCCAAAGCAAGACTAATCCTTCACTCACTGTCCGAAGCAGGATATCCCATGTTGATTCCTGCTGACTAGCTGACACTAAGCGGAGGCTTCCATATACTAACTTGCCCGGCAGACTATAACCGGGCGTAGGTAGTACAGGACTACGGATACGCACAGGCGTATTTACTCCGTAAAAACATAGTGTTAACCTGGCGAGGGCTTCTAAATATGCCTGGCTCATCCTGCGAGGCTCCTCTCACTTACGTTATTGGTTAATAAACGAGGTCAGCCCTACAGTGGCTGAGACGCGGCGGATTGGTGTGCATCGACAATGTAAGACGGCCTCTGACTGCTCTTTCAACATATCGCTGGAACTTTCAGAGGATTGAAATACATAAGTGGCGCAAAAACTAGCTACACGATAAACAGTAGATCTCTCTGATGCGCGATGGTACAATCCTTGAACATAGTCTAGCGCTGATATTAAACGCCCAGTCCAATCCACTGCGTCGCATTCCGTATCTCGCTTTCTGATTCCTCTGCGAGTCCGTCGGGGTCTGGCTAGCTCCTATTTCCCAGGAACCATTCGATCATCCCGCCTCCGATTGTAAAATCCCCTCCCAGTATGCAACCCCGAGGCTATTGGGCTTCTTTCAGCCCTCCACAGTTGCTCTCTTTCTCCCTTTCTACTCTATTACCCGCAGCCCGCAGCACGCAATGCACGAGAAACTCCTCTTCTGCCTCATGCATGCTTTTGATCATCTCACGCCCTGTAAGCCCTAGGGCTTATCCCGCCTGGGTACCCCACTAGCTTCTGATCCTTCTGCCACTGGATCACTCGCCAAACAATCGACATGGAAACCACAGGCGTAAAATGACAGAACGGAATGCCGTTCGACATGGTGGGCTCCATCTCCGAGCGGATCCGTCGAGCTAAATTTCGGCGTCTTGTGGGGCCCCGGACTCGCTCTCGGTCTCGCGGGGGTCGGCGTCTCAGTCACGGATCGGTGACATATGTCATCTGTTACGGCGCGCATGTAGAAGTGGCAGTAAATTCATCCCTTGTCCGTCCTGTCTCGTCACAGGTTACCATTCCGCGGGGCCATGCCCGGCGGCATCCGTATTCCCATGTTCTGTCCCACTGGCAGCTTCACAACGTCGTCCACTCTCGCCTTCTGGAGCGAAAAGGCCGGCGTCACCCATCCGCCGCAGGAACATCGAAAGCCCTTCCAGTCGTACCGACCAACTCCGGCACCGCACTTCTCATTGGGGCATACAATCCGGCCGTTGAGCTCTCCCTGTTCAAGTACCGGGCGCATCCAGCTGAGCGGCTCAACAAAGTAATGCTGACACGTAGGCGCCGAAGACTTCTTATCCGAGGGACGGTGCTCCATGATAAATGGGGCCGTGACCAGAGTCCGACGGCACTTCTTGCACCGTAGACTAAGCCCTGAATCGTCGCGAGGCTGAGTCTCTTCATCTTCAAAACGGAGCCTTGTCGGTGCCTGGCCTACTGCAAGGTTCTCGTCAATCTCACGCTTGTAAGCCCATCGCTGGTAGACAGGGTGTGTTTCCACGTCGTTAGGGCATCCCATTTCCCACCACAGGGCAAGCTGTTCCATGAACCCCTCGTTAGGCTCCGCCATGGGACGGGTTCGGCGAACAAACGTCAGAGCAGCGTGGACAGCCTCTTGTGCAGTTTCCTTCCGTGAGCGCTTCTCTGTTGGTGTCTGCGGGACAGAGTGGGTCGGGTCCGAGATGGATGTAGGTGTGATATTGGGGTCGAAACGGCTTGGATATCGGCGAAGCAAGTAAGCAATGACCGCCGAAACAGACCTCGACTTCCCAGCCGCGCAGTGGACAAAGACACCTCCCTTCTTCTTCCTCTTCTTCTCTCCGATATCGAGGTCTTCAACACCCTTTTCTAATGAGACGCCCCCGTCCTCGTTATCGTCCTTCTCTTTCGCTTCATCCCCAAGCCAACTCGCGCCGAGACCCTCCTCGATGAAGCTGACAGCTTTAGGCAGCTCAATCAGCAGGTCAGCATCCTCCACGTCGTCAATATCGATGGTCGTGTGACGAAAGTCTTTTCCGTAATCGATCCAGGGCTCGTCTTTGAAGTTCTTGAGACTCGAGATGTCGAATGGGACGAGGGAGAGTACGTGGGTAATACGACGATCGGTCAGCGAGTCGGAGCGGCGCAAAGCCCAAAGTCTAGGAAATAATCAGCATCGCATTTACGCCGAATACTTTAGTGGTTTCCAAAATCTCACCCTCCAACGAACAGCTCATCCTGGCCGTCGATCCTGTTAAGAGCCATCTGGACGATACTTTGCTTGAGTAGCTCAAGCTCTCCAGGTTCAAACTGGTGGCCAATGTCTTGCCACTGCTGTAGTCTTGAGTCGTCCTCTTGGTTGTCCTGCGCTTCGAAACCCTTAGTTGACTGGTCGGCTTTCGTGGGATCGACTTCTGCCAGATTGTACAGGAATCGCAAGTTGCGAATATTGAATCGTTAATGTTTAGATCGTCGTGCAGATCCGGATAAAGCGTTTCCGAGATCTAAATATTTATGATCTACAAGAAAGGAACTTTTATATCGAAGATGAAAAAAGTGATTTTAGATATGAAAGCATAGGAAATTAAGCTTCAATCTCGGTGTGAATCATCACCTCGAGCAGCTTTTTCCATCTTTTTGCCCCTCCATCATGCGCCACATTTTAACTACCCCGCCATCATGCGCCACACCGCCGACAAAACTCTAAACCTTCAGCCACAATATACTTGTCTACCATCTTTAGCAGCACACATACCTCTCAATACACCGGCCATCAGGGATGTCGGAAAGCTTAGCTATTTTATATTCAACGGCAGATGTCTTAATTAGACGCTATCTCTCTAATTTAGGCAAGTACTCTATTAGTCTTTCTTGCCATTCCAGCCTGGGAGCCTGATGTCCTAACACCCCCCAGCCAGCGTCTCCTGTAAATCCTTCAAGTCTATATCCAGATTCCAAAGCACCGATCGACTCTTTCAGACCTCCTTCGCTATCCCAAAACAGCAAGTAACTCGCGAAATCAATCTAGTCTTGAAACAGCAATTGAAGTGTCCTCCTCCGCGTTTCTCCACGTGATCTCCCGAAACCCATGCAGACACCATACCACACTGCACGCCACGGACTTTATTTCCGCGAGCCCATCCACATACGGTTATAATAGGGCGCAGATTGGTGGTGTGAGTCTGTCAGAGAGAGAAAAATGCCCAGCTGAACTTTTAGCGACAGCCAGCTGAAGAGAAAAGAGGAACTTGTCATTCTCGTGGGAAATAACCACCACTCGTTAAAGTTTCCCCATAACACGAGTTGCCCAAAAGGGGCGGATGGGTCTGGAAGTCTTGCGGTGTAATTCCGTCCTGCCATCCATCTGATATGGTGTGTCTTTGATCATGATCATGATATCGAGTGTTGAAGCCTCCCCAAATGCCTCACAGACCTCCCAACTGAGCTAAGCCTTAGCTAGCAATGCCCCGTCCTTGAGTGCTGGTCCCTGCAACGGCCGGAACCTCAGTCTTGGGAACGCTACGTTTCACCTCTGTACAACAGGTACATCACAAGATTTGACTGGAAAGGCCAGGGTATTTGGGTTAAAAATGCAATTTTATGTTCTCAGACTACTATATATCTACTCGATCGAGTCCGTTGTATTCCCTTGTACGTAAATAACAAATAAAAACAATGCCTGTCCCAATGCCGCGCCGTGAACCTTGTCCGTTCCGATGATTGAACCTTTTTGTGCCGTTACCCTTAAGATGATGCATGCATGCGACATCAGCATCAAGCTGTGTCAGCCAATATGTATACGAAGTGAAGCTTTTGTCCTCCAAATTTCACTCGCCAGGCCGAGTCCTCGCGAGTCGGGGACCATTAGCAAATCTGCTAGCCCATTAAGAGATTGCCTGCTTTTTCTACCATGAAAACCTTCTCTTGTGTATGTACTCCAATACCAAACTCCGGCAGTCGTGTAGCCTACCCATGACTGGGTCGCCAACAGGGATCGCAAGCCCAGTGAGAAAGTAGCGCCTCCACTGACGCATGGCCCCAGGCCAGCGTCTCGTCGTTGTGCCATCGCCTGCTTTTCATAATTCATCCTCAAAACTCATTTCGCTATGCAGCCCGAGGTCAGACCGGGGCAAGCTTCCTAACCACCTGAACCCGAGGTGAGGGTGTCATGGCGGGCCAAAAAAAAAGATTTATGAATCCGCCGAGTCGTTGGTTTCATTGATGTCGCTTAGGGTGCCAGTAAAGTGTCAAAACGAAGTTGCAATTCGTAGGTGCAATGGGACGTGCTAAGGTAGTATTTGGCCGTTGTCCCTCCTTTCGAAAGCACTGCCACAGTGGTGCTTCAGCCCTGGGAGGCAGCCCAATGACTAGGTGCGGGCAGCCGCATCCCTACGCGCATTGGGTGCACGCGGAAGACTCCAATTGATCCGATAGATCAAAGGACGCAGTTGAGCGGCACCTTGCTTCGTTTTGGACTTGCCGCATCTGCATCATGCGGCAATCCGCCCACGCGATAAAGAGTTTTCTCCGCGTCTGTCGTATGTCTTGCCATTGCAAGCCGTTGTTTGGAGGGGTTTTCTTCTGTTGCGGACGGAAGAGTCGTACAAATGCCGCTGGCTTGCTGTTTCCAAATTCCCAACGGCATCATGATTGCAGAACAGATCGGCCTTCTTTGATAGCGTTTTCCATGCCGATCCTCCAGTCGAAGGTTGATGGACTGGCCCACTGATCCTTCTCGGTACCAACATTTCCTTATTGGTACCCCGCTCTCCTCCAACTGATCATCCATTCATCTTGAATTACCAGCACCCTCCAGAAGACTTGGCCGTGACTCGTCATATTGGCGGCCGACCCCCCGTATATCTTCCTTCTGGAGTGTTGGTAAGGGGTATCAATATTCGGCCGAACCTGTGCTGTATCGCTTCCAATTTGTATGGTGCATTTACCGGGGCGTTGGGTCCTCTTCCAGCATGCAGGCATTCTCCAGCATGTTGGTCCACTTCCCACTCGTGCCCGCATGGCTGTGCTTTAGATGCTGTCTGAAGTGATCCGCTCTGAAGAACTTTTTGGACGAGTTGCACTCTCTGAACTTGTGAACTTCCTGCAGATGCCTGATGCGCTCATCCCAGTCCTGGTCCGTGGCGTGCCGAGGTGCATTACCACCGTTCAAGACACCCGTACCAGGGCCACGACCAGAGCGCACAAATTCATCGCCGCAATAGCCGCAGGTGTCAGCTTCGCCAGGTCTGTTAGTAGAATCGTGGAAAGCCCTATCGTATCCGGAGAGAGCTGAGCATGACCACGAATGGCGCCGCACATGGAGGGAATTTTGATGGCGCTCTGCCTCATTCTTATTCTTGAAGCGGTTGCCGCAGAATGAACACTCGTATTGCTTTTCAGCCTCGTGAGCACTAGTAATTGGTCAGCATTAAATCCGTCAAGCCAGACTAGTATCGGGCCCAGCCTCTTCGAGGTGGGTCTGCAGAGAATGAGATCTAACTTACTTGAGTTCCTCGAGCGACTCGAACCTCTTGGGCTTCTTGGGACAACACTCGCACATGAAGAAACCTTGCACTTTAGTGCCTCCAGGTTTCTGTACTTCAGTGATCTTGCGTGTGCTTGCACCCGAGACAGTCCTGGAGTGGATTGATCCCCGTCCAGAAATGGAGGTTCGAGGGCTAGGGTTGAGAGATACAGGAGCTGTGTAAGGCGAGTTGCAAGAGGTTGGTGAGATGCCACCTGGAGATGGCCCCACAGGCGAGCGTCGGCCGAAAGAGTTAGCAGTGGTGATGCTAGTTGGGTGCATCGACATGGACATTGTCGAGATATATGAGTTGTTTCGTGATGTAGGGACCGAAGGCATCGTGGCACCTCGAGAGAGGGCTGTGAAGCGATCTTGAGGTGATCCGCGGGAGCTCATCTCACGTCGACGAGACATGTCTGATGGCATAGCAAGGTGATCATCGTTTGGACTAGCTGCCCTTCTCTTTTGACCGCCAGACACATAAGCATCATCAATATGTAGTCTCTTTAGCGATTGGCCGTCTTCCATATCCATATCATCTGCTCCATTGAAGTCATAGCTGGAGTTTGTGGAAGTAGCATCGTCACTGTTGTTCCTCTTTGTTCGTGTTCGGGGTGAGCGATCGATATCGGAGCTGTCATTTGGTGACCTATCTCCAAGGAAGAAAGGGGCGCTTCGGGGAGAAATAGCAGAGTGAAGTGGTGTGTCGGTCAACCTTGCAGGAGAGCCTAGAATACCACGGGAGTGGATAGGAAGTTGTACTGGGACGCTTAGAGCTGGGGGGAATCGACCTTCGGCAGAAGGCCTTCGAGAGATAAGCTCGTTCGCTGATGCGCTGAGTAGTGATCGGGGTGGTGACCTTTCTAATGATCGAGTTTGGTTAAGCTTCTTCTTGAGGCTGTTTTCATCAATTTCGGCGGGTGATTTAAACTGAAAGTGGTTGTGTAGGCGGCCAAAGCCAGAAGGGGCGGATTCGCGGGACCTGTAAATCATAAAATGTTAGTTTCCTTCATCCAATGCTTTGATCAAGCCATTGAGCACTTCAATTGGCTCAATGCCCGGCGCATCGCAGCCCATACCTGTCAGTTGATGAGTAACTTGCATAACCCTCATCTCGTTCACCATATATGGCGGTGTTGCTTCTTCGTTGGTAACTGGGACGATCTTCGTGAAATGACGAGGTCATGCTTCCGTAGCCACTTGCAAAAGAACCCTGTGCATATTCCCTCTTCTCCCTCATGTTTTCAGCCAAAGCACTAGGTTGATCGTAGCCTGGATATCGAGGAGGAGGTAGTGGTGGAGGGACGTCTTCTCGTGTTTGCAGGCCAGGTATTGACATGGCAGGGCTCCCACTATAAGGTATTCCGTGATGACTCGTGTGGCTTCGATAACGATCACCTGGAGTAGGGACTATAATACTCGGGAGAGCCGGAGGCTCTCTATATTGGGGAGGAAAAGCCATGGTGTTTAGCTTGGCGGTTGATGACTCGAGCTGAAGATGGAGCAAGAGGCAAGACAATGGCAGCTGAAGGTTGAAGGCGGCTGAAGCTAAGATGACATGGGACCGAACCTACTCCGTCATAGAGCCGATGGCGAAGGGAAAGATTCCTGGTGGATTACTGATATCCAGCTTGCGGCCTCCTTTCGTTCGGAGATTCGGTTTTCAGATTTATTTTAATAAACAAGCGAGTTGTTGGTGCTAGGGTAATACGGGGTGGTTGTGAGGTGGCGATGGTTTCGGGGTATCCGTCTGGTCAATCCAAGACACAAGTAAATGCACAGAACCTGGTGCAGCTGGTCCGCCAATGCCGAGGGAGCAGGTCGACGAATGGCAGAGCGTAACGGGAATGCTCTGAAAGTGGAATAGTCAGGGAGGAATGTTTATGTTATTGTGGTATATAGAATTGCAGACGAGAGGTTAAATCGAGAAAGAGGAAGAGAAAAACTTATGAGACTGTCGCAAAAGAAGGAAAATGTGCGGGATGTGGTGTAAAAGAATCGGACGGGATGGGGAAGGTGGGAGGCAGGCGGTTAATCAGTTCAGTTCACCCTCAGATTAATGGCAGATCGACTCAATGTTGACGTTGACACGCTGGGCTGTTGCGTCGCACTCACTGTTCCTGGCGCCGACAGGCGCTATTGAGACCCCTGTAGTACTTGCCTATGGGGGTGGAGATTAGGGGAGGGCTGAACTGAAGGCGGGAGTGATGGAAGGACAGGACAGGCACTTCTGAGATTTGAGACAAGCCTTACCAGGACCGAATGGGTCATTCTACACACACACCTGGACGTGTGTTTGTTGTTTGTATCTAGGCGATGCAATGTTATGTAATTCCGTTCTAACATGCAGTATCAAAAGTAGTAATAAGATGTAAGGAGAGGGGAAGAAGATGAAGAGAGTCGCCAGATAGAGCAGAGCATGGGGAGTGAGTATCTGCCGATGGGGGCGTGGAAACATTCCCTGAAGCCAAGAACGCGATATCGAACAGCCCTTCTTGAGTCTTCCTTCTTCACTGTTACCAGGAGCGCGCATATGGAACCATTCCCTTCCGTTCCTTCATGGAGTAGCATCAGTAGCTCTGCGTACATACAGTATTTGAGGCACGGATAAGTGGCGACTAGCAGCCAAAGGTTGGATCCTACCTGCAAATGCATGTGTTACAACTGTCAGTCATCAGCCAACTGTCAGCTTGTCAAGATCATGATACCCTCTGCTGGTGCTAGCTCCTGCACTTAGCTCACTTGTGGGCTCTTACATAAAACGCAGTATTACACTCAACTATTGTATGGGCTATATTATTACCACATCACCTTACGCTGAAGTCCATCTCGCACTCTCTGCTTACTTCAGGACTATACTTACAGTCTGCCTCTGCTGTGTGCACCTTACTCCAGGGCAGACCGAGGGGTGCGACATCAACTTGCGTTCCGCTGTTGACCTTGCTACAGGGGCATCCACCACCTGTGCCATTCAGTCCCCCGCTCCGACGGTGCTCCTGGGAGACCCTTGAGCGTCCTGGCTTGCCCTACGGGCATCCATGGGTGTTTGAGCTTTGGGTGGGATCCTGCCCTGTAAGGTGTTGTTCTGCCCTGGAGGGCTGGGCTGGGCTGGAAGAGGAAGAAGTGCGAGGGGGGAGTGGGCAAGAGTGTGCGCGGAACACGATTTGCTGGGTGATTAGCTTCCCGTGGGGAGGGGTGTAGGGCAGCGCAGGTTGAAAAGCACTGGTGTCGACGTCTGGAGGGGGTGATCGTAAAAGGTACGACGTCCTCGTTGCCGGCCAAGGTAGCTGACCTTAGCTTACCTGACGCTCACCTACACAACCTGACAACCTGACCTGTGCCTATCCTATCTACCCATCGATCCGGCATTATGTATCATCATCGCCGACTGACGAAATCCTGCGTGTGCTGTCAACGGCCAATATCCATTTCCATGGATAAAGCCGTGGGTGGTAGTATTTGGCATTTGGACCGTCGGGAGGTTGCATGAGAACAATGCCCTACAGCCAAACAGGCTTCTTCCCTGCTTCCTCGCCTGCTTCCTTTTTGCTTCCGCTTCTGCTTCATCTCTCCTGCAACGCTCACTGGTCGCTCATGGGCATCCCGTCTGCCTCCCGCTGCTATTCCTAGTTCTTCTTACCTTGATGAACCCACCGACAACCAACAGCCAACATCCAACGTTCAACTCCAGTAAACGACCGAGGACCTATAATGCACATGCCAGACGGTAGTTGCGATTCTTGGAAGGAACCCCATTCACAGATTATGCCCGAGTTGGGCCATTTCCCCAGTAGGTACTACATAGTACGTATCCGTACTTGTATGCTGGTACGAGTACTGTGGCTTGGATTCGCCTTGCGGTGTCTTGTCCCAATTCACCGTCATTCCTCTATGCCGCCTCGTCATCAACCTCGTGGCCATGGCATGCCCTTGGCTTTACCTTACCCACGCGCCGACTCGAACCTATTCTGGCTATGGTGCTTGGCTAACTGACAACGGTCGTTGCATTGGGGCGAAACCTTTTATTTCACTTTCATTGGCACATTCCAATTTCAACACCTTATGAACAAATGCCAAGAAATATTTGACTTCTTGATAGACAAGCAGTGAGGCTCAGCGGTGAGTGGCTTCTCACCTCTAATTCCTTGGTACTTGTAAGCACCAGTGGCTTTCTGCCATGGATGAAGAAAAAAGCCTAATGACTCGAATATCCTGATTCAACTAGCGATCAGCATATATGGAGAAGACGTTTGCGATACATTCATTTGCCCCATATCTCGTGCAACCTGCCAAACTCAGAAAAAGTTAGGCCCACCGCCTTGACGTGGGATGTCGCTGTGTTACTTTCACTGGGTGTTATTCCTTGTTACGCGGCACTTTTCCTCCCAAGATTTGTCACTTTACCACTAATACTCCGTAATTACCAGCGTTGAAAACAACGGAGGCGTTTTCGCTTCCGGAGGATTTCCCTGCCTGTTTACCATAAAAGTTGTTGCCTGTGAATTGATGGATCCTTGAGGAGGAATGGCTTTTACCTAGGAACCCCCGCGGGCCCATGGGAGACCTGGAGATCTAACCTAACGTACTAGGATCATCCAGGCGGATCCCCCCTTGAAGGGTATCTCCCTCAATAGGGATCGCCTGACGACATGCAACGAAGAGGTGAGAATGAAAGTCAGTTGGACAATCCTCGCAACATGCGTCAAAAAGAAACTAGCAGTCCTTTACTCGCTTTCTCTCCATCTGTTTGGTACGTTTACGCGTATCAGGCTTGTGGCGCTGCTGTCAACAGTCAAAATGCTTCCAGCCCTAGCTAGTAAGGTTTAGCTTGATCCTTCAATCCTTTGACCAAAATCCCATCATCTTAGCGAGAGAGCCATTTGCTCCTTCTCCCACTTGGCAAATACCAGGTCGGATGAGAAATGCTGGATTTCAGAAACTCCCAGAGCGGTAACCTCCTCCCGCTGAGCGCCGGGGCAGTGAAGCATCAATCCAGATGCCCAGTGTTTAGTGTCCAATGCCTAATCCTTAGCAGAGGCCAAGCACCCAAGCACCCCGAGCTTGCTAGTTTCAGTTGTTCGTGTAGCTTCATTTGAGTTCAGGAAGCTGAGCATCCATGGTGGAAATTCCTTGGGTGCCTAGGTGCTTGTCCATCTTTCCACCCCACCTGAAGTGAAGGTCCGTGTTAGTCGTTGTGGCCTGATCCCTGCACACGAAGAACACAAGGGAGCGGATAGCGCATCGGCGGTTCGATACGACTGAACTGAGCCCATTCTGGCTTGGTTCGGCCTGATTGAGGTGCCCGCCGTGAGAGCGAAACCAGTCCGTCGGGTGCAGGAGATACCAGATGAGGAAGGCAGTCGACGTTGACCCTCAGTGAGAATATCGGCACAGACTGCAGAGGGCAAAGATAGGTTCCTGTACGTATTCTGGAGTGCTACGTGCTATTCTGCTCGTGCTGCGTATGTGGTGCTGAAGATGGAGTCATATTGTCAAATAGGCGGAGCAACTCCGGAGACCAATAGCTTCACGATACGATACAGCTATACAACGTGTTACGAAACTGGAGAGGAATCTGGTGGCCGATCCATGACACGGTTGCCTCGTGTCTCGGTTGCTCAAGTGCAAGTCTAAATCTCGCAGCATAGGTCGTCTAGTGGTATCTTGGATTACAAAATGATTACCAACACGGCACATGAGGGATAAGGATCACCACGGCGCAGTTGTTTCTGGAAATTGGAATTGGAATTGGAATTGATGGTAAATTCCGTCGCGCTGTGCTAAGCCCTACCGCGGGCATCGTTCAAACCTCAAAGGGAGCGCTGAGTCGTGCAGTCCTGCTTGGTTGAGAAAGGTCTTGCAGCGCCGCACTCCACCAAAAGATGAATTAGGTTTTGGCCAAGTGGGGGGGGCGAGTGTGGTCGCGTACCAAAGGTGCAAAGTTGGCTTGAGCCTTGCCGAAGGGAGATGCGCCACACTTCGGGCCTCGGCGGGGGTGGTCTCAAGTCTTACGCTTGAGTCTTGACGGGCGTGGCTAGTGGCTAGCGGCCTAGCGGGCTTTTTGGCTCTCAGCCCTACCATGGGGTTTGCAGTCTTGGCGTGGTTGAATTGCCTGTCCAGTCCTAGGGCTGGCTTGGAGATGTCTCGCCACGAGACAGCAAATATACACAGCACACGACGTCACATGTTGAGGCAAAACACCAGCCTCGAGGTACAGCAGTTCTCCCTGATGGAATATAACATAACAAAATACACAAAGGCAACGTTACAATGCCTATTGTTAGCAACGGTAAAATATATCACTCTGTTATAGCTGATACTTACATGCATCTGCCGAACGTGGAGAAAAGCTCGGTCAATCTCAGGCCGAATTTGGCTATGATCGCCTCTGAGACCCAGTGAATGCTGTGTCTTCCAAGACGTTAGAGGACCCCCCTAGGACGCAGCTAAACAGCAGAGGAA